TGTTGGCGGATAGACGGGAACACATCCTCTCGGGCAACTGTAGGGGGCGCCGCCCCAAGACTTCAGTTTCACACAGCAGTCCGGTGCTGATGCTTGTGGATGCAAGGATCCTTCATTCAGCCAAAGGAGAAGCGCCCCCATGATCCAAGATGGACAGAACGTGGGGGTATCACTTCCTTTCACCACCATTCACGGCTCTATCCTGGCATATCGCCATCGAGCCCTCCTCTCGCTCACGATTCTCATTGGCGTTGGGAGACCTATGATCTCCAGGCGGCGCCACCTCCTCTATTGCTTCGCTAGCGCCAGGTCCGCGGTCCTCTATGGTGCTCCCGCATTGCCAGACAACTCTTCCTCCAACTGCCATTTCCAGATGACCTTCCTTCCAGGTGCAGTCGATCCCCCGTGCTGTCCCAGGCGCTAAGCTTTATTAAGGAATTCCGGGGAGGCTCCAAAAGACCCTGTCCCAAGATTTGGGGTACCGTGAGATCTCGTCATCCCCGGACTTTCTTCTTCACGCCACTTGGCCTCTCGGACGATGAGCTCCGGGCTTGAGAATCTGCGCAACTCATCTTCTGTTCGGGAGCATACCGACCCTAGATTTCATGCCAAAGAGCCCAAGCTGTGGTATATTGATCGAGTCAGCCTTTCTGTACATGCGACGCTCGGGGCGTTTGGAAATTGCGATGGCATGCGGCGACAGAATGTGGTGATTCACCAGCCGAACTTCCACGTACTCCGTCTGGCCAAGGGCGGAAACAGATGTGTCTGATAGGACGTCTGCTGTGTCGACATGTAGTGGGAAGATTTGGCAAGTGACTTCAACAGCTCGTCCTGACCTGTAAGGGACGTTATCTCCAGAGTCCAGAAGTGTCGCCAAGTCCTTATCCCGCCACACACACCTTATTCCGCCCCCAGGTTTCTCCACGTCCCGATCTGGCTGACCGGCCGGCAACGTATGCATGCTACTTCAGTCATTTTCTCGGAGATAGTACGATGCCCGATGGGCGGCCATGTTATTTTATTTTATAACCGATCCGAACTCCCATAGGGGACTCGTTCGAAGTGACCAGAGTGTCGTTCTGTCCAAATTCATTTTTCAACGAGAATCCGACACGGAGCCAACAAGTAGCAGCTTTGCCATGAGACCAGCTTGATGCGTTCAATCGTTTCTTATGGGTCGTATCGCCAGAGCAAAGCCGCCGGTTTGCTGTCTGTTGGCGCCAGTCTTGAGTCTTGAGTCGTGTATCAGGTTCTGTACCGCACGCAAGACGCCGTTCGCGAAGCTAAGCATTGCACGGGTGGTTTCCATCCTCTTTCATGCGGAGGCCGAGACCATGGCTTGATTAAGTAATTGTCATCCTCGGCCGTGAGTTTTCTGCTTCTGGCGTATCGCCGAGAGTTGGCCGTAGCCAAACAGGGAACCCCGTCTATGTACAATGGAGGGAGAGCCGCTCCTACCTGGAACGCTCTCAGTCGACGGTGACCAGTGCGTTCTGTGCACTCTGTGCCCATGTCGTATAGCTGGTCATAAAGTTGTGAACTGCGGAGATTCGTACGCTCATCATACGATGGTGGGAATGGGCGAGCCACAGCTGTCGTCGAGTACGCTCAAGATTTCCAACGGAATTCGCGGGGCACAACGATGATCTTGCATAACGCGTACCTGCGTGCGGGGGCCGACATGCCACAGCGCTTCCAGTAGCGACAACAATGGCAACAATGCATGGTCCTGACTTCGTGCTTTGTAAGAGTCGCGGTTGGTGATTTGCTGTCTTGCTCAACAAGACAAGCCATCCATTGTCCTGCCGGAGAGAACCCCGCAGTGATGCACGCCCTTTACACCATGGTCGACGTTCTGCCCCTGAAGCGTTCCTGTTGTCTCGAATATCTGTGAACCTGTCTTGGACCTATCAAGGTCAATGACGGCTGAATGATAAGAACCGGGGGCTCTAGAGTCCGAGGCTCTGATCTCCAAGGGCGTCTCGAGTAGCAAGCGTCGGAGCGACTGGCTCTTGTACGACTTCCCAATGCCATCATTGGGCACACCACCGCTCAGTTGCTCGCGTTAACTGCGGGTGGCTACGGCTGTCCTTCCAGTCGATTGCGAAACGTGCCGGGCATGACTCAGTTCCTGCGTCTGGCTTCGACGGCCCAACGGAAATGAACCGAGCTGGGCCTGCCATGCTTCCCCAGACTTCCCTTGCCTTTCAACTTATCCCCGCAAAGCCCCTCGAAAGGCCCAGGCGGTAGCTCTGTGAGCTCGAGTCCAGAAAGGTTGCGGCGGTATCATGTCGTTTGCTGGCTTGGGTGAAGATTGACCCGAGTTTCCTTGCCGGGACACGCCTGTGTTTGAAACCAGCTTTCTCAAAAAGGCGATGTCTGGGGGGCGTGAAAATCAACCGGGGATAGCGTGTTACGGGGGGCACGATACATGGAACGCAGATAGTTGTGGGGAGAGTCAGAGCCACGCCCGGAGGTGTCAAAGTCGACAGTGGTGTGGTGTTATGGATTTGAGTCCCCAGTTTTCTGAGGGTGGTTGTCGAGATCCCGAGATTCTCCGACAAGCACAAGCAAACAACCAAGCCAGCCTGCTCAGTGCATCCGTTTGGTCATGGCTGGCGGTATGTGAGTGGCGCCCGTAAAATCTCTGTCGTATTTTGGTTGCCTCAGGTGAACCGCAAACAGATGAATTTGGCAGCGCTTGAGAGCATCCCTCGAGGAGACATTGCTCCATTTGCTGGAATTTGTGCCGTCGAGAGCTTTGAGTTCTGGGACACATGCCCCTCTTCCCTATCACATGTGAAAAGATAAGAAAAAGGGGGGATACCCCAGGAGAAATCGGTCCCTTTGCCTAAAAGAAGCAGTCAAGGATGAGGTAAGCGCGAAAGCTTGGGGAATCGCAAATGAGGAGTTGAGAAATGGCACAGAGTAACATTCTTCCACATGAAAATGCTGGGGAAGCGCGTACCTTGCATTTGCACATGGATACAGAGGCTAAAAGGTCTTGCCAGAACAGCAAACAACCTTCATAGTTCTCGCTCGTGTCTTGAACTTCTGGTTAGCCGCACCTGTGAGCGAGCGGCATCGGGCAGTTTGAAGCGCCGCAAATTGCTGGCCCGAGCCCCGATATCAGCTCTCCACACAAACTGTGGAACGAAAACGCGGATAAGGAAAACTCCGCTTGTCCTCCGCGTTATCAACCCCAGGTCGGTGGCACCCGAGCCCCCAGGGGACTTTATTGGCAATCTACCCCAGCTTGTGAGATGAACGACATCTGCCCAGTGCCCAGACCAGAGCAATCAGGATTCGTCGCCGATGGGCCACCAGAAGAAAACGTGATCCGTCGACCCGAGCTCGGATCCTCGGCATAGAGAAGGCAGCTGGTTCCAAATGTGGACACGCCCTATCTTCAAGAAAAGGCATGTAAGCGTGGCATGTTGTCTCCGAACCATTTCGCTCGATAACAACGCAATCGTCAGGGAGACCCTTGGTAGCGCTTACATTGAGAAGGCGAGGCTCAGCACTCTTAGGGCGACTGTTGGCCGTTAAGGTGCGTGGAGGGCGACTCGGGTCCTCGCTGTCAGGTAGGATACGTCTCTGATCTTCGCAAGGGTCTTGCCGTACACTTACGCCAAAGACTTTCTGCCGTCTGTGGAGTGGATAACCATAGTCCCGGTTTCCGACCCGACGAGTCGCCCTCTTGGAAGAGTCATGCTGGCTTCCGATGCTCGTCGCTCTACCGCCAAAGCTGAAGATGATTGCGCTCCCACTGAGGAGAAGCCCTGGGTCTCATGGGGAGGCCCCAAGATCAAGAACTTGCTCAATATAGGCATTCCGAGCACCCCGCAGCCCCACGCGGGATCATGCCGTAAGTGTCTGAAGACTAATTGGCGTTGACGGGCATGATCAAAGCAACAGCGGTGATCTATCATTGGAGGTAATTCTCGGCGGAATTTTGGTCTGCAAATGCAAACTATCCATAGATTGCTCATCAACCGTGTGTAGCCCCAGACACGGTGCCTGCTGACAACAGGGATGATTGATTTGCTGTACAGGGCATCAAGGACATGTGTAGCTGCCGATAGATGAAACCGCGGATGAGGAGGTTCAGGAGTGTGCCATTGTACGAGTAATATCTGCTGTTGCAAGGTCTGAAAGCTCGAAGCTCTGAGGTTCGCTGTAGAGTTACATAGGCAGTGAAACCGGAGAGGCCTTAGAATGTTCCGACTCGATAGGGAGATGGTAGATTGATAGACTGGTCGCTGGTTCGGGGGATGCGAATGCAATGTTGGAGACGGTCGAGGAAACGATTCCGACGACCACGTTCCATCCGTTCGGCCGGGGATGTTGCCGCGATGCTATTATTTCTTGCCGTCCAATGTGAATCGTTACGCCTGAAGATCCTCCCAGACGTTCCGGGGGCTCGGTACCAGGATGGCTCAATTGCCGAGACGGCTCCCAGATAGCCGTGTTGTCTGGCGTAGCATCGACAGCAGGCTCCGGCCAAGTGGACTGTATCGACAGACGGACACAGAAGGCCAAACGTCTCGCAGCACGTGTGAGAGTTGAAGAGAATGAGAGAAGAAATAAAAGACAACTTCAAGAGGCTGTCAAAAAGCGCTACCATAAGGCCACGGGTATCTCGAAGCAGTTCAAGCTCCGGTTCAAGGTGGAGTGTTATTTCTTTTAAGACGCACGGCCACTCGCACTTGACTGCCGCTTGAGCAGTGTTTGCATTGAAGATGCACTCGACAGTATCGTATACAGTGGTCTATAGGGAGGGAACGCATACTGTTGTTCGTCAGCGACCATGTTGAGAAGGATGGGGGCTGGATATACACATGTTTTTTATTATCAAAAAAACCTACTTTTTGAAAATATTGCATTGAGGGCTCTTGTCCGTCAGGAAGCAGCTCCTGTTCGTGCAGTTGCCTGTCTAAGCCACACCCTCTTCAGTGAATCTGTGGCTAGTGGCATCATGTGGGGCACGTGTGAGGATGGGGTCCGGCGTACTGTGCGCACTCCTCAACTTCACGACGTCCGTCTTTGGGGCAGAACAAACTAGTGGCGAGCTCAACAAGCTGGCAAACAGCAACCCAGCAATGGAAAGGTATCACTCCGTTCACGAGGAAGATATCTCCAGCTTCGACCTATCGTCAACCCGTACGTTTACCACCACCAATTAGCAGTGATACCGACTGACGGAAACAGATCGACTGCCCACTGTGTCCGCCGCGGAGGCACTGGAAGATCTGGATGGTGACGTCGCCAGGCGCATCTCTACAGGTCTCGATCGACTAGACGAGACGCTCGTATCTTCTTCATCTTACCAAGACACTGGCTCAGCGCGTGGAGGTCTTCAGAGAGGCCAAGTCACCGAGATATGGGGACCGCCTGGCTCAGGCAAGACGGCTCTGGGGTAAGGAGCCGCTGTACAGTTCTAGTGTTCTGCAAAGGAAGTGTGTGGCTAACATTCCTTTGAAGTATCCAACTTGTCGCCAATGCGTTACATGAGGGGCATGGTGCCGTGTGGGTAGGTCGGTTCATCTTAGACTGCGACAGGCTGGAAGAGAGAATGACAAGGCTGATGCGATTTCCAAAGACTGCGCCTATTCTGTCTGCGGCCAGCGACTTATTGCCGTGATCGAGGCAGTGGAACAAGCCCGGCCATCTACGGACGAGGGACCGGCGGGAGCATCCGGCGATAACCTCGCTCACTATAGCTGCCCGAGCTTACCTCACTTGGTTGCACTGCTATGCCGTCCCACCGCGGCGACGGTGCCAGCGAAGACGGCTCTGGTCGTCATAGATTCGCTGTCAGCCCTAGTGAATCACGCTTTCCCCAAGGCGCCCGACGGTCGAAGAGGACCGCCGCAGGGCAAAGGTTCGTACGCCCGTCCCAGATAAGAAGCATCTGCTAATGGCAAGCCAGGTCCAGGATTGTCGGCGAAGCGGCTGCAGGCTCTGCAGTATATCACCAGCGCACTGCAGAAACTAGCGGCAACGCGAGACTGCGCAGTGGTGGTCTTGTCGCAATGCGCAACAAAGATGCAGCTGGAGCGGAGCGCGACTTTGATCCCATCCGTTAATGCTGGAATCTGGGAGCAGGGGATGTCGACACGGGTGGTGCTGTTCAGAGATTGGGTCTGGAAGGAAGGGCGGCCATCGACCGTATGCTTCGCGGGCGTGCAGAAGCTAGACGGCAAGGCTGGGCCGGACATGATGCAGAATGCAGCGGCGTTTAGAGTTGAAGCGGTCAGTACTTCTCCCCTGGGCAGTCACGGATCCGACATAATATCGCAAAAGCGGAGTCTCTAAGAAGGAAGACAAGGTGATTTGCTGACTTGACACGTTGTCGTGGACAGACGGGCGTGGTCGGCGTGCGTTACGACACCAGCCAGCCATCGGTGCTGCTGTCGACTAGTACTCCACGGGCGAAACGCAAGCTGGCAGAGGCTGGTCTCGAAGTGCCAGACAGCGAGGAGGACGATGAGGAATACGGGTGGGTTCAGGAAGACGACGCGGCACTTCCCGGCCCGCCGCCACAATGGCAAGGCAGCGAAGACCTCCTCTTGGGAACGCAGGCGGCCGAAAGCGAAGAGGACGGGGACGGCGGCGACCATGATGACACGGGGGACGAGGCAGGACAAGTGGAGGAGACAGCGGTTAGCGGCCGAGATAACGACGAATTGGCCGAGTAGCAAAGGGCAGGGCGGAGGCAGGGCCCAGTGGGATATTTCCGGGCCAAAGGCCGGAGCTTGGCCGACAGATAGGACGAGCATGAATCGATAATACATACGGTCATGGCCCTCCCCCATCGGCCCCCTTTTGTGGCCCCGGCAAGCGCAGCCCCAGACTTTGACGAGATTCGCAGATGGGCAGAAATTTCTCGCCAGAAGCCGACTCCGAGGCTTGACACCGTGTGTGTCATGTTACGGAGCCTCACGGGCTTTGGAGGCGTGAGGATGAGGCGGAAGAAGGGGAGAAGGCAAAGGAGGAGGAAAAAACTAGAGCAACTCCACCAAGAGTCAGAGATGCCCCGCCACAGGCAGAGATTCAGCGGTTAAGGACCGATAAGAAGCAGCGGTCGGTCAAGGCCCGGCTCCACCGAGAGCATGAAATTTCATCGTCACCATTCGGCCAAATGTCGGCTTGACGCGGACCGCCTGGGGAGCCAGCCTCAGAGACACCACCACGGACCGCAGGAAAGACTGTGGGAGAGAGAGAGGCCGTGGCTCGCCCGGGCCCCGACCCCAGAGAGCCCAGTTCTTTTTTACATTCGTGGGGTCCCACATGTTGGGTAAGCCGCAGTGGCTGACGCTGGAACTCTCTTGGCCGAGAGCGACCGAGTGGGCTGGTTGGCTGGCTGGCTGGTGTGAGGGATGAGAGCGAAAATGAGAGCAGGGTGGTTCTGTCATCGTCTTTTTTGTGCGCCGGGGACAAGTCCGAATGCGACTGGATGCTCCTCTACGGCGAAAAGAGGACCATGATGGCTGAGGTGAGAGAGAGTGGAGGAAGCGCCATTTGACTTGTCTGTTGGGTCGGCCAGCAGGGAGAAAGGCGCAAGGTGCGGCGGCGGCGCGCTTGACTAGGGGGGGTCGAGGAATAATTTGCGCTTGGAGGGGGGAGAGAAGGTCGGGAGCGGGTTTTCGTGGGGAAATCTCTCTACTGTACATACTACGTAGTAGGTATCCTCCTCCCTCGCCGCTCGCGCCGCCTTCGGTCGGCCCCGTTTTGTTCTCGAAGGAAAAGATGGCGTCAGATCGAGGGTGCCCCACGGCCCAGCGCAGGAGGTGCGGTAGCCCAGCTTGTCTAGGGCGGAACGATGCGCTGTATTTGGGGCGCCCCGGGGGGCGCTTCTGCCAGCAGCCAGGCTCACCGGCGCGCCAAGCTGGTCCCCCAAGGGCACCGAGGGCACTAGATGGGCGGGGGGGATCCTCTACACTACTCACATAGATAGTACATACATAGTAGTCTGTCTTCCACTTCCATGTCAGGGCAGAGAACGGGGGGGACCGCCAAAGCGCTGGGATTGGCATTGGCACCTTCAATTCCAGCTTCTAGGGCAGGTGGCATACACACAGGCCGTGGTTGGCTATTTACACATATCCAATGCTCAATGGCGCCGGCTGTGATCTCCACAAATAGTGGGTCCCGACGTTGTCTCCTTCCCTGTTGGATGCGCGGTATCGTGCAAGAGAGAGAGACAGGAAGGAAGCAGCGCTGCGGCGGCGCAAGTATTTCTGGAGAAAAAGTGACTTTGCGGTACTTTCTTCCCAGAGTGCCGCCTGTTGCGATTTTCATTGGTTTTTTTTTTTAAGGCTGTTCCCCTGTCACATCCCGCCTTCGCGACTACCTCGCCCTCCGTCACAGGCTTTGGCTCTTCAGCCTCTCTTTCCCTCCTCCCTCTCCCCCAGATCTTTTCGAGCACGTTTTGCTAGGCGCACGCCCCCAAGCCTTGCAGCCCTGCGACCGGGGGGTGCTCGCGGTCCCTCTTCTTCAGGACAGTCCCAAGGGTCGTGTAGAGGCTATCGACACTCTGAATTCTCGCCGGCGCACGACAGCTCATCCTTTTAATGCCGCGACGGATACGGACTACCTGCAGTATCCCTTCATCTTGGCTGATTGGTGACATAATCCCGCCCCATCCGCTCGCTGGCATTGGTCCCTTGCCTGAAGTTATCTATTCCCACATGCTCTGTAACTCACGTAGAAATAAGTCCATTGTGCGTACGGCTCCCTCACGTTATTCTCCGGCCCCAGCGGGGTCTTGATCGCAACCGGACCGGCTCTATGTAACATGACTCTCTCAAATCTGGAGGGCCTAGACCGGCGCATCCTCAGGACGAATGATGCCATTCCGCTTGGCCCTTGCGCAGCGGTTCCCAGCTTTCCGCCGCGCGGGCTCGGGGTTCCCCCAGGACAGGACGGGCAACTCTGAGTTGAGGGTCTCGTGTGCAAGAGGCGAAGGCCATGGTATCTAGTGTATAGTATAGGACACGACATTGCGCCTGATTTCGTTTCCCCAGGCCGTGTTGCATCGACGCTGGATCAACCACGCCTAACCGAAACGAAGTAGGGGAAACTAGTGTACGGAGTCGGTGGCCCAACAGCCTCAACTCCCTCATTCCCGCCCTCTCCGCTCTTTTCACGCACAGTACCGTGGTAGCCGTACATACAACTGAACCCCATCCCATCTTACGATCGTACCTAGTAATCGAGGGACCACCTTGGCCCGCCAGATCACGGCCACACGTACCAGACGCAGGCTCCACGGCCTAGTGTGCCCAAAGGCAAGACAAGGCCGAGTAGTAGGTGCGCCTACAGAGAGTCGGTCCCGATGGCTGCTGCTGCGTACCGCCGTCATGCCGTCGGGCCAGCCAAGCCGAGGTCGTCGCCTCATTCGGCTGAAGAAATTGAGAAGGACGCCCTTCTCCCATCAGCCGATGCAGCCTCTCTCTCTCTCCCTCGGAGTTTGCCAGCTGCACCAAGATGAGGCCTCGCAGCACAGCGCATCCCACAACGGCAACCGGCCAAGGTTTCCCAGAAAAGGTATGGATTGAGTCCGGTCTGGGGAGCCAGATCAACCGAACCGCTGGCGCGCCCAAACCCGCTTGTCTTCTCCGCATCGAGTAGAGTCAAATATACGACAATGACATCTTCGAAACAACGACACCACCACCACCACCTGCAACCGACTACCACCGTACATCTCGATGTTTCTGCTGCCACAGCTTGTCCCGCTGCAAGGATGGACGGAACCCGCCTCCGACCCGGGACCTGCTTGAAACGGTACGTGTGCCTACGTGTTCATCACGGCTAAAAACTCTTCTTTCTCTCCGGGCCTCTAGAACTGCGGGCATCGCCCGTACTACTGCACAGATCGACCATTCGCCGCGGGTCGCATACCGATGCGACCACGGGGAGGTACCGCACAGTAGCAGAACGGGAGCAACAGAATACTGTGGGCGGGCGGTGCGGTTCCTCCAGGCTGTATGTGATGCGGAGTATTTTACAGTGTACAAGACACTCACTCACACGCACTTACAGCCGCAGCCGCGCAGAAAGGGAGGGGGAAACATCAGATCCCACCGCCAAGTTGAGACGATTTCGCTGCAGACCTTGGGCGCCTCCCGCTCCTCATCAGCCCACAATGCTGCTTGATCGTGCGCAGATCGGCCAACCCTGGCTCCATCTTTTTGTTCCTTTTCCCGTTCCCTTCCTCTGCCGGATCGTTTCGCGCGAGAGGTAGATATGTGCTTGTCTGTTGAAGCTCAATGAAACCACTCCACATACAATATACCCCAGCTTCTGTTCATTCATTGGTGACGGCCGTAATGCGCGCGTCCTGCTCGACCCAGCCAAGACTCCTTCTTACTCGCTGTGCCTTATGCACTGAAACGATACAGCATCCGTCTCTCTCTCCCTCTCTGCCTTCGCCGTATGTGGGCTGGCTCGTCCCCTGTCTCATTCGCAACTTTTTGCTCGTTTTGTTTCGCGGTTTGATGTCGATGTTGTCTCTACCGTTGCCGTTTCCTTGCGCCCCGCCTGCCCGCCCTACATCGTTCGATGTCTGAGGACCCGTGTGCCCCAATGCCGTTCCCGTTGGCCCGCGTTGCCGTCACCACTGCCGGCTGGCCGCCCGTGGGGGGGGGGGTTGTCTTTGCTCACCTTGAGAACATGCACATCGTTTTGGAGGTTCCCGGCTCGGCGAGGCGTAGGGGCACGATTCGGCAGTGGGCTTGATACGGCGGAGGGTCAACATAGGGACACTCTAGGAGGACGAGCAGAGTCGGGCTTGCAGCGGGTAACTCGCAGCGATCATGCACATTTCCCGCGTTTCCCCGCGCCTGCCCATCGACGCAAGACGCCCCCATTCCTGCATTCCCCCCCCCTCATCCGTGCTTGAAGCGGTGCTCTATTTCTGGGGAAGCACTCCGCTGCACCAATGTCTGGTTACCTCTTGCTGTTGTCCATCCTGGCTCTTTGTGGTTTTGCTCGCATGTCTCGATTGCCGTCTTGCATATGCGAGGTCCTAGACCGCCTCTATGATGCTGGCCGGATCGGCAGGCATGGCCATCGTCGCAGCAGACGTCCCCAGGCCCCTCCATCAAACGTTGGCGTTATTGAAAGTGTAACCGCAAGCTTTGCTCACTGCGGACGGCGCTGACGGGATAATGTGGTTCAGGAAGTTCACGCCTGTAGCCTCGGAAGGTTTCGTACAGGAGGACTTGCCCGTCTCCGTCGGGACAGGGCGCTGGGTCGCTCCCGGACCGGCCCAGTAATTGCGCCGAGAAGGTCGTCGGCCAGAGCGTATAGCCGAGGGACGACGGCGGAACCAAAAGTTTTGTTGAGCATGTTTGACGGCGCCATTCACGGCACCATTCACGGCACCATTCACGGCACTTCTCCTCTGACCGCATGTGTCGCCGGCTTTTTCCTCAACTCTCTGCGAGGCGGGTTGAGAGGGTGGTGTGTGCTTAGAAGCACTTTGGTTTTTTTTTTTGTAGTTTGTCTTTTTTTGGGACAAACTCTCAGAGAGTTCGTCGGGACAGGTTTGTCAGTGTTTCGCCTCGGGAAGTCTACGGCAAGTTGGGGAGGGGGATCCGTGGTTGCTGCGGCTCTGTATGCATACCTTCCGCAACACCCGTGCCCTACGTCAGATCTTTGCTATCTCCCTTACCACGCGGCACGCCATGCTGAGTTGCCATCACATGCCAACTCAACAATGGGGCCCCGCATTATTAGAACTGGCTCATGCTCGATTACTCAATGCTCTTGGAGGGGGTCGCTCATGCCGCATGAAGAGCAGATACAATAGACTTCCCGAGAAATGGTCGAGACCTCTTCTCTGATCCCTTGGTATACCTCAACCGGGCATTAGGTAACGACGGTATCATGCCCCTTGAGGAGAAGCTTTCGGGGGCATGACGGCATCTCTTGGATTCGACCTTGGGGTCCCGGCCGACGACGACTCTGAAGCTATCATGTGAGATTCGGAAACAGGCCGCAACGTAGGCCCGGGCACTTCCCTCTGCTCGGTCTCGCTCGAAATCTCCTCCTACCACTGCAAACCCCCCCCCCTCCCGAAGCAGGAACGGCGCGTCGTCTGGGTGCCCGTGCAAGCGGGCAATCCTTCGATTCGAGCTCGGAGCTGTGGCCGGAGCCCAAAACTCAATCGTGAGGATGTTCCCGAAACCCCGCCAACTTGTGAGGACCCCTCGCCCTCCCATCCCCTCGAGACCGCCAGGCTTGGCATCTTTACCCCAGGGCTGGGATAGCGTTGCAGCCCAGACCCGAGCGACGACTCCCTGTCCCCTTGGATGAGGGCGTCCATTCGATTCGAGCTCGGCAGTAAGTCCGAGAAACTCTAATTGAAGATCCGCGGGGGTGGCCGCTCTTCACGAATACGTTACGGGACCATGACGCGTCTCTTGTGTGACCTCTTGTTCTTCAACGACGAGATGTATTCCGTAGATCTGATCTGTCCATGACTGCCCATGACGAACCCGAAGACGAGGGAGGTGGACTGGCGGTTGGCCGACGACTCCCTGGAACAGATGCGCTTTCGCGAGCTATACGATACATACAAGACAAGTAAAAGGAGAAAAAAAAATCATTGACAGCGCCGTAGCCATGCATTGGAGAGACCCTTTTGCTCCCATGTTTTTACAAGTGACTCCGACTCCCAGAACATTCAACGACGGGGACAAGACGGAAGAAGGGGAAAGAAAGAAAGAAAAACAAGTACATCTTTTCATGCAGAGTAACTGGGCGGGTTGGGGTCCGCGTACACCATGGTCGCCTTGAGGAAGACGAGCACCTCATACGCGGCCTTTGCGATGTCGAGCCCCCTCTTCTTCCACTCGGACTCGGACCACAGGTTCTGCAGCATGTTGTCGGCGACGAGCGTCACGATGAAGCGCGCGTAGTGGTCCTCGGCCGCCCAGCCCGTCTTGTCCGGGTGGTGGACGAGGAACTTTGCTTTCCGGACGTTGAGCGCCTCGCGCGCCGTCTGCGCCGTGCGGGTCTTGTCCGGCTCCGGGACCGAGCTGGGCCCGGCGCCGGTCGCCACCGCCCGAGAGAGGTAGTCGGCGTAGAACTCGTTCCAGGACCCGCGCACAAAGTGGCTGCCGAGCCAGGCGTGGAACGCTGCGGCGTCTTTGAAGGGGAGGAGCTCGAGGAGGAGGCGCTCGTGCTGCGAGGACACGCGGGAGGCCGACGGGTGTGGGAGCGGTGCGGCTGCGCCGGCAGCAGCGGCGACGACGGGCACCGGGGCGGGGATGGGTCGCGGTGCCATCCGGGGCGTTGGGGGCGGGGAGGCGAGGCGTTGGTAGGGGATGTTCTTCAAGGGGGAGGTGTAGGTCTGGGCTCGGTGTCTGCGCGGGCGGGGGATGCACATTTGAAGAGGACGAGGCTGGATGTCACAAGGCGGGAAGGGGCAGAGTGACCAAGGCAGCTGATGGGGATCAGATTGCGACGGGCTGGGTAGAGCGTGGCTGTACAGAGACATCGCGAGAGTCTGCCTGGTCGGCTCGGGAAGCTGACGCATATATGCCCCCCTCGAGTAGTGCCGGAACGGTCGCCGCCCGCCGAGTATGCCCACCGAGCACGCCCTGCATTCGGGGCGTCTCTTTGCTTTGACGTCGGTTCAGGCCCTCCCTCCCTCTACTCCCCTCCCCTTTTCTTTTCGGTGCTGCCTGTGGTGTTCTTTACGAAGTGACTGCGCATTTGGAGGGGGTGGCTTTCCAGGCAACAGAGCTGAAGGCCGGAGCCGGCGAATCACGGGCCTCTGCCCCGGGCCTCTGCTTACGGCGCTTACGCGGCTTGGGAGGGAGCCAAGAACGGGACGCGCAGCAGACGTCTTGTCGTCAGGATCAAAGCTGAGGGGTTTTTTTTTAAGTGGAAGAAACCCCTGTGGGAGCGCTAGTTGCATCCATATTGTACTTCGGAAACCCGTGCCGGGGTTTTCAATCGCGCGGTTTCGGGCTCGGAGTTGAGGCGATAATGTTCTACTTGCTCTTGGCCATCCCCGACTCGGACATTTGTTTGAGACGTTTACTTCCCTCCATCTAAGACGTACTGGTAGATTGTTGAAAGTCCCGGGGTGTAGATGGATGTTGCCCAGTTCTTGGCCGAGTCGTCTGCATCATGTCTGCACGGTCTTGTGTCGTTGCCTACGAGGCACTGGTATGCGATCAAGTCGCCACGTCTTTCCCCATCAACGGCCAATTATAGGCGATGATAGGGCAGCTCATCAAGAGGCTCCTTCGGACTCGCTCAAAATTGGGCCAGATCTTCAAAGAAGTCGTCGATGGACGGCTGTTCCTATAAGTTCTGCGGCGAAAAAGTATTGCTCATGTTCTGGCCAAGCGAATGTATTGTAGCGTCACCTCATTATGTTCCCCTTTGATGACCAAGTCTCTGAATACTATAAGTATCTACTTCACGGAAAGGATTATGTTCTGGCGGAGATGACTATCTCTAGCTTGGATGTGATGAACGCTTTGGACTTCTTGTGCCGCGTTGATTAAACCCCACTCTATTTCTTCTCCAGATCGTATAAGATCCGATTCCAAACCCGATACACTTTGTTCGAGTGAATTGCTTCTGGTCTGGGAGACGTTTCTTTAGTTCTGATGAAAAGCGTATACCGGCGTCTGAGTTGGTATATATATGTGCTGAATTGGGTTCTGCTCCACAGCGTAGAGGGCAAGGAGTATCATTAGCATGTGTGTACGGATGCTCCTAAGGACGCAACACTCCCCAGAACACCTGAATCCCTCCAGGGTCAACTTTAAGTGAACCAATAGGTCTAAATGCGTCGTTAAAGCATGAAAGGCGGCAAAAGGGGCCGATCCGCGGTTTGAACGCGGGACTCTTGCTGAACTTCGAGTGAACCCAAAGCAAGGATCTTACCACTTGACCAATCGGCCTGATTGTTCTTGTGTGTTTGTTAAAAGCTTCTGCCTCCGAATGCTTCAGGAAGGAACGGTTTGTGGCCGAAATGAACGGAAATGTGCAAGCTGGAAGGGGCGGGTGGCTGTGTGTTGATGTTGAGTCACCGGGCAAGAGGCCGTGGATGGGCCGGGCTCTGCTCACGATGCAAAGGGAACGCAGTCACGGAATGGGGTTTACACTTCTGGGTTTCCGATCAGAAAGCGAAAGTTCTTTGGAAAGTAGCAAGTAAAAATTTGGGCAAGATCAATTGCATAGCCAGTGTTTGCGTTCCCTTGATGAAGGCCAGTTTGCAGGATCGAACCTACGATGAGGACGACCTGCCAACTTCCCCTGTCTGAGTGCGCTGCACCTGTTCTTGAGAGACAAAGAGGGTACACATTCAACCATCCCAGTATGTTGCTGCCGTATCATACTTCATGGTCAAATGGGGTTTCCTTTCTCCAAGCAACCCAGAAGCACTTGAAGCTGGCCTCGTCATTCTTGCTTGCCTTGTTATGCCGTCGAAAATGTCCAGGAAGTATCAGATGTCAGTTGATACCAAGCATCGCAATGGCAGCTCCCGCCTGCTTTATGGGACTTTGGGCTTGGTTTCTCCCTGGTCCCATTCTCTCTTCATCCTCAATTGCTCCTCTCAAGCTTCGGTAGCCGTGTTACAATCTTCGAAGCAGCATCTCGCAACCGGTTGACGCTTCTGACAAAGTTCCAAGTGTGTATTTCGCTGCCCATCTGATCTTGAGTCCCCGCTGACTTTGATTAAACCAGGCACTTGCGGCTGCTTCAGATCATCAGCCTGCTCTGCTTCAAACTGCTTGATCCCGAATTCCAGCCATGCGGGAGCTTCCCCCCTTGCAACTGGACGGCATCGAGGCTGAGATGGCGCCCGACAACGCGCAGGCTGATGCTTCAAAGCAGTCGGACGAAGAGCCGAGTCAGTCCACGTTGCAGCCGCGCTCCAAGAGACAGAAGCAACGCCGCCGAATCAGATACCGCTTCCTCACTCCATCGGAATGGGCCATCGTCGCTCATGGTATTGGCGGCGTCAACGATACCGAAGGCCACATTGCACTCCATCCAACTTGCTGGTACTACCCACCCAAGGGCATTCCCAACGGTCTTTACCGAGACGTCGTATGGCACCGAACCAAGTACTTCTACATGTACCATGGCATGAGCTCTATTCGATGGGTCTCGTACATTCTGCAGATCATTTTTGGGGCCATCCTCACCGCAATCGGCTCCATGTCGTACAATAACGGCACTCCCATCACCATCATTGCGGCTGCAAACACTATAAATGCTGGCATTCTCGCACTCTTGCACAACAGCGGTTTGCCCGACCGCTACCGCTCCGACCAGGCGGAGTTCGACGAAGTTGAAGACCACCTCAAGAAGATCCTCGACACCGGAATCGTTCCTGAGGATATGTCTGTCGATCAAGCTCTTATCCATTGTTTTGATCTGTACCAGGAGGCCAAAAAGACCGTCTCTGCAAATATCCCAGCAACTTACACGCCTAGTTCAGTTCTGTCAGGTGGCCAGCAAGGCGGCGAGCCGCAGAAGCCGGGCACACCCGGACCAGCGACACCCAATGCAACCAACTCGGTCATCGCTACCAGGCTTTCAGTGGCTGCTCCCCAGACTGCTACCGAAGAGAAGTAGCATGAATAACAGCGCATCGAGTTGAGATCAGGAAGTCATTGGAGGCTTGTTTACTCTTGTTAAATTGCATTACATTTGGGCCAAGACGGGAATCGCTGGCGGTAATTCAGACGGGGGCTTGGGGTTATATCAGGCGTAGTAGATGATAGGGAACGTGTTTTAGTTAGACCAACATGAGCTACGAGATCAAAAGAAATCTCCACATGCATTGCGCCGAATTGGATTGCAGACGTGAAGTTGTGATGCCTGGGGAGAAAAGGGTCCATGGTGTAGCAAGCCTGGCATGGAAGAGCATGTCACCAGTGACTCACCGCCTTTGGCAGAATATTGGGACCCACTGAAATTTCTCTCGTGGACCAGCGGCAACCTTTGACTTCAGTGAGCCACATTGAAGTCGACCCAAATTTTTGTGACCCATTCACATGAAGTGACTTTATGTTGAAGCCGAACTTTCGGGGAGCATTTCGCCTGGCCACACGCCCTGCGAGCCGGCAGTTTCACAAACAGCTTCCATTGTCCAACTTCAAGTCACTCCGGTTAAGCGGCTTCTCAGTCATCCCTAGTCACCAGACTGTCTCAAGACCCAGTGCGCCTTTCATCAGATTCTGCAGCAATTCATCTGCTCAACCCAATAACACCGTCACCATGAGCGGAGAAGAGGCGGTCATCACCTACGATGGCAAGAACTACAAGGGAATAACGGAGGGCAAGGCCACCATCCTGGTCCCCGCCGAAGTCGAGCAGAAGGGTCAGCAGGTTTTTTACAACCCGATTCAGCAATTCAACCGAGACCTCTCTGTTCTCGCCATCAGAGCGTACGGTCAGGGGTTGTCGAGAGGAAGGCTGCGCAGGCCGCGCAGGTCGCCTCCAGGCGCAAGGACAAGAAGAGACGGAGGGGCGCTGCGGACGAGGGCGGCAACCGGCCAGCCAAGGTTCAGATCACGGACGACGGCAAGGCGGCTGAGACTACCAACGGCGACGCTCAGGCGGCAGAGCCCGAGAACGGTGCCAATGGCACCAGTGCGGCGGCCTCAGAGAAGGCTGCGGCTTCGACGACCGAGGCGCCCGCGACGTCTGCAGAGGCCAAGGACGGAAAGGCCGAAGGCGCGGGAAAGCCTGCCGCCGAGAAGTCGCCCCCTCGCTTTACCGTTTTGGACGCTTTGTCGGCCTCTGGTCTTCGTGCGCTGCGTTACTCGCACGAACTGCCCTTTGTCACTTCAGTGACGGCCAACGATCTCACCAAGAGCGCCATTGAATCAATCAAGCTGAACACGAAGCACAACGGCCTGGAAGACAAGATCCAGATGAGCCACGACGATGCCATCGCCCACATGTACCGGCGCATCGCGGACGATCTGACGAACCGGGACCGCTTTGGCAACCCCAGCAAGGAGAACAAGTACGACGCCATCGACCTGGACCCTTACGGAACCGCTGCGCCCTTCCTGGATGCCGCCGTCCAGGCCGTCAGGGATGACGGTGGTCTGCTTGCCGTTACTTGCACGGACGGTAGCCACTGGGCCGGCCACTGCTACGCCGAAAAGTGTTTCTCGCTGTACGGCGGTGCTCCCGTGAAGGGCCTGCATTCCCACGAAGTCGGCATCCGCCTCATCCTCCACGCCCTGACGAGCACCGCGGCGAAGTACGGTCTGACGATTGAGCCGCAGCTGTCCCTTTCGATTGACTTTTACTGCCGCGTCTTCGTCAAGGTGCGCAAGTCCAAGGACGCGGTCAACTACCAGGGCGGCAAAACGATGATCATGTACAACTGCCCGGGATGCTCGGCGTGGGAGACGCAGCCCATGGTCCGGACGCGGCCTGCCCCCAAGAAGAAGGAGGGCTACTTTTACAAGCACGGTCTGTCGCAGGGCCCCCCGACCGACTCACACTGCAGGCACTGCGGCTCGAGCATGCACATCGCGGGCCCGATGTACAGCGGCCCGCTGCACAACCCCGAGTTCATCCAAAGCATCCTTGATCTCCTGCCGACCGTCGACAAGAGCGTTTACCAGACGACCTCGAGAATAGAGGGCATGCTGCAGACGGCCCTGGAGGAGCACCTCCCCGGCCCGGAACCCGAGGAGGACCTCGACCCCAAGGACAAGGAGCTGGCGAGGGTGGACCATTACCCCTTCTTCGTCATGCCGTCCAGGCTGGCCGGCACGCTCAGCACGCAGCAGCCGCCGGACGACCTGTTCCGCGGCGCGCTCAAGCATCTCGGCTACCGCGTCACCCGCAGCCACTGCCGGCCCGGAAGCGTCAAGACGGACGCGCCTTGGGAGGCGATCTGGTTCGTCATGCGGGAGTGGGTGCGCCAGAAGGCGCCCGTCCGCACGGACCGCATCAACCCGCAGATGCCGGCGTACAAACTGCTCGGTCTCGACAAGGCGGCGAGCAACGGCGAGGCCAAGGAGGCCAAGGAGACCAACGCCGAGGCCCAAGAGGAGGCCGAGTCCAAGGAGGAGGCGGCGGCGGCTGTTCCGCAGGAGAAGCAGGCCCCCGCGGACGTTGAAATGAAGGAGGGGTCGGCGGAGGCCGAGATGACGGACAAGAGCGAGGAGGGCAAGCCGGCGTCTCAGGAGGAGCTGCGCAAGACGCTCGTGTTCGACGATAAGCTCGCGAAGCTCGGCAAGCGCAAGGAGCAGAGGAAGCTGGTCAGATACCAGATGAACCCGCGGGAGAACTGGGGCCCGATGACGAGGGCGAAGGGAGCGTGAGGGGGCAGGCGGAGAGGCATGGAAGGGGAAACAAGAGGCAAGGAAGCATGTCGAATTTAGTCGAGACGAGGGACCACAGAATACCAGAGATGAAAAATGTGCATTTGCGAGGTGCCTGTTCCTGTCGATCTGTCTGTTCGTTCTCGAGCTCAGACGCTGACCTGGTGCAGCCCAGTCCGGCCTCTCGAGACCCATCCATCCCTTGGCGGGCGTGTCTCCGTTGCGTCCCTTGCCGGAAAAATCACAGGCGTCAATGACGACATCCGCCCCCCCCCCCCCCCCCGCGGCCAAACCGTCTTCTTTTCGCTTGTCTCGTCGGGGCGCGGGCAGCTCTCAACCCCCTCCCCCCACCAAACGCACGAGGGTGGATGTCGCAGCCCGGATCCGCCGTCCGACAGGATACAAGATGCGATGCAGTGCCGTATAATCCACAATCGTGACCAAGATTATCCCAAATTAGGAAGTGGGTGGGATGGCCGAGTGGTCTAAGGCGACAGATTTAAGCTCTGTTACTCGTGAGAGTGCGCGGGTTCGAACCCCGCTCCCATCATTTTATGCTTTTGCTGTTGGTGTTGCGTGTGTTTGTTTGTCTTTGCTGGAAGAGGTTGGGTGATGCGACATGTTCTTTCTGGTTTGTCGTTCTTGTCGACTCCCGGGTCGTGTTTTGTGCTGGCTGGAAGGAAGTCTTGGGGGGGTGGTTCGTTGCTGCCAATTCCAAGTGCGGCCGGGGCGGGCCCCTGCGAGACATGATGCGCGGTGCGGACGTTCCGGCGGCGATTGGCCAGGTCGGTCCCCCGGGGTGGCAGCGGATGGGAGGCCACTGGGTTGCTGAGTTAGGGGTCCTGTGGTATCTCCCAGCGGCCAAGGGTCCTCCCTAAACTGCCGTGAGATGCCATATCTCTCTGCCCCGCAGCCGCGAAATAACGCAATCGCTGGGCGGATGACATACATACCTGGCACCCGGGACACGCCAATCTCACCCACACCTACCTACACCCACAGCACATGCACGACACGCAGTTTGTCTGGCAACAGCATGTCTGCTTACAATTTCCTCGTGAGGCAGCAGTACGACACCGCCGGCGCTTCCAGTGCATCCGGTTTTACTTCTCACCAAGCCAGCCAGGGACTGCAATAACGAACGGCCACCTGCCTGAAGCGGTCTCGCCTCGTTTCCCTCTGTCCCGCCCGTATCTCGACCCCAGAGGAGCGGCCTGGTTGGCTGTACCTTGGACCTTCCCGTCTTTCCGTAAGCGTCAGCTCGGCTGATTAACCGCTGGCTGACATCTACTCATACATCAACACCGCGCTGGAGTCGACAGAAGAGGCCCATGAGATACGATACTAGAAGGACCAGTCTGCGTGTTTGCATCAGCCCGTGATTCATCTCTTGCGACACCAATCGCCCGCCCAACATGGCGATCCTAGACGTCGCCGAGCCGCTGGGCTTTGAGCCCCGCGACCACGGCCTCGTGCCCCGCCGCGCCCACGACGCCGCCTTTGTCGACGGCAAGCTGACCTTCACCTCCCAGCGCGGCACCGAGTCCGTCCGCCCGGAGGAGGTTGTCTTCGTCATCCCCGCCCACAGAGACCTCGCCTCGAGCCCCATCATCTGCGCTCTCAGAGAGGACCCCGAGGCCAAGGAGTTCCCTTATCAGCTCGATATCCTCTTCGTCGAGGGCGACTTGCCCGCCGAGCTCACCGACGGCCTCTTGCTCTCGCAGTTCCCGGGGCACCTCAGCCCGAAGCCGGGCAGCCATGAGGTGCACTTTGTTGTGTCTACCAAGTCGGGCCTGGGCCACGCACCAAAGTTTTGGGAGGGCGTCGTCCAGCCCTTGGTCCTCCTTGCTGGTCAGAAAACGTCCGGCGGCCAGTCTTTGACTTTTACTTCAGAACCACCCACCCGGCATGGAGATGATGGCAAGCCCAGATACAACCTCCTGGTGACCACGGATGCAGACAGCGTCCGCACCTTTGCGAAAGAGAGGTGGGCCGCGAGACAGCAAATCTCGTCGAGCGAGGCCTCCCCTGCCAGGACAGAGACCATTATTCTCCTGAGCGGCGACGGAGGCGTCGTCGATCTCCTCAACGGATGCGAGGAGACGGACTCCACAACCGCGCTGCCGACCCTCGCCCTCCTGCCGCTGGGCACCGGCAACGCCGCCTTCCACTCCCTTCACAAGCCGCTGTACACCGAGACGGGCCCCTCGCACATGGTCCTCGGCCTCCGCACCCTCTTCTTCGGCGTCCCGGCCCCGCTCCCGGCCTTCCGCGCCTCCTTCTCTCCGGGTTCCAGGCTGGTCTCCTACACGGCGGACCCGGGCGCCCACGCCCCCGAGGACGTGTCCCGCCACGACACGAGCGTGGACCACCTCTTTGGCGCCATCGTCGCCAGCTACGGCTTCCACGCGCAGCTCGTCTGGGAGAGCGACACGCCCGAGTACCGCAAGCACGGCGACAAGCGGTTCGGCATGGTGGCCCAGGAGCTGCTAAAGGAAAGCCACGCCTACGCCGCCAAGGTGGAGGTGCGCGGGCCGGACGGCGTCACGCGGGCCGTCGAGAGGGAAAAGTTCGCCTACGCGCTCGCGGCGCTCGTGTCGAACCTGGAGAAGACGTTCACCATCTCCCCCGGCAGCGGGCCGCTGCAGGGCCGGCTGAAGCTGGTGCATTTCGGCGCCGTCGGCGGGGAGAAGACGATGGAGATCATGATGGCGGCGTACAAGCAGGGCTCGCACGTCGGCATGCGCTGGACGGACGCCGAGGGCAAGGAGGACTACCTCGGGTACGAGGACGCCGAGGAGGTGCGGGTGACGACCGGGGAGAGCGATCCGCGGTGGAGGAAGGTCTGCATCGACGGGACGATTGTCGAGATTCCCGAGGGCGGGTGGATGGCTGTGTCCAAGCTGGAGAGGCCGCTGTTCAGGGTCCTTGCTGAGCGGTCGATATTGTAGACGAGGGGGGTTTGCGAAACTGCTGGCGCCTGCGAGGCGCGGGTCGTAACGAATGATGATGGGGGTGCTGGGCAGTACATCTCGGCGGCGATGACTTGACGCTTTTCTCTTTCCCACGGATAATAGACTATGACAGGTTGAAGACTGGTTCGATTATTAACGGCCTCGCTAGAAAACGACCTTGTTAGCGATGATTTGTTTGTTGTTTTTCATCATTGTCATTGGGAGTTGCAATCGATCGGGTCTGCTCTTGGTGAAACTGAACACTGCGACGTAGAGACGGGGAAATCGTAATTTCGGTTTGGGAGGGGTTTCGTTTGACTGTGTCGCAGGTAAATAGTGATCGTGCTTTGGGTATCTTTCCTGGTGGTAATCTTTACTAGAGGAAGAGCGTCAAAGGACGTCAAAGCGGCATGTATATATAGTCCTCAGCAAAGCACTGATTCAATCTCATGTCTAAGGCCAGTACGACAACGGCAGAGCGTATTTGGGGATGAGACAACGGGATAAAAGACGACTTGGCATGTTTGGCACGATGAAAGGCAGCAAGGCATTGTGTGATGGTGTTTGATTGATTATTACACATTATCAAGCAATCGATTCCCACTTGGTCCTCAACGCCTCCATCGTTGGACCAACACTCAACCGCACTCTATCCACTCATCTCAATCTCTATACCAACCTTGCGACTGTTCCTCAGCTCTCTGGCTGAAGCCATCACCAGTTTTAGTACACGGAAACAGTCAATCTCATTGCAATCCCAAGCCAGTTTCCGTTCATCTCAACGCCCTGAGACGCGTTTGAATGCGTAGTACGTAGCTCCTGATTCTCATGCTCCTATTTGTGTTGGTTGTGTTGTCGGCTTGTATTGATAACCACAGCCGTAGTTGCATGTTCCCATAGTTCGCTGTACGGCCCGTTTGGCAGCCACACAGCCCCGGTGCCTGCGCAGATCATGAGTCTACCGCAGCACGGTCGAGGGCCTGCCTCCTCTACGAGAAGGACAGCTCGTTGACGTTGGCGCAGGCGAGCTGGCCAAACTCGTTGTGCGTCGCCTCCCACCACGCGGAGCCGACCATGCCAACGTTGCAAAACGACGAGGCGGTGAAGTGCCACACGAGGACGCCCTTCATGTCGTCGTGCTCGCGGCACGTCGCCCCCGAGGACGCGGCGCAGCCCGAGTGGCGGCGCAGGCTGCTCCATAGGTCGCCGCACGTCTTGGCGATGTCCGGGACGGACTCGAGGCCGGGGTTGGTCATGACCGAGTAGGTGTGGGCGACGTCCAGGGGGAGCGCGCGGTGCTGGCAGATGGCCTTGTGGTCGTGCTGGGTGAAGGGGATCCTTTCCGCGTCCTTTTCGTCCGTGTTTGGGACTGGGGCGCGGACGGAGAGGGTGGATGTGGCGTTGAGGTCCTCGGGGAAGGGGACGGGCACCATATTCTTGGGGATGGGTGCCGGGGCGGCGTTGCCGCCAGAGGCGAGGCCGAGGACGGCGATGAAGATGCTGGTTGTGAACTTCATTGTGATGTTTGAAGTTGAAAGGATTGTATGTTTGTTTGTTTGTTTATTGTGGGAAGGTATTGGGTAGTTGTGTGATGGATTAGATTGGGATCTGTGTGTGTATGTTTGTATGGGTTTATGGGGCAGTAGAATTTGAAGTGATGAATGTGTATTGTCAGAGTATGATGATGATGAAAGAAAGAGAAATGGACTTTCATGGGAGAAGAGGTACTTTCTTGTACTGTAATCGTCAACCTTTCTCCGAAAGAGACTGATCTTGGGCCCTAGGGCTCATCACGGAGCTGGAAAATTTTCATGGTTCGCCAAGTGGCTTGGTCATTGTCCAAATGGTGTGCTCAAAATCCTTTCCATGGGATGTTAGACCGGAGAAAGGGGGCTGGCGCAAGTCTACCGCGGCCGTTGGGAAGGTTTCCGGCATCGAACCAACGGAAGCATGGCTGTCGACTTTAAACTCGAGGGCTCAACTGGAGATAACCGTGGCCAGGCATTGGTTTACCGGGTGTACTTGGATGCAAGACGTGTAAGGCGGTTGGAACTGGATATCATTTGTGAACCAAATCTGAAGCATACATGGTTCAACGTCAAGTCCGGAAGGCCTTTCGCAGGAAAACAGCTGTCAGAGACTAATTAATCCTCAGATGTTGAGGACTATCGAATCAATCCGTTGCTCACCACCTGGGTTCCGACTTTGGCAAAATCTCATTTCAGATTGTACACAGATAACCAGAAAGTAAGAGGGAAAACTCAATCTTCTCATAGCACTCCAAGTCGAGGATAGTATGGGCAATGATGGCTTCGTGATTTAAATCCCAGCAGGCTTCCGAGCCTCGTACCCTATAAACGGACCCAAGAGTAGTATTTGGTAGAAGAAAAGTCTGCTATTCAAGAGAAAGCATGATGCCTAGGTTGATGTGAGTAGACACGTTACCAGGATGTATCTGACAAAAACGATTGCATGCCCTACTCGCGCGCCTCAGCTGGCTCCCAAGTCATCATCGTACGTCTCGAAACTGGTGCCTTTCCGCTTCTTTTCCTGTGTTCTGGGCTTCTTATCTCACGAGTACATAAAATTTAAACAACAGGCGCGTGAGGAGACTTACATAAGCTTAGTGTTATAAAAAAAGACCACCGATTAGAGGCGAAACCAAGCCGTAGAATAAACAATTGCAGTGTATGAAGGGTTGATGCAGCATCCACATCTGGTCTCGACTAATAGATCTTTCACTGGTTGACTTCTTGCTCTCCATAAATGTGCAAACACACCTGTATAGTGTGCCCGATGATCGAATATACTGTGTCTCCTCGATCAGCTTTGAAGTTGTAGTATGGTGCACCTAATTGTGGGAATGAAGACATGAACTACGCATCTTGTTTCTAGCTTATCCATTTCACGAAAACCACCGTTGATCGATTCTGGTGCCACTTCGATTCTGCAGAGTACATTGGTTCACAGCTGTGAAAAGGTGCGAAATTGCAGAGGCTTTGACATGCAATTGCAGTCTTATGTGTTGTAAGTCATGGCCGACTACCGTCAAACTGGCTGTGTGCTATGGTAGTGCAGCCTCACAACGTCACACCCTCTGATAACAACGTCTAGAGCGACAGGACAGACAGGCTCTCGGTCAGTCAACCAAAAACTGGCCACTTCCTTAGAAGCCGTCAGCAAAGCGAACCATAACCAAACACCAAAGCAGATATCAGTCCCTAGAGTTGGTGTTGAAACCCTTGTCCCAATTGCAGCCGTCATCAACCAGCAATGACGAACCAAGAAATCCTACGCCTCAGCCCAGGTGTTGAACGTGCCGGCGAGGCCACTTTCCAGGCCCAAAGACCCATATCTTAAGCCTCGGGCCGGTTCTTCTTCATCAACATCGTCATGGCGGCGACAATGACAGGTATCACGCTGACCATCTCACCCAAGCCCGCGTAAGCAGGGGGATGCTAAACTTGACGGGGACAAACGCCCCTCCTGCAAGCAAAATCGCGAGCACGTTGTACACGGCTGACCAGACAAAGTTGAAGACCATGCGGTGGAAACTGGCACGGCTCACATCGAGCACGAAAGGGATGCCTTCGAGACCTGCAAGAAGAATCACGTCGGCGGCTCCACGAGTAACATCGCTGGCTGAAGCTGCGCTGCCTAGTTGCACGCCCACGTCGGCTTGTGTAACAGCCACCGCGTCGTTGGTACCGTCACCGACGAACATGACAAGCCTACCCTCAGACATAAGCGAGGCGACATATTCTCGCTTCTGAGCCGGGGTTCGCTGAGACGCCACATTGTGAATTCCGACCTGAGCGGCAACGGACTCGACTGCACGCTTTTGATCGCCAGAGACGAGATGTACAGCAATGTTGCGACGAGCAAGCTGCGCAATAATTCTAGTTGCCTCCGGACGGAGATGGGTACGCAACCCGAACAGAGCGATGGGGCTACCGTCGCGAGTGACCACCAGGATAGTCATGCCTGCATCTTGGAAACGGGTAACGGAGGGTAAGGAGTTGGTCTTGGTCCAAGATGGGTTTCCAGCGCAGACGATGTGACCACCTAGAGTGGCTTCGACCCCGGCACCTGGAATAACGCGAGGGTCGGAGACCTTAACTTCGGGGGTTGCGCGTGAAGCAAGGTGCTTGGCAATGGCGACAGATACCGGATGCTTGTTGCCTGCGACCAAAGCCTTGGTAATGGCACGAGCTTCGTCCTGGTCCAGGAGTAGAATTTCTTCTTCTAGAACGTCCAGGTCTCCTTCTGTGATGGTACCAGTCTTGTCAAATACAACGTCGCTGACTTTACGAGCCATTTCCGTGCACTCGGCCGATTTGATGATTACGCCTCCTCTAGCAGCGATACCGCCAGCGACAACCAACACCATCGGAACCGCAAGACCGAGAGCACAAGGACAAGAGACGGCGAGAACAGCAATTGCGTAGGTAATTGCCTGGGCAACTGCCTTTCCAGCCGGTTGTTGGCGAATCTTGACGCCGATTATGACCCATGTAACAATGACAACAATAGCGACGGAGGTAACGACGGGAACAAACCAGCTGGCCACACGATCGGCAATGTTCTGTATTCTTGGCTTCGAGTTGGCCGCTTCCTCGACGAGCTCCGCGATGTCAGTGACGGTGTTCTTACCAGGAAGACGTGTCAGTTGTGCCACCAGTGTTCCTGAGCCGTTGATGGTTCCCGCAATGACGGTATCGCGCTGCTTCTTGAAGACAGGGATGCTCTCGCCCGTCAACATAGACTCATCGACCTCGCTAGAACCGTTCACGACCAAACCGTCGGTAGGCACAGTCGAGTGTGGGAGGATCTTGAACTTGTCGCCATACTGGAGGAGACGAGCATCAATCTCAACATCCTTTCCGTTTTCCACAATGACAGCATTGGCAGCCTGGAGTGAGCGAAGTGAAACAGCTGCAACGGCACGGATACGTGCGAAAGCAGCAGTAAGGCGACCAAGAAGTACAAGAGTGATGAGTAGAGTGCTTGTCTCAAAGAACTCTCGGGGATCCAGAGGCCGATCCATCATGTGGAAACAGAATCCCACGACCGAGTAGACATAGGCGGCAGTAATGCTGATGACGACCAGCATGTCCATTTCGACAGCACCACTGTGCACGAGTGAAGAAATGGCTGGTTTGTAAAAGTCCGGGACAGCAATGAGTTGGACAAGTGTCGCAAGAACAATTGAAACAGTCGAGCGCGTCTTCGGTTCAAGCTTTTCGCCCCAAGCGAGAACAATGACAGGAATAGTGAGAGCTGCGGAGAGAGCCGTTTTGATCAGTTGATCGTACATCCTCTTTCTTCCGCTCGCGATGGCGGGGTCGTCACAGGGTGGAGCTAGTCCTGCTGTGAGCGGTCCGACCTTGTCAAGGAGAGTTCGAGCTCCAATGACAGCCGGGTCGTAAGTGATCCTGACCATCTTCTTGTCAACGATGCTAACCTCATTGACACCCACAATCGCCAGATCGGTCAAGTTCTTAGCTGCCGCACCTGAAGCGAGAATATCGAGCGTCTGATTATCGCTAGACATTCGGGTGCAATGAAAGCCAGTGGCTCGTTCCGTGTTGCGGATAATATCCTCAGCTTTGCCTGCAGCGCCGTCGAACATAAATTCGGCGTTGCCCATGACGAAGTTGACGCGTACGCCAGACACACCAAGAGCCGCCTTGAGCGTTCGTTCAAGCTTGTTCCCGCATCCAGAACAAGTCATGCCATCGACGACGAGAGCGACGTGCTCCAGCTCGGCATTTTTCTCAATATCCTTCTCCGTAGCTCGTGACAGGGCTGCTGATCTTTTCGCAATCGTGGAGGGAAGGTTGAGGTCGTGTCCGCTGCAGCAGTCAGACTGGTCGTCTCGAACGAGCTTGATAGCCATGTCATGATCGTGCGTGGAGTCCGATTTTTTGCCGCGCCGCTTAACGCCGTGGTGATGGTGATGCTTATGTTGATTGTGAGCATGGGCGGTCGTTTGCGCCTCAACACGCGCACGGCGGGGCTTCTCGGCGGCAAAAGGAGTCACGAGCGCAGCAGCGGTAGCGGGTTGCCGCTCGCTGCAACAAGTGGTCGGCAAGCCGTGATCGAGAATGCTACGACAGATGCAACGAGCCGACTCAAGATAGGCGCTGTACTGCTCAAACGCCTTGGAGAGGTGGGTGCTGCAAGCTGAGGCCGGGTGATGACCGTCCTTGTCGTGGACATGTTGGTGGTCGGCGGCACCTAGGAGCGTAAGTCTCAAGACGGACTGACTGGGTTTAGGATGTTGCGTACCGTCATGTGCGGCATCGTTGTCGCAAGTTTTCTCACACTCGACGGCGGCAGCGGCGATGATGCACTTTTCTATGACATAGCGTCAGCCAAAGAGCACATGTTATTTGCATTTATCACATACCGTCACAGTGCTCTTCCTTGGATGTACAGCACTCGAGCTTGATAGCGCGGCTTGTAGAGTCATCTTCGGAGTCGCAGTAGGTTTCTTCGTTACAGTTCTCGTCAAGGCAGGGCAGGACTTCAGCACCATCGCAATCCTCGTCACCAGCGCAACAGTCATCAATTGCGGAGTCGTGGCCGTGTCCGTGAGCATGTCCATGATTAACCTCGGTTGCAGGGCCAGCACACCCTTGGTCCTTGACAGGCTCATCGGAGCAACATCCGGAGCCCATCTTGTCGCGATAAAACTGATTTCTTTGATAATTCTGTTGAGCAGAGGCGAGTAACGAAAGGAAAAGGAACGATGTTGGATATGTTGGGTGGAAGTGAGTTGTTTGCTTCCAAACTGGCAGCGACGTTACTCTTGCATAGACGTCAGAGGCAGACGCGTTTCGACGCCGATGGGGTACCTGCTGCAGAGGTTACAGCAGGAGATGTGACTGTTTCGGCAGTTATCGTCCCGCGTCGGATACCCCCTTGCCAGCAATTTTGCAACCGTGGCTGCCATTCGTTCTTTGCTTCTTCTGTATCCATTCTGCTTACTTTGGCGTTCCGGGAGCACTATGATGCGAATCGCCAAATGAGAAGTACGCAAGACGGTCACTTGCGCAATTCTCACATTTCCGTCGAGTAATCATCATCTCTAAAGAATATACCTAACAAAGAAAGAGGAAGAACAAAAGTAAAATATGAAAAGATAGATATAGTCAGAGCCCCCCACTTTCATTAACTCCGGGGACAAACGATCTACGGGCTCGTGGCCAAGGACGGGATGTGCCACTTCGGATGGACCTTACCAAAAGCTGAACCAAGCTGCCGGGGTTTGACAAAGACTTCAAATGAAGCTTCAACGTGGCAATTGAGTGTGGAGTTCTGCCAAGATGTTCTTTCGGCCCCATCCGATCTGAACGTTGGAAACTTTGCGTACACTAGCGATGAGGGAATTAACGAAGCGATCAAGATCGTCTGCAGCTTGTCTGATCTACTTGACTGACGTTTCAGCCGGAAATTGATCGGCGAAAGCAGTTCTACGGGGGGATGTGATCGGTTAGGTAGCTGCATGTAGTAACCCCTAAAGAGTCACAGCAAGATAGGCTGAGAGGACTCTAAATGCAACGTTGCTAACAATTCGGCAGGGAAACCAGATATAGATTTTCCTTCTAATAAATCTCTGAGTCCTGCCAGAATCCTAATCCTCTAGGCGCCACTATCATTAGGTATGCAAAACGTCAAAGACTGCCGCCCTCCTCTATTGCCTATTAATCACAACATGGTATCTTGTCCCCGAGTACACAATGGTATCATATACAAAGAAAAGACAGCAGAACCGCCCGCTCAAAACGCCACCGCGTAGTTAGTCCTTCCAGAACCACTGGCATCATTTTCCTTCCCAAACATAGTGACGCGCTCCAGCGGCGGCTCATCCGCTCTGGTGGCGAGAGTGCTGCCTGGCGACCATGTTGTCGGGACTGTCTGACCTCCGTCTTCCGACTCCCATGTCGACACAGTCGACTTTGTGTCGCAGCTCATGCGCTCGCCCCGCGGCACATGAACACATTGGTAGAAACCCTCGCGGCCCTTGACGGGTCGTGGAAGATTAGTGATGGAGTCGTGGCTGATGCTCCGTTGATGGTGCGGTCCTGCTGCACCGCTGGGGAACAACCAGCTGGAGACGCGCGAAAAAGATTTCTTCTTTCGCAACGGAGGGCGTAGAACGAGTGGCAGGGGCGGGGGTGGGGGCCGGATCTCCCTGCCGCGGCTTGGTGGTGGTGTGAGGAATGCCCCGGAGGCGTCCGTGAAAGCCATACCGCCGTGGGATATGTATACCGGTGGCCGGGGTGGTGCTGTGTGAGGCCGCTCGGCCCCGGGGTTCAGGCGTTCGGCGAACGATGGCGCACTAGGCGGCAAGGCGGGGACCGTGGGTATGGGTTCCTCGTCTACACTTGTCAGCACCCTCTAGGCTGCTAATTTTGGATCTTCGTATAAGCTTACCGTGCACCGTCTTTGCCATCGAATGAGCTGTCGAAGGTCGACTGCTGATGTAAATGCTCTGACGTTCCATGACTAAGTCAATCTCGCGCTGGAGCTTATCGACCTCCAGCATGGCGCTAGCAATCCGCTCCTTCATCCTCTCCGTGCTGGCAGATGTCTGGGACCGAGCCCTTGACTTTGGTGGGATTTTTGGCGGTGTGTCGCTCGCCGTGGTTGATGGTGACGCCGACATCTTTCGGGGTAGGTGAAACGACATGGGCGAGTATTTGGGTTCATGTGAAGGCCCGAAGACATCGTCATCCGGGTTCGGCTGGATTTGAGCAGGCGGCGGCGGCGTCATCATATCGAAGTGCGGTAAGATCGGCGACAGCGACCTTTTAGACACGTATATGCTGAGTTCGAGCGGTCTGAATGATGAAGGGCGAGACCGTGGCAGAGGACGTGGTGGAGGAGTCCTACCAACGTGCTGGAGGTTCGTATATTGGGGGAATTGAAAAGACTCGGAATGAAGATGGCGGAAGTTAGTGGGAGCCGATATTTGTAGCCGTCGCGATGACATGTCTGAGCGAGATCGCTTTCTCACAGAGAATCGCTCCCGGAGCGATGCGAAAGTCCGCTTTACTCCCTTGGGCTTCTCCTGCACATGAGGACGAGTTCCGGCTGGCTTCTGCATCGTTCCAGCGAAAGGCGGCGGCACGGGCACGGGCTGTGTGCGGGTTACGGTGCTTGGCGGTTTCTCAGAAATGGCGAGGTTGTCTGAGCGGCCTGGTTAGTGTCCGGTGTATGATATGGGTTCGACGGACCTGACGACTCACTTTGACGCGGCTTCTCGTCCAGAAAGGTAGACAACGGAGCGCAGCAGTTGGTGAGGGGCGAAAGCCATGTCGCATAGGCGTCTGCAAGCATGCCACTCAAGCCCTTCATACCTGCTTTAGAAGATGCTTCATGCCGGACAAATGTTGGAGACGAGGGGGAAAAGGATCAAAACGAGGGACGGCCAGCGATTTGACAGAACGAAAGAAAAGAGAAGATGCAGGGTGGGCGGGCGACAAAGCATATAGATCGAGCGACCCGATTAAGTTATAAGAGTTGGTAGCGGATGGCGAACGTCTAGTAGTAAGGTAGGCAATATGATGTGAGAAGAGCGAGCCCACTTAGGCGTGGCCGGGCTTCTTTTTTCGTTGCTTGCGTCTTGAATCCCAATTCCCACTTTGGGCCAGAGATTTCACTCAAGTACTTTGCTTAATAGGTCCAGCTGAGAGAAAGAGAGGACATGGAGGGACAAGGGCATGTCCATTGTCGGCGAGGTGTGCAGTCAAGATGCAGAAGGGCGGTTCTGATAGGCCGGGGCTGCAAACGGGGCCAGACACGGCCGGCCAACCGGCGCTTAGGAAGCTGGGGTGTAGTCGGATTCGGATGGCTGGCGCTACACCCACATCCTGCACCAGATTGCAGGAGCTCCACCAGTCGTGTAAGATGAAAACGATGGCTCAGCGAGTCGATGTCTCACCTCTGCCTTGCTCTGGTTACTCGAAGCCGGCTTGACCAGCAGCTGCTTGCCACAAGTGCCCTCCAGAGGGAGGGCCTCGTGCCAGTCATGAGCCATCATGTTGTGGTGTCCGTCACCGCCCCTTGTCATCTCTTATTTCCGCGAACCCTTTATCGAAGAATGTTGACAAACGGAGCCACTGCTGAACGATATTTCGAAACTCTGCGTGCGTGTTTCTAGTCGGGCAACAATAACAGATGGAATAGCCAATCACTGCGACGTTGCCGTTTGTCTGCCCAAAAGGAATCCCGCAATCCCGGCCACCCGGTGACATGTCCAAACATGAGCGGACGGGAAGCAATGAGAAGTCATTGGGATATGCATGCAAGGCACCGCAGGTGGCATGGGGGGAAACGCGGGAAGCCTACTTGCGGATGGGGATGCATTGTGCCGTCACAAAATCCAACGTAGCCCTGCTTGTCTGCTATTGCGGGCCACCATCACCGTTGAATGGTCGTACGGCGAGGGCGAAGCCGATGGACTACAAATGATAGATGGTGCCGTGTGTGGGTAGACAAGAAAGAGGGTGGTGTGCACCACTCCGCTCCGCGCTGTTTTTCTTTGGTTCGAAGCAAAGCCCCTGGGCAATCAGCGTCACTTGATGTCGGCTGCGATGATTATCACCGTGGTGGTTGCAGCCGCCCGGAAGATGAAAAGGAAGAGGTCTCCGACGGTGATGATGACTCGCGACGAACAAAATTAGTGTCCATGAATCGTTGCTGATTTTTGTGGCGGAGTTCTCGTCATCATCTGGTGTGAAGAAAACTAATGGACGAGAGACTTCGGCAGAGTTTCTCATGTTACTCTAGCGCAGTCAAAATGTCTCGGACAAACCGCCACAATGCTGAGGAAGAGAGCGCCGAGGAGGGGCTGCATGCGGTTGAGGGGGGCAGCCGCTTACATAAGAGAAGGGTGTCCTTCGCTTACATCATCGTGTATGGTCATGTGACAGAGCCAGTGACTGGCTGACCTCATCGCCGTTGGACGGAAGTGGAATGGATTTGAGTGTGGTCTTAGCGTCCGTAGTCACTTTATCGATAAGAAGGACGGATGTCGGAGAAAGAGGGTGCCGAATGTAACAAGATACAGTTAAGGCGGCGGAAGCACCTGTACCCCTGCACGGATTTTTTGGACCAGAAGTGAACACCTGGCTTGCTTGCTGGTCACTTTTGTTCAAAGACCCAGAGGCCCACGACCACTGCAGCTCTGACGACCAAACTCACGTTCACCCAACAAAACCAGATCCCTCCTTCCGGGCTATTGTTGTCGCTGTCGTCGTTGGACTCCTTCAAACCGCCCGACATCTTGACAAGGACAAACAGAGTTCCTCCCTACGTCTTTCTAAAACACTGGTTGCCTTCGGCACTAGCTCACATCCAAGATGTCGATGCCAATGCCCGGCCCCATGCAGATGGGCCCCAACGGGCAGCCCATGCCCTCGCCTGAGCAGATCGCGGCCATGCGCAGACAAATAGAGGCCGATGCCGCGAAGGCTGGCATGAGTGTCCCCGACTTCCTCAACCATCTCCGACAGCAAGCTATGCAGCAGCAGCAGCAGCAGGCGCGTCTCGCGCAGCAGCAGCAGGGCGGCGAGGTCGGTGGAGAGGCCGAGCATGGTCACGATCATGAGCATGGCCCTGGCCACCAGCACCCTCACCCTCAACAGCAGCAGCAGGCGCAAGGCCAGCCTCAGCCCATCCGGCCTGGTCCCCCAAACCCCGTTGCGCTGGCACTCGCTAGCTTCCTGCGCAGCCAGGACCTGAAGCCGCGTACTTGTATCCTTAACGGGGAGCGTAAAGACATGTTCAAGGGTGAGTACCCTGCAATCGCTTTACAGGTGTCGATAGCGACATGCTAATGATCGGGCCATAGTCAAGCGAGCGCTGCGCGCTCTCCAGTCCCCCGCCTACGAGAAGGCGCGCAAGAAGAACCCCGCCCTTCCCGAGATCACCGACCGTGCCTCTCTCGAGAATACCTTCAAGCTGCTCCCCATGTCGATGCTTGCTCTGCGCGTAACCAAGGCCGACCCCCACGAAGGCCACGACCACGGTCCGAAGAAGACGAAGCGCATCAAGGGTCTTTGGACCGTTCGCATCGAACCTCAGCAAGAAGCCAAGGAGGAGATGTACTACGCGTGGTTTTGGGAGGGAAGCCAGGTCAAGCGCAAGCTTTACTCAATTCTCGCCCTGGTCCTGATCTTCATCGTCGTCTGCTACCCTCTCTGGCCCCTCAAGCTCCGTCTTGGTGTCTACTACCTTAGTTGGGGGTTCCTTGGCCTGCTTGGTCTGTTCTTCCTCATGGCCATCTTCCGTGTTATTCTCTTTTGCATCACCTACTTTGTCGCATCGCCCGGTCTCTGGCTGTTCCCCAATCTTTGGGAGGATGTTTCCTTCGTCGACAGCTTCAAGCCCGTTTGGGCCTGGCACGATGTAAGTTCACCCAACGCGCCCGGGGATCATATTTCGAATATCGCTGACAAACAACAGACTGCTCCTAAGAAGGGCAAGAAGAAGAAGTCCGCGTCCTCTGGTGCTGCGAACGCTAGTGGCACTTTCGCTGCTTCCACCGGTCAACCTCTCCCAGCTTCTGCGACTACGACCGCGACAGAGACTCAGATTGCGTCCCAGCCATCGCAGCGCCCCGGCTACGTCGCGCCAGCCGTGGAGGAGCTGGGTGATGAGGAGTAGATGAATTTCTTTTGGAGGTGGAAATCCGCATCACACAGGCGTTGGGGGCTTTATCGGTTGAAGGGCTGTTCTAGTAGATACATACAGCGTCCAGCATGCTGCTAGCTGGGTTCGGGAGGTAAAAATTTCCCACCTTGGTACATGGCATTGGTCAAGTTGGTTCTTTATTTAAAGTACTTGATGGAACCAGAAAAAGTTATGGTGCCTCTCCTCATGATGGAGATGACTTGGAGCGAATGTGACCTGGACAAGTGTGGCAACTACCATCGTAGATGAACCTGGCTATCTAGGCGCAGTACATATTACTCTCATATTACTCGTTTATACTACCTAGTTTCTTGTCTACTGCACTGATCCCTCGGCACGCTCGTAGTACCAAACAGCGCCCTCTGTCGTCGCGCAGTTCGACACGCGGCCACCATTGATATCAGCAGCGACAGGGACACTGTCACCTCGCTGGGGCTTGCCGTAGACATGGAAGTAGTACCAGGCCTCGCTGAGCTGAGTGTACCCGTTGTCGAGTGAACCCTTACCAGCCTCAGTGGCGTTGTACCGGGGGCCGGAGCACCCAATGTACGGGACCGCGCCGTGGCCCGCCTTGAGAGCGGCCTGGAGGTCGGTAAGGGAGTAGGCGGTCGCGTTGGAAGGTGTGATGGCCTTGTCAGCAAGCCATTTCCAGGTCGGGGTCTCCTGGTAGTAGTGGACGGCGGTCTCAAGGAAGTCGACAATCTCCTCGTGCTCCTGGTACTTCGGGCCGTAACACTCAACATCGAAGGTGCTGAAGCAGGTGGCGTGCTTGGAGAACTCGTGGGCCCAGAGGAACCAATTGGGGGTGTACTGAGCGATCCAGAACCTGAAAACGTTAACATTTGGCTTAGTAATTGAAGTTCGAAAAAGGGGGCTTACTTGTTCATGTATTCCAACAGATCGAACCTCTCAAACGGCTTGACGAATGCGTCGAAAGACGAGCCGTTCCATGCCGGCACCGGGGTGCCGTTTGCCGTCCCGGTCGTGGTGTTCGGGGAGGGAACTGGGTCATACTGGCGACTCAGATCGCAGTACTGCGTGTAGGAGCCGTTGCAGAAGTCGGGCCACAAGCCGTGGATGCCCCATGCATCTTGAGGAAGCTTCTGGCCCTGGGACTCAAGACCGGTGTGTGTGTTCCAGAACTGGGTTGCGAGCTATGAAGATGAACCGTTATTTTCAGGTTCGCTCATGACTTAAAAGATCACATACAACAAGACCGCCGTACGTCTCCACGCAGCAGGTGTCGACCTTGTCAGGGTTCGCTCCACAAGAGCAGGACAGAACCGGCTCGACTGGAGATGGGAATGTTAGCAAAGTCCACAATTCTCAGTAAACTACTCTATTCGTACCAAGAGTGCAAGTATGGTTGGCGGTAGTCAACCCCGGGTAGAGACCGGCAGCAGCGGTGCGCAGGAGGCCGGCGGCCGCAAGGAGACCAATCGTCCGAGACATTTGGATTGACGTATCTGGAACTTCTGACGAGGACGGCGGGATCAGAGGCAAGGACGACAACAAATCGCCGTGCTGTCAAGCAGAGCAGCGTCGGGACGCTTTATATGACCTCGGCCCTACATGTTGCAAGCTAAAAAAAAATGTTGCCCTGCATCATCATCCAATCTCCACACGGGAAACGACGTAAACACTGTTGGAAATGCTCTTGGCTTGAAGAGGAAGCTGGCCAAATTGGTGAACAGTAGAAATCGGCCATTCATGCCGTCGGACAGGGCTTTGTGGGGCTAAGATACCACCTGCTCGAGATACGGGACGTGAGAGGTCAATTGGGCGCGGGGCGATAGTCGGGTGTGGTTCGCAGAGTCCAAAGGCTCAGGTCCAGAGGAGCGGGTGCAGTAGCGCAATGCCACTTGCAAGCATCCGCTAGGCAAGGGACGGGTCCTGCGGTGAACTCATTAGGAAATATTACCGTTAACTACGGCGAGCTCCGAGGACAAGGCCTTGGAATTGCCTGCGAACATGACAGTGTTTCTGGGGTTTAGTTCCGCTTTCAATCGAGCGTCGAGCTCGGTCAGAGCATCAGTAGGTATGAAAAGGAAAAGATGGGAATCCTAGTCGCCAACTGTTGATGGAAGATGACAGGTGGGGCTTTCGGAGAACCTTAAAATCCTAGGTCTCTTTGGTGAGAGGCAAGTGGCTGTGCAGGCCGAACCTTAACGGCAGCTGTGGCGGAAGCTGCCCCTCCTTGAACACGTGAACAATGGGCCTGAGGAAGCTCCTGCACAGGCCACATCAGTCACGCGGAGCCACAGCAGATGCAGTCGTTTCATACCTTACCTGCTTCATTCTCAAGGTTGAGCGTGTTGGGCAAGAGTGTCCCAGGGAGATATTTTCAGCCACGCACTTTGTCTTCATCCATCAGTGTCTGCCGAGGGTACCATCTCATTCTCCTTCGTCCCCATTTGTCGTTTGTATTGTATTGTTCTCAACTGTTCCTTCAAGGCGCCGACATTGTAAGACGATTCTCGGATCACCTGTCCGGGCGCGTGGACCTCATTCATCAAGCTCCCCACCTCACCACTCACTTGTTGGATCCTGCGCACCACGGTAAGCTGCTTTTCACTTCCTCATTGCTCCTTTGCGTAACACCAGATCATCGTCATGTCTTCATCCCAGGAGCGCAGTAATTGGCATCGGGCGGTCGTCACGACATGGCTCATGTCATGATACACTCATATGGGTTCATGTTCGCTTTCCCCGTGATTCACCGCACCTAGCAGCATTCCTGGCTTATAGCAAGGAAACACTCTTTGCTCAAGTCTCCTTCGGCATATTCCACATGCGTTCTTTCTCAGCCACGATTCGAAATTTCAACCGTTGATTTTTACAGGTCAACTAACACCGCCCAATAGCTATCTATAGCCAATCAGCCCGACATGTCGGAAGAGCTGCCGGTGCTGGTCCCTGCCGTCAATGGCAATCCCGAGCCCGCTCCTGAGATCAGAGACGAGCCTCAGGACGACGTCCCTTTCTCGTGGCTGTAAGTCGAACACTTCTTTTTTCCCTCCTCATGTCTAACAATACTAGACAACCCCACCCAACCTTCCTCATTGTGCTTGTCGGACCCGATGAGAAACCCTTCGGCATCCATAAGGATTTTTTGTGCGCCAGGTCAACACATTACCGAGAGTATTTCAAGAAGGCGAATGCTACATCGGACACTGTGGAGCATGTCGTGAAGCTTCCTCACACCACGCCTGAGGTGTTCGGCTTGACGCAGCTCTTCCTGTTCACTGGACAGGTTTCAGAGGAGGTTGACACGTTCCCTTCCTATGAGGCACTTATTGGGGTCTGGAAACTAGGCCACGAGCTTGGTATCGACGGTCTCTGCGACAAGACTCTTGAGGCAATGAAAGAGTGCAGGCGGCTTACTCGGCAGATTCCCGCCACTCCACTCCTCGTTCAAGTATGGAGGGACACACCAGAGGGCTCAACCATTCGCAAACTCCTCCTCTCGTGGGCAGCCGAGTACATGCGGTCGTCCGATGCTAGAGCCGAGTTCGCCAAGTCGCTCCCTCAGGAGGTTCTTAGCGAGCTGGTCGTGGCCATGAGCTCTCTCGAGAAGCAGCCATCCCCACCCGCAGCTCCGGCCGATACAGCCTCCGCCGAACCGACTCCTCGCAAGAGTGTGCACTATCTGGAAGAGGATAGCGATGACGAGCGAGAACACCTTTCCAAGAAGAACCGACGCGCTTCTGCGCCGTTACCGGTCTCTCAGAACGGCAACTCCAAGTCGTTCAGTCGTGCCCCCCCTCCACCAGTCCGCAAGGCTGCGGCTGTGGCTGCGGCTGCGGCGGCACCGCGTCCGAAGCCTGTGGTCCAGAAGCGCCGCAGCATCGCCTCGGTTCCGAGCGGCGAAATCAGCACCGAGAAGAAGGTTGAATTCTGCGCCGATCTCCTTGACAGGATGCTTTCAGGACCTGGTATGCATTTCCTAATCCGTCGAGTGACCCATCATGCGAAACTTCCCTAGATGCTGACTTATCAGGTTTCTGGACCAGACTGGTGGGTCCTTTCAAGGAACCCGTCGACCCCGTTGAGGATGGCGTTCCCGATTACTTCGACAAGGTCAAGAAGCCTATGGACCTCAACACCGTCAAGGCCAAGATGTCGCGTCGCGAGTATCAGACCGAGGACGAGTTCGCAGCCGACGTGCGCCAAATCTTTGACAACTGTTACACGTACTGGTCCAAGGGTGACCCGATGTGGGCCGCTTGCGAGAAGTTCCAGAAAACATTTGAGGAGAAGTATGCCCAAATGCACAAGAACATCTCCAAGATGATGCGCGAGCCCGTCGACTGAAGCATGGTTTTCGACATTTACGAGTCGCCGATCGATCGAGCAGAGGATATGGGTTGGAGCTCTGTGTGTACAACATTCTATGGAGGGACAAACTGGCAGTTTTTCCTCTCTCAATTCTTAGGGCGCGTTGCTAATCTTAATGGGAGTGAGATGAGGACTTGTTATATAGCACTAGGAGCGTGTATGTGGGAGGAGCGAGACGGGACAAAAGTTGCTTTGGTGGAGGATAATACCCAGACTGGCCACGGAGCATCGCAAGACCTACCTCATCATAAGTATTCGACCATAACGAAAGCCAGTCAGGACGGAATGCTAGAGTTATCGAAACCTTGCCTTGCTACCACATTTTATGTGCCAAATGCTATATGCCGGGCCAGAATTGCTACCTTCTCCAGTCCCGCTCACTGCATCTTCCGTGACGGTCAAAAGCGAGACGGGCATCGGGCACCAGTCTACTCCGTTACTTCCCAGCGTCAAACCTGCTACCAGCCCCGACTATTAGGGCAGTCTGCGACGATGGTGGTGTAGTAGGTTAACAATGAAGGGCCCCAGCGAGGCAGAGAGGCTGGCTATGAAGCGGCGCGCCGTTTAGATCCAGGGCAAAGAGGCTGGGTCAAGTGCGACCCAGCATTGCTTGCTGGGTTTTTCGTCGCTGAATTACTGACATGTTCTTCGGCACTTGACACCTATTGTGCGAAAACCGCTGTCCTAAATGGGACGGTGTCTTGCATCCCTCTTCCGTGTGAGGCTCTTGTGAAGAAGCATAGATACTAACGCGAGGGGGGCCGGCATACGTTAGCTCTTCGAACATCGGTCCGATATCTACGGCGCCGGCACGTTTCCATTTCGCGTGGAGAGGGAGTACTAGTCTCGGCGTCGCCACACGTCAGGTGCCAGACCAGAGTGTTCCCCTCTGCCGTTAGTTCGGATCCAAAATGCATCGAATCCAAGTCCATGGAGAAAACTAGTCCAGGTCTGCTTTAGCTCTCTGGCCCCCAGCCGTCTCGCCACCGTTCCCCCTCAACGTCGCCCTCCACGATCCCCAATGCACAAAAGCACTCTCGCGGTCTGTTGTTTTCTCCTTGGCGGCGGGGCGAGGAAGGAGGATTAAGCTCCTGCCAAGGGGATCGTCACGCGGAATCGAAAGCTTGGTCTCAAGTGAGGAATGCTAAGGTTTGCGGGAAACCATCCGACGCAAGGAGCGACGGATGATCTACGTTGGTTTTCCATTTGCATGCATCTTAAAGATATGTCGATCAGGATCCGACGCCGCAAACCATGCAAGACGCTGTGCATGCGTCGTCGGGGCAGAACACAACTCGGCCGAGACCAGCCGTCTCTACTCAACGCCCAATCATTGTAAGAACGACCATGAACACAACTCCAGAAACACACATCACATCACAATGAGCAAATTTTTTTCTTCTCGACATGCCCACTCACACAAATCGCTCTCCCTGCGCAACACTTGCTGGAACTAGACCGTATTCCGCAGGTAGCGCCATGGTAGACCCGGACAAAGCGAACCAATGGCTTCCCCCTTCCCCAACCTCTTTCTCCTCCCCGCATCACACGTCGTTATCCTCGCTGAAAACCCCATGTTCAATCCCCACGAACATTCCCCCACAGGTCCCCGGCTTCCCCAACGCTACTGTGTACCATGGGTCGCGTGGGTGAGCTATTCCGCCTGGGGACTCGCTAGCGCGGACTCGCCCGCCCACATACCGCGGGGTTCTGCCCGTCAAGCTTATGTTTGTCTCGGCGGGTCCTCCTTAGCACCCTTCGAAGCGAATGCTAGCATGCCCAACATGCCCGGACAGGACGAGTCCAGACAAGATGTCCTAGACGATCGGTAGCTCGTCTGTCACGCTAGACCTTAGCTTTGCTTAAACCGCCGAGTGAACATGACGCCTCCATCGGAAGCTGTTCTGCTGTTCCCTCCTCCCGCGGCGGGAGAGCAACGACGGGGAGACGTGGGAGGGCGGGCAGCCATCGTCACTCGCCTGCTCGCCCCGGGGTCTTGGGCATGCGTGCCCCGGTTTGGCGATTAGCCCGATCCACTCCGACTGCGCGGTGAGATGGAAACATCACAACTCGCCTGCGAGGTTTTGAGTTCGAGCGAGACCTGTGTAGGCCCCCCGCCTTGGGAGGTGGGTGTGGATATGCCCATGCCTGCCTGTCTCTAACTTTTACCTTGAAGTTTGTCCGTAAGCTTGTTGAGTTCGAGACCGGGCTGGATCCCGACGTCGTGGTTAAGGTGGGGGCCGTTAACGAATGGTCCGAACCTCGCTCTGCTGGAGAACCTGAGGTTTGGTTTACCTTATGCACGTATGGGTGGTGGCGTCGACAATGGAACGACGGTTTCGCCGAGCTTGAGATCTCCTCTAGTCTCTTCCCCACATCGTTGTCGTAGGTAGTTGTCGTGGGGTGGGAACACATATCGCAAACATATATATATCGCAGGCCCGGCGGCCAGAGGAAGGCAGAACTTTTCTCATCAGCCAGCAGGACCCTGAGCAACACACTCGCCAACGGCCTTTCTCTCACGTTTTCCATTCAAATACCCAGTCTTCCCCCACTTCTCATCATGTTCGGCAAGAACCAGGAGCCAGAGGTGGCCGAGGTGCTCGAGCAGCACCGGCCCAGCGCGGTCGAGGCGACCCAGAACCAGCATCGCATGTCCGTTTCCAACAGAGGCCTCACGGGCGCTTCAGCCTTGACTGTCAGACAGTCCATCGTGCCCATTACTCTGGTCACCGTCCTCTTCTTCCTTTGGGGCTTCGCTGTAAGTCGCCCCCCCGTGACTGCTGTCGCTTCCTCTTCCAAGCCCCTCCTGTCCCGCTTCTTTCCAATGGCACGAAGACTAACACATCTCAGTACGGCCTCCTCGACGTCCTCAACTCCAAGTTCCAGATCGCCCTCAACATTACCGCCGCTAAGGCTGGCGGTCTCCAGGGCGCCTACTTTGGCGCCTACTTCATCGGCCCCCTGACCTACTCGGGCTGGATCGTGCGCAAGTTCGGCTACCGGTGGACCTTCATCACGGGCCTGTGCATCTACGGCGTCGGCGCCCTCATGTTCTGGCCCTCGGCCGTCTACCGCTCGTTCCCCGGCTTCTGCGGCTCCCTCTTCATCGTCGGCTCCGGTCTGTCGACGCTCGAGACCTCGGCCAACCCCTTCATCGCCACCTGCGGACCCCCGCGCCTCTCCGAGTTCCGTCTCGAGCTCAGCCAGTCGTTCCAGGCCGTCGGCTCCGTCATCGCCCCGCTCCTCGCCGCCCGCGTCTTCTTCTCCCACACGGAGCCGAACGACTTGTCCAAGGTGCAGTGGACCTACCTCGGCATCGCGGGATTTGTCTTCCTGCTCGGTACGCTCAGCCCCTCCCCCTCCCTTTTGGTCTTTCGTGATGATACGAGCAGCGTGCTGACCGAATCTAGCCCTCGTCTTCTTCTTCGCCAACATCCCCGAGGTCACTGACGCCGATATGGCCCTGCAGGCCGAGATGAGCGCCGGCCTCACCGGCTTCGTCGACAAGCCGCTGAGGAAGCAGTACAAGCTCTTCTTCGGCGTCGCCGCCCAGTTCTGCTACGTCGGCGCCCAGGTCGCCGTCGCCTCGCAGTTCATCTCGTACGCGGTCGAGTCCGCCGGCCTGTCGCACTCCCAGGCCAGTGACCGGTACGCCATCGGCCAGGGCCTCTTCGCCATCGGGCGTTTCGCGGCCGCCGGCCTGATGATGGTCGTCAAGCCCCGTCTCGTGCTCATGGTCTTCATGACGGGCATCATGGTCTTCATCGCGCTCGCCATCGGCGTCAAGGGAGAGGCCGGCGTCGCCATGCTGTCGCTGGTGCTCTTCTTCGAGTCGTGCATCTTCCCGACCATCTTCACGACGGCGATCCGTGGCCTGGGCAGGCACACGAAGCGGGGTAGCTCCTGGATAGTTGCATCGGGTAAGTCTCTTGTCGTCGCCACACGAAATGCTGTCAGCGGTGCTAATGCGTCTCCATAGTCTGCGGTGGTGCCCTTTTCCCCAGTCTCACTGGACTTCTCGCCGACTCCAAGGACTACCACATTGCCATGGTCGTGCCTCTCTGCGGCTTCATCGTGGCCTTTGCCTACCCCGTCTTCCTGAACACTGTCTGGAAGGCGGAGCTGGACGGCTTCAGTGCCAGCAAGATTGGCTACACCGACGAGCATGGCATCATCGGCGACGCCGGACGAGAGGAAATCATTTCTGAGAAGTCGACTTCCAAGCACTTGGAGGCATAATTTTGTCCATGGATGACTGCGCGGGGCGGCGACTAGGAGGTCGTGAAAGGTGCATTGCTTATAGAAGAGAATTCGTATATACCATTTACCTCTGTTACTCATTCATTCATCATGTTGCCACCATTCTCTCTGTCACTGACCGAATCCCCGTCTTTCTTTTCACGTAAACTCTGCTGGGGCACGTTTCCGCAGAGCTACAGGAATAGCAGCCGACGGTCCATGTCAAGGAAGGGCTGCTGGCGGCATGTGAAGTCTCAGACACCTGCCTCAGCTTTGCGCCTGCTTCTTCGCAAGTCGAGATAGCCGTCGAGGGAGACGACTGTCGAAATGATGAGGCTTGAAACAGCCTCGCGCTCACCAACTGTGCAGTGTTTCTTGCCGTTAGCATCAACCGTTGTGGGCGCGGCCCCGCCCTCGGACCGAGTCTGCTGCGACTGTGCATCTACTCTATCGCCAGGATATCTTTACACACGTTGTGGAGCGTCGTCCGATGTCCTCCAGAGTCTGAGCCATCGCGTTGGAACCCTTCTCTGAGGAACAATACGACCTTGGGATTCAGGTGGACGGCACGGGGGACCAGGCGGGCTCGTTTCTGGTGGCCTTGCCGGGCGCTAGTAAGGCGCGAAAAGGGATAAGGCGTTTGGAATGCTGTGCAAAGAATGCCGTTGTCCGGTAGCTTTGCCTCTCGAAACAAATGGGTGAGCTGGGACACGGTGAGACATCTCACAGGTCTAGTGCCATGATAGACCGGCAATGGAACGCAGCCGGCAGTTGGCCTGGAACGGACTCGTGCAGCGGTCATTGGTCCCTTGGACGTGGTGGTGGTTCGTGGGTGGATGTCATCTGGGTTCGAGATTGGATGTGATGATAGTCGTGCGCGCTTACCTCATCCGAGGCCAGGACGAAGAGAGGCCTTGATAGGTCCTGGGTGGATATCTGGAAGCGAACGTCATGTTCAATTTCCAGACCCCTTCGGTGCATTGAGCTATCGGAGCAAGGTGGACGAGATGCTATTTGGCTATTTCATTTGCCCTTTTTGCCGCCATTGTTTAAACACTGGAACCGGGGGGGACGAAAGACGCTCAAGCGGACGGGCGAATCAGCGTTGGAAAGCCACCTGAAACGGCGTTCGATGGTTCGTCAGATGGCCGAGCTGGTGGGGGGCCTTACCTTTGGTACGGAATCTTCCTCGCCCAAGCGATTGGCGGACGCTGCGCACACCTGGGCTTCTGGCGCTGCAAGGTACCCGTTGATAGCGTTAGCCTCTTTCGGACTAAGCTGCATCTCCACCTCCAAGGGGACGGTCCAGTCAAAAGCCAGGGTATACTACTCTCTTTCTGGGGGGCTCGTCGCCATGCGCCGAGCACGGCCTAAATCTCCTGAGATTTGGGCGAGAGGGAAAGATTGGCTCAGATTGGCTAGGGCCGGGCATGTCTCATTTCCCAGGAACCAAATGCAACAGGCTGCAGATTTCCCGCCGTTTGTCTTTCCTCTTACGTCGTGGATGCTTGACCGTGATGCGCGGCGATGTCCCCCCAAACCAACAGGCCTCCCTGCCCTTCTCTCTTGTTGCCCGGGGCGGTCAGCTGTCACGTTCGTGGTCTTGTCCTACCCACCATTCTCAGCCACCCCCAGTACGGTAAGCCCGCGGTGGGATCGTGGAGGCATCGGAAAAGAGCCGCTGCCACCAAGGTAGGACGTGATGTTGCTCTATCTGTTGGAAATGACGGTCAGCGAAGCCAGGCCACCGCTGCGGTGCCACGAAGCCGGCGACAAACGTGGACTGCTGCTGCTGCTGTGCGACCTGCTTGCCTCGGATCACGAGAAAACAGACTCGTGGGTGCGCATAAAGATCGACCGGCTCATCCCCTGCTTCCTTTTTATCCTCAACCACTTGAGACGCCGCCAACGGGTCTCAGTGCCACCCTCTCCAAACACTCCCAAACAGGAGCAGGAGTTGATCCAACTTGCTCAGCCATCGTCCGGCGTCCCTCCCATTCTTGAAGACGCTGGGGAGGCGGTCTGTCCACTGCCCTCTGCACCGCTAGCAAGTCTGGAAAGGTTCCGACCCGGAGCGTCACTAAGCCCGGGGTATCGTGGCTGGCCCTGTCGGACCAAGGCGCTGCAAGTGGTCGGTGTCCAGGCAAATGAAATTAAAAGGAGGATCCTTCCAAATCGGTGCTGAGCGCGCACCGCAAACCCATCGTGCCCATCCTCTAGACAGCCCAGGACCTCCTTGCCCTCGCCCCCCAGAGGCTGAACCGTGCTATCCTTTGCCTGTCGTTCCCCCCGACTCTGACAGTCCCCTCCCATGTCCGCTGCCTTTCTCGCGACCTTTCTTCCCACTCTTTCTCTCCACTTCATCCCCAGTCTTTTTCGCTGTCCCTCGTTCTGCCTCTGCGTTTCTCCCGCAACCCCCTTCGCATCGTCGCGCGCCTTTTAGGTCAGGCCCCTCCAGCCCAGTCGTTCTTTTCACAACCTCTCCGTCGTCGTCGTCGTCGTCGTCTTCTTCTTCACAAGTCTACACCAGAGTACTCGTACTTCCCTCGTTTGTCGATACTCTACGTCGTCCCGTCGTCGACCCACACTCGTTCTTTAGACTTGCGATCGCTCAGCAACACGCGACTGTCCAGTCATTCGCCTTTCTGGTTCTTAACGCTCAACTGACCAACCGAACCGTTCCGATCACTATCCAGCAAACCACGTATTCGCAATGCATATCCGCTCGCTCGCCTCTGTGGCCTTTGTGGCCTTCGCCGCCCAGGCATTCGCCCAACAGACCAAGGTCTTCAAGCGCAGCATCACCTCCGGAAGGGATTTGGGTTTCATGCGCCGCGCCGACGGTGGCTACCAGCCGGCCGATGAGGTCTGCAACAAGGGCGGTAACACCTGCGCCGAGGCGTGCGGTGGTGGCTACCAGCAGTGCAAGTCTACGGATCAGGCCGTCCACTGCTACGACCCGACCGCCGGCGAGACTTGCTGCTCTACCACAACCGGAAGTGAGTCGCTCTCGCACGCGTGGCATTGCCTCTCGTCGTTGCTAACATGAATGCGCAGACTCGTGCCTGACGTCGTTTTACTGCACGCACGACACTCAGACCGACACCTTCTGCTGCCCCAACGGCATGGATCTTGGCGAGTGCGCAACCAAGCACGGTGTCACCGGCGCTCTTACCTCCGACGTCCCCGTCCCCACCACCACCTCCGTCCCGTCTACCAGCAAGAGCAGCACCGTGCCCCCCACCACCTCCACCACCACCTCCACCACCACCACCTCGACGCCGCCGTCCACGACCTCGTCCTCGGTCGTCGTTCTCACCACGTCCTCGCCCACCTCCTCGTCCGAGGTCCCTAGCAGCACCGTCGTCACCGCCGAAGTTGCTCCCAGCGTTGGCACCAGCACCGCCTTCTCAGCAAGCAACGGCACTACCCTTGCCACGGCGTCGACTCGTTCCGGCGCGAGAAGCACCCTCTTCCCCTCGGCGGCCGCCACAACCACGGCAGCCTCCGACACGAGCGCCGGAAACAGCAACGGGCCGGCCGGCATGGCCGTTATCCTCGGCGCTGCTTTCGTCGCTGCCCTTGTCTGATAGTCCACGACTGACCTACCTGGAAGCGCTGGACGGCCATTGGCACTAATTTTCCACACCCGTCAGTGCCCGGCCCGCGTGCCACGCGTCACGAGTGTAATGAAACAAAACAGCAAGCGGCGTTGGAAACGGAGGGTTCCCGTGCTCTGTTGGGATGTTGATGTTGGCCGGACTTTTTTAATTTTGAGAAGCTTATGATTCCCCTGATCACTTGAATGTACGGAGCGGTTTGATGACGCCATTTGTTTTTTATTTTTGCAATGGTGTTCCCGGAAACGAAGATGCGCGAGGAGAGATGAAGACAAAAGATGGGCGGCTTGGAGACACTTTGCCTTCGAAACAGCGTTATATCCCTGTTGTAAACATACATTTGTTGTTTACCTACTGTACTTAAGATCCCCCCCCCCTCGTCGGGCGAGGCTGCGAGACCTATTACTCCCAGCCTCGAGCCCGCGAGTATCATAAACCCTAATATCTTTCTTGGAAACAATAACATCACGACATTGCACGCGCCTCACTTGCCGATACGATATGTTTTCTTGATGCGATCGCCGAGTCGCTACCCATTTGAACTGTTGACCGGCCACTCACGCCTGCCAATGTCGGAAAAAGGCCCGATCTCGGTGATGAAGTCGGACGTTGGCGCCGAGGCGGAGGGGCCCAACGAAGCGTGCGCCGCAAGTGCCCGGAGAGCGGGGCAGCGGGCCGCGTGCGACATAGGTTGGAAAGCGCCGAGTGCGGGGCCGAATGCACGAACCCCGGACCGGACGGGGGGAGGGGGGTGGATGACGGGATATCTGTCTCTGCCCTACGCCCGGCCTTTTTTTTTGTTTGTTTTTGCCGCCTCTGGTGCGTGTGCTCTGCGCGCCAAGCGGGTTCCGTCCCGCATGCAACGCCATTCCACATTTTCATGACACTGGGCGCGGCTTCTGTCGATCGACGAGCCTGGTCGCTTGCCCTGGCCGTTTTTGTCATTGGCACCCGCTTTCGCGACGCGGGACGCTGGATGCGGCCGGCCGGCGGGCGTCCGGGGGCCAAGGTTTGTTCGGGTCCGGAGCACATCGCGACTAGCAAACTCAACGGCAGAGCTTTTTGAAAACGAACGATATTATTGAATATAGCGAAAAAGAGATAGTGACTGCGTGGGCCTGCTAGCCATGTTCAAACCAACACGCGACCGGGTATCATGGGTAATGCTCTCTAGAATGCCAATACCGACCTCTAAAACAAGGTACCTGCCTTTGCCTTTTCTTTCCTTCTTTCTTTCTTTCTTTCTTTCTTTCTTCTTCCTTCCTCCCCATGCTACAGCCCCTCGTTCCAAGGCCGCCAGAACTGATTCCTAAACGTCGGCATGCACTTGACCATTTCGGGCGGCTCCGTCTGCCAGTTGATCTTGGGCGGCGACCCCGAGTTCTCTATCACCGTCCACGACGAAGCGAACCCCCTCTCCTCCTTGATCTGCCTTCCGTCCTTGACGTTGTACGCCAAGCTGACGCTCGGCACGACGGCGATCTTGCCGTGGCCGAGATTCCACAGGTCTTTGCACAGCAGCGTCGGCTCGCCCGTGTGGCATTCGCCCGGGTACGACCTCCTGAAGTCGAGCTTCTTGTTGAGGAAGGGCTCGCCAGTCATCGCAACGCCTCCGTTCCAACAAGCAAACACCTGCAGCGGCTTCCGGCTGAGATAGCGATCTTGGGAGTACGGGTGGTTCCAGAACATGTTGGCGACGTCGCTCCACTGCTCTCCCTTAGGCGTCCTGTCGGGAATCGGGAGGAACGTGTCGCCGTTGATGGCTCGGGAAATCCACGAGTCATAGAACGAGGGCTCTCCGTTGTGCGGGGCGAACCGGAGGAAGTGGTAGTCCATCGCGCAGGTCATATCCGCCCCTTGAACCTGCTTCTGGTACGCCAGTTCGAGTATGTCTTCGGTGCACGCGGCAACGTCGTTCAAAAAGACAATTGTCGCCTTCGGGTCGTAGGCATCAGCCTCTGCCATCATCGGCTCCAGCGCTAGGTTCCGGAGCTTGGCGAGTTTGCCGATGCGATCGCCACTGTGTGAGTCGATGTTGCTCGTCTGCAGGTAATACGCGATTCCCATCTTTTCCATGTGCGCTTGGAGGCGGTAGAGGGTCTCGTAGGTGCCGTCGGTCGAGATGCCCTCGACGACGGAAAGGGCGCAGTTCTCGGGGCCGATGATGTTCATGGCTTCCAGCACCGCGCCGATGAGCTGGGGTAGGAGCTCTCTGACTTGTCGCAAGTCGAGAGCGAAGAAGTAGTGCCGCTTGTCCATGTTCTCGGTTGGACGCAGGACCCCGTAGCGTGTGACGTTGGGTGAGGGGCAGTTGACAATGGGGAAGCCGCCGTTCTTGGGATCCAGGATGGCTTGCACATACTGGCTTGCCTCACCGGTCTTGTCTGGACGGCCCTCGTAGAGTGTTGGCTGGACCCAGTTGGGTGCTGAATCGTTCATCCAGCTGCCGCCATATTCTGCATCCCAAATCAGCACGCAGTGATGCTAGAAAAAGGTGGATTCTACTCACGTTCCGAGGTCCAGGGCACTACAAAGTACTGAACCAATGGCTGGTGGAAAAGCAGGAAGAAACCGGTGATTAAGATGAAGACGACGATGGCGATGAAGGGCGTGCGAAGCCGTCTCGGATTATGGAAGTTGGCGATCATGATGTATGTACGGGGCACTCTGCGGAATTCTGTATATACCGATTTGATGTCGAAGAGAAGAGGAAGGTGCAGAGGCAGCAAGTTTCTTTCAATGCCCGGTCAAGAGAGCTTGGCCGCGTCGCAAAAAGTTGCCACGCGAAGATGCAAAGGCAAAGCAACGAGGTCGATTCCGAATATGCGGGTTGCCAGCTCTTGTGCGACAGAAGAGAAGATGCCAAGACGAGAACACGCAAAGAAACAATGACTGAGAGTTTGCTGAAGGAGAGGGGGGGAGGGGGATTACAAGCTCATATCAGCTCCCGACAGGGAGGAGCACTGATGCAAAGCTACGGTAGGGCGAAACCAAACAAAACCTCGTGGCTCGTGGACTGTCTCCGAATTCGGTCGGAACTGTCGGCGGCTCTGCAGAGAAGGGGAGAAAAGAAAAGGTTATGGTACGAGGTAAAACAAAAATGGATGGGGGTAGATTATAGTTCCGCGGGGCGACGTTGAACGCAGGCAAGTTAGCTCGCAGGTAGCCGAGAACAGCATTTGTAGATGCGAGAAAATGGGCTTCCCGCCGACTATCCGTAAGGAAATGTTTGGGAGACGGGACGATTAGCCCGAGCGATGCGAGGCGCAGCGGTCCAAGGGTAAAAAGGAGGAAACGACAATTACTGGGAAGTTAGGCAGGCAAGGGAAAAGGAACCAGAAGGAAAAGGAGTACGGTGCGGTGCGGTGCGGTGCGGTAGAAACTGCAGGAGGAGCCGGGTAGGTAGAAAGAAGTAAACTCAGCTCGTCCCGCTGTCTGGGTTGCACCTGCTCTAGTTGTGCTCGAAACGCACAGTTCCCGCTCCCCGTCCGTCAGCCTGGCCAAGTCCTGTCTCTGATATGTGTCAAGACTTGGCCAAATGCGCCTCAACACGCACGCGTTCTTGGGTATCATGTAGGGTAGGGGCCGGGAGACAATCCCACTGGGCTGGCCATCCCCGGATGCACATCGCACTCTACGAACCCCAGAGGCATCTCCACGAACAGAGGGAACGGGCCCAGTTCCGGCGTCAGCATTTTGATAATGGGCCACCGGTGCGTGCCCACATGGTACCCCTCTACCCACTTGCTTCCAGATGCCGCGTACGCAACAGCGGCAGCAGCAGCAGAGCCCTCTCTGCTTCGTGGCGCCTTGTGATGCCTCCTCCCGGGAGCCTGCCCTCTGGCCTGCTCTGGTCTGGTCTGCTCTGTCTTGGGCTGGAGACATGTGGGAGGAATGCAGCCTCTGAGTGCGGACGAGAACACACGGTTCCTTGAGTTCCACGTCCCCGGCATGTTTCAGCGTCCTGGCCTTCTGGCTCAGGCGACAACATTCCCAGAAACGTCTAATTTGCGGACTGCACTCGATGCCAATCATTTCCGCACACTTTCCAAAGAGATGTCAGGGGTCCTGGAGTCCTAGTGTAACCATGGAAGACCACGATGCTAGTCTGCATAGTGGCTAGCCTGGCCTAGCTGCCGCCTTCGCCCAGCCCATGCCCCTGAGATTTGGACCGGCGTCAATAAGAGACTACTTTCGACAAGTTCTGCAAACAGGCGCTGGCACGATCTCAGACACGCTGTGCATGCAAACTCAAGCCAGTCCAAGATCGTGCCACTACCAAAAAGGGGGGCACCGGTCCAGTCAAACACAAATGTTTCCATGCGTCTGTGCCAATCCCGCATGGGCCAAGCCCGGAGTCTCTCCGCTAATGCACGAGACGATCTGGAGAGAAAAGGAGAGAGAGAGAGAGAGAGAGACAGAGAGACAGCGAACTGGCTCCTGCGAGTCGAATGCACGTTCCTTTTCCGCCGCCTTCATCTTAGTCCAGATCCGAGGCTGCGAGAGGACGTGAGGAAACACGCACACTGCGATGCCGATCTTCCCGTTGACTGTTGGTCGCAATCCAAATGCGGCCTTCAAGCCTGCAAATAGATCCTGGCTTTCTTTGACCAAACCCCCCCCCCCCCCAAGGCCCTCCAATCCACTAGCAGCGGCTGCTGCTTGGCCCTAGCGGCAGTTGTGTGTTCCCTGTCCTTCCTCCGAGATCTTCTCTCGATGCTACCCTACCCAACCCATGCCCCCCGCCTATCCGACAGCAGCCACAGACGACGCAACGACGATCGGGCGTCCATCCTGGCTCTTGTGATGAACCAGCTGTCATTCAAGGTTCCTCCGGCTTTGTCCACGTCTCGCCCGGCTCTGCTTGCTACAAATCGCAGCCCCCCCAGGGCCAAGGACGGGCCTTGGTCTGTCTCAAGTGGATGAAAAAGTCCGAGCCTCATCACTGGACCATGGGTCTTGAGGGGCATGTTGAGAGCGACATCTGACTTCCTCCCAACTCGCGGCAGCCAACCCGACCCGACCACGGCCCGGCGCAGCGGCATACCTAGTTGATTAATCGACGCACCCGAACAGCGTCGTATCATGCCAAGCCAATAGGCAGCATTTGTTTAGCTGATGTTTGCTCTCTGGGTCTTGGACACACCACCGTCCTGATCGTACGCCTTTTTTATTTCTTTTTTTTATTTGTAGGAGCGGGGTTTCTGCCCCAGCCTGCTCTGATAGTTGGCCGAAATCGTCGAGTCTTCGGTCCTGCGAATCTCTTGACAAAATTTCGCAAACAATCAATGCAAAATGATGCAACGGGGACAAAAATTGGAGTCGACGCGCGGATTCCGGAACGTCCCCCCACATCCAAGACGGACTGCCTACGTGTGCTGGACGACCAAGGCCTGACTCGTCAGCCCAATCAGTTCAATATGCAATCCTTCCGCCTAGAAGTATGAGACCCACGACGGTCCATTGTTGCAGAACTAACTGAACTCAATCACAAATCGGCCGGGCAGACGCATCGCCGCCACACTGGAAGACGTAATGGTTGGAGATGGATCTTGATCGTCTCTACATGGGGAGCAGCTTGGCCACTCTCTTCGCAACCCCCTCCTCAAACTCGGTCACGCCGCCCTCCAAGCGCGTTAGGATCCCCGCCCTCAGTCTGTACACAAGCCGTCGTCTAGGCACCGAATCCTCCTCGGTCTCCTCTTCACTGTCAGAGTCCTCCATCAGGCCTTCAACCGCACCGCGCATGAACCACCGGTCGTGGCTGACGAGGACCACTGCCCCTTCCCAGTCACTGAGAGATTCCCGCATCGCCGTGACGGTCTCGTAGTCGAGATGAGTGGTCACTTCGTCGAGAATGAGGCAGTGTGGTCTCCGCCACAGGAGGCGCGCAAGCTCGCATCGCACGAGCTGGCCGCCAGACAGCTTTCCGAGGGGTATGTCGGATGCAGTACGGCCCGGCAGGCCAAGACTGCCCAGGACGCCACGAAGCTGACCTTCATCTAGCTCCCCGGCCACCTCTTCCGTAAGCAGAGACAAAGCCGTCACGGAAAGATCAGCCCGGCCCTTTTCTTGCAGAGCTTCGACGGCATGTTGGGAATAGTATCCCAGCTTCAACCGGGGATGAGTTGTTACCGTACCGGATGTGGGCTTCGTCTCGTCCACGAGAAGCTTCACAAGAGTCGACTTGCCTGCGCCGTTCAAACCGAGGATGCCAACGCGGTCGCCCATGTGGATGGAGAGGTTGATGTCCTGCAGCACGGTTGGTGCCGCCGTCTTTGCCTTGGTCTTGACAGGGTAGCGAAACGTCGCGTTCTCTACCGATATGAGAGGCCCGGGGAATCGGAGGTCTGGTGGCTCCGGCAATACGAAACTCACCGGTCGCTCATCCTGAGGAATGTCGATCTCGTCCCTGGCAGTCAAGTGGAATCCGACGAGATCGCGGTTCAGCTTGAACCGGCCGCCCTTGGCGCTGACCTGAAGACCCCACCGGTCGTCGAGCTTCTTTTGGCGGGATTTAGCTTGCCGGAGCTTGTTCTGGTCATCGTTGGCCTTTCCTGCCTTGATGTTGTTGGAAATGCTCTGCTGGATGTGCGCTTTCTGCTTGTCCTGGGCGTCCTTCATCTTGGTCAGCCAGAGCTTGCGCTCCGACTGCGATGCCTCGTAGGTCGGCAAGTCGCCATGGAAGTAAGTCAGCCCCTTGTCCTTGAGGATGAGAAGGTCGGTGCAGAGAGTGATGAAGTCTCTGTCGTGGGACACGAGGATCAGCGTCGGAGCGTCATCCACGTCTTGGAGGGATTCAAGATAGCGCTGAAGCCAGATGATGCCCAGCAGGTCGAGGAAGTTGGTAGGTTCGTCCAGGATGAGAACGTCGGTTTCTTGGAGCAACGATATGGATAGTGCGGTCCGCATCCTCCAACCACCAGAGAGACTTGAAACCGGCTTTGACATGTAGGCCTCAGAGAACCCCAGACCAGTCAAGATGCGCTTGGCTTTGGCCTCGGTCTCGGCCACCTTGGAAGGCTCGATCTGTAGTTGTAGATCTGCCAGCATGTCCAATGCCTCCTGCGTCTCGTTTTTGAGAGTCTCGGCCGAAACCTCATCCTGTGGTTGCTCCAATCTGATTCTAGATTAGCAAGCTTCGCTCAGGGTTGGCAGGGTGGGCTTACAGTTTCTGTGACTCGGCCACCGTCTTCTCGAAAGCCTTGAGAGCCTTTCTCGCCGCCAGGCCTCGGTCTCCGCTGCGCAATCTTGCATTCTTGTCCTCTCGGAAGAGCCGCTTTTGGTTCCTATCATGGCGAAGAACGCGGACCGCGCGCACGGGACCGTACGGGTCTGTGCTGTTGATGCCATCGGACAGAACTAAGAACAGTCAGTCGCGTTTGGTTAGAAACGCACATGAGACCGTACCTCTGATTTCTTGCTCGACGTCCGATTTAGCAGTCGCTTGCTCAATGACATGCTCCAGTACACTGCGACCCTGACCAGATTCGCCTGCCTCAACTGAGCCATCATTGGGGCGCAGGTCTGAGTTGGCATCGGTGACATTGGTCTGCTGAAGAAGAGATATCCGAGTTTCCTCGGGGATGCCTGGAATCAACTTCTCGGCGATGGCCTTGAGAAGCGCTTGACACATGTCAATATACCATCAAAGTGTCTTGGACGCTTTGTTCTTACTCGACTTTCCGGAGCCATTTCTTCCGACGAGTGCGTACCGCTGGCCGGCCTTCAGACGCAGCTTGGCGTCGACAAGGATTTCGGTCCCGTCACTTCGGGCCTTGGACTTGCCTTTTGCGCCGGGCTTCCCAGCTGAAGTGACGGTGATGTTAAGGCCGTCAATATCCAACTACGTGAGAGCTGTTCAGCCGTCTGCGACGTCGGGACGAATCACACAAGCTGGGCATATACCTCGCGATGGTCTGCGGTCTGGATATTGAAACGCGTCTGCTTGCTGGTGCAGAGGATCGTGGCCACGGATTCGGAAGCAATTGACGTCATCGCTACAGCGGATCGATCACGAGCGACGGAATTGCAATCGCCAATGGAATGAAGTGGCTTTACTTTACAAGGAATGATGTCAAGGCTGGAAAAAAGGAAGTTGAATTTAACTTCGGATTGGTGTATTGATAGTGCCTTGCCTCAGTCCCTTGGTGTTACAACTCCGAGAGGACCTCGCTAAATATTATATGGCTCGTGAAGCTGGGCCCGGCCAAGACTGCCGGGCTTCCTATCTTCATCTTTCCCTCAGGAACAGAGACAAGAGCCGGCTGGCGCCCAGTTTGGTGGCGTTGCACCTTCTTGCTGTAGCGTGCTTGCTGCAGGGTACGTACCTATGTATCTCCCTCTAACTAGGGATAGGTATTTGGGTGGAAATGGGATTGGCTCAGCCCTGACCTCCGCAGAGTGACTCACGCCGAACACTGGACGGAGCCTCCAAGACACGCCGGTCAGGGACGGGACTCCGCTCATTAATGGCCTTCCCGAGGCCCAGTCCACGCGGCAATCCCCTTCCCCCCCCCCCCCCCCATCCCGGCGGCGTCACAACGGCCGGGATGACTCAAACTTCCTAACCGCTGGCCGCTCGGCTTCATCGTCCCGACCGCGCCGCGAGTCGTGCGGGCTCTAGATGGACAATGCAAAAAGAATCTGCTTTCTCCGGGTCTTTCCCATCACAACAGCGGAAGCGACTCCAGGAACGCCCTGGTTTCCATCGCATACCGTGACTGCGCATCCGCAACTTCGTGCGTCGCCAGCTCCTTCTTTGCCCACTTCCTCGCCGCGCCAAACTTGCCGGACCGCGACGCTGCGTACGCCGCGTACTTGTACGCCTTGCCGAGGTAGTCCACCAACCCGACCTCCTCGACGAGCTTCACCAGCTTCTCCGCGTCCGGCAGCACGTCCCCTCCAAAGTCGTCCCTCCCGAGCTCCATCTCGATCAGGCCCGTCAGCCGCTTCATCTCCACCCGCTGCTTGTCGTCGTCCCGCGCCGTGCACGCCGCGCAGTTGCACGTGAACCCCCACTGCGCGAGCCGGGCCCGTCTTTCGTCCGTCGTCTGCACCAACGGCGCGTAGGTGATTGTCACCTCCTCGCCGGCGTCGATGTCTCGCGCCGCATAGATGACCCTCCTCGCGCTCCCCTCGCTGGTGCTGCCGCCGACGGACGCGGTCCCGGCGTTGGGCCGACACGAGTGGTTCAGCTTCGCGATGCGCGGGAAGATCCCCAAGGTGCCGCCTGCCATGGTGAACGCGTTGGTGCGGAAGATGAGCGCCTCCTGGCTCCATGCGGCCTCGTCCTCGTCGTTCAGGTCGCGGTGCTCGGGGCACGACAGGAACGCGGCACGCGCCGTGGTGTTGAGGGCCGCATAGGCTTCGTCGACGGCCGCGGCGATGGCGGCGAAGGCGAAGCCCTGGCCACTGACAAGGCGGCCCGGATTGACTGTGAAGAGCGGGCTCTCATCGATGATGCGGGTGCCTGCCGGGATTCTTTGCAGGGCGAAGACGCCAAGGCCTTTCCCGGGCGAGGGGCGAACTTCCCAGAGGCCATCGTCTGATCTTAGGTCTGTGATGAAGTGTGAGCCTTGGTGGCGGATGAGTGACAAACGACATTATGATTCGTGGGGATGGGTGAGGTTCGTACTAGTTCCGTAGCGTATGCGGGCTTCCTCCGAGTCGCCCAGGCCGTCCGGTATGCTCCCATCCGCGAGAGGGAAGCCTTCTCCAACGGCTCCGAGATAGGTTTTGTTGTTCTCTGTGGACGACGGGTCCGAGGCGCAGAGGGGTTCGCGAAGCTGTGAGTCATCGTCCCTCGTCGAGTCGACGTCGAGGACGCTCTTGCCGTCGTCACAGGCAAGGGCGACGGCGAGGCACGTCCATACGAGGACACCGGATGATCGCATGGCCAATGTACTTTGCTGCCGGTGATACTCGAGAGCTCACCGTACTTCAGATGAAATTCGGGTTCTAGTCGTCCGGCGATGTGAGCAGCGAACGTATCTCCACGGGAAAATGGTGTTGAAGTGTTTTGGAGAAGAGACGAAGACATGGCCATCCACCCATCACGGGCTTTTCGCACCGTGCCGTGCATTTTGACAATGGTGGAATGTCTGCTTCGGGAAGGGGGCTAGCTGGTTGGTCCCAGGAGACGCAGCGCTCGAAACGGATCTGTTGTCACAGGATCGTATCAACGGGAGCATGGCGTTGCAGGGGGTGGTAGAGGCGCGGTGAAACATGTCACCCCTTTTGCCATCTGGGGTTTGATGCACTTCCAGTCGCCCAGCGCAATGACATGGAGACGGGATAAACTTCGTAAACATTTCGATGATTTTGGACACTGCATCGGTTCGGTCGATTCTTTGATCATCGCACCTGGATCAAAAAAGCTTTGCTGATCAATACTTCCTGCCAGTATTCTTCACGGCTAAGGGGAGATCGGCCAAGTCTTGAACAGGGGTATCGTGTTTCGGGATTCACGGGTTTGCATCCCTCCATTAGGCCTTCTCCTTTGCGCCGGAAAGCTTTTGTTGCACTGGTTCATCTGTGTATGGTGTAACTACTGGAATGCTGTCAAGCTGAGTCTATCTTCAATTGCTAATGAGAAGAAGCAGTCGTATGACTGCCTTCGTCGGGCGACAAGCAATCCATGTATTACCGTTACCCGAAGGCGTGTCTCCACAGACGAGTTAAAGGCAAAAACGCAACACATCCCATTCTTCTTCCTCCCGCCGAATTAAAATGTCCTCTGTGATGACGTGTAAAGGGCAACGAGGTTCCCTTCCGGCGCCTGTCCACCCCATATTTCAAAACCGGGGCCGGCCTGCGCCGCATCGGGTCCGAATCCGCATCCCACCCATCCCAGCAAGCGACGTCAGTCTCGACGTCTCCTTCAACTACTATGATCTCAATCGCCTGCCCTCGGTCTTTTCCAGCATTTTTTTGTTCCTCCTGTACTTTCTTTAGCGCGTACTGCTGTTTTCCCTCTACCAGACGTCGACCACGCCTCCAGATATGATTGCGCTGTTACAGAAGTCTCTATTTTCAGAATTTGGAGGTCTTGAAGGCGTGACTGGCGATGTTAATGGTGATGCAGGCACTAGCGTTGCCGTTGTCACTATTGGCTGTGTGCAACCGCTTGCGACGCTGTGTGCCTGTGATTGCATTCTCCTTTCGCTGCGCCGTGGTTGTAGACGGATCTATGAGTGCGCAGATGGAACCTCAAACTCGGCCATCTGCCTGTATGATACAGCTTCGATGTGAGTGTCGAGACGACCCAATACCTGTATTGTTTGATGTATGTAGAGGTATGTACGAGGCGACTTGACTGAGGAGGATCGTGATTGCTATAAGGTGGCTAAAAGTACAGCTCCTTGAGAAAAGTTAATGGGTTTATCGAGATGCTGTAAGTCCTAAGATGTTGCTCCAAAATATCAGTGTGATTAAATGCACTTCGGAAGAAGTCACTGATAGGATTGAAACGTCAGAGGATTGACATCTAGAAAACGATATGAATATGATTCCAATGAACCAATACTCCCATTTCTGCTTGAACTTGGACTTTATATCAGATATATCGAAGTTCAGATCATCCATGTCCTAACTGACAAATCGAACGTTACACGTTCATCTTTGACGAGCAAGGGTTTCAGAAATCCCGAGATCAGTATTGACGATTTGCTAGGCAACAATCATTTCCGATAACAATGAAAGAGAAGGTCAAATAACAGAAAGAATCATTGCCTCAATACAACATCTCGGGCAGTATGAAGGGTTATGATGCGAACAATAAGTATGAACCTGATAATGGCCAGTCAAATGCATCCGGTGCAGAGCCAAAGCCATAACGAGTAAGACACGTAATGCCGCCATTTTGATTAATTGTTCACCAACCCCAAGTATCGAAACACGCACGCTATGAGCTCTAAATAGCTGGTGCGGGAGCGGCCTAAAAGAATCAAATGCCCTTGGCATAACATCTTGTTTACCGACAGGCAACCCAATGTGACGATCCAGGGTCTGACAGCATATACATCAGATGCTGTTCCCCTGAAAGTAGGGCAAAAGATATAATGATACAGAGTAATAATCAAAGCAACTCGCAGTGCCATCATTCCAAGATTTATGGGATTTTGTACTATAGTATAAGTTGTGGAATTTCACTGAAATATATTTATATGACGCTGAAACCGCCATAATCACCGCTCATCAGGTGTCATGAGAGGATTGGGGATGTCATGACCCGAAAAGCGCTAAAGACAACACTGAAAGAGCGAGCCAAGAGAGCAGATTGGCGATATCCCGGTATGTTGCTCGATGATTTGCTCATTCTAGTGAAACATGAGAAAGTCTCATGCTGCAATTCACCATTATCGAAGGAGAGCCAGATTAGCCAGATCATTCAGACTTACATGTCGGCGGACATCATCAGCAGACTCTGTTCGATTGGAGCGTCCGGTTTGAGAAGAAGCCTGGGTTCAACCGTGCCGATGGCATACCGATAAGGTACAACACAGACATGCAACTCTGTGTTCTTCATAGACTAGTGACGAATTTCTATTTGACAGAGTTCAGTGTTTCCTTTGCTGTATTGTTATTGTCCTCTGCTTAACATTCCTATGGGTATGGAAGATAAGCGACTCAAGGACCAAGATGACGACGTGTCACCACCTGGTAAGGTGGTTATGTGTTGTTTGATATGTTCTATGTCAAAACACTTGCAGCGTGTAGTAAGAAAGAATATGTCATCGCTATTCGTCACTATTATCGTCATGCATTGTCAATGTATTTCGTGCGAGTTTTGGTGAATAGGCACAGACAGCATATTCCGCGAGGAGCAATAACAATACACTCCGTCTCAAGTCAACGCAATGGATTCCTTGGGAGTGCAAGACAAGAGAGAAACGTTACGACTCTGGCTTGCGAGGTCATCCTCGGTGTGCTCATTGGTGCCTGATGTTTGCCTGCCACAGAACCCAGTACGAGTAGGTTTAGGGTTAACAGTGATGTAGCGACACGCTTCACCAGTTATGTCTCCTCTTACGTGTCTTGATGTTAGGCCACCTAAACTTAATGAGCGAAGACGGCTGTACTCGAGAGACCACAGAGAGTTGGTCCGTATTGGAAGCCGGAAATCCTTTCACGTCAAGTAGCTTGGCTCCCGCATGAGGATTCACTATCCCATCTCCGACCCGGCGCGGGTGTGTGACTGCTTGATGTGTTTCTTTATTAAACCGAAAACGCTTGTACTCGGATGAATTGATAACTCGGTGTTGTATCTCATACCGCAATGGCTTGTACGCTGGCATAACGACGTTGAACACCCAGGATGTAAACTAACAACCACTGAGAAAAGAGTTGGAGAAAGGACGCAAGTACTTGGTCCCAAATTAACTTTACCATACATTTCAGGGTCACGATTGGGCTTGAAGCGTGCGTATAGGCATGTATGTAGGATTAATTCACAGCGTAGTCTCTAGTGTTCCATAAGCGGAATGGGGCAAGACGTCTCATCTCCCAAAGAAGACGCTCAAGACTGGAGCAACATCCCTCATACCCTATCAGATCCTTAAATGCAGGCAGGGCGAGAAAAATCACCCAAAAAAAGCCCAGATGGACAGCCAGAGCCAAGGGTCTTTCGCATTGTCTTAGGCCTACAGTGTGTCCAAGAGAGTGGTTGCCTCTGGGTGACCACACGACCACTGGCAATCCTCAGACGGAGCATTTCTTTACTAGTCAGGTGGTGTAACAGTGAGTAAACACACACAATATGGTGATCAGTAGAGTCTAATCTTCAACCTGTAGAAGAGAAGAGCAGGGCAGGAAGGTCGTCTCCAGCGCGAAAGCGAGTTGAGAGACACATTACATGAAGGCATCTGACGCCGGAAACAGCCTTGAACAGAACTCATCTCACCTGCACGGCTTCTCAGAACCGAATGCCTAAGTCTTCATTATTTCGAAAGTATCCCAAGTGGGTATCACAAGCACAGCAGTCTCGCGCCCGAAAGCTCAAAATTACGACAAACCTATGCATGACCAAAAGCGGCAGACAGCAGCGGACCATACATGGAGCTCGGATTGTTCTCACCGCGGGATGACGTCCTGCAAGAATGATCCCCGTCGCACAATTTATGTTTCCAGCGATTGGATCGTCCGTCGCCCAATCCGGAGGTCGGCATTACCAACATTTCTACAGACCCGCCGAAAGACGGGGCTCCGTCGACGGTGGACGGCCCCACATGGCCCTGCCATCATGCCAGCGAAGTACTATCCCCAGTCACGCGGACCCCGAGATATCGGCAAAACTTCCGTACTCTGACGGTGAAGTCCTGGCTCTGTTACAGACAGACACGGAAGTGCAGCACTCTTACTACCAGTTTTCAGCTGTGCCAACCAAAAGAGACTGCGCGACCAATGACACATCGAACATGACATCTTGCACAGCTGGACTGCGGGGCAATAGCACAGGCTGGTCGTCACGTACACAGTGACCGCAGACTTCATGTGCTGAGCGGTGTGCGGAAGGTTGAGGTCTGGTGTAAGTATCGAGGCTTGGTGACAACACGCAACTACCCGGTGTGTCGAAGTCGGCACTGGAAGCGGTCAAGGTATGAATCTGCAGTAAGCGGGTGATATTGATCGAGATGACGATTGCAGTCTAAGCGTATTTCGAGGCTGGCTTGCGGTGGTTGGCCATGTTCCACTGGGATGGTGGTTGAGAAGCCATTGACCAGTCACCGCCGGATGGGATTGGTGTGTAAGCCGGAAAACCTTTGGATTCTGTTGGTCCGGCCGAGCTTCTGTAGACGAAGACGAAAAAGAAACGAGCGGGAAAGCGGGTAGGGTTCATGGTTCGAGGTGTGGGCATTGAGATGGCAGATTTGGACAACAAATTGGATACCCGCTCCAAGCGCATGTGGCCGGGTGTGTTTTTATTTTGGATGGCAGTGAAAGTTGGAGGTTCAAAGAAAGCGCACAGGGACCCAGGACAGGGCGGCGAGCCCGACATGTCAAGCAAGCAAACGCAGGAATTGAGGTATATTTGGCAGAGGCTGCAAAGTGACAGTTTAGCCCGCCAGCCCCATAAGCAGTCTAGCAATCGGGCTGGGGGAAAACCCAGCGCAGGGAAATAGGGTTCATGCGTGCAGCGACTTGCACCGTCATGCGCAGCGGGGACAGATCGTGTTGAGGCGCACAAGTCGTGGCTGGCGGCGGGTGTGTGACCTATTCCTGTCGGCTTTGGCGTCCGCTCGCCTCTGTGGGTTGGACTGGGATTGCGAGATGCGCTGGCTCTGGTCTGGCCCCGGGATCCCACACTTGAAGGAGAAACGACAGACGTCGGGAAGATGGTAGACTGCGGGTAGTTCAATAAGGCAGGTAGGCACCGAGACCGTCCGTTGTTGGTGGTCGGTGGTCGGCCTTCTGATAGCTAAGATAGCGAGGAGCACTCAAGCTGACAGACGCCCCTCCCCCTCCAAAGGTCGAACGTCGTTCTCGGGGTGGGTTACGAGGTTGCTGCAAGAGTGCGGCGAAGGATGGATGTCAGAAGCGTCTCTGCGAACGCCCCCAAGTGTGATGTTCAATCCCCGCCCGAAGCAGAGAAGTGGATCTCTCCGCACACCAGCCGGTAAAGATTTCCCTCAACCCGTGGAAGAAGCAGAAGAAGGAAGCCGCAGACTGCAAGTCGATGCCTGTCGTGCCTGCCGTGCCTGCACTGAAGCAACACGAGCAGCAGGAAGGAGCTTGGCACGGCCCTTTCTTGTTTGATCTGCGCATCCAATCGAATGGACGACGTGGACCGGCACGCACCAGAATGCAACAAGCATATCTAATCAGATGTCGGCTGCCCATGCTCTTTGTCCCGTTGTCCCTGCCCTTTTTTTTTCTTTCTTTCTGGCTTTTATTCTCGTCTTCGCGAGGCGTTGCGCTTTTCTCCTCTCCTCTAGGCTCAAACGGGAGGTGCCTCGGCTTTCCACTTCACTACCTACCCAGGTCAACAGTCGTACGCAACTGCCCGCACCTTTACCCGCTGGTGACGCCGGCGCAGTCCACGTCTCTTGACTTCCGGATCGCGCACGGCCTTTGCGGGTTCCATCAACTGACAGGGCTGCTCGGGACGACTATTCGGAAACGGCTTAGCCAGATGCTCGCTGTCTAATGGCATGGCAGATGGATAGGGAGCGTGCCCGCGGCCATGAGTGGTTTGTCTCTGTGTCTTGACACTAAATAATACCCTGGCTTGTAGTGGTGTCATCCCGCTCTGCCCGCTTGAGCTGAGGCCCCGTTCTGAACCCCCGGGCAGAGCTCCACGGGCTGCTAATGAAATCAAGTTCGCCATCCAGCCATGGTGCCCATCGGTAGGGACATGGGTTACCGCTACCCGCCTCAGCCGTCAGTAGCTTCGACCATCTCCAACCTTGAACTGGCCTTGGCAGTCCGTGGTGTATCTGCTCGACAGTCGAATTGTCGTAAGCGCGGCTTCATCGTATCGTCAGGCCATAGCCTGCACTTTGCGACCGTGACCCCTCGAGTCCCTGACATGTCCTGCGTATCATCACCAATAACGGCCGGGACCGGGCAAGGGCCCTGGCAGCGATAATCTCTCGATTGCCTTCGAGGGCAACAAGCATCCGATCCTGCAGCGCTAGACGCGGCCGCTTCTTTACGACATCCATCAATCAACACCCCGGCTGCTGGAGCTTCCCCTGGCATCACATACCTGTACGCTGCTGGGCCGCACTGGACCCAAGGTGCGGCGTCTTTCCTTCGGCCTCTTTACGCCTTTGTCGAAAAAAGGCATCCATCGCAACGCATTTCTGCTGCAGCCGCCACGAGTCAAGTTCCCCGTCGTTCGGCTTACTGTGATCGGTGAGCATACATGTTGTCTGCAATCTCCGACCTCCGAGGCTCTGGGGCTGCATGCTGTGCCGCTGGGCCAAGGCACTTTGGGATCGTCCTGCATGCTGCAGTGCGAGGCAAGCTGCAACTCGCAACAGCCTAGAGATCGCCGCGTCGATATCGACCACACCCTTTGAAACACTGTTCCCAATCAGGTCTCACCGGGAGGTACTCCTGCTGTGCCTTGCTTTAGCTGCAACTGGATCTCGCCATGGACCACTCATTGCGTTCCGATTTGTAATAGACCCATCTATCACAATCCGCCGCGAAACAAACAATGCAAAGGACTGTTTACATGGTTTGCAGCAAGTTATGGGATACGGTATGCCTCGTGACTGTCGAGTGCTTCCAATTTTGGGGGGCAAACAACACAGAGCCAATCTATATTCATGGCCAAAACAAACCGCGATGGGCCCGAGTCAGGAACGTTGGCCCCAACTTGTCCGACCTAGCCTCAAGGTAGAAACGGAAAAGGAAAAAGAAGGACTAACTGGACGGGAATCCCTAACCAATCTCACAGATATCACATGGGCACGGGCAAGCCTTCCTGGAAGACCCTGACAAGCACGGCATCCGAGCACTGGCATCCTGTCCCCAAATCCCAAGAACAGGGTCAAGGGAGGCTGTCCGGCTCACAGGCCCTTCTGGGAAAGGCTAAACCCTTACTGCTATCTGCTGCTATCCACCGGCCAGTCTATTCGGCTCAGCCATCCGTGGGGTTTTTTTTCTTTCTTCCCGCTTCCAGAGCACCAAGGAATCCCAACTGCACTCTGTCTCCTGCACCTGCACCCTCTGGCGTTGCACTCTCAGCCCAGCCGCGTCCGTCATCATCCGCCGCCGTTCGACAACGGTTTGGTTCCCGCTCCTTGGAGTTTCCACCGATCCGATTCCCACCCAAATCCACTAGCGTCTCTGAGCAGTTCAGCATCTTTCCCGCCCCCTAAGCGAGACAAGCGGCCAGACAGACCCACGTTCACCTACTTGAGAGAAAGAGAGAAGAAGAGAGCAGCGTCAAAGCAAGGCAGGCGAGCCCAACCCGGACGAAGAACCATACCTCTGTCCAACGCCAGAGCTGCGCCAAACCGGGCCTGGCAAGGTTCCGTGCAGTACCGACAAGGCAGGCGGCCACATCACACACACTGAACCACACTTCTCGCTCACACCCTTGACGGTAGCCACCCCCACCAAGCTGCCACTCCCACGCCCACGTCCACTCCCTCCTCCTCCAGACCAGACCGCACCAGTCCTGTCAGTCGTGGTGTATGTCCCCCTCCATCCAAGAGAGTCCGCAGTCAAGGTCCACGGTCCACAGTCCACTCACACTACTCGCGCTTCCCTGTCGCCTCTTGTTTCTGACCCGTCGATTCCTTCTTACTGCCTGTCTGGGCCGCTGCCACTGGCACTCGACTAGTGAACAGCCATGAGCCTAAGAAAGGCAACTGGCCACAAAAGCAAGCCTGCGGCGCCTTTCCCTCCCGACCCTGACGCCGATACGGTTGCTTTGGCCCTAGAACCTCTGCCTCTTCTTACACCTCCAGCCGGTTCCACAAACGACAGCCCTGCCGCTGCTGAAGCGGATGTTGCGAATCCTTCGACTCCCTCGTCATCCGTCCAAACCACCTTCGACCCATATAACACGACACACCACCCTCGATCCGTCCCATCCACTCTGCGAAGTCGTCCCTCTACCCTCTCCTACACTTCGAGCGCCGGCGAACATGGTGACGATACGACCGATCAGATCCCAACATCTCCCGCCCCGCAACTAGACGACGGCGCCATGCCCTCGAAACCTTCCCTCTTGCGTTCCGCGGGCAACGACGCCCCATCCTACGGCGCTGTCTCCCAAGACCCGAGTCGCAATGTCTCGCCCACAGGCAGCGACTCGAGGACCGGCAACGCACACCCGCTCCGATACGTCTCCGACACCTCCAAATCGACCTCTTCGAGGTTCTCCGGCGGCTCGAGAAGAGAGAGCTCGCGTCTCTCTGAAGAGCTCGATGCCGCTGCCTTGGCTACCGGCTTGGAGGGGCGCTTCGGAGTGACCCAAGCTCCCGTGACGACCAATATGCTCGAGGATGCCAAATCTGACGCAGCCGGGGACGAGATAGAATACGACGACTACACGGGGAGCGAGCCCGAGGAGGACCCCGTTGACAATTCGCCTCACGAAGTCGTCCGCGCGTCAGTGCCGCCGACGGACAATGTCACCTTGTCCATTAACACCCCGAGAATGTGGATACTGTCGTTTTTGTTTTCGGTCCTAGGTTCTTCTACCAACTTGTTCTTTTCGTTACGATACCCTAGCGTTGCTATTACGCCCGTCATCGCATTGTTGCTCGTTCACCCGCTTGGCCTCATGTGGGACTATGCCCTCAAATACCCGACCGACCCTCCCGAGGAGTTCTTAGACGGCGTCCTGGTGCCTGGAGGCGCCAATGGCCGTCCGCCTCCGAAACGGTCCTTGACTCGGCTGCGCAGATGGCTTGCGCAAGGTCGGTGGAATGAGAAGGAGCACACTTGCGTCTACGTGAGCAGCAATGTGTCGTTCGGCTTTGCTTTCGCAACCGACGTCATTGTTGAACAGTCCAAGTTTTACCACCAGGAAGCCACCATCACCTACCAGATCCTCCTCACTCTGTCGACACAGATTCTGGGCTACGCCTTTGCAGGCTTGACGCGCCGGTTTCTGGTGCGGCCCAGCGGCATGATTTGGCCCGGTACTCTAATGTCAGCCGCCATGTTCGGGACGCTCCACAAGGAAGAAAACAAGATCGCAGACGGTTGGAGGATTTCGAGGTGGAAGTTTTTCTACCTAGTCTGGTTTGGCGGATTCGCCTTCTACTTCCTCCCTGGTCTTTTGATGCCCTGCCTCAGCTACTTCAACGCCATCACGTGGTTTGCGCCGAAGAACGTTGTGGTTGCCAACCTCTTTGGGGTTGTTTCCGGGCTCGGGCTTTTCCCGTTGACCTTCGACTGGGCGCAGGTCACCTACATTGGCTCGCCTCTGCTGGTGCCGTTCTGGGCAGCAATGAACGTCGTTGGCGGCCTCGTGATCGTAATGTGGCTCGTTGCGCCCATTGCCTACTACGCCAACGTCTTTTACTCGTCGTACATGCCCATTCTGTCGTCTGCCGTCTTTGACAACAAGGGCCAGGTCTACGACGTAAGCAAGATCTTGACCTCGGATTTCCTGTTCGACAGAGAGGCATACAGCAAGTACAGTCGTGTGTTTCTTCCCATCACCTACGTCTTGAGTTACGGCGTGCAGTTTGCTGCTTTGGCAGCACTTCTGACGCACACAGCCTGCTGGCATGGCAAGGATATGTGGCAGACATGGAAGACGGCTCTGGCAGAAGCTCGCAACGAAGGCCAAGCAGTCTACCAGCCTGTGTCTAGCGGCTCTGAGCATATTTCGCCCCAACGATCATTCAGCGCTACCAGAGGTATATCGAGGTCTTCATCCAACCTCGAAGGTATGATGTTCCGCGAGGACGTGCACTGTCGACTTATGAAGCGATACAAGGACGCCCCGCTGTCCTGGTACTTGACGACGTTTGTAACGATGCTCGCGGTGGGCATCTTCGTCGTCGAATAGTAAGTGAACCCTTCTGCCAATATGTCGAAATCCAAGGCTGACGGTACAGCTACCCGATTCACCTCCCGTGGTACGGCCTGCTTATGTCGCTGGGCATCTGTGCCATCTTCTTCATCCCGAACGGCATCATCATGGCGGTCACGAACCAGCACAGTAGCATTTACTTGATCTGTCAGCTCATTTGCGGCGCCGTGTTCCCTGGCCGTCCGATCGCAAACATGGTGTTTGTGACCTACGGCTACATCTCGTCGGCGCAGGGTATCAAGTTCGCCTCGGATCTCAAACTTGGTCACTACATGAAGATCCCTCCGCGGATCATGTTTTCGGTCCAGATGGTGGCCACAATCGTGTCCTCTCTCACGCAGATCGGGGTGCTCAACTGGATGTTTGCCAACGTTAAAGGTATATGTACGTCAGAGGCCGTCAACGGTTTTACGTGCCCCATCGCGCGGGTACACTTCAACGGCTCCATCCTGTGGGGTGTGGTTGGACCAGGCGAATTCTTCGGGCCGAACGCGACGTACCGCGGGCTTGTGTGGTGTTTCCTCATCGGCGCCATCATGCCAATTCCCTTGTGGCTCTACGCCCGCAAGAAAAAGCACAGTGTCGTCAGGAAGATCAACCTTCCGGTCGTTTTCGGATCCATGGCCTGGATCCCGCCGGCGACAGGACTCAACTTCTCGGTGTGGGCGGTCGTGTGCTACGTGTTTAATTACCTGATCAAGAGGAGGAAGAGCGCGTGGTGGGCAAAGTACACCATGACGATGAGCGCGGCATTAGACTCGAGCCTGGCGTTTGGCATTGTTGTTGTCTTCTTCGGTTTCATCTACCCAGGGCATATGAAGGGCTTCAAGTGGTGGGGGACAGAGGTGTATAAGCAGGGCTGCGACTGGCAGGCTTGCCCATACAACACGGTGCCGGAAGGGGGGCATTTTGGCCCCGATTCGTGGTGATGTTTTGACGAAAAGAAACGAGACGAAACGAAACGATTTTCACGGCATGTGTGCACAACATTTGATACGACTTTTTTTGGGGCATGGGAAGCAAGTATTGAAAAGGCACATCTTGGTTTAGATTACGGGATTCAGATAGGCGGAGTTATTTGCCATTTACTAGCGACCCTGTCGGGCGCGCCTGGACCAGTTATTCGCGCGCATATAGAGCAGATCATAGAGAGACGCTGCATTGCGAACTTGAAATGAGGCCGATTTTGGTCGTAATCCGATCCATCTGACTCGAGCTGGCTGCGACGTCGTACGGAGACAAGGGGTGTGAGTCTTGATGTGAGTCACAAGAAGATTGGTGACTCTGACAGTAGTAGAAAAGTTAAGAACAGGGAATTTGGCCTCAGTTGTGACCCCCGCACAAGTCGATTGTTTGCCAGGGGAGGTGGTTGTTGGTGTGCGTGGTGCTGGTCCGGGGTACGACTGACCTTCTTAAACGGATACGAGTGACGGGCGGCATCAAAATCCTCTCGTGAGGTGTGCGGGTTCCTGGCTTTGCGAAGAGAAGTTGGCCGAGCAGATTGGCCATGAAGAATTGCAGAAGATCTGACACCACGAACAAGAAGGGACCAATGAGTCAAAGTCGCATCTGGCTGTATGAGCGGCATCCTAGTCTAGGGTCCTGACTTAGAGTGAATAGGACAGGAGATCCGGAGGCCTAAGCTTTTTGTCTATCTGTATATGTCGTTTGTCAGGGATATGCAGTGAGATTTTGAGTGTTGTCGAGTTCGAGGCGGGATTACCGTGTTTCTGTAAGAGTGGGTTCGGCTGGTTGTGCAGGGAGCGATGCCGTTTGGGACGTCGGACGATGGAAGAGACTGCTAGATATAAGATGTCTGGACGACCTGCGATTCGAGATTGTTGAAAGGCACAGGTTGAACCATCATCTCTTTTAACTTACATTCGACGGTTTGGAACGATCTCGACGAGAAACTTTGTCAGTTGTCAAGTTGGCTTTGATCGGCATTTCCCTTTTAACCTTGGAAACCCCAACCGCTCCTATCCAACCTTCAACCTTCACTGCCCGGGACATCCGACAGCTTCCCGGTCAAGGCGCCTTCGAAACTTTGGAGAGAAGAAGAAGCGAAAGAACAAAGACCCAAACCGCAATCATGGCGACAAAACAAGCAACCCACCTCCCGACGCTCCTCCGCTCGCCGACCCACCCGATCCTGCTCCGCACCATGGAGCCCCGCGACGCCGCCGCCTTGTCGGCCGTGCTCTCGGACCCGGAGAACAACAAATACGACCCGAACGCCTCGGCCATCTCGCCCGAGGTCGCCGAGAAGGCCATTGGCCGGATGCGCGAGAGCGCGGCGGTGCCGACGGTCCTGGACGAGGCGAGCGGCCGGGTCGTTAGCGGGCCGGGGCGGGTGAACATGGTGCTCGTGCATGTCGAGGGCACGGAGAACACGATGGGGGCTCGCGGGGATGAGGGGACCGTCGTCGGGCTCGCGGGGTTCGGCGGCATCAACGAGCACGAGGAGGTGGGCAAGGGCAAGGTGCGGGTCGGCGACGTGGGCGCCATGGTCAACCCGGGGTTCCGGGGGCGCGGGTTCGCGACCGAAGCGATCCGGCTGGCGGTCGACTGGGCGTTTACGGGCGTCGAGGACGGGGGCCCGCAGCTCGACCGGGTCACGGCGACGATGAGCGAGGCGAACAGGCCGATGGTTGCGCTCGTCGAGAAGAAGTTTGGGTGGACCGGGGTCGTGAAGCCGGGTAAGGAGGGGGAGGCTGGGGAGGTTCTCTTCGAGGTTGAGCCTGAGAACTGGAGGAAGTGAGTTGGGTTCGCGAGGCTGTTGGCCAGACGAAGGATTAGTGCTGAGGAGGCTACCGCGGAGAAAGGTTGCTAGGTGGTTTATAAGTATTTCATATTGCTCTTCCTCAGACTGCGTCCATTGAGTTGCTTGGCTTGTGGGCAGTCTCCCTAACGCGTATTGTCAATGGTGACGGAGAAAACGGCATCATCCAGGACATTTTACGAATAGCATCCCAAGGCTTTTGCGGCTATATCCATTGAAGTTGCTCTGCAACACCTCATGTCTGACAGTATTTGTCTCCACTCGAGAGGCCGTGTTCGATACTACACGGACGGGCCGCCGAGGCAAAGGCGCAATATCACTTATAGGTTTGGCGTAGTGATGCTTCGGTGTTCGCATTCTGGAATATTAACACTAGTGCGCCGGAGGCTGCACTACATCAAACCACCCGCCAGCGAGTGGGCTCGTTGTCGCATCTTTTCATGAAAGGGCTTACAAGAGATCTATCACGTACCTCGGGCCTTGAGCCTGAAACACATATTTTACCAGTATTAGATGATCTATGGTTCCCACACCAACACAATGACAGAATCAAGATGGTCTCCATCGCCGTCCTCATCCTCAACCTCCCCGTTCATGAACCCCGACCGGCCTCTTCTCTTGACATACGCCTGCCAAACCTCACCCCTTTCCCCGACAACGGCATCCAGGAAGTTCCACACGTTCCTCGTACCGCTCCACGTCACAACCTCCTTCGTCTCCCTCACCTCACTCAGGACGATTCCTTCACCGAGCGGCATCTCCGCCTCCTGACCATACTGCATCGACCCTAGAAGCTTCGCGTCGCTTTCCATGGGAACGACGTTGAAGCCGCCGCAGTAGTGCGTGATGGAGTTTCCGTTCGCGAGGACCCAGTTGCCACCGAAGTGGAAGCGCTGCAGAAAGCAAGCCTCTCCGCAAATGGACGTCACAAGGTGCGCTAGGCTTGGACTGAAGCCATGGCGGGATCTGTAGTGGCGCAGGGTTAACGGGGAGACACCGAGGTCATAGGTCGCGGCCTGCATGTTGTAAAGGGCGTCGGTGGGCGAGTAGAAGCTCGGGAGGATGTGGAAGGGAATGTCGGTATGGTCCCTCACACAGTCGTGGAGAACGTTGTCCCATCTCGTATGGTTTCCGGTGAAGCCCATGGTTGGGCGACATGGGAGGTGGGAGATGATGAGCGCCGCTGGAGGGGTGAGAAAGATTGCGCTACCCCCGTGGGTGACTGCTGTGTCATTTTCAACAGACCAATCCGGGCGCTCGCTGGGAAGTCCGATGTAGTAAGGGCTTGAAGTGTCAAACTTTGACAGTCTCGAGATGAGCTGCCCCGGAGTCGGAAAGAAAATATCATCGTCGATGAGACCCAGGTACTGCTTCGGACGTCCCTGCTCGGCCAGCGCTTCGCTGGTATCCAAGAGAATGGCGATCATGTCTAGGTATCTCGAGGTTTTCTCCACGCTTTTGCCAAGCGGTACCACTGTGGCATCTATTCCAACCTCGTGCAGCTTTTCGTATATCTCCCACGCCTCCTCGCTGGTGGTCTGGTGGAGTGTCACAACGACAGTGGCTCCATTGGAGGACCCCCGACCGTTTGTGAGCCATCGCTTCCAGTCGCCGATGAGAGAGTCGTTGTCGTACGTGAGGCGATTGTAGGATGTTGAGACCCCAAAGAGCAAGTTGGAGGCATCAACAGTAGCTGGCTTGGGACTCTTCGTTACAGGAAGCACCTTGACAGCTCCTCCGGTTTCCCGACTGGAGTCATCGTCATCCCAGCGAATGTTTTGAAACCCGTTTTCCGCAAACCCCTGCTTGATGTTTGTCATTGGAAACCTCCGAGGGGCCTCTGGTACCACCTTGATTCTCTGGGAGAACCATGAGATCCTGTCTGTGATGTTGTTTCTCTCCGCCAGTATCCGCAGATAGTTGGTGTCGTGTTGAGTCATCTTGTTGCCTCCCAAATTGAGCAAAGGAACAAGAGGGTCGGTATCGATAACTTGGTAGGCATCCTGACGGCCCCGTACTACTTGAATCAGGATAAACATAAGCACCAGGAGAAAGGTCGCTGCATGCAAGGCCCTGGCATGGTTGTGGTACCCGTGGAGGGGCTGCATCTTGGGGGTGGGAAAATGAACGTCTGCGGTCCCCATTGTTCGCTACCGGGTTTGCAATGAAGCCTCACTTGAAGTGGACGATAGAGTTTCCGCCATGGGGAACATCCCGTCTTTTTGAGGGGATTTTGGGGAATGTTGCCTTCGATAAAGGGATGTTGTGCGGAATCCAGTTGGCCTCGGAAGTGAGACACCGTACACGCCCATCTGGCGACACGCGATTACTATGGCATCTACATGCCAAGTGGTGAGTAACAAAGAGATTCACCTCCCAAAATAATTCGTGGAGCATGCTAGAGCTGTAGTCTGGTTTGAGGGCCTTCGAGTGTCTTGAGGATTAAACGCCTGGAATCTATATATTGAGATGCGCCTTCGCGGGTGAATCGCCACCGCAGACCCCTCACGTCATCCTCCCTGATATTGATACGCAACATTCCAAGCTAAAGTAATAGAACGCCGCAAGGAAAGGCTTTGTGATCAACTGAAGATAGGAAAAGTCGAAGAGTCAACAGCGATCTCGGCGCAGTTGTGGTCGAGGAGGCTCTTTGCGGGTTCCTCGAGTAACACACGTCGGTGGCCGATGCTGTTGGGGATGGACATCTCCACGGCAATGGAAGTAATCAAACTCGGCCCGACGGAGGTGTACGAACGGGCCATCTCAACGGACGGGCTTGAGGGAGGAGAGGGTGTGCAACCAGGAAACTGGCTTTTTTGGTCGGTTGGGGGATGAAGACGGGGACGGGAGTCTCGTTCTAGGTGACTAGCTATGGCCTCTGCTTGTTTCTCGACTTCGAAGGGAGGCCGAACCATTCACGTTGAAGAATTCACTTTTGAAACCCTGCATCCAAGTGTTTTTGGCTTCTTCACTGTGTCCTCGACGGAAACATATTGCGTTCGTGTCACACAGCCCCTCGTCCAGCACACCTCACTCCCCATCACTTGAAAGCCATCCTTTGGCCCCCATCTTGCCAGTCTTACGTAGAACCTCTCGGAGATATTATCAAGCATCGCACAAGGTGCTGCTTCTCCACAAATTGAGTATTTCTCCTTCCGATGCGGTGCCACGAGGCAGTGGTGCAGCGCCGGCCACGACGAATTTGCGTCGAGGGCGAGCGGTAAAACCATGAAGTATTCGGGTCACACCCAGTGAGGCAACTGCCGTCGCCTCCTCAGGTCAGTACCACAAAGCACAGTTTATTTCTCCGCAATTCGTGACTCAATCTTTAAGGCCACTTCCGTACTGTCGTTTGGTGTTGTTCGCACTCCATGGTGGTCACTCACTACGCTGGGAACAGCTGTTAAAGACACCGAACCAGGTTGCCCTGTTTCAAAATACCGAGAGTCTTTGGTATATCAAGAGAACGGGCCCAGCCATCTCTTCAACTCCAAAGCGCGAAGGATGCTTGCCGACATCGCTTGGCAGCTTCGTGGCCTGATGGACTGTGGATGGCCTTGTTCATGGCCGCCGCAGACGTGAAGCCGCCCGTCCGCCCTCGAGCTACACAACCACGCTTCGCATCCACGCTATGTACAACCGGCACCCGATTTCTGCATGGCCAAAGAGGAAAGCAACCCGGAGTCGATGCGTACAACCGTTTCTGCATCCATCTTTGCGTCGCACCGCGCATGGCGACCTCGCCACTTCTCTCTCCTGTCACTCGCTGCGGTGTGACCGAGACTGTGTGTGGTCATCTGAAACCATGATGGTATCTTCATCAATGGTTCATTCAGGAGCCGCAGGCCTTTTTGGTATGGGACCATCTCTGGATCTTACAAGCCTAAGTCTGGAGACCCTAGCTCGAAAGACCTGATATAGTATCCAAACATGGCGGCGTAGTCACGATCTGGTGGGGTTAACGTTCACTCTCTCGGCATCGCCTATGACGGGCGAAACATCTGACAAACGCCCAGATAATAGTTCTTCCGCCTGTAGCAAGGGTCTGAAAAACAGCTGTCGCCCCTGTTTACTTCCCCCTTGCAAAGAGCCTGGGCTCTCTTTCTGGCTCGTCTGTCTAGCTCACCAGTTTTTCCGTTTGCAAGAGTCTCAGCCAGGGGCCCGCGGCCACGATGGACTCAATGCCTGTCGAAAGTAGCGGTGCGCGGGAGGCCGCAGAAACCCAATGTCTAGCCACCATTTTAACGAAGCGCTAAGCAAGGGGTCGTTGACTCGACCGCGTCCAATGCCGTTCTCTGTATTTAGGCATGTAATGGGTTTGAGACTTGACGCTATTCCCAGGTCACTTTAGCAACATGACCACGAAGCACTGAGATTCCATGAAGTTTGATTCCACAAGAATGGTCAAGATTGGCCCGCGATGGGTTCGAAAATACTATCCGCATTCTGGTTATGTGAGTGCAGGAGGAAGATACTAATGCTTGAAACCTCTTGAGGGGCGTATACACCAGCGTACGGGTCGCTCTTCAAGATAGAGAGGCTTCTCGTGCTTCCCGCCGGACATTTTTCTCTTGTGCTTGTACGCAGGCAAGCCTGTTGGGGCACAAAAGAAGCTATGGTGACAGCTGCACCCACCCCTCCAGGAGAGCCAGATAGGGGTACGACCAGGACTGGACTTCTCGAAGAGCCCAAGAATATCTCCGGCAGGCATTGGATTGCCTACGGATATGCACATAAGCCAGCCACAAAGAAAGTGGCCCGGCTTTAGCGGTCTGACGAAAGACTGGCCGCCATCTTCACCCATAGCAGAGTAAGCCGATAATCGAAATGGGTTCAGCACCCATGACGCGTTGATGTGGTCAAGTTCTTCAGTCGTCGCAAAACGCAGGCCAACACCGCCAGCATCAACTCTATCGCCTCTCAGCTCAAAGCCACGGTCATGTGTGCCGAGTCAACGTGACGTTGCCCTGAGATCCTCAACGTAGCAGGAGGACCAGCTCTGTTCCACCATCTCAACCATGCTGCTAGAGTCAACGGCCAGATGGTACTTCATGCGGCTATCCGCGAACCCACTCTGCAAATCCCACCCCCGTGCGCATCCAAACAAAGCGCCCTTCCCTGTTTGGCTTTTGCGGGAGTCTCTGCTGTATTTGCTCTTGCAGACTTGTCCAACGACTGCGATGTTCAGGGGACGCGCTCCGCAGTCCCCTGTGAATCCCTCTTGCGGAATAATGCGTGCTCTCGTGGAATCTGATGAAACTTGCCTAGCCTCGATCTCTGGCCTCTGAGTCGGCTGCGGGGCGTGAAGTGAATACCTTGGAAGCCTCCAGCCCTCGCATACGACTGGACGACGGCCTGGCCTCTTCTGTGAGCCCTGACAAATTCGTCAGAGGTGCGGATACGTCTGTATGGAAGCTTTTCCGGAGCCGTTTGGCTTAGCCGGTCTCTCAAGACCGAAACGATATACACAGTGACTTACGATCACCCCACAACCCCTGGCCGTGGCCTCATCCCAGTACACCCGACCTCGTGGATCCTTTCTGGAGGAAACATATTAGATCACACCGTCAGTCCAAGGTCTCGTTGCCTCCTTTGCTGTTCTTCATACCAGTCATCTCTCACTTCGTGGCTTCACCTCGATACGGCAAAAGAAAGAGCGGTGGCCGGGCACAAACGGAAACCTTACCGCCGAGAGGTCGATTCCAAGACACTCGCAACAAAGAAGGCTGCACCGAGAGCGCCGAAATCCAAGAAGGAGTCCCCGAACCCGACACTGGGACTGCAGGCTCCGTTGCAGGACCGGGAGCCTCTTCAAGAAAGACGACGATCTCGAACCCCCTTGTCCTTGGGCAGCTTTGCCAGCGTGCTGCGTGCCAGCTGGTTTTGAGGCGCCAACCCCCGGAACGAAGACATCAGGTGTTTGTCGGCTGCCAAAGAAAGCCAGGTCCTCTGCTGGCCGTTCCCCTCTGGCACCTAGTCTCTGTGTTCCTGCAGGACTTGTCTTAAGTCCTCCCCATCTTCCCTTCTTTTAGGGACAAGTTCGCTGCACCGGTTCATCAGGTCTTTTCCGCATCGCAGCATTACACCGCTTCCAAGACACACCTTCGTCCTCTCCCCTACAAACAGCCCGGCAAGATGCTTTCCGTCTCGTCTCTTCTTAACCCATCGCCTCCTGGGCCGCTTCCTGCCCCTCGGTTCCTCCCAAGTCCTGCCATGTCCTCGCCGGGAACCTGCTACTCCGACAGAGCCCCGTCACCCTACCTGGACCGACCCGTCACCCCGAAGCTCAAGATGGCGAAGGAACCGGTTCCAATCTCCAAGTATAGGCCTCGCGGCGTCATCAAGTACTATCCCTTTGAGAACGTAGACGAAATGACCCGTCACGAGGTCCACCGGTTCCGCGTCACGCCTTTTGGAAGGATCCAGGAGTCCTGCGCCCATATTCCCTACAACAGCGGGAAGAAGGACTTTTTTGAAAAGACGGGCCGGGAGAGCTTTGAAGGTGTGTGTCCCAGACGACTCAGGGGGACGCCAATTTGCTGATGAGCTTGATGCAGTATTCAAGTATGAGTTCAAGAACCCGGGCGATGACAACGAGTACACCGTCATGTGGGATTACAACGTCGGGCTCGTCCGTATGACTCCGTTTTTCAAGTGCTGCAAGTATTCCAAGGTAGGCCCTCCCGACTCGTTGCAAGGGGTTTGCTCACACTTTGCAGACGGTGCCAGCGAAGATGTTGAGCTTGAACCCGGGCTTGAAAGACATCACTCACAGTATCACGGGGGGCGCAATAGCAGCTCAAGGTTTGTTGACCTGGTTCTTGTGCTCGAACACAAAAGCTTACAATGCCAGGATATTGGATGCCGTACGAATGTGCCAAGGCGGTATGCGCCACTTTCTGCTATAACATTGCCGGGGCCCTCATCCCGATCTTTGGGCCGTCGTTCCCGGCCTTGTGTGTTCCTCCAGGCTCTCCAGACTACCAGCGCATGGTGATCGATCACCGCATCGTCGAAGACGCCGTCAGAGACGCCGATCTCTCACGAAAGGTCCAACAGCATGCTCTGCCACCCATCGACCTTGGTCTCGTTCCCAGCATTGGACGCCGGCCCACGCGTCACATTCGGGATGACAGGAGGCTGCGACTCAACACTCGGCTGATGAGCCCATACAGCGACACTGACGTGGAGAGCCACCGCTCATGCCCCGACTCCGCCTCAAGCAACGGCTCGGACAGCGTCGGCTACAGCTACGGATACATCCCGGCTCCACCACGACACTCCCAACCGCCGCCGACCTCTGGCTGGACAGCCGCAAATCGACCGCCGCAGCCGTACCGCCTCGTCGGCGAAAGCTACCGCCCAGCCGATCCGCACCTCAGCGCCGTCCCCCGTTGGACCCCGGTGAACAGACACGCCGTCACACCTCCTCGACCAGTCTGGGCGCAGAAGCGCCCCGTTGACGACGACGAACATGACAAGACTAGCTGTGACACCGGGGGAAGTTCGCACGATAGCAGCTCCACCCTGAGCTGCGTACCAGAGCTGCGGCGGGAGGACGAGTCCGACGCCGAGCTGGCCGAGCAGAACGCCGCGCTCAGCCTCGTGACGCTCAAGACGGCGCCCCGTAAGGAGGCTGGATACATCAGCGACGTGGACAGCCCCGACTCGCACCGCAGCAAGCGGCGGAGGGCCACGTCTGCGTGAGTGACGGTCCGGTTCAGGGAGGGGAAAAGGAAGACGACTTGAGCGGCTCTAAAACATATTCTAGATTCCTACGTTTGCTCGCGCACTTTGCTGGATTTCCTTTGGAAGGGTTAACGGTGTCGGAATCGGGGAATGATTGCGGCTAGACTAGGAAAGACTCGGTGTCCTTGTGATGGAGAAACCGGAGGCGGACGGGGGAAGGGGGGACGTGGTGTTTGGCGGAATGTAGAACAAACAGTTTTTATCTATGATGGAAAAAAAAAACCCAACGCCCGAGTTTTCGGCATTCGTAGCAATCATGAAAGTCTTTTTCCTTTTCCTCTATCCGATGTGGCAAACCCAATGTTTTCGAGAAACCCCCCTTCCTCTAGCTGCTGCCCTTCTCCGCGGCCTTCTTGATCTTGAACTCCTCGATCCACCCCTTGGCCTTGGCCGCAGGCACGACGTAGACCCTCACGATGCCGTCCACGACCTCGACGTTGCCCCCGCTCAGGATCTTCAGTAGCGTCGCCTTCTTGCCCACCTTGACCAGGCCGCCCTTGGTCGTCTCCATGTAGCACTCGACGCCGTCGGGCGAGTACTCCCTCTTGTCGTCCCACGGTACGGGCAGGATGTAGGCCAGGTGGTCCGCCAGGCACTCGGTCTCGTTGAAGGCCTTGATGAAGTCGCTCTCGAGCTGCAGCGGGTACAGGAAGACGGCCGGGAAGCTCAGGCTGCTCGACGGGTCGTCCTCGTCCGGCACGAGCTTCATGCGCGCGTCCTCCATCTCGGGCGGCTGGGCCGTCGTGCGCGTCTTGATGCCGCGCGCCGCGAGCGCCGCCTTGAGCAGCATCTCGCGCCGCCTCTCCTTGGCCATCCTCTCGGCCTCGCGCCGGGTCTTGGCGTCGGCCCGCTCCGCCGCCTTGATGATGTCCTGCGCCACGGCCTTGAGCGGCTTGTTGTCAGGGTCGAGCGCCAGGCCCCGCGCGCAGGCGTCGTCGGCCTCGGCGATACGGTCGACCTTGAGCAGCGCGCGCGCCGAGCGGTAGTACGCCTTGAGGTTCTTGGGGTTCAGCCGCAGCGCGAGGCCGCAGTCGGTCCAGCACGACCGGTAGTTGCCCAGCTCGAGGTGGCACGCCGCGCGGTTGACGTACAGGCTCTCGAGCACGGCCCTCTGCTTGGCAATCTCGTCGTCGTCGTCCTCGACCTCGACGTCCCGCTCCTCGGCGTCATCCCCGTCGCCGCTCTGCGCCTTCTCCGTGTGGAACGTCTTCTCGCCCTTGGCCCGCCTCCGCTCCTCGAGCGCGAGGATGTCGATGCCCTTGGTGTAGAACTCCTTGGCGTCGGCGTACATCTTGGCCTTGAAGCACTCGTTGCCGCGCTCCTTGAACTCCTCGCCGTTCTCGCGCGCCGTGCCCTCGTACGCGAGCGCCTGCAGCGCCGCGACGTCGTCGTTCTCCTCGAGCTCCGTCATGAAGAGCGGCGACTTGTTGAGGTCCGCGAGCACCTCGTCGGCCGTCTTACCGCTGAGCAGGGCGTGGCCGGGGGGCAGCGCGGCGCCCTTCGCGGCGCCGGGGGCCGCCTGGCCCGACGCTTCTGCCGCCGCCGCTGCCGCAATGGCGTCGCGGCGCTGCGTCTCGGCAATCATGGCGTCGGCCATTTGGTCTGTAATCTCGTCGAGCTGCATGTTTGCGACTGGACCCGCTTTTTCTGTCTTCAGGCCTGTATGTGTGTGTCTCTCCCTGTGACGCAGTTTGGCAGGCGAGCTTCACTCCCTCATAACCTGGATGAGTCTGTCGCTGTTTCCGGTGGTAGTAGTCGGTTTTTGCGGTGTAAGCTCTATGGCTTACATGTGATGTTGAGTGTGACTGTGTGAATGAATGAATTTTTTGGAGATGAGTGAGTTTGTGTGTGGTTTTTGCGGTGGCGATTTTCATTGGGCAGATGACCTAAATTCTGGAGTTCATGGAGGAGCTACGAACCTCATGGAACTAATAAACGTTCAACCTCACTTGAAATGGTGATGAGCGGTCCGAAGCTTGATAAGCGCGCCCTGCTCATTCTTTAAAGAAAGTGTGCTTGTTTTCTTCATGAATTGCATTCTGTCCATGAATTCCACTGCTATTAACTTGGCCTTTCAAACTGCATCATCAAATCGCCCTAGAGCATTGCAAATTGATCATGATAACTTCAGTTCTATTAGGGCGCCAATCTACGTCAAAAAATTAAGTGACGACCGCTCTCAGCGCCTCATCAATGCAACCAAACTCCATTTCAGCCGTGCTCGCCTACAGGCTGACAAGGGATATCTCTGGGCTACCCGACGCCCGCAGCACTTATCCCGACTCCAAAATCAAAATCCAGATCCGTAACGCCATCTCCTGTTTCAGTCCGAAACAGACAAACAAACAACTCCCCGTCTATTACCCTTTCTCATGTTTTTGTTGGATCGTAAAATCTTTTTGAACTCCGTTCCTCGATGTACTTGTTGTCTTGCACTCGAACTTATCTAGTCGTATTCGTGACAATCATTTCATGGCACATTTACTCATCGTCTGAGAACGTCTCCGTGATAGTGACCCGGGACTCCTTCTTGCGCAGGCAGGGCTGAGCGTCCTCCTCGCTCGCCTCATACTTGCGCTCACGCTTCACGGAGAAGCACTGGACAGCACCGATGATGGCGACGACGGCACTGCCGTACCATGCCAGCGCGGTGCAGTCGACCCTGCTTCCATAAGTGTACAGCCAGCCGGCGACGGGAGGGGCAATCATGCGGAATCCAGCAGCGGCGCTAGCGGCCAAGCCATTGACCTTGCCGAGAGCCTTGGGAGTGGGAGTAGCCTCCTTGATCAAGATCAAGAGCAGCGGGTAGAGGATGATCGACAGGACGTTGCGGACGGCTAAGCAGAAGTAGATGCCGGCGTACAACAATGACTCGGGGAGGAAGAGCAGGCTCGGGACCATGACGTAGGCGACCGGGTGCAACACGGTGACAATGATGAACAGGCGGTAGACACCCAGTCTCTCGGCGGCGAATGGGAAAATGACGGCCTGAACAAACAGCGCAATGACACCGTTGACGGCCATGATCATGCCCACAGCACGGAGCGAGAGACCAAGACCACCAGGCGTGTAGAAGGGGCTCGTCGGGGAGGTGAGAATGGACATCGGGTTGGCGATGGCGCGGTCATCCTCGAAGAAGATGGGCAGGAGGTGGTCGTAGGTCATCGAGTGGTAGGTGAAGATGCAAAGGGCGAGGATCAAGGACACGATGGGCTTGGTGTAGATGTTGTATGGCTGATCCGCCTTCTTCTCGGAAGCCCTCTGGCTGCGGCCGCGGACCGTTCCGTAGTTGTCATCTCTCAGGTCAACGGCGGGTCTCTTCATGGCATCCGACGTCTCCAGCAAGGGAGTCTCCTCGGAGGCGTAGGTGTCATCCGGGAGGAAGACACGGGGCTGCATGTCAGGGTGGGTTTCCTCCAGCAGGAAGTAGCCCAGAATGATGCTGACAAGCAGGAGAGCAGCGCAAACGAGGTTGGGCAGAAGGTACGGGTAGCGGTAGAACAAGCCATCGGCGGGGAACAACGCGGGGAACGCATCGTGGGGGTCGGCAAAGGTGCCGCCAATGAAGGGGCCAATGATGGTGCCAATGGACCACACGAAGGGCATGACGGAGAAAGCACGGGCTACGAAATTAGCATGAGACATGATGGAGAGCGAGGAAGGGAAATTCTTACGCTCATGCTCAGGCTTGGTCACCAATTCACCAACCATGGTCTGGATGACACCGATGTTGCCGTTGAGGAGACCGCCGATGGCTCTGCCGACGAGGGCGATCCAGATATTGGAGGCGAAGCCGACCATAACCATGCTGAACATGGTGCCGATGCAGCCCAGGAGCAGTACGGGTTTCCTTCCGACGCGGTCAGAGAGACCGCCCCAGTACATGCCCATCAGGGCCTCCGCGAGGGAGAAGGAGGAGATGAGGAGGCCGGCGTAGAACGAGGCATCTTCAGCGTTGCCGATTTCGAATCTCTTGACGAGCGCCCAGGCATAGGGAAAGATGGATGTGAGGGCGATGGGCTCTGCCAGACGGACAATGGCTGAAAATGGGTGTTAGTATGGGCGGCTCAAGAGAGGAACGTGGTGAGCGTGGGATGATGCCCCGGGGGGGCGAGACATGGAATGCCAGCAAAAGGAATGTGGTATGTGTAACTCACCCAGGAGAAAGAGCTGTGTGGTGGGGAAGTCGTCCGGGTTGCGAGGGCTTTTCTGCGTGGTTAGGGCCATTGTCTCTCGACTTGGTTCAAGTCTTACGATGCGACAGATACAATCGACGAGAATTCTACTGGAACGTAGGAAACTTGAAGAATGAAATGTCGGGATGCGTGTGTGCTTATACACGATTCTCGTCTCGTGGCCGGCGGCGTGTGACGTATTGCACGAGGAAGAGAGACAGGGAGAGTGTTCGTCCGTCTTCGGATGGCTGATGGCGAGAGAAAAGAAGAGGAATGCAGCAACGAGCGGAAGCAGGAGGGGGGACGAGGTAAATAATGCTTCTTGGACGTGGATCCGTGGACGATAACGGCGTTCGGAGCGGGTAACCAAGCGCTTGCAGAGGTCCGGGGTCCCAGATGGAGCTAGAAGTAAAGAAGGACGGCGGATGCAAGCGGGAAACAAAGCCGGCGAGTACGGTGGTATGGGAGAGCTGCGTCGGTGGTGTCTTGCTTGGGCTTTGCTGGTTGTGGTGGGAGGAATGCATATGACGGGCGGCGTGAGAGCGAGATGTGTTTTTTTTTTTGTCTCCCCGTCCTGCTTCTGATACGACTTACACCGTCAGGTGTCCCAACACCACCCCTCCAGCGCACAGTCGGCACAGTGTGGCGGGGCTCTGCTGGTAGCGTGAAGGCACCTGCACCTGCAAAAGCCTGCAGCGACAGGTGGGGCGTCCAGGGAAGTGCGGTTTCCAGACCGACGGCGTCCAAGGAAAGGAGCGAGTCTGGCCGCACGGCGACAGGGAGGAGGGGAGCAGAGAGCGCTTCGATTGTTGTCTGCGGCTGCACGGAGCAGCTCATGCGCAGGCACTGGAAGGGCTAGGGTATGTAGCTACCGAGGTCGCGACCGTGGTTGGGCCAGGGATATATGCATAGAGTAAGTGGCGCCGTGGACCATGCGGGTGACGGGGGAGGGATCTTACGCTAGTTTAGCGCTCTTTTTCTTCTCGCAGTGGTGTCGAGAGGAGCGCACGGGCTCTAAAGGAATATCCGCTTGCAAGCTGCGCTACGGTTCCCTGTTGATGCAGTAGCGCATCTCGACGGTGGACTTGTCGTCGTGTGTGAGGTGTCGTGTGTGGTGGGCTTGTTTTTCTCTCGTTTCTCTCTCTCTCTCTCTCTCTCTCTCTCTCTCTCGCTCCTCTCTGTCTCTTCCTTCCTCCTGCTCGCTCTCCCCGCCGTGTGTACCCTCCCTCTTCTCGGTGGGGGGGATGGGGGGATGGGAAGCCGGCTGTCGGTCGTCGGCTGCTCGGATGAACTGCACTAGACACTAGACACCCGCGACGGACTCCAGCTTCTTTTCCTTCTTGCCTTCTTGCCTCCCACCCTAATGGCAACTGACCATATCACACGCACGCCCATCCAAGGATCTCCCGGAGCTATGGCTGCACTCAGGAGCGTTCCGTGCCTGTCAACAGACTGCACACGATCGTCGGCCGCCTGTCGCCCTCCCAACATTGGACGATGAGCTGTTCCTCGAACCTACTGGCAACTCCCAAACAGGCAATCCAACCTACCTCACCGAAAAAAGAGGCCGGTTCTCCTATTGCCGGCCACCCTAAGGCAAAAGCGCCTCGGTCGGTGTCGGCTCGTACTCGTCATTCATCGTCGTCAGTCAGTAGCCATCGCGGATCTTGGTTGATGTCGCCCTCCCAACGTTGGACGGCAACGGATGACTGCCGACTGTTCCACGCGAGTGCCGAGTCTGGCCTCCTTTTTTCTTCTTTCCCTGGCCGGGTGTCACGATCTCACCGCAAGGATTACGAGCTGGAAACTGAGATGCCGCATAGCATTGCAACGCAACACGGCCAACGTCGGTCGGGAAGTCTGACGAAAGCTCCACGGATCATCAGGTTTTGGGCCGGTCCAGAGTGTCGGTCGAGCGCGTCTCGTCTGCGCAGCGAAATTGCTTGCCCTGCCCGCCGTTGCCCACTTTCCCAAGTCTTCCCTGCTGCCCTGTCCAATTCATGGCCCAATTCTGCCATGGTGGATGATGCTATTGGCTGGCGGCTCCGACACACTTGGGACGGCGGATTGGGTTGCGTTGCACGCACTGTGCTACGCTCCAGTTTCTCGCCGGGCTAGCGTGCGCCGCATCCTTATATCCGAGTTCGTTAGTCATTGACACCTCTGATTGGCCTAATCATCGCGCATCTCCATCCTGACTCTGCCTGTTCCAGTCCTCTCTCTCTCTCTCTTTCTCTTTCTCTCTGCCGCCACCCAACAACGTCCGCACCACCCAGCAACGTCGACTCGAGAATTGTCTTTCTATGCGCTACTGCGACTCAGCATGCGCGCACCTCGGACGACACGGGACGGTTGTTGCGAACCCAATTGGAGGGTGGAAGGAGCATACGTCGCCTGACGTTAGACAAATCCATTTTCGTCGCATTTGACGAGTTCAGTGCGCTTGGTTACTTTGTCCGCTGCCGCTCGACGTTGCGACGGGTGAAGAAGCAAAACAGCCCCTTCGTACACAATCAATCTCCCGTGCCAAGGACTCTCAGCCTTGGACGTCCTCCAGCAAGATGCGGTGTGCGAGGGTCAGAGGCATGACGATGCTGTGGAACCAAAAAGCAAGCTTCAGGTCGCCCCGAGGCGAATGGCCCAAAAGTGAAGCGATCAGTTCAGACTGTAGCAGATCTCGAACCCGTCGTCGGCCAAAGCCTGGACCCGGCTCAACAATCGGGACGCGACCACGGCCCAGCACGCAGGAGAGAGTGGGCAGGCGGCAGTCGACCAGGACAAGGACAAGGCCGCCCATCCATCCACTTTTGCTAGTGTAGTGCAACCGACCCCAGCGCCGACGTCGGTCGTCCCCAGTCCTGGTCGACTGCATTTGTTGACAGGACAGCCGGCGCACCACGCACGCATACTGCCCTCTGCTTGCCCTGCCCTGCCCTCCGCATCCCTCTGGGTCTGGACACCGCACACAGTTTCGACGTCGACGCACCGCGTCGCTCGTCGAATCTTCCGGCTCGCAGTCTGCAGCTTGGGCATTCATCAATGGCAGGTGCAGCGCGCCCTGCATTTATCCTGTCTGCAGTAAGACCCGCCAAAGGCCCCAATATCATCCGTTGGTGGTGGCATGTCGGCTATCCAGTAGGATATGGCTGTCGTTCCATCCGCCTGCGAGATAACGCTGATGACTTCGCGCCATGCTGCGCTTGGGCCGCTGGGGAGGGGGGCCTTATCTCACCTATCAATCATTTCGAAGCCCAGCATGAAATTATGCTTTTCGCAACGCACCTCACCTCGAATGACACGCACCACCACGGTTGCTAGCGTCGCCCGCAAGCCTGTACCCACCACTGCGCTCCGTGTTTAGGTAGGTCTCCACCGCCCACATGCAACGCCGCCAGGTAACGCATCCCGGAATACCGCTTACTTGCATTTACCGCCTATCCCCCTCCGTCCCCTCCTCGGTAACGTGCTCTCCGAACCTCCATTCTATTCCCAACACGAGTGCTGGGCCGTCCATCCCACTCCACCGACTTTTCGGCCAACCTGTCCTCCCACCAAGTACGCCCTCACACCCTGATGGTGGGTTGACTGCGTTTCCGTGCCTCTTCTTCTTCTTCTTCTTCTTCTTGGCTTCCAACGATTCTTCGTCTCGAAATGTCGTCAAAAGGCCCCCCTTTCATCGACGTTGAATCTATTCCTCGCCGCCCCGCATCTCCATCTGCAGGCATCACCTTCCGGTCCGCCCCATGACAGGGTTCTTTATGGGAACTTGCGCTAGTTCCCGTTTGGAATCCTTGAAGGGGTGTGAAGCCCGTGGCGAGTGGGGTGGGTGGCACTCGCTCACTAACGGCGCTCTTTGACTTCGTCTCCTTTTACACGTGTCGAAGATCAACACTTTTTGAGTCACAAGCCGCCTGCCTGGTGCTAAAGGCCTGAGACGGCCGCTAAGAGTCAGCCACCGGGTTGTTTTTGTTTTTCTCGTAGCCTCTAGAAGTCTGCCTTTCCGGGAAGCCTGACGCTCATCGTTGCTGATCGTCGCCAATCACCAGGCACGTTCGCAACCTCCACCGCCCAAAATGGACAGCCAGGGAACAGATTGCGTTGCGTCAAAATGACATCGCCACCACGAAAACACCCATGCCGACCTTAAAGGCCAATGCCATTTGGGAGCCGGTTAGCTTTGACATCCCCCTTCGACATTGAATCCTTAATTCCCGAACCGGTCGTCCTTCAACGGCCTGAGACAAGGGTGTGCCATGGGGCCCGACGTCGTGCTCCACTCACCCCGCGCACGCCATCCTATAGGGCTCTGACGTTGTCGCCAACCCCCACGCTGTCGATGTCTTACAAAGAGCCGCCTTCAACGTCGTCTGTCGATTCTTCGCGTCGAGACGCTTGAGAGGTTTTTTGCTTGAACTAATACCCGCTGCCGATTCCTGTCGTGCTCATGTGTTGTGATGCCCTGTCGCGATTCTGTCGCTTGGCAGCGGATGACTTACAGGTCGGCCTCGCGCCAAGGAGTTGATAATGCTTGAGTTCAGCACGTTTACTCCTGATCTTCACATGTCATTGGACCATCCTAATGTAATCGGACTGTTCAATATACAAGTTGGCGACTCAAGTGTCGCCGCCCGGTTTCATGCCACTGTCTTAGCAACGCCGCCGGCTGCAGGCATCGGTCCATCTGGATCTGTGTAACCTGGTTCAACATCAAGACAGGGCGTGTATACTTCAAGATCCCTTTCGCCTGTGTTAGAACATTTATTTTCGTATCTTTGCCACTTGGGTTGGCATCAACCAGACAGGTTCTCGTTGGCCTTTGCCGAGTGCAGGCAGCTTCTATCCATTGTTGTCTCGAATATACTCCGAGGGAGCCGAGTGGCAACACGAAAGAAGCAAGCTCGTTTGCGAGAGGGGCATCTGTAAGGAAAATCACACTTCTTCACTCTAGAGCTGTCGCCCTAAAACGCATCATACGGCGAGTTTGTTGTGCAATCGTAACACGGCTGTCGAAAGCGACGTTGGGCTATTCATGCCGAAGCTGCCGAAGGGTACGCGCAAAAAGAACACACGAATCGGGAGACGATACCGCAGCGAAATTTCCAAACCCTCGTCTGCGACCCAAGCCGCGGATGAGATACCCGGTCTCCACACCCCACTACCATACTTGCCGAAGAAGTCATTGGCGAACGAATTCTTGAGTTTCCAGTGCCACATGGAAACAGTACGGAGCCGGCATGTGATGGCGTTCACGCGCATGAGAACCTGGGGCATCGTTCAGGCAATTTCGCCGCCAGTACCCAAGTTACCAACATCTCTACCCCCGAGACTGAGTACGCCACCATCCATACTACGCAACCCGAGTCACCATCTCTACCTTGTGTAAGAGGGCTGGGCTAGCCTACTCTCGAGGTGAAGCAAAATGACGGGAGTCGTACTTTGGCCATGTCGGCCATACCCCTGGTCTCTGGCCATTGTACCCGTCGCCGTAGTACTCCAGGCTCCATGCGAACAGTTCAGAGATGGATGAAGGGGGTAGCCTGTAGACCGTGGGAGCAGCGTCTCCGGCGACCGCATAGCGGAAAGCAGGGAATAACTGTGACGAAGCCCCGCACAACCAAGACCATTGTTGCCGCTGGCATTGGGGTTCCATACCTCATGCGTCTGAAGTAGCTGTTCCGCCTGGCAGCCTGGAAGTGCGATGTCTGTCGTCCCCTTTACTGAAACCGCAGTTATGGCATGAGCCTCAGCATGCAGCTCTGCCGTGGTCTAATCCGGAATGTCTAACATACGTTTGCTTGGATACTGTGATGTCAAGACTTCATTGCCATATGCCTTAAGAGGACCCCGCACTGGCTTAGAACCGGGATCATCTATACTTTCTTTCAAGGACGCGGCGGATGAACCCTTCCGGTCTGGAAAGGCCTGTGAGTCAGGAGGAGCGGTGGCTGGCCGGTTGGGGACGTGTGTTGTCACTAAGAAGGCAGTAAGTCAAGCCGGCGATCTTTAGTCACGGTGATCCTGATGAACAAACACAGATGTTCTCTTCACTGCCCGACTGCCCCCTTACAAATGTGACAAAGCTGAGCGGGACAGATGATGACCCTCAGAGCTTCGCAGATGGTTTGCTTGGCCGAGAACACAGGCGGCACCAGCCACGCATCAAACTGGGTAAGTGGAGTGAGTGCTCTCCTTCCCAACTGTTAATCACTAACCGCCTGGCCCCTCACTCGAACGTGTGCCTTGACGAATGCATCACACATGATCAGACTGTCGGGCACTGTAGACGGACTCGAGATAGTCGTTCATTCCACGCCTAGGGTTGGTTGTCAGGTTCTCGTATAGAGCGCAAATCGCAGCCTTTCCAGTTCTGTAAGGCCCGCCCCTCTCTATGCCCCTCCTGCGATCAATGGAGGCTGATGGGCAACCCAGGCAAAGAAACAGTGCATCAATCCAATCCCCCTTTTGTTCGAGGTGTTGTCCGCTATTAGAACTCCGTCTGTCGGCTGGTTCGCATTTTATGCCGCCGTGATATTCATGTCCACCTGCACTATTGAGATGTTTCATCTTTGATGAGATCTTGACATCAAGATAGCATGAACGTCTCAGAGCAATTCAACTAGAACACGATACTTTGAATACTGGACCCAGCCTTCGTTGTCCTTGCATTTTGAGTGTCACACAGAGAGTCTGGCAACTGCTAGCAGTCTATCAACCGTAGGCATCTATACTTTTCTAGAACACCCTTTTGACCAGCCGGCGTCTTGGCCTTTCGGTCCTCGTCTATCCAACCCCTATTGTCATTTTATCGTCAAATCGTATCCCAAGCACCGCCTCGCCGCGTCGCTGACCAAGGAAGCCTGTCTAGACGGAGTAGTCCAGCTTCTTCCCGTCAAGCACCTTCCAAAACTCCTCCACAATCTCCTTCTGCCCGGCGGGCGCCCCTCTCACGGCGAGATACACCCTCTCGTCCACAGCAGGCTTCCAGACGCCCGGGTTTCCGCCGACCATGATCCCGCCCGCCTCGGCCAGGATGCACCAGCCGGCGCACACATCCCACGCCCAGCACCCGCCCTCCCAGTACATGTCCAACTGGCCCGCCGCCACAGCCGCGAGATTCAGCGCCGCGGACCCCAGCGCGCGCATCGAGTGCACCATCGCGCCGCCCGTCTCCTTGGTCGCGGCCAGCTTCTTGAACGTCTCGGCCTTGAGGTCAAAGTTTGGCCCGTCGCGCGTGGAGCCCCACTCGCACGCCAACAGCGCGCCGTCCAGCCCCTTGAGCGGGATCGGGCTCTTGGCCAGAGGCAAGCGCTGCGGCGCTCCGCCCGCACGGCGCATGTAGCTGCCCTTGCCCTTGATGCCCGTGAACAAGAGGTCCTGGAAGGGGTTGTAGATGACGCCGACGACGGGGACGCAGTCGACGGACAGACCGAGGGAGATACAGGCGTCGGGGAAGGAGTGGACAAAGTTCGTGGTGCCGTCGATGGGGTCCACGACGAAGGTCGGTTCCGGGCCGAGGCGGGTGCCCTTTGTGTACGTCTCCTCCCCCATGAAGGAGATATTCGGGTAGGTGGACTGCAGGCGGGTCGAGACCATCTTCTCGACGGCTTGGTCTGTTTCGGTGACGATGTCGACGGCTGTCGGGGGTTTGGTTGTTAGCTAGGCCGCTCATAGGGCAAGATGCGACGGTATGTTGGATGTGGAGGATGAGTAGGGGGGACTACACACAGTTGAGCTTGATGCCTTGGTCAATCGAAGACGGGTTCGCGGCCAAGATCATCTTGCCCGCCTCGCTCGCGATGTCGAGGAGGGTGTCGTGGATCTCTTGGAGATTAAGGTCTGCCATCTTTGCTGGTAACTGTTGGTGCTTCGTTGTACACTGCCTAGGCCGGTTGCGATCACGAAAGGAGAATCAATTGATCGAATTGCCAGAACCGTGTCGCGACTCTTCAATTAACAGAGCTGTTAAAGCGGTAGGTAGGCAGGTCGTCTCCGTCGATCAATGTTGGGGTCGGAGCTCGCTTTTTTGGAGGGGTAGAAATTCGAGGGGAAGAGTTGGGACGTGGAATGACGGCGGGGTTTTGGGGGAGGGAGCAATGAGGTCACAACTGGCGGGCGGGCAGAGGGCACTGTGGGGAAGGCGGGAGATTCCCACCCTCCCACCGCGACTTCCAGTGTAATCGAGTACAAGCCGGCCCCAGTCGCTACGAAAGCTCGGGGTGTGTGGTTTAGCGGGCCCGGGTCAGGCAGGCGGACAGGGAATGTTGGTAGTGAACCGGAGGGGAGGGCGGACCAATGGGGAGCTGTGGATGCAGCATGCGACGCCGAAACGAGGTCCTCTTCGCTCATCACGGCGCTCGCAACGAGGAAACGTGTCTTCGGAGCTTCATAGGTTACCCCAAAAAGGCAACGAGCCGACAATACTAAAATACCAGAAGTGGCTGGCTGGCATTGCTCACCACCGAGAAAAAGATTGTTCCCACACCGAGGTTCGAACTCGGGTCTCTCCGGAACGCTTCCAAGGGATTGAAAGCGGAGTATCCTAACCACTGGACTATATGGGACTGCTTGTACCCAATTGGTTGAGACAGCTGGAGAAAATCTATCCTATCAACTGATAGCAACAGATGGCCCAAAACTGTTTATACAAGGCTCCGTTCCTCGCTAGACTGACTGTCTAGCGGAACAGTGAAAACACTCGGCATCTACTTCTCCGAGTTGACGACTTTCACTGTGGACTTTTTCGTTCATTATGCTTACAGGACGAATACACTCCACCGCCCATCTAGGGATTCATTTGTTTTTGGGCAAGCAGCTCATCGGACTGTGATTGGGGAAGAGGGAACTCTCCGGCGGTTTATTGTGTTTATATATAGGCCGCTCAAAATAGTTTGGAAAGCGAGAAACAACAGAATTCCCAACGCCTTTGGAATCGCGTAACACATTTCCTGCAATCGTGACATGTTCCCGTAAACCCTCCACCTTCCGGGGCCCGCTTTCCTTACTCGTTACTGACCCTCGTCGCATTGCCCCCCAAAGACATACCACTCTTCCCCATATTCCGCCAGGGATATAATTCCGCCCTCCTGACCCGACAGGAACCCTTATGCTGGAAACGAGCCAAGCATTTATCCAGGCCCTCTGTCTTCACCAGTAACGGGCTGGTGGCCCAAACTTCAAGATAGCCCGCGTTCCTATACGTTCTCCCGGAAAATCGACCTCCGCTCCGTCGGGCTCTCTCCGTTGTCCTTGTGCTGCTGCTGTTGCGACCCCGTCTCGACGATCGGCCGAGGACTAACACCGCGCAAGCTGATATTGCTCGGCTCCGCATCATCCTCAAACGGATTCCTAGTGCCCGACTTGGGCACGCCCAGCCCAACATCGTCATCGCCAGGTCGGCTGAGGCTCCGACCCCGCGCCGGCTCGTCGTGGTGCACGCCTGGCGTCGCGGCGAGGTTCATGCTGTAGCTGTTGCTGCCGTCCGCACCACTGCCACCGCGGTACCCGAGCTCCTGCTCCTCGTAGTTGCCGTAGGGGCCGTATGTCTCGGCCTCGTGGCCGACGCGCGCATCCCATGCCTCGTCCGGGTCGAGCGGGCCGAAGCCGCGGCGGGGTGCGCCGGCGCCTGAGGGCTGCTCGTAGGCGCCGGCGGCGGAGCGGTTGTTGCGGTTCTTGAAAGAGGTGATCTTGTCATTGAACCAGCCTGCGATGCCGCTCGGCGCCGGACGCGGGGGCCCGTACGAGGGCGGAGGGTCGGATTTTCGGAATGGGATGTATGAGGACAGCGACGGGGGCGGTAGCTGTTTGTTCATCGGTCAGTAAGGATCACCCGCGTAATAGCTTGACGGTGGATGGGAGACTGTGACGTACGCCTAGTCTGCGGGCCCGGAGTTGGGTGAAGATAACCCAACCGACGACGCCGATGAGGGCGAGGACCAGGATGGCAATGACGATGCCTCCGGCGGCTGACACCATGTTCGCGATTCAATTGCGGCGATGCAAGTCTATCGGCTTTTGTTGGTGGAGGAAGAGAGTGAACAAAGGTTCTCAGCGCGACGTCGACGATGCGGCGGCAGCGACTGTGGTGGTGGTGAGTATGGCGGTGGTTTAGGATGCGAGGCGGCGGACGATGGAGGTCCGGTTCATGAGAGGTGGTCGAATGTGCGTGGTGTGCGTCGTCCTCTGCTACTGCGTGGTTCGGTTCGTTGGTGCGTCCCGGAGCCTTGGCTTGGTGGGCTGTGTGCGTGGATTGTGCGACGTACACGGACACGGGTACGCAGTTGGGAGCAGCAGTGCGCCTAGTAGCTGGGTGAGAGGCCGTCCGAGAGAAGCGAAGACGGAAAAAAGTAGCCGTAAGCTTGACGAGGTGACGCGGATTGGGAGAAAAAGATAGAGAGGGAAAGAGCTGAGAGACAGAGGTAGACGTAAGGTAAAGGCAAACCAGGCCCGTTGAAACCTTGTTTGATGAAAGGCAGTGCGGTGTGTCGCGCAAGGCCAGGTCAGCACCCAAGCTTTGGTTTACATGCACCTAAGGCAAGCCGTTTCTGTTTCCTACACCGGGTCGGCCGAGATGAGGTGAGAAGTTAACGCAAGGCAAGAAGGCAGTGAGGATTGCAAAGTCGCCCGGCGCAGAACCAAGAAGGCGGACGGGGTGAGCTTGCTGCACCCCAATCCCCCCGGCTGCCAGTTACAGACGGCCCCCAATTCTTTAGCCCCCTGCGGGCTCCGTCAGCGTTCCTTCATTGTGGTCCAGAGGCCGCCTCTTCCCTTATTCATCCAGGTTTTCCTCCACTCCGTTGTTCCAGTGGAAATAACAAGAGCTCAATGACGTGCAGAACACTGTTGCGCTTTTTCTTGAGCAGTGCCCGAGGAGCTTTAATCCCTCTTTGATCGGCGAGGAGCCGGGGAGCGAAACCAGCTTTGAACCCCTGCCTGTCGTGATCCAAACTTGGCGGCGGGATGGGACCTTGCGCTATTCATAGCGGAGAAACGAACCGAACCCCCTGCAGTCAGTCGAGACGAAACATCTCAACCAAATCCTTGCTTCGGCCGTTGGTAGAGGCGGTTCGCGCCTTGGATGACATTCTGCAGCTTGCATGCATCATGGACCCAGGCATCTTATCAGATGCAGCCTTCACGATCTTTGCATCTTTGACAGCTGAATGCCACCCAACTCGGGCGAGGGACGACATCTCCATGAGCCAAAGGGACCCGCCTCCGCTGCCATCTGCCATCCGTCAGACCCGGGCGGGCTTCTAGACCCCTGTCAACTGAAACTTTGGTGCCGCCAGCAACGACCTTCTCACACTTGACACTGACACTCGGCGCGTTTTGTTTGTGAGCCTACAAGCTCGGGGTGCACGTCTGCACAAGTCATGTCCTCTCAACTCTATCGGGGGAAGATATAACCATTCCTCTTCTAGCTCTACTCTAAAAGGGCAAGAAAGAAGACAAGCCTGATCTGGGTATCACACGAAACACTGGTCCCAGCGCCCTCCGCTCCTCGCGAACCCCATGCTCTCCACAAACGACCCCAGCTTGCACCGCCCAAACTCGTCGGCGCCGCACCCGACGAGCGGCACCACCCGGTCGTTGACTAGAATCCGGACCAGCTCCTCGTCCGCCCCGCCGCACTTCATCTTCTCCACGTACATGCGCGCCGCGAACGGCACCGTCCAGCTGGCCGTGAACCCCTTGGTCTCCGCCACCGACGTCCGGTTCGTCTTGGACAGCGGCTGCGTGTTGTTATACAGCCCCAGCGCGCCGTAGATGGTCATCATGTCGTTGTCGTGGCTGAAGTCGGCGTACAGCTTCTTGCCGAGGGGGAACGTCGCCGGGTCCGCGTCGAGCGTCGAGTTGGTCGACGTATGGTCCACGACGGGCTGCTGCGTCAGGCGCGCGATGAGCTCGTTTGTGAAGCCCACGCCCTGCGTCGGCCCGAGCGGGTTGCCCGCGTTGAAGCCGTAGTACTTGCCCAGCGTCTCGTAGTACTCGAGGCTCTTCCACTCGTCCAGCGTGAAGAGGTCGCAAAACTGCGACTGGGTGCCATTGACCACCGTGTTGAACGGGCACAGCTGCATGAAGCTGACGGTGTCCGAGGCCGTCAAGTTCGCGCCGGGCAGGTTCTTGTTGAGGCGGGCCGTGATCGGGGGTGTAAAGATGTCGCGCCACGGGGCCTGCGCATCGTCGCCGACCTTGGAGAATGCGCCGTCCTCAAAAGCGGTGCACAGGCCGTGGTCCAGGGTGTTGTTGACGCCGTCCGCCTCAGGGATGATGGTGACGAGTCCAACGATACCACCATCAGGCCCGTTGTGGCCATCGGCAATCTTGGAGCCGTAGAAACCCTGGGTCCAGTTCAAACCGGACTCGACCACGCGTTCCTGGCCGGAAGATCTGATGAAGGGGTCATTGTTGGCGGCGAGCGCCTGGTAGCGTCTGTAGAATGCCTCGCCAGAGTCGACAAGCTCCTTCTGGCCGAAGGACGTAAGCTGATCAGCGCCGAGGGTGTACTCGTAGTTCTTGATGAACTCGAAGCCTTTGCCGTAGTTGGTGACGCTGGCGTGGATGCGGTCGACGAGCGCCTTGTAATTCGCCGTTTTGCTGGCGGTGGGGTCCCGAGCACCGTGCCGTGACAGGATTTGTACGAAGGTGACCTCGCAGCCCGGGGGCGTGGCAGCGTTGATCTCGGACGGCACCGAGAAGAACGGGGAATACTGGCCCCAGAACTGCGAGATGGACTCGGATTTGTTACGCGGTGCCTGGCCACTGACAAAACTGTTTGCGTCGTGAGTTTCACGGTTCTCATACGTGAGGGTTGAGAGCGATGAAGACGAGACTTACCTGAAGCACAGAGCCAACGCGAGGATAATAGCAAAAGTCATGGCGGCGATTGTGAGTCTGAGAAGTCGGCGTTTGGAGTCTGGTAAGCGAGTCTCACGAGGCTCGTTTCTCTCGTCTCTCTCGTCCTCTTGATCCGGGATGGCGTTGTATTTATGCGCCCTCCCTGCGAGTATGTCCTTGAGGGACTCATAGGCCGAAGTAGCGACGTCGGAGACACCCATCGCGGCAGTTGAGCGGACGGGCTAATGAGTGGGAAAGAAGAGATGCAATGTCGCCAAGTGGTCCTCTGGGTCAGTGAGCTTGCGTGTGCCAAAGGGTCTGCCCGATAGGGAATCCCTGTGCCCCTCCTTCCAGGGGTCTGGTTGCGTATGGGATGTTATGTCGATGTGAGGTATCGGCAAGCTAAACGGTAAACGAGGGGGGGCAAATGAGCTTCGTCCCGTATGCGTGGGCAGCAGTAGCTTGGAAAAATGACCGTCAAAATTGCGCTTCTTCTTCAGGGGCGATGGTCTAAGAGAACCCCTTATTTCAACAGACCTTTTGGAGTTGTTTGCAGCTTGTTGTATAAGTTGCGACGCTGTGTAGCCGTGGCTATTCTTTCCCTCTTTTCTCTCTTGGCGAAGACGGGAGGGATGTTTCAATATGCCCAGTCAGTGCCACTCTTTGGTATTTTCCTGTCAGGGTGGTGGCGGTAGTGATGTCGGGCGGACATTAGCTCCAAACGAGGAACGCGCTACGGCGTGTGCCCGCCCCTCTAGCCGAGTCACGTGGGCTGATGCGACGTCGGAATTGGAACAAGCTTTCACAAGCTTTTCTGATCTGCTCTCGCTGTCCCTGTCCAGATCCACCTCTAAAATACCTCACAGCGGAACCCTTCATTCACTTGCTTGGATCGCCTTACTCGCTGTAAACATGCTGCACCTGCCAGCCCGGAAGATGAGGGGTCATTCCGAGCATCCGGTTGTTTCCCTGAATCAACATAGTTCGTTTTGACTGAATGTCGGAAGCTTGCTTGGCAGCCGAGCTTGGAGGCCAAGGTCAGAGAGTCAGGTTTTATGAACAGACTTGATTTACTAGTTGCTCCAATCTACCCATGCCGAACCCGCAGGTGAAAAGGGGATTCTTGAGCGCACTGATGAATTCCCCTTTTTTTTGATTTTATAGTTACGCATCATGTCTTGTCTCATGGCAGGGGCAGACTATTCATAGACCTCCCTGCACTGCTCTCTGATACTGTTGGATGGTCGTGTGGGCTTCTAATCTCAGATACAACACCTCAACCGACAGTTTGAAAAACGTATATGAGACGACTGGCCATCGCATCAGTGATCGCCACAGATGGGGTTGTCCGATGTTGGCACCTGCGGAACAGCCCGCCCGTCACTCCACCATTGCTTAATCTGCAACGCCACTGCAGGAGGGCAAACAACGCTCATCAGACAGGAGCGGGGCCAACTGCAATCGTCTCATCGTTGTCATCGTTCCGTATTTCCAACCTGACAGGTCAGAGTCTGTTCCTTCCTGCATTTGTAAGACTTGGAAACCACGATCAAGCTGTCCTGTCTTTTGCTACCTGTGCTTCTTATGCAGTGCCCTTCTACGTCAACTCTTTCGAGCTGGCACCCTGAATGCAGCCGACATAACGTGTCACATTTGAACTTAAAGTAATTATGCCTTCAAAAAGCGAGCCATGATTTCATAATACATCCAGAGGCCAAACAACAAGACTCAAGGTCCCTCGAGGGGGACAGGTCCAGGCCATAGGTTTAGCTATTGCTTTCTTGATCCAGACGGGCTCACCAGACAGGTTCGGGCCGGATGTTGCATTTTCAGGAAACAAAATGCAAAGTTTCATCTCTATTAATCTATCTGCAGACTACGACTGAGCCAGTTTTCATCTTTGATATACGGGCCACCAAATCGAGACGAACATCGCCCAAAACACACGGGACAAACTCGGCCGTGATCCAAGCTCAAGTCGCGGCAACGCGCCCCTGAAGAGCTAGGTGCGAAGAACCTTTCTGCCCTCCTCGAAGAGCTTGATGTCGTTCTTCAGCATCTCACGCGTGGCCCTGCTCACGGCGTCCTCGCCTGCCACCATGTCCAGTTGTTCAGCCGTCATCTTGTAGATGCGGTTCGAAGATAGAACGTTCAAGGGACTGTCTTCAGCGCCGAGAAGGAAGTAGTCAATTACCTGGGTGCATATCATGTCGGAGAAACGGGCGCTTGCGATGTCGTAGTAGCTCTGCAAGACGTCGTGGATGATGTTGCACGTCTCGCTCATTCCCTCGGCATTGGTCGGTTCCTTCTCCAAGTCGCTGCACTTGACGTACTCGACATCTCCTTCGTAATCCACAGTGATCTTGTCCTTGTACTTTTTGGCAAACCTCTTGGCCTTGACTTGTCCAAGCACTCTGTCGAATGCTGGATTGTACGTGATAGAGCGACCCTCCCGCTCCACATGGATGAGCAACTTCGCCTGCTGTATGGCCATCTGGTAGCGCTTGACGAGGTCCTCGAGAACCGAGGACCAGAGCGCTTCAAGAACCGCTCCATCACCGCAGGCCTCCTTGACCACCCCGTAGATGAAATGGTGCACCACAAGGATGACGTTGCTGACATGGGCCAAGGTGATGGACTCCCACTTCTTCGACTGCTCTTTGAATGCTGTTGGAAGCATGTGATTGTTAAACTGGACATCAGTTAGTCTTGTGGATCACGAATCATACAGATCAACTGAAGTTGCTTACAGTGCCCATCTCAAAACCACGAGATGCCAGGTACAATTGTTCAAGATGCTTCATGATGCTGTCGTTTCGAGGCGCTGCACACTTGCAAGGCTCTGACAAGACTCCATACAAGTCACCAAACTCGTCCGATGGCATCTTGAATGTTACTGCGTACAGGTCGTCCCTGCTAAGCTCTTCATCTTCGTACTCGGTGTCAAGCTCATCGCCTCCAACCTTAGCCTTTTCATCATCATTCAGGTCATCGAAGCTGCGGGTATGGGCGCTCTTGAAGAACATCGAAGAGAATGCCGAGTTCATCTCGCGGATCCGGGTCGCCAGGCGATATTCAGGGTTGTTCTCAAAGAGAGGATCACCAGTGTAGTAGGCGTTCAGGCTGAAGTCCCTGAGCTGAATGTACCGACTCACAATATTGCCGAGATACGCTCTCTGCTCATCGGAAGTGCTCCGAGGCTGACCTAGAGCCTTGATTTGGGCTTTGGCGTCGGCAAAACGCTCGTTGATCTCCCGGCGCACTTTGGGAAACTCGCTCTTGGTCCGGTCCATAAGAAGCTCGCGCAAGCGATTGCGTAGGGCTGGGATTCCTAGACGCGAATTGTCAAGCTTGGACCAAGGTTCTTCGCTGAAGAAAGCCTTCTCCTGAGAATCCCGCTCCTCCTTGCTGGAGGATGTGTCGTCGGCGCCGCGGTTCTTGACCACGTAGTATCCCAGCTGGATGTCGCGCCTCTTTCCCCTTATCAGATCCATTGCTGCCTCACGAGTGGCGTTCTCGCTGACGAGATCTGGCTTTGTAAGGACACCCAAGGTGCGCTTGCCTTCGGGGTCCGCTTCGGCGGCGTAGGTGAGGATGGTTTGGGTTGCAACATCCACGTTGCAAGGAATGACAGCAAGAATACTGGGCAGATCTAGTTAGCCACTGAGACCTGTCGAGTTGCGAAGTAACTGACATTGTCCGGGGGTCTTTAATGTAGTCCTTGACCATGGACTTGACCAAGGCAACATCTGTGGCAGTCGAGACGCCTGTGTTTATTGATCAGTATTCGAACTGAGAACTTTTCACGGGAAACTTCTACCATTCTGAGCATTCTCGAATATGCCTTTATGATGAACTAGTCAGCGGCTGTCGAAATCTCAAGGCACTAATAGACTCACCGGGCACATCGATGATGGTCAGGTGCTCCTCGTCAGGGCCGCATATCTCAACGCGCAGAACGTCTTTGCTGAAAGCAGCTCCCTTGGAGTGACCATCGCTGGAGGTCTTCAAGCCCATCACATCCGCAGCCTATAAAAGTGGTCAGAAGGTGACATCTCCACAAACAGATCTCAGCGGTAGGCGGACACCACGTGAGTGATGACAAGTCTTGAATGAAGCGACGGCAGGGAGGGGACTAAACAAATCATTGACTTACTTCCTTGAGTACATCTGCAAACTCTTCACCTTTCAAGTCATGGAGCTCGCGCCGAAACGACCTGGCACGCTCGGCTCTCTCGGGGGTGGCGTCGAACGGTTGAATTGTGACAATAATGCTCGTCATAGCTTCTCGACGGCACACAATCTCGGTGGCATGGCGAGTGCAGAGACCCACAGAACGAGGGAAGTAATATCCCGTGAGGGACTCCAGGACACTGGACTTGCCTGAAGACTGATCTCCTACGACGACAAGCTGGGGGCCAAAGTCAGTAAGTGATACCGCGTATACCAAGCCAAGGCTGCTTACCTGTGGAAGAGCAACCTGCTTGGAGATTCCAAGCTCTCTCAACTTGTCAATCTTATCAAGAAGGTTCCGGTTACCCAAGCCGGGAGTCTGGATCTTGGATTGTACCGGTGCCATGATTGAGTCAGTGGGTAGTGGCTCTGCGATGTGATACTGCTGGGGGTGCGAATACAGAATTTTTCGAGGGGATCTGAGAGAAGGTTGAGAGGTTGATGGAATAGGCAAAAAAGGGAAGGAAGGAGAAGGCGGGGCGCTATATAAGTGGTTTCCTCTGGCCTGGGACTGCCGCCTAGATCTTGCTGCAAGTGTTGTTGTAAGGATCAGGTAGTCAATGAACAAAGCCGAAAGATGTGCGGACAAACGACAGTGAAGATAGCGCCAGGAAAAGCCTTGGCGGCAAGAGCAAACGACATTCAGGAAATCTGCAGCAAAGCGGTCTTTAGGACTAGTCTTAAGGCAACCAACGACCTTGTGTCTCTCACGCATGGTTGGCTTCGCGAACAAACAACACAAACGCTACCCAAGGTGGACATTATCAAACGCGACACACTCTATAACATCAAGTATGATATTTGAAATCAAGCTGCAGGATATAGTCGAGATCCGAAGGGAATAGGTAGAACGGTCTCTAACATCACATCCTGTCCCGCCGTGGAAAGATGGAAGAACGCGCGCCAGTTACAATGCCCAGCTAGGTAGCGGTCAACATAAACGAAGATATGGTGCACTAATAGAAGACGCAGTAATTGTATATTCTCCTTGAATAATTTCAATTTTGTTTATACTCCTGGTATTTTAGACATGAGTTTTCGATAGTTCATAGCCATCAACAAGGCATGTCGTCTGAACTGGGGGGGAAAATTGTTAGTGCAACCCACACCACACCCGCATCCACCACAACTCACCCACTCACTCACTCGCAGCCTCTCACACCTACATCTCATCCTTACCACCGACCTCACACTCTCTCGGATACTCTCACAACTGAATCCAGTAGAGCAACATCTATAACCCCGTTCGATTCACCTTCTCAACCTTGCCGCAGCTGGGTCTCAGATCCTCAAATCGCAATGGCCGTAAAAGGCCTCATCTCAAGCCTGGAGGACGAAATCCTCGACCCGGAAGAGGGTAAGCCATCCCAAGCCCCCATCTCATCAACAAGACCAGCGACTTACATGATCTCTTAGAAACGTTCTTCCTCTTCTCGCACGAGATCCCCTCCTCGAATCTAGGCTTCATCGACCCGAAGGCCACGGAACTTTCGCTGACCCTCGCCGGCCGCGATTTCACAATCCATCAGTCCCCCACAGTCCTCTCGTCAACCCGCGCAGGCGGCACGACTGGAGCCGGTGAGTCTCGTCATACACCACTTACACCACTTCCAAATCCAATCCCGTTACTTCTTCACTTCTCACCGCATCATGCTCATCCCATTTCTCCCCATACAGGCTAACACATTACAAACAGTCCTCTGGAAAATAACACCCCTCTTCGCAACCTACCTCTCCTCCCCCTCCTCCCCCTTCACCCCAATCTTCCACCCCTCCTCCACGATCCTCGAACTAGGCTGCGGCATCTCCCCCTCACGGCCCTCCTCCTCGCCCCACGTGTGTCCCGCTACGTCCTCACAGACCAGCCCTACGTCGCGCGCATGATCCACCAGAACCTCGAGGCGAACCCCCTCCCAAAGTCCACCTCGTCGTCCTCAAAACCGTCGTCCTCCCGCCGAAAGAAGGCCGGCGGGGCAGCCCCGTCATCGGCCCCCGGCCAAGACGCACGAGCAGACGGCCCCGGCGTCATCACGTTCCACCCCCTCGACTGGGAACTCGATACCCCGGACCCCTCCCTCACGGGCTCCCCCACGGCCCGCAGCTTCGACGCCGTCGTCTGCTGCGACTGCATCTACAACGAGGCCCTCGTGGGGCCCCTCGTCTCCGCCACCGCCGACCTCGCTCGCCTCCGCCTCCGCGAGCAGGAAGACGAGGCCGACGCCCGGGACTCCGCCGGCGCCTCTGGGGATCAACACCGCCACCACTTGTCGTCCTCCACAACGACGACGACGACGGACCGGTCCGAGCCGTGCGTCTGCATCGTGGCGCAGCAGCTTCGCAGCCCCGACGTCTTCGAAGAATGGGCCAAGGCCTTCCACCGCGACTTCCGCGTCTGGCGCGTCCCAGACGCCCTGCTGCCCGAGGGGTTGAGGATCGAATCCGGGTTCGTGGTCCATGTTGGTATCCTGAGAGAAGCCAAAGTCGATTTCTAGTTCCGTCTTAAACATATTCACAACAAGGGCTGGGCAGGTCACCAAAAACCGAAAACATCACCAATGCCAAAAAGGAGGTCCCCAAGTCTTTGCGGAAGCTCTGTTTGTGGCTACGCATCTAGCTAAACTTTGTAAAACTTTTTCGGCAAAAGCTTTTTGTTACGAAAAGCCGCCTTTATACCATTTCCCTTGACCTTTGAAATTTCCCGAATCGCCGCCGGCATGGTGAGGACGCATGCCCGGACAGATGAACACGCCCCAAAAAAGCCGTAACCCAAAATCGCATCGTAGACACGTCACATGATAACAATAACTCCTTTGAAAAAACCAGTCCGTTTGTTTTTTTGCATGAGCTTACCACTCAAGGGGCTCCGTCTTGGGTTCGCCCCGGTTCGTCTTGGGGACGGGGACAGCCTTGGCGAGGAGACGGCCCGTCTTGGGATCTCTCTTGAGGTAGCCGGTGCCGTCGAGCCAGGGGGTGAGCTGGGACATGCGGCGCTCGTAGTCGGCGATCTTGTCGTTCTGCTGCATGGTCAGGCCAATGTCGTCGAAGCCGTTGATGAGGCAGTGTTTCCGGAACTCCTCGACGTCAAAGTCGGAGAGGGTGTTGCCTTCCGAGTCCTTAATGAGCTGGTTGGGCAGGTCAATCTCAACCTCCTTGCCGGAGCGTGCCACGGCGGCAATCTTCTCGAGCTTCTCCTTGTCGGAGATGATGATGGGCAGCATGCCGTTCTTGAACGTGTTGTTGAAGAAGATGTCGGCGTACGAGGGTGCAATAACACAACGGATGCCAAAGTCGTTCAGGGCCCAGGGGGCGTGCTCTCTTGAGGAACCGCAGCCAAAGTTGGGTCCGGTGACGACGAGGATCTTGGAGCTGCGGTAAGGATCCTTGTTCAGGACGAAGTTGGGGTTCTCGGAACCGTCCTCGTTGAACCGTAGGGCGTAGAAGAGGGCCTGGCCAAGACCAGTGCGCTTGATGGTCTTGAGGAACTGCTTGGGGATGATGGCGTCGGTATCGACGTTGGACATCTCGAGAGGGGCGGCGATACCCTTCAGGTTGGTGAACTTGGGGAGACCGGCAGAGGTACCGGCCGAGACAGAGGTGTTGGTGTGGGGCTCGTTGTCCTGTGGCTGGTCGCCGATAGCTTCCTTCTCCGAGTCGCTCTCCTGTACCCGCTCGTCGACGTGGGGCTCGCTGGCGGGGGTAATTGCGGCCTCGATGTGCGGGCTGACCTTGTACCCCGCAAGCTTTCTGACATCGGCAAGCTTGCCGACAATGGCGGCGGCAGCAGCCATGACCGGGGACATGAGATGCGTTCGGGATCCGGCACCCTGGCGACCCTCGAAGTTTCTGTTGCTGGTGGATGCACATCGCTCCTTGGCAGCAAGGATGTCAGGGTTCATGCCCAAGCACATACTGCAGCCCGCCTCACGCCACTCAAAGCCGGCGCTCTCGAAAATCTTGTCCAGACCCTCCTTCTCGGCCTGGGACTTGACGAGACCGGAGCCGGGGACGACCATGGCGCGCTTGATGTTGTCCGCAATCTTCTTGCCCTTGACGACCTGGGCAGCGGCGCGCAAATCCTCGATGCGGGAATTTGTGCAGGATCCGATGAAGACCTTGTCGACGACGATGTCCTCCATGGGCGTTCCGGGGGTCAGACCCATGTACTCGAGCATTCTGCGGCCGGCGGCCTTCTTGCTCTCAGTGGAAAAGGTCTCGGGGTCGGGGACCCGGCCGGTGATGGGGACAACATCCTCGGGGCTGGTACCCCAGGTGATTGTGGGGATGATGTCCTTGGCATCGATGAAGACGTCAATGTCGTACTTGGCGTCGGCGTCGGACTGCAAGGACTTCCAGTACTTGACGGCCCGGTGCCACTCGTCCGAGTTGTACTTGGGAGCCAGGGGGCGGTTCTTGAGGTACTCAAAGGTGATGTCGTCGGGGGCGACCATGCCGGCTCTCGCACCACCCTCGATGGACATGTTGCAGATGGACATGCGGGCCTCCATGCTGAGACTGCGGATGACGGAACCGCAGAACTCGATAACGGCACCGGTACCGCCGGCGGTGCCGATCTTGCCAATGGCGTGCAGGACAACGTCCTTGGAGCTGACACCGGGAGCCAGCTCTCCGTCGACCTGTATCCGCATGTTCTTGCTCCTCTTCGTGATCAAGCACTGGGTGGCCAGGACGTGCTCGACCTCGCTGGTACCAATACCGAACGCCAGGGCACCGAAGGCGCCGTGGGTCGAGGTGTGACTGTCACCACACACGACGGTGGTACCGGGGAGGGTGAAGCCCTGCTCGGGGCCAATGACATGTACAATGCCCTGTCGCTTGTCGCCAAGACCAAAGTATGTGAGGCCGAAGTCCTTGACGTTCTCCTCAAGGGTCATGCACTGGATTCGGGAGTCATCTTCGGCGATGAAGGAGCCAATGTCCTTCATGCCTTTCCGCGACGAAGTGGGGACATTCTGGCGATTAGGTGTTAGCGATTGGGGCTCCCAAGGAGGGGCGGACTCCGTTGCATGATGCAGTCAACTTACGTGGTCGGTAGTCGCGAGAGTGCAGTCGGGTCGGCGCACTTTGCGGCCGGCATTCTTCAGACCCTCGAATGCTTGCTGCAGGTCCTTTGTTAGCGAGCCGTCATGGTGGGGTCCCTCAACCGACGTCATCCGAGTCGGAGGGGGAGGGAGAAAAAAAAGAGGCGACAACATACAGGAGAGGTGACCTCGTGCACGAGATGTCTGTCTGCAATTCGACCATTGTCAGCGGTCTATTCCCTGGTGCATGTAGCCGAAAGCAATTCGACTCTCGTCGGGGACAGGCAGACTTACCAATGTACAAGAGAATAGTGCCGTCCAGCTTCTCGTCTACAACGTGGGCCTGGAGGACCTTGTCGTAGAGAGTCTGCGGGGTACCTTCGGCAACAGGCATTGTGTGCGACTCGAACGGGGGTTTTGACGAAGTTCAAAAGGCGAATAAGTCGTCCTCACACGTTTGGCGTGGTGGTTTCCCAAGCTCCTTCTCAAATGGGTTGTGAATAAGTTGGCGGGGGGGTTGAGACAGAGAGTGAGGTAGAGTTCGTGAGAAGAGGCGTGAAAGGGAAGAAATGGGGGAGAGGGTAGAAAGAGTAAGAGAAAATCCTGAGTCGCAGGAGAGAAGTGGCAGGATGTGGGGGAAGAGCAGCTCAATATGTATCTGCCGGACCGGGAGGCCTTCGTCCAACTCTGGGATTGAGTGTCAAGTGCTTAGAGTTGGGGGAACGCTGAATCAACGAGGATACGAGCTCGGAGCGTCGAAAGCGAGCGGCAACAAGGAAGAGGCATACACGCCCCTCTGCAAAAGTGCCCGCCAGCACAAGTACCTCCCTCCTGTCTAGTGTACCTTTCGAAGCCGAAAAAACGAGGCTTTGGGCAAAGTCGGCCAGTGCTGGCCTCGACCTGTCTCCGATCATCGGAGGCGCCAGCTCCAGCCAGAGGCGGGTCCGGTCGCCGGAACGCGGGGTACAGCGCCCTGATTTGCAAATGAGGCCCGCGGATTGGCCCGCCGCCGCCAGGTGCCCTGGCCCGGGTGGCCCGCTTCACAGCAGTTGAGGTCTTGAGAACCTTCCAAACCCTGCCATGTTGCCATGAAAACCGACGATTCTCGCCCATGATCCGGCGCGTTTAGTGGACGAAACGGCCAAAACTGGGACAAGAAGGGGGGATGAACCCGCCAGTCCCGTTGGTTTTGGACCTTGGGCCCTTTTTGCTGTGTGTGACGAGTGTGACTCTTACTTGGTACTATTGTGTGTGTAAGAGGGACCATTTCTGAAATTTTTTTTGAGGAAATAATGAAATCAACATCCACATGCTTGAATACACCGGCCGCACGTGCTAAACAGAGAGCCCGCAATCTGACGAGTAATATGGGCTCCAAGGGGCTCAGCGCCGCCCAATACAGCAAGTCATTGAGTTCTGATGTGTCCACGTTGTACCTTTGGCACTAGGTGCCCCAGCGACGTCTCCGTTCTGTTCCGTTGTTTGCCGTTCTAGTTTTTATTTTATTTTCTTGCCCTTGCTGCTGCTGTTACACAACACATCGGTGGTTGACGAACGACCGGCCGCACGGCGCTGGTCTCATTCATGCCCTCATGTACGTGATCGATGCGATGCCGGTGCTGCATCGCAGCTACATACCCTCGATCTCTTTTGCCTCCCAACGGTCCCAATCTTAGTTCTCCCCAAAACTTTCCGGCACTTTTGGTGCACCATAAACCCCATCCTGGGCGAGAGGGTACGTACCTCATTGCGGAGTATCGCCCGTCTAGTGAGGCGGTGGTGTGAACAATCCCTGAATCCCATCCAAGGGCTGGATGCAACATCCGCCCGCCGCCGAGGCTTACTTGATGATGACGCTGCAGAACGACATGTTAACCTGAAAGAGCCCGGATCGGTGTTTTCACAGCCTCCATTGCTGCGAAGCAAACAAGCAGACTCCCAACTGGCGGCAACTTCACCACCTTGGCCGTGACTTCTGCGGTCACCTAAACCGGAGCCCATTGAGAAGCCGACTCGGCCATGCATACAAAGCACTCCACAAACCATGACGGGCGCCCGCTCTAACCATGCAACTTTGATTGATAAAGGCGTAGCCATACCAAACCATACCGATGTATTGATATTGTGTCAACCAGAGGCCTATCTCAACCCCACTCCCAAGGCTCAAACAGCGCCCGTCAATCTCGTATCATTTGACACTGCGCTTTCGGCCTCCGTTCTTATCAAACATCCCTCTCCCCTACCGAGCCGATGTACGGCGGCGTCTGTAGCGCCTCACCCAATCGACCCCATCCCTACAGCGCCGATCGGCGGTTGGTCGGGCTCGAACGCCAAGCTTTCCTCCACAACCTCCCCTTTTCGTCACCACCGGCTGTCAGGAACCGAGTATCGCAATCAAACCCCCCAGCATTCCCTGCAATGTCTGCATCAACAATGCGATTCCTTGGGCGACCCGGACCGCGACCGCCAATAACATGAAACCGCTGCTCAGCGCAAACAGGAACAATCCAAAATCCGCCCATGTTGACTGGTTGCCATCAAGTCGCTTCCTGGTGGGCGATGTCGGATCAAAGCATGGCGAGATCACCATCCAGTACCAGCGAGCAAAGATCCCCGCGATCTGCTTGCCGTCAGTGGCGCACTTTAGCACATGCTTATGGAATATCTCTCTTCTCAAACGACTTTCGACGTCGCCGCCTTCGGAACCCTTGTCCAGTGGGGTACCCGACATGCTGCAGCCAGTTTTCAACATGGTCTGGCTGGTCAATGATAGTGCGTTGCTCGTTGTGCGTGTAGTCTGCTCGTTGGGATTGCTCCCTGTTCTGGCAAACAACAGCTTCGAGCTCTGGTCGCTGTTTACCTCCGAGACTTCCGTACTTCTGCTGTTTGACTTCTGTTGGCTCTTGCGCAAACGTCTCACCAAGTTGAAGCTGCTCCGCAACCTCCTAAAGGGAACATAATCGGTGTGAGGTTTTCTGAGGCTGAGAGGTAGCGCTCGGAAGCCTTCGCTCGCCGGAAGACCCCTTTTCTGAGTAGGCGCCATCTTGCTGCTCGAGTCGGCCACTGCGGCCCGCGCCGCTCCCAACGGAGCCGCCTCGCTTTGATCCTTCTGGGCGACTTCCTCCCATGCGGCTAGGGGTAATGTAGACGTGGACGTGTGTGACGTGACAGAGGTCTCCGTCTGGTTCTCCTCGAGCTCCTTGACGGGCAAACTCCTTACAGAGGACTTCCCGGCCCCCGTTTGGATCGCAGCCTTTTGGCGCTGAGTTGGCGCCATAAGGTTGCCTTTCAGCACCAAAGTCTCGGTCCGTTGTTTGACGTTGGCCAACTGATGGGCTGATTCGGTCGAGATGTCCTCTGTCGACGTCGACATTTGTTCGTCGCGTTGTCGACTGATATGTCGATTCTGCAACATGCTCCAACTTTCGCTGACTTTCCTCTCTGGTAGACTTTGACATGGGCTCAATGGAAAACGACCTTGGTCGAAGCCAGTAGTGGTGGTGATGAGTGTGGTAGCAGGTCCTGCTGGTGGACCCTCCATTTCTCCTTGAGCTTGAGAGTTGGTTAGGTTCTCCTGGCTCTCTGCCGCTTCTGGGTTTATCAGCTTGTCCATGAGACACTTGTTTGACAGGTTCGAAGGTTCTTTTGTTCCCTTGAAGGGGTGTTTGGTCATCGACCCTTCGTTCCATACGTCCAGAGCTACCGGAGGGCGCTGGAATATCAACAATGACTCGGATGGGGATGTGGTCACTGTAGTTTGTGGGCCACGAATCTCGACTGCCTGCCGGTTCTCGGATTCTAGTGGGCGCTCTCCCATGAATCGGGAAGCCACTCCTAACGGCCGGACCTCTGGAGCTTCGTTGAAGGCTAGAACTTCGAACTCCTGACGTGCTCGCCTTGTCTGCTTCATGGCCCGTGGGTGATCTGTTCTCAATGATTGAGGGGCCTGGAGTAGTGACTGATAAGTTTCCGGAGGGTGATAACCGCTCGAAGGCTCCTGTTGAATTGGCCTGGCGTTCACTGACATCGCCCTTAACGGGCAGGTAGGGGCTTTGCTCTGGTTTGGGAAGGGTATCCTTGAGAATACCCCGATGTTGTGCTCTCGCCGGTTCGTCTTGGCGCACAATGGAATCATCGGGCTGGAAACGGCCTGGAGTGCTGGCCGGCCTCCCGGCTCTGTCTCCTCCAGGCATCGCTGACCTAAAAAAGAAACCGTCTTTTGAGAGTTTCCTGGAATTGAGGGCAACGATTTTTCCAGAGTGTTGGCCCCCGTTGTCTCCTGCCTAGCGATGGGCGTGGGAGGTGTGATATGAACATGCGGGCTGGCCGCACTTGCACCCTGTGCCGGGTTCACATCACCAGCTGGAACCCGGCCTATGACTGGATTTCTGTCATGACTGAAAGCAGTGCCACTTCCAAATATGTTTTCAATCTCAGGGGTGACGAAGGATGATTGTCTTCGTTGAGGTGTTCGAATTACTGTGTCAGAAGAATCTGCACCGTCGTCCTCTGAGATCAGGTGCTTTGGTAAGTGGGACTTGGGATTTGTGTGACTCATTTCCGCTCGATGGAAATGCTGTAGTTCTTGCGCTTTTGGCGAATCCCAACCTTTTTCTTTGGCTTCAGAGTCTAGCACGTCTGTCAGCATAGGATTCTTAAAGCAACGGCCAATCCAGTCTAGATCCCAGAAGGAGACCTCTGGATGGTCAAATAAGGGCCGTCAACGCTGACTTAACGGAGACATCAATCTCAACGTACCACGAGTAGAAATGCTCTTGATGGACTGCGCGATAGGGCTTAGAATTGTCTCCTTCGCGGAAGACCACTGCTGCCGATGGCGTTGCCACCGGACGTTGCGCTGCGCTTGTCGGATAGCCTCCTTCTCTCGATCTTTCCGAGCGAATCGCTGTTCCTCCCGCTGCTGAAGCTTTTGCGTCAACTCTTCCGTCAGTAATGCGGCCCCTCTGCGGTTGTTTATTGTGTCTATCTTCTTGCGTGAGTCGAGCGTTTGGTCAAAGGCCAAGGAGGCGGAGCTGAAACTTGTGGTTGAGGGCGTTAAGACGTCCAGCTCTCCGGTAGTAGGGTTGATTCCTGTGACACCAAGGTAATCACCGCTCTCCTTCAGGGTTCTTCTCTCCAACTGAACCAAGCGTCGCTCTTCCAGAGTCTTCTCCTCTCTCAAGGCTGCGGCGTTAGGGAGGTGTGCTATGGTCTTGGCCCTCTGCCGGCGAGGCTTACGTTCAGAAGAACGGCCCCTTCGAGAACGAGATAATTCTCTTGCCGTATTCCAGCGAATGATCCGGTCAGAGCTTCTTCCTATTCGAGGCGGACTGGTGGGAGAGTGTCCTGATCTGGAACGATCTTTCTCGGTAGTCTCCTAGTACCCCTCGTTACGACGGGTGCTACCCTTCTCGGCGCGGCGGCTTGGGAAAACAGCCTTCAAGCGAGAGCTTAGTGTCGTCTTCCGACCAAACTCCTCGTGTCTTCGCTGTCCAGGAGGCTTCGGGATGACTCGAAACGATGGAGCTTCGGGTTGTTGGTCGGTGGCTGGAGCGGAGTAGGTTGACATTGTCCGAATCAAGCATCTGAGAAGATAGAAATGCTACGACGTAACATACCTTAGGTAGAAAGTAAACAAACAGTTTTGATGTCAAAAAGGCCCACGAAATCGTTGCCAGGGATCCCGCTCGACGATGTGAGAGATTGCGAATGATGGGTTGTTGTTGGGGAAGGTTCATCCTTGCCGGTGAAGGGACGACAGTTTGGGATAGCCAATCTCGCTCAAGCGCAACGACTCAAACGAGTTGCTGCTGCCATCAACCCCCGACTCGCTTCGACAAGGCAATTGGTTGCACTTTCGCAACGCTATCTCTCCGGATTCAAACCACGTCGACAGAATTTCTCTTGTTCTTTCCCCTTTCCATTTTGGATCCATATTCTTCCTCTTCCGTCAGATACCCTTCCTGGTTTCACTCTTTGCACAAAGGCAATGGAATTTCACCTTTTTGGCGACCTGCCTCCCGAGATTCGGGCATTCATTTGGAACTTCTCACTCCCCGAGGACGAGCCAGAAGTTTGCATTGCGTCGCCCACATGCGACACGCCCCAGTCTCTGGTGGTATATACCGCCTTTCCAGTGCTCATGCACGTTTGTCACGAGTCTCGCCAGTTCGTGCAAAATTCCCGACTGAGTGGAATCAACTTCTCGTCGCCGGAATCGGGCCATCCTACTGCTGGATATCCTGTCCCTTTCCGCCCCTTCCGGCCAGAACTAGACACCCTCTTTTGCCAAAACCAGGGCCCTGGGGCACTGGAAGATATTTCCAGTGAAGACGAACTCGAACCAGTCCTCCAAGAAACACGTCACTTGGCCATCTCGGGCGAAAAGGAGTATATAAACCTAGTGGCTTGGATCTTGCTGTTCTATTTTCCCAAGCTGGAGACGTTATCGGTGGTTATCGGCGACCCCTCTCTTGACTCTTGCTTCGAGTCCTACTTTGACGCACCAAAAACTAGATGCAAGCTACGCAGGATATCAGACGGACATGCGAGTTCGATGATTTGGGGAGCAAAAAAGCCCATTGACGTTGGTACCTGGGAGCCAGTTCGCCTCTCAGATTGCATGAGGGAGTACACTCGGGAGCTTGAGAAACTCATGGCGGAATGTTTGGAGGACATGGATAGGACCATACGAAAATCACATCAGTGGTGGGATAACGAAGCAAACACTGTCAGGAAGGTTGAATACTCGATACAAACCTTTGTGGAACATGAGGCCGATGGTGTTTTCAGGCTCAGCGAGTTTGTAGAACAAGACGATACATGGAGGAGGTGACTTACGAGAGCCAAAGAAGCACGTTGTAGCACACGGTAGGATTTCAAGTCACGCAGTACGGGTTCGCAAATATATTGATACTTCTTCTTCATATGAACGGCGCGCATCAAGTTCGTGGGCACCTTCTTTCCGCGATTTCAACTCGACAGCTCCCAATTGACTCCTTCCACCCGTAGCTCAATCAATCTCTGGTAACTACCTAATGTAGACAACCTCCACTTGCCTCTTTCCTCTTTCCTTCCGAGTCTAGTTTCTCTTCCTATCTCTTCTTTCGCTACTCATTTCTATTTCCTCTGCCTTTTCTCTTGTTCTACCAGCACCATCACCACCATTGCCCTCTACCTCACCTTACGCTTCTACCATCTCTTCCACTGATTTTCGGTAAACACACTTCGCCTTGTTAATCTTTCAACATTGGGAACCCCGAGCCAATCACTTTGCCATCCACAACGAGTTTCAGTCCTGTACTCGTGTGCAGCATCCGACGCTACCGCGCCAAATCCACCAGCTTCGAACACGGCCATGGTATTTTCAAAGTTCGCTTGGCTTCCTACCGAACTCCGACAAGCCATTTGGAAGCTCGCATTACTTGAAGATGAGCCAGAAGTCTGCATCGCCACGCCTCTGTTGAAAGAAATCTTCGCATACACCGCGTACCCGGCACTCATTCACGTCTGCCGCGAATCTCGTCTCTTCGTCCAGAAATCCTTGCTGAGCGGCGTCTCGTTTCGTCTTTCCGAAGAAGCCAACTGCCTTGTGCCCATTCGTCCTTTCCGACTCGACCTTGACACCTTATATTGTCACGATGAAGACACCCTCCAAAACGTGTTGACCCACGACACGGTTTCCGGTCTACGCCGGCTCGCGATACCGCCTAGTGGACCTGTCATACCATACGTGGATGAGATAATTAACAATATGGGCTGGGAAGATATCAGGAGCTTGTCTGTTGTTTTTCGATCTCACGAACTGAGAACATCATCCATGATGATACCCAGCGGCCTAAGCGAAGATGTAAGCTGAGAAGGCTTGACAGAAACCTCGCGGAAAGCTTCAGCTTCAAGCTTTGCAGGCTTCACCTTGACAACACGTCGGAAACATTGGATGATTTTATGTCGAATCATCGCGTATGCCTCGACGCGGCAGGCAAAGAATGCTGGAAGGAATATTTAGACATGTTGAACGATCAGTCTTTTGAAGATCAAAATGTGTATTTGGGAGGTGCCTGGGATGGAGAGTGCATGATATTCTCGGGTTTAGTAACCCCAACGCAGCGCTTCGTCGAGTACAGCTCTGGAAGATGGATCGAAGCATGACATAATCAGCAACACCTTACTATCACAGCGAACATTGGGAGGCGCGTACATGAATTTTAAAGGAAATGGCATTTTGGGGAGGGAAAAGAGAAAAACCATGGCAATGATGAAGATAAGATGCTAGCATGCTGGTAATAGACAATAAAGTAGCTAGCACCGCACTCTTCGATTGCCAACGTCGCCGATTCTTGTCAAGTCGCCTCACTTCAAGGTACAGAGAACAAGGATGGGTTAAAAAGCTACGAGCAGCGGCGCTTAGCCCTCTCGTCCTCCATAATTTCCACCAATGCCAACTCAGCACCCCAGGCAGGCCAGCGTTACAGACCTTCTGGTGAAGGCTTGAACGCTATGAGCAAACGAACAAGGAGTTCTGCGGGGCGCACTTGTGGCGATTGTCAAGAAAGCATGGGCAAAACACATGCCACGACCATCCTGGGGTTTCAATACTGGAAGACAGGCCCCAAGCACCGGAACATGTCACTGGTCATCCATAAAGTACAGAACCAGGTTTGAAAAATCCATTCTGAGACTTGTATTATCGTGTCGACAAAGAAGAACGCCAGCCCAGAGTTGACCACCCGCCCGAATCAGCCTAACGCCTTCATATGCTGCTGTGAATAAATCTTGGAGCCACCAAGCAAAAAAAAAAAAAAAAAAAATCCACCCTACCCGACTGCCAATATGCTATGTGTGTTGCTCCTTCCTTAGTGAAACCCCGACCATCTTGAAGGGTAACGTTCCTGCTGTTGTACAACTCTGTTCCTCTTCGCACTGGCAAAGGGATTGTAGTTAGGAGCACTCGTGATATCCAGCGCGTCCGAACCGGTTGATCTCCTAGTCTCCGATTGCTTGAGCGGACTGCCACCACGGCGCTGTTCAAGGGCGGCCATTTCTCTCGAGTTGCGAGGGGACATGAAGCCTTGGTTCATCTCGTTGAGGCTGCTCGTCTTCTTGAGCGGCGAGTTCGCGTGGCTGAACACACCAAGGCTGCCGCCAAAGTTTGTCGATCCCGCATTCGCCGCGGCATTGCTCGTGGAAGTTGCAGCAGATTGGTACGCTGGGGCGGGAGGAAGACTTTGGCGGACTGGTCGAGAGCTGGGTACGGGGGTGAAAGATTCGGATCTCCGGTTCGAGGTCGGCGTGAAGAGGCGAGAAGCGAAGCTGCTGATTGGAGGGGTATGGACTGGCTCCTCCTGCTTCACGTGCGGGTTGGGCGTGACGACGAACTCCTTCTTGATGACGGTGGTAGGGGTACCCAGCTCAACAAAGGACTCTTCATCCTTCGCTTCTTCAGGGGAGCACTGCGTGCCAACATCACGAACAACCGGGTGAAGACGTGGGCGTACGAACTTCGTATCGTATTCGTGGAGCACCTCCTTGTGGATAATAGCCGTATCCTTGATTTGCTGGCCGTATCGGGTCTGAACCAACATCAGCTGAGCGGTAAGAATCAGCTGCAGGACAATGCAGTTGAAGATCGTAACGCTCGGGCGAGGGTCCAAAGGCACCAGCGGGAGGAACATCATGTATACGAGAACGTGGCCGGGGCTGAACAGACAGAAGAGTTGCAGAGAAACCGGGAGAGGGTCCCAAACACTCAACTCCCACACATCGTGTGTCCTGTCGGGGTGGGCTCGCGATTCGGCGGTCTCGGGTACCAGAATACTGTTCAGCAATCGGAGAGGGGATGAAGCAGCCGGGTCGGACCTGGCCTTGACTCTTTGGGCGGAAGGGGTGTGCGGTTTGTCTTCGACGTTGACCTGGAACAATCGGTATTGTCTCGTCCGCGTCATGGCGTAGAAAGCGTTGGCAAAGGAGAGGACGCCGAGAATCCAGACAAGCGGTCGCACCTGAGGTGTGTCAGTCCCACAAATCGCAAATCGTATGCCGAGCGGTACTTACGACAAATGTAATGATGTTGCCGGAACTTCCATCGCTGAACACATCATCCTCAGCCTCCGTCGCCACGCAGTTAGCCCTGGCAAGAAGGAAGGCGAAGTTGAAGCCGAGTCCAAGTTGTGTGCCGAGTGCCTTTGAATCCCAGTCTCTTGTCTCAAGTTCTTCCGACAGCCAGAGCAAGAAGTCCATGGGGTTGAGCAGGGCCTTCAGACGCTCCGAGAGCGGCTTCTTTCGCACGAGACGCGGCATATTGTCGATCTGCGCTTCTTCTCTTCGACCTCGTCTCGGGAAATTGAAAGTGCGACGGCCTTGACGGCGTCAGAGTGATTGTCGACGGGTCCGAAATGGATGCTGAGTCGGTCGTGATTGAAGCCGTGGTTGTCGTTGCTGGGTGAAATTGTTTACAAAGAAAACGGGGCTATTGATTTTTGGAGGTTGCGTCCCGGACAGGTGACAGGGTGAGCTGTCGAGGTCAAAAGTGGCTAGCGTCCCCTCCGCTTTGGCGTCTGTCTGCAGGGTGGGTCTTCGTATCCTTCCGTTGGAAGCTCCTACCTACCTAACATGTTGAGCTTAAACCCTTCATACGTTATGGTAAATCATAAAATCTAACTACATTGTACAGAGATCTGAAGTTCGGTACTGGCAAGGGAGAGAGGCAATATATGTATGTCAAGTGCAATTTAGTGTATACTTTATTGAACCACTTGAAAGCTATTAGCCTCTCTGCGCAACGCCCGTCTGTTTCCCTGCCTTACTATAGGCCTTTCTCCTTCCCCATGCCTCGCAACTGATTAACGAGACGGCCACCTACACACAGAAACACAGAGCCAAGTAGAGTCAACACTCAGTGATCGTTGTGTTCCTGTTTCATTGTGCAATTGTCGCATGCGAAATCGATAACGAAGGGCGCGTCCCTCGCATCGTTGATACCAATGTAACGGTGTGGGTGGAGAGTCCAGTACGGAGATGGGAGGCGCTTGCGGCAACCCGGTGGCAGGTGAAGCATTTTTCGACCATTCTGCCATATCCAAAATTCCTCGTTCTCTTGAGCATTGAAAACGTGGCAAGTACTTGGAAACTTCGGCTTTCCCTTGTGTTGACCACCCATAACTGCCTCATGATTTTGTCCAGTCGGATGTGGCAGGCTAATCAAAAACTGGTCTCCGTTTAGATTTTCGAGAGAGAACCCTTCGAGAGCCATTTCCGTCTCAGCTTCTTCCAGTGTCCTTCCATTCTCTACATCCAGAACGTACAGATGAGTTGTAACACCGGGACTCTGAGCTATGGCTATTCGAGATCCTTCAGCGTTGAACGCGACTGATAAGTCGAAGGGATCACTGAAAGGCGTCACAGTCCAAACCATGACGCCCGATGCTGAGTCGAGTAGTGTCACTGCGCAAAAGCGGCCAGCCTCAAAATTGCATGTAACGATTGCTAAATGAGAACCACTGGGTGAAAATGCATGCAAGAGTCTCGGGAGGTTTTGCCCGGTTTTCCATTGCGGAGATTGCTGGGTCCAACGAATACGGAGTGATGGGATGTCTACCACACAGACTCTGCCATCAATTCCTGCCATGCTGAGCTCAACCTTGGCAAGATAACGCCCACAGGGCGAAAAGAGAAGGCTCGGAAGAACCGCTGGATAGTTTTCGTCATCATCAATAAGTTTGGGGTATTGACAGTTGGAAATCATCTCCATAGAAGCTGAAGCCGGTTCGTTTTTGTAGATGGCAATCTCATCTCCAAATGCCACGGCCAAGTATGCATTGTCGGGGCTCCAACAAAGTGCAATGTCTGAAGGCTCAGAGGGCGACTCCTGTGATATGGGAGAAACTCCAAGCATGACAGGCGTCAACGTAGGTTTCTTATCCGTACTGCTGGCGCAGATGGTGACTTTCCCATATGACGAGACAAGCGCGAATCGCGAACCATCGGGCGAACAAGCTGCCCTCGACCACAAAACCCAATCATCGGGTTTGCCAGGGGCGAAACTCGACATATCGGATGCTAAGATGGCATTCCGATCCAAGAGGCTAGTGTCGATGATATTTATATTTTCATAACCAGGCACCGCAACATATCTCCCATTCGGAGAAAAACAGACGCTTTTGCTGGACTTGTCAAAGCTAGCAACTTTTCGAAGTGAACCGCGCAGGTCACCCATATCTCAATACTTCTCGGGCCTGATAATGCTACCAAACCATGCTGGTTGAAGCTTGGCGTGCCCAAGTATCTCAGTCCAGTATTCAGACTACGTGGTGGGGTGCCATCAGGTGCCATCAGATCCCAAAAGAGGGCAGATTCACAAGATTCTGATGGAACTTTTCTGTCGAAACCGATATCCATAATCGCCAAGAGCGACCCGTCCGGTGATATTACTACGCGTTTGAAGGTGCGTCCATCAGGTGCCAGTAAGGTTCGGAAATGTCGTCCAGATTCAGCGTCGTGCACAATGATTCGGTCGTTGCTTTCACTTGAGAATCCGATAAACCTTCCGTCCTGTGAACATGCGACTTCGTTGGAATAATGAAAACGAAAGTTCCCCACCCATTCATAAACGACACATAAAGCGGCGTTCAAGACAAAGACACGTCCACTAGCGAAGCAACATGTTATCCGCTCGTTGCCACTCGCAGCAATGCATAGCACACCGCCGCGATCCATTATGGCGCCCAAGCATGGTTCTCCTTCGAGCGTAGCATCCCAGATCGCGATTGACCCTGATCGTAAGCCAGCAGCAAGCCGGCTAGTCTGAGTAAACGTAATGCAGTTGATCAGACCATGCGAGCCTGACAAAACTCGCAGTAAGGTCCCTGAAGTTGTATCCCATAGATAGATGTCCTTGCCGGCGACTACTGCCAGTGTACTTCCATCAGGTGAATAAGCCATTTCCCTGTTCCTATCGGATAGCTGACCCATATTCAAGGTTTGTATAACCGGGCCCCAGTCGCTCCCTGTCTCGGGAGTTTTCAGTAACCACTTCGGTATCTCTGAATAAAACAACTGACGAATGGCAGAGTTTTCGGGAGAGAGAATGATTGCCGAAGAGTAGATCTGGCATGGGGCGATGTCAATAACGTGGCTGTGCTTGAGTACAAATCGTCTCGCATCTTCCAGAAAGGCCACCAGCTTTGTGTTGGACTCTGGGTTAACGACAAGGTCTTGTAGCAGAAGAACTGCCTCAACGCTCTGTTTCAATCTTCCCAGTCAGCTCATCGCTTCGAGCCAATGAACGAGGTAACGAGCCAAGAAAGTATGGACTTTATCTCCATCCTGTATTGGATTCTGACTACTGCGTAAATGATGAACCCAGTAAGTGCAAGCGTATTCTAGGTGTCGAGGAATGCGCTCTTTGATCAGACTGGCCTTGACTTCTTTGCGAAGAACACCGGGGATCTTGAGCTGGCAAATGTCGTTTTTCAACTGAAACCCTTGGCCAGGGTCCCGTTCGCCAGACATGAGCTGGAGGCAACAGTCGAGAAGATCGACGTGCTTGGACTTTTCCTCGACATAGAACTTATTCTTGCCGCCTGGGTTACTGACTAGGTGATCTTGAAACGAGAGATGGTATAGTTTGACAGGCCGACTAGAGCCCGCTTCCTTGGGAATTTCCAACACAGAATGAAGGCCGTTGAGCAAGTAATAAATGTCGCCTTGGTCGAGATGAAGAAGTTGACTCAGGGAAAAAACCGAATGTGGATCGGCTAGCAATACATTTGAGCCAACGATTTTGCGAAAATTCTCAAGCACCTGGCTTTGTTGCGTGTCGTTCAAGTCTACTAGAAGCTGCTCTAGAACTGGTTGATAAGTGGACTCGATGCTGGCCAAAGACGTCTGGTCTAAGAATTTCCTTAGTTGAGATTGAGGACTGAAGCGTTGCCGTGGATCATCGACAAATCTGCAGATAGTCGAAGCGTAAATGAACAGAGGAACCGCCATGTTGACGAGTATTTGGATGGTGTTCTGATCGGGCCAATCAAGAGAAGCTGTCATGCCGTGGGCCTTCCGGATCTCCTCGAACTGGCTGTTTATAAATACCCGGATGTCGTGCTCGGTGGCAGCGTGGGGGATATTCTGTAGTAGGACGTCTTGGTGGGACTCCTCCGGGATGTCACGAAACCCCAGCGTAACCGGTAGTTCTGGTCTGCTTGTCAGGAAAACGCGAACCACGACGCCCGTTATGGCAGCTGTGCGTGCGAGGAGTTTGACTATGAGTCGGCTCCTGTCCACCTGCGTCCTGGAGTTGGTGTGAGTCTCAGTACCACACTCGTCTAAGGCGTCGACTACCAAAATTAGAATCGGTCTCGAAACCCCGTCAAATTTGATTTGCTGCAAAGGCTTTATGATAAGCTTCTCGAACTGTAGTTGCAGGCCCTTGTCAGGTAAGGTAGGGTCTTCATGGATAGCCGTTACAATCGGTCCTCTGAGACTGGGAAGTCGAGCAAGCTGCTTCGCAATTGTGGTAACAAAAAGCCTTGCCCCACTCCGGCCGTCTCTGGTACGGTTGAAGAAAAAGCTAGCTGCTAGCTGCCTCCTCTTGGCGAAGGTATGGGCAACTGTCCGTGAGATCGTGGACTTCCCTGTCCCTGCTGGGCCTTGTAGCCAGTAGATACAGCTGCCATTAGGGTCATCGACCCAGTCCTCTATCTGTCGAAGCAGTTCTTTCCTTGTATCCGGATGACATAATGGCTCTGGTTCGTCGTCATAGCTGTTAAAGAATGCTCTTGTAGCAGCTGAGAGATTTGCGAGCTCGTCCAATTTGCCGTCAATTCGCATTGCAATGTTTCTGAGGACATAGCATCAGCCAATCAGCAATAAAGGAACTCCAGCTCAAATCGAAACTCGGCGTCTAGATAGGAAAAGGGCAAAGATCTGGCACAGCCAAGCCGCGTGAGTTAACTTACAGTTGATCAATCTGCATTGCAACTGAAAACAACGCACGCCACTGCCGAATATCTTCGATAGCTTGAATGATCTCTTTGCTCGTAAAGGGCCATTTCAGAGAGGTTCTGAAGCCCTTAAACCAGGAAGATTTCTGGCCGAAATCGAGTTGAGTTGTAACGGCCTCGAGTCTTTCTTTGCAGTTTCTCAGATTCTCGCAGAAGTCCCGAGACGTTGCGAGTCGGTGTTTATAATGCTCGTCCGCGCCTTCATCTTGAAGAAGACTTTTTATATGCCCAAAACCTTCATCAGAGCCTCGCTCTCACTTCCAAGCCTTCGAGCATCATCTTTGGCGTTTCGGGCTTTGCTGACATGGTTACCGCAGAGGACACCAAGCTTGGCTGCTAAGTCGACCACGGCGATGACATTGGCGATGACCCCCAATACCTCCATATCTACTTTTCAGCGTATGTTATGAGTATAGCGAAGTATCGAAAATGCTTCCAAGATGGTAAACCACGAAGTTTGTCACGACGCCGACTACGCGGGGAGCGTGGGGTCTAGAGGCAACAAAATACGACTCGCCGGCCTCAGGGCGCGCGCCTCCAGGTGCGTTCACTGAACAGTAGATACGAACAATAATGCGTGCTGTACCGAAGATTCCACAAAGCAGCGTGCGTGCGACAATTGCCGATATACCTTGGAGAGAGGAGGCGTTGGAAATGCCTCGGGTTGTTGTAAAGTCAGCGTCTGCCCCCAACAGGAATAAGGCAGCCATGCGGCGAAATGCAGCCTGTAAGTACTATGTAGAATCCGAAGCCTCGCTGCAGACGAATAGCCAGTCGTTGTCTCTCAGTAACCATACATTATCTCGTGTCGAGCCTTGCGTGACATTCACTTACCCTGAAGTTATTCATAGGTACGCATATATGAAAGAGCAAGTTCTCGTCAGAGCTTCGACAACCTTCACACTGCGTTCTCCTAGTCCAGCCATAGATTATTATGATGATGATAATAAACATCCTGGATCGGCTTTGAGGCGGACACATTTAGTTGAGCCATGTTGTTTGAATAACAGCCTAATAGAAGCTTGATAGCCAGATAACTGTTGCTCATCCATTCACTAGATTTCCCGTCTTTACTTACGATTGCATTCCATGCTGGTAGTGGCATGGATGGCACCAGCGAAGATACGTACCCACCTAAGGTGGGGTCTGTCTTGCTCGCCGTCACAGCATCCGTGCCCGTTAGCAGTTTGGTTGCAGCAGGCAGTGGCCTGGCGCCGGAACGCTAACACACTCTCCAGCCACAGCCGTGAGGTGCTGAAGTGGAGCGCCGGGCTGTGGTAATCAAGGCACCTCAGTACGTCAATCGCTCGCCGACCTCCTGGGGTATCGCAAGCTCTCCTACAACCACAAAAGCCACCCAGGATGGCTTCGCAAGCAGATATGAAGGACCGCCAGTTCCTCGCCGTCATCGGCGACGAGGTGAGAGCACCACCCGAACAACATGGACGCAGCGAATGCAGCCGCTGACAACAAAACAGGACTCGGTTACCGGCCTCCTCCTCGCGGGCATTGGGGTGCGCACCTTTTCATGAACGACGATGCGGCTCAGGTTCGAGATGACTGACTGGTGTACAGCACGTCAGCACGGGTGCCGACCAGGAGAAGAACTTCCTAGTGGTAGACAGCAAGACCGACACTTCTGCAATTGAATCCGCGTTCGAGTCGTTCACGACGAGGAAGGACATTGGCATCGTCCTCATCAACCAGCACGTCAGTCGCCGCCGCGAGGGAGGGGAACTACATCGGGATGGATACTGACAGGAGGACAGATTGCCGACCGCATAAGACATCGCGTCGATACCTACACGGCCGCTTTCCCGACGGTTCTCGAGATTCCGAGCAAGGATCACCCGTACGACCCCGAGAAGGACAGTGTTCTTCGTAGAGTACGTCGGTTGTTTGGCGAGTAAACGTCTTGCCAGACACATGAACATGGTGGAATTGGGAAGGGACAATAAGCACGAGATGGCCTGCTGGTAGTGAATTCAGGTTGAGGATGGACCATGCCGGCCTTTCTTGAAATAAATCGCAAGCAACATATCTAGCACCGCTTCCCTATGTACGTACGCATCATCATGCCGATACTCCTACGCAAAACAAGCACTTGGAAAAGAAAGAGCCCCGGAACGAAACCATCTCGTGAAAGTAAAATGAAGCGCGGTGTTCCAAGGTCCAGATGCTAAGCCTTGCTATGAGATATGTGAAGCCCCCAACAATTTGGATGTATCGCTAAGTGCAACTGTAACCTATGCCCGTCATCGTAAACCTTCGTCATAGCGTGTAATTACTTAAAGATCCAAGCTGAAGAAGCTCTGCTTGTTGCTGCGGGAGAAGACAACCTGGGCGGTCAAGCAGGTGATGGGGACGTCATCGCCGGTGTAGACATCGGCGAAGACAGTGTACTTGCCCTGCACACAAGTTGTCAGTCGTTTTGACCAATACAAACGGAACAGAGCCAACTTACGGAAGGGATCTCGGCGGGGAGCTCGACAGACTTGGTGATGCTCAGGGTACCCTTCTCGATGGGGCACTCGAGGTCGACGTTCTCGATCTGTTCGCACAGGTCCGCCTTGGTGCTGATAAGACGAATGAGGCCGTACTTGACCTGCAGCAAAACGTAGGCGCCCTTCTCGATGGGCTGCTTGACAGTACCGGAGGCCTTGATGACAAGCTCCTTGCCACTGAAACCAAAATATTAGCTACCTGCTTGCTTCACGATGCTGTGTATATGCGTCGACCGAGGCTCGAGGGGCAAACGTACGCCTGAGGGGGGTTCGGGGCCAGGTCGACACTCTCAATCTTGACGATATCGTCGTCGTGGGACTTGGGGCAAAGCTCCAAAGGCGAGTCGCCGGGGACCTTGAGGTCGTCATTTACGATGACGGACTGGTCTCTCTGGACCAGGACGCTGGCACCGACCGGCGCGAGGCCGGCAGAGAGGAAGGCGATGACGGCCGTAGCGAACCTCATCGCGAGAAGAGGTCTGGGTGGTTTGGTGGGATTAGGTGGATGGAGGTTGAAGGGTTCAGAGGGCGGCGAATTTCGACGTCGCTGATGATCGGGTTAGAGTCGTCGATGTCCGAGGTTCGAAGTCTAGCGTGAGGATGGCTGGAAGGTGACGGAGAAGTGGTTCCTGCGAGTGGCTTTGGTTGGCAGGTGGTGAGCAATGAGGCTGGGTCTGGAGAGAGAACGTCATGGGGCCGGCAAAGGTCAGCTGTGATTGGACGAAGCTGGGTGGACCTTGGTTGGGACAAGCGCCGTTTCCCTCCGCAGCGACCATGGCGACATTCAAGTACGAATACATGGTTTGCTTGGAATGAGAGCACGCCTTTATCGTAGGAATACGGACGCCTAAAACACGGGGGAAAAAACTCACACTTCTTTCGAGTCTTAAAAGTGAAAATACCAGCAAGAAAGGCGTATTCTGCGATGAACAGCTGGAAACATCGTACGAACCTCTTTATGTTGGCCTACCTTGTTCGGTACAAATACGTACCTTTTTGTTGTGATTGGTGCACGGGCCATCTTGAATTCCACTTTTGGCGTCCTCCTCTCCAGAAATCCCACGTTCGTTATCAACTTCCCAGCACCAGATTGTCTTTCATTGAAACGACCAATGTCATTGCAACCCGTGATCAACGAGCGGCATTTCCATCTTTCTTCGCATTGAAGAGAATGTCTATGCGCGACCAAGGCGGCGCGCCACACAAACACCCCTCGTCGAGATTCCAGCCACAATGATGAGCCTGACATTTCGCCTCCGCTCGTGCTCGCCCTTGAGACGGCTGGGGCCAATGTCACGGAAGCGCAGCTGGGCCTGTTTCGACTGCGCAGTTCTTGCTGGAAGATCCCTGAACGTCCCGATCCCGTGGACAGGCTCGAAGCGGCGACTTTCAGCATGAATGACTGGGCAGCCCTCAAGTCCTTCAGGGTCTTCCGTCGTCACAAGCCTCTGGCCCTTCTCAAGCTTCCCCAGGTATTGAGACCGGGACCGCGTGGTGCGTTCTCCGATCTGAGTGTATCCAAGTCTCGATTCTGCGCAGGTTTCGTGATTGGCCCGAATCCCCACGACTCAAGAAGTCGTGCTTCGGCATGGATGATGAATGGGAAGGAAGGGTAGCCACAACAGCAGGAGCCACACCCCATCATGCATCTCCCACGGCGGGAAAGCTCATGGTGTACAGGTTGGCCGGCTCGGTCCAATCAGAGAGGCGTCAAGTGCAGGGGACCGGTGCCAAAAGCGCGAGAGTGAGCGAGAGTCGAAGAGTAAGGCCGACCTGCTTGGACTACGATTGGGGGAACCCGTGGCAAAGTATCTGACACCTCATCTGCAGCCCTGGCTATCAGTGTCGCAAAACTTTGTTAGGCCTCACAAACGCGATTGTAGCACAGGGAGATCCTAGCCAGTAGGATACCGGCCGCGAATCATGCCGGGCCCCTGACGGCGCCAGCTGGAGACGGATGGGAATCCCAAGGTCGCCGGCTATTTTGTTTTGTTTGTATATATCCAGTTGAGGCGAGGATGAGGGGCGGGTGGGGGACGGCGAGCGATGGCAAAGGTAGCGGCTTTCCTACCCATTGATCTGATCAAGCCGTATGGGGAGAGGTAAAGGCCTCTAGGCTCAATAAATCCCATACTCGGGGCCGACGTGCGTACCAAACGTCTACTTACGTCGTACTGTACTTGCTTGGATCACCACCCGGGGGCTCTCTGGGCAACCCGTCGGCTCAGGGGCAGCAACAGAGCATCAGCAAGCTCTAAGGGCGCCCGCGCGTGGTCGCATTTCGAAGTGTGCGCAAGTGCGCTAGATATGGGAGGAGCATTGACTGGAGGAGGTCAAAGTACCGATACTTCTGCAACTATGACTTGGTGAGGCAGACAGATGACACCTCAGCAGCCCAAGAGGCCGACCCCATGTCGCCGTGTCCGCGTAGAGTTCAGCACAGCGTGGTATCTGCCGAGCTTTTGGAGGCCAACCTAGTCTCTCCTGGTGAGGGGTCGAGTACATCTTTGTGAGGAGAGGGTATGAAGGGCGGCGTCGACTGATGGCGCAGGGTTTCGGAGAGGCAGACAGAACATTTGGAGGCGGAAGTCTGTCTGTCTGACGAGGGAGGGTGGTTTAAGGTCGCAGCAGGGAGAGGGGGGCGAATTGCAGTTCAGTGCCGAGAGCACGCAGCGCATTGAGCCTGCAGCGATGATGACTTCAAGCTGCATACCTGTGTCGCTGGATTGGATGGTGAACAAGAAGGGTGATGGGGAAGAGCCGTTGCTGCAGTCATCAGTGTTGGCTTTGCAGGCGATTACGACGAAGGTCGGTTTGCGACCACCAATTGCTGACCCCGAGAGACTCTGTCGTGATGGGGCAAGGCCGGCAGCCTACCTAATTGTCCATCGCAGTCCTCGAGCTGGCTTGTCACCTCCAAAACTGGCCCGCAAGATCGCACGCGAAAAGCTGCGGGTCCCCAGTCGGACTGTTACAGGGAGCGATAAGACTAACCCCATGCACGATAATTTTAGGCCCTGGCAGCAAGACCCATTGTCCATTCTCGAGAAGGCCACGTCGGCCAATGAGGAGGCGACCGCGGGAGGTTGAGTTGGGACTCGAGACAGATGGGGAGTCAGCAAATATGGCACGAAGCGACGCTGCGCCGCGGGACTGTGGGAGTTTTCGTCCTGGACGCTCGCTGACAACGATGGCAACAACAACAACAACAATAACAACAACGCTGGACAAGGAGCCCCACATGTCCAATGGTTATCCGATCCAATCCCTCCACAGCCGAAAGCCACCTGCTATGGAACTCGGCCAGGCACATAGTCAGAGGTACTATTTCTTTCTTTTCCTCTTGAAAGTGCCCAAAGTGCCAAGGTACCTCGGCCCTGAAGGTTGGATGCCTGACCCCGAGGTAGCGCCCTCTCTGGTATGAACCTTAGGGGCGCCATGCCGAACTAAGCCCTTTCAGCCGACGAGTCGACAAACTCTAGACTATCTTACCTTCGGCCGGGCAGGCAATCAAGGGCAAAAAAGACTCTCGGTCACGGTGTGTTCTGACGGATGAGAATTGGGGGCGAAGGTGGAAAGTTGGCGTTGGCGGGCTCCATGCAGTGGAGGCGAGAGCGGACGCCTCGCAGGCCAGTCCAGCATCTCCTATTGGTCGCTTCCCCCTTTGTGTCCTCTTTCCCGACGACTTGGAGGATCCACCGAGTGTCTCTCTCCCTATCTCTCTCGTTGGCTCTCTCCACCCCTGGCGCCCGAGGCTTGGATTGCCCCCAACCGGAAACTGTCCATTCCCACCCGCCCAGCCATCCAGCACAAATCAGAAGGGACGGCGAATGCCATGGGCGGGTTCCGCACGAGGGGACCGAGGTACATCCATCACCGCAGGTGCGACGCGGCAGAGCAAGGTCACTGACCACTCTTCCTATTTATAAAAGTTTTCGCATAACTGGCCCGGCCTCATGTTCGCCGCTGGGATGGGATGAAAGTCATGGACATCCCCGAGTCTCAGTCAAAGGTTTTCGCTGGTCTTTTCCAAGGACGACGCTACGGATTCACAACCATCGACTTTCTCTCAACAACTGGAACTCTACATACAACCAGCGATCAACACGACGCCCGGCATGCTCCCGCCCGCGGTGCTTGCACGCATACGAACGAACGCAGCCATTTGCTCCATGTTTTTATCCAGCAGAGAGAGGGCCGGATAAGCATGCTCTACCCCCTGTGTCTTGCCGACCGTCTCCTTACTTGCTTGCTTATGGCAGTCCGTCCTAGCACGCGGCACATGGTCGTATTCGTTATACGCCCTTTTGTGGGCAGAAAGCAGCCCAGCTCAGCCAAGGCAGGCAGGCAGGCATCCATGGACAGTGCATTCGTACGCAAAATCGGTCCGTCGCGCGGGTCGCCATCCACCCCCATCGTCCTGAGTCTCTCTCTCCCTCCAGTCTCCTCTTTTGATACCCCCTTCCGCCGTTCCATTTCCAAGTTACCCGCTCCCGTCGCATCCGCCGTTCTGCTAGGGCCAGAGAGAGGGTCACCACGCGCAGCGGCGCACCACAACACCAACACCAACTCTGCCCGCCCATTTCTTCTCTCTTATTACTCATTAAATCTTTGCATGCCGCCTCTCGTCCCTCCACTCCCGCCCGTCAAATCTGCCTCTTGTTTCTGTTCACACCTATCAGCTCGACAATGACCGCCAGCTGCTATTGCTCTCATCCAGACGATCAGAGCGTGTCCAACGGCAATTTCTTGTTTGTTTGGGGTTTCTTGCCTTCATCTCCATGATGGGCTTCGTGGTTGGTGAAAGTATCATCAACCTACAATCGATGCCCAACTTTTTGCTTGTTTCCCCCCCTTCCCCCAGTTTCGATTTTTCACTCTCCTTCTCCTCTCCTAGCTGACCTTCCAGGCCCTCTGTGCGGAAGGCTAACGAGGCAGTCGTTAGTCCTTCATCAGACGGGGGCCATTTCGTGTCTGGTTGCGGCCTGAAACCTGGAATGCCTGAGGCATTCGAGTTTCTGCGCTAGACGTCTGATTGGACTGCCGTGGCCACTCATATCAGAGTGTCCACCGCCTTTCTGGTCTAGCCTGAAGTAAGTACAGGTACCTGGGTACCCTGTTTTTTCTACCCACGGGCTTTGGCTTTTCTGCCCTCGTCTCCCGTCTCCCTCTACTCTCTCTTCTCTCGTCTCTCTACCGTCGCCGCCGCCGCCGCCGCCGCCCTCTTGCCTCCAGTATGCGTCCGGCCTGTACCAGGCTGTGTCGACTGGTAGGACGGCTGGCCTGGCCTGGCCGCGCTGGCTGGCTGGCCGGCTGGCTGGTGGTACCCAGTGCTCCCAGCAGCACAGCGACAAGCCGCCGCGGGCTCCCCCTACAGCAAAAACAGCACCCAGGGCAACTCGAGCTGAGTTGCACCAAGCATCCCAGCTCCCCCATCCTTACCCTCCTCCCCTCCCCCCCGAAATCCCATCCTGCCTGTCGGTCTTCGACGACCCCCCCCTCTCCCTCAGTCCCCCATCCAGTCCGCAGCCCGCGCACCAAAGCACAAGGTGCCAGTCAGTCCCAGTCTAAGTCCCAACCAAGACCGAGACCAGACCCAGCCCAGCAGTGCAGTCACTGTTCCTTACCCGTTCACCCTCTCTTCTCTTTTGGCTTGGCCTGGTCTCTGGGCTGCACGCACCTGCACTGGGGGGGACTGGGACGTGTCTCGCTCAACTCGCACCGCACCGCACTGCTGCTGCGCTTTCTGCTACTCTCCTTCGGGGGACCCATCCATCCATCCTTCTCCTTCGTGTCGTGCCCCCTCTCTTCCTCTCTTTCAATCTCTTTTCCACCCTCACCCTCTCGACACAAACCACCCTCTCCTCCCTCAATTTCGGTCGAAACACTCGGATTCCTCCTCATCCCACGTCTTCTCGACTCGCCTGAACCACCCGAACCGTCCTATCCCTCTCCTCCGACGAGGCGCAACCGTTCAGCCCTTCTCTCGACTCTGTCTGCCTTTTGCTTCGGTTTCGTGGACACGCACTTCGCGATCACTCGAAAACTTTTCCACCGCACGACCACAACACGGACTCGTGACGTGTCGACAACGTCTATCTGGACCAAGGCGACTGCTGGCGACTCGGCGAACAAATCTGTTTTGCCGTTCTTCGCATTTTCGACCCTCTGTCCTTTGAGCCAGCCGTAACGCTCCCGTCGAGTCTTGTCCTCGACCTCGCTGAGATTTCCCGACCCGACCACCCGGTGTCCGCCGACGGATGACCACAACGCCACGTCTCGCTGTTTCTGCGGTTCTCTCGACGGCTTGTTCCTGTGCGTCTAGACAGGCGTCGTCATGCTACCCAGGCCGCAACAGTAATCAGCTCACGCATACCTCGACTTCAATCCCCATTACGAGGCGAATTTAGATTATGACCGAAAAGCTGCAGCCACTGTCGACGCAGACCGCGACTCCTAGTCAGACCCTCTTCGCTCCGAGCGTGCCCGTCTCCACCCATAATGTTCCGCGAAAGGTTGAGACGGTAGAGGAAGAAGAGCCGTACACGATCAAGTGTATCTGCAACTTCTCTGATGATGATGGAAACACGATCTACTGCGACACGTGCGACACATGGCAGCACATCGACTGCTTCTACCCGGACAGTCGCGAGGAGGCTCTCCGCGAGGATTTCGCCCACTCTTGCGCTGACTGCAAACCGCGCCCGCTGGATCGTCAAAAGGCCATTGAGCGTACCCGTCGACTCAAGAATGGCGGCACTACGGAAGGTGCCCCCGATAAGAAGGTCAAACGCCCGCCATCCAAGAGCCACAAGAAGAAACCAAAACCAACGGATTTACAATTGAATGGCCATCCTATGGGCCAAGAGAACGCAAAGCATGGGAGTCCGAGCGATCATCCTCACCCGGCCAAAAAGGCGAAAACATCTCACCGGCCGTCCCACTCGATAAGTTCACAGAGTGCGAAGAGGAGCCCTTCCTACGGGAACGGCCGCTCTCAGCCAAACGGGCACCCTCCAAGCCCTGCCACGACTCCTCCGGACCTTCCGAGCGATTTCCAAATACACAACTACTCTGACGGCTTCCTCTCTATGAGCAAGGAAGCAGACGTGCCCATCACACAAATCAATTCATTTGCCAGTCTTTTGGTCTCAAACACCCTTTCTGTTTGGGTCCGCGAACCACTTCGTCTGAGGAAAGACACTGGCGGAGAACTCAATGATGTGTTTGCCAAACTTCCCAAAGATATCGACGCTCAGAAGCGCCAGCTGCACGTCGAAAGCAAGAAACTACCCCTTACTTCTGACACAGTGCTTCGGTGGCAGTACCTTGCAACCCCCACTGCCATTGAGAAAGACGTGCCTCTGATTGAGCTCAACGGCGTCATTGGCTTTCAGAAGGACTACTGCGACGACCCCGACAACCTATGGGAAGAACTCTCATCGCCGCTCCCTTTCGTTTTCTTCCACCCGATGCTGCCGCTATACATCGACACGAGGAAAGAAGGTTCTCTCGCCCGCTTCGCCCGGAGGAGTTGCAAGCCCAATGCCGTTCTCGACACCTATCTCTCTGGCCAATCCGAATACCATTTTTGGCTTGTGAGCGATCGGCACATTGCTGCAAATGAGCAGATTACGCTTCCATGGGAGTTTAGGCTACCCAAGAAGTTCCAGGCCCGTATGCATCACCTCCTAGGGGTGGCCGACGACGATTCTCAAGCCCAGAACGAGTCTGAAATGGACGACGCAGAATACCAAACGCTATCCGGCTGGATTCATCGGATATTATCCGAACATGGCGGCTGCGCGTGCGACTTGGGTGCCAACTGTGCCTTCGCTCGTTTCCACAGACAATACCAAGCGAAGATGCAGTCTCGTCCTGCCGTCAAGAAGAAGCCGCGGAAACCCAAAACCCACACCATTTCTCCCACCAGCACCGGCCAGGCCACCAACAGCCGGGCAGCTAGCGAAGGCCACCATGATGACCCCGACAATGATGCTCGATCGGTATCGGAACGCAGCAAGCCCCCCAGTCGCGATCGCACGCCGTTACGTCAAGGTTCCCTTGACCGACCCGGCATTCTTACTGAACCTACAGACAGGGACAAACGAAAAGTTCAAATGGTCGAAGACTCTTTTCGACGCATGGAGCAGCAACAGCCGCCGCGCAAGAAGAAACGCACTTCCGACGGTACCGGGTCCAAGACGAAGCAACGAAACTCGACCAGCAACGCGTCTACTGGCACTTCCAATTACGTTGACGCGAGCACATCAAGAAGCAAGTCGAATTCTCCCTCCAACGGCGTCTCGCCAACAGGGCAGAATCCCTTCAAGGCCCCGACGCATCAGAATGGCTCTGTTGCAACGCAGTCTAGACGGGACTCCTCTGGACCTCGTCCTGTGTACTGCGATGCTTCTGTGCAAACCGACCCAGTCGAGGGTGAATGGTATAGCGAGCCTGTTCAGACCCCGAGGCCACGTCGTCGGATCATCTCCCTGTCTCAACGACTCCTCAACAACCGTCATCGACTACGCTGCGACGAGGTTGAGAGGCGCAAGTCACTTCCATCGCCTTCAGCACAGGAACCGACGCCTATGGACGTGGACCTTCCGGCTGATCACAAACCTGTGATGGGCTCCCCGACGCCATCCAAGGAATTGACTAACGGACAAATCACATCGCCCGTTGTGGTAGCAGTCGAAGACGTGGCTATGGCAGACGCCCCAACGAGTTCACCAAGCACTCTCAAGTCCCCCGTGCAGACTGATACTCCCATGGACACGCAGCTCAACAGTGCCAAGAGTCCTTCGAAGACTAAATCACCAGAACTGCGGGTACAGATGCCTCCCGTCCCCACTTTCAACGGCCCCGTCTTTGGAACCCCAAACACGACAACGCCATCCCCCTTGTCGACAGGCAATCTTCCTAGTCCGTTCGCACCATCTGCCGTCAATGGCGTCGCAGCGCATCCGAGTCCTGTCAAGAAGAAGCTGAGCCTCAGCGACTATACCAAAAGCAGGATGAACAAGGCCAAGAGCACTGGCGGACTCAAGACACCGCTTTCAGGTACTGAGGAGTCGAAGCCGGCACTCGATGTGATTATGGATTCACCGGTCGTGGAGAAGAGCACAGATGTCTTGACACCCGTCACGGGCAATACGGGCAACTCGATTCCCGCTGCCGCGGCAACAAACACTTCCTTGTAACATATGTAGAGATCGGGGTTCGCGGTTGTTTACGGGATGACACGGCTGCTTCTTATCTTTCCCCTCTAAATATTTCCAAAACGTACCAGTGGTCTGGTATTTGGTTTCGGCGTTATGGCAGCGACGGACAATTGGAACTGGAAATGGGGATCTCAAAGGGGGTTTTGTCAGCGCTTTTCGGAATTGTCTTCATTCGAGATGTGTTTTGTTCATGTCTGGAGGAACTGCAAAAATGGACGTCTGACGAAAAAAAAACTCTCACCCGTCGCAGCACCTAGTCCATTGGCAAAGCGCGACATTTTTTTTCAGGGGTCACTGGCGTAAAGGAGGCAAGAGGGTAGCGATGCCTGGATTGGGCTGATATTGGGATGGGAGAAAAGGGGTTTCTATCACTGCCAGGAGCGGCATATTTTCATGTGTATTTCTACGCTTAGCTGAGCCGGAGAGAGAGGAGGGAGTGACTTGGCACCGGGCAACGCCCCTCCCATGACGATGAAAGGATTCAAATGGATATTCTTCGCAGCTCTTGCGCTGCTTTATTTCTCGGCTCACAGAATGGTTTACTTCGCCATCGCTATGCGTGGTTGATTTGGAATGCTTTTGATTCGTCCGGGGGTTGACCAACTCTATCAAGTTCCCTTTTTGCCAATCTTCGGTATATACTCTAACAGGGTATCTCAATTTTTGGTATCATACAAACGGCCACTATTGAAAACCGCCTCGGTGTGACTCAAAGACAGAAGAAGCAAAAAAGAAAAGAAAAACGCAATACAAGCCCGACGGTTGGAAAACGTGTGAAAAGAGACATGAGACGAGGCGGGTACCAATGACACACCTCTTCGTCCTTCACGCGCCAACGAAGAACATCATCAGTATGTCTTGGTCGTCATGCCCCAGTTGTCCTCCTTAAAGATGAGCAGGGCGAGGCGGTGCCGGGCGAAGAGGCCGAACAGGCCGACGAAGAGCTGGAGGAAGGTGACCTCCCAGGCGAGGCGGTCCTCCCGCAGGGGGCCGCGCCAGACGAGCCAGAGGTTGAGGAGGGTGAAGTTGCTCGTCTCGACGAAGCGGCCCTTGTCGTCGGTCGTGACCTTGAGCAGGCGCAGCCTCGCGAGGAGGTGCAGTGCGCGGGCGACGAGCGGGCGCGGCTGGCGCTCGGGGCTCCAGGGGGTGACGCTGGGCTCGAGGAGGCCGGTGCGGGCGACGAAGCGTGGCAGGCGGTGGCGCGGGCAGGGGACGAGGCCAAAGATTTGCGGCGTGGAGTAGAGGAAGTTGAAGAGCTGAGGGACGAGGAGGAGGCCGAGCGTCTTGGAAAAGTGGCCGAGGATGCCGACGGTTGCGAAGACCATGCCGGAGAAGTAGCAGTAGGTGTCGCCGACGAAGACTTTGGCCGGGTACCAGTTGTGGAGGACGAGGGCGAAGGAGACGCCGAGCCAGGGGAGGAGGAGGTAGAGGGAGAAGAGGTGGGAGTCGGTGGCCGGGTGCGGGTAGGGGGTGAGGAGGTAGAGGCAGTCGTTGAGGACCAGGAGCAGGGAGACGACGATGCACTGGGAGACCTCGATGCCGTTGATGCCGGCGAGCATGTTGATGGACTGTGGGCAGAACATGGCAATGCAGGCCATGTAGATGTAGTAGAGGACGCCGAGGTCGAACAGCTCGCCGAGGTAGGGCTGGAGGGGAATCGGGATGACGATGGAGGTGACGCCGAAGTCGACGAAGTAGATGACGAGAATCGGGACGGAGGCCAGGCCGGGGATCCACCACTTGTGGCGCCAGCGGATGTCGAAGAGGTCGTCACCGATGCCGAGGAGGGCGGTGGTCTGGAGGGCGATAATGGCTGAGAGGTACGAGGCGAGCTGTTTTTCAAGTCGGGTCAGTATAATGCCGAGCAGAAGTCACCATGTCAAGAAAGCTGGTCGTAGAGAGAACACTGACCTTGCTATGAGGGAACCGGTGCAAGAAGCGGCCCTGCTGGACATGCTCGACGTGGTAGACGACGTCCCTGTTCCCACCACCGCTGGTGGCAGCGACGATGTCCTTGTAGAAGGGAAAGGGAATGAAGACGATGACGACCAGCAGGTAGACGGCGGCGCAAACGGCGCCCATGCACTCAGGCAGCTCGGGGCGGTGGTGCTTGGAGAGGTCGCGACCCCGGAAGCCGGCGCGCTTGAAGACGGGGCCGAGCCAGCGGATCATGGCGTAGGCAAGGGAAAAGGCCAGGGCGGACAGGGCCAGGGACGCTATCAGGGGCTCGCCATCGCCCTGAAAGGCGTTAAGGAGGACGGCAACGGCCGCGAGGGAGAGGGAGCTCAGGCTCAGGGTCTCGGTGCGGGTGAGGGCCGTCGCGGCGGAGGAGGAGGTGGAGGAGGCCATTTCGATGGTGTTTGCGCGATGATGCGCGCACAGGGGGGGAAGATCCCAACTTGTACGTTGATTCCGTGTTGTCAGATTCCCTTTTGCAGCTGGGTCGCTTTCATCGTGTGGTTTTCGTGCGCAAAGTGAATTGGCAGGTGCGCGCCGCGATTGTTGCCGGTGTTTGGGAAAGGGTGAAGCTTTTCACGATGGTGAAAGGATGCCCGGAGTTTCGCGACGGGACACAGTTGTCAATTTGGAGAAGGAAGGCAAGGTCCCCACCGGGCCGCGTTATCGATGGTGGCTTTTTTGGGGGTCGAGGAAATGGGTAACGCTCCCATGTGCTTCAGCCTTCAGTGGAGGTTCCCATGTGGGTGTTCCGGGAGAGAAAGGGAAGACTGCGGGGCAGTAATGCAAGTCAGGTCAGTGTTGGCAGGCACCGAGGTGGAGCCGGGGGAGCTGTGCCGGTGCTGTTCCAGCTGCTGGTCTGTGCAGAGGAGAGTGAGTCCTTGTTTTCAAAGTCGGTACATTGGTACATGGTCCATTGAATCAGGTTGTTGCATAGGATTACATTGAAGGATTAAGAAACTCTATCTCTGAAGTTGGTTGTTACAAACTCTAAGACTCTTGTTTCCTTTCTTCGTGTTAAGAGAACCTCAATTCCCTTGGACAACACAGCTCCAATTCATCATAAGCATAGCCTTGGCCTTTCTCTAGGAGCTCCAATGTCTCCCCCAAATACTACAAAACATAGTCCACATTCCCCCACGAAGAATGTCCAGACCAGGAAATAAGAACGACGGATTTAAGCATGCCGCGGCATGAGCCTGCCAACCACCTCCAACATTGCCGTGTCCCCGTATGGGTGGCCAGCCCCAACGGCGTCCCTTATTGATCTCGACTGTTGCACTTAGGTAACTTGTCCATCTCCGATAACCTCGCGGCTCGCCTCTTCCCGTCACCGCCTGCCTGCCTTTGAGCAACAAGATCCGACCGAGGTCGGCCTAGTAAGGCCCACCACACCCCCAACTCCAAGTACATCTCTCTCCGATCGCTTTCATCCCTCCAAATCCCCCCTCGAATCCACACGGGTTCCGGATATAAAAGTTGGAGTTTTCAGACCCGGGAGAAGCTAGCCGGCTCTTCCTGCAGCTAGCCTGCCTGCTTGCCGTCGGCAAAGTACCTCCCCTCAGTAGGGGGTGCTGGGGTGGTTGAAATGTAGAACTTTTGGACACTGTCCGTCGAATCACGTTACACCTCTTTACCTTGATGATCGTCGCCTTTCCTAGGGTAGTTGCGGCATAAGTAATTAGAGGGAGGGGTAACCGGGTTGAATTACTCACACGGCTTTCCTAGCAGGCAAATACCGTGGACTTTGGCAGCCATGCCTGTGAGAGCGGGAGGCGTAGAGATTGAAATACGGCAAGCACGCAAGTGCTGCTTGCCCTCGGCTGTGGAGTCCGGCAAAGTGCCTAGTCCATTGCACTCTCTTCATTCGAATCCCCCCCTTACCAATCTCATCAATGCATTTCTAATTGCTTCTTCCAAACCGTGCTTCCGCTAGCTTGGACACCCACAACCCCGTCGTTGAAAACTGGAAAGAACAAAGACTCCACGTTTCTCTCACCAGCCATGGGTTCTGAAAAGGACCTAGAGGCGGAGGCGGAAGCGGGAGTGACGACATCCATGGCCGGCGACGGCGCCCACGGCCTCCGAGGAGGATCCTCGGACCAAGCGACGATGACGGAAAAGGAGAGTGAACATCAACGACGGCACCTCTTTACCTCTTCAGATGACCCGGAAAAGGCAAAGGAAAGCCAGATGGAGGAAAGAAAGAGTTTTGACGTTGAGGACGCGACGGATGGCGAGCAGCGGTCCCAGGAGGTGAGCGTGGCTTCTTTTCCTGTGAGAGAGAGAGTCTTGGCGGCTGTTTATGCCAAGCAAAACTTTGATGATGAGCCTCCCAAAAGAAGTTTTGTCTGTGAACATACCTTTATTTCTTTTCTACTCCGAGCTTCGTCCAAAGACGATCGGAGCTAGATACCATGGTGTCTGAAGACACCGACACATACGGCCGTCGCTGACAAACACTATAGGACATCCTCGTCGAGCCTATCCAAACAACCCGCTCTCATGCAAGCGCACGAAGTCGCCTCTCCCGAATCGCAAGTCTCGTATCCCGCCGCGAGGATGACAATGACACCCTCCCCGTCACGGTTCACCCCCTCACCGACCTCCAGGCCGGTCTGGTCGGCTGGGACTCTCAGTCCGACCCCACCATGCCCATGAACTTCCCCCGGTCCCGCAAGTGGCTCATCATCTGTTTTCTCGCGGGTATCACCTTCATGACGCCCTTCGCCTCCTCGATCCTAGCCCCGGCCATCAGCAACTTCGACGAGGACTTTGGAAATGACGACATCACCCTCGGCACCCTCCCTGTGAGCATCTATCTGCTCGGCTACGCCGTCGGCCCGCTGTTTCTCGCGCCCCTGTCTGAGATGTACGGCCGCCGCCCCGTCCTGAACGCCGCGAACCTCTTCTTCTGCGCCTGGCTCATCGGCTGCGCCCTCGCGCCCTCGCTTAATTCGCTCATCGTCTTTCGTTTCCTTACGGGTATTGGTGGCTCAGGGTGCCTAGCAATTGGTGGAGGAGTGGTAGCTGATATGTTCCCTGTTGCAGAGCGAGGGATCGCCTTGGCTGGGGTTATGGGGGGGACTTTGATATCTCCGACTATTGCGCCGATCGCGGGTGCCTACATCGCGCAGGACCTCAACTGGCGCTGGTGCTCCTGGATCGCCTTTATCGCCGCCACGCCCATGGCCCTCATCATAGTCATCTTCAACCAGGAAACCAACCCGCGCGTCCTCATTGACCGGAAGGTCGCTCGCCTCAGCGTGGAACTCGGCCGTACCGACCTCCGCAGCGTCTACGACGACCCCCCCTCGGCGGGAGTACCCAAACCCACCTCCTCCCAACTCCTCCGGCGGGGGCTCAGCCGCCCCTTGAAGTTGCTCTTCCTCTCCCCGATCCTCTTCAGCGTGAGTCTGTACTGCGCTTTCGCCTACGGAGTCCTGTACCTCCTCTTCAGCACCATCCCCCTCGTCTTTACCTCCACCTATGGGTTCTCTGTCGGCAACGCGGGGCTCGTCTACATCCCCCTCGGCCTCGGCTTCATCATCGGCATGGCCTTCTTCACCACCCTATCGGACCGCACCGTCGTCCGCATGACAAAGGCGAACAACGGCGTCTACGAGCCCGAGATGCGCCTCCCGGACTGCATCTACTTCGCCGCTCTGCTGCCCGTCACGTTCTTTTGGTACGGCTGGACCGCCGAGTTCAAGACCCACTGGGTCGCGCCCGTAATCGGGCTGTTGCCGTTCGGCGTCGCGATCCTGGGCATCTGGCAGCCCATACAGGCCTACGTCATTGACGCGTATCCGCTATATGCCGCCTCGGCGATAGGGGCTTTCACCGTCTTCCGCAGCGTCGTCGCGGCGTTTCTGCCGATGGCGGGACCGGCAATGTACGACGCCCTGGGGCTCGGTTGGGGGAACAGCGTCCTGGGCTTCATTGCGATTGCGCTCATACCCGTGCCGGCGCTGATATACAAGTACGGAGGGCGGTTGCGGAAGTGGCAGAAGCTGGAGCTTTGAGGTGGCTAGCTAAGCTTTGATTTATAGAATCCCAGATTGCGATATACCCATAGAAGTAGAACGCTTACCAATGAATAGAAAGAGTGGCTTGCATACCTGGGGCCAATAGGGTTTGGCAGATGTTGGTAACCATCATCTGTCCTGTCCAGAACTCACCATGGCCGCTCCCTCATGAACCAGGAGGAGCATAGAGCACAGTGTCGTCAATCAGATGTCGAGGGGGGATTCATGCAGAACCAAAAAAACACCAGAACCACGAACCGAGGTCCGAGGGTTCCCATTACTATTATCTATAACAATACAGTATCCGGCCGTTGCAGTCGTCAGTAAGGAAATCCGTCCGCCTTTTGCAAGCCCCTCCCTCTCAAATGAGTTCCCACTTCATAAGGAATGTCCAGCTCATGCCGCACTTGCCCTTCTTTGCAAAGTACTCCTTGGCTGTCATGCCTCTCGCGTCCTGTCCATCGATGGTCGTGATCATGGCCACGCTGACGCTCTGGCCCGGCGCGCCCAGATCGATCGCGTTCACGTCGGCCCAATGCCAAAAGCCGTCCGTCTCGATGGGGACCATGTCCTCCTTGCGACCGTCACGCCCCTTGATGCTGAGGAATAGTAGCGGAGGCTTTCCCTTGCCGTGCTTCTCTGACGTCCAGTGCTCGCATTTGTTGGACCACTGGAAACGCACGACTTGGCCGCTGTAGACTGGGATCTGGAGCTCCTTGGGGCTGACCGTGTGATCCCATACACCCTCCTCGTACGCGAGGGTGTAGATGGTGGGCTTATCACCGTGGACCGGACCAATGTAATATTCCTCCCAGCTCGGCACTCTGCCGTCGGGCCGGAAGAAGTGCCTGTCATCGGATGGGTAGTGAGAGAGTCCGAAGATGTCGTTTCTCCGGGTGAACTCATGTGGCTTGAAGTCGGCTGTGTACTCCTTGGTCACGTCCGACACGTTACCGGCGCCCCAACAGGCATCGAGGAGCTTCCACTCCCCACCGTCAATTCGCACTGCGTTCCAAGCATGCCCGTCGGCCTTCTTGGGCGGCGGACGCTCCCCCTTTTTCAGAGCAGTGTACCCATAACCCTTTCCGTGGCCAACGACCGTGATACACTCGAGGCCTGCACGAAGGGCAATTTCCTTGTACGTATCCGCATAACCCGAGCAGACGGCCTTGCCCAGTAAAATGGTCTCGGCTCCGGAGCGACCTCTGATGTTGTTACCGAAGAAGGCGGCGCAGTCATAGGCGATGTTATGATGAAACCAAGTAAAGATGGCTCGCGCCTTGTCTGTGTGAGACGCAAATGGTCCGCAAAGCACTTGTGCCAGGTATCCTACGGGGTCGTTCCTGGGGAGTGACTGTCTGGGGTACTGAGCAGCGACGCCATCCGGACCGGAAAAGTCGCGACAGATTAGACAGTCGTTGGTGCGGGCCACTGCTTTGGCGGAGACGGCCTCAATCTGCGCGACACTAGGACGGGAACTGAGGGGGACGGGCGGAGGAGCATCATCGCCAGCGCCTGGCCGTCTTACGGGCAACGGTGGGCGATCGTTTGCTTGCTGTTCCTGGGCGGTGCAAGCATTTGTCTGCGGCTGCGACTTGGTGTATGACGTTGGGGGCGGGGGTAGCCGTCTCGGCTTTGCTGGTGCTTCTTCTTCCAGAGATGGCTTCTGAACTTGCTGGTTCGTTGACCTCGATGTCAGTCGCGGGGGGAGCACCGGTCTCTGAGGGGGCTCAATTTGCCGAACGGCAGGCGATGAGTGGGTCGACACAAGGGCATGTTTGGGTTGCTGCGGCTGTTGAGCAGTAGCCTCTTTTGCTTGAGCTTCCCGCTCTCTCCTCGTTGGTGGCAGCGGCGGCAAGTTTGCTTGGTCCAAAGTGGGCGGCAGCTTGCGCGTGGGACCGTCGATTGAATGGATGCTGGTAGCAGATGACACGGTATGATTCAATGAAAGGGACGACAGGTTGGAAATCTCGGAAGCATTCGAGTTACGGCGCACCGCCAATTGCTGGGTGGAGGGCCTCCGGGGGGGTAAAGCTGGTGAGATTTGCTGCGTCGACGTGCGCGTAGGGAGAGGCGGAGGGGCAATGCGGTCCCTGGGAGGTGGCGTCTCGACCGAGACTTGGGATGAATCGGTCGTTCGCCGGGGTAGCGGTGGTGGGCTGGGCTTTGCCGGTGTGGACTTGGTGGGCCGGGGAGGAATCGTGGGACTGATTTGAGGCGTAGGAAGTCCGTTTGTCTGGACGACAGGAAGTGTCTGGCTGCGCGGCACAGGGCGATTGGTGGGAGGAGGCGGAGGCGGGGGTCGCTTTGCCTTGACCTCAGGGGCCTGGAAGTTCTTTTGCTGGTTCAAGGCGGCGATTCTCTCAGCCAGGCTGTTGAACTTGGGCTCCTCGACATCAGCCATGGCTGGCTCTCGGTATGGGATATTTGAAGACGGTCGGGTAGGTGTCGAGAAGGAGTGTGTCGCAGCTCAATGGGAGGTGCGAACAGGCGGGCTGTATATACGATGGATGAAACGAACGGATGTTGGTCGCTAGCTGATCCCTCACCAATCCAGACCGTGTTGGTCGCGGCGCGATGTCCCAATTGGGCAATAGGCAGCAGGCAGGTTTTTTGGCGACTGAGTCACGACACCTTCCACGGCCGAGAGCTGAAGCGGTTGATTTACCGCTGAGGGGGAAAGGGTTTGTAGAGACTGAATGGACGTGACCGCGTACAACGTCCCCAATGTGAAGAGGAGTTGAATATGATGAGCGAGAGACGGACGGTTTGCACAAGAAAAAGAAAAGGGGGGGGGGGGGGGGGGGGGGGGGGGTATCGAAGCTGATGGTGGTATTAATGTGTTTGTCCGTTGCGGCAGCGAGAGAAGAAAGCACACGGGTTTGTGGCTGTTTGTCTGGCCCAGGGTACAGAAACGAACGCTGGTCGAGCGAAGGATTGGTTGATGAACGGCACGGCCAACAGCAGCTGAGGTCTTGGTGGTGCTACAAAAAAAGATGGAGCGAGGAAGAGGTTGGGTCGAGGCGATGCTCGTAGCTTTCGTGTTGAGTGCCGTCGTTACTTGCAGACCTTGAGGAAAGGAATCTTGTCTATCAGGCAGGCAGCAACGGCAGCAGCAGCAACAGGCGGAACAGGGTCTTCTGGTTGGCCGCCCAGTGTCGGAGCTGGCAGCGGCGGGACGCAAGAAGCTTAAGCTGTGGCAGGGAAACAGGGCGTGTGGGATACGAGATGGGAACGACAGTTTGCTGGTGTTTGGAGGGGAGGGGAGGGGGGAGAAAGAGGGAGGCGGCAGTCCAACAAGGTCCCGGGGCAGGATGAAGACGATAGGATTGGGGGCCAAACTCGGACTCGGGGATTGGGCTGGCTGGTTACGTGCACAAAGTGCCTCCGATGCAGTCTTTGCATAGAGCCAAGAGGTCAAACATAGACTCAATAACGGGCAAAGTAAGGATGAGAGAGAGAGAGTAACGAGAACACGGAACACAGAGGGGCTGCCCCCCACCTCCCTCTCCATCTGATATCTGTACCTTTCACTGTTTAAAAAAAAAAAAAAAAAAAAAAGTCTGTCGAGTTCGTAGCCACAGCTCGTCTTGTCTTCTCTTGTCTTAGTGGGGGGCCCTTGGGATCCCCTTGTTCCTCCCCGTCCCGGTCTGGATCAGTCGGCACAGCCCAGCCTTGCTGGTGGGGGAACTGTGGGGTTTCCCCTTGGGAGCGGATGCGCTAAGGCCGATCGTTGCCTCACGCCTGCGCCATGTCTGGCGCTCGAGATGTCTTGGTGAGTGGCTGCCTGTGCTGCTGGGTCCCTTTGTGACAGACAGTTCTTCCAGAAAACACAACGGACCTTCCACCATGGTTGCGGTGCCTACAACTGCGGCGTTGGAGACTCATTTCGGATTTCGAGTCTAGGCGAAAACAGCGACGCCGACACCTTATCGGGACCACCGATACCACCGGCTCTTCCCCAATCTCTGGGTTGTCATCCATCCACTTTCACGCACTTCTCCACAGCGGCGTCATTGCGCTTCGTATATGAAGCATGTCCACCTTGGAATTTCGACACTAGCACACGGCAAACGTAAGCTACCGGACGCATTTACCGTGGCCAAGCCCAAATTCCCATTGTCTCTCTCAGCCTCTGCCAGGATAGGATGTCTTGACCAGCAAGTCCCACGATTGACAGCCAATCGAAACGGCAATCTTTGGGAAACAAGAACTCAAGGTCTTTGCCGTGCCTCTTGGGTCCTGTCATGACATCGTCCAGAGATTGGACTTTACTGCTGACAACAACCCGCAGTCCCGCTAGTGGTGATGAGAGTCGATGCCGACGCAAAGGTTTCGGTTGGAATGCCCGTCTGTATTGGATACGGACCATGGGTTATACTCATTGAGCAGGGATGTGCCATACAGTCATAGCGGGGCAGCACTCAACAGCCTCTTTCGACTGCATCCGGGTTACTCTTTTTTCGAAGCTGTCATGTGAGGGAGACAGGAGACGCGACCTAAAACATGTCGTGTGGAGGAGAGGCCCGTTGTACGGACAGGCGAGGCATGTAGCGGTATTTATTTATACACATGCAGTGGGGATTTCTCAAAGAACCCGGAGAAGAAAGGGCGACGACGGACGGCAGGTGGAGCCGGGATGAATAGAGTGGTGCTGGTGCTGGTGCGCGGGCTGCGAGCCATGCATGCATGTCTGAGCGCTAGACCCCTTCTTCCCTGCGCAGACGGACTGCGATGCGCCTCAGGACGATGCGAAGCTCGCCCGTCAGTGGCTGCCCTGCAATCCGTCGCTCCGTGCACGATGAGAAGGGCTCCCCCTTCCGCCCCCCAGGGGAGCGAGGGGAGACACAGTGACACACGCCCCAGTGGCAGGGTGGAGGCGGTCATGGGCGTCGTCGTGGTCGTGCGTTGCGCTGACAGTGGACCGCGGGCGGCGGCGGCGCATCGGTCGCTGGCTGGCTGGCTCGCTGGCCTGCCCTCACGGTGCTGTCCCTCTCCCTCTAAGAGGCCGAGGCCATGCATCCCACCCCCCTCCAGAGAAGGCGCGCCCCTCCTGCAACTGGCCCTTCCCGCCCGCCCACGTCGCCCTTGTCGGTTGTCTCTGGGTGTGCCTCCCGGGGTGCCTTGGTTGGATTGTTGTATCCGTATCTTGCTTTCCTGCCTGGCCTACCTACCCCAACCCATGGTAGGCGGAATACTCTCACTCAACAAGAGACGACGCAAGAGGTAGAGTCAGGACCCTCCGCTTCGTCGCTTCTATCCGCATCCTCCGATCCGTACTGAGAACCTCGCATTTCCCTTTTGGCCAGGCGTCCAGTGTGCTCCTCCAACAACTGCCGTCGACATTCCTCTCATTGCATAGGCGGACGGCGTATTCCACCTCTGCGCCACAGACTTTTGCCCACGATGGCCTCCGCCGCCGAGTCTTGCGACAAGGCTGCTACCGCCCCCGAAAGCGCAACCAAACCGCTCAACTTCCTCGACCTCCCTCTCGAAACCCAGAAAGATATTCTCAGCCATGTGAGATCTCGTGCTTCCGCGCCTGCATGCGACCCAGAAAGACTGACCGTTCCCAGTGCTGCCAGAGCGACCTCATCTGCCTCGCCCTCGTCTCGAAACACTTCCGCGAACTCGCTGCCGCCCAGCTCTACCGCAACTTCCACATTGTCTTCCCCGACGAAGATGACCCGTCCTTTGACTCTCCCATCGACAGTCTGGCCGGTGGCCTCGAGACCTTTGTGTCGAGCGACTACAACTATGCCCAACATCTGAGAGACATCTCCCTCGACACGTTGAGTGCTGGCGACAAGGCTGAGGCCGCTTACAAACCCTACTTATACAGCGCAAGCTGCGGCAAGTTCATGAATACCTTGCTGCTGCTGACTCTCAAGAATGCAAAGTCGCTCGAGACCTTTAGGTACGTCGGACAGGTCGCCATCTGCCTGCCCTTGCTGACCCTCGCAATACTAGGTGGAACATCCGAGTCGAACTCAGCCGTCCAGTCTACAAGGCGTTGCACCAGATTGCGCCTCTAAGAAATCTCCATGTTCGAATGCAGGCTGGCCCGTCCCTCTTCGAGATACCTCCACCACTGCCCTACACTTCGAGCCTGCAGCCTCAGCCTACCTCGACCCAAGGCCATTGGGATCCTCTGCCGGCTTTCTCTGCAGTCCCGCCGCCGCCTCCTCCATTCGCAAGCATGTCCTTGTCCGTCCCGCCTCCGTACAACCCTTCCCTGGGCCCGCCGCCTCAGTTACCGCCAGCGTTGAGGCCCGCGCCTAGGAGTAGACGAAGGATATCGGCGAACGAGCCTGCGACCTTGTCGGGCTTCCGCAAACTCAACTCGCTTGCCGTCCTTGACATCGACTCTCTAGACACCGTTACCGAGATCAAGTCTTGCGTGCGTAACTCAGCTTCCACTCTCACGAAACTGAAGCTCTCCTTCTCGACATACCTTGCTTTACAATCTCGAAAGCCTCCCCCCGAAGCCGACCCCGACGATTCTGATCAGGATGATGAGTTCCAAGTCGTTCCCATGCCGTCAGCGCCTGGCTGGGATGAGGCGAGTGGGCCAGCAAAGGCATTCCGTGCGCAAGAAGAGCGCAAGAGCCAAGAGTCGGTACTGGGTAGGATATTCGACGTGGAGCCCTTCCTCGTCAAGAGGACACAGCGTAAGACTCTGAAGGGCAAGGAGAAGATCGACACGGCCGTGAACACAAAGGAGGCTGGATCGCCTGCCGAGGCCTTTATGGAGAGACTCCGGGAGGTATCGACAAAACTCATGGCGAGCGTAACGGACGGCGACGCCGATGATGGCTCGAAGCAAGAGATCCTGGAGATGATAGAAAAGGCCAGCAGGAAGTACTTGGAAGAAGAGGAAGCAAAGGCAGCGGCGACAAAGGCGGAAACCAAGACGGAAGCCGGGCTTGGAACCTCTGACGAAGGTCCTTCGACCGACCCCGCTCCAAGCACAGCGGATGCCAGCACTCAGCCAGCCCCTGTTATCGAAGTCTCCGAGCCTTCCACAATTGCGGCAGAAACCAACGCGAAGCCAAAAGCGAACTTTGGAACAGATGCCAACCCTGAGGACATCAATGTGGAGGAGCCCATCGCGACTGAGGAGACGGAAGAACCATTGGAGGTCAAGAACGACCAGAACAAGGAGGAACCTATTGCTGCCTCTGGCACCGCTGCGTCTCAAGCCCAAGATGCCGTCTTTGAATCGCCTACGACGGCGCGAGCCGCAGCCACCTTGGCAACACAAAAGGCAAACTTCGAGACGCTAGTCCTTCGTCTGCAATATCTCCTTTCTGAGGCCGCCAGCGTACACGAGAAACTTGATGTCTTGCGCAACGCGCACCCTCAAGACAGGGACCGCATTCGCTCGGGAGAAAACCAATTACAAGGTTGCTATCGGGATATCAACAACGTACGCACCGAGCTGAATGCGACTGAGGCCGAGATCCGGGATGTGGAGAAGCAAGTCAATGGTATAGCCACTACGGCCCATGGCGATGACGAAGTGATGAGCGAGTACATCCGGTCGACGAGGGGCGTAGCACTGAAGTCATTCAGTGTTCACCTGATCCCAGTCAAGGCCTCCGTACTCAGGGCAGCCATTGACGTACGAGTTCTCAAGAGACTGACACTGCTGAATGTTGGCAACCAAGCCCCGATCTGGACAATGCTGGCCAAGGAAAACAAGGTTCAGCCGCTCCCTCTGCGAAAGATATTCACAGACAATGTATCCATCACCTTTCTCACGTTTGCGGGCCAGCTGGAGCAGATCACCGAACTTTTCATGCTGGAGCGATCGGCCAAGTACAAGCCAGAGAGCTTCGCGCCAAAAACCAACGTTGTCATGGATCAGATTCGTCGTCTTGTTCTCAAAAAGCACATGCCCACTCTCACCAAGCTGATGATCAAGAATGACTCTGGGCCGAGCTGGGACGTGGACGAGAAGGCCATGCTACTGATTTGCAACCGCGGAAAGCTCCTCGAAGAGTTGGCGGCGGCGCTTGGAATCCGCGCTATCGTAAGTTACCCGAGGGACCTTTGACCACTTGGTCACTTTCTAATCACTTTCACAGCATACCTTCATGCAGCATATCTCGGGACTAGTTAGCCTCCGCGCTTTGAACGTCACGCAGTTCAGAAATGACGACACTTGCGTCTGGGTTATGCGCGAGACTCGGAGGTTCATCGTTGACAACCTCTGCCACTATCCAGACTTGAAACTCGAGTGGATCTCTATTGATGACGACCGGGTTGAGCGCATCATCCGTCCACCACCTCAGACGCCTGCTGCCAAGGCAGAGGAGAAGAAGAACAAAAAGAGCAAGAACAAGGCCGGCGCAGGCTCGACGTTTGGGACTTTCGGCGGCCCAGGAACTGCCACTGGCACTGGTGGTCCCGGTGTGTTCCCACCTTTGCCTCTGCCGGGATGGGAGACGGATAGTGATAGTGACGACGAGGACACCGATATAGTGGCCAACACAAAGCTAGAAACGGTCGAAGGCGTCCACTTCTACGATGTCTGGGATGTCCGGATCTTCAAGAAGGAAGTCATGGCGGGGCGGCTGTAATCGCTCAGTAAAGGACTCGCCAGAGCCACACAACATGGCTGTGCGTTGTGCTTTGGCTATTGCAGGCCGTCTGTCTTGCGCGCGATGGGTATTTCCCACTTGGGGAACATATGACAGGATTGAAATGGAGAGTGGTGACAGGACGTACTAAAGGACCGGAGTTGATTGGTTTTCTAGGCAATATCTCTTGGATGGGATCATCTGGACAATACCCGGCACTAACGGATGAGGGTCTGGCGCACATGGTATGGAAACGAGCTTTTTCACAGGGAAGACGCTCTCATTAAGCTGTATCAATTCGCCACGGAGCAAAGCAGCCATTTATTCGTGAATTTAAGCGGGCCTACGCCCTTTCTCACATACTTGCCTCATTATCAGAGGCTTCTCATCGTATCTGCGGTTGCTTTCCCCGCTCTCAAGAATTCCTCCCCAGTCCCATTGGCCAGTGTCCTGTTAAACACACGTCACTATCGAGAGTCGAGAATGTTGACGTCGACGTGGCTTAGACAAACAACTTGCCGTCCTCCTCATCGTCGAAGGTGGGAACGAAGCCTTCTTCTCTAGGCTGCTGAGACACGTTTACTCCTCGTCCTCATCACCTGTGTGGTCATCGTCATCCTCGTCGCCTTCGTCCTCAAGCTCAGACTCGGCCTCAAGCTTAGCCAGTTTGGCAAACATACCCTCGCGGTCGGCACAGCTGGCGTCGGAAGCGACGATCTGGGAAACGGCGTCATCAAAACCATGCTCGGTGAGCTCGTGGAGGGCTTTGCGGGCATAGGCGATGATGGCGATGCACTCCTCAGCATGCTGCATGAAGTTCTTAGGGGTGGAGGAGAGTGTCCTGAAGGGAGTGGCGGTGATATCGTTGTTGTCCTTGCGAGCGACGGCGTCAATGTTGGGTATCAACCTTTTGAGATGGGCGAGGTTGACGGGGATCTCTCCGTTGTGAAGGGGGACGGTGAAGGCGTCGGCGTCGGCGAGAAGGCGCTCAGCGTGAATGGTGACATGCTCTGAAGGGGGTTCGGTGTCAGCTTTATCTCCTTGAAGTTGAACGGTACTGTGATCTCGGGTGATTTATGCGAAACATGTGGTTGTTTTTTTTCTTTTTTTCAAAACGCGAGAGAATGTCAAAGGGAACACTAAGACCAGTAAAAGTGTTCAAGGGTGAGAGATATAGAACCGAGATGGGACAGAGAGGTGAGAAGAAAGACAACAAGGGTGTACAGAGGGAAAACACTTACTGAACTTGGCGATGAGCTCTGTCAACTTGCTCTCACTCTTGAACATCTTTTGCATCATCTTCGAGCGCAGTTTGTTGAGGAAGAAGACTTGGATCACGGCATAAGCGAGGCTGAAACCGGTAACGAGTTGCCAGAAGCAGACGAGAAGAAACCGCTCGTTGCAGGTAGGCGACTGCTTGCAGGCGAGGTAGACGTCGGCAAGAGTGTTGTTAGACATGCTGTGCTTCGTGAGGTTCCGTTGCGGGGATATTCTGGGGTGAGCTGAGGGTAGAAGTGAGAATGAGTGAGTGAAGAGGAGAAAAGTAAGGCTTTTCAGAGCGCGGTGATGAGATTTGCCGGTGTTTTTCTCAGGCGTGAAGGGGAAAGAGGGAGTTCCGGGTCCTTGGGTGAGTGAAAGTGTGCGGTAAGAGACGCTAACTTGGGTCTGTGGAGTTCATAGTTGTGAAGAAGCAGGCGCGATAGGAGGTCGGTGGGTGAGAACTGGGAGAAATCTGGGTATTGAGAGGTGCTTCGTTCCTTCCTATAAAGAGCGCTAATGTGCTGGCCTACATACTTCTTTACTTATTGAAAGGCATATTTGAGATTGCCAAGGCCCTGGCTCTTCGTATTCTATCTACCTAAGGTAGGCCGTTGATATAATGTTGGGTCACCGGGTACAGGTCCCTCTCTGAGACCGAACGACTTGATATGGTGCATTCTGGTTTAGGGCGATCACAAGGTGTTCTTGCTTCACTCTCCGAGAAGCCCCTTGGATTGATGGAGTGTAGAAAGTCTACCAATCTGTACAAAGACATCAAGATCTTGTTCGACTTTTTGATATCGTCTTGTTTCTTTGAACTTGGACAAGTGGTTCCCCCATAAATGTCTCGTATATGTCGATATGAATGTCTTTTCTCAATCAATATCCTAGACATCTTAGATGCACCATTTCGAGGAACAGTTAGCATAGTGGACGAACATTACGACGTCCCCCTTGGCTATCGGTGCGAGAATCAGTAGAAGGATCAGGAGGGCATCTGTGTGGATGCTGTACCTCAAACGCCGGATGATGAACAGTTGAAAACATGTGACGAGATGAACTGTTCACCCCCTTTAGGCGAGCAGGTGTCCTGTCTTGTGAATTGGTGCCTTATCGTAAGAGCAAATCTCGAGCATTACATCGTGACATATGCCATGAATGTATCCACCAATTATGTTCCCATCGCATGACCTAATGGTTCAGAAAGGGTAATAGAGGCATTATGTGTTCCGGTAACTCTTATGCCTGGTAATAGAACCACATTGAACCCAATTCGCGGATGCACGAATTCGTGCCACTCTTTTCAATATCGGGCAGGCAACCCTTCCTACGAGGTGATGGTGTGTGTGCTGTACTGTCAATGGGTATCAAACTTCTATTCCTCCTAGGCTCATCAGCGGCTGAGCGTTGCATATCTCACCCAGCATCATGAATCATGCCGTCTTCTGGTCCATCAGGGCCATAAGCTCATCCTCCTCGTCGCCCTCCCCAGCTCGTCTCCTCGCTTCCCTCTCAATGCCACTCCTCGTAATCATCCCGCCAGCCAGCAGGCCCGTCTCCTTCACTCCTCTCACCCAGCCCTCGAGGCTCCTCATTCCCACGACGAGGAACCCAAGTTCCTCTCTCTCGACATCGAAAACCTCCCACCACGCCACCTCGGGCATCTTCGCTCCTGCCTCCCTGGCGGCGATGTACACTGCCGCCGTCGCCAGTGCGTGGGGCTGGTGTGTAAGATACATCATCTGCGGACTCAGCAGCGCCGTATTCAGGTGTGCGACCACCCGCCCAGCCATCTCGCCCTTGGGCTTCCCCACGAAGTCCAGCGCCTGAAGGTACGTCACGGCCAGCGCGTGCGGCAGCGCCACTGCCGTATCGAATCCCAGAGCCCATAAAATCCGTGCCTCGGCTGCCAACATCCGAGTCTGGAAAGCAGCGTACTCTCCGTCCGTCTGGTAGTACGTCGCCGGGTCCGGGCGGCGCTTGGTAGGGTCTGGGGCCTCGCCACGGAAGAGGGGCGATGCAGGCGAGAGGAGGTAGGCGTAGACGTTTGACAGATCGCGAGTCGTGCGCGGAAGGGGTCCCATCTTGGAGACTAGGTAGAGGGCTGCAGCAGATACGTCCTAGGGACTCTTGTCAGTGGTGTGCCGTGGGCGTCTCGTGAAAGTATGGGAGGGGCATTTACGCTGAATTCCCCGGCCATTGGCGACTCGACAAGCCAGTACCGTGCCAGTAGGACATTTGCTTGCGCTGTCGTCGACTGTGGCAGGTCGAGCAGCACGCCGGCCGCCTGGGTTAGGCACTGCGTCGCGTAGAAGATGACATCCTGCAGGTCGGCCGGGAGGGAACTGAAGGAATTGCGCTTGTAGAGCTGGTCAGCCGTCGCCAGCGGATTCGTCATATGCGCCATCGTGTGCGCCTCGATTTGTCGTCACCAAGGTTGCTCTGAAAACCTCCCACCAACCGTCGAAGGCTGAACAATTGTTGTCGCAAGGCTGAATGTCGATGTCGATGTCGCCGTCGTCCGGAATCCTCATTGGTCGAAGCTGAGAGCTGTCAAGACAAGTTAGGCGCGATGCCGCGCGTGTCGTCACTTTCCCAAGGCGAGAAATGCGGCCGGAAGCAACTGAAGAGAGGCCCGAGCTCCTCTTGTTAGCGATCCAACCCGCCTCCACTTTTCCTCCGCTTTGGCTTAGCGTCCCCAGGCCCTGCTTCACAGAGTCACAGATGTGCTTAGGCTCTCGGAGCGGTACCTGAGGTTTTGGCTGGGTACGAAAGGGCACTGGGCCAATTCAAGGCAACTGCGTGGAGAAAAGCTACCCGGCTCCTCGACATCACGCTTCGCAATCCCGCTCAGCTTGCGAACCACACGAGAGCGATTAATACGGAACACAGCATCTGCCAACCAACACATTTCATCCGAAAAACCTCGAATTGTTCGCTGCCGAATCGGTCAATGGATGGCCTGACATCTCGAACCCCCAACTGACCCGTCTATACCCTTCTCTCTTCCCCGCATCGGCTTAGTCGGCCAGTGGTGACCCGTCCAACCGACCAAGCGACACCACCGAACGCATCGCACGCAGACGACAACGACGATCGACGACGAACGACAAGGACACTGCCACAACCATGGATTACAGCGCCTCCATCAACGACGAGGCTGCCGCATCGCCTTGGGGCAACTCACCGGGCTCCTCGCCTCGGCCCAACCAGTCCAACTTCGGATCCCTAGGTGCTGCTGACCTGAGCGGCGACCCGCCCGGCTCTCCCTTCCACTACACACCGAGCCCCGGCAACGCAACCCCGCATGACCAGGAGAACTTCGGCGGCGAGCAGTACAGACGACCGGACACCGCGAGCACTCAGTCGGCGACCGAGGTGGAAACACAAGAGTCGAGGACCGAAGTCGGCTCAGAAGCCCGGGCCAGCGCCGATAGCCCTGGACCTGAGCTGCCGCAGAAATCGCATGAGCAAGGAGGCCCGCCGAACGCAGGCGGACAGGCCCGTCAAGATCAACAGCCTCGCAAACCTCAGCAGCCTCAATTCAGGCTTCAGGCTAAGATCACCGGCCTCGAGCGGACCGGAAAGAAGGACCCAATCTTGCGGTTCGACGTTCATGTAAGGAGTATTCCCGCTTTGGGATGCGGTGGAGCAACAAGATGTCTAACAGACCGCAGACAAACCTCCCGAGGTTCCGCACCACACAATACCGCGATGTGCGCCGCTTCCACTCGGAGTTCGTCAAGCTGGCGGAGCACCTCATCTCCGCGAACCCCGAATGCCTGGTACCAACGGTACCTCCCGCCGTGACATCGGCTGGCGCTGGTACGGACGAGGACGAAGCCCGCGTCAAGGCCTTGCTACAACGGTGGTTCAACTACGTGTGCAGCAACGAAATCCTTATGAGAGATGATGAGATGGTCCTCTTCGTGGAGAGCGATTTCGGTTACAGCCCCATGGTCAAGATGAAGCAGCCGGCGACGGGCGTGCGCAGAAAGATTCTGAAGCAGTTTGCGCCTCCGCCGGATGACACCCCGGAGCTTCAGGAGGCTCGCCCGATTGTAAAGCTCTTCTACTTGGGAACCATGGATGCCGGCCACAAGGTCGATAAGCTTGTCAAGTCTCGTCGAGGTAAGTCCACGTCAACCCAACCCCGATAACGCACCGCCTTCACCGGTCTGATATCATACAGGTCTCGGATTGGCCGAGTCCGACTTTGGCGTCAAGCTTGGCTCAATGCACATCCAAGAGCCCCATCAAGGTCTTGCCAACGCCTACCGAAAGCTAGGTAAGATTGTGCAGACGGTTGGCGACTATCATGCTGCCCAAGCGACTGCAGAAGCCACCACGATCGGTGATCCCTTCCAGTATCACTCGCAGGATTCCTTTGTCGTCAAGGAGTCACTCACAAACCGCCAAATCCTCATCCGCGAGTTCCTCCAGGCGCAAGAGAACACGCGCAGCAAGCTCAACGCTGCCGATCGTCTCAAGGCGAGCTCCAATGTCAGACGGGAAAAGGTCGATGAGGCCATCACCGCCCTCGATGATGCGCGTCAAAACGAGACCTACCTGTACCAGAAGACGACCCGCGTTACCCAGAACCTCGTACAGGAGCGTCGAAAGTGGTTTGCGAGAACCGCGGCGGACCTGCGGCTCAGCATCAGAGAGTATGTCATTCGCGAGATCGAGGCGGAACGACGTGCTCTTGCCGTTTTGGAGAGCGTGAGACCGGACATTCGCGCCATCGATGCATCTGGCGGTCTGAGTCGACTCGGACGCGAGTCTCACCCTCCCATCAGAAGGGCCAACGTGGCAGCCAGCCAAGGACCCAAGGGCGATGCATGGAGCGGTGTTCCACGACGCACCGACACGATGAACCGTAGCGTTTCCGGTAGTCTTATGGCTGGCCTCTCCGACGAGGGAGACGGCGACGACGGACAAGGTACAGGGCAAAACCAGGGCCTCGGTGCAGCGGGCGGGCGGGCGAGTCTGGCCGGTGTGGCAGAAGAAGACGACGAGGACCGAGTGGATGCGAGAAACGCGGCAAGCCGATTGGCGACCAGCACCTTCTAATGAGTCGGCGCGCAAGGTTATTTGCGAGGGACGACGGGCGACGGAAAAGACGTCCGAAGGTAGGGGGGAACCTTTTGACCAAGACCTTTACAGTTTTGGTACAGGCGCTTGTCAAAAGCCCTCGCATGATGTGTAATGTTGTTTCCGTCCTGTATGTGCTCCCCTACACATAGATTCCCAAAGTATGAGCCTTTGTTTTTTTCCCCTCTCTTCCTCTCTCTATCTCACTCTGCAATCTCGTTCGTGCTGCATGCAGCTTGTGCTGTGCGAAAACCTGGGCATAATGGCCGCCTTGAACTGCGGAATCGTAACCTTTCACAAGCATCAAAGGGACGGCTCGGCGCCTAGAAGCCGGTGGTGGCGGCGGCGGCGCATCCTCCAGATGTCCCAGATTGTGACGCTGGAGGTAAACATGATTGGTCACCTCTACCTTTGCCTTGGACTTGCAGCAGCGGCGGCATATACCATGCGCATGTACCTGCTGTCTCTGTTTGCCTGTGCTGCTGCCGTCTCCTCTCTCACTACTGCACCGATGGCACCCACCTGCAGCGCTTTGCAGCCTGAGGTGTCTCGTCTGTCGCTGCACCGCATCGCACGACTGCTGTGCTTCCCAAAAAGCACCGTTTCGGCCCTTGGCCGCCTGTCGTTAGAGGGGCTTTGCCTGATCGGATCGATTGGCGGTGAGGGAGGACAGGTGCAGAGTCGCACTGCGGTTCGTGACGCCGGGATGTTGGCTGGCTTTGTCGGCCTGCCTCCCCCCTGCCTGCTCGAACGATGCCTGCCTGCCGGCTGCTGGATGCACATGTCAAATTACCCTGATGCAACGGGACAAGATTCACATGCCTCCAGGGAGACAAGTGGGACAATGGAGAGGCTCAGAGGAGACGCCATGCGAGAAGATTGGTGCGCGGCTGCGGGCGAGACCTAACCAAGATGACAGTTCCATGCTTCTAGTGGCGGTGTCGAAGGCTGCGTTACTTGGCCTCTTGCCTGGCCATTGTTTGATACGTTTTCTCCATGCCCCCTTGCTCTCGTATGATATGTCATTATAGAATTATGACTTGATCAGTTCTAATGTTAGATTCCGGCTGTGTTCCGTATTGCCCGGTGAGGGGTAGTATGTGCTTGTCTGGGAAGCTATCATCAGGCACAGGCAGACTGACTTGCCGTCGTTCCCAGGACCGAGACGTCTTCGACTCATTGTGCAGACTCCATCAAGATGGTTAATACCGATGCACCAGGTCGTCTAATGCAAGTAACCCAGCAGTTGGATCACCTCCTGAGTGCCATATTGCGCCGGTAGTTCTCTTAGGCGAACGTGCTGTCAGCTTGTGGCTTTTCCCTTGAGGTCACTCAGTATGTGGCAAAATGATTCCTGTCAGCATGCGAGTAATCCGATTCCTCCACTCAATTTATCTGGCGTCTGTGTGAGCGATGCGAACATGTTTCAGTCGATTCCAGAGACTCGGTAGACCCCTCGCTGACGGCCACGTACCAGCGGAGCAGCGAGGGCTTAGTGAGGTCGCATTGGGCTTCCCATTCACCTCACCCTTCCTTGTTAACAACAAAATGATAAAGGTTATTTGACACTAGCATCTGCCACCGGGATCTTGTTGGCAAAACTGTCGGCGAGAGCTGGTGTTGGAGAACAGGATCGCATTTTGCCCGGATAAGTCGGTGAACCGGTCTGACCGTCTGCTGTTCAACATAGCAGAGACACCATACTGGTATAGAATGTTCCATGTGCCACTTTGTCTTTGTCTGCTGCTCAACCTGTTCCTTGATGACTCTCGTCTTAATTGTTTGAGTTGCTGAGCATGCTGATCTTTCTTCTTCTGGGACACCAGACTCGGCGGCAGAATTAGCTTCCTCGTCGTTGACGAGGTACGGGTTGTTTTCAACGAAGCTAGCCCTACTCTTACCGATTGAGCATAGTATCAGTTGGACAGACAGCATTGCTGAAGCTGCGCATCGTGGCGTTTCTTTCCGGGCAAAGCAATTTACCGGTCGTCCGACACGTTGAAATAATCTAAAGGTCGTTCCGGTCTAATGGAATGAGGAAAAGGACCTCGTGGGCTAGTTCTGTGCATCTCGATGAGCGGATGAGACGCCTACAACGGAGGAAAGGGTTACGACGAGCGTTTTGGAAACGGCGTCTTGAGGCAAATGAGCATACGTCTTTCTCTCCTCCCAAGAGGCTCCACCTCATCTTCCAGGGACCCTGGACAGACATGGTGCTGAGCGACCCGATTGCGTGAGGATGCAGGGCTTCTCCAAATTTGACATTCATCTCCAAATTCATCCAGGATCGTGCTTCCGAGCGGCCGTTGCAGGTGATGACCAGGCAGCTTATGCAGTTGTAATTGCTTAATTGCTTCAATGAGAGCCGCCGAGGCACTCACTCAACCAGTCGCTTTGTACTTCATCTCGCATCTGGTGACGCCAAAAAAGTCGATCTTGCCACATCGAGGGACTACTCGCCGGGCTTAGGTTCTCCAAGCGACACGCCAAAGAGATCATCTGTTTAGAATAAAGAATCTTGCGTACCCTCCCACAGGGGGGGCTCAAGCGCCTGCGTCTGCCTTCTTGGACAGTATTGCCCTTCTTAAAGGACCAGACATTTGCCAGTCCGGGTATTGTAGCAACTGAAAGCGAGGTCGCGCATGACGCTACTGCATAGCACAAAACGATGTCATGGCAGTCCCCCAATCCCCCAAGCCCTTGGACCGAGGAACCCTTCGTCTGCAGCAGCAAGAGACCAGGGGCACCGCTTGTTTGTACCGTCCTTTCAGAACGGCTTGACGAAAGGTGGCGATCTTCAGAGATACCAATACGTCGTAGAAGGCGGCTCAGAATCAGCAACCCTGTTCGACTGCTCTTCGGCACTCCCCAAACGCAAATCCGACCAACTTCGTCTCTGGATGGGCGGGAAGCGTACTCGCTGCGTCTCCAGGTAATCGCTTTAGTCTCTCGCTTGCCACTCTTCTACTCGGTAGACGACGCAACAACATTGTGCGCGGCTGTCCCAGCATAAGAAAAAGGATCGATCCATCTCGTGTACATATGGTTGATATTTGGCAACCCTTTGCAACAACAGCTTGGGAGAGCTTTATACGCGGGAAGGGTCCAAGTGAATTTGAGTTTGGAATGGCCATGTGGAGTTGTATTGTCATAGGGCCGGTAAGACGGAGTTGCAGATGCGGTATATCCGCAATTTGTTCACCATTGGTCGGCTGGAGGAAGCCAGCCCCCCCAGACAGGGTCGAGTTGAGTGCCGTCCTGGTAGAAGACGATAACAGCAACGGCATGTTGCCTCAACACGCCTGTTGTGATGCTGCATCGGTCCACAGTTTCGTTAGTCATATGCGAAAATAGGCGGGGTTTGCTTCTGTATCCGGGCCGGCTTAACGAAGGTCGAAGTTGGTGAAGGAGGCACAGCTTCCGCCATGTCCAACATTCGAAGGAGGTCATCCTTGGCTGCTGGGTCCAAGCTCTTACTGGGGAACTGGCATGGGGTCGAGCTTGTGGATTCGAGTGGTGGACAGGGGCAGTCCTCTTCCCCTCTGAGGGTCTCGAGGAGCTTCTGCCGCCGCGACGCAGGACCTTCAGGGAAGGTCGTCACAGCGGGGCCAAGCATGCAGCAAGAGTATCGAAGGCGTATATGTACTGCAGTAAAGTTGAAAGGAGTAGGAGAAGCGGTACTGGACACTGCGCGCATCGATATTGGGCGCCACACTGGACGTATTGCAAAGAGCCATGCCTGTTGACGAAATCTTTCATACATTCGACGGGGCGTAATGTCGCTACCGCATTGAAGATCTCGCAGCTCTGGCACCAGGTTCGAAGTGATCGACTAGCACAATCGTTCGATGTTGCTGACCGAGACGGGCGATGAGGATGGAACGGACGAACACCAACAACGGCTGGCAGCATGCAATCGCTCAGCGAAGAGCACGGAAAGTGCGCCACCAGCGGTCAAGATAGGGTAGATTGTGCCCAGGCCTGCCATACCACGCAGTTTCGAGACCAAAGCTAGGCGATGACGATGTACATGATAGGTACCTGAGATGGCGCAGGGGGCGGCGTCTCCAATTCTAGAACGCCAACAGCCGGTTGGCAGGGTCGGCAGGGAAGAGGCAAAGCAGGCGGCAAAAGCCATGCAGCTTGGTGTGCAGAGGCGAGAGAGGGAAGGGCGTCCAACCTGCCTTAGCCGCCGGCTCGTTCCATCTCAGGACGAAGAGCGAATTGGGGAGTTCATCCAGGCCCGTGGCAAGTTGGCAGATTGCTATCCCATATCTGTGAGGAAGGGAAATGGACGGTGAGAAGTCTGCCTTGAGAGAGAGGTCCGAAAAGGTCTGCAAGATTTGGTGGACAAAAGCTGTTGTATGCAGAATGACGGGAAGTGGCAGGTGGACCTAGTCCCCCATCTCTGGACTCAGGGTTGGTTATGTAATATGGGGTGATTGACTGTACGGAACAGCTTCCGCAACACTGGCCAGGGCTGCCGAAAAAGTAAAATACAACGAGATTAAAAATGGCAGGCATCACAGAGAATGCGATTAGCGGCTCTTTCTTCAACAATAGAAATGACAGAAGCATCTCCGTAAACAAGCAAGCACGCAATGAAGCCGCAGAGACGACAAGAGTTTGATTGCACCAGAGAAACCTTGCCTCTTCTCATCCATCCAAGCCTCGTCCCTCTTTTCCCATCTCGTCTCCAACAAGACGCATTGGACGGCACGCATCCTTCGGCGGTTCGAATTCAGACATTGTTCCGCCTCTGGTTTGTGACAACGGGCGCAGCGTCACAGCACACGATGGAGCCCCTCTGTTTCTTTCAACATACCCATACCATACCACCCGTCTGCTTACACATGATTTTTGACATTGTTCTTATGGAATTACAGTCTTAGCGGCTAGGTAGCTGTTAAGGGCCTGGTCTGCCCTTGCAATGTCGGAGCACCCGGCAAGCGGAGCGGAACTGTATTACTGGGTAGTCTTGTTGATTGAGGAGAAGATCGATGCGCCTAACGATGGCCACGACTCCTTGCGCCATCGCGAGCATTCTGTGGCATCTTAGCTAGCTGCATCGTCCTTCCTACCTAGTCGCCAGCCCACCTTTGATCTCCTCTTGACCGTCCATCTACCTCATACCCATCCACAGACTAAATCTCCCCCTCTGTTCTGCATTTTGGCCGGTTCAATGCATTGCCTCATTATGGGTTGCTTGCCCATCATCTCTCGCAACTCACCAACGATTGTCCCATCTCTGTCCCGTCGACTACCCTTGGCAGATCCAAGGTGCTACCCACGGCATCTACCTTGTTCACCACACCTCCTCATTTCCTCCCGTGTTGCCCTCCACCCCAACTCTTGAGCCATGTATCCTCGCTGCAGCGACCTCCCCCTCCTCCTCTCTACCCCTCCCCTCTATCCCTGTCGTTTCCATTCCATTCCGGGCCCTCGCTCCCGGGTACCTCACTGACCACCCTTAGCTCAGCTAGCTGTCTACCTTGCCCATCATCCTGGCTCGCGCATGTGGCCCTGTCGCCATTGGGACGAGAGAGAATAATTTTTCCTGCGGTTCACCATCGTCAACACCTGCTCTCTCTCCACCGGCTAGTGGCCCGAGACAGGTATAGTTTGTCACCGCAGCCTGCACCAGATGCATCCGAGGCAACGAGACTGTGGCTATCAAGTTGGAGCCCATGCATGGCCGATACCTGTCACCGCACTGATGCCATCCGCTCCATCTTATCACCAGCCGCTAGTCCTCAATCTGTAGCCGGTCCTCCCATGCCATGCCATGCCATGTCGCGAGAGTTTCGGAACTTGCTCAACAGGGCCCAGCCCAGTCACCGCAAAGAGCCAAAAGTTACTTCTATCCGACCTCCTTTTCACCAGCCCATCATCGACCGTCAACCAATGCCCTCACGTCTGTCTGCCCAGTCCTACATATGCTGCCCAAATGCGGGCACCTCGTAGCCCGACATGCCTCCTCAAGTCTCGTTCCCTGCCGAGCCACGTACCGCCCGATGTCCCTTTCATCTCTTCCTCCGTCATGAGCCAGTCTGGTACCAGCCAAGGGTTGTCCTGCCGGGCTCTGAGGTGGCTACGTCGCTAGATGTCTCTTGCATATGATTTCCCGAGATTACACGTACGAAGAAGCTCCTAGCTTGGCTCCGATAACTGGTCGATGTTTGGTTGGGCGAGCTTGGCCAACGCTGCTCCTCATGGTCCCCTTCGATAGGTATGCTCAAGGCCCGCCGCGACTGTCCGTCTCTCCGTTCACCCAAGAAGGCCCTTGCAAGTTGCTAATCACTGATTGACACCACCATGGGCATCATTCACCAAGAAGGGAGTCCGGAGTCGGGCAAGCAACCAAGCTACTTAAGGGGTGGGGGGCTACGGCACCTGGAGCCAAAGCTCTTTTGATTCTCTATCACAATTATCTACTCCTCCTACGGTTATCATTCCATCTCCCAAGTTCTCAAGTGATAAATTTCAGTTGCCCACTTCCGTCACCCCACGACTACCGTCTTAGCTTTAGCCATAACATCCTCATCCCACGAGAAACCCTGTCCTCCCTCCTCGTGGCCCTGTTACCCCCAAACTCCAACACTCCAAAGCGAACCTATCAATCCTCGAGCCACCCCGCGCCGGTCCCCTCTTCATTCCTAGGACCCTCGCCTCGCTATTCTCATCACATTTCGCTGCTGGCACCCCCTCATCCGGCATTTGGCCAATCCTACTGAACGAGCCCTCCCTATTAGGAAGTTCGGCCAAGCCCCTTCACCACCCTGACCCGTCACCAGCCCTACATCCCACGCTTCACCCCACGCCGCCAGCGTCATTTACCTTCGATATGGCCCCAGTTGCAACGGGAGAGATGGCACCAATGCATCTACCCGTCTACAAGTCAAAGTATTCCTCGGTCACTGCTTCTGTCTTGCATGGTCCACGAGATTTGCGATTGGTAAGTGCCGCTTCTTGGTATGGGTTGTGACGTGGAGAATGTGGGCTTCGTTACACAATCCCCCACGTTGATCCTGTCACATCCCGATGCCTCGAGTCACCCCGCCCCGCTTGCAATATGTTAAATCTAACGACGTTTATAGGAAACAAGAACGATCGATGAGCCAAGTGTCGGAGAGCTGCAGATTGCTGTCAAGCGGACCGGCATCTGCGGGTCCGACGTCAGCTATTACAAGAAGTTCGCCAACGGAGACCTCTGCGCGTGCCATCCCCTTTCCCTAGGCCATGAGTCCTCGGGCGAGGTCGTTGCCATTGGACCTCAGGTCACTGGGTTCAAGCTTGGGGACAGGGTCGCTCTCGAGGTTGGCGTCCCTTGCGGCCAGTGCACCATCTGCCGCAAGGGCAGATACAACCTTTGCAAGCAGATGAGGTTCAGGTCCAGCGCCAAAAGCGTTCCTCATTATCAAGGCACCCTCCAAGAACGGATCAACCACCCGGCAGCATGGTGCCACAAGATCCCGGATCATGTGTCTTACGAAGCTGCCGCTCTTCTTGAGCCCCTGTCTGTAGCAATTCATGCTGTCAACAGGGCCGCACCCGAACCTGGGTCCACGGCATTGGTCATCGGTGCAGGGACAGTTGGCCTTTTGACCGCAGCGATGGCTCGCCAGGCTGGCTGCGCACAAGTCACCATCACCGATGTTGATGCCGGCCGAGTCAACTACGCAGTTGAGAAGGGCTTCGCCACCCACGGCCACGTCGTCAACAGCAACTCGGGCACTTCAACACCAGCAGACCCAGGAGTAATGACCCCGCTAGCATTTTCTCCGTCCAGAGTGTTGCGAGCAAATTTGAGGGTGCCAAGTCGTTGGCCGCAGAGATCCTTGCTCTGACCAAGGTCCCAGAAGAGGTCGAAATGGACGGCGAGGACGACGGTGTCGATGTCACTTTCGAGTGCACCGGAAAGGAGGTCTGCATGCAGACCAGCCTGTACGCCACGAGGCCTGGTGGCAAAGTCATCATGGTTGGCATGGGCACTCCTGTTCAGACGCTCCCGTTGTCCGTCGCACATCTACGAGAAATCGACATCCTTGGCATCTTCAGATATGCCAACACATACCCGACGGGTGTCCGTCTCCTCTGCGCCAAGGGCAACGGCGGCCTCCCCTGTTTGGATGACATGGTCACCCACCGATTCAAGGGCCTCCACAACGCGTCAAAAGCCTTTGAGCTGGCAAGCCGGACGTGTGATGACGAGGGAAAATTGGTTCTCAAGGTCGTCATCGAGGCTTGAGTGGGAGAGGTGCAGTTCTTCAAAGTCCACTCTCTTTGGTGTGCCTCCAAGAACCTGATGATTGATACCAAACTAGACTTTTCTTTCTCTCCTCGTTTCCGATCTGTCGCTTGTAGCGCTTCTTCATGGGGGAGTCTTCTTTCATTTTATTTATTCACAAACTTTTGATGTGGTGCCAAAAGCAGTGGCAGGATGCGTCAGTTTAGCAGGCGGTTTGATACTCGTTTGGCCGAGCTGGTTACTGCGACAGTGGTCTAGGCAGGATTTACAAGTGCTTATAGATTTTCTCCTCTTTGAACATGGGATATTGGGACACAAAAGAAAGTTCATCGTTATGGTGTAGGGATGGCCTGGAAATTGAACGTAGTACAGGGAAATAAAAAAATAAGACACAATTTTTTTTTTTTTTGCGTCCGTTCCCATGTAAAGAATCAATAAGGCAACGAATACTGAAGAATTGGTCACTTTTGATGGATTGAAGGTGATTTGATTCGTTGGAGCCTTTTCATTGGCCCCTCCTTTGTATAGTCATGTCTACATTACCCCCCGAACGCCTCTCCATGGTTCCCAAATAGGTTGATGATGCGCGCAGACGCTTCGATTGCAATCACTATTCCAACGCCGTACTCTACATCATGATGTCGCCTGCGCCGGGGAGATTGAAGCTAGAAGGCCCGTATCCCGGGAATTCAGTCGGCGCTCCCCCGCGATTCCGACCTCGGGCGGTCTCGGCAATGCCGAACTTCTTGCCCAGGTCCCGCATACCACTGATGCTCTGCATGAGGTCATTGAGACGCGAGGTAATAGCCACGTCGTTCTCCTCACAGAGAACCTCCTTCTCGAAAGCGTCCACGTCGGAGGGGACGACGAGGTCTAGCCGGTTGACTAGGGCCTGGATCTGGCGAAGAATCGTGTGCGAGGGCGTCGTCTGCGCGCCACTGGCGGAGGCGGCGGCGGCGGACTGCTCCAAACCGTGGAGGTATTCGGGCGGCAGGCGCTCGAGGTAGGTCGTGATGAGGCGGATACGGCCCTGCAGCATCTTGACGGCGTTCGCCTTGGCCGTCAAGGCGGCGACCATCTCCTCCTCCTCCGGCGACAGCTGAGCCTCGGCGAGGTTACTGCCATCTGAATCGTCCGCCACGACGACGCGGCGTTTGCCTCCCGACTCGACAAACTGGACCTTGGGCTTGGCGGTCTCCTTGGGTGCCTCGACGGCGGTGGCGTTGCCGGCGCCGCGGGCGACATGGTCCATGCTGATCATCTCGGCCTCGCCCGTCTCGACCGTGTAGGGAAGCTCACGGAAGCGGAGCTTGAGCTTGGACTCGCCGTCGTCCATCTTCTTATCCTCGCCATCGGCCTCGGCGGCGCGCGGGTCGTCCACCTCGTAGTTTGACTCATATATGGACATGGGCAGCTTGCCACCGACAGAATGGGTAAAGACTTCCTCTGGGTGAAAGCCGAGGAGCAAGGCGGACTCGTTGAACTCGGAGAGAAGCTGGTGGTGGATCGGGAGGATGGTAGGCGTCGGGCCGGCGGCGGCGAGGAGGGTGTACCAGCCGACGAGGTCGAGGCTGCGGTCCTTGTGAACCGTCTTCACTTTAGGGGTTGTCAGTGTCTCTATACGAACGTCCGTCCAAGATTCATGCACATACTCTGTTCTAATCTTGCCGCGAATCGCTCAGGGTCCAGCAGATAGCCGCCTTCTACCTCTGGTGCTTGTTTCGTGTGGCAGTCAAACGCATGCTCGATGGTAATCTCTCGGCCATTCTGCTGGCCTAAGAGGGCGCCAACGATGGGTCCCGGCTGCGACCGAAGGGTGTGGCGCGTGATATAGTCAGAGATGGTGAGGAGGACGAGAGGGTGGAGAATAGCCTGGAGCTCCGAGGACTTCTGGCTCGAGATGAGCGGGTTGACACTGGAGGTGGCCATGGTCGGCGTTGCTCTGGCCGTCGCCGGAACTGTCGAATGGTCTATCTAAGTATCGAGACCATGTGAGACGGAGAATAACTATTCGGAACAGAGATACGTTGTCGTTTTCATGGGCATCTATCGTCGTTTGCTTGTCGATATCATGACAGGTTGGAGTTGGAAATGGGGTGAAGCTGCCTGAAGGCTGCCCCGCGATGTGGGGATGTCAATGGGGTCAACGGACGGGTAGGAGCTACCGGGGCCAGCCTGGAAATAAAAGTGAGGCTGATGAAGAGGCTGAGACAACCGACAAGCCACCTTTCCAGCCATTGGCTACGTGTCCTGACCAATTGTGTCTGCTTGAAGCTATTGTGGGCCCAAGCTCTCCAACCTCTATTCGATCGAGATGCAACATGCCTTCTTTCACTGTGCTTTTATCAGCGGTGCTATTGTCGCTGTTCTACTTGTGGTAGTTGGCTCTCGGTCGCAAATGGCAACACACATCTGCATCGTTCTTGTCTTTCCCCGATTTGGCCTACGAAATCGTTGACAGTATGCTGAGATGGGGTTACAGCTTCTTTCCATTCTAACACTATCGTCGGGGTTCCTTTCTATAGATGGCAATCAATCCCGTTGAGACCCAAGGTTTAGTGAGCCAAGATGGTTCGAGCGTATCCACCACTGCACAGTAACTGCTTCTGTTCAGAGGCCCCCTCAAGACTGGCAGATGGTTGCAGACAATTAACAGGCCCATATGGTGCCTTTCAACACCGGCCTAAATTTATGGGTAAGTGAGTGGGTGGCTGCACGACTGGGGCGTTCACCCCCGGTACCTAATGCGGCTTCCCTGCCAAGTGGCAATCAGCATCTTGGGAAAGAGGAGAAGTGGCATTCAGAGCGCTTGTTACAGTGGGCAAGACGTTGTGAATTCGGTCTTTTCCGCCAGCTTGGTGTCCTTTAGGCCAAAGAAGCTGGTTGAAAGACAAACTGTGCAACATATTTACACCCTTCTCTCGGCTTCTCTCTTTGCTGTTCGTGACTTGCTACCGTTGCCGTGCCCAGCTTCTGCGTCATTCCAACATGTACGCTGCGTACTCAGCGAAGCTATGCTATTGTTGGTCAGGACAAGGTTCAAATACGGATGCTTGGCCATCCTTATCAGCTCGCGGTGTCTCTCTGTCAGATGTTGCATCCGCTCCCGCTCCCGCATCCTAAAGACACCGCCTCATTCTCTACCTGTCTCATCGACATGGAGAGCTCGCATCACAACTTTGGCATGTTTCCTCCAGCATTTCCAACAGCGCCCGCATCATACCCACAGCCTGTCACACCGGCCAAACGTGAGGACGATGACGTTCAATTTGTATCTTCCAATCCTGTCAAGAAGAGGAGAATCGACTGTCATCAGACCACTCCACGGTCGATCGCAAGCTCACAACACATGAGGCAGCCTGCACCCTGTAGCCATCGGCCACCTGAACCCGCCAAGCCGATTGTTCAGCCGGAAAGACGGGGGAGCACCGGCATGGTTGCCCCGACCCCAGCAACTCATATGCCGGACGTGGACCCGATGCGAGGATGTTCCGTGCCGACTCCGGAAATGTCTGGTTACCGAGAGTCATTTTGGACCGCACCGTGCACCGGCCCCCAAAGCTCACCGCCGGTGTCACCCAAGTCACTCCCAGGTCACGTCACGCCCTCGATGCTTCGGATGGATGAGCCCCGCGAACCTTTAAATGAGCAACCAGGAACGAACCGTGCGGTAGTCACTGGATGGCCCGGACCGGCTCAGCCGGCCAACACCCCAAGTCATGCGCTTCAACCGCTGGCAACGAGAGATCAAGGTACGCCAAGTCAAGTACAGCCAGAGAACCAGAACCACACTGAGACCACAAAGAACACGGCGCCGGCCCATACGTCTCCAGAGCCGACGGGCATCCCTGAATCGGGGATGGTCACGTCTGCTATCAACGTGGCACGGGCAGCCGATACAATGATGAAGTCTCAGCAACAAGCCGCCCCGGAGGCGATCTCAGATCATTCCGGCACTGGCGCAAAGCCGGAGCATGGCCTGCCCAGTCCTTCGCACCAGTATACAAAGAGCACATGTTCGAAGACCGCCATCACTCAATTCCAACCCCACACTCATCATTCTACTCCTTCTTCAAGCCCTTTGATTTCGGCTGCCCAAGTCGGATCTTATGGTGTGTCCGAGACCCAGGCCGGCTCTTGTGGCGGGCGTCCTGCCTCGAGGGCAAAAGCTCCATGCCGGCAGTGCATAGAAGCGAAGATGCGACAGCAAGCTGCCAACATAGCTGCTGCCACTAGCCTCCCACCCGTTCCGATGACCCAGGCGCCGAACCAGACCTCTGTTCCATCATCCACCATTCAGCAACCCTGGGCAAACCTCCTCGGACTCAATCCTTACCATAATGCAATGGCTGGATCCATGTACGGCCCATTCCTCCAGCAGCCTTTGATGGCTGGTGCTTCCAGTCCGTTTGCTATCCCTTCGCAACAGTCACATCTGACTTCCGGACTTTCTCCACAACAGTCAGGTGGAAGCATGTTTCATTTCGGATCTGTGTCGCCCATGCCGCAAACACAGACATTTGTCACGCAGCAGCCGATTAGCAAACCGATTAAAGCAGCGAACGGAAACCCAAAGGCACAGATTACAAGGATCCCCGACACGCAGTCAACCACGAAACACATCATTGTCGACATTGCCGACACGTGTCTCAACGTATTTCCCTTTGCCGAGCTGGCAAAGCGACATAACCAGCCGGAGCAAAAAGTCAGAGACATATTCTCCGCCGTAATACAGGTGCCTCTGCTCCGCTGTCCCACAGACAAGAGACGAGCCGGCAAGCTGGGCACTGCTCGGGTCAAGGAGTTCAACCAGGCGAAGAAGGAGATGCAGGCGCAGCAGGACAACGTGGGTCAACCTCGTCAGGGCTCTCCGAACCAGATTGTGTTTATGCCGTCTGCCTGGGATGTCGCGCAGTTCATGGGTCCAAGCGATGTGCGGCACGGTGGGCTTCCTCAGTATTCGGGGGCGTGGTGATGATTAGGAAGTTGCATTTTCAGAGATAGAGACATCCACGGCACTGGCTCTTCTGGTAATGTAGGGAGGCATTCTTAAGTTGTATCTATACCCCAGATCAAAAATCATTCAAGCTTTACCATTTGATTCTGGCCCTCTTCCCTCGTCATTTGAAGCGTAACCACCGCCTCCCCTGCTTGTCTCAGGCCATTGCACACCGCCGTACTTTTCCTCCCGTACCAGACTCACTGCAAAATTCCTCTGCCGCGATGACCGCGTGTGCTCGAGCATGGCGCGCCGGAGACGGCGCATGCCCTCCTCGTCTCCGTCAGTTTCGGCGCGTCTGTAGTCAGCCATAAGGACGGCGTGCTCGGCTTCGTGCAGCGCGCGGTTTTGGCTGTACTTCAGAGGCCGGTGGCACGCCGCGCAGCTATCGTTGATGAAGGCCGGCTGCCAGTGCTCGCCTTTGCACTCGGCGCCTGCGCCGCAGTCCCGGAGGCGGGAGCGCAAGATGTGGCCGCAGGACATTGTGGTTTCTGTACCTTGACACATGTTGGATTCTGGCTGTTGCGCTGCCTGTATTTGGCCATGGCTATTTGCTGCATTCAGCAGATGTATATCTATTAGTAACTGTCCTTCATATCGAACCCATTGTTCTGGTATAATGGTGAGGTTATCGAAACTGTTCGCAACCGCTGCCTTTGCTCCAAAACAAGACTTTCGGAAGAGTTCATCGTGGCCTTTGTGTGATTTCGTTCGATTGTCTTTGTGAGACTCACTTGATCCACGATCGCCACCCATCTTTGTGTAGGATCGCAGCGGTCTATGGTTCCGTATCGGGTTACGGGATTCTACACTCCATCTCGCCCGAAACAGCGGCATGTTCTATCTACACTATAGATTACACTGACTCACACTTTCACTGACACGCATTATACGCTATATATATCTTTGGAATTAATCACGACATTGAGCTTTCCCAGAGCCACTGTCTCTCTTATCCGCTTCCGCAGCGCATCATCACCCGAACATTAAGGAAAGGGAGGGGCTGATAAGTCGTTGCCCGTCAGCGAATGGGATAAAATACCGGGGGCCGCCAGTTCAGAAGGCGTGAGATGCCCCCACCAATGACGCCAGCGCGGGTAGAGAGACAAACCGATGCCGGATAGATAGAGCCGCCGGCCCGTCAAGACGGTGAGAGTAGACATGTGTGCGAAAGAGCTTATCTACCATGCACGCTGGATGACACCCTCTGCTTTCAACCAACACATCTTCACACGTGGCCCATAATCACAGAGATGAATAGGGAAGGATTCCGTATTGAGACTAGTGATAAGTATCTCGCTTACTTTTAGGTTTTTAGGATGGAAGGGCGTGAGAGGAGGCTGTTGGTATTTGACGGGAACACCTCCTGTGCGTGGGGAAGATTGACTTGCATTCGAGACGGGATGGATAAAGGGAATGAATGCAAGCCTCTATTTCCTCAGACGACATTGAGATGATGTATGGTAGTCTTTCCAAGGTGCAGATAAAATGACCTGATAATAGGTGTTACTGGTGTAAGTAACATTGTTTGTGTGCGAGGAAGTCGAAACGTAGAGTCTTTAGAGAAAACCCGTGGTGTGGCACTCATCGGGCTGGCCAGGCTTAAGGCGAGCGTCGGGGATGGTATTCGGAGAAGCGGAGGTTGTCGGAATTTGGAGTTCTCCAGAGTCCGGCGATGCCGCATCGGGGATCGTCCGCCTCCGGGAGGCTTACGACAGGTCGGTATCCCGGAAATGCATTGGTACAACCCATTCCATAAGGGAGTATGACGTAATAACTTCTTCCCGCAGCTTTCTAGAAAACTGCTTTACTCCTTTGCTTGGCTTATACGACCTTACCTTACTCACGGGTCGGTCAGGAGCTATCGGTTGTGGGGGTTACCACTAGGTAAGTGCGACGTTGTCGTCCCCACGGGGAGAGACGGAGAGTCATGAAATTTAAATTCGACTTTGGGAACGTGCTCGCGTGAGTTCCCACTCATGTTTCTCCTAGACTCCAAAGTAACGTTCCAACAGCTGCGGTTCTCTTAAGAGCTCACTCGAACATTCGCTTGAGGCACGTTTCCTCCAAGACTTTTGATGGGGTTCTCGAGACTCGCGTCTTCTTTCCCGTAACAGCACATTGGTCCCCCCGCTGAGCCGTTGAGGCTTGTTAACTTCAGCATTAGACACTGAGAACTACGAGCGAACCGAAAGCGCACTCAGAAATGCGCTGAGACGAATAGTCATTTCATCATCTGCCTTCCCCATTCGCTGCTGCTTTGAACTCATGTTGAGTCATTACGACAAAGAGGCGAATACACAATATTCTATAGCCTAGGCGGGCAGGCCTTTTCAACCCAAAGAGGCCCTAAATGTCGAGAAAAAATCACGAACCTTTAACCTGACTTAACGCGTCTTGGGAACTCCAGTCTCCGAATAGTTACTGGAGTTTGGATGCACACCTAGTCCATCATTACCAATGTTTCGCGTTTGTCGCAGTCGTTCAAAGTGCTTCTTCCAGAAATTCTCCCCGAGATCCAATGTGACGTTCCATCGGAGAGATCGGCATGCAACACCATAAACCAGGCGGAGCCTCAAGGGAGAACCCTCTCATTCGTCTGCAAGGAGAATCGTCTTCGCGGGTGGCGCCGGCTTGCGAAGCGCGGAAAGCTGGGGCTGACCCAGTTTCCTGTATCAACGCACAAGCATCGTGAGCGAATCAGCGCACGATGTTCACCCTCAGCTCGAGCCTCGTTCCCGCACAGAGCACGAAATTTCCCCAGAAAAAATGTGGGAGGAGCAACAGCGGCACTCCCAGCTGGCCAATGTTCCACCCTCCATCTTAAGAGAAAGATTGGATACTGCGGAGAAGAAGACCAGGAAATGACCCTCACCTTATCTTTGTATATCGTTTCCCCGCTTTGTCACTACGTTGTTACCATGTTGTATGTAGTAAAAGGAAGTGGAAAAGGGGGCGAAGATTGCAGGAAGCTTTTGTTGAGAGATATGGGGTGGAGTTTCCGTACTTTGCGTTGAACCGACTTCAACGTTGCCATGTCTTATGCCTTAGTCTCGTGAACCCTTTTCGCCGAACGATGAGTGTAGGACTTGCCGCGGTGAACCGGGAAACGCAACTTTCTTTTAATCCAAGCACTGGCTATCTGTGGACGGAGAAACAAGTTGTAGGTACCGAACTTTCACGACAAACATCATCGACAAACAGAGGTTGAACCTACCATCATGAGCACCGAGGAAACCCGTCAAGCGCCTAATGACGCGCCGCTTGAGGCTGTTGGTGACGAGGATGCCGAGAGCGGACGGGGCTCAAAGCTCTTGGGGCTGTATTCCCATCCTTGGACGCAGTGAGTTCAGTGGCAAATCTCGATGCACCGCAACCGCTGACTTTTGTCAAAGAATCATTCTCATTAGCTTCATTTGCTTCTGTCTCCCGGGAGTGAGTGGCCCTTGATACGGGGCGGTATAAAATACAGGACTGACAGACCAAGATGTACAACGCCCTGACCGGCCTCGGCGGTTCTGGCCAAGTCGACTCGACCGTCGCAGCGAACGCTACCGTCGCTCTCCTCTCCACCACAGCTGTCGCGGCTCTGTTCTTCGTCGGTCCGGTCCTCGCCCTTGTCGGGCCCAAAATAGCCTTCCTCATCGGCGGCTGGACTTACGCGCTCTACAGTGGAAGTCTCCTCAACTTCAACCGTGAGTTGCCTTCCTCGTGCCTTCATACCTAGCACCAGGTTTTCGCCACCCCGAGCAAACCCTCCAGGAAGACTGACCAAACCAATATAAAGACAGTGCAAACGGCACCTTCGTGATCGCAGCCGGCGCGATCCTCGGTATCGGCTCCTCCTTCATATGGATTGTCCAGGGCGCCATCATGACGACCTACGTTCACGAGTCGCAAAAGGGTCGTGCCATCGCCGTCTTCTGGATCATCTTCAACCTCGGCGGCGGCGTCGGCTCTCTTGCGGCCTTTGGCCTCAACTTCTCCTCGACCACAGGCACCGTCAACGACGCGACCTACATCGCCCTCATGGCCATTATGCTCTTTGGCTGGGCACTGGGCCTTTTCATCTGCTCGCCGAAGCGCATCCGTCTTGCACAGCTGCACGCAGCCACCGAAACTGAGAACCACTCGATGCGAGGCCTATTCGATATGACCGTCGCAACACTGTGCAACTGGCGCGTTATCTGCATGCTGCCACTCTTCTTCTGCGCCAACGTATTCTACTCATACCAACAAAATGACGTCAACGGTATGACGTTCAACATTCGAACCCGCTCTCTCAACGGCGCGCTGTACTGGATGGCCCAGATGTTCGGCGGCCTCCTCATCGGCCTGCTCCTCGACCTTCCCATGCTAGAGCGGCCCGGCCGTGCCCGCCTCGGCTGGGTCCTCCTCTTCGTCACCGGGATGGCCATATGGGGCGGCGGGTACCAGTTCCAGAAGTGGCAGGACGCACGGCACGCACAGGGTCTTGTACAAGACGTCGACTATACCCAAGGGTCCATCTCGACGGGACCCATTTTCTTGTACATTTTCTACGGCGCCTATGATTCGTTATGGCAGTCATACTGCTACTGGCTCATGGGAACGCAGTCAAACTCAACAGGGAGGGCGGCGGTGCTCGTTGGCGCTTACAAAGCCTTTCAGGCAGCGGGCGGCGCCATGGCGTGGAGGATCAACGCCCAGCATACGAGTGCTATGACGCAGCTCGCCATGAATTGGGGCCTCAGCATGGGATCATTGATTCTTGCGTTGCCAACGGTGTTCGCAGTGACCAAGAGCACCAGCGTCCTGGAGGAGGCTGGCGCTGAGACACCTTGTGCAAAGGCCGAGGAGAAGACGGTCGAGGACTCGTAGGTCTTGCTAGATTTGCTGGAGTGAAGTCAGCTGCGTCTGTGGATCTGTCTTTGCGTATACAACGAGTTGTTGATAAGTCTGTAACACTTATCAAGGAACCGACCGCTATGGCAACAAGAGACCTAAGCTTGGATGAACTGGTTGATGAGATCGAGAGTGTCTGGTAGAGATTCGGCTTTCATGTCGTGGTGATCTGTTGAGTCTCCAGCTCTGCTATGATAGAGCTGTTGAGAAAACACCTCTCTGCCTTGGTAGATCACTCACATAGATACCCTTGTCATGTTGAGCTTCGACGTTGCTGTGTGACACGAGGACAGGATGGTTACTTGTCTTTTGGCGGAAACCAAGACAATATCAGTGCAACCAGGTGTACTACTAATCTCCAAAAGACCGACTCCCTTTCTATGTCTAACAATCATAGCGGTAGTCTTGATGATTTACTGGTGTGCGAGGACCTTTGAATCAAGCATAAACGATCCATGGTCGAAGTCGATGAGTTTGCTGGCAGAGAGGGCTTACGCACCGAAAGGGAAGGAGGTTGCGCTGCGCGCTGCTGAGTTGTCTTGTTGAAGTTTGGTAGCTGTGCAACCTATTATGATGTATAATATGGGCCTTTCTTGGCCCTTTACCCTAAAAGAAAGTGCTAGTCATTGGGGTTCAATGCTGGCAGACCATCAGAGGCCGAGACAGACGTTGCAGAGGAGCGAGAGCTGATCTGCTCATTACTGCCGGCTTTAAGACCATTTGAAAGAACCTATGGCTAAAATTCCTTTCCAGCAAGCGAGGCTAAGCTTTGCCCAGGCAGTACATACGTTGATGCAGTGGGTTGTAAGAATTAAGGAGGGAGCCGGGAGACGAGAGACGGGAGACGAGAGACGGGAGACGGAAGTTGGAGACCCACTTGAGAACCGGGCGCGGAGGCCATCTTATCGATAAACCCATGCCGTTTTCTTGTCCCAAAAGAGTTTAGTGAGGGGCACCCCCACCAAAAATTTCCTCTTCACCGATGGGGTCTGGTAGGCGGCACTGGCAGTGACCGTCTCATATTCGATGAGATTGTTTGTGAAGATATCACGCTTTTCAACCCTCTGAACCCACAGAATCAGTCCTATCACTCACCAACACATTTTAAAAGTCTCAACATGGGCAAGAAGAGAGAAAGAGATGAGGCCAAGCCGGCCGAGGATGTGAAGATGGCCGATGACAGCTCTGACGACGAGGTAAGATGGGTTGCGAGATGCTCATCTTCAATCACACTCCACTCACACGGTACAGGACTTTGATGTCGTCAACGTCGACTTTGAGTGGTTCAACTTTGATCCCGAGATCGACTTTCAGGGCACCAAGACGCTTCTGCGCCAGCTGCTGGACGTCGACTCTACGCTCTTCAATATCTCAGGCCTCGCAGACCTCATCCTGTCGCAGCCTACGATCGGATCGACCGTCAAGGTCGACGGCAAGGAGAACGATGCTTACGCCCTCATGACGGCGCTTAACATTAAGGAGCACAGCCAGAAGCCTGAAATGGCCGAACTCGTCAAGTACATCATTGACAAGGCCCAGACCAACAACGCCCTTGCCCCGGTTCCCCAGGTTATCAACAGCGGCGCCCAGGTCGGCCTGGTCATCTCTGAGAGGCTCATCAACATGCCCTCTGAGATTGCGCCGCCCATGTACCGCATGCTGATCGACGAGATCGAGGCAGCCGTTGAGGACAAGGAGCCCTACGAGTTCTCGCACTACCTGATCCTCTCCAAGACGTACCAGGAGATTGAATCGACGCTTACCGAGACGGAGAGGAAGGGCAAGAAGGCCAAGGCCGACACCGCCATGTGGCACTTCCACCCCGAGGACGAGGTGTTTGTGAAGCACGCGACGGCCCACGGCTCGTTCCAGTTCACAAACGAGGAGAAGGCGGTGGCAGACAGCAAGCGTGCCTTCCAAGAGATGGGTGTCAAGTCGCACGGTTACCTGATCTTGATTGAGGCCGGCAAGTGGGAGGGCGCGGTCAAGGCGGTAGAGCAGTACCTGAGCCCGCCTCAATAGAACAAATAACGAGAAATCATTTTGAGCCATTCTGTGTCTTCTAAGTCTACTCTACCGGCTCTAGTCTTTGCATGAGGTACTCAACCTCGACTTCCTTGGTGAGGGGTATCACGAAGTCTTTGTACATGGCGACCACGGCGTCGGCGTCAATCTTGGCCTGGTTCTCGGGGCCGGCTCCGATGGAGGGGTCGGTGCCGTAGGTGAGAACCTTGAGCCGTAGGCGCTCGAGAACCTTCTTCTCGACGGCGGCGTTGGTGATGGCGTCGGCGATACCCTCGCGGTCCTCGGCCTTGATGAGCTTGGTGTACTTTTCCGGGTCCGACTGGAACTTGGACTCGGCAACGAACTTTCCAAAGTGTATCCTACGCGAAAGGGACTGCAGGCAGGCGATGTCGCAGGTGGCGGAGGAGCCGTAGTTCTCCTGGGACTCGCCGCGGTCCTCGCGGCCGAAATCGGGGCAGAGTGCGGGGAGGAACTTGTCGACGTAGAAGTCTTTAATCTTGTTGTTGACGTTGACGTCGTTAGGATGCAGGATGCGCGGATAGTGCAGCGGCTTAAGAATCTGCTTCTGCACGGCCTCGGGGAAGAAGGGATACTCGTCGGGCGAGTCGTAGCGGCGGATGATGGACTGCAACTTCTCCTGTTCGCGGAGGTACCAGTCCATAAAGCTCAGGTCGCTGTTCGGTATGTTCAGTGCGCCGGGGACGTAAATTGTTTTGTTGTGCGCAAACTGGGCTCGCTCGATCAGATGGAAGGTAATTGTATCCTCCAGACGGCTATTTGCGTCCTATTGTCAGTGGATTGTCGGATGTAGAAATTCGGATGGTATGGAGGGGAGGGACTAACATCAACTGGTACCGAATGCGGGACAGATCCAAGGCCTTGGAGGGGTCCGATAAGTCGATGAGAGAGTCCATTTCGTCGTCAATTGATTGGAAACCTGATGGATAATCGTAGACCAGTCCTTGGGAGTTAATCTGGTGCGAAGCAGGGGTTTGGACCTCGTGTTGGAGTGAGAAACGCATTCGGGCAGTGTATCGTCGAGTCACGAAAAACCTTGGGTGAGATGCTGTAGCCGAGGCCGATGACGCTCCAGTCAGAGGAGTAAAAGGGGAAAAGTCCCAAAAAATCCGTCCCGACTGTTGCGGCGCAAGGCTGCCAGTCTCACGCGCTGGACCTGCATGGACCGCAGTAGGTACACAGTCCAGCGGCCCCCGAAGGGGCGCCTTAAGCGGGCACCAATCAGTGGCCCTTACCATCATTTGCAGACGGACGCAGTGCAGCACAGCAGCCTTGCACGTTGTTAGCGTGCTCAGGTCACACGTCCATGACCTGTATTCCGTGAGTGCGGCGTGCGGCGTGCGGGCGTGCAGGGGGCTCTCGGGTTTTTAGCGCGTCATCCATACAGGAGTTCAGGACCGACCCCAACCATGCCCCTGCCAGGGTCAGTGAGGTGTGGATACGTATCTGATTCCCGACCGAGACAAACAAAACTTGACCTTGTCGAAGCACAACCCGGAGCTGTTCCCACCACTGCAAGCTTCGACTTCTCCTTTTCCCCGTCCCTCTCCCCCTTGTGCCACCCATCGTCGCGCGTATCGAACGAAGAACGCATACGTACGTACGCATGGCCGCCTCGAATAACGACCAGTATGGCTTCCACGACGATGCCGGAGACGACCAATCGGTCCTGTCAGTAAGTCACGCTCGCCACTCGCGTGACCTGCTGTTGCTTCGCATCGTGACTTGAGGACTGACCAGAGTGCGCTATTCGCAGACGCGTGGCATAGAGGCCTTCGGGCGCAAGGTCACCACGACGGCGAGCCATTTGATGGGGCCTCTTTCCGAGCCAGGGAACAACAGTCACCACTATCATGGCGCCCTGGCCGAAGTCCACAAGCAGCTCCGCCGGCCGACTATCCAGCGCAGCATGTTCTCCATGGCAAAGACGACGCCCACAGACATGGTTCGCTCCAAGCTGTCCACGACTGAGATCCAGCATCGCGCCCTGACCTACTTGCCCGACGAGTTGCTGGCCAACATCCCCGAGGGCGACAACTCCTACTCTCTTTTCCAGGGCTTCAAGGCGAGCTTCCCCGACCTGACCGAAGAGGGTAGGAAGCATCGGCGGCGGATATCGAGAGGCAGGAAGCTGCTGGAAGACACCGAACACACTCCCGGCACACCACAGGCGCTGCATAACCTCAAGAAAGACAAGGCTTCGATGATGCACGAGCTGGAAATGCTGGGCGTCCGCAAGAACATGGCAAGCAGCGAGATTCGCGACATTGACAACAAGATCGCCAATCTGCATGGCATGCGACGCATCATCCTAGACAGACTTGCAAATCTGGAGCAGGAGGAGACGCTATTGGAACATGACCGTGAGCGCAGAATCATACGGGATCGTCCTGTGGTCTGTTTGGTGCTAACACGTGCTAGTTATGGACGTCGAAACACGGCTGGAAGAGGCGCAGGACCTCGTTGACGAAGCCGAGTCTATCGCGATAAACACACCCACCAAGACCGAGGAAGACCTAGCCGGGGACCAGGACGAAGCTGGATTCATGTCACAGTCGGTCTACGAGAAACTGCCAACAGGAGCCGGCTCACCGGCGTCGAAGGCCAAAAAGAGGGTGGTCCGCCGGAAATCAATGCCGATATTGCACGAGCATTTTGAGGCTGGCACCGCTATCAGGGAAATTCGCGCACACCAGGATACGATTACGGCTCTCGATTTTGACGCACCTTTCGGGACAATGGTGACTTCGGCTATGGACGACTCGATCAGAGTATGGGATCTTAATGCTGGACGATGCATCGGTTTGTTAGATGGGCACACGGCTTCGGTTCGCACACTCCAAGTAGACGACAACTTCCTTGCCACCGGAGGCATGGATGCAACGATCCGCCTCTGGGATCTGAGCAAGGCGCACTACGACCCACACGGCAGCCAGTACGGAAGGGACGAGGACGAAGATGGCATCGCTTTTGAAAACCCCGACGACGGCCCTGTTGAGCCTCCCGAAGGAAGCATGAGAGATTGCCACCTCTACACCCTGCAATCCCACGTCGACGAAATCACGGCCCTCCACTTCAGGAATGACACGCTCGTCTCCGGCTCAGCAGACAAGACCCTGCGACAGTGGGATCTCGAGAAGGGCCGCTGCGTCCAGACTCTGGATGTCATGTGGGCGGCGGCACAGGCCTCCGCATCCCTTGGCAGCGAGAGCTCCTGGAGGCAGACAAACCGAGCGCCCGCGCAGCAGGCTGATTTCATCGGGGCTCTCCAAGTGTTTGAGACTGCTCTTGCTTGCGGTACTGCCGACGGCATGGTACGCTTGTGGGATTTGCGAAGCGGACAGGTTCATCGAAGCCTAGTGGGACACACAGGGCCTGTGACGTGTCTGCAATTCGATGACGTCCATCTCGTGACCGGCAGCATGGACAGAAGTATTAGAGTGAGTTTGAAGTGTTTGGCTGTATTCTCGGCATTTGCTAACCGTTGACAGATTTGGGATCTCCGTACAGGATCCATCTATGATGCCTACGCGTATGACAACGCCATTACAAGCATGATGTTTGACGAGCGAAGAATCGTAAGCGCCGCTGGTGAGGACGTAGTGAAAGTGTACGATAAGGTGGAGGGCCGCCAGTGGGACTGCGGCGCGGGTATCTCTGAGGCCGAAGAGGGCAAGACGCCCGCCATCGTCGAGCGTGTACGTGTAAAGGACGGCTACCTAGTCGAGGGACGACAGGATGGCATTGTAGGAGTATGGACATGTTAGAGTATACGGATCCCCTATCAGCACAGAGCGAATCAACGCGATTATGACAGCCAATTGGTGTTTGTGAGAAGGATCGAGTCTGTGATGAGTCTATCAACAACGCCTCTGGACGTGTCTCTCAACGCGCCATCGATGTAGTAAACAATCCTACGGTCATAGTTCTTTCCCGTCTCAACTGATTGGCAGACGGTTGCTTCTCCGACCGTTCATCCGATTTCCAGATCAGCGGCAGTCATCAGACGGAGCGGCCCCACCTAGCGACTCCAACTTTTTGCCGTCCGGCCGCTCGAACAAGACTACTTTGCCTCACCACTTACAAAAATCTAATCTCACCGTCCCCAAACACACAAAATCAAGGAAACGACGGTGCCTTACAACGGCAGGCTGGCACATCAAAGGTGACACCCCGGGTTTCAGCACCGCTGTCAAAGAGAATGCCCTTCTTAGATGACCCCGCGTTCATCGAAGAATGCGTAAGAACGACAGCTTCGATCCACACAGACGCCCACCACCTCAACGTCGCCTCCGCCTCGGGGAACCTTTTGCAACAGCAGTCTGCGGATGATGAACAGTATAGTCTGAAGCCTCTGGGCCCAGAGGTTCTTACATCGCTTGAGGACCTGGCGCTCGACGTCTTGACGATACACGCGTCAGACGACGCACCCTTGTCACAGGACGGTGCCCGCCTTCTCCGCCGCCTCGACGAGGAGATTGAAAGGACGTACCGCCGGTTCTACGACTTCGTGTACGCGGACCTGCCGTACTGCTGGAGGCAGCTGTATACCGACCTGAGTTTGCTAAAGTTCTCGTGTCTTGTGTTTCTGAGAGGATGGGAGAGGATGGCCGGGGGAGTCGAGGTCGATGGCGATGAGAAGCTGCTGGACGAGTTGGTCTCGGTCCTCGATAGAGCTCTAATACTCGCCGGCGGCGCGGGCGTCGCTCGCGGGAGGAATGCAATCTCTAGACTCCTTGCCCGCCTCGATGATGGCTACGCACCCGCGCCCAAGCCCCGTCTGCCGGCAACGTTCCCGATGTCTCGCCCCTTCACGCCGCCCGTCACACACCCGATCCGCGTCATCGACGGCATGTCCATGCCGGCGTTTCAGTCCTACTTGGACAACCCGACGTCCGCGGGCTTAGGCCCGGAGCCGCTGGTCCTCACGTCGTTGCTGACGGACTGGCCGGCGCTCTCGACGAGACCGTGGAGCTCGCCGGGATATCTTCTCTCGAGGACGCATGCCGGCAGAAGGCTTGTTCCGGTGGAGGTGGGCAGGAGCTATGTCGATGAGGGATGGACGCAGGAGCTCATCCCATTTCGGGAGCTGCTGTCCCGCATCACGGCGTCCTCCTCCGCCCCACCTGCGCGAGCCGGCTCGCGAAAACCACCCTCTCCCTCCAAAGCTGAAACGGGGGAGGACGAAAAAGAAATGACGACGACGTACCTCGCCCAGCACGAACTCTTCTCCCAGCTACCCCACCTGCAGAACGACATCCTCACCCCGGACCACTGCTTCACCTCGCCGCCGCCGCACCCGCTCGATCCCTCCGCGGACAAGCCAGAGCTCGAGCTGCCGCTGGTGAACGCCTGGTTCGGGCCCGCGGGGACCATCACCCCGCTCCACACGGATGGATACCACAACCTGCTGTGCCAGGTCGTCGGCGCAAAGTACGTGAGGCTGTACGCGCCGCACGACTCCGAGGCGTTGTGTCCGCGAGGGGTCGACGGCGACGAGGACGACGACCTCGCCGAGAAAGGTGGCGAAGAAGGAGCAGATGAAGACGAGGAGAAGGGCGCGAGGAGCAAGGTTGACATGAGCAATACGAGCGCATTCGACGTCGGCGCCGTGGAGGGCTGGGACCCGGACCCGGAGGGCCGCGACGCCATCGAGCTCGAGGAGTTCCGCGGGCTGCGGTACTGGGACTGCGTGCTCGAGGCCGGCGACGTGCTGTACATCCCCATCGGGTGGTGGCACTACGTCCGCAGCCTGAGCGTGAGCTTCAGCGTGAGCTTCTGGTGGAACGGGGATCACTACGCCGGACCAGACGGACGGCCCTCTGCGTGACGAAAACTCACGGCGCTCGCTTGCTTCACTTCCATTGTTCATCGTGCTAGACTAGATACCCCAGCGTAGGTGGCCAGGCCACAATCGTATTTCATGTATTGTTCATCACGTAAAAAGGTCATAAAAGGAGGGACGCAATCAGCTCCCGCTCGCTGCTGCCGCCGCCACCGCCTCGTCCGCCTCGGCACTCTCCGCCGTCCCCTGGGCCTGACGCCGCGCCTTGGCGCCGGCCTTGAGCTTCTCCCACTTCTCGCGGTACTTCTCCAGCGTCCGCGCCATGCTCTTGTTCTCCTTCTCCAGGGCCTCCATGCGCTGTATTGCCATGGCCATCTGTTCCTCCAGCTCTTTGTTCCGCACCCGCAGCACTGCGTCCCCGCCTGCCGCGACTGACACACCGACTGCGGCAGAGGAAGGCGACCCTGGCCGCCTCAGCCGAATGCTCTCCGCCAGCGCGAGACTCGAGTTCTGCGCGGTAGCCTCAAAGGCGTGGAGCCGTTTGCTCAGCTTGTCCAGCATGTCCTTGAGCCCCTTGTTCTCGAGGTACAGCTCCTCGACGGTGTTGGACAGATTCTGCTCGGAACGGGACGGCTTACCGCCGACACGACGTCTGGCACCGGGCGACAGGGGTGCGGACGGCGACTCACGGGCGTCGACGAAGTCATCGTCGTCGTCCTCGACGAAGCTGTCTCCGCCGTGGAGCGAGGCCTCGAGGCGGCGCTTCTCCTTGTCCGCGAAGTTGAGGATGTTGGCGTACGAGACGGTGTGCCCACTCGTGGGGACAACGTAGAATGAGTCGTTGGGGTTGTGGGCTGAGATGGCGCGGAGGGTCGCGCGGGAGTAGATCTTGGATAGGTCCGGCTCAGCGGGAGCCGCGGGGGATTTGTGCCGGTTGCGCTTTATCGGTGCCGGTTCCGGTGTCTCGGAGGGTTCTGGGGTGGAGGGGGTTTCTTCTGCAATGAGAGGTAGACCGGCGAAGGCCAGGGGAGCAGAGAGGCGGTTGATAATGCTGCCAAAGGTGCTGTAGAAACGGGAGTATCCGTCGTCGCTAGGCGGTGAAGCAGCTTCTTCCGCCTTCCTATATTCGGCTTCTCGTCGCGAGGATTCGGGGTTGCCCGTTGGCGGGATCCATCCCGGCTTGCCGGATTGGTCGAGGACGTTTTGCATCTTAGTCCTGGATCCGTCGCGCCGCGCCTGAACCTCCATGTTCCCTGGTGCTTGGTCGTTTGTAACGCTCGGTGGAATGGGCTGGCTGCGGTTCCTGCTCGATCGGATGCCGCGCGCTGATGCGAGGTTGCTCGCGATCGACGAAGTCATCTCGCGGCTGGGATACCGGCGCTGCTGCGTAAGGGATGGTACAGTTTTCCCGGTAGCAACCGGGCTGCCGGCAGACTGACCTGAACCTGCTTTCGATCTGGCATCGTCGGGAGAGGAGGCGTCGCTTGCGTCGGAGGCCTGGGATTCCTGCTTCTCGTCGATGGTCTCGGTGTTCTGGCTCGCGCGGCGGTCGAGGGCAGCTTGAGAAGTTCGGAGAGGCGCTGGTGGTGCTCCTCAAGGAGTTTCAGGGTGCGAAGTGCTTCGATGCTCGTGGTCACGCGGGCAGCGTTGGCGAACTCGCCGGCGGCAAGGGCATGTTCGTTGATGGCGACTGTGGTTTCCGACTGGTGTTGTGCGTTGGAGGCGGCTCTGGCGTGATCGTGCGCCTGGCGGAAGATGTTAGGATCATGCATAGATGCGACGTGCACTCGGGAAGAGGTACCTTGATCAGCGACGACTCGTCCATGCTTGGGGCCGTAGCAGGAGTGCTGCCGATAACGGTTCAAGGGACGTCAGGTCCCGATAGGCGTGTGATGTTTTCGCGCAGATCTGAATGCAGCCTTTCTTCTCGGATCACGCGTCAGCCACAGACTAGATTCAGAATGATGGCAGGAAGGTGGGAGGCAGGTCCCGATGTAGGTACGGAGGCGGTTCAACGAATCGGCCTGGGATGTTTGGTGGCCGGTGATCGGTGGTTGGTGGTTGGTGGTTGCAGGCACGGAGGTTTCCCCAGAGTCGCTAAAAGCTCCCCCGCTGGCTCTCTGTCCCGGGTGGCAGGTAGGAGCGGCGCACGACCACGCGGCAAAAACGCTTAGAGGTGCTTGTTGGATGGGGCCTGGGTTGGCTTGTTGGAGTACGTAAGCTCAGTCAAAGCGACTGTTACTGTCACTGGTTGGAAGAAGACCTAGCCCACGTCATTAAATTAACATGTCGAAGCTAGCTTCGACTCAATTCCGGTGGGTGACTTGATTATGATGCAGCCAGAGTGGAAAGAGGACCAACGTTTGGCCAAGGCCAGGCTGCCTTCGCAGATTGTACAAAGGGCTCTAGGCAATGCATGGTGGACAAAAAAAAGCATCTCTTGAGTTTTCGCTCTGAGCAGCAAACGTGGTCCATTGTGTCAATTGTTTCTCGGTTCCGACGGACAGGCAAACGTCAGAAGCCGACAGGGCAAGCGTAGAGACGAGTTATTGGGTCACATTGCAACAATGCCAGCAAGTGGCAGAGCTCAAGACACTCGGGTTTCGGGAAGAATGCCCCGAATGACGGGGATGCATGCCAGAGGCCCCCGAGAACTGGTGCCTCATCCTCCCCAAACCCTCCGCCGTGTCGGGCGAACGAGCGGGTTGCCCGGGACTCAGCTGCGTGTGGTTTCGTTGTTCGAGAGACTGGCCTATCACGGCGTACAGAAGGCCGTTCCCAAGACACCAATCGCTCTTGCAGAACCCCCTGACGTAGGTATGGATTCCCCGAGCCAGCAGTCGATCCAAACGGGAAACACAACGGCCACAACAGCCCGGATCGGGGTTTCCATCTGCAAATATGCGAGACGTGCATGCATCGCCGCGAGAGAAAGATGGGATGAAAGGCTCGCTCCTCGCCAGCCGTTGGGGGCCTCTCTGAGAGTGTGCTGGTCTCCTGGTTGAACCACACTTGCGGTGCCACTTGGGTGACCTGACTGGGATAGAGTTGCCTGTCTACTGGCCATTGGCGAGAAGTAAGCCGAGCCAGGATGGATTATACTTGATCGTGTTAGAGGACCCGTCAGCCACAACCTCATTTCGGTATCTACCTAGCCCAGAAGACCAGACTATCTGACGGATTCGTCCCAATGCAGGCCAAAGGGGGCGCGGGATGGAATATTGGGGTTGCGCAGGTGCGACAGATCCACCGTAAGGAGACGTGCCATTAAACAAAAATAGCAGCGTCGTTTCCTGGTCACAGGTGGCGGGTTGCACTCCGTTGGGGCTGGCCAGGAAAGCCCCAGGTTCCCGATTGTTCAGAATTCCAGGCCGCTCGTAATAATGGGACACGGTTGGGGGCTGCGAGCTTCGCTGTGAAGAATTACATCTAATTGGCGAGTGCAACAACGTGGCTGTGATCGACCTTGTCTTTCCGAGGGCATTGTTGTGATGCGAACAAACATTTGGCTGGCGCCTACGTACCTACCGATGGATGTCTGGCATGGTGTTGGGGTTCCATTTCACGCGGTGGCTCACTAACGAACATAGGTACCTCTTCCCCATTCGGGCCAAGGAGAATTCGCCCTCGTGGCCGTTTGTCCCGGCCCGGCCAGGCCCAGGTATTTGCCTCGCCCTCCGTAAAAGTGACAGTGACGATGACGCTCACCATGCCCCATGGGAAGAAGCGCGGGTCGGCCAAGCTGGTTAAATCTAGGCGGATCTACTAGCAAACTGGGCAGTCCGTCACTGGCGAAGTGGGTGTCGTGTATTATTCGGTCATCGTTCGTACCTTCCTTTCGAAAGTCGACGAAGGAAGGCGATCTGGAGCTCTTGCCCACCCAGAAATTCACTTAGGTCCCCGGCTCCGGCTGTCATGCCAAACCATTGCATCCTTTCCTAACATTGAACTCCCTCGCAAGCACGAAACAACGTCAAACCGAGGCCTATTCGCACTGCGATCCATCCCGACGACAAGAGAACACGCGCGGATTTTGTTCCCAATCACAAACAGGACGCCCCCTTCCCTGCCGCACTTAGAGGACGTTACTACCTACGGATTCCTGTCACTTCGACCTTTAATTTCCAAAAACTCAGTTCCCTGCACCCGCGGTATATGATCATCGTGCCCACTATTCGCATCCAATGCGCGTATCCCCTCGGAACGCTCGAACCAGCCAAACAGACAGTACGGACACCGCCCGCTCGTAAAGAGTACGACTTTTGCGATTCACGACCCGCGGAACCGGAGCCATGGACGCCGCCAGTGAAAGCGGGGGAGGCCTGAGCAAGCTGCTACCCAAAGCTATCGCAGCCAAGCGACGCCGCAGAAAGCAAGAAGCCCGGGAAGACGACGCCGCAGCAGCGACGGCCGCAATGCTATTGGGGGTCAAGGGGGAAGATGTCACGGCTCCAGCTGACACGCCCGCGCCACTCAGAGACGACAGCGCCAGTTATATGTCTGCGAGGCGCGACAGCGGCTCCTATGTCCACGACACGGACAGCTTCTCCAACAAGGACAGCTCGACTGGGTTTCCCGACTACGACTACGACCACTACCGCGAGCACGGCCACGAAGCCGGCGACGAAGTCAGCACCGAAGCCACCAGCATGGTGACTCTCGACGATTCCGACGCGGAACAGTAAGTTTCTCTGGTTTCTTGTTCGTCTGCTTCTGTTTGCTCCATGCGCATCTGCACACAAGATCCAGCTCCATGCCAAGTCTTGATCTCTTGGCTTGCCTTGCTTATACCTCCTCCCAACACGTGCATGCATCGTCTCATTCCCTTGATGTTCGACAGGTGTCGGCCTCTCTGCACAATCCTTCTGCCCGTATGCATCCGAGCGTCCCTGTTCTGTGCTTTTGCGTTTTCACCACCTCACATGGCCACGTCTTCGCCGTGGCGCATACCTGAGAATTCGTCACTGGCGTCTCCATCGAATGACGAGGCGAGCTTCGAGTAGCTACGGAACTGGGTCTCGATCTGTTGGACAGCCGGCAAAGACGCCGTCCTTTTTTCTTCTTTTTTTCCCTTGTCTCCAAGGACGCCGTCATCCGTCGTCAGCGGAGGGAAGGGGGCAGCAAGAGCCAGAGAGAAAACAGCATGCGGGCTTAGTGTCTTCAGTAGGCTACTCTAGCCATCCTTGGTCTGACAGTCTCCCCTCCGTTTGGGGGTGTTGGGGCTGGCAGCCTAGCACTGGATGGAACTCGTTTCTGGGTCTCAGCTCCCCCTCATCCACTCTGCGGCAATCGCCGTATGACAGCTGCCGGGGGTCCCTTCAGCGCACATTTCCCCTCTGGCCCGCTGGTTCAGTGTCCCTGACGACAGGAGTGTTCCACTTCAAGCGAGTGCGAACACAGGGTCGAGAAACAGGGTCGTCCATGTCGTCCCGGCCACCTCTCTCCCGCTTCGTTTCGTCTACTCTTTATGTAACCTGTGCTGGACCGCCTCTAACCTCGACGATTTCCCCCTCTCTCTAGATCTTCCCTTCGACCAAGTGCCATTTCTACCCATCCTTCGCAAATAGGTTACTTGACCACTTCCTCTCCGATCGTTCAGGCAACTCATTTGCCTGAACCCCAACCGCAGATACTGGACAACCAACTCCCCGAGATCGCCTCGGCGCGATCCACCTCCAAGAACTCGCCCAAGAGGACGCAGTCAGTCGAGTCAACAGATTCGTCCCTGCGCTCCAAGCGCAGTTTTACCAGCCTTGTCCCACCCAAGAAAAACACCGCGAGGTCGCCCTCCCCCGTTGGTCGTCTGAAGGGTGTTTTCACAAAGTCCAAAAAGACCCCCAGTGCCGCCACGAGCCCTGAGCGGAGTGTGGGCGGTGACGACACTACCGACGACGGACGAGACACGCGCAGGACTAGAGACCGAGGCAGAGCTTCTGCGTCTGCTTCCACCTCTGACCTCACTTCCACCTCGACCCCAATCACAAAGCAGCCGTCTTTAGACAACCCGCCTACGCCACAACCGAATGCAACAAACGATGTCGGTGCATCCCGCGTAAATCCATCAACTCACTCCCCTGAGCGACGTCGCTCAAGAGCTTCAACAACCACCTCCCGAATCGACACCTCCTTCGTACCCCAAACCCCGCCCAACCCCGACAAGTCCACACCGGTTATCGTCAATACACCCCCGACACCGACCGACCACAACGCACCCTTTTCCCAATCTCCGCCGGGGCCACCTCTGCAACCTACCGTCGAGGCTCCCACTGCCTCGGGCAACACGAATGGTGGTTCTGCCACGGGTAACATGATTGCTCATCGCAGGGGTAGATCAGGATCTGGCAGTATAGGGCCTAGCAAGCTTTCTAACATCACCCTCGCACCCCTGACCCCCACCCCGGAGAACGGCACCGCGAGCAACCCAGGCACTCCATCTGGCGGCGGCTTCTTTTCCTCTGTCTTTTCGGCTGCCCAAAACGCCGCGACCTCGCTCACGAGCACCATCCAGAACACCAGCATTGGGCCGCCTCCTTCCAAGAACAAAAACTTTACAAAACCCCCGGACATTAGGATCGACGAGCAACCCAACGTCGAGCCCCCACCTCCATCCGCGACAGGCTCGACCATGGAGAAGGAACCTGCCGTCAAGACCATCGGGTCCGGCGAGCTCAGCCTCAGCCAGCTGGGAATAACAGATACAGGTAGCATCTCTGGGACTCCCACCACCGCCAAGTTCCCCGAGTCGGCCGAGGCGCGGCTTAGAAGTGAGTCGGCCCCGACTGATGCTGCGTACGCGGCTGCCACTCGCGATCTTGGGGTAGACGACGGTAGACAGGCCACAAGACCACAATCGCTATACGAGCCGGGAAGCGGAGGAGATCATACGCCCCCTCAAGGCAGCATCCACGAAGATAGGATCTCTGGCGTGCAGCGCAGCGGAAGCATTCGCAGCGCTATCGGACGCCATCGTAAGCGAGGAAGTTCAGCTGTGTCGGGAGGTACGGCTACTACTATTGGCGCTGCCATTGCTGCGGCTAACGCATCAGTCGCTCACCCTCAAGCAAACGCGAGCGTACCGAAACTTACTGGCTTTGCGGTTGCGAGCAAGAAGCGCAACCGTGATTTCCACACATTGTTCAAGAGCGTGCCCGACGACGATTACCTCATCGAGGACTACAGCTGTGCGTTGCAGCGCGAGATTCTGGCGCACGGCCGTCTGTACGTATCCGAAGGCCATCTGTGCTTCAGCAGCAACATTCTCGGTTGGTCGACTACACTTGTTATGAGCTTTGACGAGATAGTGAGCGTCGAAAAGCGAAGTACGGCCCTAGTCTTCAAGAATGGACTCATGATCTCGACTCTGCATGCCAAGCACATCTTTGCCAGTTTTACGAGCCGAGACTCGACCTATGACCTGATCGTCAACATCTGGAAACTTGGACACCCCACTCTACGAAGCTCGCTGAACGGAGTGCAGCTTGAGGGTACAGGTGGTGACAAGACGGAAAAGGTTGACGCAAATGACGCTGTGGCACCTGAGGTTGATGATGGCAGTTTGTCCGGCACCGATGAAGACAGCGAGTCTGGCGACGACGATGACGTTTATGACGAAGACGACGATGCCGATGACCTTCAAGATGTCGCGCAAATGTCAGAGGTGAACGCCGAACCGGAAGGAGGTAAGACTGTGTCTCGCAAAGTCTCTGGTGCGGGAGCCAACGGCGCCGTGGCCGACGTTGTTAAGGACGCTGTCGGTGTTCCCTCTGGCGGCGATGACTTTCCCGGCCCGGCGACCCACGCTCCGACAGACTGTGGTGATTCGGACACGCACTACGAAAGAATTGTGGGAGACGATGTCGTCCCAGCGCCTCTAGGCAAGGTTTACAACCTACTCTTTGGTCCCGCCTCGGTCACTTGGATGACGAAATGGTTGACCGTCGAGGCCAAATGCACAGAGTTGCAAATGGAAGACAAAAAGGGACTGACCCTCGAGAATAAGTCGCGCTATTTCACTTACATCAAGCCTCTTAACGGTGCTATCGGCCCCAAGCAGACAAAGTGTCTCGTGACAGAGACCCTGGACCATCTCGACTTCGAAAAGGCCATCAACTTCAGTGTTACCACTCAGACCCCCGACGTGCCAAGTGGCAATATCTTCAGTGTCAAGACGAAATACTGTCTGACGTGGGCGGAAAACAACTCGACTAGAGTACAGTCCAACTGTACCATAGAGTGGACGGGCAAGAGTTGGCTGAAAGGTATGTGCTGAGTATCCAATCTTAAGAAAGGGGATATCCTAACTCCACGAAGGTCCTATCGAAAAAGGTGCAAACGACGGTCAGACCCAGTACTGCAAAGATCTTTTTGCCAGTCTCAAGTTGGCCGTTTCATCGAAAGCCCGCACTAGTGGAAATGGTGCAGGTCCTGGCACAAAGGGCAAAAAGAAGAGCAAGAAGAGCAAGGCAGCGGGCTCATCGACAGACGCTGAAGACGAGCAAGTCCGGCCTAGAAACATTCCCAAGAAGGACTGGGGTCCATTGGAGCCCGTTCGGGGTATTCTGGAGCCAATTCTTGACATCGCCAAGCCGCTCATGACAGGCAACATGATGTACGGCCTCTTAGTTGGCTTGCTTGTTGCAACCTGGTTCGGGTTTGGGCTTCCGGGCAGATATCCAACCGGAGACATGCGCATGTACGGCTACCCGGACCGTCTTGCTGCATACGACGAGATGTGGAGACGCGAAGAGAGTGAGCTCTGGGAGTGGCTGGAAGAACGAGTCGGGTTGGAGAGACTACACGAGGGCAGCTTGCCTACTCGCAAGAGGGCAATTGAGCCAAGCACGGTGGAAGAGAGGGTCAGAGAAGACCGTATGGATGAGCGGGAGATTGAGGAGGCGATCAAGGTGACGGAGGAGAAGCTGAAGGTACTGAAGGGCGTCATGGATAAAAAGAAGCCCTTGGCCGGTTGAGGAAATACCCCAAGAACGGGAGGTCGGCGGGAAAAATGCAGCAAGCAAGTCAGGTACGACACCACACAACGTGTCTTTTTGTTATTCTTGTTTTCTTTATTATCGTGTAGCATATTCGGTAGCGATGCCAACGAGCAATCAGGGCTTGGATGGATTAGCATCAGCAAATTCAGTTTACGTCGACGGGTTAACCTACTTTCAAGTCCCCTAGATTGAGCATGTGATTCAAGTGGAAGTTGCTTAACAATTCTGTCCAATCGCTAAAGCATTCTTGGGTGTCTCGTTGGAAGGGCCATATGGCGGGAAACTGATAAACCATCACTGCTCACTCGACCCCCGGGACAGCCCCCTCAGGATCTTCTATCTGAGTCTAGTGACGGGACCAAGCGGACGAGTTGACATTTTGGGTTCAACTAGACTGAACACTGGTCGGCGGCAAAGGGGCACCAAAGTTGATTCAAGGTTAAGGGGTATGGACGCGTTCCATCGGAAATAGCATGCCCATATCCTGACCCGGAGAAGGAAATTGAAGGCAAATCACCTCGTCCATGTTGAGGTGGCCAATGCTCGCTGGTAAACTAGGCGGTTTGTCCCGAAATGCCATGCACATTTTCGAAATCGAGATGATTTACTACTACAGAATATCTTGTACTACTATACATGTATCATGCAACTCTGGTCTCCCTTCTGAGGAAGATGTGAAGCGCAACATACGACACCACACCAGTGAAGCAAAGGCCACTAATAGCACCGAAACCCATTAAATATTTAGGGGCGTCGCTAGAAGGGAAAAGGTAGGCACCGTAGATCTGTGCTAGATTTCCCATGGCATTGACAAAAGCCAAGGAGATGGCCTTTGTTTCATTGGGCATCGAGCCAAAGCTGACCGAGGCGTATGACAAAGCTAAACCGTTCGAAGCCCATAATCCAGAAGCCATGATAACCAGGAGAGCGTACCTGGCCTTGAAGTCGTAGACGACGCAAGTGATAATAGAGCAGAGCATGGCAACGGTCATCCAAGCACCAAGGATCAGACCGCGCCACTGGGAGTGCTTGTCGGCGAAGTAGCCAGTTATTGCTGTAGAGACGAAGGCAATGCCGAAGATGGGGATCGTCATGTACTGTGCGGCTGTCGCTTGGTAGCCCAAGCCGCTGACCAAGGTTGGGTAGAAGTAGGACAAGGTCGAAGACCCAACGATTGCCTGTGACAAAAGTGTTAGCAACGATCACCCAAGTATACATGGCGATCACCGCTCAACGTACCATGTAACCAACAACAAACAACCAAGTCCTCCAGCTGACCATGCTGAGTTTGAAGCCTGCCCAGTGGCCCAAGCGAGGCTCTTCCTCAGTCTGAACACGCTGAGCTGCGGTCTGGAGCCTCTTGATTGCCAACTCCCTCTCTTTCTCGCTAAACTTCTTCAAAGACGTGTTTGCTGGGAAATCCGGAAGGGCCCAAAAGGCAATGAGTGCAGCACCGACAGTGGCAGCGCCTTCGACAATAAACAACCACCGCCAACCGGCTATACCATGCACGCCATCAAGGCCGCTTGTGATGGAGCCAGCCAAGAGACCACCAAAGGCCCCGGACAAGATGGCGGCGGAAATGTACACGGCGAACCGTTTGCTCTGCTCCTCCTTCTTGTACCAGGACGACAAGAGCAGCAGCACACCGGGTGCGAATCCTGATTCGAGGATACCCATGACCACACGGAAACCAATGAGACTCTTGTAGTTTGGCGTAAAGGCCATGCCGATGGTGACGGATCCCCATAGACTCATGATACCTGGGAGGTATACACTAGGCCGCGTCCTGGCGAGGACCATGTTGGAGGGAACTTCGAAGATGACGTATCCGACGAAGAAGACGACAAGGGCGATCGAATACCGGCCAGAGTCAAGGTCGAGGTCTTTATCCATGCCAGCAATCTTGGCGTTGCCGATGCTGTGATGATGAAGTATTAGTGCTGGGAGTCAACATTGTGGTGCCATCTGCTGTAACTCACTTGGTTCTGTCCATATAGGATAGCAGGTACTTGAGGAACCATCGTTAATAACAAATACTGCACTCGCGACGAGGAGTTACCAACCATGAGAAAGATGAGAGGCAATAGATATGTGTCTATCTTGCGCACCAACTTCTTCTCTTCGTCGCTATCCGCCACATAGGTGTCAACATCCTCGAGCTCTGCCCCCTTGGGTAGGGCATACTCATGCTCGTTGCTGGTGGTTTCGTTCTTGTCCATGGTTGTTGCCGGCGATGGAGGAAATCTGCTAGTCAAGGAAACTTGGCTCGAGAGCCGGGTCGTTTATCTACGGAAGAAAGGGGTATAGTTTGCCAATGAAAAGCTCAGCGTTGCTTATCGAGTGTCAATAAAGATCAACAGGTCAATGCAAGTGTCTTAAGTATCCAAAGGAATCTACGTAAAATTGTCTCTTCCAAGGGTCGAACTGCTGCTGCCGGTGGCTGACAGACCAAGTCATGAAGGGCCTTGACCAAGAATATTTCACTGAACCGGTCACACATAGGTCCCGTAAAGTTGCTTGGAGCCTTTGAGAGCAGCCTAGTCAGTAGGCACCATGTCGTACCACCGACGAAGCCTCATGTCATGGGTCATCCGAACCAACAATTGGTCTGGGGCTATCCCCAAACCCCAGTCTGGGGAACTGGGGCTCCAGAGCAATCGCTCCGAACATTGCGGGGTCTGGGGAGGGTGTCCCGGAAAAGCATCTAGTAGCGCATCTGGGGATGTGTGGCCGCGTCTCGGGGGCGTAGAAAATTGGGTCCGGGCATAATCCGAAGACAGAACAGGTTTGCCAGCTGCAAAGGAGAGAAAGGCAAGGGCAAACTTGCAAAAAGGAATGCATGCTTCTATTTCCTTTGTGGTGTTATATCCAATCCTTTTATCTCTTCTTTGTACCCATTAGGCCCGTCACGACTTACACCGCGTTGTTTTCAATCGTTATAAGTACTAGGATACTACAATGGGTGGAGGGTGTAGCGAGCATAAGAGAAAGGTTTGAAGTCCGTGTGGCTTCGTTTGGCACTGGCATGCGCGGCTCGGGGGCTGAACAGTTCCATAGAAAGAGCTGTTGCCTCGAGCCGCGGTCGCTTTGCCGCATGAGTGTAATAGGTTGACAGCGGCACGACAACGTCGATCCCGGGTCTCTACATGGTGCCGACATCAGCCGATTCAGCAGGTGGACGGTGGCGGCACCGACACGCGTGTTAACACTTGCGGTTGAGTTCCTCGGAGGCCCCGCAAGTCGGCCGCGAAATACGGACAGCGGCCACCAAGAGAAGGCTCTACGGTTTACTTAAGGCGCCTTTGGGTTTCCCGAGATCCTAGCGTTTTTTGTTATATACGTGAATCAAGTCATATTCTGCTTCCTCATCTCAAGCCTACATTCTACATCCAGACTGCCGCCAAGTGTTGCAAAGCTAGAAGAAGCCATCATCCGACTCTGAAGTTATCACAATTCACAATGACGGGGTCTTCTGAACAAAACGGCAACAGCGCCGCCAACATCCCCACAAACGGCAACAACGGCGCACCAGCATATCTCAGCACACTTCCCCCCGACGGACATGACTGGAAGATTTCTCTGAAGGACAAGGTCATTGCTAGTGAGGTTCTCCGCGGGTACGATGATTCTGCTCATCACACTAACGCTGTTTGCAGTTTCGGGCGCGAACCAGGGCATTGGTTTGGGCATCGCAGAGGTCTGTCTTGCCAATGACGCGGCGTGTGTCTACAGCCTGGACATCACTGAGCCAGCGGAGCCCTTTGCCGGCTTGCTCAAGCGTTTCCCCGGAAAGCTCGAGTTCCAGCACTGTGATGTGACGGACTACAACAGCGTCGCCGCAGCAGTGGACGCTATTGTTGCTGCCAAGGGCCGTTTCGACGGTATGGTTGCCAACGCTGGCGCCACAAAACACCAGCCTGCCCTGGAGTTCACTCCTGAGCAATTTGACAGGTTATTTAAGTTGAACGTTAACGGATCGTGGAACTGCGCGACCGCAGCAGCAAGGGCGTTCATTAAGCTTGGCTGCAAGGGGAGCATCGTCTTTACTGCTAGCATGACGTCTTACAGGCCCAACCGAGTAAGTGTATCTGCATTAAGCCTGATTCAACTTTCACTGACGAAGACTGCAGGCTGCGCCGTCTGCGCCATATGGTGCTACTAAAGGCGCAATTCGCAACATGACACACACACTGGCAATGGAGTGGGCTGAGCACGGCATCCGTGTGAACTCCATCTCGCCCGGCTTTGTCAAGACCGCGTTGACGTACTACGTCGAGACTTCACCTGACTGGGATACCAAAATGAAGTACTACGGTGGCATGCCTCGCCTGGCTCTGCCTCAAGAGCTTGGTGGTGCGTATGTGTACTTGTTGAGTGAGACGGCCACATATACGACAGGTATCGATATTCCAATTGCCGGCATTGTTGGCGCTTGGTAAAGAAATAGAATTCCGGATTGGTAGCGGGCAAGGTAGCATATTGTAGAAAGCAAGTTATACTCCAATTTTCTTCATGGAACCCTCGAAAAAGAAACTCAAGCTTTGTTCGTACATGGCCATTTCCCTCTTAGCGCACAGCAAAGTGTCAAGTCATGCGCGTTAAAGTTACATAGGTAAAGAAACAATAGTCATGTATTCGCATTGTATGACTAGGCGCGTTTGGATAAAGTGTACAAAGAGCACTACTATAGTGAGAGTTCTCCGCATGGATAGACGTAGACCACTGCAAAGGTAAGAAACGTAAACATGTCTTGGCATTTAAGACATGGATGAACTAAGTAGTTACTTACATCAGGTCATACGGCAGAAGGCAGTTTGGATTTGGTTGCACAACGCAATTCATTGGGGTCGTGGATGGTTCCGGGTTTAATGCTTGGGATTGTTTTGACAAATATTGTTAGATTAGAGGGTTGGCGCAACTAATTACAATGGAGCAAACGGACGAGAACTGGAATTAAATTTAGCTTCTAAACTTGCTGAGCGATTCCATTTCCTCCAAAGCTGACCCCCTTAAGACCGCTGGACTGCTTCAGGTCATAGTCGTCAATTACTTTTACTTTTGCCGCCGAGGCAGAGTTCTGAGCAGAAAATGTCAGCGAAACCGGACTCACCGTCTAGGAAACGCTGGATGCAGGAGGGCAGCGACGAATGTCAACTCACAGGGTCGAACTGATATCCCAACCACTCACCCACCAAGCGCCTCGCAAGCTCAATGCCAATAACGCGCTGGCCAAGACACAGCACTTGGGCATTGTTGCTCATGACCGCTCTCTCCACGGAAAAGCTGTCGTGCGCCGTCACGGCACGCACACCAGGGACCTTATTGGCGGAGATGGCGACGCCGAGTCCCGTGCCGCAGATGAGGACTGCCCGGTCGACCTTGCCGCTCGCGACGGCCTCGGCTGCCGCGAGAGCAAAGTGCGCGTATGCCGTCTTGTCGGTTTCTGAGTTGGGCCCGAAGTCCACAACGGCGCTTACGCGCGGGTCGGCTTCGAGGTCCTTGGAAGTGATGGACTTGTAGTTGAAGCCGGCGTCATCGCCGCCGACGGCAATGCGGAGGCCATTGGATACAGTCATTGTAACAGTAAAAGATGAAATGGGTAATGTAAGGTTATGCAGAGCCCGCCGTGACACTCCCAGGCAGTATAGGACTTGATACTATGGATGAGTTTCAAGCAGTTGGTTTGCAATGGACCTCAACAAGTGTAAGTGACCAGAGGCTGGCAGCCCTCTTTTGACAGCTCATCCTGTTTTTCCATCTTCCAAATGAGGTCAAACTTGATTTCGAGCACCCTAAATACAGCACTCGTCACGAAGCGCCTTTGATGCACACGGTTTCCATACCACCATGCTATTGCATGGATCATCAGCCCGCGCTTCGTGGCCAGTGGGGCAAACGACCGCGTGTCGTGCACCAAGCACACTCCTGCAAGTTGGGTTCTCCATCCAGAAACCACACACTAGACGCGCTATGTGACCCATCGCAGGCACTGGCATGTAAGTATCACGTCAGAGGGCCAACTATTGAAATGTCACCGAGTTGTTAAGGTATCAAAGCAAACATACACGACCCTACTAAATCCTCTCAAACCACTTACAAGCGTCGATTCTGCGCATAACCACCTCATCACTCATCCGTAGTTCAAAAGTAAACCTATTCATCATGAAGTCCTGGGATTCCTCAAAGAACAAGACTTACCAAATCCTCAAAGCCGCAGAGGAAGGCCAGTACGGCATCGTCGCCCCAATAGCGTACAACATCGAACACATTCTCGCTTTCATCCGCGCAGCAGAAGCCAAGAGGAGCCCGCTGATAATACAAGTCTTCCCCTGGGCCATCACATTCTCGGATGGGCTCCTCGTACATGCCGCAGCGCACGCGGCCCGCGCCGCCTCGGTCCCCGTCGCCATCCATCTGGACCACGCGCAAGATGCGGCCATGATTCGGCGCGCAGCGGATACGCTGCCCTTTGACAGCATCATGGTGGACATGAGCCACTACGAGATGGAGGAGAATCTGACCGAGACGAAGGAGCTGGTGGCCTATTGCCATGAGCGGGGCATCGCGACGGAGGCGGAGCCGGGACGGATTGAAGGAGGGGAGGATGGTATTGCGGACACGGCAGATCTCGAAGGAGCATTGACGACGGAGGAGCAGGTGGAAGATTTCATTGCAACTGGGATCGATTTTCTGGCGCCGGCTTTTGGAAACGTCCATGGCGAGTATGGTACTAGGGGTCCTGTGTTGGGGTTTGACCGGTGAGACCACCTCATCAGCATGTTTTTGATGCATTTACTAATCTGAAATACTGCACAGCCTGCAAAAGATCCGCGAAAAGGTTGCTGGAAGAGTCCGTTTGGTCCTCCATGGGACCAACGACTTCCCTGAAGATTTGATGCGACAGTGTATTGCCGGTGGTGTTTCCAAAGTCAACGTGAACAAGCTGGTCCTCGATGATTATCTAGTCCATCTGAAGGAAAACGCCTCGAGCTTGAGCTTAACGACGTTGATGGAACAGGGTGTTAAGGAGGCGCAGAAGCTGATGGAATGGCAGATGGATGTCTGCAAATCCGCTGGCAAAGCGTAATACCTCGTCTACAGACTTCTTAATAATACAGGAAAATAGACGTCAGATAAGATGTCAGACTTCTCTTCGCTCTTGGGGTATATAATTGTTCTAGAACTTCATCGCATGGTGTCAGGGCTCTGGCAGTCAGCGTTAGTCCACGCCTGCCTCAAGTCGTTCCGCCACGTTGCCATTGGCGTCCAACCCACTATGTCTTCACTCTTCTCCATCAGAGAAAGAATCTTCTCTCTCTTTGAGGAGTCCTGAACACATAATCCGGCACCGTAAAGACATTGTGCAGAGAGTATCTGGCACCCCTCGTCCGTTAACTCCATCGCAATGCCACATATCGTGTCGACTGCCTCCGAGAGCGTTCGCTGCATCTTGAGATAACCATCAAACCCAGATGAAACTGGTTTGTGTAGAAGCACAAGGATTTTAGCAAAAGAATACGCTTGAAGAGCGACTCCAAATTGAGGTGGATGAACCCAGAGAGGGGTAAAGACATCGGACGGAGTTGTTGGGGTCGGAAGAGGCTTGAACTCATCGCCCAAGAACGACTTCCACCTCTCCATCTCAGCCAACATCTCATGGCCCGCGCGAGCTCTATTGCTTGAGGCTGAGGCGTCAGGCGAAGCCTCCATCATGCGGGAGTAGGCGCAGTAGTTCACTGCGCGCGACAGTAAGTATATGGCCCTGTTTGCCAAACCATGCTGATCAAGCTCGTGGAAATCTCTGTCCGCTGCCCAGAAGCTCAAGCAACGCCTTTTTTCTCGGAAGGCGGCCCAGATGTCTTGTCGGAGCCAAGACCACCAGACTGTCTGCCGGAGTCCACCGGAGGCTCCGTTGACATCTTGAGATCTCTGAATCCAAAAGACGCCTTTGAGGTGCCGCTGCCAGTTCCCTCTACCATCTGATTCATCCAACATCTCGTAAGCAGAGATGACAATAGCGGTGGCGTTGAGCTCTTCTGAAGCAGTGTAGCTGGTGTAAGCTAATGCTTCCTGAACATAGCGGAGGGTTTCGTAGTAATACCGAACCCACTCGCCGCCAGAATCACGACTGCCGGGCGCGATGCCAGGTTCCGATTCTGGATGCTCCCCTTCTAACTTGGAGAGATGTTTGGCTGACAATGCTAAAATGGCATTCATGAGTCCTGCGTTCCTCAATGCCAACCGCACTGCATAAGTGGAGAAGAGCTTCTGGTGATCAAGCAGATCCAGCCAACGGGCCGATCGCTCTGTAAAGTGGCGGAAGAGAACAGCTTCCCGACTTGACAAGACAATATCCTTGTCCGCCTGCCATGTCTTCCGCTCCGGGTCCGAGACATTGTTGAGCCGATACTCAAGGTTCGTCGCATCGGGCGGACCATGGTGTACCGCCGCGCGCCTCTGCTCATCATCCTCCGGGGCGGGACTCGGAGCTAGAGAGAACCCACTGTCGGCCTGCGCCGCGTCGGTGGCGAGCAGACCGAGCCATCGCGTCGAGGCGAGGTCTGTTGTCCAGAGCTCGGATGCGACAGTCTCAGGGGAGTAGCTGTACACATCGCCGAGCGCCAATCCTGCAGACACGGATGACTGGTTCACATACGACACGTGGGAAGTGTCGTAGTCACCGGGGGACTGGGTGACCGGCAGTGCGGTTGACTGCAAGTCAAGGCCGATGGACCCTGCAGAGCCGATCGACTGGGAAAGTTGCTCATCGACGCGCGACTGATCTTCATCGTCTCGGAGATGCGTGGCCATGGGCTCCGTGTTGGACACGACCGGGCTTGGCCATCTACCCGCATCCCGGGAAACCTGTGGAAAGACACATTGGCGAGACGAGATGCTGCATGGCCCGCAAACAGGCTGTTTCTCGTCACATTTCTTATGCCGCTCGCGGCAGGTCAAGCTGTGTGCTCCAAATCAGTGGCCGCGCTTCGTGGCCATTCTTGTGGAGGCAAGGTCAGCTTACCAACCGGTCTTGGTACGCAAGCCTCGGCCTCGTGGCTTTCTGACGCGCTTCTTTGGCAGCGCCGTTGCAGCTCGTCTTCCATCCATAAGGACATGGCAGGCTTTGTTTGATCTCCTGCGGCTCTGTGCATGCAGAACTGCGAGACGCGGTTCTGGCAGGGTTGACTTGAGAAATGTCCTACTCGGTAAGCGGGGTGGTATCCATGGAACTGGTTACTTGTGGCATAACTACGCGATCTAATTACAACCTATGCCCCTTATTTCCGAGACATGCGCGGAAGATGGCCGACCCTCGCTCTCGGCTGTAAGTCGATGGTCGGGAGTCGTTTGTAGGATTTCAAGTTGCTGTCGAGCTTGATTGCCGAACTAGGGGAGCTCCGTCGGACCAAGTGCGGGGAGACGCGGGGAAAACGAACCATCCCGCAGCAAAGCTCCTGGGGAGCAGGGATGAATCGGCTAGAGTCCGGTCAATTTCCAGTTCAGGCTCTGACCCGCGTCTCGCGGTCACTAACTGACTCGCTTGTGACTGCCTAACGGGAAGCCTAGAGACTCGCAAGAGGATTGCGAGGTCGTGAGGGCAATCAATATCGAGACGAGTGTGTGGCTCGAAGCGCGCTGGTCTCAGTCAAAGACTTCTTTATGATGCAACAAGGCGAACAACAATAATAACAGACATGACATTGACACGCCACAACATGCATTTGCCATATATGCGGGAGTTGTGTCCGACCCAACTGTGGCCAGCGTACTACAGATTTGCACGGTCGTGATTTTAGCAACATGGCGACGACAAAGCATTACTTTCCTGAAACTGCTGCCAATACACTGGTTCCGAGAGCTCTCCGAGCTCTGGTTTCGGCAAACCCCCACCTTACACTAAATGAAGCGGAACGTGTCGTTGCAAATTCCTGTAATGACCGTTCGGCAGTGAGCATCATCGGCGGCGGCGGCTCCGGTCATGAGCCGGCATGGAGTGGATTTGTTGGCGAAGGCCTCCTTTCCGCAGTGGCATGCGGCGACATCTTTGCCTCGCCCAGCACCAAACAAGTTCTTGAAGCGATGAGGTTAGCCCCTTCCGACTCTGGAACTATCCTCCTCATCACCAACTACACTGGTGATAGACTTCATTTCGGTCTTGCTGCGGAAAGGGCCAAGGCTTCAGGGCTTTCCAACAACGTCGCCGTTCTTCCCGCAACGGACGATGTGTCTATTGGTAGAAGCAAAAGCAGCAGAGTAGGAAGACGAGGGATGCCTGGTCATGTCTTCAGTCAGTCGTATCCTGGAGCTGTGTTGCCATCACGTTTGCTTACCAGTGTTAGCCATGAAAATTCTCTCAGCTGCATCAGCGGAAAAGCACTCCTTCGACCAGTGTGTGGATATTGGCAAAGCAGTCAACGATCAAACTGTGTCAATAGGCTCGGCTTTGGACCACTGCCATGTGCCTGGAAGACAATACCACTCCATTGCAGAAGACGTCTGCGTCCTTGGCGCAGGAATTCACAACGAGCCCGGGCAGCAGTTACTATCCCCCTTTCCGTCAGTCCAAGACCTCGTTGGTCGGATGTTGAATCTCTTGTGCGATCCAAATGATACTGAAAGAGCCTTTGTCACTTTCATGGCCGGCGATGAGATTGCACTCCTCATCAACAACTATGGCGGCCTCTCGGTTTTGGAATTGGGAGCGCTCACGGATGAGGTGCAGACGCAGTTGGCGTCAACTTGGCACATCATTCCCTGTCGTACGCTGGCTGGCACTTTCGAAACTTCTTTGAACGCTCCCGGGTTTTCTATTTCCCTGTGTAACATATCGGCCGCCGCAAGACAATCGAACACTACCGGTGCCAAGTTGCTGCAGCTCCTCGATCGTCCGACAACAGCAGTATCCTGGCCGACCACCGTTCGCCCAGCAACCGACGAGAAGGCCAACGGCTTCATCAAAAATGGCCATGCGGATGTAAATGGCAATGGAATCAAGTCTGACCTCATCAAAGTCGATCCAGCGATTCTAGAAAAGACTGTAAGATCAGGGTGCGAGAGCGCAATTGCGGCCGAGCCGCGATTGACGAAATGGGACATGGTAATGGGCGACGGCGACTGCGGTGAAGCCGTCAAAGATCTTTGCGAATCCCTTATTCAAAACTTGGACAAAGGCGTTGCGTCAAGCGGTTCCGTCTTCTCCTTCCTCGAGTCGACAATCGAGTCTGTGGATGACATGGGAGGCACTCTCGGAGCCATCTTGGGCATCCTGCTCTCGGCGTTTTCTTCTGCTCTTTGGTCCAAAGTACAAACAGACCCTGATTCAGCTGAAAGCCTCTCTCCTATGCTGTATGCGTCATCACTCGCTTCTGCTGTCGAGTCCCTGAAGGCTCATACGCCCGCGAGAGAAGGCGACCGTACCGTCATGGACGTCCTACTCCCGTTCTCGAACAGTTTTGCTAAGTCAGGAGACTTCGGCGAGGCTGTCAAAGTCGCTGCGGAGAAGGCTGAGGCCACTCGTTATTTGCGGGCAAGGTTCGGACGAGCGACATACGTTGGCGAGGCGGCCGGCCAAGAGCTGCCGGATCCTGGAGCATGGGCTTTATATGAGATGGTGTCTGGAATGGCCAAAGGGCTAGGAATTGTAGCTTAGTCCGTACTTTTCGGAAATCAAGATGCAAGACGTTTCGTGAAATAGCATCATCAATTTCTGTGACTACCTCACTTCTTTCCCTATAGGCTCTCAAGTAAGTGCTTGCTGTGTTCAATTAACGTTGTCTTCTTCGGGAAGGGGCAAGAAGAAGATGGGTCTTATAGAGTGTTATGTGTCTCTTTCCAGATCGATGCATGCAAGTCGAGGCAGGTTGGCTCTCTTTATTTTTCACTAATGGCAGGAACCAAGTCTCGTTGCCGTTTCCATTGCAAGCATGTACTGTCGTTCATTAGTTCAACCCTCCTAGTCAAAATGCTCGAGTGACGTTGTTAATCCGAGGGAGATCCCTCGCTGTACTCATCATCACCTCCACGCTTCTCGGAACGAAGTTCCGTATGTTTTCTGCATACGCATCAGGGTATGTAGAAATGCTTCACTTCGGTATATTGTTGACCGAGTTGCTCAAGTAAATTATTAGCAATTTACCAGGATGCCCCCCAACAGCCATAACTTACCCAATGGAGACCATGCCTTCACCCAGCCGCATTACGTGATTTCCAGCTACGGCAACGACGACGACGACGTTTTCTATATTCTCCAGGCCGTCTTACACACCCTAAACGAGCATAACGTTAGATGTCCCCGAGGCACCAAGACCATGGTTCGGATTTTCGCCAGTCGCGTCTTCCATGACTGGAACACCGATAAACCCATTCCTGTTCCCGCCGATAGCCCGCGTCTGCTCACCCGCGATCGATCTTCACTGAGGCTTAGTACCATCAGCATCGATTCGCCTCCTTTCGTCCTCAACGGTGATACCGACTTGACAGAATATCTGATTTCCTTCCCCGCGCCAGGCCCTGCCCACCGCCGCCAGGGTCAGCCCGCGTTTCTCGAGCCTATCATTGAAATTGATAATCATTGCTGCGGCCTCGGATTTTTATGCACCGACTCGCAAGGCGACAGGCTTCCGCTCAATGCTGTTAACTTTGACCACGGCGTCAACCTCTCGATTGCCTGCCATCTGGTCCAAATGCATTACGACAGGAACGAACACAAGCGTATCATGGAGTGGAATACCGACCGCGCGATCTACTGGGCCCGTCAGCGCCTACTGAACTTTGCCCGTAACCTCAACAACATTTTCATTTACGATAACGGCAACCGGTATCGATGCGCTGACGAGTATGTTCATCCTCTACATGGGGCTCTGCTCTGTCGCGATGTCATCGAGCAGCTGCGTGACACCGCCGAACGCAATGGTGTAGAACTGCATTTGAGAGCAGCGAGCTGGGGGTGGATGGAGCCAAGCAACTCATGAAAGTTGAATTCTGAAGTATCAAACAAGAGGCTTGATTCTGCAGATGCACATCATTGGCAAATGATGGGCCTTGTATCGGGATTTAGCGATGTTCCACGGTTGGGCTTAGCATGCGTCTGTTAGTTGCAAGCGATGGCACAACAGCATACAATGATACTTGATATATTTTCCATTCGAAATTATGGGACAGGTTTGCAAGTGCAGTTATACATGGCGACGTGAGTGACTTGTGTCAAGCACCGTTCATGTATGGCAGCCAAACCATTTGATTGGCTGTTCATTGGGCATACAGAACACTGCCCCTTTTACTCTCAGCTGCAGTTTGTAATTCAAGTGGTGCTAGGAAAGGGTTGATCTAGCAGTGAAGAAAGAAGCAAAAAACATCCCTATAGCGTCAAACATCATCGGGGTATTGATCAACGAATTCTGTCCCCCCCTCCAATAGTGCATCTGCGTTCAGTCTTACACTCCACCTTACCATATCGGTCATACTCGTATCTCTAAAACCATCATGGGTACCAATGTCGCTCATGGAACTCATGGGACCAGCTGCCCGATGGTGGTGGAAGAGGGCAGGCTGCGACGTCAGACAGTTATGTGGTTTCCGTCCCTTACCACCCTCGCAAAAGAACCTCAAGAGGATGTCAACAGCATCACTGACATCCTTCAGTGCAACCTCTTGTAGTAGCTTTCTAGCCCCCTTCTGACTCACGGCGTAACCCAGCGTACAAACACCCTCTTGGACACGATGGACGGCGCGGGTGTGCTCAGGATACTGCTCCTTTAGAGTAAAGGGAATGTTGAAAGTCCATAGATTCTTTTTCGGGGCGACAGTAACGTCGTTATAATGAATAACGCGAGCCTTGGGCACACCCTTCCTATCGAGGAAGGGGAAATGCATGCCGCAGTGGCCGATCCACAGGAGGTCCCAGTCGTCGCCATAAGGCGAGAAAGTCGGCGCAACAGTAGAAGGAAGGTTGTCAAGCGGGATGTCTAGTACTGTTTCAAGGTTGGAGACCCCACCAGGTAAGGGTGCATTGATGAGAGGCTGAGAAAGTGCTTGAGTTGAGAGGGCGAAGTCGTGAAGCTGCGACCTAAGCCTGATGTCCCAGTCGACGTCATCCTCAAGGATCAGGGCTGAAGATAGGTTTCGACGAACGATTCTTGAAAGAGGTGTTACTAAGTAGAAAGAAAAGCTTCAGCGGAGGAGACTTACTCCCCAAGCGCATTCATATGTCCGCGCCAGCATCCTATGGCGCCATCGTTTAGGCGATCATGCTCGGTTGTCTTCGGAATCGCCTTGTTGGAGACAGTGTTGCCAGGAACACCGTCAACAAACTCGATATCCATGTCGCTGAGTGCCGTCTGGAGGAGCATTCCATCTCGACGATCAGTTCGGCTGGGTAGGCCAATGACGAAAATCTTCTCAAACTAGAGGGTAAGGCATTGTAAGAAGACACTCCAGCCCGTGGTGGACAAAAAGGACTCACGCCTAGTGTACTGTTGTTAATACTACCCATTAATCTTGGTAAATCTGTACCACTTTGCTGCTGAATGTGGCCAAGGAACGGCCTGTACAAGAAGAGCGCAATCGTGATAAAGACCGCTCCAAGGAAGCATACGCTTCTCTTGGCTGGTGGCCTAACGGGTAGAAAATGCATCTTGTCGGGTTTGGCCATGGATGAATAGTCAAGAGAAGCAAGCTTGTCAACATCAGATTTGATCCAGACGACCCGCCAGAGGCCGACCCTTATTAAAAAGGGAGGAAAAATCCCAGAGACAACAGCACAAATGGCAACACCACAATCCGCATAGGGGCCGCTTATCTAGGCGAGCGCAAACAACTTGGAGAGTTGACACGTCCGTTTCTGGGACCAATGAGATGGCCTCGTGGAATAAGTTCCGTATGAGCATCGGCCTCAGGATGAAGAACGGTACGATGCAACAGACCGTTGGTTGCATCCTGCGTTGTAACTGTGTTGGAACTGCGTTGGATTTGAGGCACCCTTGACAATGACCAATCAGCAATACGGGTCGGTTGGCGCATTCAATTTCGAACTGCAGGTAGCAGCGCAAATTTGCACAGCATGACTGGACGGGGCTCAACAACCCTTGGCAGAACTGTTGGAAGCACCTAGCCAACACACAATGCCAAGCCAGAGACGATGAATAGGAAAGTACCTGCTTCCAACGCACGATGTCTGTAACTGAATGGTGACTCTTTTGAATCTGACCTTCCAATGTTAGTCTTCTCTTTGCCGCTCAAAAACTATTTTGTAACTCTATGCGAACGTTTGTGGAAAACATTGATATCTGTTGAGGAAGTCCTCGTTTTTCGAGGCCCGGTCAAGGAACTATCGTGAGGACTGGCCACATAATGAGAGCCACCACTGCTTTGATTCCCATCAGTCATCGTTGGTTGGAAATTAAAAATTTCAAAAGGAGTTGCCATCGCTTGGAATGGAATGGTCAAACAAGCAGGCCCAGCGACCCAGACTGTCGGGTCAGACTCAGCCAGACCGCCGTTCAGACAGAGCATATCAATAGAGAACACACCACAGTCTCCGCCGTACCTTCAGGCAACTGCGTACCGAAAACAATTCCAACATGCTTCTTCTGGCGGTGCTTCTCTTTTCTGTTATTCCTTTGACTTCATCTCAATTCTTTACTCCCAGGCAGAGTAGGGAGACATGGAGCATTGGCGAGACGAAGAAGATCAGCTACAATACTAAGTTCACCAAGTATACCATTGCAATATGGCAACAAGCTTTGGCCGGTGGTGCAGCGAATCTGGGACCCGTTGTATTTTGTAGGTTTGCAAAGACGTTTTGTGATGTTTCGAAAAGCTGACCAAGGGCATAGAGACTGATGAAGGTCCTGTGAAGGACTTTAAGTGGAATGTTCAGACGTACGATTTTGAACTGGCCTCCTCAAATGTTTTCTTTCTCTGGCTTTTCGAAGGAGATCCCTCTATTCAAGGCAATCAGTCGGCACCTCAGATGTCTTCCGCCTTCTTCAACATCACTGATCAGCCTGTCCCAAGCAACTCAGCCATTCCGACGCCGACGACGACGACCGAGTTTTCGCAAACCACACAGACTTCAGCGGCGCAACCCTCTCTCGAAACATCTGCGGGGTCGCAATACACGCTAGGAACGACAGGAGGAGAAGGATCTACTGACACCAACCCAACAACCCGACCTAGTGGGAGTATCAACTCCAACAACTCTGGGTCCTCTGAGGGCTTATCAGTTGGTGCCCAGGCTTGGATTGGTGTTGGAATCGGTATCGTTGCGATAACTAGCGTTGTTTGCGGTATAATGTGGTGTAGGTATCTGAGGAAGAAGCAAAGGGCGCTGGAGGAGTGGCAGAGTATGGCCTTGTCACAACAGCACGGATCTTCTGCATACCATCACGATCGTATTTCAACGCATGATATACCGCAGCCATACCTGGAGATCTAGGGAAACTACGGACAATCTGGCCCGGTGGAGATTGGGTGAAGTGATGTTGGTCTAGATCGCGACTACTAATGACTAATAATGGGGATTTTTTTTAATAGATGATGTGTCTTTTTTTCTTCTGGAAATCAGTCGGGGATCAACCCTCTTTATCACTTTAAGATTATTCAGTCTTGATCTTGTGGCCATCCTCCGTTCAAGGCTCCGCGTATCGGTTGTCGCACCCTCGAGCTACATCCCAATCAAATGCCCCTTTACTGTCGGGTCAGCGACCCGCAACTCCTGTTGACACAACACCACCCTTGCATACATAACTAATTGGCTTTTTTCTTCGATAACTAGACAAGTTTGGTCTGAAATTTTTGTAAGGTTTCGTTCGGCTCATTGCAAATCCCACTTATAAGCTCTCGAGCTAAGCGAAAAGAGATGTCGGCCGTGTATTAGGTTGCATCCTTGAGTTGTTTCCTGTGGATCAAGCTATCATGCTGATAACCTATGAAAATCTAGTCTAAAAATTTAGCTCAGATTTTAGTTCATTTCACTTATTTTCCATGATCCCTTTGGGCACCTTGTTCTGGGTCCGGTGCATCCTGCTGTTTTATACACTCACCATACCACAACTATAGTCCAGGAAGAACGAAACGCCTAGTACACGGAGTAGAGCGAGTGTATGGACGTCAAGTATGTTTCTCGGCAGAATCTTTTATTGGCTCTGAAGTAATGTCGACGACACTATTTACAACAGGATAGTATCCCATCAGTGACTGTCACGCTGCATTCATTATTCCAATGATGAACTGATATTGAGACGCTGTAATAGCTGTCGAAGAACTCCGCGACTGTAGCGAGTCTAAATCGGAAGAACGGCATTGAAAACTCCCAGTCCGATTTTTATACATGAGCTGACACTATGTTAGTGTAGAACTCTTAGTAGGTAGATCTATCTCCATTGGGGTTACGGGCATGACTCAGCCGGAGCTTCACGCAACACTGCTGAAGTCGTGACGTCTTTTGATGAAATGATTTATGTGAGAATGAACAGGAAAGCACTTTAGCAATGCTAAGAGAACTCCAAGTGCGCGCGGCTGCAATTCACCGCTTTCAGCTTTTTTTTGTGTTGAGCTCCAATCCGTCGCAACAAGGAAAACTGTTCCACTCGATTATCTATGATAGCTCTATATATCTCAAAGAGGGCTAGACCAAAGCAAAAAATGTCTTTCCATAAATGCGGTGGTGAAAAAGGAAAGAACAGGTGCCACCTTTGCGCGGGATGAAAAGAAGAAGACCCGCGCCTTCCCGAAGTCTAAAATTAGTAATCACAAGTGGTCATGAAGTTGAGAAGAGCGGCACATTTTTACTTTTAACTTTAGAGTGACATTCTCACGCAGTCTGAGAGACAGAATTATTGTATCTTATCACAGCATAGCATATCACTGTTCTTCTGAAACAACTTCCTTTCTACCTTTAGTTCACGAGGTACTCAAGTGTTATAGCTTGTTTACCAGTAGTGCGGGTGCTTCAACGTGAACCTATTCAGCAAAGTACTGTCCTAGCTACAGGCCAAAGAAAGAGCTATGCTATTCGAGTCTCTTTCTCCCAGCTACGTCGTCAAAGCCTTACTCATGCTGGGCGTCTTCAGTTTGCTTTGTGGTTGTGTGGTGTGTGATCTAAACCTCGACAACACCATCTTGAGCTCTATCCTGGCTTGGAGAGTTTTGATCATCCTCCTCCGTGTGCATCCAATGCTCCTGGACCAAGCGCACCGGCTTGAGCTCCTCTACATCCTCTCCGGCAAGAGTGGTGTTGCCCTGAGCCAGGTTGATTAGTCGCGCGCGACCCCAGTGGGTAATCTTGGACCAATTCCAGTTGCCAATACGGTCTTTCTCGTTCATATCGTAGTGCAAGCCGACCTCGATCTTGGCCTCGGCGAGGGTGAGATCTCCCTCGATGTCAATGGAGGCGTTGGAAAGCTCGGATCCGCGGTGGCCCTGCTGGTCGACCCAGAAGAAGCTGGCCACGGCCACGTCCAAGTGAGGGTCGATTTTCATGCTGACCTTGAGTAGCACAGGCTGGCCGGCGCGGCGGTACCCCGGGATGTTGCCGTTCTTGGGGACGTTCTGGTTGAGGGTGCCGATGATGAGGGCGCTTTCGTCGTTGGTGCGCTTGCGGAGCTGGGCAGGGGCAATGTTGGGATCGCTGGTGGTCCAGTTGGACGTGAACACTCTGGTCCAGAACTCATCACGAACCTCGTCTAAGGTAGGGGAGTCGATGGGATGATTGCGGTGGATGAGGACAGCAAGGAGGTCGTCGCACATGCGCTTTTGGTCCGCCGTGAGCTGACTGAGACGCGAAATGACCGCCATGATGTTTTGGTTGTACCGTACTGTTCGTGATCTGTGAACAAAGTTGTCAGTTAACCAAACTAGCATTGACAATAGAAACTCCAGGGGGTTCCAAACCAGAAGGGATGGTTTTGCTTGTGTTCCGGTGCGTTGTCGTGAGGATAAAGTTGTGAAGACGGGAAATTTGCCGAAGTATCAAAACAGCCAAGACGAAGAGGTACGTAAACCGAGATGGCTACAGCAGTAACAAGGGCTCTCGGCGTTTCTGGTGATGGAAAGCTAGGGAAGCTTGGTAAGTAGTCTGCAAGGTGAAGGAGATGTGAAGGTGAGTAGTGATTTAACCGCGTCCAAAAATTTATTATCTATCCTCGACGCGCGCTCGACTGCTACAAAGGGAAACAGCCAAGTGGTGTTGAAGGGCGCGACTTCCAGAACAGAGATATTATTCTAGGGCCAAAGGCTATGTTACCTTGTTCAAATTTCAGTCAGGGCTGAACATACCCAAGCACCTCCTTTTCTCAACCTCACACACGATGTCACAGCAAACAATACTAGATGTTCGCCTTAACTTTAAAATATATTCTTTGATTCTAGCACAGAATGCTATTCCAGTTCTTGACGTAACTAAGAGAAAGCATGCCTTTCTTGACGAGTTGTCCTACTGTTCCCACAAATACCAGATACGTAGAGCATGGACCCATTCGCAGGCTCCATGGGATACGGCGTCTAAGCAAAGGAGACTTGGGTCCTTATACTTCCTAAAGGGTTCATCCAGAACTCTTCCTTATTCTTCGTATAACAACTCGTAATCATTTTCAGTTCCTCAGGGACGTCCTTGGTACGCCCCTCGGCGTCGATTTTAACGCACTCGCCAGTGAGCCTTGCCAATGTGATGAGACACTTGCGGACCCAGGAGACTACCAGGCTATCACCCAACCGGCAGTTGTAATTAGCATCGTACATTTCGCAATAGGCACTGGCATACTCGAGGGAAGTCTGGGTCGGCAGCTTAAAGAAGTGGAGTTGTTTCCCTTTGTATTAGACAACCAAGAAAAGTAAAACGCTGTCAACGGACCAGGGACCTCGATGCTGATACAGATGAGGTTTCCAGCAGGGCGGTGGGTTATCATAGAGAAAGCGACTTCTTCGTACCCTTCTTTCTGCTGGAAATTTGCATACTATCGTGGTGTTACTATGTCTCTTATTGGGAAAGCCGGGCGTGTCAGCCGGACTCTTTGGTCCAAATTAAACTTGATTGTAAACAGCCATGTTGGGGTTTTCCATAGCCTTCATTCACATTCCTTTTTCCCAATCCAAATTATAAGCTGTTATACTCGCTTTTGTGCTAGAGATAGGTTTCATGCTTAGAGGTCGCTGTTATCTGTTTAGCCTAGTTAAGTACGAAGCCAGCCGAAGAAGCCGAAAAGTATGGTGGATGTGTTTAGTAGTCGTCCAGCTGTCTGTGAAGACTTTGATGGAAAAGTGGTTCAACATGGCGTCATTGCCGGAGTAAGCGATGTATACGACTTCGAGTATGGCTAAACAGGATACGATCTTGGCCGAGGTAACTGTGACAAAACGCTTGGCTTGATTGTCGTTGTGTATGGAGACTTGACATTCAGAAAGTAAAGCTGCTAACGCAGACAAAGCATGCTCTAAGTTATCTAGCATACGCTATATTGCTTCTTAGAGAAATTAGACAAGAATATGAAAGATTACATTATCTCTTCAGATCAAAACTGCATGCCTGAAGTGAAAAGCATTCACCTTGACAACTATACCCTTACATGTTATTTCCTTCGCAAGACCCTTCGTGGCTTTACCTGAACTTCTGCTTATGAGACTCAACGTAATGGTCTTCAAGACAACTAACTAATGAACCTTTAAACTAGGACTGCTTTTAAATAGTACACGAGATCTGAAGATCCGGTCCCAGTACTGTCTTCTACTCTTTTTCATCAGACATATCAGACAACCAAGCATCAACGTATCCCCTCGCATTCAAGAATTTGCGTTCTCCACAATCGTGGGAATGTTGGTTTACAACATTTAATCGGACCAGAAAGTTGCGCATCCCTCAAGTTGAAACTGTGAATGGGAACAGCTCGGACAATTTTGATGACAAGGCAAATTGTCTGGCTAAATATAGACAAGAAGATACATGGTACTCATGTAGAAGTACACATATGAGCACCAAGGATTCATAGCCCTTGAACGACGAGCGGTCAGCACTCGAACCATTTTGCTTCTGGTACGTTGATTACCCTCCGGTAAGCTTGATTGTTTTTGTATTGCAATGCTTCTGCTTTGGAATGACACGAACAGCCAGGCAACATTCACGTACTCATCATCACCAATGTCAATGTAAGTCATAGCTACTGCTCACTCGCATCAACGCTTGTCACATCACCAACCACGATTCCAAGCTTCAGCAATGATATGAAAGTATTATTGTCTATCAGAGTTAGCAAATAACGCCCCCCATTCCCTTGTCCATACAAACAACAAAGTCTATGTGTTGTGACCTCTATTGCCATCTCAATTGGAAAATGAGAGGTTCTGAAGCTACGTGTGACCTGACGTCAACATCAGATACCTGTCCCGTTGTTCAAACATCCGTATCCAAGATTCCCTACCCGAATACTTTCCCATGTGTCCCCGACTTCCCACTATGGGCGCTAGAACTAGCACCAGACTGACCTTCCGAGCCTCCGACGCTAACAAACAAGTAATTTTTTTTCTTTCAGCGAGAGCTCTCCCACACTCGGGTATCGCACGAGACACCTGGCTCGATCTCACAATCCAAGGCTGAGCTGGAAGCTTGGAAGAGTACCCGGCAAGTAGGTCTGCAAGACGTAACCGGCGACGATCGGGGCTCCGCTCAGGTCCAGAGCGAATTACCCGTGCCCAGCCCGCCCATCCTCTGATCCTGCGGGAAAATAAAACGGGTGGGAACAACGCGACTTGTTCACCCGGGTAACATTGATGAAGATCGCTTGGCTCCATTGTGATGCGCGTACCCGTTCCTGAAGATCTTTTGCACAAGCGAAGGAGGGGGGGAAAAGGAACACCAATGAACGACATGGCAATCTATGAACGAATCCCATCCCTCGTTCGTGGACCCGACGCAGGCAGTGCATGTTTGGCAGCTCGCGGGAAACAAAACCCTGACTGAAACCGCCACTTGCGTAGTTGGCGTCAAGTCAGGCCCGGCAAGCGGAGGACGGGATTGGGCCGGACGGTGGTGCGAGTGGGGGGGGAGCAAGCGGGAAAGTGCGACAGGACAAGAAAACGGCGTCAAACGGAAAGGTCGCTTGCGTCTACGATCGAGATCGCGGAGAGTTTGACACAGATCATCAAGCGACCGCGACGAGTGCGGCGCCGGACTCGAGGCCATTGGGCGGATGACACCGCCAACTAGGCAAGCCGAAACAGCAGATGAACGCGTGCTGTTTGCCTCAACGGCCCGAATGGACGTGATACCAAGAAAAACCTCTAAAGCCGCGCTTCGTGGCTTGGCGGCTGGGGCCCAGCATCGAAAGACGACTCAGCGTCTGGACGAGTTAGAGCTCCGGAAAAAAAGCGCAATGCAAAAGGTCTTGGGAAAAAAACCCGCAGCACCCAGGCGCCGGCGCCGTTTCGGGCTGTGCGGATCAGCCGGCTTCCGACGCTAGCGCACCCGGCGAAGATCCTCATCTCGGGGGCGGAGACGGGGCCCGGACGGACCAGGAAGCTCCCACACTCCTCTCCCCCTTCCTGCCGCAACGACGAGGCGTGCGCAGGCCGCGTTGGCACGGGTGTGACGGACCTTTTGCATCCGTAATGAATGATGGAGACGGTGCTGAGCGGTATGGAGCTGTAGTCACGTTCAGAACTGCCTAATGCGGTCAAGTTCCTGACGTCTCCAGCCTCGATATGTCGGATCATGAGTCGTAAAGAGCCAAAGGGCGCCAATTCTCAGAAGAAAAGAAATCCCACACTCCCTGCGGTAGGATATCATGATGCGTAATGACGTGACGCACGACGAAGCAAGACGATTACAATGATGGTATTACTGGACCTAGAACAAACCCGCTCGGAACTCCACTCCCCCCCTCATCTCATAGCTCGGCACTCCGGTCCGTCAACAGCCGGTTCCGCGCCAGCACCTGGTCCACCAGCTCCTTGCCGGGGAAGTCGATGATGACGACGCCAGTCTTGCCGCTGTCGCCGCGGTCGGCCGTCGCGGCGAGCCAGTCGCCGGTGCGGTCGTTCATGCCGGCCACGGTGCGGTTGAGGTTCCCGGCGGCGGCCTCGATGGGCAGCACGCCGACGGAGGCGCTCAGGTGGGCGAGGTACAGCACGCGGTTGGCGTGCGGCTTGGCGGTGGCGGCGCGGCGCAGGGCGTTCTCGATGGCCTCCCACTTCATGTAGAGGTGGTCGACGCTGGGGATGATCCAGAGGTCCTCGAGGACCATGTCGGCGGACTCCCAGACGACGCCGTAGGGGCTGTCGGGGCCCTTGGAGGGGAAGTTCTGCAGGAGGAAGATCTTGCCGCGCAGGGCGCCCAGCGTCGGGTAGGGCTTGCGCGGGTTGTGCTTGCGGAAGTGGGCTTTGGCGCCGGCCGAGGTGACGGTGGAGTTGTGCAGGTAGAAGTTGAAGGCGTCCTCAAAGGTCATGGTGTTGGCGCCGAGGGGCCGGCCCTCCTCCTTGAGCCGCATGACGACGGTCTCGCTGGGGTGGTCGTCCAGGAAGTCGAACACGGTGAGAAGAACCTCGGTGTAGGAGTAGCCCGTGGGCATAGAGGCGTGGTAGATGTCGATGGTGTCGTTGACCAGGCGGCCGCGGATGTCGAGGTACCGCATGCCGGCGTGCAGCTGGGCCGACAGGTTGTGGTTCTGGCATTGGAAGACCTGGTTCTTGAGGTCAAAGGTCATGGTGTCGTGGGTGCCCGGGATGGACAGGCTGGTGAGGTTGGTGCTGTCCGGGATGGCGCGCATCCACTCGGCGTGGTCGGCGCGGTCGACGTCGAAGGAGTAGTGGGATTCATAGCCGCGGTAGCAGTGGTTCTTGGACTTGACGAAGCACGGCGCCAGGGACAGCAGGACGGAGAAGAGGCCCGAGATGAGGACGAAGAAGGTGAGGACGTAGAGGAGGGGCATGCAGTGGAAACGCATCTTGACCACGGTGAGTATACGGGGGGCCGGGCAGGCGAGTGAATGAGTGAATGAGCGAACGGGCTAGGGTGGTACGTAAGTGAGTGAGTGACACTTGTTTGCAGTGAGTGAGCGAGGCTGTGGTGAGCTGCGCGGGCGGGAAGAGATCCGAGAGGTCCGCGATGCACGGATGAGGCTCCCCCCACGGGTGAGACGCGGATGACGGAGGTCTCCAAGGACGTTCGCGGTCTCCAGGCAGTCTCCGGCACGGAAGCCCACCCCGTAGCGACTGCAAGTCGGGGGAAAGCGCTTAGAGGAAAGGAGACGGGGAAAAAAGGGACGGCGCTTGGCTCGCGGGGAAAACGTGAGACTCGAAAACGTGCACCAAGAGAACCAAACTTCTCGCTCTTGCAATCTGTCGACACTGTTCAATGAAGTCAGGGGGATGATGTTCAGTCAGATGCTTTCCCAGAGCCTCCGACGCACTCCGTGGCTTTCCTTTGCCCACGTGCACGCGTATCAAGGCCGCACCAATGTTGTTCCGGGATTCGGGTCGCCTCTGGTCGGGACGCGGGAGGCTCAAAGCGTCAATCTCTGTTTCGCCCCTGAAATCATAAGCACCGTCGGCGACTTTGGGATGGCGAGGCCCAAAGGTGAGATGGGCAAACTCGACTCGCCTCGCCGCACTGATGGAGATGATCCCGTGTAGCACACACACACACACACACACACACACACACACACTGGCCCATCAAACATTCCCGAAAGAAGCTTGGCTTTGGTGTCCGAGTTTAAAAAGGGAGGAGCGTGGATAAGGTGCAAAAAGGGCCAGATAAGCCCTCGAGAGCGCAGAGCTTGGGCCCCCTTCCCGGCGGGGAAGCAGAGACAACGCGGCGGTCGGTACAGGGCACTACCCCGCGCGGCTTCGGCGGCATACAGCACGCGGCCGATCTGGGCCACCGCAAAACAACGACACTTCGGCCGCCAATTCGGGGTCGCACGATGGATGGATGTGAAACCCACGGGAACATGCGGTGAGCCGCGCGCTGCGTGCAACATCACGCTTCGAGCGACCACCGCACAACAGGCATTAGGAACAGGTTATTGGAACCTCGGAAACGCACTCGGCATGCCGGGCACCCTGGCTGGTCACGTCTCTCGTCACCCCCACGCTTTGGATAGCGAGGTGGTTTCAAATCTGTGCTATGCCTGACGGTCGGTCGCTGTCAAGATTTCCAGAGGCTTCGGCCGGTATTCCCTGGGCGTCGTCTCCGAGGACACCCAGTCTGCCTGCAGTTTGGCAGAATGTTCCAAACACACCTCGCGCCACGATGGGCTGCCAAAGGTGCCATGCAGTCCGTCCTGCAAAGCCCCGCCGCTTCCTAATGCGCCCGGGAACTCTGAGCAACCATCGCCCAAGAAAACCTTCCAGCCTCCCCATTTCCTCGCGGCTTTTCCCCGCCGACAACAAGCAGAACCTCCAGTCCCCCTCCCCATCTGTCAACGTACATATCCCCACCATGGAAGCCCAACCCACCGAAAGCGGCGTCGCCTGCACCTCGGCGGCGCGGGTGCGTACATGGCATGACGCCCCCGCTTCCTCAGGAATATGTCGTGGAGCCCTGCTCCGCTGCGAGCGAGTTCGCAGAGGTCGCCGACGAGACACGGCTCTCTCGCTCGGTAGCAAGGGTGTCTAGATACCACACGGGGACGCGGTGTGCTGTGACGGCCGCGGTGCAGACGTACCCCTCAACTTTTCTGCTGACCTACGGATGCTCGGGGTGGCAAGAGGCATGAGGCGGTGGACCACTTCTGTGCCGTTCCTTGAATCCATTGTGTTGCCGAGTTGACATTGGCGAGCGGGTGCCGGAACGGAGGGCCCAGTAGGATGTGGCGCGGGGCCCACGGAGTTCAAGTGTTTGCCACGGCGCGCCTAAAAATGTTTAATGTTTGAATTAACTCCAGGCCGGCGGGCGACAAGATGGGTTGCAGTTTTGAGGCTGAAAGCGACACTCGCAAGCCGACATGGACGGACGGCTCGCCCGCCCCGGTTGGTCAGTGGCACTCTGAGAGTTGTATCTACCGTCGGGCTGGATCACTTTCGGCGACGTGAGGCGAAGTCAGGCTTTTGACTACTCTGGTAAGGGTTTTTGACGTCGAGTGTCTTCGTTTGATAATACGAAGTCCCTCTTGTTAGCCTCTCTAGATCTGTATCTAGCTCGCTGGAGGCACACTGACAGTCATTTACACGAGGTTCACACTGCTGACTAAGACGCGCACCGTGCCCGCCTTTACTACATAGTATAGTACCATCAGTCGGCACCCGCCAAACGAACAAGACTACTCGGTACTATGTACATAGCCGGGCCTCGTAGCGAACACAACATCAGACCCACGACGAGCAGGTGCCATTGCCCTCTGCAACCCACCGCGGTTCGGGCGTGCCGTCAAGAGGCCCGCAAGTCGAGGACGTCAGCAGTCCTCTCGCCCACTCTCAAGGTTTCCACAAACCAGCGCATTCATCATCGCGTATCTCTGGCCCGTGTTGCACTTTGCATCACTAGCCTCCGCGAGGTGGGTGGTTTAGTGCCGTGAACGACCGGATTAAAAGGGTTCCATCTTTTGGAGAGTGGCCCAGTGGAAAAGAGTTCCCGAACTGCCTCTCTCTCTCTCTCTTCTCATCGTTCGCTCTCTAACCCCGCCGCCACAAGATTGCATCACGGGTACCGCATGGCCGGATTCCTCGTCCAAGAGACAATCTCACGAACGCCTCGCCCGTTGCTCTGGTTGCCCGTACCTACTCTTACCGCCGTGCTGAGAATGACTGAGGACTTTTTACCAACCGCCGTAGCCCTCGAGGGCGGCTCCAGGTGATCGCTCGCGCCTCGTATCCCCCCAATCTCTTCCCTACACCATCCCATCCATCCCTTTCGTATGCATGCATGCATTACCACCCACACACCACTTTCCTCACGCAGGCCCGCCCAACCCTCCCTCGGCTGGGGGGAACCGTTCATCGGTTTCCATCAAATCCATTCGCCAATCGCGCGCGCGCGCCGTCCTCGAGCTGTGTTATTCTTTTCAACAACAAGAGCCTCCCCTGGGCCGAACGCCGTCCCAATCAGCGTCCCGCTTGGCGGGGCAACGTCTTTCGCGCGCGCCGCGCGGGGGGGAACTGCTGGCCAAGGAAACCGACGAGTCGAACCTAGCCGTCGGCACATTGCGCCTCCGGGACGTTAGTGCGTGTGCCGAGTCCTCTTTCGCGCTACGATCGTCTGTTGCAGATGCCATTTATCAAACGTCGTGGATGGCGCGAGAACAAACCCTCGGTAGGGGCAGGGTTTCCTCGACGACTGGCTGGACGAGAGTGCAAAAGTGGGAGAGGCGGGAGATACAGTAGAACAGAGAAAGAAAAAAAAAAAAGAAGAAAAAGGTTAACTGAGCACGCCTAGGCGACGGTCCTGGGTACGACCTTGCTCCTGGTGGCCCCTCCCTTCCTTCGGAGGGGACGCCGTGGGAATTCCTTTGGCTATCGGGCCTTTGCGAGGCCACAATCTTGTTTTCCTGCCCGGCGCCAGTCGAAGAGCGGTAGAGGCCTTGCTCTGCATGCCGCTTTCGCTGCTGCGTTGCCCCGCATTGGGTGCCGCAGACGATGAATTGACTTTTTTGGGGAAAGAATTCCTTTTTATTTCTTCATTTTTTATTTCTTTTCCTTTCCAAGCGGGAGCGGTTCGGCCTTGCATGACATGAGATGACCACCAGTTCGGCCGCCGCGCACCGAGTGGTGAGAACGTAGCCAAGCTGCACCAGCATCATGGGTGAATGCGAACGAAGCCTGCGCAAGAAACCTGGTATTTGCTAGCGCGTGGGGGGGGGGGTTTACCTCTCTCTCGCGCACCTGGTGCACCATGTAAGCGTGGTGAGCCCTCGAGACAAGAGGGGACCAGCTGGATCCCGGCGCAGCATCGCGCATGCGTTGTTGCGGCGGGCGGCCCAATCGGTGCCGAGGTTGCGCGTTCTCTGCAAGCAGGAGACGCCTCGTTTACGGGTACGAGAACCCATGTGCACACGCGAGGCTGGCGATACGAACCACAGGTCCGTCATGTGGTGTGTCTGGCATGCTGACCGTGCCGGCGCTGAGTAAAGCGGAAGGCGAACCATCACCACACTGGGTGACGAGCACCTCCCGGCATGGCGTGCTGGAATGCCAATCTGGCTGCAGCCGACGATGTGACGAGTTCGGTGCAGCTGGGATTGTTCACGGGTCTTCATAGGGGTCCCACGGTAGCTGAGTAGAGTGTCTACTATGGGTAGGTACAGTAGGAATCAGATGAGCCTCTGCCGAAGGTCGGCGCAGCGCGTAGACTGTCTCCGTCTTCTTCGGAAGCTTCTCTCGCGTGGGACTCGAGCGTTTCGGCGTCTGGGGTTGAGCAACGGGGAATATCGCGGCACGCGCCCCCATCCATGCTTCTGTCAAGAAGCCAGAAGCGAGTGTTTATTTCTCCGGGAACTGCCCCCTAACCCAGGAATGATGCCTGCCTTAAGCGGGTTGACAAATGCCGCCGCAATGTTCCGCCTTGGATGGCGGCGGCACATGTTGGAATGGGCGTCGAGAATTGGAGATGCTCTCCCGAGTCTCTACCTCCTTGCGGCCCCGAACGATGGACACATGCGGCCATTGCCACACAAGCGTGCCCGAAACGGGGTTAGACCGCCGGCATGCCGTGATGTTGGGCGCCATGTTGGGAGCATGGGAGAAGAGTCAATCGCCCGGTCTTTTGCTTGCGACGGGCGGACGACGGCCTTGGGTTTTGGCGTTTGCAGCAAGGATCACGACCGGGAGGCCGACTCAAAGGGTGGCAGTGGCAGGCACAAAAGCGACCCAAGAGCCAAGACCAGTACCAAGTCGGTAAGGTCTGCCGCGTGTCGGGCGCTGGCCCCCCTGGTCCTGGGGAGAGGAAACTCCTCTTGACCGTAGCTCACAAATCAATTCAATGGTTCCAACGGGCGAAGGGGCAATGCCCATTTGCGGCGAGAGAAGGAGCGTTGAGGGTGTAACCTGATGCGGCGCCTTTAGTTACGATGGAGGTATAGGCAGAGTCACAGGCGGAGGGGATCCTGTTCGATGGCATCGGTAGTGGCAGGCCAGGATGTGAACCCGCAGTGGTGCAGCGGTGCTATCGACACCGGTGTTCCTGTTGCTCCGTTGATGTGAGTGCGAGTGGGACGCGGAAAGGGAGCGAAGTACGACGGTTCATGACGAGAGAACGATGGTCGCGACCCTGGTGCCGGGTTGCAGATGGCCCGTCGGCAGCATGGGGCGAGATGAATCATGGAATCTGAACCGAGAGAACCGGCAGAATGGAGGGTAATGGAAGAGAGATGACCCGGCATGCCAGCGGTCTGGGGGCTGGCGAAGAGCTCCGCGCCCATCTGGACGGGCATCGAGAGAATCGCAAGCCCGCCAGTGGCCAGAAAGGTTTGGTAGATGAGAAAAGGGTTTGGTCGCCGACGACAGTGAGACCCCCGGGGCGCCAGGCCAACGACCCAGGCAAGGTAAAGTATCAGATAATGTAGGATATATTGCTGCTTGTTTGTGCGCGCCCGAAGCAGCCGGCAACCCCGGGCTACGCTCTCGTATCGCTGCTCTCACTGTGAACAATAGGTAGAGCCCCCGAACGGGATGCTCGTAAACTATAGCAAGGAGGCGGCGCAGAGTAGACCAGGCAGGACCTGAGGCCATACAGCGAGCGAGTGCAAGCTTGGCCTTATGGGGGCGTCCGGAGGCGACGCCAGTACCAAATAATGGTATTTCAGGAGCGACAAGACGCATCGCTCAGTCAGCGAGAACACTGGCACGACAGGCTCAAGGGACAGAAGGGGAAAACGTGGCCGCCCTGCGGCGAAACAAGCAAGGCGGAATAAAGCAAGTCGTATGGGGTTGGTGACGGTGGATGCACCACGACTCAGACATCTCCTGGAAGCAATCAGCCGAGTGGGCGTGTTAAGATAAGCAACAAGATGAAGGGGCTGATTCAAATATGAAGATCCAACCGAAGGCGGTTTCCCCGGAGCGCCTGCAGCTGGAATTCAGCCCAAGCATCAAACGCGCACACTGCAGCGAGCATTTCTGCATGTTGTCGTTGCCACCTCGCTCAAGCTTGTGTCTACTGTGGTACCATGCAGAGAAGTAATCGCAGCAAACCGCCTTTGAATGGCCAGCGAGGGCGAGGTGCGGGTTTGTTCCAAAATTGGCAGGCTGGATGGGCGGTAGGGTAATCCCCTGCGGGCTCGTGAATCCTGGGCGTCTTTTTTGGCGTCCAAAGATCATCGCTGTGGGGGAGAACTCAGTCGGTATCACAGCGCTTCAGCCTCCAGTTGGCGGCGCCGGCGGTGCTTGGGTTGCGCGCCAGTGTCACCACATCTGGCGCCGGAGTTTGGGCGGAAGAGGGTTTGTGGTCTGGGAGGGGTGAGAAACATTGGAAGAACCGTCGTTCGCAGCTGGTGGACGCTTGGTACTCTGTACTCTGCACTGGGAGCGGCTACGGCACGGAATGCAGGCATCATGCCTCGTGGATAAACATCATTTTGGCCAGGCACGGCACAAGCGCAGCACGGCGCGCACGCATCTTTGGTGTTGTTGATGTGATTTTTGTGCCAGATCCACCCAGCAGCGGATGTCGAGAAGAATGGCAAGATGAACTGGTCCGTGCGTCCTGGATGCTTGGCAGTGGAGAGTGACGACATTCGGCATGGTGTTGAGATGACAGGGGAGGAAGGAGGAGAGAGAGGGACGGAGGGGAGGGAAGGCGGTGGTGGGTCGCGGTTCTTGCCCCATCACGGCCGGCAGCGCAGAGCAGTGACAATGGCCCACCATCACCATTCGGCCTCTTCACGTAAAAGCGAATGGGGGAGGAGGGCTATCGAAGGCGGTACGATAAATATCAACTAGCGCCTGCATCAATGCAAACGCTGGCAGGATCGTGCAGCGGTTCACCAACCGCGGATGACTGGAGGAGGAGGACGCAAGGGACCAGACGAGAAACATAACATAAGGAGACGCTGTAATTGAGATTGACCGACGCCGCGTCTGCTCATCCACTCAGACGGCGTCGCTGCTCTCGGCCACTTCTGTCGGTCCGTCCGCGCAGCGTTTGATTTCGATATTCATCGAGACCCTGCAAGCCTGACAAGTGCTAAGCTGCATCAGGCCCCAAACTCGGGATGGATGCGCCGGGTACGCGGGCGGGCTCTTCAATGGCTAGCCTCTGGGCCGGGGTGCTGTGTCGAGAGGTTCGTGCTGCTGACCCCCCCCCCCTCTCTCTCTCTCTGGGTCATCGGTCGGTGGTGCGTCTGTTGGCCATGATGCTGGAGATTCCCCTGTTCGCAGGGCAGCTCTAGAATGCCAGGGAAACCAGGTTGGGCAGACTGCGAGTGGGCTGGTAATGAGTCGGGGCTTGTCCACTACCTACCTACCTGTGTGAGAGCAATATGAGCAAGGCAAAAGGATCCTCGGACCACGATGGTGGTATTCCAGTCGTGTTATGAAGGAAGTCGACATAACGATCCAGAGCCGTGCCGTCCGAGTCCACAAGATGAGCCAGGAGGACGAGGCGATTACCCTTTACCCTGATTCTCCGAGCATTGCTAGCTCATCCCCGTCTGGCCGTCCATTGGTCCCGATTGGGTGTGGATGCAACGGCGAACGGCAACATCGCGCACGTCTTGGTCCTTTTCTTCTTCTTGCGAGGCCGGCGCGAGAGATGGCGTCCTGCTGTGCGAGCTTCACACGTATCATGATGTGTCGTGTCGTGTCGACTTGGGTTGCTGAGATGTTCCATCCACCACCACCACCACCACCACCGCCACCGCCATCGTCCAGCGTCCTGCGACCGCCGGCCATTGAGACGCTCGCACGCACGCACAACATGTCCCAATGATGCGTGATCCACTCGCCCATTTCTCAGCTCTGTGTCCCACGCCGACACTGCGGTCTCTCCAGTCTCACAGGCACTGGCATTGGCACGTTCACTCGGACTGGCATTTGTGATTGAGAGACGGCTTGGCAGCGGGAAGACTCCAGACGGACTAGAGGCAGACCACTCAGACCAAGATAGGCAGTCGACCAGGGTTACCACGGGCGGGTCGTGCTGTTACCGGCCTGGTCCTGGTCATTGGCCTGTCCCCCCGTCACGTCAAATCCACTCTTTTCTGCAGAGTTCCAACCACCCAGGGTCCCACCAGCAATTACTGCCAATCTGTGTGCATCTTGGCCTTAGCTGTTGCTGGCTTGCTTGCTGCTGCTGCTGCTGTTGTTGCTACTCGTGCTTGCCAACAACGCCTGGTCGCCTCGTTCCGCCGCGCCAAACTCCACTTGTTACCATCGCCCTCTAGCGTCCTTTTTGGATATCCCATTTTCCCAGTGTCTCCCCATCATCATCATCACCATCATCCTCGTTCATCCTGGGGCGTGCCCGTACGTCCCTGGTCACCCTCCCTCCTCACCTGGCTCTGCCAGCCAGCCAGCTGCAGCCGTGACCCGGCTTCTGCCTCTTTACCTGTAACCTCCCTCGCCCGATCCACCACCTTTCTTCCTCGACGCTCGACTTCCCTCCTTCTCCTTCTTCCCTGCTTGGCCCTGGCGTTTCTCTTTCCGCCTCCCTCCGTCCCCTAGCCTCTGCGGGTACCTTTTAGCCTAGCCACATTCGTTTTTTCTTCACTAGTTTTTATTTTATTTTTGTTTTCGACGCTGCGGGTAGCTCTTCAAGTACTCCGCCTTTGCGCCTTTGACTGCCCAGCACCCCCCGGCAAAGACAGAGCGAAAAACACCACCAGCACCACCAGCACCACCACCACAATCGCTTCGCTTGGCTGCAGTGTCTCTGCCATTCTCTCGTTTCCCGGCCCTTGCTTTCGTCGGGGTCTTACTCCTTGTCGCTGCTAGCTGGTTGCTGCATCTCCCCCACGCATCTACTGCTGCCGTTGCCGTTGTAGCTGCAGATACCAGATCGGACCAGATACCACTCGTCGGTTGACGCCCTCGTTCTGCTCGCCACCACCTCCTCACTCGCTTGTTGTCTTCCTTGCCTGCCTCTTTCGCTTCCCTCTCCTTGGCACCTGCTACTTTTCTACCCAAGGCTGCCATACCATCACCACTTTTCCAACCTCACCCCCTCCCTCATCTCCTCTCTCTCCCTTCCCCAAACTCATCGCCTACGCCAAGGACGCCGTCGACGACAAGGCATAGCCCTGGCTGTCTGATCTTGCCTATCGACGGCTTTACCCACAGGCCACTCCTTAATCGACTGTCCCTCTCCTAGAGGAGGAAGAAGAAAACGGACGCTCGTCCACTAGAAAGAGGGAGTACCATAATTATACTCGGCTTTGTTGCGCACCCGGCGGTCTTGCATCTGTCTCACAGGTCTCCGATTCTTATTCCCAAATCCGCGCGCTAGTTGTCCCTAGGGGCAATCAACTCGGTCGCTGGTGGATGCGCTTGGCTGCGCTGCTAGTATTATTCGCCGGGTTCACTTTGGATTTCACATCTGAACCCATTAACCCTTTTGCCCTCTCCGTCCATACTTGGCGCCAACAAATCTTGTGCGAACGCCACGACCAAGCCGTCTCACTCTGCCAATTCTCTTCCAGTTCTCTCTCCCAGCCTCATCGTCGTTTGAGTCGGCACCTTCCCTCGAGGCCTTTCTCGCTTCTCAAAAAGACCAGACACACAAGAACCCTCCTCCCCCCGCCTGCTTTGGAGTACATCTCGACGACAATCGACGCCTTTGTCGCCGTCCCGTCCTCGCGTTTGCGTCGACTGCCCTGCGGTTTCCCGATCGCTTGCGTGGTTGTGTAGGACAGGTACAGCGCCTTGGCTTTGGAAGCACCTTTTAACCTTTCCTCCCGCCGGCCACCGACCCATCCAGACGTCAGATGTCCGTTTTGTGAGGCCCTGACTACAGGAAGCGTGAGTGCAAAGCTTCCTGGCGTGCCCTGCTATTGGATCCGAGGTTATCCTCTGAACCTAAAACACCTACATCCCCTCAGTCCTGGATACGAACGCTGAACGAGATTCTCCTCATAGATCCGCCCACCGAGATAGAGCCATTATGACATTCACCGAACGAACCACGAGGTGCCTGGGCATCATCGCCCTTGTCCTCGTATCATGGTCGACGCTGGCCCAAGCCGCACCCGAGCCCGATTTCCTTCTGCCTCGACAATTGACGCAGACGCTTTGTTCTAGCCAAAATACGGCTTCCATGAGCGCAAGTATGTTGACACCACTTTGAGAAGCAGGGGTGGCTTTTGGCACCTGCCGGGATTCACATGGCAGCCTTCACGTTCTTCCCGATCTCCATTGCCAGTTGCAAATCGATATGGATGCTAACACGCCGTTCTAGATCTCAGTATATGGCAAACCAACGGACTGTGCCAGGACTTCTGCACCGCCAAAAACTACGCCTTTGCCATTGTGCAATGGCAGTCTTGTTGGTGTTCAGATGTTGCCCCAGCAGCCTCGACCGAAGCGGAAGTTAGCGACAAATGTAACGATATCTGTCCCGGCTACGATATTGAGCACTGCGGCTCGAGACCCAACTACTACGGTTATCTGGCCCTTGCCAAGAACCCTACCAGCACCGCGGGCAGCGGAGGCGACAGCACGTCGTCCCAAGCACCCTCTACAACAGCAGTGAGTATTCCCATCCCGCCCCATTTATGTGAACTCCGTGCGTGACTGGGCGTGATTCCCTTCCCCCGATCCCGATCCCGCTCTCAGACTCCATCATCTCACCTCCACAACGTGCGATGCCTTGGCTTAATCGTCTGGAATCCAGGCCCCTCCGGCCCCGCCTGTAACATCCGTTCAAGTTGTCACAAAAACTGAGATTATTCAGAATCCAACAACGTCTGAATCGGAAACGTCGACCACGTCTTCAACAACATCAGTATGCCCTCACAGTCCCAACAAGCTTGCCGTGGCCCATTACCAACATTTGATAAAATGACGGGGTGTATCGCTAAGGGACGATTGCTGACCTCATTTTAGGATGTTCAAACATCGACATCAAGCAGGCCTAGAACGACTGTCCAGACGGTAACCGCCGATGGAACCGTACGAACTGTCACCGTCACGCCGACTGCTACTGGAACCGATGGAGCAACGGGCGCCTCAGAATTGAGCCCCTCCAGCCAATCGTCATCAAATGGACCGAGCACGGGTACCGTGGTGGGAATCGTAGTGGGTGTTATTGGCGCTGTTGTGGCCCTAGCAGGTCTAGGACTCTTCTTGTTCTTCAGACGACGGAAACAACGCCAGAACGAGAACGACAAGTACGATGAGCCCAGCCATCGGGGCAGTTCAGCTGGTATGACCGGATCGCCACGCAACCCTGAAATGGTTGTCAACGTGGATGGAGGACGATGGGACCCCGACGCAACCAGCGAACAACGGAGAAGCCGACTGCTCGCGCACGACCCTCGCCTAGATCCTCTCCCGAGGGGCTTGTACGTACGTAACAAGAGCGCCGAGAGCATCAACACCCTACGCGACGACCAAGATTATTCCCGTAAGGTTCATCAGCCGGTCCTGCGGGCGACCAACCCGGACCCCGAATGAACAGCGAAGACGGCATCGGGCGGACCAAGATGACGAGATATAACATCATCGTTTACGACGTACACGAAATCGACCCCGGTACAAATTTCGGTCTTTGCATTGCGCTTTTGAGATACCAGGACGGCGTTTCGAATTCCACTTCACACGACACTCCATTGGAGGGCATTGGATGAGGGACACTCGCGGCAATACCGGATTTACGAGAGCCCCTATTGGAGAAGGACATCTGCATTAGTACACACGATGGGCATGAGGCCTCAGACTACGAACACGAACAAATCACTCGAGCAATACAAGAGCTCCGGCCGGCGGCCGCCATAATTTCAATTCTGCATCTCCCATTTTCGATTCGCGGTTTGGGGATTGCAACAGAACGAGAGAAGATTGCAGCCAGGGGATGAGCGACACCAAACTGCCGAGCCGAGCGGTCACGGAGGAGATAGAGAGAGGAAGCTCTGTATCTCGATTTGAGACCTGATCACGAGTTCGCAGGTATAATGTTAAACGGCAAGTGCACATACACAAATGAGACGTGGACCAGGTAGATACCAATGACGGGAAGCACGAGCTTGGTTACAAATGGTAGCAATCCGACTCGGCACCTTGTTTACAGGGCACAGTTTGTGGTTGAAGAGGTTCCTACGACACGTAATAGGGTAACCAAGGACGGTGGAGGTAGCACCAAGTTGGCCCAGCTGAGTCTGGCAAACAGTTCTGTTGGGCACAGGCGGTATAGCCTACCGACAGATAGGTGTCTTGGGGCATCCGAACAGCTGGACCATGTTCGCTGCTGGAGCACGTCAGAAAAGTTTTTCTAGCTACGTAGTTGCGAGAATCATAATTACAAATCGACGCGTACAAATGTTTCACCACCTCCATATCAGGTGCAGCGGGCGATGGGGATCAGCTCTGCTGTAAACAAGACCGCTCGCTGTCTTGGATATTTCTTGCTTATTCCTGGTTCGAGCCAGGGCCCTTGGAACCACGGCAAGTAGCGGCGCGTATTCGATACGGAAGTACGAGTAACTGACACGCAATGGACGAAATGGCACAGGGGTCATGGCATTTCTGCCTGATAATTGTTCGTTTTAACGGGGACCACTCGGGCTGAGGTCGTCCTCGGCCGTGGCTCACGGACCGATGACTGATGAAGGTGGGAAAAGGACGAAGATGGAGGGTCGGAAGCGGCACGGATAGGCCGCGGTCGGGGGAGAGTGTGCACGCAGAGTGGGCGATCGCAACTTTTTGCTATGGAGCGCTGGGAGACGGAGGCCCGGAGGCCGCGGAATTGGCGTGCAGAGAGCGTGTAGGTGCGCGCGCGCGCGCGCGCGTGTTGTTGCGTGGTTGATGTCATCTCGCAGCGTTGGTTAATTTTGCAGAGATTTCCTCCCCCCATCTGCGTTAGATTAGGGGTTGGATGGGCGAGAGAGAGAGAGGGTGGACTGCATGGGAAAGCTTAGCGTAATGGATGGAGATGATCTGATGGATACGGGGGGGGGGGGGGTGTGCGTGCTGGAAATGCGGGTTTGTTGGTTTCCCTGGGTGGTTTCACGGTCTGCTTAAGTAAGGATGGTGGATTGCACAAGCAGAGCGGTTTGGCATCGCGAAATGGTTGTGCCAACGACGGTCCAGAGAATGCGGTTTAGGGGCTTGATTCTGCTGGTCTCTGTGCGAACGGGGAGGTAGTGAAATGAGGCTCAGCCCAACCGGCGTCATGGACCGGACGCGATCGGGCGAGCAAGGTGAATCACACTAGGCCGGTAGCCCACGGCGCCGTCTGCGTGATGGAAGGTGTTGGATCCAACCGGTATAAGCGCGGGTTCGCTGGCCGCCCTCGGAGAGGAGGCGTCGATAGTCGGGGGCCTCCCCTATTCCATTGCGATGGACACAGACCCGACGGCTCACTTGCGGTCTTGAACTAATAGGTGGCGTCAGTCAGGCGAGATAAGCATAGATCGGAGCGCGGGAGCGAGGGAGGTAGAGAAGAAAAGTTGCATGTTTCGAAACGAGCTGGACTGGGGAGGGGGTTGAGATGCTCATAATCTAATGGACGCGAGACCTGGCGTCATGTTGGCCGTACAGTTGTGTTTCAGCAAGAAGACAATTGCCCAGAGGCGAGAGACACTGTTTTAGATTCACTCGGGAATGCCAAGACATGACGGCAAGCCGCTCCGGTTGTCGTTCACTTTGGGGGTCGTAGGTAGGTAGGGGACGGCGGAATTGCGCTTCGCAGTACGACCGGGTACGAGGAGGAGGCGGGTTGACTCGTGTCCCGCCATGCGTGGCCCGTAAAGGGGCTGTGTCCCGCCGGCGCCTCACGCCCGTGGCTGAGGAGGTGGGAATAGCTTCAGCTCAGCTCCGGTAGAAGTTGAGACGACGACATGCGGCGCGCTGTGGCGGAAAGTGGGAGGGCGCGTCGCGTGGCCCGGGAGCTAGATCGATGCACACGACCTTGGCTGAACGTGCTCCGTGGAAAATCGGCCTGTGACGTCGTCTCCTGTCAATCACCAGCACGTCCGATGTGATCGTCTCGTCAAAGTGGCCTTGCGTTTGATCAGCGTTGATGCTCTGACGGCGTAGCACGCACTGCAAGAGACAAGGGGGGGGGGGGGGGAAGCCAGCAAAAAAAAAAAAAAAAAAGAAAACCCTCGGACGAATGACGGTTCTGGGCGTCCAAAGGTTTTTGCGCCCCAAGGAACCGAGGGAGTCAAGGAGCTCAAGTCCCTGCATGGGGAGGGAAGGGGACGGACGGCGCATCTATGCATCTCTTCGGAGATTTTGTTTGAGCCTAGCTTTTTTTCCTCACTCCTTCTCTGCTCTCTCACTCCTGTGTTTCCGAATTCTCAAACCTCGCGCGGGAAGCATGTGGGAGGGAGGGAACCGTTTGTCGTGGATCCCACCCTTGCCCATAGCCGGGCTTGGATATCGAAATAGCAAAGGCAATGAGATGCCCCCCGTAAGAGTACGCGTTCACTTCGGGGACGCTTGTGGCTTCACGATGCGCTGGCTAGCCGGTGCGGCTCCTCCCCCCCCTCTTTCCCTCCAAAGTCAGCGGGAAATGGCAGTGACGAATGACCGAGAGCACGCTAACGGCGAGGCACTTTACAGAGTACATGGAAGCTCGCAGCAAAAGGCCAGACGAAGACGCGACGAGGAGGGAACCCCCCTCCACTCGGCCGCTGACTGGACGTCGCCGTCGACAGCGGCCCTGTAATTTTACTGGCGTCTGCTTTAGCGAGCCCTTGGCACAGCCACTCGTCAAACGAGGGAGGTACCGGACCTGGGCCCTGAGATTTCATTCAGCTCCTGGGCTGGGTACCACGGTAGGAGAGACTGGGCGCGAGATGGGCGAACCCCGGATGCTGATGCTCTGGCTGCTCCTTCCCTGCTCCTTGCTCCTGGGTTTAGTCCTGTTGCCATCTGCGTCGTGTGAGTGAATGAGTGTACCTACGTCGCTATGTGTGTGTGTGTGTGTGGTGCATCCGTACGTCTGTGTCTTCTCCCCCTCCGTTTTCGCATTCCATCGTCATTTCTCTCCTTTCCATACCCACGACCCCCCGACTCTGCCTCTATCTCTTCTCTCGTCTCCTTTGGTGTGTGTATCCTGTTCGATTCTTTCCCTCGCGCGGGACACGCCCACGCCCGCTGTTCATCACACCGCCAATTTTGTCGCGAGACCCCCCCAAGACCCGAAACGACGACGATACCCGAAGGCGACCACGACTACGACCACGACCCGGGCTGTGCTTGCGTGAGACGGACGGGTTTAATCTTTTTTGTGGAATCTTGCAAGAGAAGGATCGGCCTGGGCAATATTGCTGGCGGACTGGGGAGGGATCATCGACTGGAGGCACCCGACACCACGATCCCGAATACAGGTACTCGACGCGGAAACATAGGTAGCGAGCATCGCATCGCATTCCATCGAAAAACGAACCGGAAACGAAAGCCGCTCGATCCATACTCGGCCGTCTTGCTGCTTTCCTCACCCGCTTCTCCGTCCAACATTGCGAGCACGCGACACCCTCGAAAGAAACATTCGAAAGCCACGAGGCGATCAAGCTCCGCCAAGACCGACACCCGCTCTGTTCCTGCAGCTGGCGAGTCTTGGCGATCGTCCAATCCGCCCAACCCACCTCTCGTCGTCTGCACCGAGCGAGGCCGGGCCTTCCGACGACAATACCGACTCTTCTTTGCTTCTTCCGGCCGTCACCCGCTCCGAGCTCTCCGCTCCGCCTCCGACCACCGACCGACCACAAGACCCTTCTCGGCAGGGCCGTGAGCCGTCATCATGAACCTGACATGCAATTCGACGCTCGAAGAGCTGAGGAGTATGTCGCCCTGCCCGACCACCCAAACACAGCCCATCGCCCCGAAAGCACGCAACAAAGCAAGCTAACATGCTCACCCCGTCGCAGTTCTCCCCGGCTCCGAGATCCTCATCGCCGGCCCTCTGACCTTCCATGACCTCGCTCTCATCATCGCCGGCTCCTGCACCATCATCGCCGTCTGCCTGTCCCTCTACCTCGTCTTCATGCACTCCATCAACTACACCAAGCCCCGCGAGCAGCGCCAGATCATCCGCATCCTCTTCATGGTCCCCATCTACGCCGCCTCGTCCTTCCTGCAGCTCTACTACTACTGGCACGCCGTCTACTTCCAGCTCATGAGCGACTGCTACGAGGCCTTCGCCATCGCCTCCTTCTTCTCGCTCCTGTGCCACTACCTCGCCCCGGACGTGCACACCCAAAAGGACTACTTCCGCAACCTGTACCCGATCAAGCCCTGGGTCTGGCCCCTCAACTGGTTCGCAAAGTGCTGCGGAGGCCAGAGGGGCCCGTGGCGCACCCCCAAGAGTGGCCTGACGTGGTTCAATGTCGTTTGGATCGGTGTCTACCACTACGTCTTTATCCGCGTTGCCATGACCGTCACCGCTGTCGTGACCCAGTACTACCAACGCTACTGCGAGAGTTCAAACAACCCCGTCTTCGCTCACATTTGGGTACGTTTGCCTCCTTTTTTCTTTCCTTCTTCCCCCTCGTGAGCTTGAGGATCCCGGCTAACATCCACAGGTCATCTCCATCAACTGCGTGGCCGTCTCCATCGCCATGTACTGCGTCATCCAATTCTACGTTCAGATGCGGGAGCCCCTCAAGGAGCACTCGCCCTTCCTCAAGGTTCTCGCCATCAAGCTTGTCGTCTTCTTCTCCTTCTGGCAGGTCACCTGCATCTCCCTGGCCACATCCACTCTCGACCTCGTCCACCCCAACCGAGTCCTCGCCTATCCCGACATCAAAGTCGGCATTCCCGCCCTTCTCCTCTGTTTTGAGATGGCTCTATTCGCCCTGCTCCACCTCTGGGCTTTCCCCTATGCCCCCTACGTACCCGGCGCCAAAACGACCTTTTACCCGTCCCCCGACGCCCGCGACATCAACGCGCACCTGCGCGAAAACGTGCACTCCGCCCCCAGCGGTGGCTGGATGGGTCTCCGTGCCATTGGAGACGCCCTCAACCTCTGGGACTTTGTCAAGGCGTTCGGCCGCGGCATGCGCTGGCTCTTCTGCGGCGTGAAGCGCCGTAAGGAGGACCCCAGCTACAAGACCGCCGCCAGCCTGGACATGGACGACCTCGACAAGGCTGGCGACACTGCGTACCACTCCGCCGGTCTCAAGAGCACAGATCACCTCCCCATCGCCCACGAGTTCCGCCGCAGCACGTACCTGCAGCCCTCGCGACCTCCCCGGCCCGCGCGCCCGCACAACGAGAGTGATAGCCTCATCCTCAACGCGCAGCCGAACCCCTCCCAGATGTCTCCGCCGCGCCGCCCACAGCGCCCACCACACTCTCCGCTGTCGCCCATGTCGCCGATCTCGCCGTACCAGGACCACGGCCTCCAGGAGACGGGCATGGCGCCTGTTCACCACACCCACCAGGGCTCGAACGCCGACCGGGAGAGGGAGAGGACGTCGCCCCCGTCGACAAGCCCGACGGCGGGACCACGCGATCTGACCCAGCAACGGATCGGAGAAGCGCTCTGGGGCCACCGCAAAGCCCCGCCAACGCTGCCATAATGCCCGAAAGCCCCGTCCTCGGGATGCCTGCAAATGGCGCTCATGCGTACGAGCACCCAGCACAGGGAAGCCAACCAGATGAGCACCATAGGCCCGGGACGGCCATCTAAATGGCCGGTTCGCACGTTGGTACATACATATACTGCAGCGCTTTTTGGATCGAACCTGCGGCGGGAGGACACATCCTATCTATGGAGGAAGAAGGAAGGTTCTCGCACCACGGGTGCTGGATGATTTTGGCTTCAGAAAGTTTTTTTTTTTGGGCATGCATGGGAAACGGCGTTTTGATTTCTCACGAGATACCACATCATTTAGCTGATTGGGAATGAAACAATCGATTCTTATATATACACATGAATTGGAACAGATTGTCAATCCAAGGCGGACCCATTCATACCTGTCACCCGTGGTGTGATTCTGTGAGCATTCGTGAGCATCACTGGCGGAGTCACGCCGTCTTTCATTCGGAGCGAGCGTCGGGGCGAAGGGGTTGCCACCGGCGGCCACCCGTGTCCCCCCCCCCCCTGTCCGCAACCTGGGTGGGTCGGCATCCCTTCCTGAATCTTGACCCGGACTTTTGCGCTGGAGAGACGGCACGTAGCCGGTCTGACCGAGGACCGGACCCTTTGGCCAACGTCCATCGTCACGTATAAGCCACGGCTTACTTGCAGGCCCCGAGGACAGTGATGCCGGGCTTACTGAGTACACGCCAACGGCCGTTGGCAGCAAAGGGCCCGGAAAGAGCCGCGCGTTATACCCGCCCAGCCCAGGCCTCCGACGTTGCAGTGTCCGTGCCATTGCGATCGGGTTGCCCGTCGTCTCGAGTGTGCCGGGTGTCGTGGGTAAACATCCATCTCCAAGTGTGGACTTCTTAAGCGGCCTGGGACATCTTGAGTACCTCGCGATCTCCCTCCCTTTCTTGGATAACCTAGTGGGACGTCGCGGACCTGCTCCATCGCCGGTGCCGGCGTGGATGGCCGGCCTCTTTCCACGCGTACAGCCATCGCCAAAAGGACCAACACAAGATTGACTTCACACATTCATTACCAAAAAAACGTCTTGGTTCCAACGTCAATGTCACCACGTTGACTAAGGCCTGATACATCAGCGTAGACTGGACTGTGCCCCCCCCCTCGGCGTGTCCCCGTTTTCCATGCCCCGTCGCCTCCAGCTGGAAAGATGCTATCGCTCGCTTTTACTCTGCCAGTTCGTACAAATCATACACTGCGTTGCCGCTCTCTCTGTTGTATCTTTTCGATGGTCCTTCCTTTTTGTTTATTTTACCAGTGCTCGAGCTGTAATGCACGCTTCCGCTTGTACATTGGGGGTTGTTTTACAAGTTGACGTCTACTTATCTGGGCGATGGGGCTCTCTCACTCGTTTACTTGGAAGGCCCCGTGGTCTTGTTGTAGACAAGAAAATGTGTTTTTGGGTATCATAGAATAGTAATCGCTTCGCTTTGTCGAAGGATGGGTCATTATGAATGCGGGCTGTGTGCCATGCAATGTCTAGGAGGAGTCGAGGCGAACTGGGGGTCGAGTCATCATTCGGTCCCTGTCTTGCTAAGTGCCGACCGCCTCTTCCTGGCATTCTTGTTGGGCGTGAACGAGGTTGGTTTTTTTTTGTGACACTGAGTGGATTGGTTTGTGAGTGTATCTGAATTTGAATTCGGTCTCCCCCCCTGGTGACCTGTGTAGTCGTGCAACCCCCCCAAAAGAAAACTGTACTCGTAGATAACAGAAGCAAATGTAAAAAAGCGATAATGAGTGTTTCTTCTGTCGTTGAGGAATGCGGTCTCTTTCTCGTCCATTCTATGCGCACGTCGTCGTGTCGACCAATGGCATCTTCCTTTCTTTCGCGTAGCAACATCACTTTCTCTAGTCGGAATCATCCCCCCTTCATGTCGACTTTAGTCCGCTCCTGCTTGTGCTTCACGTTTGAGACCTTTAACGTCTCTGCCTCTTCTCGCGATCGTTCGAAAGACCGACAGCGTCTTCGCTCCTCCGCTTTCGGCCTCGGTCTTCGCGCGGCTCGCGTCGATCGTCGGTCGGCCTCGATCCACCCTCACGCGGTCCTGTTCTAGATGCGCCACGCGCACTTCCACCCCATTCTTCGACCCTTCCGGCCGAACCTCCCTCTCCACGTCCACCTTCTCCGCGGTCGCCGCGATGACGCGGCTCGCGGCTGCTACCCATGCTCTCTCGGCTGCTACCATGGGGAACGTTGACATGGGGGTCCCTGGTGCTGCTAGATGGCTCACGGCCAGGGCGCCGGGGCTCGCGCTCTTCGCGCGTGCTAGACTGGCTTTGTGCTGCAGGCCTTCTGTCCCTGTGTTCACGCGGTTCCTTAACCTCTCTCTCACGGTCAGGGCTGCGCTCTCGCTCGCGACTGCCCCTTCTTGAGTGTCTGCCGCGTTCTGAACGATGTTCACGCCGGCTGCGGTCATGCTCGCTTCGCGGATGATCATCCCCGTTGGTTTGAACTCTTTCTTGGCGAACAGGATCCGGACGTTCCTGGGTCGGTGTAGAAACCGGGGATGTACCCGTCAGAACTTGAGCGTCAGACCCAGCGATACTACCTCTGACGGCTCCACGCCCGCGAATGCTGGTGCTCCGGTTGCTATCCGGCATGTTGGCTTGTGCCTGTTGCAACGTGCTATTAATACCCGCAAGTTGTCTCCGGCTGCCGCCACTACGGCCTCGGTCGTTCGAAGATGGTCCAGAAGGGGCGCCGTCTGCCGAACCTGGGTAGTTTCCTGTTGGTGTTCGGCTGTTACTGCCTTGAACTCCGGAAGGACGGTCGGGCGTGTTGATAGGTGGGAGGGATGGCCGGGAGTGGCCGAGTGGCTGGCCTGGAAGTGGGGGCGGTGGTGGTGCGATCTGCGCCAATCGATCAGGATGAATTCCGGGAGCCAACGTAGGACCACCAGAAGACGGTGTGGGCGAGCCCGTTGGACCCTGGTTCATAGTACGTGTACGCTCCGGGTAAGTAGCTGGCGTCGGGGTCATCGTAGACGGCGAGTTGACGGATGTATTGGATTCATACTGGTTCCGACGTCCCCTACCAGAGGCCGGCCCTGTAGGTGGGTGTCTCTCTTCGGTCGCCAGGTTGTCGTTTGGAGGGAAGCGTGGGTCGGACCGTGAGTTAGGTGTGCCCATAGGACCACCTCGGGATGCTCCTCGGCCGCGACCACGAGGTCCCAGAGGAACTTCATTTGATGTGACAACCGACTGAATGGGGTTCAGTCGTCCGTAATTCTGATCCTGGTGAGCAGTCCGGCTGTGATCGGGCTCCGAGCTTCGATTGGGACCAAGGAAAGCCTCTCTGCCTTTATCCGGACCGAAACGGTCGCCTTCTCTCTCTGCTGTACGGTCTACTCTCGGGTTGGAGGCGAGGGGGTCGCCGTGTGAATCTCTTCCAAGGGGGCGATGATCTGAGTGGTGAGAACGGCCATGTCTGTCATCTCTACCGGTGTCAGCTGGCCCCTCGGGGTTGAATCGCCCGCTTCTTCGTGGAGAATGCGTTCGCGGCGCGCCTCGATCCCTGGCTTCATCTCGCGCCGGACGTACGGGTGGCTCTGGCCGTGGCTCCCCGATCAAAGCAGCACGCTCTGGGTTGATGATGTCGGCGCGATCTTGATCGAGCCCACGTGGCTCTTGAGCACGAGGGCCCCTACCACTGCGTCGGTCTGTTTCTGAGGACCGAGGTGGTCGCTCCGAACGGCTCGGTCGGTCTGGCTGATCTCCTTGAATAAGGGCCAGTCTGGCAGGATTTACTGGCGGGTCCTCAGGTGGCTTCTGAGTTGACTGTGGCGGCGGTGTAACGGCAACAGGTTCTCGAGAAAGTCTGCCAGGCTCGGCATTGCGTCCATTCGTCGGCGCCGGCCTGTCGCGAGGGGGCCGACTGTCACGCTCGTGGGCTCCGTGGTCGCGGCGGGGAGGAAGCGTGTCTTGCCTAGGTGGCCAATCTTTCTCTGACAGCCGGCCGGGTTCTCTAGATGGAGCATCTGGCCCACGTCTGTCTTGGTTGGCAAAGTCACGACCGCGTTCAGGTCGAGAAGGCTCAGGGAATCTAGGATCCCTCGAAGATTCCCGCGGGTCTCGGTTTTCTCTAAGGTCCCGAGGTTCTCTTGTGTCTCTGGGACCGCGGGGTTCTCGCGGTTCTCTCTGGTCTCGACGGTCTGGCAGCGCGTCTGGGGTGAAGTGGGTCCGTCCGTAATGGCCTGGGATAGGAACGTCTGGTCGCTTAGGAAGGCTATGTGCGCTTCGGTCGGGGCCCGTGGGTGTGGGGGTAGTCTTGGGTACATCTCGGTGGTTCGCATTACTCTGTGTCGGGGTGGCGGCAACTGGCTTGGGCGTCGATGGCTTGCTTGAGCCAGCAGAACCGAAGTCCACACGTCCGAATCCGACCTTGGCAGGCTCTACGGGGGAAGCCGATGGCTTTGGAGGCAAATTGGCATCTTTCTGTGTGATTGAGCCTGGGGCAGGTGAGGCTGCAGGCCGAGACTCGGCGTCTTTACCGTCCTTGACCTCTCCGTCTTCCTGCTCTGCCGCAGTTCTGTAGACAAAATATTAGTTAAGATAGGCGACATTGTTCTCGGGATAACATACTTGGCTAAAGCTGGCTTGAACTCAGCCGCAGTAGGGCGCAGGTTGTTGACGCCGCTAGCTTCACCATCCTTGGCTTTCCCTTGAGCTTGACCATTCTGCAAAGATGTTAGCATATCCCTGATTGAACAATCGCTCGCTTCACTTACCATGTTCGGCCGGAAGCCAGCTGGCAACACCCATTTCGCCTTTCTCCTTTGTAACTCGGATAGAGCACCTTGGGCAGCGACAGAAAGGTCCACTCGGTGGCCCTCCCCTCCAGCAGATGCAGTCTTCGAAGCCGCTTCGCGCTCGGTGATTGTTTTGAGCTGCTCGATGAATTGGTTGCCCATAAAGGTAACCGCCGGGAAGAAGTCGAGAACAGCCTTGAGCACTGTCATGGCATTGCGAATGTGCATCCATTCCATCCCCCCCAGGCAGGACTTCAACGCCAAGTTGAGCTTGTTGTGCCATCCGTACAGGATGTCTCGGAATTGCGCATGATCATAATAAGATGTCGGCTTTCCATTGTCATCAAACTCGGAGGCAAAGCCAAGAAGGAAGCTACGCTTGCCGACAGCCTCCCTCTCGTAAACGTTCGTGTCGCGATGCCATTTGGCTAGGTCTTTGAGGATGCAGTTGAGAAACCTGCCGAGGTGCTCCGCCTCGCGGACGGTGCAGGTGAAAATCATCGCCCGCAGCCTATTGACGTTGAAGAGTCTATCATACAACGCCTTCAGTCGGAAGTTTGGTGCACCGAATGTGTGAAGCTTTCTAATAAGCACAGAGCAGTACTCTGCATCACTAGCCGAGAGCACGAGACGCGGAAGCAAGCATTGCTCGAGGATTGCATCCGAGATACCATTCAATTTGGTCGCCGAGCCAGGAAACCATGTTGCCATGTGCTCCGACATGTAGTCTCGGACAACTCGCGCTCGCTTCATCTGGGAGTCTGCTTCTTTGGGCAGCTCGTTGCTGATCTTGAGAAGCTCGGCTTTCTTGGTCTCCTTCTTGTTGATCCCACTGCGGCTCATGTCTGAGCGATCTCTGTTGAGGTCTCTTTGCATGTTCGAAAGCCTTTTATGAGCACTATTGTAACTTGCAGCAGGTACCTCAATGTCACCGAGTTGCAATGCCCAAAACAGAACATAGAACTCGGGGCTGAGCTTGCTCCAAGAGGACGCTGGTGTGATTGACCGCATCGATTCGACAATAGGTTCAAGAGCCTCGTGGATCTGGCGCAGGGAGTCCTGCTTTGCCTTTTCTCGAATCTCGGCTGGCGTCATTGTCTTGTCCTCCGTCTCAATCGGCTCCCCGGTCGTCTCTCCAGTCGTCTCTCCAGTCGTCTCTTTTGCCTCAACGGCATTCTGAGCCATAGAGACATCTCCGTCCGAGTCGGTCGGGTTTGTCGACGATTCGGGCTTCGTGGCAAACATGTTATGAGAAACGCCCTCTCGGCCAATAAGAAATGCCAGGCTTGCGTCGAGGCCGAACTCGTCCATGAGACGGGTGATGGCAGGCACCAGCGAATCGAATTCATGGGGCTCCAAGTTGGTCCGCAGGAGATCCAGGTATTGGACCAGAATCTGATGGCTATCGTCAATGACAGAGCCAATATACTTTATGTGCGCCTCGTCGTCTGGAAGTTTGTAGATGGCAGATTGTCGGTATTGTGCGACATTGATGAGCACACGCCCGGCAAGATTCGAGTCAACGAGGGACTGCATCAAGCGCTTGGCGCTGCGAGTCGACTCAAACCGCTTGTCTTGAAGACTGAGAAGCGTCTGACGCCGCAACACCTCACCTCCCGACATAGCCAGAATTTGGTCATCAGTGAAGTCAAGGACTTGGACCACACCGCCCATGGAGGCCACGAGCTCCTTGAGAATGATCAGGTCAGTCGAGTTGCCCTGAAAGAGCTGATCGTTGACATATTTGAGGATCGGAGTCGGGTCCAGGATGGAATACCGCTTAAAGACTTTGCCAGCAAACTTGGAAAGCGCCTGGAGCCACTTGCTGGTCAGCAGGATAGAAGACTCTTGTGTGCGGCTTCGCTTGCCGCCCAAAGAGCTCATCAAGGACCATATCAAAACGTCGTATGCCAAGTCGGTGAAATATTTGGCACATTCGACGAAAGCTTCGATGAGATTGGCATAAGACTCGATCTGGCCTAGGGCTTCCTTGAAGACAATGCCGGGTGAGGAGTAACTGGTCTTGGCCAGTGATTTGGCCATCTCGCTAAGGTTGGTGAGAGAAATGCGCTTCATCACTCCTCTGGTTTCTACACGAGTCCGGGTGAACGCAGCCTTCATTGCCGGCAGTCGGGAGATTTGACCCTCAAACCACTCGGCGTAAATGGAGTATCGGCTCGCGACGGGATAGAGCTTGAGCAAATCCCAAACGGAGTTGACAACGGCGGCATTAGCTGTAGTCATGCTGAGTGCGGGGACCAGGATACGCCGCAAGAGTTCCTGCCATCGGTCCATGTTTTGTTGAGAGCGGTCCTCCGCCAGACTCTTGGCTCCGATACTGACAAACTTAGCGAGCAACGCAGGATCTTTGCCAATGTTCACGCCAGAGAGGTTCAGGAACGTGTCACACAGTGTGAAGACATCGTCAACTGTCTGACAAACTGGGACATTGTCGGCCCATTCGTCCCAGTAAAATCTGTAGTGCTGGTCTCTGCCGTCGAACCCGTCCGGGAATGGCCATCTCATGGACTTCTTGATTGGCGTGGTGCTAAGCTTGATAGTGCCTTTAGCGACACCTGTTTGGTCGACGTCAGCAATGGGCTTTGAAGGGCATTCGGCTGAGCCAACCGCACTGGGCTTGCTTTCTTTGTAGACCTTCTCGATGCTGTGGTTTAGGATGCGATGAATTCGATCCAAGATTTCGGGGTAGGCCTCCGGGAGCCAAGGGAAACGGCCAAGGATAAAGAGCGACTCGGGGATGGCGCCGATTGTTAACAGGCACGTGAGTAATGCTGCCTTCTGCTCCATAGGTTCCGGTAGCTTATCCTTCTCCTCAGATCCGGCCTCGGCTTTGGAGTCGGCATCGGACTTTCCAGCGGCGTCTCGAGTGCGCGTTGCGGGCGGCGGTGCCGTGTCGTCAGGCAACGCACCAGCCATGAGAAGGGCGTTTTGTGAGGCGCCAGGTCGGCTTTGTCTTTCCTTTTCCTCGAGCTCCTTCATCTTCTTTTCCCTCATCGAATCCATCTCCTCGTCGAGAGGCCACAGATGAGGATAGATGTCCACTAGGGACATGAACCCAACCTTGACGAGTAGCGCGACAAGGTAGAGAAGGTTTGCCGGCAAGACATCATCAGGATCTCTGGCATCAGAGGCGTAGAATCGCAACTTGAAGCCAAGGAGCTGGGCGGCGGTTCGGTTTCCTTGAGGGGGAAGTGTCTTTGTCACCTTCATCCATGCAGAGGCGGCGTTGACTTCAGCCTCGGATGCAGACTCTGATGCCTCCAACAGCTTGAGATGCTCATCTGTGACTTGCCTTCCTCCAAGCTGGAAGAATGCATCGATATGAACTTCGCGCGCACGATCCCAGAACTCAACATCTCGTTGACGTCTCAATTCAGCAGTCGTCAATTCGACTTCGTCGCTAGTCATCCAATGGGAATGATCGGGCAGGGCCCAGGGTGGTAAACCACCGGTATAAATAGTTGCAGCAGGGCTTTGGTTGCGAGGCCACCAAGAACTGACGCGGAGGAGTTTGATGAAGAATCGAAATTGCTTGATGAGCACGGCAGCAAAGACGTCCAGCGTAACGTCGAGTACTCTTCCGACGTCAAGGTCGAAAGTCCCAATAAGTCCCTTCAGGCGTTCGAATGCTGCATGTGCCGTTTCTGCGGAAGGGGGCTCTGCGCTGCTTGTTGTAAAGAGTTCGGTCATTAATTTGGAGTAGCCTTCGCTTTCTTCGCGCAGTAGGTTGTAGTTGGCTTGTCGGTACAAGAGATTGGTTGCGTGTCTAATTCCAAGCTTCACAAAGGTTTCCCTGATGAGACCGAGATCCTGGAGTAGCTGCGCATCAAGGGTTTGGCGAACAAGTTCGGGCGAAACGCCAGTTGCTTGGATAAAATCGCGAAGCTGGGGTTTGAAGAGATTTCGATCATTGTCGAAGATGATTGACAAAGTGTCGAGGAAGAGAGTGTGCGGCTCAAACGAGAAGGAGTCCTTAATCATTTCTTGCGATTCGGTGCCAAGTATCTCCTTCATGCAAGCGCCAGCGTCGACGGGTGACAGTCGGCCCTCCACGACAGCATGGATGAACTCTTGGTAGATGGTGGTCAATTCCTCGGTGTCCACATCCGACCTCGAGCTGACGCCATGGTCGATCAATGCCTGTCTGCTACCGCTTGACCATGAAGCGATCGCTTCGTCGGTTATATGTTCGTAGCAGTAGGTTGTGGGCACCGGGGACGGCGGATGGGAGATGGGAGCAGACGCTTGCTCCATCGCGATCGGGGCGGGATGTTGTGGCTGCGACGGGGCAGAGGGTGGGCGGGGGAAAGTCGGGGATGTGACGCGGGAGGCGCTCGCAGACTGGCTCCCTGATTGTGCTGATTGTCCTTGGGCGGAATCTCGACGATCGTTCCTTCTGTTGTTCCTGCCGCCACGACCACCTCGTCCACCTCCCTCAGAAAAATCTCGATCGCGTTGGCCTAGGGTCATGTCTCCAGGTCGATGGGGGAGGGTCTGTTGCCTTCGCCAGCAAGACCGCCACGAGCCTTGCGCTTAGGAGGCATCGTGCTCTCTCGATCGCAAATTTGTTCAGGTTGTCATTGGAGACGCGCGATCTATCCCGAATGCCTTTCTTTAGATGGCTCGAGTCAGCAAAGTTCAAAGGGTTTGCGCGCGCAGACCGAAGGGATAAAAACCTGGTGTTTGAAAGGTTTGGGAAGCTCGTCGCGTGTAGCTCGGTGAGGGAACGTCGTGCACAAAGGAAATTAAATAGCCAGTACAATTGATTAGGCCAAAGAAATTACTTGGCCAGAAGAAAGAGGGCTGCAATGAGTACAGACAAGAATTGCGCTCTGACGTTGGTGATTTTTTCTTCGGGTTGGCGACCTGAAGGTGATGATGGACGATTTCTCGCGTGAAGAGGCCGTTGCATCAATGCAGAGCTTCAGATCCACTGCAAACGGGTAGCAGCCTCACGGAAGGCAAGGCTGCACGCTGTGGGTGGATACGTATCGGTTGACGGCATGTACCGGCTACTTGTAATTACGCAGGGGTAATGTGCAAACATCCGTCCCGAGAACCTGCCAGTTGCCTTAACCCCAAAAAAGCCAGTCACAGCTGAGTCATCTCAATCCCGCGTAGCCAATGAATCGGAGTCGGAAAACGACACCTGGGAAGACGTACCGTTGTACTGCAGTAATTACGCCATTTTCGGCGCAAATCTTTGGTTTCTCTCACTGAGCATCGACCAGTCACACACTCAAACTGAGCAAGCTCAATCCCCAGATTCTTCATATATCTCGCATATTTCACCATCGCAGAGGAGCTCCAGTCTCTGCACCCTTGCCCTTGCTCTCCCCGGACTCGAGCTTTTGTAGCATCGTCAAGTTCACGGCACTACTACCTAATCCACGAATCTTTGACTGCCCCTCGCTCTATCCGAGATCGGGATGGCTGCACAAAATCTACAGAATGGTGCTCAGCCGAAGTACGGTCAGTATGATCCTTTGCTCACATCATCACCTCCTTCTTCACCCTTCCCCAACTGCATTTTCCTACATATCCAATTTTGAGCTAAGCGGCTCGATGTCTCTGTCATGATGCTTCATCGCACCATATCTCGTCGTACACTGCACAGCTATCTCTTGAGATGAGAAGACCAGTTGCTGAATACCTGTAAGAAAGAACCCAAACGCAGCCTGAGAACCCGTTTGCTACTCTGATTCCGGAGCAACAATTCGCCATCATTCCCGAGTTCACTCTCGAATCGGGTGTCACTCTTCACAATGTACCCGTAGCCTACACCACGAGGGGCAAGCTCTCGCCCAACGGCGACAATGCCATGGTCATCTGCCATGCCTTAACCGGTAGCGCTGATGTCAGTGATTGGTGGGGACCACTCCTTGGAGGTCCCGGCAGAGCTTTCGATACTTCGCGGTTCTTCATCGTCTGTATGAACGCTCTGGGAAGTCCTTACGGCACTGCTAGCCCGGTCACTGCCAAGGACGGAGATCCGTCAAAGGGCAGATACGGCCCCGAGTTTCCCTTGACTACAATCCGCGATGACGTCAAGTAAGTTAAGCCCTATTTGTGCTTCAGACAAAGTTACTGATGAATTCCAGCCTTCACAAGCTCCTGTTGGATGATCTTGGCGTTAAGCAGATTGCCGCAGTCATTGGTGGATCATTGGGTGGCATGTTTGTGTTGGAGTGGGCGTACCTTGGCAAGGAATACATCAGATGCGTCGTGCCCATCGCGACATCAAGCAGACACAGCGCATGGGGTATCAGCTGGGGTGAAGCCCAACGGCAGAGCATCTACGCCGACCCGAAGTACGACGACGGCTACTACTCCTTTGATGATCCCCCATCGACCGGTCTCGGCGCCGCTCGCATGTCTGCTCTCTTGACCTACCGCAGCCGCAACTCTTTCGAGTCGCGGTTCGGACGCAACACCCCCGACCCATCTAGGCGGCAAACCATCCGCGAGAGGCCTAGGCCCAGCACGCCGTCCGAGGCTCACTTTCACATCCATAACGACGGCCACAACGTCAAGCGGGTCAGCCTCTCACGTCAGAACAGCCAGGGCGGTACAGTAGAGACACCGGTAAACGGGACAACAGCCGATGCGGTCACGGAGGCACTGGACCCCCAGTTCCACGGTCCTCAGACGGAGAGCCTGACTGGGGGCGACAAGCTCCCTACATCGACCTACTTCTCCGCGCAGTCCTACCTGCGTTACCAGGGACAGAAGTTCGTCAAGCGTTTCGATAGCAACTGCTACATCGCCATGACAAGAAAGCTGGACACGCACGACGTCTCCCGGGACCGAGCCCCGACGATCGCTGAGGCTTTGGCCTTGATCGAGCAGCCCACCCTGGTCCTGGGTATTGAGAGCGACGGACTCTTCACGTTCGCTGAGCAAGAGGAGATCGCGGAGCACGTCAAGAACGCCAGGCTTGAGCGAATCGACAGCCCCGAGGGCCACGATGCATTTTTGCTTCAGTTCGAGCAGGTGAACCGCTACGTGCTGGACTTTTTGAAACAGACACTGCCGGATATCATGGACAAGAAGGGCGAGGAGGTGGAGGAGTCCGGCGTTGGTCAGCTGACCAAGAGCAGCACATTTGGAGAGGCCGAGGTGGAGGATATTACCGCATGGTAGATGACCGAAACTTAGAACAAGCCTGGGGAGGAAAGGCTATTCTGCGCAGCTGGATGGGTGGAGTTTTGTGTTCTTGATTGTTTTGTTTCAACATGACTGGAGTCTTTCAACAACTCAGCGATACGGGGAAAAAGACGGGGGAAAATGGAATTGGATCATGCGGTACTACTTCTCGATGACGTGCAGTCTGACTTGGGCGACATATATCCGGAATGAGGCCCATGCTAACAAATGCCGCATTACCTAATGTACTGTGGATCAGCTTATTCTTTTGCGTTTGACCAGAGTCCACGGCGCCCGCAGGCAGACTAGTCATTCGTGATTCTCAAGTCGACCCCTCCATGCCTAAATGCCACGCGGAGCCAAGACTTTCGAGGCAATTGAGCATGATGTTGCCGGTGGACACTGTACGACTGGCGGAACAGATACCTTCACCATCTGGACGTACGACACAACATGGAGTCAACAACGCGTAGCTAGGAAGCAATCTTTCAATGGAGCATCCCGACCCTCGATTTGGCAATCTGAGTCCTCGAACGCCCATCGACGGCGAATGGGAAAAGGGCTCGGGCATTCCATGTTCGGGGAGGTTCGCATATACCGGAGAAACTCAGCACTCAGCTTTCTTTCGTCCGGAGCAGTTCCCAAACAAGGGAGCGCAACGGCAACCTCTACCTAGACTGAAAGTCTTGTAGTAAATGAAATGAATAGGATGTGGGCAAATTAATATAAAGGTCGGCTATTTAAAGGAATCGTACTGTGGTGGACGACTCGACTGCTTGACGGCCGTTATCCAAGAGAGTCAGCTTGAAACGAAACTCTGATTCAGAGCAAAGACCAACAGTAGGGCATTTCTTTGCCTTTGGCGTGCAGATGTACAGACGAATGATGTTGGTTTCGGCCCAAGTGTGCGGGCGAGCCTGGATCGCGTCGGATGTGTAACTTGATTCCATACCCTTGCAGATGTCGTACCTCGTGCCAACCGTTCTTGTCAACCGACACACCTCCCGGCATATCGCCAAGAGACACGTCGGCCAACTGGTGTGTAATGTAATGAAATACGGTTTCCTTCCATTTGAATGCTGAAGGGTGACCTCGGTATCGAGGGTTCCACGTGTCGGAGGGGATCCCTGCCATTGGCTTGAGAGATCCCTGTCGGAGACCCTGTTCGGTGGGCCCAAGCGAGAGAGTTGGAAGATCTGGAGGCCGTGTGGGGGGCTTGTCATCGCCTGGTTATGAGGCGAGCGAGAGTCATTCCCCGAGAAAATGGGCCAAATCCCCCTGGCTGACAAGACAGGATTATTCTGACTACTTTTAAGGAGGCCACCAAAAAAGGTGCTAGGCCCGGCCTATTGTGGAAGAGCTGAGACTAAAGGGCGACAGACACAGTTCCTAGCCCGGCACATAAAAGCAAGAGAGTCGTTTTCAACGTGTTTTATGCGGCATCATGAACCCCCTCTCAGTTTGAAAGAGAGAGAAGAGAGAGAAGAGAAAGAGAGACGCAGATAGAGAGATAGAGTGAGGAGACAGATAAAGGAGGAAGCAGAAAGAAAAAAAAAGCGACGGGAGGAAGGACGCCTCCAACGTCAGCAGCGGACGCGCGCCCAATCCGGACAGATCTGCTGGTGGTCTGCGTCAAGAAGGGTTCCGTGTGGCCGGCATTCCAGCGCCCTTCTAGAAGGAGCACCCTTGCGGCTTGCCAAGTGAGTGTGTGTGGGGCGAAAGGAAGAGTCACCACCGCATAAAAAATGCCTTTGCGTCTTCCTTGCCTGCCAGTGTCCCACGGATGAAGAAGGAAAGCACGTTCGCACCGTTGAAGCTGGGTGGAGTGGGTCAGCCACAAAATGAGTGGGTCCGTTCTGTCTGCACCTGCCTTGTCCAAATGCGCAGCAATTGCATTCATGTCTGGGACTTGACAGACCCCCGTCAAGGGGTGGGGGTTCTCGCTGGATATACTACATAGTATAGTACTATGTATGGTATGCAAAGTCCGTACATGTAGCATTTACGTTCCGTCCTTCATCTCATAGAAAGGTAGCCAGCGCTGGGGCCGAGTGCTGCTACCTTGCTTACATAGGATCATCTGCTACCCGTACCTTGGCCGGGGCCAAGCGGAGCAACTCGTCGCTGTCGAAAGCTTCTTCACCGACGACCTGGGGCCAGCAATCAACGTTGGGGGCCATTTTTCTTCACCGTCCCCCCTGGCGAACCCCCGTCGACATCGCCGTTCATGCGGTACAGTATCGGCCGTCAATTCCCGCACGTGGCATACATACGGAGCTTTCGCCGTTGTCGCGCCATGTCGGCATCTTCACCGTGGGTTCTCTTTTGCAGAAAGGCTCGGCCTCGGCTGTGTCAATGGAACGGTCGGCATCTTGCTTGGCATGTCGACAATTCTGACAGAGACAAAAAAGTCTATCTGAATCTTGCATCGTTCGAAGTTTCTAGCGCGGCGGGTTGAGACACTGTTCTTCAGCGTCGGATCTCTGACCCTCCCCCCAAACACCTGCAAACTCTCTTCTACCCGGGCCAAGACACCTTTCCAGCCCTGTCTTCTTGGACTGTGTGTGTGGTCTTTCCGGATCCGGGACTATGTTGGCCAGCAACATTGTGACAGATGCGAACCACTCTGCTGCTAAACCTTACCATCGCCTACAAGGCTATGCCAACTCCAGCCTCACAACTTGAATTTCCGCACCAGTCCGTTTACCACTTGCTAATGAACAGTTCCAGATCTTGGCTGCTCTCGAACTCTTTATCCCTACGTCGCCTACCCCCTCAGGAGAAGAAGGCCAGCTGCACACGGACCTCGCTACGCCCGGAATCTCTTCCCACTCATTCCGCCGTCCAATCGGCCACGTCTCACGGACGGCTCCCCTCTGTTCCCCTCCCTGGTCAGCATCCCCTTGCTACTTGCCTGCCTTGCGGAGCCCCTGTCAATCCATGTTCAGCTCCTCGCCCCATTACGCAGGACACCGAAGTCCTGCACGACGGATCGCACGGGACACCAGTAGCATGCGTCTCTGCGACCCTAAGGCGTTTCCCTTTAAACCCCCACCACCCTTCCTTCCCGTGCGTCCATGGCTGAGCCGTCTAAACTCTGACCGTGATTGTGAACGACCTACAACCTCAGCTGCAACGTCTTGTCTTACGATATCCAAGTATAGCCGCCTCCGATACCGACGACACAGTTTTATTTCCTGAAGGCTGCGTGTGGGGAACGAGGCAACCTGACCTTAGGAAAAGAGATCTGGTTGAACAAACACTGCCAATTACACACGGACTTTGGGGACTCCATCATGGCAGCAGCCAGGCCAACGATTGCGACATAGACCGGGCAATATTGCCACCGCGAACATTCTCGCTCGCCGCTCGAGCTCTCGACAACGCTAGATCCCCGAGATGGACGACATGCTGCCGCCGCCGATGACCCCGTCCGCCGCTGACCGGGGTCACCGACGGACTAACGGAGGCAACAAGGCCTTTCACAACTTTGCAAACGACTATTCACACATATCAGATCCCTCATTACGGAGAAGATTGGCACTGAGCGAGATCGACAAGGTCCCCTTTGGCTTGTACCGTTCGTCAACGCCAGGCTTGTGATGTCAACTGCAACTCTAGACTGACTTATCTTCTACAGATGTGAGAGCCATTTTGGTTGCGGGTGTTGGGTTCTTTCTCGACTCGTACGACATCTTTGCCATCAATCTCATCACCACCCTGCTCGGCGTGGTGTTCTGGCAAGGACCTCCCAATCAGACCGCACACGGGTACGGTGGCAATAATGGCGAGTTACCGAGTTCCGTCAACTCGGCTCTGAAAGCATCGACCAGCGCCGGCATCATCATCGGCCAGGTCGTCTTCGGCTGGTTGGCCGATGTGTTCGGCAGACGAAGGATGTACGGCGTGGAACTCGGAATCATCATTTTGGCGACCTTGAGCGCTGCGCTCGTCTCACCAAGTCAGTCAGTCAGCTTCACCGGACTCATGATATTCTGGAGGGTCATCATGGTAAGTATCTTGGTCACGAGCTAGAGTTATGCGCGCTGACAATAATCCAGGGCGTTGGCATTGGTGGTGACTACCCACTTAGTTCCGTCATTACCTCAGAGTAAGTCCCATCACAAGTCACAATCCTACCGCTGTGATTGCCGGAGCTGACATGTATCTCAGATTTGCGCCGACCCGCTGGAGAGGAGCCATGATCGCGGCCGTTTTCTCGATGCAGGGTATGGGCCAGCTGGGTGCTGCTGTCGTTGCGCTGGTTACCGCCGAAGGTTTCAAGGACTCATACATGGACGTGCGCACTCTCAGCGACTGCCATGATCGATGCCAACTGGCCGCTGACCGCTCATGGCGCATCATTGTTGGCATGGGCGCGGTACCTGCCTGCATAGCCTTGTACTACCGAATCACGATTCCCGAGACGCCCCGGTACACCTTTGATGTCGAACAGGACGTCGAAAAGGCCGATGCCGACATCCGAGCGTACATGGCGAGCAAGTCCAAGGGGGATTATGATCCGGAATTGCAGGCAAGGATGAAGAAGCAAACTGGCCCCGCCTACAATACACCTGCCGCGTCTTGGCCCGATGCATGGGCGTACTTCTCTCAATGGAAGCATTTTAGGATGCTAATGGGTACTGCCTTATCGTGGTTCTTTCTGGTGAGTCAGGCTGATGCAGGTATTAACATGACAAACCAGCTAATACGTTGGATAGGATTTGGCATTCTACGGCCTGGGCCTGAACAGCACTGTCGTGCTGCAGACTATCGGCTTCGCTGACGGCGACAACTTTTACGAAAGACTGCACAACCAGGCAGTCGGTCTCATCATTTTGGCGTGTGCCGGCGCCATCCCAGGTTACTGGACATCGGTGTTCACAATAGACACCATCGGCCGTAAGCCCATCCAGATTATGGGCTTCTTCGTCTTGACCGTGATTTTCTGCATCCTCGGCTTCATGCTTCACCAGCTCTCCGACGCCGTCTTCATCACAATCTACGTCATCGGCCAGTTCTTTTTCAACTTCGGCCCAAACACCACAACCTTCATCGTCCCTGGCGAGTGCTTCCCGACGCGGTACCGCTCTACGGGGCACGGGATATCCGCAGCAATGGGTAAGGTCGGCGCGATCCTAGCGCAGGTCATCAGCATTCCTCTGCTCGCCAAAGACGTTCCGGGCGATTGCCACGGCGATCACTGCGCTCCATGGCTCGACCGTCTCCTGGAGTTGTTTGCCCTCTTTATGTTCCTGGGCATGTTATCGTCTCTGCTCATCCCGGAGACCAAGGGCATGACCTTAGAAGAATTGGCCGGCGAAACCCCGACTTCCTACAACCGCGGCCGCAATGGCAGCATATCACACTACCCTCGCCAAAGCTCGAAGTGGAACCCGTTTTCTGGCGGCCAACCGGCGGGCTTCCACTACCCCCGCGCCAACAACGTCAAAGCTACCCGGGTCGGTATCATGACGTCCCCTGTCCTCCTCGCCGAGGAGCAGCGCCGGAGAAGAAGTCAGTCCCGGATCTGGCGCAAAAGGAGGAAAGAACGGGGCGCAAACAGCAGCACTGGCGGTACGGATGAGTACCCTATGAGTATTCGCAACAGTGGCGTCTCCTCAGCATATGGGCGGAGTATGGGCGCCGCTGACGAGCAGATGCCCCTGGACCCGGTCGCGTCCGGCGTGTTCCCGACTTGGGGCGCCGGGTGGGGTCGGGTGGATCGCGGTGCGCAGCCGATGGAGAACGTCAAGCTGCACGACGTAGGGAGTCTGTTGCGGAGGGATTCTCGTAGAGATTCCCGCAGAGACTCCCGGGTGTAAGTGTTTTATTACTTTGGGACAAGCGGGCGTCACGGTCGTTCCTTTTGGGGAGAAGGGGGACAAAACCCTTGGGTTAACGGCAACGTTGCATTTGCCGCAGGAGTAAAATATTTGGCTAGATACTGTAGTTTCACATGATAATGCCCGTCATGAGACCGCTCAAGCGGTCAGTGTTATATTATTTGATGACCTCTCTAGATTTCAACTTCGTTTTTTTGATAACCTGCGTTCTGACACGAAGCCACATGGTGTTTGTTGGAGCTTGACTGATGCTTGGGGGCATATATACCCACGTAGGCCAGATGCCAGATTTGCAGCTTTTGCCCACTTCTTCGGATTCAAGCCCCCACTACAAGTATACGCTGGCATGAGTGTTTCTATAGAACTTGCGGGGCGAGAGAGTACAAAGCAAGAGCTCCCCCGTCTTTGTTACTGCACTTCATGGGATTTGCCTAGCAGCAATAATCGGTTGGAGATGTAACAACCTAAATCTCAGCACAACTACTTGTGTCTGTAGTAAGATGCATAGTAGCCGGCGGACTAGGAATAAAGCATCGGTCACAAAGACGAACGTCACTGGGTGTCCTGCTCAAAGTCAGGAGCGTACATGGGCCCAGCCGTGTCGGTATTGATCTAAAGGCATCCCCTAATGGCAGCGCTTTGGCTGCTAAGAGACACTGGTCCTGGGCTACGTAACTTTCCCTGGATGGTTGAAAGTAATAAGGGTATGATATTAAGTCTCTACGGTTATAAATCCTGCGTGTTCTTCGTCACTAATGTCCTGAAAGTCCTTGGTAAGATGACTCATGGTTGTGATACTGGTTAAGCTAGTAATAATAGTTTATCAGGTGGAATCGCTTGAAACTTCTCGTTCTCGGTCTTTCTCAAGAAGCCTTGTGAGATTAGACTTGCCCTGCGTCTCAGACTTGCTTTTCCTTCCACCACGGGAACAGGCTCTATTACGTCGAAACAGCACCTACGTAACTCTTTTAGTCTTCAATCGATCACTTAAGGGTATAAAGTTCCCGATCTCTTCCGATTGGCATCTGCTGCACTGTTCTATGGTATTACGTCTCAATCGTTTTGGGACATTGTCCACAGTTCGATTGTTATGGTCTGCAGTCTTGAACAACCTTTCAGTGTCCATACACTATTGAGCCTGCGTATAGACCCCAGCCGTTACTCAGGTGTTCAGTGATCATCGGCTATTGAGGAGGCTCGAACCTGACATCAAACAAGGTCGAACGGTTCCATGCCCTGTGAAAAACCTAAAGTGTAAAGCTCCTTGGACGGGCTAATCCATGCAACAACAGAGTCACCCACAGCCACCCCGTATTGTGAATCGTGGCTGTAGTAGCTGGGAGAGTTCAGTTGCAAGGAAGCATCAATATCCGTCGGTAATGATATGATGTTGACGCCATTCCAAGTAATCCATTTACCGCTGATGTCCATTCCATAGCCCTGCCAACAAGGTTTTCGAAAAATGGCGGCTAGGTTTTCCACTTCCAGATCGTCCAATGTAAGCTTTTCCAAGCTGGGTGCATTGGATGGTCTGTGGATGAGAATTTTGCCAAAGTTTGTCTTCAGGAATAGATCGTCTGGGGTGAAGGATAATGTGTTGAGGCTACGTCCGATCTCCAAAATCTGTGTACAATGACGGGAGGGAATTGACCATAGCCGTACGTTTCCAGCTTTGTCAGCCGATGCCAGCATAGTCGATTTGTTCGAAATGGCAATTGAAGTGACTCGAGTTTCGTGGCCATAGCAGACGTGATGGCTGCGTGCGTCGACTGACCAGATCGCAAGCTCCCTTTGGCGGCCTGCTACAGAGGCTACCCATTTCGAGTCTGGAGAGATTGCCAAAGATGCGATCTCGTCCTCCCCCTCGGAGAAGTCAACAAACACACCTGTCTCAATGCTCAAGTACCTGATCTTATAGTTCCATGTTGGATCACCCCATTTGTCCGAACCAGTCGGTGTTTTGGTTGTGTATGCTGCCGATTTCCAATCCGCTGTTACGGCCATGGGAAGTCCGCTAAATGGAGAATCGAAGAAATGCCTCCCTCCGTCGAGTTTCCAAAGACTAAACTCTTGAAACGAAGCAAAAGCAAAGGATTGGGAATCGGCGGAAAAGACCGCAGACCCTTCTCCGAAAGTAGGATCATGGAAAGATGTAGCAGGAGGCTTCACTAGGTGGAGGACCTTGGGCTCCCGCATATTCCGGACGCTATTTTGATGAGATGAAAAGATGTGATTTGAATAGGACGATAAGACCACATCCCTGAGCCCTAGCCTGCCTCCGAGGGCTTCAACGACGTGGACCATCTCGCCCGTTTGAGATGACCATAGTCTGACCTCGCCATTTCGGTGTGTCGATACCAACAATTTCTCTTCCGCTGAGGGAAGACAATGAATGAAACAGCTTTGTGTAGATATAACTTCTGGCGTCATCGTTGATCGAGCCTCGCTTTTGTCTCTTGTTCTAGACTGCTGTATCATGGACATGGACCAGATAGCAGCGCTAGTATCTGTCATAGCAATCAAAAAGTTTCCATCAGGTGAGAAAATCACCTGTCTTGGTTTGCTACCGCTCGAAAGACCGGCTCTTCCGCTGCTTGAGGTTTTGGGGAGGGCCAGAGACTGGTAGTGTTCGCCGGTATCGAACAATGAAAGTGAGATGGACTTTTTGTTCACGGGGCTGGTGCATGCAACGAACCTAGCGTCGTGAGAAACGGCCATGGCACCAGTTGTGTCCCACGTTTCCGAAGTCCGATACGTCCAACGGCCTGTATCAGTGTCCAAAATGCTGATCTTTCCGCCTCTCTGCCGAGTTGCCAGGATATTGGTGGTGGGTACGAAGAAAACTGGGTTCAGTACGTCCGCGTCCGTCCGGAATGTACGTAAGCAATGCCCCGTCGACACATCCCAAAGTTGTATTCTTCCATTGAACGAAGTAGTAACAGTTTGAGAGTCTGGAGAGAAACAGACGGAAGACTGGATGGAATTGAGGCGCCATGGTGGTTCGGGTTCGGTGTGGTCGTTGGATAACAGCTGCAACCTCTTTCCTGTGGAAAGCGCCCACAACGCGGCAGTGTAGTCGGAACGTGCTATTGCAATCATGGCTGAATCGTAGGAAACGTCGGTTTCAACTACCCCTGCCCGCTCACACACGCTGAAAGTCCGCAAATACTCGCGTGTATCAGCTTCGTGTATGTACACACTCCTATCATACGCTGATATTATTTGCTGGGAATCATTGCCAAAGGTGACTGAGCCGAAACTCGCCCTGGAATAATTCAGGTATACACTCAAGACTTTCAAAAGGGTCCCAGTATCTATTGAATATACTTCGATATGCCCGCTGCTAGTGCCGAACGCCAGGAGGCTCGAGTTCGGTGAAACCGCAACGGATAAAAGAGACCCTCTATCGTCAGGCTTGATGATTTGAACCGGAGGATCCCAGTCGGGTTTGTTCGGCTTTTGGAACGTGATACATGCCGGAATACTGTCGACGAAAGCGTTCCGAACCGAGCTACTACCAGGAGAGAATACTAGCGCTGACCAATATAGTTGAAGCGGAAATTCACTGAATGTTGTGATATGTTTCATAACGAACCGCTTCGAGTCTTCCAGAAATTCCAGTAGTTTTCTTTGGGCAGGCTGTTGCTTGTTATAAGGCTGCGTTCAGATGATAGTAGGGATCATCAGGAAACTTACGTCAACGAAAGGGATTAGTTGCTCAGGCATTTGCTTAGCTCGGACTGTCTCTCCGAGGATACTAAGGGCCTCAACCCAGTGAAGATATTGGACTTGGAGAAACTCATAGGTTTTTTCATTGTCTTTGAGACTTCGGCCAGCTTTTTCCAGGTGGAAGAACCAATTAAGGCAAGCATACCGTACATGTGGAGGAAAAGTTTTCTGCAAAGCATCATGTTTAATTGCCGATCGATGGCCTGCCGGTTTGATACTGCCCATGTTGTAATGCAAGTACTCTTTTTTGCAAAGCAGGTCTATGCAATCTAGGGCGATTTGCCAATGCGTCTGGCTCATGTTTATCGAGAAATCTCTGGCCAGTGGACTTAGTAAAAAGTCGCGAAAAGACAGGTGGAAGAGTTTGATTTCGGAGTTCCGTTCCTCGGGAATTTCAAGAACTGACCTCAATGGGTTCAGGATGCTATCAATCTCGGTCGTCTTTGAGCCCAGTAGGCTGGCTATTGAATTGACTGATAACGGCTCCTCGAGAAGAATGAGTGTGCCGACGATCTTCTTGAACTTCCTCAAGAGAACACTTTGCTCTTGCCGAGTTCTGTTAGCTTGGAATCGTTGCAACACTGGACGGTATATCTCCACCAGTTTATCAGTGACTCCAGTTTCTGTAGCAGCAGTGTGGATGAGGTTCAACAGTTGGTCTTCCGGACTGCCGAACAGGTCGTCTTGGATAAAGCGGCAGGCAATTGCGGCAAAGAGGAACAACGGTATCGCAGTTTGAACCAGTGTGTCCAGTCTCTCGCTCCCAGGCCAATCTGTGCGCAATTTCTCGAGTCTCTAGCCCAAAGTTGAACATCGCGAAGTACGTCAACTCTTGTATTTGGATGGCACATCGGTTCATGTTGATTTTGATATGCGTCGTACTGAGCACCCTCGACTACACGCAGCTTGTTGAGTATGTCATGGTTGATCTGATCCTTGAGTTCGGAGACGTCTTCCTTGACACTTTCCACTATGTATCTGGATCAAAATACGACTCAAACTGCTGCAACCTCTGAGCCCCACTTACTAATAACAATGGCCTCTGCTATTGTTTTCTGGTTCTCCAGTCTATTCTGCTGGAGACGACATACCACAGCCTTTGCATAAGCGGCTGCTGTCATGGCTGCGTAACCTTGCCAATCCTTGTTCTTGTGAGAATCGGAGTAATCGCATATGCCCCTGATTACCAAGCATGGAAAGTGGTTCATGAGTCCAGCAGCCTCCATCTCGAAGCAGAGCACCCCTTCCTCTCTTGCGAGTTTGTCTCGAACAACTGCATCCTTCATTAAGCGGTTTGCTGATGCTATGAGTCCATAAAAGACTGCCGGATCATCGTCCAATTCGGTGCGCTCGTTTCTTGGGGGTACCAGCATTTCTGGCTTGATGTCTTCAGCCCGACAATTGGGGTCATAGACCACATCGCTACGAAAGAGTCTGTCCGTCTCAGAAGGTGGCCGTCCATATTTTAGACGTAGTCTCGGTTTGTTTTCCAGGACCTTGTTGATGACTCTTTCAAAGTTGTTTCCTTCCTGCTCGAATTCGGCCTTTAAACCATTCACAGCCGCTCGGAGAACTTCAGGTGGCTGATTCAAGAAGCCTGTTGTCTGAAACTCCTGATTTTGTATTGTCTTGCCGAAGTCATACTGGAGAACACCCCCGCGACCGTCGGAGGGGGAGCTGACTACAATATCTCCTAGCCGAATATCACGGTCGAAATCGGTCGTTGGAGCGCCGCCGCCGATGCCGACCATCAGGCCAACTCGAACATTTTTGAAGGAGTGCAGCATATCCCGTGCAACCGCAGTTGCCGGTGAAAGGCCGTATTCGCCATCAGGCAGAACAGCAATGACGACATTGTGTCTGCCCATACGACCAAGGGTGTACTCGTTGTTGTCATGGGCGGAAACAGACTCGGGAGGGTCGTGCTTTTCGTCTAGAAAGACCTGCGCTGCCACATATTCGGTGACAAGAGCACATATCCACCCAATTGTATAAAATTCGGGGTCAGACATACTGGGGACTGCGGAAATCTTTAGTCGTCGGTTGTTGATGGGGATGCCCGGTCGGATTCGTTAGTCTTTGGCCAAAACGCCGGAATACTGCGTCAACGCGTTGCTGGGGCGGACTTTCAAGGTGAGGGAGGAGGAGAGAGATATAGAAGAGGGGAAGCATGGGCAGGTACTTTATGGGAAGACTTGATAGGCTTGGGGTGGTTATGAAGCTTAGGTGATAGGAGCTCAGCCTGACACGCATATTTATACTTAGATACAACACGGTTGATAACAACATCTATTGGTCGCAATTTGCACTGATGCATGATCACATGATCTGCGGGCTGCCTATCAAAGTGTGATCGAGCCTTAACATGTTAGGCGCACCTGACTTTGCACAGGGCTGTGACTCGCAGAACACAACCTCAAAAGCGACATCCAGAGTTTCCTCATCCGATTTTGGAACTGAGCGGTTGTTGCTCAGGCTTAGCTGACCCGAGCGCCTGGTATTCCAGGCTTATTCTCCACTTCGGCGAGCACGTAATTACTCTACCCTTATTACCTTGACAGAAAGACCCCTATCCATGGAAGCGTACGCCCATTACGTTAATTACAGTACGTGTGCGCTTTGCAAACAGATACTGCCGTTTTGCCGCAAACCCCGCCCGCTGGTGTCTCACCTTCCACATTGAGGTACGCCGCGTCAACCTTAATGTTGACAGATCAAGTCAGTGATAAGCAACTCGTGGAAAGTTGGCGCAATCAGCTTCTCTACATTATAACCATATAACCTGAAGTCTATGTCGACACGCAAGTATAGTTTATCCATCCGTCCAGTCTTGTGCAATCTACATCGGTTTGCAATCTATCGTGAGGCGCAATGCAGCTTCCATCACACCCGCTCTATTCTCTTCAGCTCACACCGCGCTTTGATGCGGATGGTGCTAGTAGCCTCGCAGTGCTCCTACGGCTGCAGTTACCGTCATTCAAGGCTCAAGAGCCTGTATTCATCTTCAACACCTTTTATGGCAATGTATCTGGGCATCCATTCAAGGAGAAAGACATCAGATCGACAGATGATGAAGGTCCTCTCCATGTCCGGTTTCAGGATCTTCCTTCTCAAGGCCGTGACAAGAAGCAGCATTGGCTTTTTACTCGAAAAACCCGGGGCAACATTATACTCCAGTTCGATGTCTTTCCGCGCAAAGTAGACATCCGAACACCTCTGGGTGCACGTATCGATCTCCGCCGCGATCAGGGAGGACTGCACGGTTCTGGTAGCTGGTTTTTGCCACAGCTGATATCCGATCAAGTCTTCACCATCGTTGTAAAGTGGAACGTACCAGCCGACGCACCAGAGTCTACGAGATGCGTGTGGAGCTATGGGGAGGGTACCAAGCCACTTGTTCGTGTTGATCACTCTAGAATCATTCGGGACACCGTCTATATGGTCGGTCCTGTTCGAAGCTTTCCTGAGGTGTCTCCTGGAGACGATGGCGCGTTCTCTGCCTGCTACTGGTTTGGCAGTCTTCCCCCCAATCTCGACCGTCTAAAGGCATACAATAACGCCCTATTCCCGAAGATGGCGGCTTTTTTCGAGTCGTCGGGTAAACCGTATCGCATTTTCTTGCGAAAATCCATTATCGGCTTTGGTGGTACCGGCTTCGATGCAAGCTACATGTTGGAATACGATGATAGAAGCAGTGACGTGACAGACGACGCTCTAATCAAGCTGTTCACGCACGAAATGGTACATAGCTTTGCCGCCTTGGACCCAGAAGAGGATGGGCACGAAAACGAATGGTTCATTGAAGGTATCTTTCATCTCTTGCGCCTGCAATGAATTCTGGGTTTGGGATACTGACACGACCAAGGAATTGCGGAATTGTATTCCTCCTATTTGCCTTACCGCTTTGGCTTCCGGGGGAAAACTTTCTTGATCCAAAGTATCAACGATCATCTACAGGGCTATTTCACCAACCCACGGATCAGGATGGATATAACCGATGCGGCCGAAGCCATGTTCAACGATTGGTATGCGGAGTGGATTTCTTATAAGCGCGGTTTCGCGTACCTTCTTTTCGTCGACCTCTACTTGCGAAAGCATAGTTATTCATACGATTTCGCTACGGCCGGGCCGCTTGACTTGATTGTCGTTGGCCTGGCCAAAAGAAACAGGCAAGGAGAGAATGTTCGCGCACGCGACTGGCTCAAGTGTCTGAAGAAGTCTCTAGGAAACGACGAGTTCCCTATCGAGGAACACTTTGAAGGCATGCTCCGCGGCCGTCAGATTCTTGATTTCAATGGTCTTTTTTTGGGCGATCCATCAAACGAATTGAAACCCGGTCAGCTCCCAATCATGCAATTTGGCTTCGAAAAGCGTAGTCTCAACTCTCGTGTCATTACCGGATTGATTCCCGAATCACCGGCGGCTGCTGCAGGCTTGTGGGAAGGAGCTCATATTGTTAGCACATCACGGGCCAGTGATTGCATTGATAATGTCCGCGAGACTTACAAGGTAGTTATTCAAAGTGGTGATCAAACACGCCTTATCGAATATTTCCCTCGCACGAAGCAAACGGCACCAGCCTGGCAGTTGGAGGAATAGGACTACAGTGTGTGATCGCAAGTAAAAATACGTGAGCTTACAATAGAATAGAAAGAACTACCCGCTTAGCAAGCTTTGCAATGGCACAAACGGAAGTTCTTGTACGATAGATTTTCCACACTATCATCACTTACACATCACATTACATATTACTGGTATAACTAAGGATAATACAACACGTGTTATTCTATCATGCAGGTCGAGGGGTAATGTATCAATTCGAACCAGGACCTGATACATCGTGTTTTGTCCGAAAAGAATGTGCTGAGGTGGTGTCTGACAGCCAACACGTTATAGACGTCTCAATCCTATGACCTTGCTCTGCTGAGGGACGAGTTTGTGGCCTTGGAACGCTTGGCCAGCCGACCTAAAGCTGAGCACGAACAAGGGGAGCGCAAAGGGAAGGAAAAGGTCCGAATTCTCAAGCTCTTGTACATGAGAATAGCTTATTGTAAATGAGAAGGGTCTAAATTAAGGGAAAGAAAGGAGGGTCATCTGCATCATTGTTATAGTGATGCCCGGGTTCCTCTCTGCCTGATAAGCAACTACGAGCATACGTATCACGCCTCCCCGCATAAACTCAAACAGATGTGGCAGGGTTCTCCATAGACTTCACAGGATCGTCATTCTCCAGAGCCTTGTACACCTCGGACTCAAAGTTCCCTTGTGCATATCACATGATATCATACTGATACGCAACTCCATCAAACTTGACGTTGTTGTTACATTCCTTGGACTATTTAACTACCAAGTACATACTATGCATAGCCGCTTCCTCCCCAGGACTAATAGCCTTTCACACAGCAAACCTTGTCTTGATAATTGCGTTATTTCCATACATATGCGGAGCAATCACACTGCCTCCAGACGATCCAACGCTCTGACTGTTGTTGGTCCACTTACTCTATTGTCAAGAGAGCATGGACCATGAAAGCACTGGTTCAGCCCGAACCTTCTTCTCGCCCTATACTGCGATATACTTGACTCTCGGCTAAATAGAGTTTAATCTCCACCAGCATGGAGCATCCTTCTTAAAGCACTGACGTACATCAAGTCCCAGTGGTAAGGTCGATTTTCAGCTGAGACCACTCAGATCGTATACAGGAGAAGCAACCGAGATTTCCGACTATGAAAACTGACCAAATGATGCACCTTCTGTGTTGTTAGCTAGGTGTTTGAATGTATCAAACAAGATAGTACAGGGCCTTCCTAGCCACACTGGTTTCGAGCTTTTGGATATGCATTCCTTTTGGGATACCTGACTGTCCCGATAAGATCGACCAGGATTATACGCGTCACATCCATTTACATGGGTACGACAATTCTGCAAGTTGGCAATGAGCGGAACGCTGATCAAATTTTGCGCCTAATTAGTGATGCCCGACCCACATCGTCCAGCATCATGACTCCTTCCTCAGTAGCCTTTTACGAATCATCCGTATCTTTCTGACAGGCTCCATTCCACGCGTTCCCGAGTCCCGAATGGGTTGCCAACCCGGGAGTCTAATGACTCAAATGCTGCTTCAACAGCATTTCAACCTCGGTCTAGAGCCGATCGGATGCTGACGGTCTGTCTATACGCGATTTTCATTACGAGGAGCTCGTAAAGGAGGTTCGTCATTCATAATATTGTAACTGGGACGGTTTGCTCTAACTGATTGACGCAAATTCCGGTAATGTGGTCGATGACAGCGGAAGACTTGAGAAAATGCGGACGAATTATTGGAGCACCCCCTCTGCCACTTCTGGTCATCCGTAGAACAGTGGATATGAGCGAACGGATGATGTAAGTGACAGAACGTCGCACATGTGTCACACCTCGTCGCAGTCGGGACGACTCTCAGGTTTCAGCACTTTAACTTCAGGGCACTGCGGCTGTGCAGTAAAATACAAGGCTTGCCAGCTCTTGGCTGCCGGTATCCGACATGCAGCATCTTCTTTGCGTCAATCTACCCCAGAGATTGGTACAGTCATGCTGGTAACAGTAATTAGATCCCTTTTGCACCCACAGAGATCCATTCTCTTCAGTGTTCTGGTGGGCATATCAAGCCTCTGAGACTCATGCCCTAAGGAACATGGAATTCTTTCTGAACTCGAGAGTTGACTTGCTGCAAATCTATCAAGACTATCATCAGGCTTGAGGAAGAACTCTATAAAAATAAATTAAAAAGCCCAATTTACCTCACAGCTAACCAATAGCCTAGCATTATCAGATGAACGGCCCGCGAAAATAACCGCAACCATCTCAAAAATCAGATGATCAGGGCTCTTTCTCTAATGGCTCGGACCGAACTAGGTATCTTGAACGCGGTACAGATGCTGCAGTAGGAAGTCTTGTCGTGTGATTATACAAGGATACACCAAGAAATGCTGTGAGGGATCTCGAGGGAGATCCCGTATATAGCTTCTGAAACCCAGTAACGCCATATTGAGCATAGCTCACCGATAACGGGCTGAAGCGCGTTCCGGGCCTCCGAACGCTAGCTTTCAGCTGTTGCGAAGTAGTTTTGTGTAGTTACCTAGATATAAGGGCCTGACTCAGGCAAGTAATTAGCTGCAGACGCGTCTCATCGATATCAGATGGCCTTCATAGTGTGCATGGCCTTGGGAAATGTCGACCTGTCACATTTATTCCTGCCGCCCGTCACACAAGGCCCCACAGATCCCGCCAGTTTCCAGCTTCTCCAACTACACACTCCCCAGTTGTGCCCAGACCCGCGCGGGTGCGTTGCTCGTGGACTTGATAAGACCGCGGTAAAGTGCCTAGTCGATACGGGCATCGTAGCAACCCGAAGCAGAGATGTCCGTGTGGGCGAAGTAGCACTGCAGGGGCCTCACACGTGGTATAAAAAAACGGCGGTCACCCTTGGCATGGAAATTGGTGTCAAGTGCCACTGTGGAGGTGTAGAGTGGTACATGGGGATTACTAGAGACTCGAATACACAGCAAATCAAAACAGCGTACTGAAGCACTGAGGCCCATCTTTCTTTCAGATGTGTGAAGGCACGACCAGGACTAGTGATGTGAAACCCCCACCAAGTGGGTTTGGGACGAACCAATGGACCATGCTGCGGGAATCAGGGTTTATGAATCAGACTTCAGCACAAGCCCTGCCACCTGCCAAGTCGAGCCGTAAGGCTTCGTAGTGTTCCCCTGTTGGGAGGGTGTTGCACCCCTAGCTGAAGAGTACTCGCGTGGGTCAAATTAATATCAGACGTTGTTCATGCAGGTATGGTATCCATAAGGTATGGTCTGTGCCAAGGTGTAGTTGACGATTTCGGAGCGCACGTTCCTCCCAACACAGGTCAGAAAAGAGACGTGATCCAGCGGGTCGTGGGGTCATAAACCTCGGTCCGGTCTGTCAATGGATCCAGGGTTACGATACGTTAGCATATGTGAAGACTGAGATCCCGTTAAGTAAACTCCAGACCTGTGTTCTTGAAAGACGCTGACTATCTCACCTTGAACCCTGCCCCCGCTCTCCGATACGCCAGGCATCGACGGGCCGGATATTGCTGGTCGGGTAGACAAGATCCCAATGAGATCGACTTTCCTGATCCCTCTTCTTCTCTTTGAATTGTCATGAAGAGCTTCATAACGCATTCCCTATTGTTGCTGCCGTGGACAGCTGATACAGTCCTCGGTCAAAATAATGCCAGAATGGCAACTACCGCAATGGACATCTTGTCCGAGGTTCCTCAATGCAGCGTAAGTCTTCGAGCCTTGAGGAGTGGGATCAGACCGAAGCTTACTTGTGATTAGGTTCCTTGTTTAACAGACTCATTCTCCAGTTCGACATGCGTGGCACTCAATGACATTGCCCCTTGTGTTTGCACCAATACTACACTGCTGAGGGCAATATCTGGATGCGTACAATCATCATGCAAGTGGGATGATCAACTCAGTAGGTTCTCATTTTCCACACTACTGAGAGGACCATAACTGACTGTTCGCAGCAATGTCAAATTTGACGCAAGAACTATGTCGCTCTTTCCCGCACGAATCCCGGGGGTTCGAAATTAAGTTGGTTGTTACAGTGTTCGCTACGGTGACCTACCCCATCGTAGCATTGAGATTGCTGTCGCGATGGATCGCAGCGAATCGGCTCCAATTCGACGATTGGATAACAATAGCAACGGCTGTACGTACAGAAACTTTACGGAGTCTTGAGACTGGTTTTCATGACCGCTAACTGGCATTCTAGAGTGTGGTGGGCGCAACCCTCGGATGCGTGGTAGCGAGTAAGTGTCGAAAGAGTCCTTTACATTCCGACTTGCCAATTACTGACATGTCGAAGCTGCCAATCTCGGATTCGGACTCCATTTCTGGGACGTAAATCCAGCCCATTCTGAGCTCATATCTCAGGTAAGCCCTCATGATTCACTGTGGCCTTTTCGTTCCCCGTATGACTGACCAAGCGGTTAGCTTTACTACGCTATCCAGATGCTCTATGTTGTTATTATCATACTGGCTAAAATGGCGATTGTGGCCTTCTTCGCGCGTATCTTCTCAGATCGCAGCTTTATAATTGCCAACCGAGTCATTCTTACGGTCCTGGTTTGTCATGGACTGATATTCGTTCTCCTCATCATGTTCGAATGCTCTCCCGTAGCCGGCATTTGGGACCGCGCACTCGACCGAAAATGCCTCGACCTTAATGCAGTAACATTAGCCAGCGCCATACTCAGCATCATCGAGGACTTTGCAATCCTCGCCCTGCCGATTCGCCAACTGAGAAAGCTTCAACTTACGCGCAAACAGAGGGTGGCGGTAGTGATGATGTTCAGCCTAGGGTCTTTGTAAGCTTGATTACCAATACGCATCCATCCATCGGGGAAGCCTTTGGTAGTATGGCCATGGATTCCGGTGCTAACCTCTTATAGCACCTGTATCACATCAATGGTACGCCTGCGCTGGCTTTCGATGTTTGTCGATCAGTACGACATGACTTGTAAGCCAACATCATCGACTCCATTTCATGAGTTGGGGATGCTGACATGACGCTCAGGGGACCGTGTCAATCTGGTAACCTGGAGTGTTGCCGAAATTTCCTGCGCCCTGCTATGCGGCAGTCTTCCAGCATTGCGACCACTTTTCAAGAAGATTCCCGACCTTGTCGCCATGATGCGAGGCACACACCCAGATAACGACATCAAGGAACCCCTCGACATATATAGGGAGGGCAGCCGAATGACTTTTTACAATGAGGGGCACGGGCTCGCAAATATGCCCCCAAGCTATGGGCGTCGTACGCCCCTGCCAGAGTACTCCACGGAGGAGAACTTTAATTTGGCCACAAAAGACATTGACGTCGAAAGACAAATTGAATCTAATAGGGAGAGCCATCCTTCATTAATGCAGCCGCTCAGCTCTCACCCGCCTTTCGAGAGTCGTAACAGTCAGTCGACTGCAAGTACAACAACATATACGGACCCCAGATCACCAATGACGAAGTTAAGTGTAAAAGATTATGAGACGAGCTCAAGAAATACGGCGAACACGAACTACACGAAGACGTGGGGGTAAAGACGGCGGAATGAATGATACCATATACCCATTTGATAGATTCGAGTTGACGACTAAGACACCTGTTCAATATTAATACTTGACGTTCAGTGGCATGCTCGGCTTTGGAATTGACGAGAGAACCCAACATTTCTCTCGAGTGAGAGAGTTGCTATACTCCTCCATCACGTGCGTGGTCGACTAGAGAAAGTGGCATCTGATCTAACATTGATCAACCCTGTATGATATGCTCACGCTTCTTCTGCCCATCACATTCATACCAAGGTTCCTTGAAACATCTTTTGCTTGTGGTCTCCAAGTATTATCCTCATGTATAGTTCGTTCCGACCCGCCGGTTGCAATCCCTTTGATTCTGCCATAATTTGCGCATCACCACGGGAATTTGGTGCTGTTACCCACTGTTCGATTGATCATTCAGGGTGAAGACGGCGGTCCTTACGGTCAGACACCTGGTAATACAAACACCTACTCAACAAGCCGCACCGAAAACCAAGACGTGGCTCTCGTGGTCCTCCTCAGCATAAGCAGCAATAATGCGGCGGTGGCAGTCGTAGCTTCCAATCCAGCTACGGTGGTTTGAAGCTAGTGCTGCTTGCCTGGATCCGTGGCGGCGGGTCCAAGACCAGAAGCGACGAGGTCCTGCTTGACGATGTGGTCGGTAGCAAGACACTGGTCCAGTACGACTTTGTCAGGTAATTTAATGAAACCTTTCTGGCCAACCCCCACTATCGAGGATAGCCTTGGAAGAGCTAGCAAGGACATTCGCAGTCTGATTGCGAACCTCGGGGCCGAGCACGAACTAGAACACACGCGTCTACAAGACAAGGCCGCAAATCGTATTCAACATCTCCGGAGCGCCGTACCGCGCAAGGAATCCGAGAAAACCATCAATACCGGGCCGTTACAAAAGACAAGTTATTCGCACCAAGATATGCTCACTGGCATCGAGAAGCATGCGACTTGCTATTGTGAGGTGACTGCACATAGTCCTGCGTCGAACTTGAATGCAACGAGAGAAAGTTGATCTATAGAGAACACCTACATGCTGAAAAGGATTCTGTAGCGGGACCATTATGATCTAGTGTAGGATTCGGCAACGCGCGCGCACGCGTGGACGAAACACACCACGAAGCAAGAGTCAAGTCTTTTCCGTTTGTTGACGGAAAATATCTCCTGACCAACACAGGCGTGTTTGTTTCAAATCCGCAGTCGGACTCTATTGCGTCACCAAAAGCAACGTCTCGCACACAACTTTATTTACTAGCCTACGATGTAAATGATTATGGGGCTTGCATCAAGAAAGGAGATAAAAGAGTGCTCAGGCTCCCAAGAGAGTACTGGTCTGATAGAATAGGTGTTATAGGCTGTAGACCAGGACGGGTGATATTCATAAAGATTTCGGCATAAGATATAGAGATATAGGACATTATTATCTGGGGCTGAAGCAATAGAGCACGATCGACTAAGGTCCATCATTCAATTTTAGACCATCCCCACTTCTACAGCGTACCTATCTGTAGATCACCTACGAATACCTTGTTGCTCTCCAGCTCGTTAATACTCCTAGCCGTGTTAAGACACTTAACAGTGGCATTATCATCCTGGCATCCCAGGTGACTGATAAGTGCTGAACCTCATTGAGCCAGAGTGTAATTAACAAGCCACTGGGGAAGTTAAACGCATTGGGGCCATGTATCGTGCCAGAGCTTAAACGACTGAATGGAGGAGGCTAGGGACCGTTGAGCGTGAAAAAGCCAGTTAAACATAGAACGTGTCTAATATATTGCAATGACAGTAATTGGTCACGTCTGATGCCATTCCAGCATCACGCATCTCATACCAGACATGATCCATCAACGTAAACGTCCAAAAACGAAAGCGACAGAAAGGGTGGCCGTGAAATCCGGAGAGGTCGCCACCGTGCCCCCGTTGGCCGTCCGAGCACGGAAAATTCGCCAGATAAAATACAACAAAATACCCGCCGTGCCGAACCCCAGAGTATCCCGATAGTCCCATCGCGCCAAGTGCCCGGTTACCGAATCCATGTATACAAAATGAGTCGCCTCCTCCCATTTTCTTGTGTCTCTCACATACCCCGACCGACTTTATTGGACCTGGAAGTATGCTCCCCCCAATCGAGAAGCAGGTCCGTCTCCCGTACTCGTGCCCTGCGTCGGATCATCACTCGTTGAAGCCATAGAAGTAGTCATGTCCCCCACCGTCGCGGCACAGGCCACGCCGGAGAAGGAGCCGAACAAGGAACCGCAGTCACCATCTCGCGGCAACTAGCCGAGCGACGGACTGCTCTCCCTGCTGCGCGACTCGAAGCTCTCCACCATCTTGAGGACCCTCGTTTTCGGCCGCGCCACGCTCACGACCTCAGCCGTGCGCAGCGTCAGCGACGGCCGTGGCTCCGCAGAATCCTCCCTGCTGGGCAGCGGGTGTAGGTGGCCCGTGCCGTCGTCTCTCGGTGGCGGGAGGTGGACTAGCCGCCTGCCGCGGACGGGCGATCCGTCCCCGGGCGATTCCGGTCTACGTCGTTCCCTCGGCGCGTCGTCATCGACAGCGGGCGCCTTGCCCTTGCCTTTATTCCTGTACTCCTCCTCCAACGCCCTCTTCTCGAGGTCCGCGTCGGACCGATCCAACCCCTCCATCTCGTCCTTGTCCGGGTCCACAAGGATGACCTCCTCCTCCCGCTCCACCTCGGCGTTGACGACCCGCAGCCTCTCCTTGGGCACGGTGAACATGACCTGCACCAGCCGCTGCTCGATCGCCTTCTCAATGTCCCACTCGTCGAGCGACTTCTGGTCAACGTCCCAGTCGTGCCGGCCCTGCTTCCTGCGCAGGAGCTCGGCGCCGCCAATCCCCGACAGCCCGATCAGGCGCGGCTCGTAGTCCGAGCTGACCTGGTCCAGGGACAGACGCCGTGGGCTCTCGTGGTTGCTAGAGTCCGACGATTCATTGACGTTGCTACTAAAGACTCTTCTAAGGCTGCCCAGCCACCCCAGCGACCTCCGCGGCTTGTGTTTGCTGGGGCTGCTCGGCATGTGGACAAAGTCCTCCTCGTCGTCATCCGCGTGCTCGTTGACCGGCCGCTTGCCTTGGAGTAGCAAGGACGGACCCTCGGCTTGGAGGGCGTTGAAGGTGGTCTTGGCCGTCGAGTACGTGTGCCCGCTGCTGCTGCTCGACGACGAGGTGCCCAGGCGGTTGTCGGTGATGATGGTTAGATTATTGGGCCCAGGGCTTGTGCGCCGCGTGGACGCCTGGCGCGTCGGCACACTGATGGCGCTCCGCGCGGATTCCGAAACGTTGCTCGCTGTCCGCTCGTCGTCGGCCACGGAACGTGCCGAGCGCATCGACTCGCGGCGCGTGGGCGAGACGCGGCTGTTGCGCCGTGACGGCATGCGCGCGAGGAGCGCTTCGGCGGCATCGACGTCAGATTGCCAGTCCTGCACCTCCGGGTCCCGTCTCAGAAGCGCCTCGGGACTGGGGGTCATGGAGTTGCGGCTTCCGGGGTTCAGTACGGGGACGGAACTCGTCGGCGTCATGAACGGATCGGCGTATCCGGGAGTCGTTGGTGTGCCGGGTTCCTGGTCTCTGTATCGCGAAGCCCTCGCATTGCTGCCGTGCTCGGGATCGTCTTCGTCGGCCTCGTAAATCGGGTGGATGTGGCCCGGTGTAGTGAGGTTTGCGGCTGGTTGGTACGCGCCCCTAGCCGCGCGAGGAATCGGTTTGCGGGGGATAAGGAGCCCGGGCGGTTGATATGTGCCCTGGCCTCCCGGATTCCGACCCGACCTCAACGATTCGTATCCGAGTGATCGATCAATGGAGTCGTAGGGATCTGGCCCACCCGTGTACCAAGCGTGGCCTGTCCAGGGGAACATGGACCCGTCGTCGCGCTCCATCATGTCGTCGTCCGGGTGCAGGAATCGCGACGCATCTTGCGCCAACGACCGCACCGTCTCGTCCCTGGCTTCCTTCTTCTTCCGCAAGTGTCTCTTGTAACAGAAGTAAACGACAAACGCGCCCAATACGGCGGCGAGTCCTACGCCCAAGCCCACGCCGAGCCCAATGTTCTTAATATTGTTATTTTCGCCAGACTTGTTACCAGATGCGTCTGAAGAACTGTCATGGTTGGGGTTCGAATAGCTCGAGGTCCACGACATGGAAGTCATGTTGAGGAACCTCAACCCTGTCCCACTCGACTGCCTCTTCGCTTTGGAACCCGAACTCGTGATTTCGTACCCTCCATACACCATCATCACGTTTCCAGGTAATATCGCTGCTCCGTGGCCGTAGATCCCGCCATCAGGTTGCTGCGAAGGAATCGACCACGTCCAGTCGCCGTACGTATCCCCCATCTTTAGAAGCGCCAACTGCGGAGACGCGGGCTGCGATACGCTGCCGACCCAGCCTCCGAGAATAATGAGCGCAGTGCCATCCTCGTTCAGCACCGCCGTGTGCCCCGATCGACTCTCGACGGCGTCTGCGCCCCCGCGCTTCTCGACGTCCTTGACGGCAAGCTCGCTGCTGCCGACGCGCGGGGCACCGACAGTCGCAAAGTTCCACGACTCCTCGGGCAGGCTCCAGATAGCGGCGGAGCTCATGTTGATGAAGGCCTGCTGCGTGTGGCCGCCCAGCAAGACATAGCGGTTCTGCTGCGTGACGAGGCCGGAGCGGTTCGATATCGAGGGGCTGAGCGGCGTGAACGAAAAGCCCGCCTCAGGGAACGCGGGGCCTTTTCCGGAAATGAAGTCTGCCGTGTACGCCGGCGCGCCCGAGTCCGAAGTGGCCACCCGAAGCATCGATTTCGTATACGTCGCGTTCGCTTGCCATGTGGACTCGTTCGTCGTCGGGGCGAGGCACATGCCGCCGTAGGAGTACAGCACGGGCTCCGACAATGTCGGCGCAAGGGTCGCCGAGAAGCTGATGGCGGCGCCGAGGGCATACGGCCCGGCGTCCGAGTCCGCAGTGCTCGGCAATGTTGCTTCCGTCTTGTACCACGACGATGAACTGGCCGCAGCCCCGGACGCCGGTGGTGTGTACGTCCAGACGTCGTAGCCCTCAGCCGACATGCAATCCCCCGCCTGGACTATGATGGACCCGTTGGTCGCCATTGTGGGCAGAAATGCCGTCGTGTCTGTCGCGCCATCGAGGAACGGCAAGCTCGTTGAGATCGTTTGGAGGCTCGCAGCGCCGGAGACCGTCGCGGAGATGTTTACGGACAGCAGCTCGACCCCGCTGCCGCTGTGGTGAAAGATATAGGCGAGGCCATCGCCGCCGCTGCTGTTCGCCGGCGAGCCCGGCAATGAAGAAGAGAGTAGAACGGTCGTTGGGACGTAGGGGAATGTTTGCTGGGACGAGGCGAGGGGCGCGAAAAGCAGCGCGTAGGCGGCGGCGGCGGTGAGGGCGGTGGTCTTGGTATTACGGATAGCTGCCGATGCCTCTATCCCGGTGGCCCACCGGCTGGCCGTTGTGGTCATGATCGTCCGTAGACGTTTTCGTTTGCGGGCGTGGTCCGTCCACCCCAGGTCGCTCGTGTGTGTAATCGTATGCGCCGACCGCTGGAGCGGTGGTCAATTCATGGTCTTGTCCCTCCTCTCGTTTACCAGGTTCGCGATGCCCTCGTAGCTGCGGTGCGCTGGAGCAGCAAGTAGGTCTGAGGATCCGAGACGTCGTTTCAACGAGCGGGCATTCTCTTCTTCTCTCTCGCTTCCCTTGGACTAAGCTGGCTGCGAGAATGGGCCTCTGCGATGGGTACGACGAGAAATGATAAGCTGGAAGGGGAAAAAAAAAAGCACAGGGCATGCGGGAAAGAGGAGGCCAGAGAGCTGGGTTAGGATGGAGAAAGGGCACCCCGGACAAGACGATAGATTGATCTGATGAGCAAATCGAGGGGTTGGGGGTTTGCTGCAAGGTAGCATCTGCAGGTGCTCAAGCAGGTTGGGGATGTCAACAAATGGACCGTCTCGATGTGCAGGGGGGCAACAGAGGGGTCTGCGGCTCCGGTGGGAGGGAGTAAACAGGCGCAGTATGGAGCAATGATGGTCGCATGCCGTGGAACCGCGCCACGGAAGGGTTTGCCGACCCGTACGGATCGGTCGAGGCCACGCACTCGAACTCTTCAAAGGGAGGGGGTGCCTACCAAGGCTAGAACCAAGTCTCATCTGCGCCGCGGGTTAGCAGCGACGCGAGATAGCCAGACGGGCCAATGGATGGCTGCCAAACGGCATCATGAGGAGCCCGCGGGCAGGTCAAGGTTGAGGAACTTGATTCGGGAGTCCAGCTCGGTGAGATAGCTAGCTAGCTGCAGGGTTGTTGTCTCGAGGAGGCCGGCGCATCTGACAACTCCGTCGCCGGAGCAACGCCCCACTACGGACAGGAGTGTCGGCTAGCCAAACCCTTGCTGATTGATGTACGCCAGTCCTGATCTGTGCTAGCTTCGCTGGTATCCCTGATGCTGCCTTTGTTCCCCTCATCCAATTCCTGTATGTGTTTCGATCTTTGTTGATCTCAGTGGAACTACTGGGTATACTAGCTGTTCGACCACAGTCAGCCGGTGCATGCTGTCTTGGTATGAGAGGTCGAAGACAGTCTGGAATCACATGTTCAACGTCGAGAACAATGCATTCGAGCCGATGGAATCATTTCAAGGGTCTGGCAAGTACGCCCATCGCCGAGTCATATGTATTGCCCAATCAACCCGCGGTAGCTGCACGCCATCTGCGAAACCTTGACCTACACCAAAGCGGAACGAGAACATCTCCGTCAAACTCGAGCTGTGCGGTAGACATTTGCACCTCGACTCCCGTGCTACCAAGACAACGCCAGCCTACGACGGCAAATCATGTCGTTTGCGCCACCATCCATGTTACTCAACTGACAGAGTTCACGGGTTCACAACCCCTTTCCTAATCCTGGATTGGTTCCCTTTCAGTCATTGACGATCGCAGACGAGCCTCCCGCAGACGCTTGTATGAGCCCAGCCTCCCCCTCCTTCATGGGCGGTTGCACAGGGAATAGCGCATGATACTTGACTGGCACCTTCTTTAGGCTCTCCATCACCTCCGTTTCCAGAGCACTCAGCGCCTCCGTCTTCTCCTTGAGCTCCATGTCGAGTATGGCCACCGCCTTCTCCAGACGCTGCGGGCCATCCTTTGACTCCGACTCCCCGTAGTACTTTTCATACTGGGCGTTGGTCATCCGTTCCTTGTCCAGTGACGTGGCGAGTATGCTGTTTTGCTCCGTCATCGTCTGCGTCAACGTCGTCAGCCGGTGGTTCTGGATCTCCATCCGCGTGGCCTCGTCCAGCTTGTCCTTGTACTTGCTCTCCCAGTCCGACACTCGCGCCGGCCACATCGGCGTCACCACCGAGACCACCGTGGGCGTGATCTCGAGTTTCCGGGTCTGCTGCACCGCGGGGTGTACGCCGTGCGCCGGCAGGATGAAGATGGTACTCTTGCCCTTCCCCTGCAGCCGGTAGAACCGCGTCAGGACATCGTAGAAGACGAGACCACGCGCGTAGAGGTCGCCACCGCGCTGCTCGTTCCACATTCGCTCGCCATAGGTGCCATTAGCCGTCCAAATCTCCTTCTTGTAGTCAATCTGCGCTTCCTCCCGGTCTAGCGCCCGGTGCAAGTGGTCGAAGACGTCGTCGCCGGCGTTCGCAAGGACCCATTTGTCCTGCGGAAAGGCCAGCTCGCGCCCGGAAGAAGCGTCAGGACCCATCTTTGAGAGCATCTGCATTGGCACGGCGGCTTCGCCGGCGGTGACATCGAGAGCGTTGGCGTAACTCAGTTCGAGGTCGTGCATGCGTGCTACCAGGTGCTGGTTGAACAGCAGCCATTGGCCCAAGAGACTGTTGCGGACGGCACTCATCTCCTCCGAGTCGGTCTCGGCATCGGTAGGGAGGAGTGACATGAGGCCTCCCGTGGCACTGTACTCGTGGTCCAGCATCTCGAGACACTCGTTTGCGTGGAGTGCCAGAGCGCTGTGGGAGGCATACGGGTGTGGCCTCGTCCTCCTCTCCTTGTCTTCCCCAAAGGGCTGCAAAGGACAGTGGTGGACGATACCTTGGGTATCGGACTGGTGCCGGATCTGGTTCATAAGATCGCTGAGCGGCTTGTGGTGCCATTCATCGTCGTTCTGATACGGGTGGCTCAGGTCGTTGAGCCAGTCGAAGGCCTCGTTGTCCCTAAAGGACTTCCTGATGCGGCCGCGGGTGTTGTTTTGGTTGTTTATTTCGGCATACTGCGTCGTGGGTGCCAGCTTAACAATAAGAATAGCGAGCGCTTGCGCATGCTGCTTGAGAGCGAGCAGCGTTGGTGCATGTCCATGTGTCGAGAGATAGCCACAGTTGACGTGACGCAGGAGGCGGATGCCCAACCCAGCGGCAGCAGGGTGGTTGGAGCCGCGATCACCGTCAGGATAGAGAATCTCTTCAGTAAAGCGAGACCGATAGCCGTCGGCATACGGAGTTTCGTCGATGTGGCCACGGGCAGGCTCCTGACTCATGGAAGCGTGCGAAGACATGATGACAACAGTCACGAGTGCTTCGAGAACAGATCAATGTCGACAGCAATAAGGCCGGCCACGATGCCAATGGGGAAACAAGCTGATTGCCGAAAAGAAAGACATATTCGAGGAACCTTGGACTTTATTATTGCTGTTGTTCATAGGATGATAGCCGGTACGTTTGATAGTGTATGCCTGATGCTGTAACCTTAACAAAAGAGATGCTGCGATGCTTCCGGCGTTGGATCCAGCAACGGGGAAGCAAACAATGACTACGCAGCAACAATGAGTAAGAATCTTTTTTTAGGAACAATAGCAGTGGTCATTCTGAACCGTTTGAATGGCAAGGCTTAACCGTTGAGGCGTTGTGAGACTCTAACAAAATGATGTAATGAGATTGAATTGAAATTTCATCATCATGCCCTCGAGAGACGTTGCGCAACTGATACCATTTTCATTCTTCCATAGGAGCTCCCATAACCTGGGTAGCAGGTATCAGTCGGTATCAAGAACTCTGCAAGCAAACCGCACTTCTTGGGTTGGTCGAACAGAAGGTCAGGTTGACCCGCCTAAGGGAATTTACCCGTGGAGCAAAGCCCTAAGCTCTCAAATGGATGAATTTCGGCAGGTCACCCAAAGAAGCAACTTGACCACATTCGCAGGTCTTGGCAAATATACGCTGCTCCGCTAGGGAGGTCACATGCCTGCCACTTGAGCAGGGTGAGATGAGGGATCAGCATGAGGAAAGGGCATGTTTGAAGTAGTACCTAAGTCGACTGTTTGGCGGTACTATGTAATCCCAGCGCGGTGCAGAACTCGTGAAGTGTCGGTTCAGTCTCACTGAAGATGCCAATCTACGAAGGTCTCTCGGCTAGAGTTGCGAGTAAGATGTTGCCACGACTGTCGACTCTCGGCGAGTGGGTGCGATGTTTTAGTATCGCCGAAGGTGGTTATCGGGTGTAGTTCGGAGCGAAGCATTCAAATAGAGTTTGGGACGGGCGCCAGGATTGACGGTCTCTCATTTTATTTCGCGACGGAGAGGTCCGGAATTGGGACGAAGTCGTCCGGGATATTTGATGAACGGGATCGAGAGCGGTATGAGGGCCTAGGCTGGTCTAAACGCGACCTCTCAGCTGGAGAGAGCACACTTGGGGGCACCGGACCACGAATCTGCAAGACGTGCAGCAAGCCCAGCTGTACAGGCCCGTTGTAGACAAGGGGTATGCAGAGCAGAGCAGCTACTATTGAGGATAGCAGGTTGCACTAATCAGTAAGCTAGTGCTTCCACCAGATGATGTCGTCGTGCTTTGGCACTGGGGTTGGGCGCGATTCCATTCCAACTTGCGCGTCACGAACATGTTGGCGCGCGACAATGGGAAACAGACGAAGAGTGCGTCGAAACGGCGTAAGCAGTGGTGGCCACAAGGAGAGAGGGCCACAGACGGCTACCATTGTCAATTGTCGCACAAATGGTGGCAGTGAATCGAGCCCTGTCCGACGCTCAGGGGAGCGGTTCTGTCCGGTGGGGTGTGTCTGTCTCCCAGGGCTCGGCTGGCCTATGGCCGCACATGTCTTCGCAGCGAGTCGAGGCTAATTTCCTTCGTCAGCCGAGCAGGGGTCCAAGAGGGAACGATCTGACAATGGCAGCATGGGGACTGGCGCCAACGTGTGGAGGATTTGAGATTTCTGGTAGGGTGGCGCCGATGAGGTTTGATAGGGCGGCCGAAAGCGGTTTGGCTTGTCAACCATCGACGCTAAGGTGGTGAGTCCGGTGGGTGAATAGCGAAGCGTTCCAGAGTGGGAAATTGGCAGTGTTCATCGACGAGATCGAGGTCGCACAGATCCATCATCCATCCTTGGTCCCGATGCCAGATGAGCGCCCGCGCTTTTGTGTGCTGGGTTTCTTTTTTGTTTTTAATCGAGCAGGAGGCATGCAAAAGTACAGCGACACGTTGGCATGGCATTTTGGATGACGCGCATGAATGGCTGCCCAGCCGGCTGGTGTCTGAGCCGACTCTTCAGGATCGCCCCCGACAAGTTGACAAGATATAGTCATGATACCGACGTTTTCGAAAGAGATGCGCAAGAGCCGCGCGGACGTGGGTGCTGGCTCTGCTGGCTCGTGGGCAATCACGAAAGGATTGCGTCAGTGGGGGATTTTGGGTTTCTCATTGCATTTCTCGCTCGGGTGATAAGGCAAGCACGTTGATGTCACTCGGTAGGCTTGGTGCCGTGTGGCTGCCGTCGTCCGTGTAGCCGGAGAAAGGGCGTGGAAGGGAACCAAGACGTTGAACGGCGCATGATGGCCGGTGGTGGTCGGGGAGGACGCCGAGGCCCGTGGGAGAGGAGAAAGAGTTGGGCTGTCCAAACACACCCGAGTTCAAGTGGGTGCGATGTGGCTCAGCCCGCAGCGGTACATACATAGTATTGCTATTCTCAGTCCAAGTTCTTGGGGAGTAGGGGACCCTGCAAAACTGCGACAAGGCCTGCAGCGGGAGAGGGCCAGAGACCAGATTTTGGGCGGTGCAAAACCTGGAATGTCGACCCAGCGGCTTCTGTCTGCTGGGATCGGCTGCAACTCTGCCGGCGGCGGTTGGCAGGGCTTGGTGGGACCGCGGTGTTTCCGGTAAGGAACAGCCTTGAATCATGGCAGAGCGAAATAGGAAATGCGATTTGTGAGAGGTAAAGTAAAGTCGGTGTAACGATGACCAAACACGACCAGCCAAACGCGTCGAGCAAAACAAGCGACGGGTACTGGTGCAGCAAGCATAGAGAACAGACTTTGACGGTCCGGAGGAGCGAAAGGCAGCTCCAGACGGGAGGGAGCCAAGACGGGGGCGAGGGAGAGGTCTGGACCTACACTATCTACACGTACCTACCTACAGTAAACTTTGGGCAGAGGAGGGATGCCTAGGCCAGTCCGAGCAGAGGAAAAAAAAACAAAAAACACAGGTACTACGTAGAAAGAAAAAGAGAAGGCAGTCGGCACTGCCCACAACCCGACAAGGTCGAATCGTGAAGGAGGTTTCCAGTTGCAGAAACCGCGGCCAATCACTAGCGTGCCATGCAGCTCTCAGCCGACCCACTCACCCTCGACTGGCCAGCGACTGCCCACCGATGCTCGATGGCCCCACCTTGTGGCCAGTGCTCTGCCGTTCGCAGGCCCAGGAAGTGGCCAGGGAGCTCTTGACTCTGGAAGAAAGTCTCTTGTCAACCTCCTCCAAATCAGCTAGCCCCTGTCTGGCCCAAAGGAGGGGAGGGGCACGTACCGTACGTCGGCATGAATTGGCGCTGCGCGTGTTCTGCGTCATAGTTTATCTGCACATTGGCTGGCATTGCTGTTCCAACCCTGTTCAGCGGCCGTCGCGTGTGTCCTGCCGACGGCTTAACCTGGAACACACCACTCCCGCGCCCTGTTTCTCCTTTGCTTGCGCCGCCCAGTTCGACCTGGGTCGTTCTTTGCAGGAGAACGCACGCTGAACTCAGCTGGTGTGTGCGTGCGTGAGTGTGTGGGATACATAGTAATTGCGTTGGAAGGGGGATGGAACGAAGAGACAGGCCCAGTCTAGGCCACGCCGAGCCGGGGGTCCTGAATAGGTACTATGTAGATTTTCTGGTGGCCTCTTCTTTTTCAGAATTTTCCCATCTCAAGTCTGCGGGAGGGGACCCTCGAAAATAAGAATAAGGGACGAGGAAGGCCCCTCCTCGATCCAAGGGTCCTCGTCTCATGGATAGAGACTCGCTCCAAAGCCAGGTATCACGGGCCTTTCTGCCACATAGTTTCTTTGAAAACCCTCCTGTTCACACTTCTGCTTGGCGCCCATCATTCTCCACCGGGATCTGCCTTATTACATCGTGCCCGACCTCCTTCGACGGGCATCCTCCCTCTGGCAATACTTGATCTTTGACCCAAACATCCTCGATCGCAGGAACAACAGCACCCACAAGCAGCAGCACCGACCGTCGAAAACAGGAGGCTAACGCAGCCCCTAGCGCTGTCTTGTGGCGTCACCTCCTTTCAGCACGGCAAGCAACCGAGACATTGGGAGACGCGCCCAATTTCCCAATCGTCACGTCACTGCTGCTTTCTCTTCCCTTCCCGCCTTGCACCACGCATCAGGCCAAGCATTTTTGCACCAAGTAATTGCACCACGCTGCTGGACAGCTGCACCGCACCGCACCCACCTTGACCTCACCACCTCGACCTCGTTACCTCAGAGCTCTGGGCAACTGGTCGCTTGTGTCACTGTTCGACTAAAAGGAAACCCTTCCAACTTAGCGCGAACCCATCGTCTCATTTCCCAACTCCCGGTTTGTCGACTACGTACATATCATCCCGCGCACCTCCCCCCTCCCTTTTTCCCATCCAGTCTTCTTCCCCTGTCCCTGAACTCTCTTTTGCCGTTCACGGCCCTCTCTCGCCTGTCTCTCCACGACACGACCCTCGACTCGACTTGCTTCCCTGTTTAATACCCGACTTGGCCCCAGGGACCCCCACCACACACGACCTGCTCCCTTGACCCTCCGACTTTTCTTCATTTTCTTTGGCAACCATTTTTACCAACAATACCATAACGACCTGAAGGCGTTTCAATTCGCCTCATCGCCGCCATGTCGGGTCTCGAAGATGTGCAGAGCGGCCAGGGCAACAGAGGCGAGGCTCTCGACGATAAGTCGGGTAGCACCATCTCTGGCCTGGTCAGCACGCTGGCTGTTTGCGCCCCCATCGCCGTTGTCTACATGGTCATCTTCCTCATCCTTCGTCGGAGCCAACGTCGTTTCTATGCGCCGCGAACCTATCTCGGCAGTTTGCGCGAAAGGTCGGTTTGATGAGTGTTTTTGCACGGTCTGGAGACTGACTATCTTGCAGCGAACGGTCGCCGAGTCTGCCCAGTGGTATCTTCAACTGGTTCAGCCACTTTTGGAAGATACCCGACATTTACGCCCTCAAGCACCAGTCTCTTGATTCGTATCTGTTCCTCCGATTCCTCCGTATCTGCGCCACCATCTGCTTGGTCGGCCTTGTCATGACATGGCCTGTATTGTTCCCTGTCAATGCTACCGGCGGAGGCACTGCCCAGCAGCTCGACATCCTGACTTACAGCAACATCGATGTCACAGTCTCATCCGGTATTAACCGCTTGTACGCCCACGCGCTCCTCGGCTGGCTTTTCTACGGCTTTGTCATGTACTTGATCATGCGGGAGTGCATCTTCTACATCAACTTACGCCAGGCCTTCTTGCTTTCGCCTACCTACGCCAAACGCATCTCGTCGCGCACTGTTCTCTTCACTTCGGTCCCCGAAGCCTACCTGGATGAGGCCAAGTTCAAGAAGCTCTTCAGCGACTCTATCAAGAGAGTTTGGATCACTGGTGACACTGAGAAGTTGGATGAGCTCGTCGAGGAGCGTGACAAGGTTGCTATGAAGCTCGAGAAGGCCCAGGTCAAGCTTATCAAGTTGGCCAACGCTGCTCGTCTCAAGGCTGCCAAGAACGGCGCCTCTGCCGAGAAGGCCCCAACTGCTCAAGACACTGAGTCTGCGGATGCCTCTGCTCGCTGGATCCCCCAAAAGAAGCGCCCGACCCACCGCCTCGGCCTGCTGGGTCTCGTTGGCAAAAAGGTTGACACCATCGAGTGGTGCCGCTCCGAGCTTCAGCGTTTGATTCCCGAGGTTGAAGCTGGTCAGGCTGCCTACCGTTCTGGACAGGCCAAAAAGATCCCGGCTGTGTTCGCCGAGTTCTTTACCCAGTCTGACGCCCAGGCTGCTTTCCAGGTCACCACCCACCACCAGGCTCTTCAGATGACCCCCAAGTACATTGGAATCAAGCCTAATGAAGTCATCTGGAAGTCCCTCAGAGTATCTTGGTGGCAGAGGGTTGTCCGCCGGTATGCTGTCATTGCTTTCATCGCCGCCCTCATCATCTTCTGGGCCGTTCCGGTTACCCTGGTCGGTATCATCTCGCAAGTTTCTTACCTGGAGACTATTTCCTTCCTCACTTGGCTCCAGAAGATCCCCGATGTCATCATGGGAGTCGTGTCTGGTCTGCTTCCCAGTGTTGCTTTGGCAGTTCTCATGTCCTTGGTACCCGTCATCATGCGCCTTTGCGCCAAGCTCTCTGGCGAGCCCTCCGACTCTCGCGTCGAACTTTTTACCCAGAACGCCTACTACTGGTTCCAATTGATCCAGGTCTTCCTGATCACAACCATTTCCGGATCGGCCGTCGCTACGATCAAGGCAATCGCCGACAACCCGGGTTCCATCTTCGGCACTTTGTCCACAGCGTTGCCCAAGTCTTCTAGTTTCTACATCAGCTATTTCATTGTTCAAGGTATCACACTTGCGACTGGCGTCTTGACTCAAGTTGTCGCGTTCGCCATTTTCACGGCTGTGCTCAAGTTCCTCACCAACACGCCTAGAGCTCTGTACCAGAAGTGGTCCACGCTTGCGGCTATCTCTTGGGGAAGCGTACTCCCTGTCTATACGACCATTGCGGTTATCAGTAAGTCATTTTAAAGCGTCTATACGAGTCATCCGACTAACATCGTGCCAGGCATTACCTATGCTATTATCGCCCCCCTGATGCTGTTCTTCTCGACCTTGGGCATGGGGTTGTTTTACCTTTCTTACCGCTACAACATCCTGTTCGTTACCGACACCAAGATCGATACTCGCGGTCTGCTGTACCCTCGCGCCCTCAAGCAACTCTTTGCTGGTGTTTACCTGGCCGAGATTTGCTTGATTGGTCTCTTCGCCGTCTCGGTTGCCATTGGACCTCTTGTTCTCATGGTCGTCTTCCTCATCTTCTCTGTCCTGTTCCACCTTACTCTGAACAGTGTCCTGGACCCTCTTATGTACACACTCCCCAGAACCTTGCAGGTGGAGGAAGAGTCCTTGAACGCCGACATCGAGGCAATCGACCGCAAGGATTCCGGCCGAGGCGTTTCAGAGGAGCAGAACGGCGACTCGAGCAACTTCTTCAAGAAGATCCCCAACGTCAAGAACTTTGCTCCTGGTGGCGAGGAAAACAGTGTGGAGAAGGGCGGGAACATCGTCACGCGATTCCTCAAGCCTTGGATCTTTGCCGATTACCTTACGCTCCGCCAACTGGTTCCCCACAACGCTGCCAGCATCGATGAAATGTACCCCGGTACCATTCAAGACAATGCCTACTTCCCTCCTTCGGTTTCTAGCTTGCCTCCTCTCCTTTGGATCCCCGAAGACTCTGCTGGAGTTTCCAAGTCCGAGATCGCCCAGACGAGCAAGATCATCCCTATCACGGATGAAGGTTGCCAGTTGGACGAGAAGAACAAGCTCGTATGGGACTCGGAGGGCGCAAGACCCCCTATCTGGGATGAGAAGGTTTATTACTAAAGCGTATGCTTTACCCGTCACCTGTACACCATTGATACCCCTGGGAGTCTGAGCTCTCACTATTATAACCATGGGGAAAGCCCCGTTGGCGTTAGCCTTTTTTCTATGTAGTCTTAAATGATAATCATGCACCGATACCCAATTTCCACTTCGTTACCTTCGCATCATCAGACCTGGGGGCCTTGATACATGTCAAAGGGCGTTATCAGTCGACATTCTGTGCTATACCCAGCAACATCCACATTGAACTGAATTCGTACTTCGTCGGCCGGCTAGTTTGGTAGAAATAGAGTCAGTAGGACAGCAGCGAGTTGAGAGTCGGAATGCGGCGCGCAACTGCCAAACCACCGTGTTGGCAGGGCAGAACCGACCTGGCAACTGCCGTGTCGCTTGGTTCCAACTTAGGAAGTTGCCAGCAGACTCAACCATTGCAGACCAACCTGTGATCGGGACATAGCAATCGCATCCAAGAAGCTCTCCCCCTCTCTCGTTCTTTCCCGATAAGCAAAGAATGCGCCAACGCCCATCATAAGCCCCACCTTCTGCCTAACCAGCCTTTTCCTTCAACAACACCAACCTGAAGCCATTCAACTGATACAACACAACAAACTGGTTAGGTTTCTTCCGCAGCGCGATACCTATACCCGCATACCAAGTTTCATTTGACCTACCTGCATGTTTGTGCAGACAAAAATAAGAATGAAGTCTCAGCATCGAAGCGACGATGATTGAGAGGCCTTTAAAAATGGCCGATTCCGCGTCATTGGCGACTGCCGCGGGAAGTCATCGCGAAGTGGAGATGGGGGAAACAACCACGGCCACAGCTACTGGCTCACCTGTGGCAGGTCCGTGTCCAAGTCAAAGCCTCAAGGAGATCGATAGCCGCTTCGTTATGCGCACCCCACCTACCTAGGCCTCCACCTCTCACATCCCCGCACTCCTCTTTTCACGGACGCGGCGCCGCGAACTCGCGCCCCCAATCCCTGCCCCAGCGGCAGCTTGCGACTCCAACAACCAAATCGTCATTCGGTACCTTCGAACGGTATCCCGTCACCACCCAGCAATCGCCGACCGCGAAAACGCGACTGTCATGTCTCGTCGCGTCGATTCAACGCACCCAAAGGCAGGCTTCACATCCAACTATGGCCGAGGCCCTACTGGGCCTGGCGCCCTCATACGGTGACGCGCCCAGCAACAAGTCGTCGGTTTCGCATCCCGATGACCTCTCGGCCCAGCTCCGTCGCGACCTCGAAACTAAAAAGACACCCACACGTTGCGAACACGTCTCCACCACACTCGAAGTGCCATCGACAGTCGAGTTCACAATTTCTGAGAGCGATGGAGATGCGCAAGAAAACATTGATCCCACCCTGGGTGGCGTCCGGACACAAGTCAACGAAGGCCAGCCTGTGAAGATTGTGCGCGCCTACGAGACAATCATCAGCCAACCACACGACAACCCAGTGCTGCAGAGAGCTGTGGCGAAAAACATTGTTGGACTTTTGTCGACGGCCGACAAGAGTACGTGGGTGGTTCGAGAGGTCTCGCGCGGCCAGTATGGTTGGACCTTCACCTACATTTGCAAGGACTCTGTGGCCATGTGGAACCGGCAGAACGGGAAGACGGCTACCAAGGCTCTCATTGGAGACTACAGCCAGAAGGAGCTGGACCCCATCATCTCAGGTAATAATTCCAAGTAGTGGGCGGCAGCAGCACATATTAACCAAGTTCCAGGCCGGCCAGCGTTCGACTGCCGCGGCAACCTCATAATCGCCTTTTCCAAGAACTCGCGGACAATCGTTATCAAATACGAACACACACCGTTTCATAAGACCGTCGGTGAGATGATTGAACATTTCCGGCCGCTTCCTCCGGCCGCACCGCCAGCCCCCTTGATACCCACTGGCGACAAGCCAAAGAAGACGAAGACGCCGAGGAAGAGGAAGAGGAAGAGCGAGGCGCACGGCGATGGTACACCCACTCAGCTAAAGAAAAAGAGGAAGGAAAAGCCGGAAACTGCGGTCGGCGGCGATGCCGCGCAAGACGAGGAAGTTAACAGCAACGGTCAAACAACAGCCACTGTCCCCACCAAGGCGGATGCTGCTGTGCAGAGCGGCGTTCATTCACACGCAGTCCTGAACGTTCCTCCTGCCGAAGCAGTTCGACGACGTGAAGTTGCCATCAGACTTCTTAGCGACAGTGGTCTGGACCCAGAGAGTCTCTCTACGGAGCAATTCAGCATCTTTGCCAACCAGTCCCCGGATCTCCAGCGAGAGTCGCTTTCCATGTTGGTCAAGTACGGCGCCGAGAGGCTTCGAATCGTGCATCCCAGCGATGCCACCGCAGCAACCTCAACAAACGCATCCCCCACGTCTCAACAAGCCGCAGCTGAAGCAGAGGATGAAAACTCAGGGGCGACGTCGGGATCCTCCGCCCCCGCAAAGAAGAAGCGGCCACGGAAGTCCAGACCGGCGGCTGGTGGTGACGAGGAAGAGGAGTTGATTCCTGCGCCTCCAGGCACACCATTAAAGCAAATCTCAAGAGGTTCCTGCATTGCTTGCAGAAGGGGCAAGGCCAAGGTAAGTCGAGCTTCTTTCGTGTGAAGTCCACAGAGTCTAACTCAAACTAGTGCGATCGAGCCAAACCGACTTGCTCTTCATGTGAAGAACAGAATACCGAGTGCCAGTACCCCCTGGTTATAAGAAAACAGGCGACCAAGAAGGAGGAAGAGAACTCATCAGCTCAGGCGGAGAATGGCGATGGTGAAGCTGAAGCAGAGCTGGAGCTAGAGCCTGAAGCCGCTCCGGAGTCTCGTCTGGAAACCCAAGAGCAGGAACCCGATGACATTGAAACTATCGACTACACATCGAACATGCCGGTTGCTAACATGCTTACTCCTGCCCGCGAGCCCCCTCGCCAGGACTACTTCAACTCTGGCCACAACGAACTGACGTTCACTCAAGACTCTTCCAACGATTTGGGCATGTCTCATGACGTGACCTTATATCCAGAACCTTCTGCCAGCGTGAGTTACACGGAACAACCGAGAACAACCACGAGTTACGCGCAGCCTTCTTCTCTTACTGAGACAGCGACCTATACTCAGCCAACTGCGGAGACGGGGGATTATACTCAACCAACCAACGACGAAAACATTGGTTACTTACAAACAGCCGAGGCCGGCGATTTCAATTACCCTCAGCCTGAAGTCAAAAGTCCTCCTGCGACAGAAAGCCCTACGACGCGGCGCAGCTTGCCATCCGAGCAGCCGCAGCAGTCTACAGCCGAACCCTCTGTCCCAGTCCCGAGTTACACGCGGAATTGGCACCGTATGTCACCTCCCAAGGCGACAAACACGGTGTCGCCCACCATGGCAGCGCGACAGCGTCGATCACGGAAGTCAGGTCAAACCACTACATCAACTACCGTCGCTCTGCAACCGGCTTCCTATGACAACAGGCAACAGACTGCAACCCACCCCGTTATGCATCATCAACAGCAGCAGCAGCAACACCAGCCTTCTCCCACACAACAAGTATCTCGATTGGCTCAGACTACCACACCCGCGCAAGTCTCGCCATTTCAAGCTCCAGTGCAAACGGCTCGGACTAAGAGTCGAGCTGGTCATCGAGCATCAACCCGTACACCCCTCAGCAAGCAACGGGCTACTTCCTCTCAACCCATTGCCCAGCCGGTTACTCAAGGAACCATGAATACTAATGCATTCAACGATACTCACTCTTCGAGCAACGCAGCCAACTACAATACCTACAATACGAAGTATTCCAACGCGAGCATCACCACAACAGACGCAAATGCGAAACTCGCGTATCAGCCTAACACGGCACAGACAACCTCTTCACACACGTCGAATTTTCCATCCTACGACTACGGCCGAGGCGACACCACGTCCCAGAACAGGAATCTATCTTACACCCCAAACAATAACCCACGGTCCGGACAACTGTACAACGCCCAATCCCAAACTCGTAATACCCAGTCCTACAGCAACAACAACAATACCGATACATCAACTGCGAACCCCTACGCTCAATCATCGTTGGCAGCATCACAACAGGCTTCTACGCTGCCTTCGTTCAACTCGCGAGCTTCAGCGAAAAGCAGTCAAACTAGGTCGTCCACGAGGCCCGAAGACCAGCAGCAGCCACAGCAGCCACAACAGCCGCAGTCCTACGGCTCGTACTCCTCCCAGACGCAGCAGCAGCCTCACCAGCCGGACCAACACAACTGGTATGGTTTCGGCTCGGGTACTACTACCTCGTTCACGCCGGCCAATGTTTCTGGAGGGTACGCAACTAGAGACAACGCTCCCACTAACCACGGAGCTAGCTCGAGGGGTTTCAACCAGGCATACCAGCAACAGCAGCATCATAGTTCTGTCACCATGCCGGGCCACAACTATGCCGAGGGCGATAGTGACATTTACGAGCTGCTGAAGAACTCTATCCACGGCCCTGGCCAATGAGTGAGAGGGCGTGCGGGTCGTTTTGAGTTTTTTTCTTGTACGCATGTTGAGTGTACATACAATGCCGGTCTTATTAGGGAGTTTACATTCTATAAGGAAGCAGAGGATAGTCGGAGATGACCCGTACAGCAGGTGGGCATCGATTCATGTCCACAGGTTTTGAACATTGCGGATGTTGATGTGAAGGTAGCTTATGGGCTCACCTCAACGTACCCTGTATTTTAATTCATTTCAGGCTGTGGGTGGCATCCCGCGGCCGGCCGGCTTGCGCAAGAACAAATGAATGATGACTAATTCTACTTAGAACACTGCTTTATGTGTCGCAAAAGGGAGTGGTGAGTTTGGACCTGGTGGTGTTCTCGTAATGCTCCTGTTTGTACAACCGAGCCCTGCTATAAAATGACCTGGCAGGCGGTGTAGTCGTCCGCATACTACCATCTGCTGTTGTGCTCTTACCCCTGGCCTCAGATGCTATCATTTTGTAGAAAATGACATGCCGTCAACGGCACTTTTTCGCCCGAGGCAGCTGTCACCTCTGCGGGAAAGAGATGATCGGCAGGGGCTAACGGCCATGTCTATTCATTTCTGGTGGTTCATCAGGAACCTTTCAATGAAACGGAAGGGGATTTTGCTGCACCAATGCTATGCCCTATAGGTCGATTCTGTCTGGTCTTGTTTTGGCGGTTCTGCCGGGTGGCTCATCATGCCCCATCTCCTAACAGAAGATGGAACAACCACGGGGTTACCTTCTCGTCCGTTACCTTCCTTCCGCGACCAAAGGAGCAGTGTCCCACAGGACAGTTGGGGCTTGCTGTAGATTCCATACCTCCAAGCCGCAAGGTAACGCTCACCTGACTTCACGCCGAGAAATGCACTTTTCGTAGTCTATTGATTACAGGCGGAAAATACATGAAGCAGCGCAAGAACTGGGGTAATCCTGGAGGGCGGCAGCTTGTGAATGAAATAGTCTACAGAGTGTCATAGTTGCCAATGATTTGCATCCGGGAGGAGGGAAGGTCGGCCAGCGGCGGCAAGCGATAGAGTTGAGAGCGAAACATGGCCTCAGTGGAAGGGGAGACCCAGACTGTGGGACACGGGCTTCCGGGAGGTCTGGATCGAGAAGCTCCTTATAGTTAGATTGGACGTGTTTGTCATGTGGGCCGACGATGCAACCCAAACGGCCGCCCACAGGGCTCCGTGAAGAGTCCTGGACTACTCCCATCCTCTCTTGGTTAAATAGAGTACCTTACTCTCCTGGTGTTGAGTCTTGGCTACTATACCGGACCCTCACTGCGAGATTGTCCACAAAGTAGCTGGGGCTCATACGGATAATCGAGATTCTGTGCTAACTTGGCGTCTTTGGCCTTTCTGGTCCCTCTGGGCTCCAAGTAGGCAGGCCGCATACCAGGTGCCGCCAAGTACAAGAGGCGGAATATAAAGGAAAGATAACACAGGGCATGGGATCGGACCACCACATTCTTAACTCCATGGACAGTTTTGCAGGAGACCACGGAGATTGGCAGATCTAACAAAGGATTAGAAAGAGTATGAGATTGTGAATAGAGCCCCCGAGAGATATTCGGCGGTTACTAATATTGTTATGGCGAGCGCCAAGTGGAATGTGAGAACCGGATTGCGCCAAGACTAAGCGACGCCGTAATCCATGATGGTAGTATCGAGGGAAGCTTGGCAGCAGGGTGGGAAGGAGTATGAACGCCCGCAGTTTCTTTTCTCCCTTCTGGAGTACTGGTGTATTGATTGACGGGCCGAATTCCATCAAGGACTAACCCACAGGTTCGATTGTTTTCCTCTAGAGGGTTGAGGCGGTCGCTGCGAAGAGACCGATGGACGTTGTACATTCGTAGTGGCCTCTTCCTCCATCTGCGAACCAAATGCGGACTCGACTGTCATGGCCATGCCGCCGACCTGGGTGCCTGTACCTAACCGATGATACAGTGTGACGACTTCGAGACTCCCTGCCGACTTCTTCAGCTTATCTGCCGATGCCAGCTACCACTCGCGTCAAGCTAGGATATTTTGCCCCTTAGTGGCAACCAGACGTGGGGAACTACCGAGAAACAAACTAAGCCCCCTTTGCCGTTCTGCGTCCTTTCACCCCTTTAAAGGAGTGGGGATTTTGCTTGACTTCCCAGCGCAGCCTTTTTCAATGGTCAAAGCCAGTCTTTCACTGTAACCAATGGCCAAAGCTTAGCTGACCTTAATTGGATGACTTCATCCCGCAAACATCGTGTGGGCGGTGTTCATGCAAGGGTCGGCACAGTCCTGATTCGGGCCCGATGTCGACTGCGCCGGCAGCGGACTAGGAATTTCAACTACATGCAGGTATCTTTTGCAGTTACCATCAATCTACAAATGGAAACTGTGGGATAGGTTGATACCGGGAAAACCAGGGGCGAAGAAGGTGGATCACCGCCTTGTTCTGATCTGGCAGGACGTTGTCAATAGCATCGGGGAGGACATGGGCTTGCCAACGTCATTGGGTGTTTTGTGGGCATAGCAAGGCCTGAAGCGATGAAATTGAGGAATGCTAGTTCACGGAGTGCTCCGGGACCGAATGGATATTTCAGGTGTGCTGGATACCGGGATCCGGTAAGGTGGGCGTGGAGACCCGTTTCCTATATCCACAAGGCGACGGGATGAGAGTGATTTGCCCGGCTGCCTGTGCGCTTCGGAGAGACGCCGGGTTGGCGTTCAACATAGCCTCAGAAATGGGACCTTTGATGGGGAGAGCGGGAGATAGTCCGAAACAATCCCTGAGATGAGAGGAAGATAACAGGCAGGTCCCAAGGGCTGGGCACATGGGAGCAGCAATGGCGGTCCAACGACCTTGTAAGATTGTGGCCGAAACCCCCAAAGCGGTGGTTACGTTACAAGGGACAAGAAAAGGGGAACGGCGTTGAAAGGGCTGCTTTGCGAGTTCAGATGACAGCCGTCGTACAGACTATTAGACAACTGACTACGACATGGTGGATGAATAAAGCTAGGTAGAGACAGGCTTTCCTACGATGATGGAAGGTTTCGGTCTCGGTCGCGGTGGGGCCGATGAGCCTGCCTCCGACGAGACTCATGTTGAACAGCAATTGGCTTGGTAGATTAGTGTACACCCATTCCCGCCCCCTCAGAACGCAACCACCACCATGGGAGTCATGAGAGACAACACTCGAAAGCATGGGGCGGGGCGATTCCCCTGGTAATCTTCCTTGAAAAATTGTTTTGGGCGAGTTGTTTCTTGGCGTTAATCAACATCCAGCACCGGACTGGGTTGTTAGCTGCGGCAATCCGTCCCATTGTGCACATGGCGATGACTTTGGGGTCTTGGCAACTCCGCCTTACAGACCGTCGCCACCAAAAACACTGAAGACCCGCAATTTGCTTTGGATCCGTGCTCAGCGAGCACGTCCTGTGATTGTAGACACAAGTTATGATCTAAGTGGGATCACAATCTTTGGTTGGAGTGTGTTCGCTGTCTGCCAGTTGTCATAGACTAAGCCAAAGCGTATTCCTTGCTCGAAAAACCTGGTCGTGGGGTTTCCATCACCGATACCACGTAGCTTAATCTCTTTCCGCCGTCGGTAACGACCTCCGATTGGATCGCATGAAGCTAACCGTTGAATTTGGCTGTCTACCGTTGAGCTGTCACGCTATTAGATCCACGTCCCAGGAGTTCAGAGTAGCACCGCCAAGATACTTGGCCTCTTATGGCACTTGTGTGCGGTCATAGGGGGCGCCTGACTTCCCCTTTCTGCAGACTGCTCCTGCTCTTGCACTGTCCAAGTGTTTCATCCTGCAAGTTGTGTCTGCCCTTGCATGCAATGTCGATTGCAGAAGATAGTCAGGCACCGCCCCCAGCGATTCAACTGCAAGGAAGGGGAATCCGTGTGTTCCAACGCCAACGCCGGTACGCGGAGCAAATCTGCAGATTGACTCCATCATCTTCAACAAGCATCATACATAGGCAAGAATGCAGGCATCTACCAAGTCCGCCTTTGGTACATCCACCAATGATCCATCGATCCCCATTTAGTCCGTCCATTCTTTGGCCGCTGCTTCGGGGTGTTTCCCCTGTTTGGCTCCGCGCCAGCACCGTAAACAATGACTCTTGGAGTGTTTAACTGGGTTATCTGTTGAGTCGTGAAGTCACGAAGGGGAAAGCACGAGCTTCTTGCTCTTGACAAAGAATAGCAGGGCCTGGAATATCTGCCTGTCGAAGGTCTATATATAAGTACTCGTCTTGTCCGACCTTCTCGGACTCGGAATTCCTGCCCATCACTCACATTCTTTCAACCTTAAACCAACTACTACGTTCATTCTTTGCCCACCTGTGCATATAGAACCCTTTCAAAATGCAGATTCTCAAGTTCGGCCTGGTGCCCCTGCTGGCTGCCCTCCCTGGCGCCCTTGCCTGTAACGGCTACACCGGTGGTGTCCCCAAGGCCACCGGCACCGTCACCTCCAAATCTTACATTGAGATCAAGTCTGGTCAGGTCTACGACGGAAAATGGCAACGCTTCGATCGTGGATCTGGTGCTTGCGGTGGCCAGTCTGAGGGTGGTGAGTACTTCTATTCGACGCACACCATCCCAAAACCCATTCCCTAACATTTTGACTCCACTTAGACTACAAGGACGCTGTCTTCTACATCCAGGCCGGCGGTACCCTAAAGAACGCCATTATTGGCAAGAATCAGGCCGAGGGTGTCCACTGCAACGGACACTGCACTCTCGAGTTCGTCTGGTTCGAGGATGTTTGCGAGGACGCCATATCTATCAAGAATGACAAGGCTGGCACTCAGTCCTGGATTATCGGTGGCGGTGCCTACCATGCCTCCGATAAGGTCATCCAGCACAATGGCTGCGGAACCGTCAACGTGATCAACTACTACGTTGAAGACTATGGAAAGCTCTACCGCTCTTGCGGCAACGTAAGTCAATTCTCACATCATAGTCCCCGGAGGACATGCCACTGACAGAGCACCCAATAGTGCAAGTCTCAATGCAAGCGTAACGTCTACATGGAGGGTGTCACCGCCAAGAAAGGTGGTGAGCTCGCCGGAATCAACCTCACTTTCAAGGACACTGCCACCCTCAAGAACGTCTGCGCCGACGCCAAGACCAAATGTCAGATGTACAACGGCTGCGCTGGTGGTTGTGAGCCCTCCAAGGCCGGTACCTGCTCTGGCTAAGAGCCTCCAAACGACCTTCTTTTCGAACACTTGCTCTCATTGGCCTACTGATGGATAGAAGTGACGGACTGTCGAGAAGATCCTTTCACGCCGACAGAAAAGCGGCGTGGGAGAGTCTGTATCACATCATAAAAACTTGAGCGCATCAATTCTTGTATCCCTGGCAAGACCGGAACTGTTTCAACTTCTTGTACATACACATCATTGGGAAACCCCGTACATATAAATTAGGTTATTCACACTAGATGCCTGCTGCTATGATTCGACGTTGAAAGAACATTGCTTCTTGTTGTGGTACAATACTTGCCTTCGAATAGGTTGAAGTATGGAGATCACCAAGAGTAAATCAAGTTGATCGCATTCTACTGCACGTTCCTTTGTAAGCGAGTCGGTACACCATTTTGGTAGAGAAAACTCAAGAATTTCACAGACGGATTCCGTCCATGTTGTGTTCCAGTTCATTCTATCTGGGCCATGTCATGGCCAGATGCTTACAGGGCCGATTATATAAGAGTTTTGCTGGGATGCCGGATATATAGCCGAAACCCCAACTGGAGCCTCCAACTCGATGAGCTAGTGTTCAAGCATGTGAAAAATCGGTACCGGAGTGGTTCCTGGTTGGTAACAATGCCTTCTTACAATCTTGGGTGTCATTTCCAACAGATGAGACCTAGTGGACGCCGCGAAGCTAGTTCGGTTATGACGTGAGACGCCGACGTTGCCTAGGCCTAGTGTTGCCCTTCATTATATCAACATCACGGTCCGCCACGTTCTAAATTGAGGATGCAGTGCACCAAGGGCTGGCATAAATGAGCTGTAGCAATACCGAGAAACATCATTAACCCCATACAAGCCAAACACGGCCCGCTTGTTTCGTTCTCCCAAGTTGTTTCTCTTATGCTGTCCATCGATGTAATCCTTCCCTTATCCCTTGCCACTTCGCATTTCCATGGCCCCATTAGTATTAAGCTTCTTTGTTCCATAGCTTACTAAATCGTTACCGCTGTATCCCAAAGAAAGCCAAAGTCATAGCTTTGATCGTGGCTTTCGAGTGTCACTGAGGCGGCGCTGAGATGGCGGCCTCAGGTACCGAATTTGTCAATCAACAGTTTTCAGACGACAGAAGCATGACGACTTGATGGGAACATCGGCCACAGCCAATGCCAAGTTCAATTGCGGCTTGAGGATCTTGGCCTCGTCATTGCGTCCAAGCTTCACCAGACATTCGTAAAACCCGTGCAGACCCCAAACATTGTTGGGATGCCTCAGTGCCCGGGGAAGGGTCTCGTCGATTCCGAGGTCTGCGCTGTAGACGTCCGCTGCTTCCTCTACACGCCTTTGCTCCAAGAGCAATGCGCCGAGGGCGTGCCGTGCCGGCTGCATCCAGCCCCATGGTTCGTCGTAGGGCAAGGCGTCATCTCTCTCCACGGCCTTACGTAGGTGTGTGAATGCAATATCGTATTCGCCCTTCCGATAGGCCAGCTCGCCGTCCAACATGGTCTCTGCAATTGCAAGAATCTCCTGGCAGGAATTGTTGAAGACTGAGCGAGATGCGGGCACCCGCTCCAATGCTTTAGCGAACAGAATACGCTGTTTCTCTGCCTCCTCCACCCTGCCTTGCACAGCGAATGCAATTCCCTTGGCATAATGCGTCATGGCTGTCGTTGCGCAGTAAAGCTTGGAATCCCGGGGAAGTTCGAGGGCGTGTATGTCATTCCATCGGCCGAATCGAATGAGTGCGTGCATTCGCATGCCAAGGAAACCCTCTAGCCAGTCTGCCATGGGCGGCGACTGGACTCGCAAGAGATCCTCAGATATGGTGGATTCGAGTTCCTCAACCGTCTCGAGGGCTACTTTGGATTGACCGCATAGCATGGCGGCATACAGCCTGAAATGGTAGTCATGAGAACGATACAAGGTATAGAAGTTGATGGGACCTTCGCGGGCAAGAAACTTGGAGTCAGCACGAATAGCATCAGAATTAGAAGCTATGGCGCGACGGTATTGCCCACAGATAATGTCGAGATGAGTGGGCATATGCTCCAGGTGTCCCGCGTCTGGTACGAGTCCGCGTAGATTGTCAGCTATCGTAAGGGCGGCTTCAGGAGTTGGTGACATTTCCATGAGGTGGATGTATAAATGAAGGAGGCCTGGGTGCTGTAGAGAGCCTCTCAGCCTGAAAGTGCGATCCATCACATCCTTGATTTCTAACGTTCTGGCACCAGGGGTAGGTTTTCCGGTTTTGTAGTTCCACAATTTCCAAGGCGTGACGTTCATTGTGGCATCAGTCCAGAGGGCAACTACATCAAGGTCGTCCGGGTAAGCTTGGAGCACCGCGTCCATAGCCTGAGCGTAGTCCTGATTCCATTTCGAACAATCTTTGGCGGGCACTGGTTGCGGATATCGGCAGATCAGAGCGTTGATGAGAGCGGTCTCGACAGGCATCGCCTTGGCAGAGTGCCCCTTTGCCTGCATGATAGTGTGGTGAGCGCGCTTGGTAGTATCCGCGAGGTCTTCTCCGTCAAAGACCTTCCAAGGCTTATTATAGTTAGGTCCCAAGACGAACGCGAGTCCCCAGTAAGCCATGGCGCAGAATGGATCATGATCAATGGCTCGCTGAAAACACCTTGCTGACTCCTCGTGATTGAAGGCATACGCCCAAGTCAGGCCGCGGTTGAACCAGATTTGGGCATCTGTGCTTGTGGTGCTAATGGGACGGTAAAACGTGCCGAGGTTGTAGGGATAGGACTGATCAATATGCGAGCGGACGGCGGACGATAAACCCTTGCTTCTCATTTTCGAATAACTTGCTGCTAAATTACCGGTGATATATGTTTCTTTTGTTGTAATGTTGACTGGCCCGGGGGCAAAGTTTCGGAGCGTTGTTGGGGTTGGAGTCGATTGGTTGAGACATCTGCTGTCATTGATGTATTAGTGGATTTCGGTGCCGGACTATCGTTTCACCGCCAGCCTTTTCACGTCTTGAACCTAAAACTATACTCCTAGAAACATTACTGAAACCCTGGTAAGTCTAAGCACTGGTATGCATATAATAGTCCAAGCAATCTTACCACCGTAGGCTCTACCATTGGCATCGTTGTACAGCAAGTCATCGGATCAACGATCGAACGATCCTCCACAGCTTTGATGTCACACGCGGCAACGCACGACGGAAAACATCGGCTTTGTCAGAAGGCCACGATGCTAATATTTGCGACCGATTATCATAGACCGTATTAAGAGGAACGGAAATAGAAAAATAATAGCGTAGAACTCAATCGCAGTGTCTCTTTGTCTTGCTGATATAGATATTTATACTGATTTGAGGAGAAGCCGGATAACCTCCCTGAAGCCAACAACCTCAGTCAGAGTTGAAACGCGAGAATCCTGTTTCCAATTACCACAAACATAAGAATATAAAATCGAAAACGAAGAAAAAACTAAAAGATACCCGATTTGGGATTGGACCTGAAAGAAAACCATGAAGACCACTGGAGTTCAGTCGGCCCTGCAATTCATCCGCCCCATAACAACTCGTACCTATTATGTCAAGATTGATACGATATGGGTGTCTAAAGCCCGCCTCGTGTCTCATAAGAATCAGAGCGGCATCCGCTTCTCATTGAGGCCCCGCGCCCCAGACAGACTTCTACTTTACCCGGAGCTTTATTGCTTGGCAAAAGCTTCGAATGAGGTCTTGGTCACAAGTTTAGGACAATGGCAATTATAATCATAAGTTGGGTCCAAAGTGTTGAGTGAACGCATGAGGTTATCAAATAAACACTGATTGCACAACTACCAGCGTTGAAGCGCGTACCAATGTTCAAAACCTGTGCTGAAGTGGTTTGCATTGGTTAATGATTAGGAATAATACTAGAAAGTTACACAGTCATGTGCATCAGGCCGCATGATGGTGGGATCCTGGGCCAACTTCAATCTCGGTCACGACGCCACCAGTTGTTGTCGGTCCTTCGTACCCCTTTCTCGCTCCCAACAGCCACCACAAAGCAACGAAAACTGTGAGACCTCCCCAGATCAAACAAGCATAGTTCATAGACTGTGCATCGGTGGGGAGTGCGTAAGGGAAACAGTAGATAACAAACCAAACCAGCATGTATGCGCAGGCGATGCCATTGACGGCAAAGCCAATCCACCCACGCATATGAAAGGGCCCATAAGCCACCCTAGTCCGACCTGCCAAGAGGTTGGGCAAAATGGCGGCAAGATAGGAGCTGCTGGAAAGAAGGATGAAACTTCCAACAAAGGCGTTGAAAGCAGTAGTACTGCCGACGTAGATCGCCCCAAGGACTGTTACCAACACAGCCGACAAGACAGTAGACCACATTGGCATCCCTAGTTTGTGATTCACCTTTCCCAAAACTTCAGGTCGGGGGCTTGCACCATCACGAGCAAGCGCCCAAAGTGTACGACCACAGGTGATGTACAATCCTATCAGTGTCAAGCCAATGCAGATGAGTACTAGGGCGAGTAAACCAGTCGCGCTAGCAGCAGATCCGGTGGCCTGGCGGTAAATCTCGGCGATTGGATATGGGGACTCGAGGAGGGCATCGTAATCATTGATGGCGTACATGATGGTGACCAGATAGCAGAAGCCAGTAATGAATCCGATACTCAGTTGCAACCCGAGGGCGATGGGAACGTTACGCTGAGGGTTCGGAATCTCCTCCGCCAGATGCGTTGTGGCATCAACAGCACCAACGCTGAAAGCTCCATTAAGCATGCCGGCAACAAAAACGAACCCGTTTGGATATCCGATGTCGGCGGTCCACTCAGTCCAGACAAACGAGGAGGAGGCATGAGGCGGCCGGCCGTCGCGGCCAGGCATGACAGCGACAACAATGATTGTGATCAGGAAACCAGCAAGAATCGCAAAAACCCCAAAGTCATTGATCCGTGGCATGGCACTGTTAGCCAGGCAAACCATGGCGCAGGCAAGCCACGTTGCGATGATGTAGACGATAAAGACGTGCCAAGGCTTCCCCTCGAACCCCGCGTGGTTGAGCGCATACATCTGCACGACCGTGTTCCCAAAAATCGATGCCATGCTGGCGGCACCGAGAACCCAAGCCAGGTAGTTCCACCATCCGGCGAAGAAGCCGACAACCCGTCCCCATCGGCGACCAGGTGTAACGGATGCCCAGTGGTAGACTCCTGCAGACGAAGGAATGGCACTCGCTAGCTCCGCAATGCTGGCGGCGACAGTCCAGTAGCAGATGGACACGGCAATGAACTCGTAGAGCACACCCGGAGGACCGCCGTTGAAGATAGCGACGAGGATGGAGCCGCCTGTCGCAGGCCAAACGTTACCCACCACGAGACCGACGCCCGCAAGGGAGAGGAGACTGAAATTCCGCTCAAGCTCCTGGACGTGACCTGATGCGTTGATCGCGACATCGTGCTGATCGGCCGAGCGTGCCTTGTTGATGTTGGCGACACCGGCGTCGCCTTCACCATCGCCGTTTGTTTTGGTGTCGCGATCCATCTTGGCGTCCGCTGAGTGTCAGGTTGCTGAGATAGAATTGGGGCTCAACGGGAAAGTTTGGGGGAGAAAGTGTCAATGGACCTGCCTACATAGATAGACATTGGAATGCGACCGGCCCGGTTCTGGCTTAGCATACCCTGGACGCAGTCGTCGCAGTATCCAGATGGCAGACCATATCAGCACCCATTAGCATCCTTAATACTGTATACTTATCGCCGCCGGCGCCCCTAGCTGGATAAAGCCCAATCGCCGACGGCCTTGAGGCTAGCATTTGTGCAATGGTGTGACTTTGTCGCGGGTAACCATACCTTTTGCTATCGATATCGCCACTAGCCTCTGAATATCCCTGGCAGATATCCTAGGCAGGGGGCAGAACGGCTGGCCACTGAAACTCCAGACCCTTATCCAGAAATACAGTTGGCCCCTCACTAAGTGCAAGTCCCCCATAACGTTAAGCTCGAGGCCAGTGCTTTCCAATTCTGGGAATGACTCTAGCCAAGGATCCAAGATATCAGACCGGAACTAGTTGTCCTTGTTGATTCTGTTACGTACTTTGATACGCGAAGCCTCTCACCCCGCAAAGTTGATGAAACAAACGTTGACAAGGGAATGGGATCCATCAATTGCGGCCCCGGTTCCGGAACGGACCTCAGTTACCGGTTCGACCCACTGATTGCATGGGTAGAGAGAAAATCTTACGCGAGAGCTTGACCAACAATGCGGGGGAATACTCAGTGATGTTAGAGGTCGGTAAGTTTGGATTAAGGTAATTATTTACAAGTGCCTTACCTCCTAAACCGCAGCGTGTTTCAATCATTGCTCATGATGTCTTCACAGCAAAGTTCGTTTGCATTTCCAACAAAGTCTAATGACATATAACCGAGAGAGAGAGAATGGAGAAAACTACGGGAAGATGCTAAAGCGAAGTAAATCAGTACCGCGTACTACTGAGCATTATTCTCCAACGCCTTCTTCCTGATTCCTTTCTCCGGCTTACTCGTCAGAGTCGAGCGTGACAATGATCTCCATTTCAGTTGCTTTCCTCCAGTTGAAGTCCGATGGCAAACCCCAAGCTTTCGTAGCGGAGCCGGTCTGCAAGGCCCCCTAAAGCCGTAGACCGCAACCAGCTCACCCCCCACCCTCTAACTAGGACCGTGGGTCCGGAATACCCAGATACAATGGCGTAATAATGATGGTTTGTTCTTGTTGGATATCCATTCCAGTATCGACTTTCAATTTTTGGGGGTACAAATGTACTTTTACTCTTCTTTAGATTCCATAGCACGTCTCCTGCCTTTTCCCAAAAATTCCTCATGAAAGCGAAGTCGATTAACTCTCAGTGAAGGTTACCTTTGAAAAACTATTGCGACTCTTCGAAGTCCTTGTTTCATGCTTTCAGTCAGTGAAAGACTGGTTATCCGTTGTCAGTCCCTACAAAGTCAACCAAGAAGCCGTATTCGTTGACATCTGGCTGACGTGCGTGGGATGGTCTATTTTCTTTAATTTGAAGAATGGCTTAGGGCATTATTCTTATTGTATTTTGTCGGACCAGGGCTAAATTTTCATCGAGTGTTTTAGGTGGCGCTGGATAACCCTTGTCTTAGAAAGGCATAACGTTGGGTAAGAAAAGTGACATAGGCATGGGCTTTCGCAGATTAATTATAATTCATAGGAACAGAGCCTTTGTTGTTTAGGGTTACAATACCTAAAAGGAACTCGCATGTGTACTAAACAAGTATTTACACGGTATGTGGTCATGCCTAGTGACTTGAAGGACAAGACACATAGTGAGGTAGACTAGATTTCCCAGGCGTACTTGATTACTACAATACACTACGCACCAAGAAAGCATTCAAAGAGAAACATCATTTGTTACTTGGACACAGCAGTCTGCGTAGGATAGACCCGGATGGGAGTAGTGATAGGTTCAGGAGGGTTGAGACCAATGGGCACCTCGTAGCCTTTGGGCGGGTGCAGGGCATCGGGCACCTCGATAATGTTGCGGTAGTAGTCAGGCAGACGCGAGCCGTACCACAAGCGGGCAATAGCGGGCAGCACGGTGCGGTAGCCACCTCCGAATATGTTAAGGTTCGGGGCAACATAGAGATGCGAGGTGGTGGAGGCGTTGCTGAACACGCCACCGCAGCTCTGGTTCCAGTAGTAGTTGATGAAGCTGTCACCGGCAATTTTGGTGCTCCAAGTGCGAATTATGTCTCCCGTCTTGCAGCCAACAAAGCTCCAAACATTGGCACCGACATCCCATCGACCCAGGGTGTGCAGTTTCCAATTTGCCTGGACCGACGACAGCTCACTGTAGTGGTTGTAGTAGGCGCTGTCGACGGTACCGACCAAGTTGCTGGGCACCGCTGAGCCGAGGAGGATACCGGCTACGTGGTTACGGGCCGTTGGGTTCTGACCGTTGGCCTGCCAAGTAATGTAGACGAGCGTCTTTCCGTCGTTGAAGTTGGGGTTCTTGAGGAGCGGCTCAACGAAGCCACGGGTCCAACTGCAAGATACGCTAATGTTGGTATCGTGCCCGTTGTTGTACAGGTTAGGTGTAACAAACAGCCACTGAGGCAGACGGTTTTGGTTAAGGTCTTCGTAAAAGAGCGTTAAGTTCTTGAGCTTTGCCAGGCGGTCAGGGTTCAGAGAGACCGAGTCGAAGCGCACAAGCAAGTTATGCTTGCGCGAATAGTTGCCTTCCACAGGGTTGTTGTACTCGTAGCCCTCGAAACCTGTGTAAGGTAGGCCCTCGTTGTAGTCGCCCCAGCTGATTCCCTTGTCTTCGAGCAGGTCGACGATGGTGGACACGTTTTTGTCAACCAGAAGAAAAGAATCACTGTTGGTGCCGAAATAGTCACCACTGGCTGGAGCCACGTAGTTGGGCTGACTGGGAGCTGCTACGCCGTAGAGGTTGGATAGCAAAATACCCTGGCTTATAAGGGCCTGGCAGTTGGGGTCGGCGGTCGCGTTCTCATATGCTGTTGTCTCAAGGTAGATCTGCGCGATGCGGTTAAAGACTTTGCCCTTGACGTTGGACACGGGCGACTCCGTCTTAGCAGTCGCTGCCGCCGCCGCCACAGCTGCACTAGCTGTTGATGTGTACTGGATGTCAGCGGCCGTGTAGACTGGTGTGGCCGTAGCTGATGATGAACAATCCCCATTGCCGTAGCCGTGGCCGTTTCCGTAATTGCCGTTCCCATTCCACCCAGGAGCGCCAGTAGCCATGCCCGCGGTGACAAGGAATCCAATTATGCGAACCATCTTGAACTTCTCGAGAGGACCGTTGAAGTTTGTGTGACAGAGAGGGTTGATTCTTATGGAAGTGTAATTATCTACAAGGAAGGGAGTATAAGATGCGGACGAAAAGAAGAATAAAAGCGCCAAGATGGCGACGACGGCTTTCATATATACTTGTTCATGCCTCGCTGTCTTGCCTCTTCACGGCTGTGAAACTTTGGCCACGTAGCCATGGAAGCTGTGTTCCCCGTGTAAGCCATGCTGGCCACGCTGACTATGCTGGCCATGTTGCTCATGTGGACATGTTAGTTGCCCATGTGGTCATATTAGCCAGATTTTCAATGTCACTCATATGCTAATACTTATCGTTGCTGCCCTCCCGATTGTACCTGTGCCTGACTGGGCGAATTGTCTCTAATCTGAACACTTTACCTGTTAGCTAGTGTGGAAATTTAAACTACTGCTAAGGCTCGTTTTTGAACGGCAGAAGATGATTCCGAACTCAACAAACAGAAAGCCTGGGAATCTCTCCCCTCACACGGATGCGCCAAACAGTGATCGTCGTTTGAATAGAGTTGAGCTTTTTGCCTGCCACTTGAACGGACCCCTTTGATTCTCTATACAATGGAACGAAGTGCGTCGCTTTTCACGTCCGAGCAATCTTCGGCTTTACCTTCATGTATAGTCCAGGACCACGGCATTGGTAAGCACTGTATCTTTACCAATCGGAAAATAAGCCCGCATGCAAAGCTTAACCCCCCGCAGACGTTGCCAGGTTGGGATTAGCTCAGGGGTCTTATTGTTTAGTTGTATCATCGTTCTGCTCACGTTACTCACTGAAGTCATCACTTGGGCAGACTAAAAGAGGCTAGATGTAACTAGATGTAAGTGCTTAGGGCGTGAGCATCTAGGTGGCTGACTACGTGTTACTAGTGTAAAATTGTGTGATGCAACTAGATACAGCGTGAGATCTGATGAGACTTACTGGACTGAACTATCTTAGCGTAATCTGGAGTAAGCTGTAACATGCAATGAGACTTGCTCTGATGAATCGGGACAAAGACCAAAACATGCAAGTGTCTAGGCAGGGGAACTCCACAACGAATCGTGCCAAATTGAGGCACTTGTATTTAAAATAACATCTCAAATAGTTATTTGAGAAAATCGTTACATCTTGCGAGTCATTTGGAGGAAACATCTACATGGGCCTTCATCTTGATCGAGACAGCCGAAATATTAAATGCCTTACGAGAATGGTTGGAGCTGACTTGTTCACAACTTATCCTTAGCCCATTCAAGAAACTGTGAGATCCCGGAAGTGTAACATTCAAGCGATAGCAATGATAGCTATCTCCAAAGTTGGGTGCGTTATGAACTAAGACAATGTCTCTGGGAGGGGGTAACCTTCTATCAGGGCTTACTTGAAGATCGGCGAACAGAAAACCGAGCATTAGTGAAGTATCTTGAGCACGTACAGTCCTGAAGTTGTGTAACTAGAGACTTAGACACGAGTAGTGGTCCGGTAGTGGCACGGGGTTTCGAATGCCATCTTGGTTCCAACAGGCAATTTTTCTCTGTCCATTAAATGTCATCTAAAATCTAAAGTATGCCGCGGCACCTGGTGAATATACACCTCATACAATGCGTCACTGGCTTCAGTAATGCCCTTAAAGAGTTTTGTTTCTTACGTATAGAACAAGCTGGAGATCCTGAGAAAGAAATTAGCAATCAACATAGACGAAGCAGGTGATGTAGAGTTTGTTAAATCGCCGAGAGAGCTTTGATCCACTACGCAAGAAGACAAAACAAAACAGTCCTATGCTATCTTTTGCAAGACCGACCGCAGCATCAGCACTGTTCCAAGAATGTCAAGTCACAAAATTTGATTGACAAGAACGCTCAAAGAACTGAATGGCCGGAACTTTTCTATCAACCCATGGTAAATCTCCCAGTCTCAAAACCCTAGTCGTTTCATGCAACGTCAAGATCAAGATATTCTCGGTTAATTGGAAGCAAAGAACATTTCCCTTCTGGATAACCAAATAGAACTTGTCAACCAAGAGCTAAAAGATGACCTCGCCGGCATACAAAGAATGAAGTTTCCTCACAACGAGCTTTAATTCTAATTAGCCTTTCCCAGCCATACCAAACTTTACCAATCTTTTGTCAAAACCCGAGAAACATGCACTCTTGACGACTGAGGGTTTCCATTTTGAGATCGTTTCTCGTATCCTGCAAAACAACCATCTAAAGAAGCCTACCAAGTAAAAGCGTCATCAGCAAAATTGGTTAAGGTAAAATAAGAAACAGAGATCCCAGGCTAGTGCTATCATGAAGATGAGGAATGCTGCTACAGCTTTAGGTAGCTTATTTTACACCGTTAACCAACAGCAAATATCTGAAATACACAGGTTCCTGACACAAAAGCTCTGTGAGACTCACTAGATAAATTGAATGTGAATGTTATAAGGGAAAGTGTAGAACAGATCGAGTCTACGGCTGTAACTAGGTGGTGCTGATGAACTTCAAGTTATCAGAAATAGTCTAGTACTGTTTAGAAGCTCCTAAGATATTGTCGCTTGAAGGCTTGCAGAGCAATATTGCAAAAATATCATAATGAGTTTATACACAGTCAAACCAAACAAACAGCTTCACTTGAAGAAAACAGCGTATGGACCGCGGCCCTGGTATCGATACCCGGCAACTTTTTCTACGTCCTTAAACCTGGGGGATTACGCTTCTGAGCTAGCCGGAATAGAGAGAGTGGACCAGCCTAAGTTGCTGGTACTTGGTACTGAATTTATGGAGATGGGGCCTAAGTGCGGGGCCTTGTCGTCCTATCATCATCACCGGACTCACAACGTGGTGTTGCATAGGTGCTGATCGCTTTCATCTCCAACTATGCATACCAACCCGGACAAGCCGAACTGGGAGGTATAAATGAGCGAGATGGCTAGCCGTCCTGTCAATGTAGGGCTAGACACTTGCTTTTCATGCTCGCTACCTTCAAAATGCAGTCGTTCGCCACATCGATCACGGTGCTTACCGTTTTGAGTCTTCAATTACCGGGGTCTATGCAGCACGTCAACCCTACGATGTACGAAAGATAATTGACGCTTTCCGTAATCCGCATGATGACCTGACCATTTTATGTGCTCATAGAGGGCTGAGGTACGCTTCCGCTATAGCACAGTGTCTGAGAAAAGGCTTTTTGAACAGGAAATTAGGGCCTGACTCTGAGTAATAGATGGAACGGCACAACGGAGAACTCTCGAGATGCCTATTTCCGGGCTACAGAGGCTGGACTTGAATGTATTGAGACAGACATTCATCTTTCTCAGGATGGGTATTTGCCCATGATTCACGACAACGGCTTAGGACGCACGACGGATGTTGGTGAACAGACTCAGCAACCGGCGTACAATCCGTTTACAGGCAAGGGCTACAATCCGTTGGTCAACCAACAAAGCTTCAAAGGCTTCATTGAGAACCTGCATATACGAGATGAGCAGGGAAGAGTGCACGTTGAAACCGTTCCAACGTTGCCGGATATGGTGCACAGCATCTACGAAACGGGCGCCAATGTTGTGCTGCAGCTTGATTTCAAGGACCAGGCCGCCGTGGAGCCAGCCTACTGGGCGTTGAAGAACCTCACAAATCGGGCCGGGGTGCCTGCAAACGAGTGGTGCATCTACAAGCTGCAAGCGAAGTGGTGGAAAAACCCTGCGGAGTTCGAGAAGCTGGGCTGGGTTCAGGATGCCTTTGCCTCCGGGGTTCAGCTCGCTTACATTCCTGTTTACAACCCCGAAGATGAAGTATCCTGGGATACCCTTGAATCACTAAAGGAATGGGCCAAGACCAACTACACGATCAGTGCCGAGATCGAGGTATATTCCACTGGTGCGCCATTGCAAAATCTTCAGGACTACGTTTTGAACAACGGTACGGAGATGAACACGTTCAAGACGTCTGGAATTTTGTATGTTTTCTCCTCTAAATGCAGAAGCAGCCCGTGTGAATTATCTGGCACAAAGACTGACTACATCGCAGTTACGCGCCTGGAGACTTCGTCGACTTTATCACGTCAAATCGCTCGCGGTTCGACACAGCAAACTACAGTATTCCAGGAGATATTCGAACCCATAACTCTGTTTATGGGTTTCAGGAAAATAAGGCCCCTGTGCTTCTCGACTCGATAGTAGGAAACAAGTCGCTGGATGGACATGATTACCGGAGTGACTTTGACTGGATTCTAAAGCAAGGCTTTCAATGGGTGATCACTGACACTGCGGACTTCTGGGATGCACAGCTGCGAGCTCAAGGATATCGTAATACCAGCTATATGCTGGCTAGCGGAGAAGTCGATGGTGTTTCCAACGGTTGGTACCGACGACGACATTCTCGGGAATTCACTGAGGCGTGAGTAGTAGTGATCAGAACTAACGACCGAATGCGGTGCCGCTCCTGTCAATTATTTTAGGTTTGAATAAACATTTTGACCAGTCTCATCAGTTACTGGACTTTCTCTGCTCCTAGAACCTTTCTGATGACTCGAATAGATGCCGCCCCCCTTTCATTTCTTCACTTCCTCCTGCTCATCTTCTTCCTTCCAATTCCTGGGCCATATGAAGGAGGTGTTTGAGTCTTTGTTTCCTTTGATTTTGGTGGTCATTCACGTAGTGTTGTCATGTTTTGATGATAAGTGGAAGAATCAAATGATGATCTCAGGGGTTTCTCGTGCATATTGATGTAGAGATACATAAAGAATCGTAACTGTTAAGACGTCGTTGGCTTTCTCAAGTCCTTTGGGTGAAGGGAATGCCGATTGGCGTTCGCTAGCACGATCAAGAGAGACTGCAGGTAGAAGAATCCTGGTAGCTTGAATCATCTCTTCTCTGCATACATATGTGTGCGAAAAGCTTCAGTCACATGTTGACAGTCTCCTCATCTTCAACTCCGAATAACACTCTCATCGGATCCTGATACTTCATGAACCCAACACCAGGCTCGCATAGACCATATCCAAGAAGTCTCTGGGCTTGTGGCTTCATTTTCTTCGCTTTCTCGAAAGGCACCATAAGAAACTGGTTCTCTGCAGGTCGCAAAGTTGGCTGGCAAAGGAAGATGCCAACAGTTTCCCGATATTCATCTCTGCCGGCAACGAAAAATAGTTAGCCGAGTTTGGAGGTCACACAAAAACTTCCTAAGCTGGGGAGCAACGGACTTGGTGATATTTGCCCCGCCTGCGTGGTAGAGGTTTCCAAGGAAGATTAAAGCATCGCCTGGCTCAAGCTCCGCAGGAACGGTCTCGGACTCCAGCGGACGGCGGTCCGGGCCCCAGAGATGCGATCCTGGAATGACTACAGTTGCCCCATTCGTAGCTGTCGTCTTCGTCAATGCAGTGACGCAACCAATCATGACAGGCAGCTTCTTGTCATGTGGGTGATAGTCGCTGGCGCTATGTGAGCGATACAGGTTCGTTGAAATGGGAACAAAACACGCAGTTTAACTGAACTCACTTATCATCGCGATGCAACACCTGTTGCGTCCCTCCAGGGTTCACCCGGAAGCCCACTGTTGAGGATATGATGGGTTTTCCGCTCACAGTCTTTTTTCGGTCGCCTCTCCAGAAAGTGTACGACGAAGAGACCAAAGCATTGGCGACGGCAGTATAAAGTGGATTGCATGCAAGCTCTACACAGCCATCTGAGATACCCAGCAAGCCGGAAGCTCTTTGCGTTGTTGCTGGGAAGAACCCGTATTTGTCTGGAATGTCTTCGTCAAAATATGGCTTTAGGTCTTGTTTAATCTCTTCCGCAAGCTGACGCTCGATTAGCTTCTCTACAATGACGCCGCCATCACGATTGATGCTGTCAACCAGCTTTTGTGGCGTGGTTGAAGGGTCTGTTGCGTTGAAACGTGCTATTGGAGGTCGAGGATTGTAGTTCTCAGAAGTCGCCATTACTATCTCTGTTTGTCATTCCTATCGAGGTCTGGTAAGATATGATGGGTTTTTGTGAGGCTATTGTAATTCCTGGTTCGCAATGGTTGATGGAAAAATTGCTCTTCGTTCAGAATTCTTTACCATAACAGCTATATAGAGTAGAGTTTATTAAGAAACATATAATGCGCTTGTTCAGTATCCCTCGGTCCCGCCCTTCTTGCATGTGTTGCAGTGCAAGTTTTAACGGCGAGGAGCATGCGCTCGAATGCTCTATTTCTAGGGTACCCCGGTGACAGCATCAAAGTTCTTAGGACAATGCCCAGTTCTGCTTAGTGTGTGGTCAAATGTGTGAAGGTTTCGGCTCCATGGTGGAGTAGATAGGACGAAGAAGCCAGCTACGGACTGTTCCATTTGAACCTTCCATGCTTCTTGAGAGTCACTTCAAACTTCAAATAATCATACGGTATGTCAAGCTGGGAAGCCCGAAATATAAAATTGTGGCTTGAAAGCGCGTCAAATCTTGATGTTCCACTTGGAAGCACATCCCCGGCGCATCATTTGCAGTGCTGATACACAATGAAATTTCGGCTTTGATATTTCCTTCAGTCACAACCATCCTTTTCATGTATTTAACGGAAAGATCCAAAGTTTTTCGAACCACAGTTTATTGATTTCACGCATGCATCGACATTTCCATAATTTCTGCTGCCTAAAGGTGTTGATGTCGTTGTCGGCAGCATTATGGATGATGCATCCTAAACGGACTGTTTGGTCCAAGGCTCGGCTGTCAACTGGATCAGGCTGCGAGCCTTTGTTAAGTTGCAATCACACGTTGCACCGGCTTTTACCCCGCCTTTACATTTTTCCTGCTTTACTGAACCTCCTCACGTACTTTGCGACTTTTCACTGATACGCTTGGGATGCAACAAAGGAGAGAACTCTAAACCTGTTGTAGGCTGTAAGCTTTGGTGTGCGATATACGTAACAGCACATTCCACCATTTTCTCATCCATACCCTTAGAAGTTTCTACTGCTCTACCGTATCGAGTCTTCATCATCTGCTCAGAGGGTGTCTTCCTAGGGTTTCACGAAAAACATGCCGCTTTGCTCATCTTGCGAGTCTCTCGACCTAGCCAACCTCGTCGATGAGGACAACGATCTCCAAGATGTCGTCGTGCACAAGTCTGTCACAATTCTCGAGAAGAACGCACCTATTTGCGACGTCTGCCGACTCTTTTGGACCTCTTTTTGCAAGAAACTCAGGCAGTTTGACCGAGATATCAAAAAAGAGATGAGCTCGTTGGGGCAATTGGTGTCTCCTGTTTTGATGAGAGGTCGCCGGGATTACGGCACCCACCCCGACTGGGAGCCAGGGGATATCTATCATCTTAAAGTTCGATGCGATAGCCTTCGGGTATCTTGTGACTTCAGTTTTTATGCTGATGAAGAAGATATCGATTCAACGCAGCATCTGAAAGGTATCATGTTGGCCCGCCAAATCAAACACCCTGCACAACAATTAGGATTGCTGGGTAAATGGGTTCAAAGCTGCGAAGAGAATCACGCGCAATGTCGTCGGGATCTCAGCCCTTTGCCAACGAGAGTAATTGATGTAGGAAAAGAGGGCCAAGTAGAGCCGCGACTTGTTGAAACGGGCGGAAAGATTGATCGTTATATGACACTCAGTCACTGCTGGGGCCGTCATCCTGTCATCCGAACGACCAGCCATACCATAACCAAGCACCTCCAAGCTTTACCCTTGTCGGAGCTTCCAGGTACTTTCCGCGATGCGGTTATCATAACCAGGGCAATGGGGGTGCAATATCTCTGGATTGACTCTCTCTGCATCATCCAGGACTCCAAGGAAGACTGGGAACTCGAAAGTACCAAGATGGGAATGATCTACTTTTCGTCATTCTTGACCATAGCAGCATCAGCATCTCAGGATTCAAGGGGTGGTTGCTTCATTCCCCGGGAACACACTTTGAGCCATCCTCAGATAGGATACTGCCAGCCAGGAAGTAGCCATCGCAGCAAGGTACACATTCGGTCTTGCCCTGACGACTTCAGCAATCTAGACAAGAGGACCTTACATACGCGCGCCTGGGTACTCCAGGAACAAGTTTTGTCGGCTCGCATGATCAACTTTGATGTCGACCAGCTTCTTTGGAAGTGCCAAGAGGATAGGCTCACAGAAGACGGTATAACTTCCGAGTGGAATACTCTTGATGATGGCCCAGACATGTCACACTCAATGGCAAGATATCAAGACCCTCAGTATTTATTTGGATGGGAGCTCGATTGGTACTCAATGGTTGGGCCATACTCATGTCGAGGAATCACCAAGTCATCCGATAGACTTCCAGCGCTTTCGGGTTTAGCAGACGTGATGGAACAAAGGACTGGCGTAGAGTACGTGGCAGGATTATGGAAAAGTAATTTGTGCCTCGGACTTCTGTGGCATCGGAAGAGCGGCTGGCTTGTACCACCAGCAGATGGCTATCGTGCACCGAGCTGGAGCTGGGCGTCTCTGGAGGGCGGCATCAGTATCAGAGGACACCCGGCGATCTCGGATGGTACGCTGGAGATCGTCGTAGAAGACATTGAGACGGAGGTCTCACCGTGCGGTCTAGACCCCAAAGGGAATCTACAGTCTGGCCACATGATGCTGACTGGAAGGGTCAGGACATTTGACAAACGGATGAATCCTAAGGATGAGGCTTACCAGTCAGTCGTGGAAATCAACACCACCCGGGAGAAGGACGCGGGTATCGACTACTTTTTCGAGAATGGAGAGGTTATAGGACAAGTTGTCTTTGACGAGGCATTCTACTCTAACGACCACCCATTGTATTGTCTACAAGTGGCTCATAGAACAAGAAAGGAAGGCCCCACTGCTCATAGTCGGTGGCATGGATTATTCTTGGAGCCCACGGGGAAAGAAAAGGAGTTTCGTCGCATAGGTTACGGGTGGACAGAGTACGTGCACAACAAAATGTGGTTCGAAGGTGTTCAGATGGAGAGAATCAAAATAGTCTAGGACGACCGCCTGACAAACGGTTTTCGGGTATTTAGTATCTTACTAGATAGAGTGCTATCTCTCGAGGTTTTCAATTTAAGATTCATCACTGGTAGGGGAATGAACTGATTGTGGTGAGTCGAAACCAAGGCGCTGTGATTCTAGTCTAACGCCTCTCTCATCTATCTAATTACTTTAATTCTCATAAATGCTCCGAGCAACGACAACAAACAAAGATTACAAAAATGTAAGGCTGTTCTCCTCAAGCCCTACTGTCGTACAGACCCCCCCCCCTCTTCTCAATCAGACGACACTGCAAACTTGCTCATTGATCTTAACCTAGCCCCATAGAAGTAAAGCAGCCAGATCCCAATGATGCCGATCGTGCTCAGACCACCCAGCAAGGTCGTGCCGCGAGCAACGCCCAAATTGAGATACATCGGCCGTGCGAACAGAATACTGGCGAACGCAAACGCGGAGCGAAAGAAGTCGTTGCCCGCGAAGAGGCTGGCGGCGTACTGGGGGTATGACAAAGGAACGTAGACGAAGATGCACTGCATCACAATGAAGACAGTGGCGCCGTAGACGGTGATACCTATGGTCGGAGCGATCCAGTGGATGGCCGGAGATGCCGTCCAAGCGAAGATGAACAGTCCGATGGTGGGGCCGAGCGAAGCCGGGAGTGCAGGCACGAGACGGTTCTCCTGGGCGGGGAAGCCGAATTTCTTAATGCGCGGGATCATGTAGAAGGCCAGGTATGAGACGTAGACGGCAACGCCGAGGAGACAGGCGACGAGAATGCACAGGAAGACGAGGCCGACCTCGCCAATGCTCATGCCGTAATATACCGGATAGACCATAGGGAAAACCTCAAAGAAGGAGTAGTAAATGCCGTAGATGATGGCGGTGTATACCTGCACGAAGAGGATAGCAGGGTCCTTGATTGTGATTTCGAGCGGCTTGATCAGCGCGTCGATGACAACGGCCGATGTCTTGAGGTTGCGCTGATCGATTTCCGACTGTGACATGAACCGGTCGTTGCCTGTTAGCTTCCGGAGACGCTCGGCACGGCGGAGGAGGATGTTGGGCGACGAGGTCTCGGGAAGGAAGAAGAACATAACGAGGAAGACTGGCGCAGCTGCCCAAAGGATCTCCCAAAGGGACCAACGCCATCCCATCGCAGGAACAGAGAATCCAGACAGGACTGGAGAGATTGCAGGGCCACAGTACGCAGCAGAGACCCAAAAGACCAACGCGTAGGGAAGATTCAGCAGACTGTACATGTCTCCCAAGGAGGCAGCGCCTGATGCCAAGCACGGAGAGCCGAAGAGACCTTGCAGGAAGCGAAGAACCATCAACCCAGGGTAGTTTCCAACCAAAGGAGTCGGGATCGAGACAATGACGAAGAGAAGCATTGTAACGATGTAGATGGGATTCCGGCCGATACGAGGGATCTCAGAGAGAGGGGAGAACAGCAAGGGGCCGATGCCGTAGCCCAGGACGAAAAGTGCCAGCCCAAGCGAGGCCTCTGTCATGTCCACACCGAACTCAGCAATGACACCCTCAATCGAAGGCATATAAATTGCCGAGGACATGTAGACAACAAACGTGTAGATGCAGATAATGGCAGTGATGAGGCCACGCTTCGAGTTGGTCCAGTTCTGCGGGTTTTCGACGTCGTCGCTGAAGTACCAATCAACCAAGATTACCCCATCCTTTGTCTTCTTTGGGACAATCGGCATGCTCTTTGTTTTTTGAATCTCGTGTATCTCGTCGATTTCAAGCCGATCTTGCGTGTAAGGAACCGTTTCTTGTCTGCTCCGTGTCCGTTGCAGGGATGCGTCATACGAAGCCGCATCTTCGAGTTCCTTTGGGAACAGCTTATTCTCCTCGTCGGTTTGGATTGAGTTGGAGGATCTCAGCGATGCTGCAATCGTTGCTTCTTCTGCTGGGACTTCTTTCTCCGATTCGACGACGTCAAGCCATTGTTGCGGGAGCTGGAAGTCAGGCTTCTCTTCGGGGTATTGGAGCAATTTGTTGCGAGTGATGAAGCGAATCAATTGCCCTATCGGGGCATCTCGAATTATTTGCGCCATGGAGACTGCTGGCGATTCTGTGGCGTGGGGTGTTGACGTTTGGGGTTTGATGGAGGCAGGTGTAGGGTGGATAAAGCGCTTCTAAGCGTCTGATGTGTACTTCAAGACGGTGAAGTCTTTGTCGTGTTGGGTATGATGATTGTGGGTTGCGTTGATGGATTGACAAGACAAAAGACGAACCTTAGCCCGGAATCCCCTTCATCTAAATACTCAAACCTCATCTTGAGCTTCAACCGGAAGCTTAATGGTGATAGAAACACCAAGATGATTTCCAAACTGAAAGCTGATGACTGAGCAGGACTCAAACATTGGTCCGTCCACGGCATCGGGCTTTAGGAGTCAGAGTCAGAGTTAAGGTGTGGTGCAGTGCTCCGGCATGTGTAGTATTATGAATCAAACTCATGGCCAAGCGTTTGAACGCGCCGGAACGGTACATGCACCAACCGGGTGTGGACTAGAGGGACGCAGGCGTCGTAAATCTATCTGCGTGGGCCGTAGTAACATCTATCCGTGTCGCCTTGGCATTGGGTCATTTCCTTTCCGTTCACCTGGACTTAACGTGTGTCGTTGACCCGAGCGAGTGGATTGGTAGGGGGATACCACTAGGGCTGACATGACGTTGAGGCACAGCAAGATGGCGTGCAATTCGACGAGCGCTGGACTTAAGATTCGATGCAACGGAGGCAGCGCGCGTTTCCATTCATCAATAAGTCACTGGTGTTAGTGTTAAATCAATCTAAGACAGCGAAATTGGGGGAGCGAGATAACGACTAGTACGCGACAGGATCACTAATCCCCCACGGGGTTTGGCGGATTTATCAGCGACATCCGGCAGATTCAACAAATCTCTTTCTGCGCAGCTTTTGGTTGGCCAGGCTAGCAAAGAAGCTTATGTGCTGCTGCGCCAAGCTCTGAGCCAATTGTCAGCGCACCCACCACTCCCCTATTTGAGACTGCTCTTCTTCTTTCCATGCCGCTGATGTCAACTTATTATTAATGCAGTTGATGCCAAGTTCCAGAAGAAACGGCGTATCAGACGTTGGAGCTTCATGTCTTCAAGATAGTCTTATCTAGATATGAAACTATGGCAGCCAACCAGGTCAGATATAGTTGGAGCCGGCCGTCCAACAGATGCCAGCGTCTGGGCGCTACGTTTGCGTCATCATCCGAAGTAGATCAGTTCTTCGTCGACATCAAGATGATGTTACTGCCTTCAAATCTTAACAGTGGCTGCTTTCACAAACACACAAGCCATGTCGCACCAATTCAGCCTCAACAAGGGATGCGTTGGAATGTATGATATTGAGTGACTTTGGCCACATGTGTGTTATACAGTTATCAGGGCATATTCCGCATCGCTGTGCGACTTCCTCAATCAGAAGATTTACAGCCGATTTTGGGCATGAATACTGCCTTGCTCTTCAGTCACGACGTAGAGTGATGTCGCGGCTCCAATTCAACACCCAAAGCATGATCCTCGTGCGCCAATCCTGTGCTCCGCTTTACTTCATCTGCAAAGGACGCCATTAGTTTCGCGATACCCGATTTAACATCGATATTTCGTCTCTCGGCCTGCTCGACCAACCACCAGACGCGCTCATCTTGCGCGTCGAGAGACTTCCTGATGAGTGTGAGCAGCGTTTTCTTAGGTATCCAGGATTCTGGTTTCCCGGGCCGTTCGCCGTCGGAAATTTCAGGGGCCTCCCCATACTGCTCTACGCACTTGTACGCGAGATCGAGGTCCCCTGAAATGGCGTATTCGTATATGGCTTTGCCAAAAGCGCTCCGGTCTCCCCTCAACGCCAACTCTGGGTTCTCTGCCACCAAAGCCTTGAGAGACTCCGTGTCGTCGCACGCCTGCAGAACGTATCGAATTGTGACATGGTTGGGGGTCGCCTCAGTGTACTTGTGTGCGTTCTGGTAAATCTCCAAGGCCTTGGCGTATCCATGGGTATCTACCGCGGCTTCAATGAGAACATTGAGGGCTGCAATGGGGACTTTGTAATTGCACATCAACTCCGTGAGGGTCCTAAGCGCAGAGTCTATGCTCTCCGGATGTTTCTTGATCCACCAGTATATCGAGCGGGTGCTAGCGTACGGTGCAACGGAAATGGCTTTGAACATAATGCAAAGGACCCGCAGCGCACTTGTTATATCTCCTGCGCCGCCATAGCATTCGAGCAGAGCCTCGTAGTGGTGTGCAAATAGCTTGCTACCCCTTTGAGTAACCAGGCGGGCCGCGCTTGTGGCAAGCTCGTAGTCGTACTGCCTCGCGGCTGTGTTGATGACGTTGAGTAGAGTGCCATCTGATAAATGCTCCCTATCTGTCTCCAGCAGCCTACCCCAGATGTACCTCGTGCCTTCGTAATGGTACGCCTGAGCACAAGTGTCCAGGAGCATATACCACACTGTGAGGTTCGTTTCACTTCCGGTATGGACCTTGCTATGCGCCAGCTTGATGGCTTCGTCGACAAATCCGTGTTGGGCGAACATGAATATGAAGATGTCGTAAACCCAAGGAGCAATGGGTACGTGCTTGTCAATCATGGCCTCCAATGCGTCGAGCGCCAATTCGAACTGTCCATCGCGGAGTAGACCAAGGGCAACATGAGCTTGTCCTTCACTGCCAACCTCGGTCCAAGACTGCTTCATGGCGGCAAGGACCTCGTTTCGGACTAGATAGTCAGGGTGTACGGCGAGGGCCTGTGGTCAAGTCAGCGGGAAGCCAAATCGCGGAGATTCCCGAGAAACGACATACAGCTAGTGCAGCATGGCACATTGAGGTGGTGGGCTTAAGCTGCAGCTGCTTCATCTCGGCGAACAGCTGCCCCAGCATCGCGGCCGAACCCTTGACGTCGGCCGTCGCAATCACTAGGTGCTCGTACAGTTTGGGGCTCAGCTCGGCATTCCGTGACTGGACCAAGTGTGTGATGAACGTTGCTACTTTCTGGAAACTCTTTGGCTGGCCTTGAAGAACCTGCAGAGCATCGTAAATGGCAGGCAACGGCGCAGCTCGAAGCTGCCTGTTTGGATCGGGTGCTGGGTCGGTCGACGTCGCGTCGTGCCGCGTTTCTCCTCGAGTCGCATCGTCCGCTGATGGTATGTTATCATCGGAAGGTCCAGGTTCCCCTTCTGGGCGCAGTGCCGAAGACGCAGCTGTTGCGTGTCGACGACATTGTGTACGGATAGCGTTCGGGCGAGGGGTCAGGACGGGATGTCTTCGGTGGCTCGTCGCGATCGATACTCGAGGGAGATTGGAGGAATTGAGCAGCCTAGCCGCTACGTGTACGTCGGCAGAAGGGCAAAGGCAACGCCATAAGCCATCAAAAACAAGTCGAGAGCCCGACATGGAACTGGCAATGAGAATGAGTGGCGCGGGAAGGAGCTTGAATTTGAGGAGCTTTCAGCTCGCAGATTTCGGAGCTCCCCTCACCGAGAAGATCCCGGTCTGTCAAGTCACGTGACATTGACCAAGGTGTATTCGCTCTAGAACAAAGTCCGCGATCAAGCAGATACACGTGCGGTAGACTGAAAAAACAACATGGCCTCTCATAGGGTTCTATTTTTCCATGTTTTAAGTACGTAAAATGATTTTGTCGGCTTGCATGCTTCCCAGGTGCGGCCAAAGGCTGCTGATCCTATTCTTCGAGGACAATCGACCTAGGAAGACAGTCGCACGCCTAGTTCCCCTTGCGCAAGCCTTGCAGTAATGGAGTCTGTGCCTCAGAGGAGTCTCTCCGTCGACATAATGTAGGGCCACCGTAGAAATTGGTGCGCCGGGGCTGGCTCGTCGAGATGGTGTCGAGCATATCCTCATGAGCCACCACGGTTACCACGTCCCCGTCCTCCACGGCCCTGGCCTCTGCCTCTACCTCTATCACCGCCGCGGCCTCCGTGGTCCCCTCTGTTTCCTCCTCTACCACCGCGGAAGCCTCCTTGCTGGTGGTTCGCTTGGTTCTCCTTGACCACGTCGATGATGTCGTCGGGGACTCGCAGGTACTTGATCTAGAGGCGCATTAGCATCATGTTCGCCTCTGCGGGTAATGCTTGCGTTCAGATCGTACATTATTTCCTTTCACGTATACCTCGGGGATCTTGACGAACTTGTCGCCTTCCTACATCATCGTAAGTCGCGAGGCAAGTATCAGGGAACCAGCGGGCGGCGCGTACCGGACTCGTCTGAACGACCTCCTTCAGCGTCAAGTTCATCCAGGTATCGCACATGACCAGATGTCCGTTGAGGGTTTCGCCATTCTTCAGCTCCACGAGCATGGGGTGCCCTTGGGCGGCGTTCAAGAGGCCGAGGGGTAACTGCGACGGCTGCGTTAGCGAACTGGCGAGTCGGACAAGGTATCGCATACACGCATCTGGATCGCCAGATTGTTGAGTTTCGAGGGGAAGCGCTGCGACGTACCATTTTGGAAGTTGGGCTCTGAAGCTTGCCGTGGGAAAGGAAGCTGAACTGAAGCTTGACGCGGGCAGTTTACGACTATGCGACCACCAGTAATCAAGTGGGGCATCTCGGTGAGCCCTCGGTGAGAAGCGAGCGCCGGACTCGGATACCGCCTGGCTGCAACTACAGCCACGACGGCATGACGTAACTGATCCCGCATAAGAATCAAACCCTGGATTCGGTTAAATGTCGAAAGAGCATAGTAGTGAGGGTCATCAATAGTATGGTGGAATTGAGGTCCTTCATAAAAACCAGAAAAGTCAGTAGTGCATCCCCAAGGTAGACACTACTCGCCCCATAGACTTGTCCCATGCTCCTTCCTCATCTCACAATGTTCTTCCCGCCGAGACCTTAACAGCCAGTAGGTAGCCAGGAATACCAAAAGTTGTACTGAAAGGCATAAAAAAGTATGACCAACGCGGGGCTCGAACCCGCAGCCTTCAGATCGCTATAACTCATAGATGAGATGATAGAAGTCTGACGCGCTACCATTGCGCCAGCCGGCCAGGTTCGTGTCTATCCAATTGTTGATTGGATGCGTTGGACGAAATGGAACTTAGTGGTGCTATGAATGGTGAGATACCGTCATGACTCATGACTCGAGCCGAAACGCACGTCTAGGGCCATCCAGAGTTCTTTTTTAAGGTGAAGTCAACTGACTGAGCTCTTTTGAAGCTTCTTGTGCCCTACTTGGGTTGTGTAACGTGTTGGTTTGACTTGAGGTTGAATAAACCCTCACAACATGCTATAACCCCCCAACTATCCCGTTCTCTCTGGCCTCTTGCACGAGATTGTGCACGTTCAAGAAGGACAAATCGTCCGCTACTGGATGAAGAAGTGTTATTGAAACAAAAAAGTAGCAAAGTTTCGATCTCCCGTCAAAGTTCATAAGCTTGGTGGCTTGGGTTGTGAGGCTCTATTTGTGCTCCATTTGTCTGAACTCAAAACCCTAAAAGTCCACATGTCACTTTAAACATATTTGGCGTGCGTCGAAAAGGCATTATCAAGACAGCCAGTGAAAACATGCGGTGCATTCTTTCTTTGCATGGTTTCGAATGTTCAAGACCTCAATCGGCAGGCTTGTTCGAAATGCGCTAGCTCAGCATGTGCCGTCTATCTCACCCAATAGTAGAAACCCAAAAAGAGAGCACCAATTGCAGTTTCATATTAAGACAACAGCCTGTTTGAACCGTTTCCCTGGCACCTGTAGTCATTCAGCGTACGCGATTAATTTCTAGGTCCAAGGCACCGCCTTGCGAGGAGCGGAGGGAAGTGGGCGCCATTCAATGCAGGTAGCATAGCGCCGATTAGCGATGCTCTACAGCCAAGCGGCACCATGAATGATATATTCTGATAGCACTTAGCGGAGTCTGAACATATTGTTTTCTGGTCGTAAATGGAGTCAAAGCCGAAAGAACACCCTGATTCTTGACCAAAAAGGTGGTGATCGTAGTGGAAATAGGCTAGCGGAAAAAATGGCGAAATCGACAGCCCCGATTGCGAAAGCCGTTGACTTCGTCCAAAGGCCCAGTCTGCTGGCCTGAAAGCCACCCGGTTGGTCAACAACTGGGCGGATGTCGTTCGGGGACCCACTGACGGTACCACCGAGGCATCGGGGCCCCGGTGATTGCAGTAGGCTCGGACTCGGCCCTGCATTGAGCCTTTGGAGAAGTATTGCAATCCACGGGATTGGATTTTCGACGTTAGGTCGCGGACTCTTCCGTCATAGCTACTAGTATACATCATATAAGAACCTCCATGTTTTCAACAGGCTAATCTGAGTTGGTCTAGCTATCCGGTTCCTGCACGTGCATCAAAGATCCAGCTTCGTGATCTGCGAGAAGACAGACAAAACCATGTTGCCGGTCCCTAGCTTGTCGACACTGGCGACGCTGGCGCTTGGCGCCTCCGCCGTTGTTGCTCAGACGGTGCAGCAGCGCCAGCCCAACATTGTCTTCATCCTGACGGACGACCAGGACGAGCAGCTGGGCTCCCTTGACTACATGCCCTATGTCCAGAAGCACTTTGTCAAAGAGGGCACGTATTACCGCAAACATTTCTGTACCATTGCAATCTGTTGTCCGTCTCGCGTCAGCTTGTTGACAGGCCAGGCGGCCCACAACACCAACGTCACTTACGTTACGCCTCCCCACGGTGAGTTGACATTCACAACCATGCTCTATCATAGGCAGGTGGACATTTCTAACCAAACTAATAGGTGGCTACCCTAAGTTTGTGTCCCAGGGCTACAATGAGAAGTATCTGCCTGTATGGCTCCAGGATGCTGGATACAACACCTACTACACTGGCAAGCTCTTCAACGCTCACAGCACCGACAACTGGAACAATCCCTTCCCCAAAGGATGGACTGGCAGTGATTGTAAGTTTCCGACTATGGACATGATGTTGTATCATGTTGCCTTGCTGATGTGTATCAATTAGTCCTTTTGGACCCCAATACATATCTCTATCTGAACGCCACGTTCCAGAGAAACCAGAGCCCGCCTCAGACCTTCCCTGGCGAGTACAGTAATGACTTGGTTGCCGACAGAGCATTGGGTTTCTTGGATGACGCTCTCAAATTCAATGGCAGCAAGCCCTTCTTCCTTGGTGTCGCGCCAATTGGTCCTCACAACAACGGCCTTGGCGGCGAAACAAGTGCAGGTGCCACGCCGCCTATCCCGGCAAAGAGACACGAGAACCTTTTTGCCAACGTCACTGTGCCTCGTACTTACAACTTCAATCCTGAGAAGGTGAGGGCTCTATTGTCCCGTCGTCTCAGTCTCAAAAATGGCGACTAACGATCCCAAAGCCCAGCATGGCCAACTGGGGACTCATCATTCCCCAGCTGAACGCCACTGAGGTAGCCTACGGTGACAACTACTACCGCCGCCGTCTCCAAACGCTGCAGTCCGTCGATGAGATGGTTGACGCTATAATCAAGCGCCTCGACCAGGCCGGAATTCTCGACAACACGTATGTGATATTCACGTCCGACAACGGTTTCCACATCGGCCAGCACCGGCTTAAGCCTGGTAAGACATGCGCTATCGAGGAGGACATCAATGTGCCGTTCCTCATTCGCGGTCCCGGTGTGCCCAAGGGGAAGACGGTCGACTTCGTCACAACCCACACTGATATCGCCCCGACCATTTTTTCGCTTGCCAACATCAACCTGCGTGAGGATTTCGATGGATCTCCCATTCCCTTCTCTGAAGAAAGTATCACGAAAGCTCAGAATGACCCCAAGCACGACCATGTAAACGTTGAGTTCTGGGGAACCCAGCGGGGGTACGACGCTTTCGGGGGCGGTAAGCAGATCCAGTTCTGAGGGTTAAAGGTCTGCTTTGCTGACAAGCGCTATCTCTTTCCACAGTTGCTGCGAACAATACATACAAGGCCATGCGCGTCCTTGGAGATGGATACAGTCTGTTCTATTCGGTCTGGTGCAGCAATGAGCGGGAGTTCTACGATATGAAGGTCAGTGCGATTCCAGATCTGATGCTTTCCGACACGATGAACACTCACTAACCTTCCTTACAGAAGGATCCGGGTCAGATGAACAACCTTGCCAGAAGCGCCTCCGGCAAACTCCTGGACCGTCCGTTGTCTGTCGTGCAAGACCGACTCGATGCCCTCCTGTTGGTTCTCAAGAGCTGTAAGGCGGAAATCTGCAGACTTCCCTGGAAGCACATTCATCCTGAGGGTGGCGTTGAGAACCTCCGTGATGCCCTTGACACCAAGTACGACGAGTTCTATGCGAGACAGCCCAAAATCTCATTTTCGGATTGCAAGGACTTCTACGATATTAGCTCTGAGGGTGTCCAGGATGCTCTGGTTTTTTATGACCCGTGAGTAAAGTTCTATAGCGGTTTTCAAACACAAATAAGTAATTAAAGGAAAGAAGATCCATGACAACCAAGAGATTACAAGACTCTGAGCAATCAGTGGTGTCTGAGGACCTTTGAGACATTACTAGAATCAGCATTGAATGAACGAGTTGCAAAACTTTTGCCCGCGGTATCTCCCCTGATGGCGCCTGCATACAGTGTCTGCGGTGTACAAATAGACACTTGGACATCATAAATTAAAACGCCTGGGTAGACTCAACCCAAGTTAGCGGGACATAAGGTAAAATTAGAGTTAGTTCGAGTTCCATGATATGGAATTCAACATCCTAGTTTGACTACTCCTACTGAGGCCTAGACATACAGTGCTTTTCGGGCTTTCATTAGAATCTTGTGATAAGTTTGAGCAAATACACCAATCGTGGTGTATACAAGTAGTGAATGCAACTAAATTCCAGAATCCAAATGAACCATGGAAGAGAGTAGAGTGCGCCTCTTAAATATTTCCAAATAAGTGAATAATTCTTCAGTCCATCTCAATGTTCAGCTTGTCAGCTAGTCTCACCCCGTACCACACCATGCCAAAAATGCCGATGAGGTTGAGATGAATACTCATGGCGTGGCTAAACGAAAAGCGCCTCCTGACAGCGTGCATGTCCGGGCTTGGCTCGTCCACAGCATCCGGTCGCTTTGCATCGCGAGTTTCTGTTGTATGTTAGTGGTCAATACTCGACCAGCCACATCGGTCTGGGCTTGGACCCAGGACTCACCTTGATGAATGCGGTCGATCATGGCCTGTCTTGTCTTCGGTCCGTATATGAAGAGGTTTGCCATAGTTGTGAGACCAATAATTGCAAAAGGGATCCAGTCGCGCTTTTCCCTAAGCAAAGATGGCGGGCCATACGGAGGGAATGTGATGGCGGTCAATACTAAGAGAGCTGCCTGGCATCGGAAGTAAACAGGGAAGAGGCGTTTTTGCAATGTCGTGAAGGCGGACTTTGGAAGCTCGCTGTGGCAGACCTTAGTATTAATAAAGGTTTGGAAAAGTGATGTGCCGAGCAGGGTCGCGTATGAGATGATGTGGTAGGGGGCGAAATTTGTCATGAACGCAGGCAGAGAGACAGCCATGGTGTCTGTGTTAGGCGGGGTAAAGAGTGATATATCCTATTCTTGGCCAGGTTGTTGCAATATGGAAAGCACAAAGATTCCCTTCAAGCTTTATAAGTATTCGTGTCTTTGTGCCTTCAGTGCGAAGCGACGAGTCCGCATCAGCTGTAATTGTAAGTTCCGAGCACCATCGGATAGAAGTGGATAATTTGCAAACTCCGGCCGGTAAGTGGGGCCTTCTGCCTCCATTCATTTTCGATCTCCGTTCCCGGACATACGGCTGCGAACTGGCATGGTTCTAATTTCAGCAGGGCTGAGTCCGATTTTAGTGCAGCTGGGAGTTAGTGCGTAGTTATGGACCCTCCATTGGGGTTGACTCCAGCGTACTTTACATAGCATTGATTCACACGTAGCTGGCGATTCTGATGGTTCAGTAGTAGGTGACTAGTGTCGAAGCCCCCATTGGGCCAAGCCTTAGAAATGGCTCGGGTATTAACCATTGATGCCAGACCCGCCTGGAAGCTTGTCCCATAAGCACAGGGGAATGTGAACAACGGGAATACTACACTGCTGAGGGTTTTCATGGTTCCTTCCTAGATGATCAGGTCATGGGTTAGTAACTAGAACTTTGGGAACATCCCCACCAACAAAACGGGACGAAGCTCTCTCCCTTATTGAACTTGATTAAGTAACAGGCAAAGCTTACCATGGCGTAAGATAACTCCTGAAATTATCACATGGTGGAATGCGTGAGATTTATGACTATCACATTACCAGTTGATTTGCTAAACAATTGCTTTGTCTTTCCAAACAATACCAATTTCCAGTCACCGGTCTCAACAAACCTCTACAACTAAAATCCATGGATGATCCTGTACCAAATGCCTGAGTCTAAATAAGAAGTTTCCGCTTAAAACCTTCACTTCCAAAAATTGTATCTATCATTCGAATCGTTATGCAATCGTTAATGGGTAATTACCGGGCCACCGACAGCCTTTCCAATGTTTTTCACTCCAAACGTACTGGCAACCACGCCAATACCAGCAAGGCCCACACAGCACCACAGCCCAGTGTTAAACTGCTGCAGTTGGCTATGGCCTTTGTTTATGTCCACAGCCTGAACAACAGCACTTGCGAGTGCAAGGCCCACGCCGCTACCAATCTGGAACGCCGTGTTGATCATGCCGCCGCAGAGGCTCTTGACGTTGACGGGTACCGAGGCCAGAAGCACGACGGTGATGGTACAGTAGACTATTGTCGTACCAGCAACACCCATTACGGTGGTTGGGAAGACGTGCTTCCAGAAGTTGAGGTCGTCCTGCTTCATAAGTGCCGAAGGGATAGGTGCGATTGCGCAGATGGCCATGCCCGCAATAAGAAGGTACTTTGTGTTGAAGATTTCAAGCATGCGAGACATGGAAAGACTGAAAATGAAGCCTGTTGCGCCCATCGGAAGGAAGCGAAGCGCTGTTTCGCCGGCGCTGAGCTTGTTGACTTCCTGGGCGATGAGGGTTGTGTAATAAACTGTTGTCTGATATCCGCCATACATAACTGGGAAGAAGTTAGCCACCTCTTCTTGTCTTGGTGAATCTACAATCAACTTACCAAAGCCGCCAATCCAGAGAGCGGCAAAGTTCTGAAGCTTCCATAGTGAAAGCGGCATGATAGGGTTGGGGACCTTCTTCTCCACGTAGGTGAAGGCAACTATCAACGCGATACTGAGAATGAGCAGGGCAATGATGAAGGCCTTGCCCCAACCGTACTCGCCACCGCTCGATAGAACGAAGCTGAGCAAAATGAGGCCAGCTGTAGAGAGCCCAGCACCAACAAAGTCCAGCTTGGGCTTGGAGTTGCCCTCGAGCCTGTCTTTGGGTAGGAGAATCCAGCCAAGAACGCCAAGGGCACCGCTGACTGCAGTGGGGATATAAAAAATGTAACGCCATCCAAGAGAAGAGGTCAGAAATCCGCCAAAGATTAGACCGAGGCAGAAGCCGACAGCACCAGCGGCACCGAAAATGGTCAGCGCGAGAGTTCGGTCTTTAGCGACGAAGTAGTTGCTGATGATGCCGACGGCCGAGGGGACCGTCATCGCAGCACCAATACCTTGCAGAGCTCGGAAGATTGCCAGCTGGATGAAAGAGGTTGCAAAGCCGTTGGCCACTGTCCAGATGCTAAGTGTTGCCATGCCGGAGCAGAAAATGAGCTTGCGACCAAACCGATCAGCAAGCACACCAGCAAGCAGGAGGAAGCCGCCAAACGTCAAAGTGTAGGCCGAGATCAACCACTGCAACTCTCCATTTTTGACCTTGAAGTCCCTCTGGATGGCGGGAAGAGCAATGTTGACCCCTGTCATGAAGACATTATCGATAAGCTGAGCCCCGCAAGTGCAAAGAAGCACAACGGCTCCTCGAAACGAGGTGATGGTGCCAATATCTGGGTAGGCCTGACCGGCGCCGATCTCATACTCGGCAGGCGTCTGCGTACCGGAGGTCGCTTCAGGAGAGGGCGGTCCCGAGGTCAAGCCAGAAATGGGAGATGGAGGGCGCGTGGACTGTGGCGTCGTGAACTCTGAGGGTACTTCGCGGATTGTGCTCACGGGGCCTTGCTTCGCTGCTCTTGGGAAAGAGGGCAGCTCAAAGACATTGTCTTGAGATTCGCGCCGGTCCCGAGATCGGTGCTTGCTCATCGCCGAGGCACTGCGAACGAGCTCCTCTAGGTCTTCGGAGTGGTCATTTTCGAACGTCACCCGCGAGGTTTGTGAGGCTGTACTTCTACGGCGGGTGACGGGCATGCCTGGGAACCCAACGGGAGGGACAAAAGTCGGGACTTCTTCCAATGCCGAGGTGCGAAGGCCAAGGGGCTCGCTGTCCGTGTCCGCTGAGAGCCGATGGTCGAGAGATCGCTTCTCGTGTGTCATCTTAGGTCTTTTTGGTTGGGTTCTGGAAATAGTCAGGAACACCAATACGTGGAGGAGTTTCAACCTCAACGAATTCTACTGAGATGCATGAGCGTCTTGGGATTCAAATTTGTGTCGGAGCGTTGTGTTCGAAATTGTGTTCATATTGGACTCGCTCCACGAAAAGTTGCAGTGATGTCGACTTAATAAAACCTTGTTGGTTGGGCAGGTTTTGCCACACGGCAGGATTTTGTCATTCTGATCTCCGACCTCAGGCGATTCACATGCCATGATGCTCCACAAAGGTTTCCACATCACTTGCGCGCCAATCCTACGCAACAGTTGTCTGTGGTGAAGTCGCATGCGTGCCGAGCAAGCTTAGGTCAGGTTTCTTCTGGGCTAGTCTATAACGGAGATGGGTACCATCGGGAGCAATGGATAGTACTGGACATAGTACCGGAGGCTGTAAAAATGTCTCAGGGACCTTGGATTTAGGGTACTGGCTATCTATGTGTAAGGCTGAATACTGCTGGCCGATGCGGTGCTTGATTCGAAAATTTCGATGGGACGGGAAGATTCCGTTTCGAACAAAGCCGTCATAAGGGCTCCACTCGTAAGACTTGCACAAGGATCCAGACCCTTACGCCAGTGTCGACGGCGCTTTGAAATTTCCTAACTTGCTAAAACAGGCAAGTCTAAGCAGCAAACCCCGGTAGTTGGGCTCCCTCTACCTTATTTCGGAATCCAGTTTCCGATGCTATCAATCTGTTTTGCCCAACCTGCCCCTCAACCCCTCTGGTTCTTCCAAGCTCACCGTGATTGCTCTGCAGGCTCGTCGATCAGGGCCCTCTCTTGAGCCGCCACGTCTTGGTGACTCCTGCTACCACCTCGCCATGCGCTACAATGCTGCAATGCATGTGCAGCGCATCGCACCCTTATCGTCGGCCAATAACATCCCAATCAATGAGGTGTACAACATCCAGGTCGTGCCGTTTTCGAAATCCGAGTTTTCACTTTTGGCCTTCACATTTCACAAGGTTGGCACCGCTGTGTCCGCTGCGGAGAGTTTCGCAGCTGTTAGCCCGCCAAGTGCAAGAATGCTTTCAGCATTCCGCAACTCGAGAACAGTGAAGACAACTCCCATCCTTTGCCTAAACCAATTACGCAACTCCACTGTCACCAGCGAGTCCGTTTGCAAAGGCAACGACAAATTAACTTCCTCGTCTTGCCGCATCATGAACCCCTTCAAGGCGCCGCCGATTTCCTTTGCGAGGAACTCTTGTGCTTCCCCAGATGACAGCTTCGCTGGATCTGAGACGCAGCTCTGGAGGAATTCTTTCAAAGAACTGCACGTCTCGTGCTGATCATGAAGCTGTCGGGTAGATGTTGCATTCGCAAGACACAAAGTGCGTGGATCTCGCTGCCACCCAGTCCTGTTGGCGGAAGGGGACGGCCGCATGCCGATTGCAAGTTGACTAGGATTCGTATAACCCTGGGCCAGGCCCCTCTCTTGTTTCATTCCTATATCACGACTGCCGTCGGACCGCTGAATCATCAACTCCATAGCATCGAGCAAATCCTGCTCATGGAGGCAGTGTTGTGAGATTGTGCGGAGGGCTTCCAAACGATTGTTCTCTCTTGCAAGGACGCCAATGTCTTCCATGATTCCGATATCAAGAACAGAACATGCGAGACCCTGAGAATGTCGGTATTGCACGAAGGCGTCCAAGAAAGTATTACCGGCGGCATAGTTGGCCTGGCCAATCTGACCGCCAAGTCCTGACAGAGAACTGAAGAGAAAGAAGAAGTCAAGCGGTTCCCTTTGCGCCTGAAGAGCGTAGTGGAGATTCCATGTTCCCTGAACCTTAGGGGACACTGTGGCTCGCCATTGCTCGAAAGTCATGTCGGCGAAGTTCATGTCCTGACGTCAATCAGTATTGGACATCTCAAAAAGAGGCGACAGGAAACTCACCTGGAGAACCATAGCTGCGTGTAAGACCCCAGCAACCGGAGCCGTCGAAGAGTCCACCATCTTTACCACATCAGCCATTTCATCAACGCTGCCAGAAATGACTTGAACCTTGCAACCAAGATATTCGAGCTCCTTGAAGTATCCTGGTTGAGTTTTGGCGATTTCCTCAGCCGACCTCGAGAAGAATATTAGGTTTCGAGCTCCCCTCTCAACAAGAAACCGAGCAGTAGCTTGGCCCAAGCCTCCGACACCGCCAACAATGATGTAGGCTCTGTCCGGACGGAGAACCATTTGTGTTTGCAAGGGACGTGCTTGAAGCTCCCCGCTCTTGTGAGGCATGGTTACGACAACCCGCCCAATGCGTTTGTCGGATCGGAGATGTTGGAATGCTAACGCCACATCGGAAGCTGGGAAGGTCCTAATTGTTGGGGCTGGTTTGTTCAAGCCAAACTTGTTGAGTGTGAAGGCTTGTTCCAAGAGCCTAATTATATATTCGGTTAGTGGCACGATAGCACCAGTCCAACAGGCGAAGAAAATACTCACCGGGTGCATTCTCGCGGACGATGAGTCCTCAGATCTTCAAAATCTATACTTACGAAAGTTCGATTACCGCATATATGGTTTATCTGAAGATGGTTTGTTTTGCAGGCCTTATCTTGGACAACGTGTATCATGGTCCCAAGTGGTGAGACACAATTCCAGGACTCTTGGATGAATCCAGGTAGGGTGTGGAACACAATGTCGACCCCACCCTTCAGCTTCAAGATTTCTTCCAAGAAAGAAGTGTCCTTGCAGCTGAATATAAGGCCCTTGGGGATCTCATACAGATCTGTGAGATGCCTCGCCTGTTCCGAAGTCTCAACCGTACAAAGAATCTAGGAGAACAGCCCAGTAAGCGACAAGCACGGAAAAACGAAATGAGGGAATAGGGGGTGGTCACCTCGGCACCAATCAGTCGAGCCACCTGGATTGCAGCGGATCCAAGAGCATCAGAAGCTGAATGGATCAATACGGACTAAAAGGTTAGTACATATGCAGAAATCAATGATGAAAGAAACCCACTTGGCCCTTTTTCAATTTTCCAAGTTCCATCAGTCCATGTAGAGCTATGCCAAACGAGTACGGTGTTGAGGCAGCATCCTCGAAGCTCACTGCATCTGGGATCTCTGTACATAATGACTCTGGCAATATGACTGAGGTAGATAGAGCGCCGCGGTTATTGAAGGCAACCCGGTCACCGATTCGAAATTGGTTGGCATTAGGTCCCATACCTGTAACAATGCCACTACCCTCAAGTCCAAAGATGTTAGAGATTCTGCTATCACTTGAAGTGGTACTCAGCGAAACGTTTAGATCCTAGAGAATCGGTATTAGAATTGTGTTCCTCAAGTGGTTGGAACGGCCGAACACACCTTAGTGTTGAGCCCAACAGCTTTCACCTCAACTTGAAGGTTATCTCCACTCAAAGCAACAGGGTCGGCTTCTTCCCATCTCAATGTCTGTAAGGCTCCAGGCTTAGTGATGTTTAAGCTTTTCGGGACGTTGCCGCGCCGCTCGCTCAATTCTTCCTTGACCTTGGTCGAGTGAAACCGACAAATCTGGATTGATCCATTGGCGAAGACATATTCAGAATCTGGCTCAACCTCACCACCGCCGATGCGCCCTCCAAAGGATTCGAGCACAGTGGCAACAGCACCCCATCCAAGAGCGTCAAAAGACTCCAACTCGATGGTAGCCAGGTCCATCGCCAACTCTCTTCGCACGCTGCGAGCGGCACCCAATGTTAAAGAGTAATTCGGAGCTTCGCAGTGGATTTGAGAGGCACCCGTAACCCAGAGCATTTTCTCGTCTTGTGCTGACAATAGAGATTTCTTCAAGTCGTTCCATTGCGTGGCGCCCATGTTGTGAAAGAAGGGAGATTCCAGGTCCAACAGCCACAAGATGGGTTGACCCCAAGGAAGCTCTTTTCCAGGAGAAAAGTACTGTAGAGAAAAACCTCGGGACTGCAATAGCTTCACTGCGTCAGAAACAACCGGATGTTCGGGGTCTTGACAGACGACGCTTGCTTTCACAGGCTTTGAGAAATATTGGCAAGGCGTGGCAACAGTGACTTTGCCATGTTCTCCGGTGAGTGTAAAAGTCGAGGCGTCGTCGAACCCGGCACGACTTAACTGATTCTGCAAGGCCCCCAGGCTTGATTGTGACTCAGATCCGAGACCCATTTCGGGAACAAGACCAAAAGCGAGCTGGAGAGCCTTGGAGACAGGGTTGGAATAGTGAAGAATCAAGCGGCCTCGAGGTTTCAGAAGCCTCCGCATGTTGATTATTGAGGACATTGAGAAAGACGATATGGTTCGTTGAGAGATAATGAGATCGAAAGATTCCTCAGCAAATCCCTGGGGAATGGGGTCCTCCTCAATAAATAATTGTTTGTAGTGGGCATCTGGTGCTGGTTTGAACCGCCTATCCATCAGTACTGTTGGCTTGGTGAGGACGCCGGTGTAGGTGTAGGTGCCATAGGCACGCTTGCCTCCTGGAGGGAAAAGCGTTGATGATACATCGGCAGTCTCTGCTGCGGGATCGATGTGCAAAATACTCATGTTTGGTTTCTTGTGTCCTAAGAGTCGAAGAAAATCTGAAAAGTCCACGTCGTCAATGAACTTGAGACATCCAGTTAGATGGTCAGGCTGCGTTAGTGTCTTCTTTGCGTACGAGGAGCCCGAAAAGCAACCTGCGCTGAATATGTGAGCGCGGCAGACTGCATGGGCAATGTCTGAGAGGGCAGTGCCCCTACAAAACTCGAACAGTTTTGATATGAATCCATGCCTTGTCTTGTGGCTCATTGTCGCGACTTCGAATGCGTTCATAACTTCGGGGTACTGTCCGGTCATGGCCTCCCTATACGAAGTGTCAAGCCAGCTTTTGAACTCAACTAGATGAGGTTCTGTAGCCGGGAGGAACTGGAGCTGAGCCCTCAGATCAACGATACAGGCCAGTACCAAACCATCCAACACATGGGCGTTTGCATCTGCCTGCCGCTTGCGCAATAGTTGCGAGGGGCTGACGAAGTCGATATCGGGCTTCCACTCCAGGACAACACCGGCGTGGGAGTCGTCCTTTTCGTTGTTGGGGCTGTTTTCAAGAGCGTTGACTTGTAACCCAGAGATGTCAACGACTGTTCGTCCCTCACAGACCCCAACGACCTTAGTTACAGGAGCAACCTGGTCTAGGGTCTCAGTGCTGGCGATGACTTGAATGGACCCAGTAGCCTTTCCGACGAACACCTCGTGAATATAAGTTGGCACCACCAACTCCCTGAAATTTCTAGCAAGACCTTGGCAGCTAGCGATCATGGCCACATGCATGCTCGTGTCTAATGTTGCTGGATGAACCGCATAAATTGCGTTGCTATAGGTCGAGAGCTTATGATCGAGCGTTGCAACAGCTCTCGCTTCAGTGACGTGTGAGTAGATACTGGAAATACCACGGAACGTGGTGCCATAGTTCAAGCCGAATCTTTTCCAGTTGTTATAGAACGAAGTTTCAGAGACTTGGCGTGGTAGGGTAGGCATGCTTGGGGGGAGACGTTTCTGCCCCGAACCCGCTCTGCACAAGCCGAAAACATGCTTAACCCAGACTTCGCTCCCTTCGGTTAGTGAAGATATAGAAAAATTGTAGCAAACCGCTTGGCCCAAGGCCCTAGGCTTTGCTGGGTTAAGAACCGTCACCAGTTCGACCGGCTCACCGCTGAGTACCAAAGCGGACTCGAAGGAAACCTGATTAAGGGTAAACTCAACAGACCCTGTAAGCTGCCTCAAAGCCTCTCCGATCATTGAAATGAACCCCGTTGCGGGGAAAACAATCTCGTTTCTGACGACATGATCCCGTAGCCACGGGACGTCGTCGACGCGCATATTGCATCTCCAGGCCGGGCACGCGTCCGAAATTTCCTCGACCCGAGAACCAAGAAGTTCGTGATGAGGGAACTTCCTGAAACGCCAACTGCGTGAAAGCCTACTCTCGAGCCAATACTCCTTGTCATAGTGCCATGGGTATGTTGGCAGGTCTGTCAGAAACTCGCCTGGAGGGTTGACTATCGTAACGTCGATGTTCGTACCGGCTAGCCAAAGCTCACCAGCTGTCTTGAGAACAGAAGACACTGCGTCCTGATTACGCACTAATGTCGGGATATAATGAGCTGTTCTCTTCTTAAGCTGCAGTATCTGGCGGATCGGCCCAGCGAGGGCGGAATGCGGGCCAAGTTCGACAAAGACTGGTGATTTGAAATCATCTAGCACTGATTGAACTGCTGTGCTAAACAAAACGGGCGACACGACATTATCTACCCAGTATGAATGGGATATGTCCGTGTGCTTTGCTCCAGTTACAGAGGAGTAGAATGGCATATTTGGTTTCCTGGTGTGTAATAGGCCTTCTATACGCGATCTGAAATCATCGGCTGCCGTTTGCATGTGTTCTGCGAGTCAAATTTAGTTAAGAGTCCGGCTGAGGGCAGCAAAGGTTGAGCTTACGAGAGTGATAGCCACACTCGACGTGAAGGTTCCGAGTAAGTACCTCAGGATTCTTCAACCGAATCTCGTGCAGAATCTTTTGCAGAACGTCGCTCTCACCTGACAGTGTCACGTTGGAAGGTGAGTTTTCACATCCTATAATGACTCCTGGGAGTAAAAACCGCTCAACTTGTTTTCGGCCAAGGCCAACGGCAGCCATACTGCCGTTATGTGCCGCTTTGATGAGGCGAGTGATCTGCCCTCGGTGATATGCGATGAGAATTGCCTCTTCAGCTGTGATGGCGCCACTTGCGTAAGCGGCAGCGGTCTCTCCCGAAGAGTGACCAACTACCGCACTTGGTACCACACCCCATGAGCGAAGTAAGTCGACAAGAGCGACTTGTATCGCGACGAGACATGGCTGCGAGAACTCTGCTTCAGAAAGGCGACTCTCGTTCTTGGGGGACAAAAGCAGTCCTGCATGTTGGTTAGTGTGTCAGTCGGTATTATCGGTTCAAGGACGCCCATACCTCTTAACGTCCAAGGCGGAGGTTCAGAGAGTCCAGCAAGGACTCTGTCAAGAGCGTTAATACGTTCTTCAACTAGGGGTTCTTTTTCCACGAGTTCCTTGCCCATCTGTGCCCACTGCGCTCCTTGGCCAGTAAACACCCAAACCAGGTCAGCTGTCGAGCACCTCGGCTTGGTGATAGGAGAAACCTGCAGTGCGCCGTGGCCGTCCGTCACACAAAATGCGCGATGTGTGTTAACCTCCCGGCGTGCGGTCAGTGAGTATGCGACATTACTAAGACTCTGTGGAGAACGATTCAAGTAATCCCCAGTCTTCCTTGTCAGGGTTTGGACGGATACAGGGTTTTTGGCAGTGAACGTGAGCAGGCGGAAGTCGAGAGCCTCGGGGTTCGATTTGTTAGAAATTTTAGTTGAAGGCAGGCCAAAGCATGCAGCGGATTCAAGCAAGACCTGACAGGACATCAGTTTTGCAAGGCAACAGCCAGTGTAAATACTCACGTGAGCATTAGAGCCGCCAATTCCAAAGCTGTTAACCGAAACTCTTTCAAATCTGTCGGTAGGCCAAGGCAGAGGCTCTGTTGGAACCTTGAGCTTGGCGGCTTCCCACGGAACTAGATTTAATGTTAGCAGCCATTAAACACGAAGAGAGAATATCCTGGTAAATCCTTACTTCGCGGGTTGGGTGTTTTGAAGTTGATGTTTGGCGGGATAGTCGAGTTTTCCAACGCTAGCACCATCTTGATCACGCTTGATAGGCCTGAAGCCCCTTCGCCGTGTCCGATGTTTGGTTTCACCTGATGAGAGTGCTTCAGTGTCAGCCAACTGACTTTCACCTTGAAGAGTGCACAACGTAGCACGTACCGATCCGATGTAAATGCCATGCTCGCCCCAGATATTGGCAACGGCGCCTACTTCCAAAGGATCTCCTACCTAAAAGACAGAAATGCTAGTTAGCGCTGCAAGTTAACCAATATCACGTTGGCATAGTTCGACTTACAGAGGTACCAGTGCCGTGGCACTCTACCATTGCAGTTTTCGATAAATCTGTGATACCAGCTAGTTTGTGCCCCCTCCTCATCAGTCGTTCATGAATCTTGGGGTTTGGTGTCGTCAGTCCAGGGGTTCTTCCGTTTCCAGCAATGCATGTGGAGCGAATAACAGAGCGGATGGGATCGCCATCTCTCAATGCATCAGACAGTTTCTTAATGTAGATGGCAGACACCCCCTCGCCTCTGGCGAAACCGTCAGCATCGGCGTCAAAGCTCTTGCAAGATCCTGAAAGTGATAGGACACCGTTCTGGTGCATGATGGCAGTGTCCTTGGGCGTGAGAATGAGGTTGACCCCTCCAACCAGTGCAGATGAGCAGTCACCGCTATGTAGATCTTGACAGGCTTGATGCAGTGCAACTAAGGAGGCGGAACATGCAGTCCGCACAACAATGCTTGCTTTCATGTTAGCCCTCAAAATGGAAGATCAGAAAAGTAAACATACCTCGGACCCGTTAGGTCAAATTCATACGAAGCTCTGTTGGCAATAATGTAATCTCCGTATACGTCTGGCCGGACAGAATTGAGGTTTTGCTCGTCACGAGATTCGATCGTGTTCCAGTCGTCTCCCATGGTGCCGACATACACCCCGACATCATTACCTCTCCATGATGTTGAGCCGGAATTTTCCAAAGCTTCATAAGCAACCTCAAGAAACAAGCGTTGTCGTGGATCCATGAGCTCGGCCTCTTGTTTCGTGAACGACCAAAAGCTGGGATCCACGTGTGCCAGGTTCAACTCTTCGAGGAAATAACCAAAGTCGGTTGGGACGTGAGACACTCTGCCGGGCCCATACCAGTTATTGATGCTGTAGCGGCTTTTGGGCACAGGACAACGACCGCTCTTGCCGTTGACAAGAAGGTCCCAGTAGTCGGCAGCGTTCTGGATGTGACCCGGAAGCCGCATGCCCATGCCAATGATGGCAATAGGTTCGTAGAGGCCAGAATCCTGACCTGGGTCGTTACAAGCTTCATTCATTGCGAGAGTGGTATTTTTGTACACAATGGCTGGTAAGAGGGCTGCTATTGAAGTTGATCGAGTTTTTTGTAGCTGCTAGTTTTGTCTGCCAGTAGATACTAGCTGATATCCACTGTTCGGAGAACGATCTCGGTTCATGGGCCACACCGAACTTATGTGAAGGTTTCCACGGCGCTTTTGTATCAAAATTTCTCGTTTTCCATTAGTGTCAATCTGGGTATGTCGCAGCTGGCGCCTATTGCATTGCATCCTGATCAAATTGGACTACAGCCCGAGCCATCCACAATCAGCTCTTCCACCTCGTACGTAAAACAACCTTTGAAGGCAGCATGTAAGTCTAGAAACCAAGCCCAGAAAGGAACCCAGTTGGATTATGGCGCAACAGCAACGCAAAGCCCCGCCAAAGGATTTGACCAGTTCGAGGTCGAAAGCCGATGGCTTAGGTCAGACCAAGTTTGCATGTGTGTGTGGAATTCAGGTGAGTCAAAATCATAATTATACCCCAGCTGAACTCCCAAGACTGCCTCGCTGGTCATCAAAAACGCAATATGCATGTTCTTGTTGGCTACTAGTGTCGAAAAATGCATTAACTCCTCACCAGTGACGAGTAGTATTCTGCAACGAGTGGACCGATTGGGGAGGAGTGCGCACTCTTTCCCTTCGGCAGGATGCGCAGGATCTAGGGCCTCACGGCGCAGCACCCAGGTGGTTGTCACCCCCACACACACCCAGGTGTGACCTGCATATTGGCGAAACTGACACCGAGTCCTCGACCTCGCAAGCAGAGAGGGCTGCACGCGACATGATGGAGTGGGCTTTGCACATGAACGACATTGGAAACATCAGACGGACAACTGGAATTGGGAAAAGGTCCGAATCTCGCCGGCGCAAACGCGATGATTTCTTCTAACGGATGAATGGTTTAAAACCAACGACTGAAGTCTCACGTTCGTTCCTATTCTTGTTCCTTTTTGAAATCTTTAATCCTTTTGGATCTAACGGTCTTGACCTCAAGTCCGCGTTTCCGATAACACCAGCAGCAACGACTAGGGTTGTCAACGAATTGCAGATCGACAGCGGATACTCCCTCCCGACTCCATTTTTGAACCAACAGCTCAATACATTCGCACGGAGATAGTTCTTCTTTGACAAGAGGCTGGGCTTACCTGCAATTCTCCTTACTCTTCTTTTGTGTTCTTCCTCCAAACTCAAACATTTGACGTCTTCAAGCGCGGACTGATGGACTTTCTCGCTCCGGACCCAGTGCTGCTTCATGCACGTTTACGGCCGAACGGCCTGGCCTGCATCGAACTCGCAACCAACCGCAGATGGACGTATTTGGAACTCAACTCCGACATTCAACGCGCAACCTCTGTGTTATGCGGGCAAGGGGTCAAGGCCGGTGACCGAGTGGCGACTATCGCGGCCAACAATGTCCATCAGATCATTCTGCAGCAAGCCCTCATGAGGCTTGGAGCGATCCACGTCCCACTGAACTGGCGTCTTGCCCAACCCGAACTTACGAAGTTGCTGGTGGATTGCGCTCCGGCTATTCTCTTCACGGATCTTGAGCCGCCGCAACTGCCTTTTGGCTGCCACCACGTCAGCTTTTCCCAATTTGCTGCAGAAGTGGATGCTGCAGAGCCTGGCCCTCGCTTGGATGCAAGATCCTCGAACGAAACGAGTGTTATTCTCTACACGTCAGGCACTTCCGGGACACCCAAAGGTGTCATGTTGACTGCTCAGGGTATCTTGGCGACGACTATCAATTTCAGCATTCTGACGGAAGTCGACACTGCCAGCGTCTTTCTCTGCGACGGGCCCATGTTCCATTTCATGGGTCTCATTGCTCAGATTTGGCCAGCTCTATTGCGAGGTGGTACATTCATTGTGTCTCCCAAATTCAACCCCGAAGTCACAAATTCTCGGCTTAGCGATGCATCGTTGAAAGTCACGCATTACTTCTGTGTACCGCAGATGGCCGAGGCCCTCGCTCGCGCATCCAATTTCAACGCCTCAGAGTGGGCCACGCTAAAGGCGCTATTCACTGGCGGAGCTCCCAACCCCCCGCTCGCATCAAATGGTGGCTGAGTCGTGGTATCCGCATGGTTGATGGCTATGGTTCGACGGAGACGGGAACAGTCTCTGGCATGCCATTGTCGAAAGAGCTCATCGGCAACAAGGCGGGCTCTGTGGGCCTCCCAGGCCCGTTGACGGCGGTCCGGGTCGTAGACGAACGGGACGAGGATGTTTCTATTGGTGTATCTGGAGAGATCCTAGTCTCCGGTCCGAGCGTGACCCCGGGCTATTGGAATCAGCCAGAAGAAAACCTTACCGCTTTCACGACAGACGGGTGGTTCCGTACTGGCGACGTTGGGCGAGTTGACGAGGACGGTTATGTCTTTTTGATTGACAGGCAAAAGAACATGTTCATCTCGGGAGGAGAAAATGTGTATCCTGCTGAAGTCGAGGCTGCAATGGCTGAGCACCCTGGTGTGGTTGATGTTGCAGTTGTCGGTGTGCCGGATCAGTTCTGGGGCGAAGCCGGGCGCGCCTACATAGTTGCAGCACCTGGCTTTCAACTCACACACGCAGACTTGGTAGATCATTGCCGTTCACTGATTGCTCGGTACAAGGTGCCAAGAGAAACTGTATTCGTTGGGGATTTCCCTCGGACGGGCTCAGGCAAGGTTCAGAAGCACCTACTAGCAGACGTGTCTGTGGCAAGACTGTAGCAGATCTATTAGATAGAAAATGTTGTATGTACAAGTAAAATGAGAAGTTACTCGCCTCCTCCACAAGCATCTCCAAAATGGAAGAAACACAATGGATGCGTCAAAGAGTGTTTTCTTGAACTGAAAAGCCAAAAGCATTGCGCCGAGGGGGAATCGAACCCCCGGCTCCCCGACGCTGCTGGATGGCAACGGAGAATTTTACCACTAAACCATCGGCGCAGAAGATATCTTGAATCTGGATGTTCGATGACGGCAAATCAGCCATTCTATTGCATTCTGGAACAGCCAGCATTCAAGATTGTGAGTATGGCTTGTATATGCTATGATGACAATCTTGCAGAGGGAAACGACTGAATTCGAGCTTCTCACAACTGTCATTTGGCTCCGATTTAGGTCTTACATCATCTGGGTCGCCGATTTCGGATTGCGGGGTGTCCAATTCTCTTCATTGTGTGGCTCGGCAAAGCGGTCGGTTATCTTGTGAAGTTACTGAGAAGGATCCAACCGTCTGACTCCGCCGATGCACCATGCACAACTCAGGTGTGTCTGCTAAACCGTCAGCTTTCTATATTGAGCAACCAAGTCCGGCCTAACCAATCGCAAAATACTCTGCACCAATACCTCTCTGCGCATTCCACCCATGCCTGTTCAGTCTCAGGCAAGCGCTTATGTGTCGAATAGCGCGGCCATGTCAAGATGCAACAGCTAATCAACTCTCGTCCAATGTTTTGCTGCCTAAACATATTTGGAGCCTGCGCCGAGACGCTACTGAGACTCCTGCTCTCGTGACCGTCGACTTCAGGTTAGTTGCACTTCTTCAAGTAAGATTCAGGTTCCATTTTAAGTTCTCATTCACCCTCCCGAGAAACGCACTGTTCTTGCCCAGCATCGTCCTTCAATGTACAGTAGTGTAGCAATATAGGATCCAGCCCCCAGCGCTAGCGTTATGTTGACAGGTCAATGATCACATTTTCTGTCTCATTCAGACTCCTTGTCCTCTATGTTCCAACATTGCCCCCCATCGCCGGCATTCCGTACAAACGGCGGTGGTGATGGATGCCTGGTAAGCACCTCGCCCCCTCGGCACTTACTGGATCCTCAGCGGCGAGTCATTCAGTTGGTTGTCTCGGGAATCCTTTGATGATGTGGAGTTCCCGATCGTGCAGGTCTTCTTGCCAGCATTGTCCGTTGACAGACCAATTGACCTACTCGCCGACCTATCAGTGGTCCAGGTATTCGCCATGCAGAAGTTGAACGAGGGTTGGTAGAGCATCTCTGGTTCACGATATGTTCGGCTTCATCCTGCCTAACACAATATCCAGCATGAAGATGTACGAGGGCCTAAAGTCCCAGCGGAATTATGGGGCGTCGTCCTCGATTCTGAGTTTCTCCTCGGCATGCTGCACATTGGGTCTACAACTCACCATATCGACTCATTCGGACGTGGAATTTGAAGTCAAAAGGTAATCGTTCCAGACATTCGAGACTACAGAAGATATAAAGCTACCGCCCTGAACGAGATACTTGGCATTTCTCTAAGCTCAGACTTTGGTCTCTCAAAAAAGAAATGCAAAAGGCCGATAGTAACCAAGAGTTAGAGGAAAGGAACCTAAAGCTTCTCCAGAATGACCATCGATTACTTCACTCAATGGATATTGTTGTGCAGTGTCTCAACTGGGTTACAACGAGCCTCAGCGTTCGTATGTCAAAGTGACTATCTTCATAGCTCTCTAGGCGCACAAAGTGCCGTTAGGCGAATTCTAAATGCAAAGATCAAGGTTGCTAGATTTCGATTTCAAGCTCACGTCGTACGCCACTCCGAATGTGCTATGAAGGAAATTCTTCAAAGAACTGCCAAGCCGGTCCCCGGCACACTCATGTCAGATTTCTTAGTATGAATCGACAAGTGCAGGAGTTTGATGGGTCTTGAAGCATCTAGCCAACTGCCAAGCTGTAATATAAGAACAACTGGGAAGAGTCGATCTTTTCGTGCAACTCAACACACGATATTTACATTACGTAGTTTAAGGGACATAAAAACGTAGGTTCCTTGGTACACGGCATTCTTTCTCTGCACATTGTTCGGCCTTAAATTCGTTTTACGCCAACTCACACAACTCAACATTTTGATTGTTCCTTGACATAAACAATCATATGCTTCCATACCATCTGTACTAATGGTGTCAACAAAGCCCCGTCAAGCTTTGCAGCCCCATAATTTGCCGTCACGGCGCCAACTGGAGTGGGATGAATGATCGATATAGAGTAGCTTGGCTAGTTTGGCCCTTTTGCACCATGACTTGTGATGACTCAAGTACTTTCATTTGATGGTTTGCAGGTTCATATATGGTTTTACATGTGTCTGAGTATCTAAATGGAGTTGAAGCTTGATTTTCTTGTCATAGACACTCGGTCACGGCCACCTACTAGCCCTAGTTTGCCCCAGCGAGAGAAGCGCTATGCTCGGCTCAGTACGTATTCCTGACGCCAGGCATCATAGTCGTCTCCTCGTTCATGAGAAATCACAATTTAAATCACTACTCTTGGCCGTATCAGGAAACTAAGATGCATTTCTCAAAGCTCGAAATCGCACAGTCTCTCCGCAATTAGTTAACTAACCCTAGACTCTCAGTCTCTACAACCACATGTTTTCCTGATAAGACATTTCGCTGTTACAATCGTCCGATTCATAGGGAGAAACTTTGGTATCTGAATAGATAATTCTTCGATTGACTGACTCCAACCCAGCATTGACCGATTGAGCAGCGAAGGCAGACCGGGCCAGTTCGGCGCTGTACCCGGCCCCATTCGGATTACACCCCCACTTTATCAGCTGCAGCCGCCGATGCATCTCGCCATTGCGTCCGAGAAATGAAAACAGCGCTGCTACCAGCATGCGAGTCGACCCAGAACTTAATGAATGACAAACATACAGACGAATAATACTACATCATAGCGCCCTTTGTCCGCTCCGGCTCACTTTTCCTATAACCAACAGCGCACCACCCGAACATGCTGTTGCGGTCCATGAGCCGCGCAAAGACGGCATCGAGCAAGAAACCGTACTTCAACCATACTCGTCTGTGCAAGGACTGTTCTTGCAAGTAGTATGCCTATGCCATTTAACACGTCTTTTATACTTTGGTATTCAATAAACACCAGCCAGTATTGTGCCCCAACTAATGCAGCAGCCAGCAGACCGTAGAGCCCAAAAACCACATCATTTAGTTCCGACAGGGACGTTTATCACCTCTGGGACCAAGCCACTCCCCATGGGGATGATCCTCTGAGTCTCTCAACCCCACTCGGTCATGAGGAGTCCGACTTCATCTTGCGCAGGATCGCCAGTTGAATGCCCAAGGGGTATGCTTCGGGGTTTACCACAACGACCGTCCCGTCACCGAGACGTCGTGGGGGACGCCCGTCCTTCTTCGCGAGGCATCCCGGAACACTGCCTTTTCGCGTAGATTTTCAAGTTTTGGCGAGGCGACAATCATCCAGAACCCACCCTGATACCATGATAATCGGCAATGGACTACATGGCTCAAGCTGCATCCGGGTCCACGGTTTCCGTCATTGTTCCACTCCCGACCCGCATTTCCGATGAGCCCACGTCCTATGATGTCAAGTCGCTCGCGGTGCGGACGACGTTGGCGATTCCGTCCCCAGTGAAAAAAAGGAAAAATCGTTTGGGGTTTCCCACTGTTCGAGCTCCGCTGAATAGAAACGTCGAATTACGTGCGGAGGCTGGCCAGACTCGATTCAGGCATGATAGGATTGTTGGATCATTTTGAGGGCCCTATTTCTCCCACCGCTGGCCACAGAGTAGGACCGCGAGCAACGTCTTGGCTAGATAGCGTCATGTCTCCAGTTTGACGTAGGGAACTCTCGGTGGTATTGTGAAAACAAAGTGATGACTGATAAAGACGCCGTTGGCCAACTGGGTCGTAGTCATGAACGTTTGCTGGATTGTTGGTTTTCATTGATGTTTTCGACTGGGCTTTCGGCTATCGACATAGTTATCTTTTCAACAACCATACCTAGATCGTCGATTGGGACGTAGAGCCAACATTATTTGACGTTATCATTATCGGTCACTTACGTCAACCCTCGACCACATCACGGACCGCAAAAGTGCCCCTAAAGCTATTCGTCCAGAAGAGCACGCCAGCATGGCTTCCGTGTCAACTGCCGATAGCACACGGGCTTCCCGGCCGAGTAAAAACGACGACACGGCCCCGGCCCGAGAGAGCAGCGTGACTCGAGATGAACGTAGCTTCGATGCCGAAAAACCCCAACAATCATTTGGGGAAAAGTCCGAGAACCCCCCGAATGGAGGTTTTTTCAAGGACGAACCCGATCGGGATCTCGAGGCCGAGGGCACCGGGAGCCATGATGACTCGGCGGCAGCAAACGGCTGCAAGCAACCAGAGTATACCCCTGACGGGAAGCGCATCATCACCGAGGACGAATGCTACTACCTTTTGGGCTACTCTTGGCCAGCATGGAAGAAGTGGATGCTTCTTTCCTCTATCTTCGCTGTTCAGGTCTCAATGAATTTCAACACCAGTGTTTTCCCGAGCGCCGTCACTCCCATAAGCGAGGCTTTCCACGTCAGTGAGCAGGCCGCCCGTACCGGCCAGTGTGCCTTTCTCGTCCTCTACGCTTTCGGTTGTGAGCTTTGGGCGCCTTGGAGTGAGGAGTTTGGAAGATGGAAAATCTTGCAGTAAGTTTCTATCTTCATTGAATTAGCAGGACACGGCTGATGCTGAGTGTAGATGCTCATTGTTCTTGGTCAACATCTGGCAGATTCTTGCTGCTCTAGCTCCCAACTTTGGTAGTATTGTCGTCGCCCGAGGACTGGTATGTTATGAGATACCCTAAAGCCGTGGATACTTGGCTCATGATTCTATCAGGGCGGTATTAGCTCAGCCGGTGGCAGTGTCACCCTCGGGATGGTTGCCGATCTCTACCAGCCAGAGGAACAACAATGGGCCGTTCTCTTCGTCGTGCTGTCTTCCGTATTCGGTACCTCAGTCGGCCCCGTTGTCGGTGGCCCGATCCAGAAGTTTCTTCCATGGTACTGGAATTTCTGGATTCAGCTCATCTTCGGCGCCACTGTCCAGTTCATCCACTTCTTCATGCCCGAAAGCCGCGCCACCATCATCATGGACAGGGAAGCCAAGCGACGCCGTAAGTCCGGCGAAGACACCAACATCTACGGGCCCAACGAGGTCAAGAAGCCCCGACTTTCCATGCATGAGTTTGCAATCACATGGGTGCGCCCTTTCGAGATGTTCGTCCGCGAGCCCATCGTCCTGTCGTGCTCCCTGCTGTCAGGATTCTCCGACGCTCTGATTTTTACCTTCCAAGAAGGATTCACTCCTGTGTTCAACAAGTGGGGGTTCGGGACTCTTCAAAAGGCCTGGGCTTTCATTCCCATCAACATTGGATATGTTCTGGCATACGTCTCTTACATTCCTTGGATCATAAGAGACCACCGTATCACTAGAACCAAGGGGCCTGACGCGCTGGCCCCTGAGCGCCGTCTCCAATGGCTGTTGTATCTCGCTCCCCTGGAGACAATTGGTCTCTTTGGCTTTGCTTGGACGTCCATGGGACCTCCCGAGTCTCATTGGATCGCCCCCATGATCTTTTCTTGCCTGATCGCCATTGCCAACTTTGCCATTTATATGAGCACGGTTGACTACATGATTGCGGCCTATGGACCGTACTCTGCTTCGGCTACTGGCGGCAATGGATTTGCTCGAGACTTCCTCGCCGGTATTGCCGCCATGTACTCGACGCCTCTGTACGAGAACGTTGGCGATTCGCGCCACACCGAGTATGCAAGCACCGTCCTGGCCTGTCTTGCGCTTTTGGTTACGATTCCAGTGTATCTCATTTACTGGAAGGGACCCGTTATCCGAGAGCGGTCCAAGTTTGCCCAGTCTCTCAATCAAGACCGACGCGCCAAGGGCGGCCGTCGCGTTGTGTCAGCTCCCGAAGACCAGCTTGAGCCCAAGGACCTCTAAAGGATGTGGGAAGAGAGCAACAAGAACACTATATGATCTTAACGTGTATACGATCATAGATTAGTGCAAGGCGTGGTTTGTCTATTTGGTGAACGGTTAGGACATGATGACGATACCAATGCAAAGCAATTTCATAAACTAAGTTCAGAGCAGGGTGCAATGCCATGGCATGATGTAGACCAGGGAAACTGTCAGAATCAGCGGGTATCAAATACTTCAAATACTTCAGCAGAGTCGCTTGGAATTGAGAGTCATCTTCGAAGATTGACTATGTAGGCAGCGTAGGTGGTTCCACATAAGATAGGAAAAGCCTCTGTTAGTCCCATGTTGGTTTGTCACATTCCAACATCCAGTCTTCAACGAGTGCGCAGTCAAACATGAAGGCTTTTGAGTGGAAATCGGCCCTCGCATCAGGGCGGGTTGATTTCAAAGCTCGTGGTGGCTTACAAAGAGATGATAGTCATGATGTGATGAGAGTCAACCTGGAGTGCGTGTCTTTTGTGAGGAAAGGGGAGGGAAATCCCAGACTGAGTCCTGTCACGTAAGTGATTAAAGTTCTCTTGATCTTGGAATCCGAAAAAAACCACTCAGTAGATCATACTTTGGAGTATCAATGTGTTGACCTTGCCTCATAGTCAACGTTCTAAAGTAAGGTGACTATCACGACCATAGCTCCCTTGAGACTACACTGGTGACCGGAAGCCGCACGAGAACACAACGATACTAATGGCAATTCTAGATTCATTCTAGATCCACAAATGTGGTTCAGGGAGCTAGGATGTCATAGTGTGACAATGAGGACAAGTTTCACAACGTCGAGCGTCATATTTACCACTTATCATGATATCAGAATTGCAAGCCCAACCCGCAGTAAACGCCGACCTGATGCATCCGTGTCTCAAGAGCCGATCTACCGACACACTCGTTCCATGTCTACCTCCTCGAATGCACCATCCGTCCCTTGACCCAGACCATCTTGGTATTCCGGTCATCACCATTGAACACCCACTTGGCAATCCGATCCTCCCAGCTCTCCCACCCGAAAACGTCAACATTGCCCCCTCCCTCGCCCTGCTCCCCGTCCTCATCGACCAGCGGCAGCCCAATTAGCTGCGCGTCCCAATGCATGCCAACCTCGAACCCTCCAACCTTTTCCTGCAGCCCAACAACCTTGGCACCGCCCTTCGTGCCGAGATACAGCACCTCCTCGACCGTCAACTTCGCCCTCTCCCGCTCCTCCCCCCGCAACCCCATGGCCACGTGCCGCGACACCAGCGCCGCCTGCCTCGCCGCGTCGAGGATGCTCGGACTATACCCGCCGCTCATGTCCGTCCCCAGCCCGACGTCGATGCCCTTGTCCCACAGCCAGCGCACCCGCGCCGCGCCGCTCGTGATGCTGCTGTTACTGCAGGGGCAGTGCGAGATCTTGGCCCCCCTCTCGGCAATGGTGGTCGCCTCCTTCTCCGAAAGGTGGATCGCGTGCGCGAGGACCGTCTTTTCTCCCAAAAGACCGTGGGTGTCGTAGACGTCGGTGTAGCTCTCGCTGTCGGGGAAAATCTCCTTGACGAGCTCGATCTCGCCTTCGTTCTCGGAGATGTGCGTCTGCACGAGCACGTCGAGCTCCTTCTGCATGTCCGCCAGGCCCTTCATCGCCTCGCTCGAGCACGATGGCGCAAACCTCGGCGTCAGGATGGGCGCGACGATTTCAAATTCTGGGTCGATTGACCGCATATAATCCACAGTCTCTCTCGTCTTTCTCAGTGAAGCTTGGGGCGACTCATCTCTGTAGTACTCCGGACACAACCCCTCGCGGTCCATACACACCCGTCCCACGAACGCGCGCTGGCCCAGCGCGAGACAAATGTCTGCCAAAAGGTTCGTGGCGTCGACGTCGATGGTGGCATAGTATGCCGACGTGGTGGTGCCATGGGCGAGGGTGCGTCGCACGCAGGCTGTGTAGACGCGCTTGGCCTTCTTCTGGTCCTTGAGACTGGATTCAAGCGGGAAAGTGTAGGTGTTGAGCCAGTCGAGGAGGGTGGACTTGCCAAAGATGCCGACGTTGGGGTATTGCGAGGCGTGAACGTGGGTGTCTGTTGTGATGGCGGGGTTAGCCTCGAGATAGTGGGGTGGGACTGACGGGACAGAGCGTGGATGTCTCGCGAAAGTCTCCTAGTCCATGTCTCACCTGGCTCCAGGCAGCATCGAGACAGGCGGCACCGGCGGGAAAAAGGAACCATAATGACATACCGATAAACCCGGGGAAGAAAAACTGCCCCTCCCTCCCCACATGGACCTCGACGTCGCCGACCTTCCAGCCCAAACGGGGGAGCAGCTCCGTCTCGGACCTTCTCAGGTCGTATCCGGTCTCGACAGCAACAATCGTGCCGGATGCGTCGACGCAGACAGCTGTGTCGTGGAGGTACTCGAGCGCTTCTCTCGTCTTGGAGTGCACGAACGTGCCGAGGAAGAGTTGGTTCCGGCGCGTAGTCGGCGATGCTGACGAAGCCGCCGGGGGCAGGTCTCTGATCATGTCGCCCATCGTTGCAAAGGCTGCGACCTCTGGTCGTCGTCGAGGCCGCTGGAAGTGGCGGTCTGTTTTGTTGGCGAAGGAATTGTTTGTCGTCGTCGTCCGCAACCGAGTCCGGATTCTGTTTGACCTGACGTCGAGATATTATGTTTGCTGTTCGGTTGCCGTCGGCAAAGTCGGAGGGAACCCCACGGTGTCTTTCCAGAGTCCAACAAGGCAGGTGATGTTGTTGCCAATGTTGCCGCTGACAATCGGTACAACACGGAGTCAATGCGAAAGTCAAAGTTTAGCTGTTGTTCGTTGGAATAGATCACAAGCTGGTGTCAAATGGTAGTACGCGGTGTTGCGATATCGTCGGATCGGCACAAGCTTCCAAACCCCCAGAAACGAAACCACGAACGCGACGGGAACAGGAAAAAGAAAGGAGGGAACGGCCGGTAGATATATGCAGTGCGACAGATGACGCGCATCAAAACATGTGCTTCATCCGCCGCCGTTGTTGTCGGAAACCTCCCTCCCCCCTCCAGAGATAAGACGAATTAGACAGGGGTCAGGCGGGGAGGTCTCTCAATGTGCAGCGGGAGTGCCAGAAGCATGCCGACAAAAAGAAGCTTGCTGTACTAGGTAAAGGCCGGTAACCGTGTCCAACCCGCCTGTTCCCCTTCTTCGCCAAATACGAATTGGCAAGATGGACTGGTCATAAACAAGACAAAAGAACCGCCAAGTCCAGACACCCTGCGGATACGACATGCCCGCTGAGTTCCAAGCGATGGGAGAGCCCGGGAACCCCAAACACCACGCGCCCCCCCACTTCGCAGCGCACCGGTCGCACGTCACACGGCGCTCGCCGCTGGCCGCCTCCAGTCACCACCACCACCACCACCACCACCTCCTCAGACTCAGACTCAGACTTGGACTCACCTCCTCCGCCCGCAACTCAAGCCCTGGCTTGACCCAATCCGGATAGTTTTGATAGCTTCGCCAACCACGTCCCTCTCTTTTGGTGACCCCTCGTTCCTCTCATCCCTCTTCTCTGGTCAGATAAGCTCCTGACTTTGTCCGCCATGTGGGATACTTCCATCTCTGTCCGCTACTTGTCGTCTTATCCCCCATGCTTAACCTCCGGGGCCGACAACCAAACACATCCCGTCCTATCCGCATGCTGCGCCTTTCGGGTGAACCATCTGTGTCCCGGGTCCTTGCAGCCTACTGTTGTCGATCCCCCGCTGCCAAAGCCCTGCCCGTGCATCCACCCTAGCATCCTACCTAGTCCTGGATTCCAGCCAGCAGTTCTCGTGTCGCCCGTTGCCTTGTTTAGACGTAGGACAAAGCAGCGCGCCTTCGGGCATTTAATCCCACACATAAGCTTTCATTTCACGTCGAGTCAACGGAAACAAAGGTGAACCAATTGCTCTCTATTTGTCTTCTTGTACCACCATTAAACACTACAACAATAAACGCCCCAACCGTAAAAAACCTACTAAAACTTTCTAAAGCGACATGCTAAAACAGTCATCGAAAACAACGTCCCTGATTTGTACAACGATTACGCCGTCTAGAGTCATTCAGTGTCCATAATGAATCATCTAATCCTCTCCCTTTTGGGTTTTCGTAACAGCGTACTTCCTCACCCCATCTATCCCCTAACGCAGGTAGATGTAGCTAGGCTTACGCAGCCGCACCAGGTCCCTCGTGTTCCCCGGTGACGCCGTTAACAGCGTTGGGGCCAGGACCGTCCTGGGTGAATTGGTCCCAGTTCGCCAGGATGGACGCAATCTTGGGAGAGTTGGTGAGCTTGTACACATCCTCAAAGTACTCCTTAGTGATGGCGAAGGGCTTCGCCGTCACGTTGGGGATGTACTTGCCAACAAGCTTGGCAGGGTCGATCGTCGTCTTGTTGATCTTCTTGAGGAGGAAAGATCGGAACGGCTTGACACCAGACCGAAGGAACGTCGAGTGGAAGGGCACGTCGATACCGCGAAGGGGGATCGTCGCAAAGCCACGCTGAAGCTCCAGGGGAGTAGGTTTCTTGAGGGTTGCCTCGGCGCTGCCCTTGATAATCTCCTTGAGCGCACCCTTGGCCTCGTCGATGTTGCCGCGCATCTCCTCAATGTCGATCTTCTGTTGCTTGAGGAAGTTGGTGACGCCCGTGAGGGTGTCAAGGGCGCGGAGGTCGCCAGCGGCAACGTACTGCATGTTTGCAATGTTGTAGTTGACGATCTCAAGGAGCCAGCCGGTCTCCTCAGAAATGCAGTCAACAACAAACTGCAGAGCCTCCTCGTTGAAGGTCTTGGAGATTCTGCTGGGGTTGATGGCGCACATGGAGTAGTTGGAGCGTCCGGCCGCATCGCGCTCGACGGCGACCTGCATGGTCAAACCACGGTAGAAGACAACCGACACCAAGCTCTCGATTGGCATGACCTCCGCCAACGCAGCGAGGGCAGAGTATTCACCCAGGGAGTGGCCGGCAAAGGTGCAGTCCCGGGGCACAAGCCCCTTGGACTTCATGTCCTCAAAGCTGGCCTTCTCCATGAGGGTAAGGGCAGGCTGAGTAAACTGAGTAGCCGACAGTAGGCCGGTAGGCGAGCGGTAGGTGTACGAGGTGGTCTTCTCGTCAATCTCCTTGAAGATGCGCTCGGACTTGATGCTTCCATCGGCAGCAACGGTCTCGAAGGTCATGGCCATGTAGTTTTGACGAATGGCCTTGCCACGAGGACCACCAAAGTGAACGGTGAGCTCCTTGGGGTTGTTCTTGACGATGTTGGTGATCGAGAAGCCTGCAAATAGTTAGTGAAATGTCGGAAAAGCGAAAGACGTGCGACTTACCGTAGTTGTCCAACAGGTACTTGTCGGCACGGTCCCAGACCTCCTTGGCAACATCGCTGCTGGCGTACAGCTCCATACCCATGCCCTGTTCCTGGGAACCTTGGCCAGTGAAGACATAGGCGGTCACAGGCTGCTCGACTTCGGCCTCACCGAGGAGAACCTTCTCCTCGGTCTCCTTGTTGCTGGCCTCAACCTTGATGATCTTGCGACCTGAGACCATACCAACGTGCTGAAGCTTGACCTGGAGGTCATCGTTGGGAAGAACCATGCCGACCAAAGAGGCATGGAAGCTGCGGACACGGCCGATGTTGTTCTCGGCAGCCCACGTCTCAACCAAGCTACGGACTGCAGCACTGGAGTACATGCCGTGGGTGATGGTGCCAGGGAGAGCGGCGTAGTTGGCGAACACGCGCGAGACGTGGATGGGGTTATAGTCACCAGAGACACGGGCATAGTTCTCGTTGGTAGCAGGGGCACGGAGCTGGAGAGGAGTGCGGCCGCTGAGAGGGATGGGGTTCTCAAAGTTCAGGGGCTGGTCGAGAGGGGTACCGTTGCGCTCCAGGTAGTCAACGACGGGGTTGCCGTTGGACTGGCCAGCCTCGTAGTCGACACTAGCGACCTGGATGACCTCCTTGGTGGGGAGCTCAAGCAGAACCTGGCCCTGGGTAGAGACGCTGCTATACATCGTCTTGGTCTTGTAGCGGTAAAAGCTCTGAAGACGGAAGGTGAGTGTCTGTCCGAGAAGGTCGAGGTCGCGGGGCAAGTCATCAGTGTTGAACCACTGCTTCGACTTGAGAACAGCGACGTCCTTGCTGGTGGCCAGGTGCAGCTGGATCGGGGTCTCCATCTTGCGCTGGAAAGTGTTCTCGTAGTCGGTGTAGGCACCGCGGTACAAGAACTGGGAGGTGACATCCATGACGGCCTCACCATCGCGGTAGATGGTACCGCAAACCTCAACCATCTTGCCAGACTCCTGGTTGATGACAGCATTGATCTGAGCGGTGGTAGAGACTTCGTCACCCTTCTTCAGAGGCTCGGCGCCGGGCTTCATGCGGAACTCGTTAGACAGGTGGACAAGCTTCAGCAAGTCACCGTCAATAGTGCGAGGGAAGATGGGCTTGGTGATAGCCTTCCAGCCAACGACGATAGCAAAGTCCATGGGGGCGTAGACAGTCTTGCCGGGTCGCTCGACAAAAGCCTCGCCAGTGTTGCCAACGGCGTGGATGAAGTCGTTGATGCCTTCGCCAGTAATGGTAGCCTTGCCACCATCGAACTTGCTGCTAACATCGGCATCGAGATCAAAAGTCTCATCACCGAACCACGCACGCCAGTAGAACTCCTTGATGCGGTCGTTGCGACCCTCCATGACCTCGCGGATGGGGGCATATCCAGCCTCGGGGTGGTAAGTGAACTTGAGCGGAAGCGCGACAGGCTTGCCAAGGGCAGTGGTATCCTTGATCATGCTGACGACAATCTCATTCTGGCCCTCAAGCTTAACCTCAATGACATCAACGTACTGGTTGTGGCGAGGCTGCTCCTTGACGACAATCTTGGTGTTCTTCGGGTCCTTGGGGTTGTGGATCTCGACAAAGAGCCCACGTGCGGGAGCAAAAATGCGCTTGATGGGGTTGGTCTGGAACTTCTGGCCCTGGACAACAACGTCAGAGGTGAGAAGAGCGTGGCGCCAGCTACGGTCGGGGCCAGCAAGCAGGGCCAACCAAGCGTCAAGGCTAGGTAGGGTAGCCGTGGGCGAGGTCGACAGACGGTAAGTGTTCTTGTGGGCGTCGTCATACGAGACGGTAAGACCATCAACGTCCTCGACAGGGATTTCCGCCTCGATCAACTTGCCACCGAAGTACTCAATGGTGGGAATGGCCTTCTTGTCGCCCTTGTAGAGGTCCCTAGTCAGGTACTCAACGTGAGTGAGGTGAATGCCATCAAGGATCTCCTTAATGGGCTCATCAATGACCTTCGAGAACTTGACGGCGGTAGGTCCCTGAAGAATACATGTACGTCCGACGTCCTGACCGATGACGGCACCAAGGTCCTCAGACTGCCACAAGGAATCCTTCTTGAAGTAGAAGTCAAAGTTCTCGTCAAGAGTAGGAATGAAGGTGACGGGCTTCTGAATGGGGCGCAGGCACAACATCAGGAAATGCTGAACATCCTGAGCGTTGATAAGCTGAGTCTCGGCATCAGGGTAGTGGGACAAGATCTTCTCAACAGTCTCGTAAGGTGACTGAAGGTCCTTGTAGTCCTGAAGCTGGGCAACCTGCCCAGGCTGGGAGGTGAAACGCTCCTCAACACGGCGAATGAAGTCACCAGTGAGTCTGATGAAAGTAGGGTCAATCCAGCGCTGCTCGTGGCGGATGTAAAGCAGATCAACCATGCGACGGACAACCTCTCCATAGGTCATGTCTTCGAGGTCAACGGCCTCGCCGGCGCGGTTGCGGCCGAACCAGACCTTCTGGAAATCGTCATTGAGCTTCTTGATGATGTAGTCGCGGTTCTTCTTCAGCTCAGCAACACGCTTCTCCTTGGGGAGGGAGAATATCTTCTTGTCCATCTCAGCCCAGAAAAGGACACCGCGAGTAGCCAACTTGTGGATGGGCTCACCCATCTCGGAAAGGACTGTGACAACGCCACCAGTAGGACCAGTGTAAGACTTCTCCCACTCGCTGTCATCAACACCAGGGGCGTCGATGATGGCCTGCTTAGCAGCAGGGCTGGTTTTGGCCTCCTTGGCGACCATCATGCGACTGCCGAACAGAGTGCCATCGAAAGGCATGGGAGGGTAGCCATAATTCTTGGACCATTCACCCGTGAGATACGGGTAGGTGTCCTCAGCACCACCGAAACCACTGCCGGCAACAAGAATGATGTTCGCCTGGCGACGGATACGCGGGTACATGGTCAGGATGGGCTGGTGGAAATCCTCGTACGAGTGGTGACCACCGCCACGACCACCAGTCCACTGGAGAAGGACAGGGAAGGTGGGGTTGGCCTTTGCAATGTTGATGACGGCCTGAATGGCATCAACGGAACCGGGCTTGAAGCTGATGTGCTTTAGGCCAAGAGTGTCAATGTACTCCTGGGCAACCTCGACTGAGGGGACGCCAGCACCAATGGTGAGACCTTCGATGGGAACACCCTCGGCTCTGAGTCTTCCGAGCATGGGAATCTGCCACTGCATGGCTCGAGGGTTGACGTAGATAAGGTTGACACCAATACCACGTCCAGCCGGAATGGCACCCTCGATCTTCTTCAGGGCGGCAGTCATCATGTTAGGGTCGAAGTAACCACCACCAGCCAACTCAATGTGGTAACCGGCGTTCATGGTTGCGGCAACGAAGTCCCAGGGAACAGTGCAGGGCGTCATACCAGCAACGACGATAGGAGGAAGACCCAACAGTCTGCTCATCTTGGTGTCGACGTATGTGTCACCGTTAGACGTGGTGACCAGACGGGGACCAAACTCCTTTACCCAGTCTACAGCATACTTGACAGCGTGCTCCTCATCGCGGTCAAAGAGCTCAGGCTTGTATCCAACTTCAGTGATGGAGCCGTTGACGGCACCAGCAAGAATGACGTGCACGCCAGTGCCCTCCTTGTTGCGGCTGGTGAGAACACCCAGGCCAGAAATGCCTCCGGGACCGAAGTCAAGAACATGCGTCGCCTGGGGAAAGACTGTAGCCTTCTCCCAGTTGACGGGGTCTCGGGTGATGAGACGGATCAGGATGGGGACAATGTTGCCGTCGCCCGCCTCACGGAGGTCTTTGCCAGTGTTGGTGTCGAAGACCGCAGTGCCAAGAGACTTGGAGGGGATCTTAATGTTCTTGAGGTCCTCGTCAATGAGCTCCGTCGCCTCAGCAAGGTACTTGCTGTGGAAAGGGGCAGTGATGGGGAGGAAACGATGTACAAAGCGAAGCTTGCGCTGAGTGTGAGGAATACGGTTCTGGTCCAAGCCAGTCGGCGCCTTCACCTTGCGGAGCTGCGCGTTGAGACCGTACAGAGAGATGGGAGGGCCGGTAACGACGAGGTTACGTGGGCTGTTGATGAGGGAAATGGAGATGTGGCGATCAGCAGGGAGGTACTTGTTGGTAGCATCAATGTGCTTCTGGACCTCAGCCTGGGAAAGATCCCTAATGCTAAGCATGGGGGTGGGAAGACCTTCGCCGTTGTCCACAGACTCCCTCAGCATAGTAGGCGTCAGCGATGTGCGAGGGAACACCTGCTGGCTTCGAGCACCGATCCAGAAAAGGATGGTGAGCGCGGAAGGTGCGAGCTCCTTCCATGATTCCCAAGACTCAGCGGCAGCCGTGATGGCAGCGAGGACAATGCCCTGAGAGTGACCAGTCGTACCGCTGATCTGGTCGCGGAGCTGACCGGGGTGGACACCGAGAACCTTGCAGGTAACCTCGTAGTGTGCGAGCTGTACGAGACCAATCAGAGGGAAACTGACAGGAGCCGAGATGAGGTAGTCAACGTCGGGTGTCTCGTCCTCGCTCTCGAGCCATCTCATGATGTCCAGGCCCTTCGGGTAGAGCTTCTCTGCCTCAGGGTGTTTGGAGAGGTTCTGGAGCAACTCCGCAGCATTAAGGATAAGCTCGCCGATGAAGGGCTGGTATGTCTTGTAGATCTCACGCAACTCATCGAAGTACTCCTCGATGTTGCCCTGACCACCGAAAATGGTGTAGATGTCGGCAAGGTTGTCGTCGGCAGCGCGGAAGAGCGCTGAACCGTAGGCCTTGATTGAGCGACCAGTGGTCTGTCTGGCCTGGTAGTAGCTACGGATGACAACCAACTTCTTGGCGTCAATGCCGGGCAAGGAGGCGGCGAGGGCGTGGACCTCGTTGCCCTGCAGGTATCCGCGCTCGAACTCGTTAAGGACAAGCTTCAGGACCTCCTCGTAGGAGCCCGACTCGTCGTCCTCACCCTTCTCGACCTCGTCGGCGACAAAGCCCATGTACCTCGCGACCAACTCGGCAACGGACGAAGGCTCGTCGTCCTGAGCAAGCTCATCTGTGGCGGTGGGGAGAGTGGCGTTGAAGCGGTCCTTCAATTGCGAGGCGTGGAAGTGGAGGGCGGTCGGTACAAGGAGGGAGGTCTCGAGAGAACCGTGGCGGAGAGTGAGAGGGCGCAGGGAAGCATTGGATCGGGGGGTAGAGACTCCCGTCTGGGGGCCAGTTCCGGTGCCGTACATGGTGATGGTTGATTTGGGGGGTATCAAGAGGGTGCGAAGTTTTTTTTTTCGTGTGCTACGAATGGAGCTTTACTCGCCACGTTTGTTAGCCGAGACATTCTAGATTTTTTTCGTCTGCCTCCTGTTGCTCCCCATGTCTTCAATGGGAGCATGGGAGACGGGGAAACGCCAAAGTGGCTTACCTGTCTGTGACTCCGTGTACTCAGCGAAGAGCAGGAGGCAGCTATTTCAAGATGCTCCGGGACGGTGGGGAGGAAGTGGGCGGCAAAAAAGGTTGGACGTATGGGCGTGGAATTTGAGGGGGTCGTCTAGAGAGCTGTCTCTGCAATTCACCGGGAGCAATTGGTGGTCTATGAAGGACAAGAGAAAAGGAAACGAGAAGACTGCCCTGCAAGATCTGTCCTTGACGTAAAGTTGTTGGAGAGAGGAGCGAAGGAGTGGCAGATGGCAGGTTAAAGAAGAGTTGGATGAATGATCAAGGGAAGGTTGGGAGGGTGCTTGGGAAGGTTATGACGGGAAGGCGAGGCAGTTGAAAAGCATCCCTTTGCACTCTTTTGCTGCGGTCTGGGTCTTGGGTCTGGGTCCTGGGTCCTGGCTTTCTTGGAGTGGTGTGCGAGTGAGGAGTGAGCGTGTCTGTCCGGGTCTCAATGTGTGGACATGGGTTGATTGGGATAGTGGGATTGGGGAATTGGGACAGGCGCAGGTACATCCACGCCTCATTGATTGAGGGCGGCGTGTGGTCACTCACTGGGCGTCTGTCGTATGGCGTGGAAGTGGATGCGATGTGGATGGATCCAACCTTTGGGCCAGGTACCTGTTGACTGAGAGTGCTTGCCTTTTGGTGCGAGTGAGGTCAATCCCATCAACGTAATTGGAGGTGCCTGGTCCAGTTTGGGGCCACGAAGGGGGGGAGGAGGGGAGAAGGGTGGAAGGAGGTACCTAGGGAAGGGTCAGGTACATGGCATGCTGGAAGAGATGGAACTCAACGATTAAAAATTAGGCCGGGTCATATCTGGGACATTGGACATTGGAATGAATCCAGTTGGTCCGGGCTGGCGGAGGAAAAGATCGTTGGCCTGATGTAGCTTGTATCTATTGCATGGGATGGATGGTATTTGGACCTGTTTCTGACGCAGGCGGATAGTGTGCCCAAGCTATTTGTTTGCGCCTGTAAGCAATGAAGCATTGGCATTGGCTGACTGGCATTGGATAGGCAAAGGAAACAGGTAGTCGAAGCACTCTCCAGAACTGCTGGCGCCGAGCGGTACTTGCCCCTCGTACATTCCTCCAACGCCACGCCTTCCCCAGTTGAAGAGCGTGTTCGTGTTTGGCAATAACTGTTGTCTTGCTCTTTCCTGCCTTCCATGTTCGAGTTGTCCCTCTCTCCAAAAGTCTCAAATCCCAATGTCTCGCCAAATTTTTTAGTTCTGTTGGGGATGGTCGCACACCCAATCCACCCCTCCAGCTCCACCCTTGACTTCATGCAGCCCGAGTGATCCGCAAGGGTGCCGCTGTTGGAGAACGGGCGGCCATGTACCGGTACATACCCTCCTCCGTCGGTCGTTCTCGATATCTCCCACGCTTGGATGGCAGGGACGTAACGCAACGCAACGACAACGACGACATCACTTGGCTAGATGGGGCCATCACCCGCGCTCTCTCCCGTCTCCCATCTCTTGTTTCGCTCTTCTAATGCACTTTTGGATAGTGTGCATCTCGTCTCCGGATCTTTGCCGCGGAATCTAATCATGTCAACCCGCTACCGTCTTCTTGTTGCAGCGCTGGATCAATGGACGCACGAATCCTCGGCCAAATGGCATCATCTTCGGCTCTTTCACACCTACCAAGCTCTCCGAACATGCAGACTTGACGTGCACGCCGATAAGATGCCGAGCTGCTACCCCGGATGCATCAAACAGATGATAACGGAGACCAAATCGCTCGCGCCGCTGCGGGCCATCTCGGGCTCTTCGTGACTTCTCTCGTTGCCGACTTTCCTTTCTAAGGGAATTCTCGTTCTTTGCCTCGTCTCCCAGCTTGCCTCTCGATGAGTCTTGGCCGCGGAGACGACGGAGGAGTACCGCTCACTCCGACCTAAACCCATATGTCCCGAACATGCGCGATCTCCATAAGTACACAATACTCGAAGCTCCCTAGCCGGGCCTAAGGCGGTCAACAGTTTCTAGCGTCGTAATCGGGTTTTCTGCCGTCTTTTGCTCCCCACCGCTTTCACCCCACGCCTGGGGCTAATGCTGGGGAGGATGGGAAATGCGCGGGACCCTGAGGAAGGGGTAGTCGGCAGGGAGAGTGGCATGTCCACGACCGATGTACAGATACCCGCCATTATGTCGTATCAACTTCACACCGCATACGAACCTCTGCCATCGGGGCACGCACGCTGGGGCCAGGCTGGCTCGCTGGAGCGGGAGCTATCTCTTTGCCATGCCACGCGGACGCTCCTCGAGGAATGCAAGCCCTGCGCGCCCTGCAAGCCCCTCGATGGCAGTCCTCTTTTTGTTCTTTTTGCTGCCCCCCTTGAAGGACGAGGGGCAACTGGCGCTGAGAATTGTGCAGCAGTGAGACAGCCAGCCCGTGCAGCCTAGCCCAGCACTTTAAGCATGAACTGATGAGAACAGGGCTGGAATTTTTGAATCTCGACGTTTTGTTGCACCGAGCTGCCTCGTTCGGTCTCCGATTGCTCATCGATGTCGCTCGGTCGGCTCGGGCGAGCGGTATCTGACTGTGCGAAGGATGCCAGTCATAGGCGTCAGAGACAAGCGGCGATCCGCCGCATTTGTTGCTCATCACAATGCTTTTGTTGGATGAGGCTACCAACCACCGGCACTTTCAACCACCTTTTTCTACGGTAATCTACTGAAGAACTGGAGCGACCGGTCGTAAGCTGCCAAATGGTCAGCGTGGAGCTGGCCAGTTTGGCCAGGTCACCAGATGACCAGACTAGGTAGATCAGCTCCCGGCCGCTGTTTGAAGTGCCTCAGCTCCAGCCTCGAACTCGAATCTCAAAAAAGCTTGGGTCAACTTCTTTGCCAAACCAAGACGCCAAGTATCGCTACTTTGCCCCCCTTCAAGTTTGGCGGGTTCCTGGAGCAGCGGCCACTTTCGCCCCTCTCCCTCCATTTTCCCATTTCTCCCCTCCCACTCCTTCACTCTTCCATCCTCTTCTGCTGGCGACCTGGAAGCTTTTTCGGTTTGTTGGCGAGGAGCTGCGGCTGTTGCTTTCCGGGTCCCCGTTGGTTAGAAGGCTATCACGGCACCACTTTCCCACAGCTTGACGCACTCGTACATGTGTCCACGTATACTGAAACCATTCCGTGGATAACGGCTCCGACAGTGTTCCCGTCGCGACGAGACGAGCCGGATCCCTATCCGTATCTGTTTATCGTTATCGGCTTCAACTTCCTGCCAAGCTCTAAAGCTCCAACAAGCTCCAGCTTAAGCTCCAAAAAAACAAAACTGTCCGTGGTTGAATGTCGCAAGTGGTCGGCGGCCAACAGGAATGCAGCGATAAGGACGGACTGATAGGAACCCGAGCAGAGTTGAGGGTCGCCGGAAGGGGTACATCCCAAAGGTAGAACGATGTGAGGTGAAGCTTGGAGAGGTCTCAGCCACAGAGCCTCGCACCAGTCTAACGCCCACCTCCGCGGACTAAGTCTTGTCGAGGGGCAGGTACGGCCGCCACTAGCCTGAATCCAACATTCCGGCAGCTCGGGAAAGGGACGCGAGGAATTGTACTAGGAGACGTGAAAAGGCCCAGTCTAAGAAGAACTGCAGACATAAACGCGCGCCACAACAGCCCGGCGATGCCAGCCTAACAGCAGTAGCAAAGCTTTGGGAGCAGGTTAGGTACAACGACACGCCTCGTGTTGTCTCATCAGTCGCCTCACGAACATGGCATTACACGGCAAGATGATTGAAGAGGTGGCAGGATAGGAATCCTTGGTCAACCTCAGGTCGAAGATAAGATGGCAAAACGCACGGTTGGAGTCACTTGAGACTTGTTGATGATGCATGCGGCTGGGTGATGATCATGATGCTGCGGCTGGCACTTCGCTCGTTCTTTTTGCACAGAAGATAGTAGAGCACTGACTAGCTTCGGCCTAGCCAGGTGACAGCCATGCTGCGATATCCAACGTATCATTTTCGATGGCGGCTCACGACGAGGGTGGGATTGGCCCCAAAGATTTTCATGCTTTGTGTGGCTCAGATATTTCTTTACGACTCGCAACTCCACGAGGATGCATCATACGGATGGTGAGGTTTCTTGGTTATTCATCATCCCATCTCTTGGTGGGATTTCGGCGGCTCACAACCAACTATTTCTTGGGTTCCGTAGGTAGGCCCTCGCAGTAACGCCTCAACTCCAACGTGAACTTGGCATCAATGACGGCGTCTCTCCCTGCCGTCCCTCCCAAAAAAAAAATATAACAGGAGGCCGTCTCCACCGTCCCACCCTGCATTCCCCCAATGAAATGGTTTTGTGGGGAAGCCCCCCCTGATCGTCCCATGCTCGATTGGGGAAAGCGTCTGAATATGGTTGAGGAGCTCTGCAGGCGTTGCAGCAAACCGGGCAGTCAGTAGAGGCAGACACACCCACAACTTGACACCACACCCCTCCTGGAGGACTTCCACACCAGCAGCTTTTGTGCTTTCCCACCTGCATTGAGGGGGGAAACATGGGAGCGAAAGGGACAACGCGCGCCGGCAAGTTCACGTCCTTCGTGAGGCAAGGCAGGGGTTCCACTTTTTCATTTTCTTCGGGGCCTCTTCCACGTCCCTCGCAAGAAAATTCACTGCAGCAAGAGGAACAGGCGGGAGGTCATCAGCCAGTCGCAATGTGTCGAAACATGGTCCTTCCCTCGCCCATGTTTTTTGTGCCATGTACACTACATCAGAGCGGGACGTACCTTGTACCTCGCACCGGCAAAGGTACCTCGACATTTGGGGACCACCACCACGACGTCCATTCGCACCACGCTCTCTTCTCTGGGCTCTCATCACTGCCTTCCTTGAGCCGGTGGGGGCCCTTACCTGGTTCAACAATCGTCTTTTTTCGTGACGGGACTGGTCCCAATCCCTCCCTTTCCAGTCCAGTTGTTGTCCTCTCCTCACAAAGTAGACGCCCCCCCAAGAAAGTCAATCAAGTGCCAGTGATCCGATATCGAGGGGCTAGATCCATCGACTTTGAACCCGTCTCCCTCACTCTCACTCACTTCTCTTTTTCTATCAAATCCAACCGTCTTCCCTTCATCCGTGGCTCGACAACTCCTCCCACAAATTTCTCTACATCTCCCTCGCTCGCCTTCGCCAGTTTGTCCCTCCCTCTTTCTGGCGCGGACTTGATCCTTCCTCCCTTGAACAGCCACCACCGACTGTCCAGCAAACAAAAAGTCTTGCGAGCTTGTCTGCTTCACATATACCCCAGCCCGCAGATATCACCAATTATCCTAGGAAACCGGCTCTCCCACGGCTTCCCACGGATAACATCCAATTCCCAACTTCGTCGACATCTAGATACCCTCAAGTTCTCGGTTCTTCTCCCAGCTCCGCGTAATTGAGCTTTCCAGCTTCCTCCCCAGCTGCCCATCATGCGTCCCGAAGTCGAGCAAGAGCTTGCCCACACGCTCCTTGTGGAGCTCCTTGCCTACCAGTTCGCCTCGCCCGTGCGGTGGATTGAGACCCAAGATGTATTCCTCGCTGAGAAGACCGCCGAGAGGGTGGTCGAAATCGGTCCCGCCGATACCCTCGGTGTGATGGCCAAGCGCACACTCGCCTCCAAGTACGAAGCCTACGATGCCGCCAAGTCAGTTCAGCGTCAAATTCTTTGCTACAACAAGGACGCAAAGGAAATCTACTACGAGGCCGACCCCATCGAGGAGGAACCAGAGCCCGCTGCCGCTTCGTCGAGCGCGCCGGCCGCTGCTTCTTCCGCCGCCCCTGCGGCTGCTGCTCCCGCTGCCGCTGCTCCTCCCCCGCCCAGCGCCGGCCCTGCCGCTTCCGTTGCCGATGCTCCCGTCCAGGCCATCGACATTCTGCGAGCTCTCATTGCTCAGAAGCTCAAGAAGCCCTTGGCCGAGGTGCCTCTGAGCAAGGCCATCAAGGACCTTGTTGGTGGTAAGTAGCGAAAAGTTTGCATGTTCCCTTGACCGCCACAATCGCTGACCCACGAAACCCAGGCAAATCCACCCTTCAAAACGAAATTCTCGGTGACCTTGGCAAGGAATTCGGATCAACACCAGAGAAGCCTGAAGATGTTCCTCTCGACGAGCTCGGTTCCTCCATGCAGGCCACCTTCGACGGACAGCTCGGAAAGCAGTCTCAGGCCCTTATTGCACGCCTGATCTCCTCCAAGATGCCCGGTGGCTTCAACATTACGGCCGCGAGAAAATACCTCGAGACAAGATGGGGCTTGGGCTCTGGAAGACAGGACGGTACTCTGCTGCTTGCTCTCACCATGGAGCCTGCTGCTCGTCTTGGATCTGAGGCTGACGCCAAGGCGTTTCTCGATGATGTCACCCAGAAGTACGCTGCTACCGCTGGTATCAGCCTGTCCACTCCCCAGGCTGGCGCTGCCGCCGGTGGCTCTGGCGGCGGTATGATGATGGACCCCGCTGCCATCGATGCCCTGACCAAGGATCAGCGTGCTCTGTTCAAGCAGCAGCTCGAGCTCCTTGCGAGATACCTCAAGCTCGACCTCCGCGCTGGTGACAAGGCGTACATCAACTCTCAGGAGTCCGAGAAGGTGCTCCAATCCCAGCTTGACCTCTGGACTGCCGAGCACGGCGACTTCTACGCCTCTGGCATCCAGCCTGTCTTCAGCTCCCTCAAGGCCCGTTCCTACGACTCTTCCTGGAACTGGGCGCGCCAGGATGCCCTCCACATGTACTACGACATCATCTTCGGCCGTCTCAAGGCTGTCGACCGTGAGATCGTGAGCCAGTGCATTCGCATCATGAACCGCTCCAACCCCACCCTGGTCGAGTTCATGCAATACCACATTGACAACTGCCCCGCGGAGCGTGGCGAGACTTACAAGCTCGCCAAGGAGCTCGGAGAGCAGCTCATCGAGAACTGCAAGGAGGTCCTACACGCCAACCCCGTCTACAAGGACGTCGCCGTTCCCACTGGCCCTCAGACCACTGTCGATGCTCGTGGCAACCTGAACTACGAGGAAGTCCCTCGCGCCAGCTGCCGCAAGCTGGAGCACTACGTCCAGCAGATGGCTGAGGGTGGCAAGATCTCCGAGTACGGTAACCGCACCAAGGTCCAGAACGACCTTCGCCGCATCTACAAGCTCATCAAGGAGCAGCACAAGATGTCAAAGACCTCCCAGCTTGAGATCAAGAACCTTTACGGTGACGTCCTTCGCTCTCTGGCGATGAACGAAAACCAGATCATTCCCAACGACGATAGCCCTTCCAAGAAGGCGAAGCCTGCCACCGGGCCCAAGGGCAAGGTCGAGACCATCCCTTTCTTGCACCTTAAGCGCAAGAGCCTTCACGGCTGGGACTATAGCAAGAAGCTCACTGGCTACTACTTGCAGTCCCTTGAGGAGGCTGCCAAGGACGGTGTCAGCTTTGCTGGCAAGCACGCTCTCATGACCGGTGCTGGTGCCGGCTCCATCGGAGCTGAGGTCCTCCAGGGTCTCATCAGTGGTGGTGCTAAGGTTGTTGTCACTACCAGTCGATTCTCTCGTGAGGTTACCGAGTACTACCAGTCCATGTACACCCGTTTCGGTGCCCGTGGCTCTCAGCTTGTTGTTGTGCCCTTCAACCAGGGTAGCAAGCAAGACTGCGAGGCTCTGATTGACTACATTTACGACCCCAAGAACGGCCTTGGCTGGGATCTGGACTTCATTGTGCCTTTTGCCGCCATCCCCGAGAACGGTCGCCAGATCGATCAAATCGACTCCCGATCTGAGCTGGCTCACCGCATCATGTTGACCAACCTGCTCCGCATTCTTGGCAGCGTCAAGACTCAGAAGGCCGAGCGTGGCTTCGAGACTCGTCCTGCCCAGGTCGTCCTGCCCCTGTCGCCCAACCACGGTACCTTTGGTAACGATGGACTCTACTCTGAGTCCAAGCTTGCCCTGGAGACTTTGTTCAACAGATGGCACTCCGAGGACTGGGGTCACTACCTCACCATCTGCGGTGCCGTCATTGGCTGGACTCGTGGCACCGGTCTCATGAGCGGCAACAATATCGTTGCCGAGGGAGTCGAAGCTTTTGGCGTCCGCACCTTCTCTCAGCAGGAGATGGCTTTCAACCTCTTGGGTCTCATGTCCCCTGCCGTTGTCGACCTCTGCCAGAGCGAGCCTGTTTTCGCCGACCTGAACGGTGGTCTGCAGTTCATCCCTGACCTCAACCAGACCATGACCAAGCTCCGCAAGGATATCATGGAGACTAGCGAGGTCCGCCGCGCTGTCAGCAAGGAGAACGCCATCGAGAACAAGGTTGTTAACGGCCCCAACTCTGAGGCCCTCTACAAGAAGAATGTTGTTGAGCCCCGCGCCAACATCAAGTTCGACTTCCCCAACCTCCCCGACTGGGAGGAGGAGATTGCTCCCCTCAACGACCGCCTCAAGGGCATGGTCGACCTGGAGAAGGTCGTCGTCGTTACTGGTTTTGCTGAGGTTGGTCCCTGGGGTAACTCCCGCACCCGCTGGGAGATGGAGGCCTACGGCGAGTTCTCCCTGGAGGGTTGCGTTGAGATGGCTTGGATCATGGGTTTGATCAAGAACCACAACGGTCCTATCAAGGGCAAGCCCGCTCCTTACTCCGGCTGGGTCGACGCCAAGACTGGTGAGCCCGTCGACGACAAGGACATCAAGCAGAAGTACGAGAAGTTCATTCTGGAGCACTCTGGTATCCGCCTGATTGAGCCTGAGCTCTTCGGTGGCTACGACCCCGAGCAGAAGCAGCTTCTTCACGAGGTTGTCATTGAGGAGGATCTCGAGCCTTTCGAGGCGTCCAAGGAAACTGCCGAAGAGTTCAAGCGTGAGCACGGCGACAAGGTCGAGATCTTCGAGATTCCCGAGTCTGGCGAGTACATTGTCCGCATGAAGAAGGGAGCTGCCCTCTTGATCCCCAAGGCTCTCCGCTTCGACAGACTTGTTGCCGGTCAGATCCCTACTGGCTGGGACGCTAAGAGATACGGTGTTCCCGAGGACATTGTGTCCCAGGTCGACCCCGTCACCCTGTTTGTCCTCGTGTCCGTCGCCGAAACTCTGCTGTCGGCTGGTATCACCGACCCCTACGAGTTCTACAAGTACGTCCACGTTTCCGAGGTCGGTAACTGCATCGGATCCGGTATGGGTGGTGCTGGCGCTCTCCGTGGCATGCACAGAGACCGCTACCTGGACAAGCCTGTTCAGAACGACATTCTCCAGGAGTCGTTCATCAACACTATGGCCGCCTGGGTCAACATGTTGTTGATCTCTTCTTCTGGACCCATCAAGACCCCTGTCGGTGCTTGCGCCACCGCTGTTGAGTCCGTCGACATTGGTTACGAGACCATCATGGAAGGCAAGGCCCGTGTCGTCTTTGTCGGTGGTTTCGACGACTTCGGTGAGGAGGGCTCTTACGAGTTCGCCAACATGAAGGCCACCAGCAACGCTGTTGACGAGATGGAACACGGCCGCACCCCCGGCGAGATGTCTCGTCCCACCACCACTACCCGTAACGGCTTCATGGAGTCCCAGGGTTGCGGTGTCCAGCTGCTCATGACTGCCAAGCTTGCCCTCGACATGGGCATGCCCATTCACGGTGTCCTGGCTCTGACCACTACTGCCACCGACAAGATTGGCCGCTCCGTTCCCGCTCCCGGCCAGGGCGTTCTCACCACTGCCCGTGAGCACGCCGGCAAGTTCCCCTCGCCCCTTCTCGACATCAACTACCGTCGCCGCCAGATTGAGCTCCGCAAGAAGCAGATCAAGCAGTGGCAGGAGTCTGAACTTGAGTACCTCTACGAGGAGGTTGAGGCCATCAAGGCCCAGGGCCAGGAAATCAACGAAAAGGAGTACGCTCACGACCGTGCCGAGCACATCAAGAAGGAGGCCCAGCGTCAGGAGAAGGACGTCCTCCGCAGTCTCGGCAACAACTTCTGGAAGAACAACCCCGAGATTGCCCCTCTCCGTGGTGCCCTCGCCACCTGGGGTCTCACCATCGATGACCTTGCCGTTGCTTCCTTCCATGGAACGTCAACCAAGGCCAACGACAAGAACGAGTCTTCTGTCATCTGCCAACAGCTCCGCCACCTCGGTCGCAAGAAGGGTAACGCGGTTATGGGTATCTTCCAGAAGTACCTCACTGGTCACCCCAAGGGTGCTGCCGGTGCCTGGATGTTGAACGGCTGCCTGCAGGTCCTCAACACCGGTTTGGTGCCTGGCAACCGCAACGCCGACAACGTCGATCCCATCATGGAGCAGTTCGACATGATTGTGTACCCTAGCCGCAGCATTCAGACCGATGGCATCAAGGCCTTTTCCGTCACCTCTTTCGGTTTCGGTCAGAAGGGTGCCCAGGCCATCGGTGTCCACCCCAAGTACCTCTTCGCCACGCTTGACGAGAAGACGTACGAGGAGTACTCTGCCAAGGTCCAGGCTCGCCAGAAGAAGGCGTACCGCTTCTTCCACAACGGTCTGGTCAACAACACGCTCTTTGTTGCCAAGTCGAACGCTCCTTACACCGACGAGCAGCTCAGCCAGGTTCTCCTGAACCCTGACGCTCGCGTGACCGAGGACAAGAAGACCTCCACCATTTCTTACCCCTCCAACTTCATGAAGGCGTCTGAGAAGACCGTCTCGTCGTCGGCGGCCAAGGCCACCCAGGACATGATGGAGGCCCTAGCCAAGAAGGTCGTCAACAAGAACAGCAACGTCGGTGTCGACGTCGAGGACATCTCTGCTATCAACATTGAGAACGAGACATTCATCGAGCGCAACTTCACTGCTGGTGAGATTAAGTACTGCCAGTCGGCTCCCAGCCCCCAGAGCTCGTTCGCCGGCCGGTGGAGCGCGAAGGAGGCTGTCTTCAAGTCCCTCGGTGTGTCAAGCAAGGGCGCCGGCGCGCCATTGAAGGATATCGAGATTGCCAAGGACGAGTCTGGTGCCCCGTTGGTTAAGGTAAGCTACAGTGCAACAAGCACACTTCCGAGACACGATTGCTAACGTTTGTATAGCTCCACGGCGATGCCGCTGCCGCTGCCCAGAAGGTGGGCCTCAAGGACATTAGCGTTTCCATCTCACACTCGGACTCGCAGGCGATCGCCGTCGCTGTTGCAAACTTTTAAAAGCGGGTAGATTGTACAATGCATTTCTAGTTTATGGGATATACGGCAGGCATGGGATCTTGCTTGTTCGCTTTGGTCGTGTTTTAAATCATACAAGCCAGGGAGTAAAGATTGCGGTGACACTTTGGGAGGAGTGTCCCCAAGCAATCATCATCGTCGGATGAATTGACGAGTAATGCACGAGTAGGGAACGGCGCAACAACGATAGAAGTTGGTTCCAAAATGCCACAATAGACACTGTATTAACCACTGCCAAGGAGAGGAATCTCTTGTCCTAGGACTTTTGATCTTGCGAACGGAACACATCTGACGTGATAGCTGACCATTGAACGAGACATGCCATCCCCATCCTATTTGCAGCTCGGGATACCCGTCAGTTGGAGCCATGGGTTACCTAACCGCTCAGGCGATGAGCGACGACCAGGACGCCAGAAATGCATTGTGATCCCGGGTTTCGCTGCATTGGAATATGTCAAGCCCATCTGATAAATGAGACGAGCGGACGTGATGGATTAATTGGGCAAGCAAGGGAGGTAAGGGGGGGGGGGGGATTGCGTCTCTAGCTCTTATGATGTTTCAAGCCTCCGACAACACCACGAGGCCGTATCACAACGACTACAATGCTGTGAGTGAGTAGTTGGGTATGCACTTCATCCGTTTGATACAACTGTTTTCTGAGTCGTCCATCTGTCTGCACAGGATGCAGGCGCTCGCGCGCACTCGCGCCGACTGCGGCCCGCGCTGGGACGGCGTTGCCAAGACGTCGGACGGAGGGGAGAGACGACTTTCGAGGTCGAGTGGCGGGCTGTGTTCGTCGCAGATTCTTTTTGTCTGGGAGGAGGCGCGGCGTGGGAAGCTGCGCAGTGCCGACATGGGCTCAATTCTTCTTCGTCCTAGACGTGCAGAGGTTTCCTATTTACTGAGGGCTGCACACATGCCCATGTGTCTGGCGCTCGTCATCCGCTTTCGTTTCTGCTTATCTGGTGTTTCTTCATTTCGGGGCGGGGGGTTTCGTGCGTGCCTGGCTTGTTTCTGGTTGCATGCTGTTCAAACAGCCCTCGCAGCACTGGTTCGTCTGATGAAATGAGGTGGCATGTTGATTTCCAGCGGAAGCGCCAGACAGTTTCATGACAAGTCCCTGACGAGCCGCGACGCACGCAGCCTTTTGAGTTATTGACAGGTTGGTCCAAAGATGGTTTCTGGTTTCGTTTTCTCGTTCAACGTTTAAAGAGGGAGGAAGGGGGGGATCACGGCAGGCCAACGCCGATATGTGTTGGATTGAAACCAACGATGAGGAGGGCCCCGGTCGATGAGGTCTGAAACTTCGTTTAAACCGGCTCTCAACCAGGCCCGACATTAGCTACAAAGAGTCTCGCCGCCTCAGCGAAGACGCCCGTTGATGGAGGAAGCATCCACTCTCCGATCGCGCTGGCCGGCCGGCACGGCACTCGGCTGCTCAACCCCCGTTCTGATCGACGTCTTAAAATGCAAGGGGAGACAGTATGGATGGGGATCGCAGTGCACTGCCGTGATGACTGGGGAGCGTTGCACCAGGCCACTGCAGCTCGGCCAATGACATGGCGGCAAAAAGGAATAACCCCGGCCGGTTGAGAATTAGACTGCTTTATGCATCGATGCATCCCCTTTTTTTGGCGTGGTAGGGGGGAGATGGGGCCCTGTCGATCAACCGTCGTGTTCATGGACCGAGCGGCGCGTGTGTCTGGCTGTCCCAGCTCTGGCGCCCCTCCAATGTGTGTCCATTGGACTTGCGTGTATGACTGGGATTTTAAGGAGTTGCTGCGCCAGGTAAGGGGGGGAGGGCATTGATGTGTAGGTCTTGGACGACTGGGCCAGAAGGAACAATTGTGGCGCAGACCAGGAGTTTGGATCTTTTTTGTCAAATCTCTTGGGTTGGGGCCGTCGTCATGCAAGGCCTTGGGCCGAGCAATGTTTGAAGGGGCTTCTCCTGTACGTAGCTGAGGTTGTGGTATAAGGAAACGGACGTCCCCCCAGCGCGCGGATCGTTTAGCCAAAGGGTTCTGTTTATGTTTTGCTACCAAGTCGACCTACCTTCGTTTTTCTGGACCTGTCTGTTTCTATTCTAGTTTGCTTCAACGTGAAAGGAAAGAAAAGCTCCATCGCAGCTCCGTCGTTTAATACCTAGTCGAGAACAGAGTTCAAGTGAGAGGCTACTCGATTGACTAATCCGCTTCTGCTCGCCGTACATACACGGCATCCGCTCGAGTCGAACAAATAGCAACAACAAACAACACATCAGCCGAGAAATCAAAATGACGGGCACAAACAACATCAGAGGCCTCATGGGCAAGGGTGTCCCGCCGACGCCGTCCTTCTTCGCCATCGTCCGCGTCGCCGTCTTGGTGCTGTCGCTCGCCGTCCTCGCCGCTTGCGCCTACTGCCTGTCCCTACTGGGCGCCTATTCGAGCAGCTACACCGGGCCGCCAGGCTTCATGCTCTTCGTCGTAAGTAAATTCCTCCGCTGTTCCGTCGCCTTGCCCTGCGAGCATCCCCTGCTGGAAGCCAGGAGCTGCACAACTTCTGGCGAACGGCTTTTCGGGGCTGGCGAGTTGGAGACTTGAGAAGGCTGTGTATTGACATCTCGCCCATCAGAGCCTCTTCACCATCCTGGTCCTGGGCGGCGCCATGGCCGCCGAGCGCTTCGCAGCGCACCTCTACTTCCGCATTGCCGTGCTCATTGGCTACGCCACCAACTGCCTCTTTTGGTTGTCTGGCTGGGCGTGGACCGCGAGCATCGCGGCGCTGTTCCTGGGCAACACGTGCATTCAGAGCACCTGTTTCGCCCCCACGACGGAGGAGAAGCGGTACGGTGGGAGCATGGCCGGTGCCGCGGCTGTCGGTGCTGTTAACTGGTATGTTGAGATCTTGCAGCGTGTGGATCACGTGAAGTAAGCGTTGAAAGGTTGGTTGCTGACTGAGAACCTAGGGTGCTGATGGTCATCGTGCTGTTTTACTACGTCAAGGGATGCCTGGCGGATCCCGACTGCTATGGTGTCTCGACTGGTCATGGTTCTGAGATGGGCAGCATCAAGGCCGAGAGCAAGTCGCGCTCTCAGCCGTCTGCCAACGAGCCGTGAGCTGACTGGCGGTGGTGAAAGCCGTCCGGCTAGCCCTGTCAGACATGAAAGGGGTTACGCCAGCAAGAGATAGCATGGAAATGGGCAATGGAGAGAGAAAACGGGCTTGAAGTTGGACAGGACTGGGTAATGACTGGAGTTTGGGTTTGATATGGGTGACGATACACGCAAACGTCGTCTTCTGACTGCGGACTGGGTTGTTCCTCCTCACCACGAGAGAAAAGACGGACCGTACTGCTTTTGATGCCTTTGACGAGAGATACCACTGGTTCCTATTAGTAGCTAATGATATGGGCCGAGCTTGATCATCTTTGGTCTTTTGATATCTTGCAGAGAAGTTTTGACAACATCCTGGCTTGGGATGACGGTTTCTAGGATCATTGAACAACCTGAAGAAACGCGGGAGCTTCATGTGTCATATTTAACAAGACCAGCGCCCTGGATTCGTGAGAAACAACCATGTTCTCCGCAATAGCTCCAAGCAACTCCAGGGAGAGGCATGTGTATTATGGTCAATGCACAAAAAGTCAGCTGTGCAATGATACATTCAAGTCTGTCACTATGACCCACATTGGAGTTTCAAGCAGTCTTATTAAGGCTTGAACTCACTCATGGACATACGCCAATCCCCGGACTCTTTCTTAAGGACATTTCTATAATCCTATTATGAACTCGAACTGGTCTTCCTCCCCAAACATAAACTCCGGGAAGCGGGCAAATCATAATGATATCCCAACAAGAAAAAAGATAAAAGAAAACTCTGCCTCTAATCCCTTAACTCCATCCAACGGCCCGCAAACAATCTCCTCACTCCTTCTTCTTCGGCTTCTTCTTCTTAACCACAAGTGTCTTCCCGGGCTTTTCGACCCCAAGCTCCCGAGGCTCATCACGGCTGAAATCCATCGCGTCGACCCGGTAATCCGCCACGATCACATCACGCACCGCCCTCTCCGGCAACTCATCCCACTCGCTCGCTCTAGCACCCAATGACACCGCCCTCGCCTTCCACCAGTTCATTTGGGCCTTCACATTCGAGAGCTCCTCGGTACGACCCACAACGGCCCGTTCCCTGCGGTTCCGGCTCCGCGACGCGGCGACGTTGTTGCGCCGCTTCAGCTCCTTGAGGCGCGCGGCTGCGAGGTTGTTGTTGTGCGCCACCGCCGCCTCTCGCTCGGCGCCCGCCGGCACGTCGTCAATCCGGATGAAAGCGCCTAGTGAGTGCTTAGGGAGCATTGGGGCGACTTCAATGAGCTGCGGCGGGGCGCGGATTCGATAGATTTCTGTGGGGGAATAGGTAGAATAGGATAAGCGTGGGCTCTTGGCGAATGGAGAGGGAGGGGGGAGCGTTGTTGATTTGGTTGTTGTGAAGATGTGGTTGATTTCGGATTGGCGGCGGAGACGCTCATCGGGATCGACGGAATCAGGGAGCGAGAGGGATGAGGAGAGGATAGCGGAGAAGCTGCCCTGGAGGGAATTGGGAGAGAATATTCGGGCGTGATAGGGCGGTTCAAAGTCCGGGGTCGTTGAGCGGGGAGGACTCAAATATGTAGCTCTAATAGTAGATGGTATGCGGCGGCTGGACCGGAGACGTTTGGCGGGGGGTAGGTCGTCGTAGGCCAGAGGTAACTCGGCTTGAGGGTAAGCTTGGTGGTTTTGCGGCTGATAGTAGGTTTGGGATGCGTAAGAAGCTTGTTCACATTGGTACTGGTTATTAGAGTAAATAGGGATGTCCTGGTTGAAGTCGTCTTCGAACACATATGGGAAGTGGTGATCATCGTCGAGAAAAGCGAGATCGTTTGAATAGGGGCCCGACATCTTGATAGCTTCAAACTCGAGATTTCGGCGATAGCAAGCTGGTGAAGAGTTTGAATGATGCAGTGCTGACTTCAGGTTGCAAATGGGTGCCACCGTCTTGCAGATGATCAAAAACCTTGGCGACTCACAGAGAAAGGGTGGTTGCAATGGTGAATGACGACGACCAACATGTGTTTCTTTTGCTCTACTTTGTGAGGTAGATAAGACGCTGTGAGTGAAAGGTGTAAAGGGAGTGAACAGTGAAGGGAGATATTTGAAAAAGAGTCAAAGGGGACTTATATGCAATGAGAGGCCGTCGCTGGGAGGTCTGTGATTCAGAGTAAGGCATCGTGACTATCCTTAGCGAGCCTCAAGGTTGAGATGAAAGGTCACGATGCCCAATAGACGTGACTTGTGCAAGTTCGAGGCCTCGCTAAACCAACCACGTGAATAAGAGACTTGAGATGATGGGGCGAGTGGGTACCGGCTTGAAGAGAAGGAACGAGCCAAGTTATCGATGAGGTAGGTACTCAAGTGCCTCAGTAATCAGAAAAGAGCAGTGAGAATTAAATCAACTATCCTTCAATTGTGATGCAAGTTGAACATCGAAGCATGAACAAGAGGGAGAAAAAGATGTATGTAGGTGAAGCCCATGTTGAACCTCAAAAAAGACGAGGACTCTTGTGACTTGACTGTACTGTCGTAATTCTTCCAAACTTTGATCAACCTTCGCATCTCTGAAGATTGACAATCTTTTAGCAGGGTTGTAAAAGATTCAGCACCATCAATATTACAGAGAGAAATCGTCTTAGTTGTCTTGGACCGCTCGGTGCTCTAACACCAGGCAAAAGATTCGATTAGAATAATGTTATTTCCACTAGGCACCCCCTCTTTTTCTGCTGTCCTTCAAAGGGTATTTTTTTTGGGGATATCATCGCGGATGCATCACGAGAGTCGTTCTCCAGCAGGTATTATCAGAGGGGCAACGGCGTTATTAACTACAGCATGGAGTACTTCAACAGCTTAGGCAAATCAACGCGTTCAATTGTAAAACAACATAGATGCTACGACTTCTTGTTAATTATCCCCAGACGCCTAGTGTCACGACATCGAGCAACGTTCCGCCCGAGGCGGGGATGATGTTTGTGAAGTGAAGAGAAGCGAAACGAAGCTGACAATAAGACCAATTGCCTTGATCACCTGCAACCAACAGTGTGGGTGAAGTCATTCGTGTGTGTCTATTTGCTAGGTTCCAGGCTAATACTGCGAAGTGGTAGGAGTTGATGCACCCTGTTGGTCTGTTGACTAATACCTGACACCCCCCCCCCCCCCCCTCGAGAACAAGTACAATGTCCTTCGCCTCAACCGTTTGATTGTTGTAGGCGTTTGCGATGATGTCCGCGCGGTGCGGCGGAAGCCGGCCTTGATCGTGATAGCCTCGACACTCTTTTCAACAATATTGCCAGGAGTGACAGAGGGTTTGGCTTCTGCAGTAGCTTTGCCCTTGTCCTTGGGAACTTGAAAGACAGGACTGCATTTAAAACCCTGTGGGCAATAGCATTGATGGTTAGGTCCTCTGGATTTGGTGCAAAGGATGGCCTATCCGTTTTTGCGATAGGGGGTGTCTTGAACTGTGCCATGCTAAAGGTGCCAGTTGAACTAGCTAACGACATGATTGACTTTCCCGGCGTTGAAAATAGCCTTAGAGTTCTGCTTCCACTCCTCGACATTCAGAAGGGGTTTCATGGCCCCGCGAGCGCGGGTGGTGGCGACAACCATGCGTGGGGTCATAGGAATGAAAACGAGCTTCTTGCCGAACCGGTTCGACTAAGGAAGTGATTGGTACCGTGATGAGAACTGCAGTAGAGGTCGCGTTATCAACCGAAAGCCAAGTGTCAAATATGGACAGTCATTGCGATTGTGTTGCCTTGAACGGTGGTGATGTATGTTCGATAATGGGATTAGGATGATTGCCGATCGTCGCGAGAACAGAGAGAGGATAACCCTTCACCAGGTTCTCAACATCAAGGATGCAGGAGATCATGCCGGATTCGAGGCGGGTTGAGTTAGGTTGAATGACAATGACTTGTTCATCGTCCACAATGACAACCGTACCAGTGCGGGCGATGTCGGCAGTTAGAAAAGGGGGAGTGGATATAAGGCTTCCACTCTGCCTTCGGTTTGGTGTCTTTGGGCTCGTACTCGCAGTCGTCCAAGCGAAGGTGGTCCACGATGAGTGTGGGAAATAAGAGAGGTTATTGAGGGAAATCGAGTGAAGAAGTTCGTCATGAACGCGTTGGGGAAGCAAGACGCTTGTTGAGGTGAAAAGATTGGTGAGGTAGGTAGCTTGGGGAGGTGGGAGTATGATGGGTAAGAGCATGATGGGTGAGAGGATGGTGGGTGGAGAGGATGGTGAAAAAAAGGGTGAGAGGAAGGAAGAAAAAGCTATGGTTGGGGGAGGAGCTTTTGCAAGTGGAAGGAAGGAATACTATCGGAGTCTGTCAAAAGACCCTCGGTCACCAATGACCTGCCTGGACCAGGTCACTGCCATTTGATCCAGGTGGTTTGGACGCGTCCCACTGATGTAGGATAAGAATGCGATCGTCCGTACCCATCGACACGCGCGTTTTGTGTCGACTGTGGCTCACATCACCACTTACTTTTGTTTTTGCGAGAGAGGAATGATACTTGAGAATGAATTGGGGAGGTCCTTAATGATTGTCGCGTTGTGCCATGTTCCATCTGGGTAGTCCATCCACTTGATCTTGTAATGTAGTGTTGTACTGCGTTGTTTGTGCCCCAGAATGGACTCAATGGTGAACTTTGCCTCATCGTTTCGGATGATTAGGCCTGGTGGTTGGCATTGTTGTTTGAATGGGTTGGTCGAACAGGCTCAATGTGTTTGATCTAGACGTCGGGATGCTAGCGGAACCAGGGCGGAAACTTGAGGCAGTACTTCATCAAGTGGATGACTTGTTCCATCTCGAATGACCCTTCCCTGGTGCGACGTTTGGTAATATTTTGGTTGCTGCTAAGGGTGATGGGTGTTCACCGAGGTCGCACTCGGCGTAGCAGGGTACCGGTCGATCACGTTCGCCGACCGGCTGGAAAGGGAGATGCGTGTAAGCCCGAAACAAGGAATCCAGTTGAGAGTGCATCGTAATTGGTGCGTTTGATGTAGCGGAGAGATCTCTTGAGGTCGAGGAGTTCATTAAGGCTTTGGAAGGGATTGCTAATGGTAAGTTGTAAACAAAGTGTAGGTCGTAGTGAGGTAGTAGTACTGTTGGTTGCTGCTGAGGGTGATGGGAGTCCACCGAGGTCGATCACTCGGCGTAGCATGGTACCGGTCGATCACGCTCGCCGACCGGGCGGAAAGGGAGATGTGTGTAGAGAGGCGAGGCAGCCCTACGCAAGAAACCCGAGACTTGGCGAGTCTCGATCGAACGGGAATGAGGCTATTCGCGGGGTAACCATGGTCTGGATGGCTTCGGGTGACGTGCTCGAGGTCGAATTGGGGATTCCTGGACGTGCCAATGACTGGAAAAATTCGATCGATCGGTCAGACGAAGGAGGGTTGTGCTGCCATGTGAATAGAAGCGAAACGAAGCTCATAAGAAGGTCAAATGCTTGAATCACCTGCAACCAACAGTATGGGTGAAGTTATTCGTGTGTAGCTGCTGGGTTTTAGGTTGATATTATTAAGTGGCAGGAGCTGACGTTGGTCTGCAGGCGGGTCAATGGTGAGGAAGTTGTGCCTAGCCCGTTCGACCAACGGCGTATCAGAGATCGAGAACCCCCTGGTCAGCTAGCGCCGACTTTTTCGAACTGAGATAAAGGTCACGCTTCTTCTCTGTTCAATTGGATAAACTGTTAATAGAATTCGCGCTTCGCTTTGCAGAGAGGATATTGAGGGAAATCGAGTGAAGAAGTTTGGAATGAATGCGTTGGAGAAGCAAGAAGCTTACTGAGGTGAGAGCATGATGGGTGAGAGTATGGCGGGTGAAAAGAACAGAGGAAAAAAGGGTGAGAGGAAGGAAGAAAAAGTTATGGTTGTGGGAGGGGCTGTTGTAAGTGGCAGGAAGGAAGGTGCGGGAAAAGATTTATGTAAACGGAAGGTACGCATAAAACAAGGAAGGAAGGGAAGGAAGGAATACTATCGGAGTCTGCCAGAAGACCCTCGGTCATCAATGAACTGCCATTTGATCCAGGTAGTTTGGACGCGTCCCGCTTCGCTGAGACGAGAGGGAGCGAGAGAATGAGCGTGAAGAGGAGCGGCGACGATGCGTATGATATGCTCGAACCTCGCGGTCGCGGGGGCGTCGATACATGCCGCGGCATTCGTCGAAGCGGCCGCGTCAATTGTCTGAGGTAACCAAGGCGTTCGTCGCATCGTCGGTGCTCACGCATCTATACAAAACTCATATAAGAACAGAACTGTCCACCATTTAGAATTCCATCTATATGAGCTGGTTGAAGACCTCTAATAACTAAGCCAAACGCTTCCCCTGGATATTTCCCATCGGCCACATCGGGCTCGAACTGTATTTGATCATGCAATGCAACCCTCGAAAACGCCTCTGAAATTAAACACCATTTGACTGGCGTTACTGTGAAGCCTGCCAGCTTTTCTTCATCCATGCCGAGAACTCATGCTTCCTCTACAGCTTGCTGCTCTGTGTTTCTTCCATCTCTTTCAATATGAAATCGTTAAACTGATCGGCGTTGTCGAGGTATAGGTGGTGCCCGGCCTTTTGTACAATGAGTACCTTGGCGGACCCATTCTCTCTCCTCTTCTCTTCTTCCGTTCCCTTGAGAAGCGCTTGCAGTTTCGCCTGCTTAAGCTTCTCCTGCGCAGCGTATCCACCGGCGACGTCCATCCAGTCGTTCTCGCCATACATCATGATGACGGGGATGCCTGTCTCCTTGAGCTTCTCGCCGTTCTTCTCAATAATCTGCCGACCAACGCCGTCTATCCTATTGACCATGGGGCTGCGGGCGAACGCTCCCGGGGCAAGGATGTACGGCAGCGCGTACTCGCCACTGCCCCTCTGGCGGAAGATGGAGAAGGCGTAGTCGTGCAGAGCTTGCGACTCGGCTTGGGGGAGGTGGTTGAAGCGGCGCGAGGTCCAACCGGAGACGAACCGCGGGCCGAGGGGGCCGGTGAAACGAACGATGCTGAAGGGGGAGACGTTGGCGTCCCACAGCCAGACGAGCCAGCCTGGTAGGGGACGCTTCGGCGCATTGCTGGAGTTTTTCGCGCCGTTCTTGCTGGCGCGAGATGTGATGGAGTTTCGGTCGTCGTTCGTGACAGTGTTCTGGTCTTGTGTAAACTCGTTTTGCAATGTTGATTCTTCGGGCTCGGGCATGGCCGCGTTGACAGCGTACGGGTCCTCGGGGATCCCGACGGGCGAAGCGAGGATGAGTTTCTTGAGGTGACCGGGGTACTTCAGCGCGTACGCTACAGAGAGGTACCCTCCGAGAGAGTGGCCGATAAGGGTAAACTTGTCGATGTTGCGCTTCTTCCGCCACTCCTCGAGTGCATCAATGAACCAGGCCTCAGCCTCGGCCGTCTTACCCTCCTGGTCCTTGGCGGTGACCTTGAAAGGCGGTCTTGTGGAGTTGCCCATGCCGAGCATATCCAGAGCGTAGAGCTTCCAGCCTTTTGGCCGGGAGAGCGGCTCAAAGTTCTTGTAGAAAAAGCCAAGCCCTGCACCGTACCCGTGAAGGATAACGAGGTTGTTGTCGACTTCCTCGCCAACACGCTCGACGGAGTACTCGTTCAAGGCCCGGTTCTTTCCGGAGAGCTCGACCATCTGCGACTTCCACACTCGCGGGCCGAAGGGGTCGGATTTATCGGAATCGAGAGAGGCATTTTCACGGGCTTCTTTAAGGTAGGGGATGTGACTGAGGACGTTTCGCTCCGCCATCTGGGGAGTTACGCTGCTCCACTGCAGACGCTCTCGTCAGCGACATGAACGAGAACGACACCAAAAAAGGCATTGCTAGTTATCTTACCCATTGGTAGACGGCATCCTTGTATCCCAGAGGGAAATACGTCCCCGGGGGACGACTTGTCGCGGTGGGCGCGGCGGGAGGGGCGGCGGCGGCGGCCATGGTCTGGTGGGATCGGCGAGGGACGGATTCTTCAGAAGAGGCGCGGATGCTGGGGGCGGGAGACTTGACGTTGGCGGTGGTAGAGGAAGTAATTAATGAGGAAGCAAGCTTGAGTCGCGACCCGTTCACTACAGTAGAAGCGGTTTGTTGGTGTATCATGCCGGTTGATGGAAGGTGGCGACGGGGGAACCGTCTATATATGGGCGTCACAAGAGAGAGTAGCGTCGGTATCAGTGTGGCCTCGGGCGGCGGGTGTGCGTGTCCGGAGAGCGGATTTTCTGAAACTTGCGACGACTCATCAGCCAGCAGCGAGCTGACCGTTGGTATGGACGGGAGCGAGGGTGTGGGCTGGGTCGAATCAGATCAAGCTCGCAATTCTCCTACAAAGAATTGGAAGCGCCGTAGCGGTCGCGCGGGCGGCGTTAAGAAAGGTAGTGGTGACGCGGAGATGTGGCAGAGAGAGACGGTGCGGATGCGAGTCGAGGGGCGGGACAGGGCGAGGGAGGAAACACCCCAGCCAAAGACAGGTACTCCGTAAAAAACCGACAAGCTTGTTGAGCATTTGAGCGGCAGGGTTGCAGGGGGTACGAACATGCAGAGATGCGGGCTGGGCGGGATGCGGATCGGTTCATGGACTTAGCACTCGGAGTTTGGCGGGCTTGAAGAGTGGGTCGGCTTGTTGCATTGAGCCGTGTCGGCGGTAAGGAGCTACTAAACCCCCGATTTTCCGTTCTTTTGCTCGCACCGGTCGCTGAGACGGCCAGAACGTTCCAGTCTCCTGATGGCTTTTACTGATGCTATTAGGTGTTACTGATTCTAGCCTATCGGCATTGGTCAGATGCAGTAAATAGTCCAGGAGCACCTTGCCCAATGCAGGCAACAATCTGATCGTTCGCTAGGATAGCGTCGAGATGTTAATGATGCATAACGCCAGCCTCGGAAACCCTGCATGAAGAATCTCATTGACTTTGACAGCAGAAGGGACGAAGTGTCTTCACTTGGAGTAGTCTTGGCGTCTTTCTCAACACAGCGTCAAAACACTTGAGGGGAGAAACGGGACCAGACCTTATTGATGCGCGAAGACCAGTGCTGCATCAATTTACTGGCAGGTATTATGTAGATTCTGGTCTCATTGGAGCCTTTGCCATTGTGATTTCTCGGAAATGAGCTTGTGGCGTGCACACGATTGAACCCATCGCAAACAGTTCGGTCCAGTCCCTGCATATCCAGGGGCAGTTCTTTGGCCTTGGCTCCTCAGTGTGGACATCGCCTAGGTACTAAAACCAAGACCCAGGTTCGTCATTGTCGATTTTTCAACCGAATGGCACATGTCAAAAGGTGACCACTCCGGTGCTCCTCAACAAGCCTTATCGCTATCGCTATCGTTTATCGAACAGTCTTGAACCCCCCCCCCCGCGCTCGGGCCACACCACCTCGCTATGACGTTCCACTGTCCACACCTGCCACCACCAGGCGGAGCGGAATTTCCATTCCCAAGCCACCTGCGGTTGAGTTGAGGCATGCTAGCCGGCCTGATTGACATCTGACCACCGACCAAATTCCCCAATTCCGCCCTTGTCTCTCGCCGGTAGACGTCGACTGAGCGCCGTCCGCATAACACACACAACACGGGCAGTGCAGCAAAGCAGCATTTGGTGTTGCTCACCCGTCTGCACCTGCACCTGTTGCACCGAACGATCCTCTCCGTTGCGACCGCTGCGCATGTCGGCACATCGCTGCTGACCACGGCTGCCGTCAAGGCCCCTCACTCCCGTCCTGAAGCGACCTGACCGCCGCATCACCACAGAAGCCTTCCTCCCTCAAGACGCCAAGCTCCCCCTTTCTCAACACCATGGCCGACGAGCTCGACTCGCTCGTCAAGGGCGCTCCGCCCCGGGCAAGGAGATGAAGGCCGCCGTCGGCACCACCGGCGTCGTTCCTGAGTCCGGCAAGCAGGGCGACCCATTGAGCCACACCCCGAGCTCTCCGTCCATGATCTACCTCAACCTTCTCATCCTCGAAGCCTCCCTGCGCGCCCAGTATCTCGAGCTACGTGCCCGTCGCCGCCATCATACCTTTTTTTTCACCTTGCTGACCGCTTGGATAAGCGGCTTCGGCTACGCCCTCTTCTTCGCCCCGCGCGAGGACGGTCGCGGTATCGGCGGCTCCGTTTATTGGGGAGTCGAGACATTTGAAAAAATCTGCTTGATGGGAGGTGTCATGACCGCGATATTGGTCTGGGCGACAGGGATATGGGAACGAGGCATAAGGTGGCCACGACGTTGGTTCGCCATTTCCAACAGAGGGCTGCGAGGGTTCAATTCCAAGCTGGTCATCATTCGAAGACCTTGGTGGGCAGAGTTTCTCTCCACCATTGGTTTCTTCCTCACCTACGGGCTCTTCTCTCACACCGCAAGCTCGTCCTACCGCTACGTCGAACCGTCCATACTGCGTGAAGTCGAGAAGGAACTAAGCCTCACCGCCGAGAACCACCCAACACTACCAGTTCTGGTCGAAGACGAAGAAAAAGGAGGCCATGAGGAAGACCTTGCGCCAGGCGGAGACTATGTCAAGCTGCTCCTACTAGCGAAGCCCTTCACACCGACCTTCAGAGAGAACTGGGAAATCTACCGCACCGAATACTGGGAAAAGGAAAACGAGCGCCGCGCCCTCATCCAGAAGAAGCTCGCAGCACGCGACCGTCAAGTTGCCAAACAACGCTGGGGCATCTTCTGGTGGCTGCCCTGGCACCGCATCGACCGCTCCGGCCCCGCACCCATCCGCCAACAGCATGCCCCAGAGAAGACAACGATCCATCCCCGCGCCGCCGCCATTGAGCGCGAGCACCGACGCCGTAGTAGCAGTGCCAGCGTGCACCGCCGCAGCTCGACGAGCTCGAACCGTAGCATGACACCGTCCGTCGCGGCCACCAGCGACGATGGCGACGGCACTGTCAGCAGGAAAGCCAGCACCGGGTCCAACGCGTCGGATAAGAGGAGGAAGAAGATGGCGTCCGTGTCCAAGTCGAAGCGGCCGCACATCGAGTCGAGATCTGTCACACCCGAAATACCCTCGCCGCTGGCCCGAGAGAGCAGTGTCAGTCGTAGGGACAGCGGCTCCGGCGCCGAGTCGTTGGCGGAGAGGTCACTGAGGCACTCGTCGTCCAAGACTAGTATCAGTTCCTCCACCAACTCCGCAAGGGAGAAGCAGCGTAAACTCGGCGAGGCATGACGCGACTGCAAGAGTTCACAATGTATATTTACGATATGAAGAAGCGAAGGAGCGAAGAGACGAGAAATGATAATAGCATTTGTATCGCTAAACATGGTTGGCGTCCCTCCTAGGCGTGCTAATGACGAGAGAAAAGGCATATGCTCATTCTCATCCGAATTGACCGAAAAGAACCGTCGCCGGGAAAGAGGCCTTTCAAGCTTGACAGTTTCGAATGTCCAGCTGAGAAAGCCACTGGAGGGCTTGGCAGCAGACAAGAGTCACTTATAAGCAAAATGATCGCGGTTAGTCCCTGAGCGGCCCATAATTTCTTGGCTACCATGGTCATGTTTCTACAGTATGCTGCATGTCTCACCGGATGAGCATTTGACGAGCTTGATGACTTCAGGCATGTATAGTCGGTAGTGGCCGGTAAGAGCTCAGCATATGATAGTAAAGGGCAACAAGCGCAGATTTGCTTCACCCTTCACCTAATCCATTTACGAGGCGTTTAAAATTCCGAGAGCTCGACAATAAAGGTCCTATATCGCCCCTATCCTTATCGCCTTTCATATACCGCTTTGAGTCCGTGACGTCACAGTCACGTTTGGGCTTTATTGTGTGATACACTCCCGCACCGCCAAGGAGACCTAACAATTCCTCCAACACTTCACACATCTCTGAGATTATCGAACGAATGGCCATGACAAACAGCGAGGCAAGAGCCTCCAAGAATGTAATCGTCTCAGGTGGCGCGCGAGGCATTGGCCGCGCCTTGGTGCGCCACTTCCTCGAAGCCGGTCACAACGTCTATGTCTTCGACATTGACGAGGACGAACTCGAGCACACCGTCAAAGTCCATCTTAAGGAACACTACGACAGAGGCAAACTCGAGTCCGCAATCTGCAACCTCCGTGACGTAGACGACATCCGCACAAAGGTCAAGGCCGCAGCGGCAGACTTCTTCAACAACACAATCGACGTACTCTTAAACAACGGCGGTATCGCGAGCCCGTACTGGCGGGACGGCAAGACGATGGAGGACCCAGACACCTTTGGGGAGTGGCAAGCATATATTGACACGAACCTCACTGGGCCCTTCGCCATGAGCCAGGCTTGCGTGCCGTACATGAAGGCACGACAGACGGACGCGGTGGACGGGGCGCAAATGGTCAAGGGCGCGGGGCCATGTATCATCCACATCGGGTCCTTCCGCGCAAATCAATCCGATCCGAACCAGGAGGGGTACGCAGCGAGCAAGGCGGGGCAGCTGGGTCTTATGCACAGCATGGCAATCTCGCTGGGCGCATTGGGAATCCGGGTGAATCTGATCGCGCCAGGGAGGATCAAGGTCGAGCATGAGAGTAAGGAGGGGGATGAGACGGGGCAGAGCTGGGAGGAGCAGGTGTTGGAGAAGGATGTTGATGATCATCCGACCAATCGGGCGGGCAGGCCGAAGGATATTGCGGATGCGGCGTTGTATTTGATCGAGGCCGGCTTCGTGACGGGGCAGGATCTAGTTGTTGATGGAGGGGCTCTGAGGAAGAAGAACTGAGCTGGTGTTTGCGCGCTGCTGGACAGGAGCGTTAGACACCTAGAGATGGATCAAAAACACGGAGATTCTACTGAAGTAAAGCACTAAGCAAACATACTCCAAATCATTACTTTTATTCATATCTCAAGCTTGGTTGCCTTCAATGGTTTGCGAATAGTCCTAAGTTTTAAGAAGAGGCATCTTATCTCCAAATCAGTGACAATGGGGAAGCATAAGAGAATGAAATGTGTAGAGGTCGGGCATGATTCAGAAGCTGACATCCATGAGCTCCCTTCCCGAAGGCTCGCGAAAGTCTGCAATAACAAAGGGACGACGTGAATTCTACGATAGTAACTTCCACAGAAAGACGCAGTTGCCACACATAGCTAGAGAGCATTCACATATTCCAACGCGGTGCCGAAGAAGGGGAGCTGTCTTCCAGTTTGCTATCATCGTTGCAAACTGGGTTCAAAATGCCCTAGTCTTAATCTTGATCTCTTATCACAATCCAAGGGATAGTCAAGATAGAAGTTACGATACGGCAGCTTGCAACTCGGCTACCTTGTTAAGAGCAGTTTGTCGTAATTAGCTTAGAAAAACATACTCAGAGAACCGTAGACTCAGTCCTTTAAAACAGTCGCACCAAGCCATCGGGAAGGACTCCACATAATCTTCACACCGCAATGTAGCGGCCTAGCGGTTTATTTGGGTGCAGATCTTACAGTTACAAATCTGGTCAATACAGTTAGTTCTTGAACATTTGGAAGCCTCAGCACTCGAGATACATCAAAAGGACGCTCGCGCGAACTTTAGTAAGTGAACCTCATAGCATAGAACAAATGCTACTTTATGAACCACCCATACCTGTCTGAACCACGGCTGTTGACTCACAGTAGTGAGCGAAACTTATTCTTGATATCTTAGAAGCGGTTCTTTTTTATCTGCAACATGGAACTGTTTGCGGTCCAGCCGAAGCCCCAATGTTTTAATGATGCATTGAGTCCAAATATAGACATCTGTCACAAGGTCTGCCGCGAGCATTGCATTGCCGTTGTACGATGACTTGGGGCAGAAGAGGATAAACTTGGACTCATACATACACGCTCAATTGAGGTTGCTTCTGTGACCCAGCCCGGTTGTTCCTGTGCTTCCAATTCCTTCAGGTTTCACGTACAACAATTTCCTGGGTTCCACATTTGTCTTCTCCAAAGGGAAACTTACCCGATCACATGCATATACACCCTGCATATAGGCTCGGTGAAGGGTTGTTCGTTGGTTCTACACGGTTGGCACGGCCACGATTGGGCCGAGGAAAGAGGGGTTGACTGGTATGAAAGCTGTAAAAAAGGCCTGATGCGCCCCTTGTCGCTCGTATCTCTATCTCTCACAAACAAATATTGCAGAATTCTGAAGTCGCTGCGAGATCTACTCGTCGATACACCGCAGCCATGGCCAACACACAAGACCAGCACCAGGACCCTCTGGTTGTTGATGACACGGTAGGCCTTCAGTAAACATACCAAGTGCTTAACACTGATCAAGAGTATAGGTGATTGATAGTGAGGCGGACCTTGAGGTAAGTGCAGGCTGTTATTTACTTAGCCCAGCTCAGGTAGAAACGCATCATTATTGACTTCTTATTCCCCTCTAGAGCCTTTATTCGGAAACTACTAGTGTCAAAGACTCCATTCTAGATTACCGGATTGAGAACGGCAGGTCGTATCATAAGTACAAGGATGGCAGTAAGGTCAATATTTCTCATTAAAGTTCATTATAAACAAGACATTGACTCAACAACAAAAGGGGACGAGCATGTTAACAGCACGCGATCTTCAGGGCTCAACAATCTAGATCACTCGCCATTGATTTCACCTTTCATGAAGATGCTTTCCAGAAGTAGATGGATGTCGTAGTTTTCATAAATTGCAGTCAGATCCTGCCTGAAAAAGGTTCAATCCTCCCGTTGGCGACTTAGACCTGCGGTGTCTCCGTGATTTCTTGGCGAACGACCTAAGAGTCTCAAGTAGATCTTACCTGAATCAGATGAAGTAGTTAGTAGCCGATTGTTATTTTCGCTCAAGACGAGCATTGTAGTTATGAAGAGTCACTGATGTCTGCTACTTTTTTCCCAGCACAGTGTTTGCAGCTGAATGTTAATTTCTTTAAGCCTTCGGTTATAGGACATGATTGATGTTTACTGTTCTATGAGTACCTGTCAGAGGCTGGGTTCGTATAGAGTACTGGAGTCAACGAGGGTCACAGTTAGGGGTCAAAGGTGACTAGCATTCGAATCTACCTTCCCTCATCCACCGCTGCTGCCCAGCCGTCCTTGAAATCCGCTCTCGGGTTGACGATGTTCCGCTTCCAGTGGTCCCACACCGGCGCGCCCCCTCCCCCCCCCCCTCCCGGTGCTCCCCGGCGGTACCTTCCGGCCCCTGACAGTACTTTAGAATGACCTGAAGCACCAAGATATCCATAACATCTTTGGTGTTGAATCAAGAAGCAAAGACTTCTTTCGGAAAATTTTACTCGTCTTCAATTCCCTCCGAACTTTCTTTGTTAATTTAATTCGGCCTGGGCTCAACATCTGTCATAAGTTTAAGCGCATAGCGGAGCAAATGAGAAATAGGGTGAAAGATGCTTGATTCTATGGAATGATAAATAAAATTATAGAGCCTATATATATACCCAAACCATGTGCTTAAGGCCAAGAATAGGGTAAGTGACAAAGCTATTGCTGTGAGCCGTGTAATTGAGGCACGGAGACCTCTGAAAGTGAGGTTCTCATGACAACAGCTCGGTCAGTATAGTACTTGATTCTCATTCTAGTCTAGCCTCATTTGAGCCTAGCCAGTCATCCGAGTACTCCAGCTCATCGTTATGAAACAAAGATACTAGTAGCATTCCGTAAGCCTTGTACGGATACTCCTCTAAATTCTCTGTACAGTTATCGGCATCATAATACGTTAAGTACTTAAGATGCGGAAACACGCTTTCTTTCTCCTCGATGATTGTATGGAGAAGTTTTTTGTAGACTGGCTCCAGAGGATAGCCCCGTCCGCGCTCCACCCCCCTCAGAGTCTGCTGGATGTTGTCAAGCGAGAGAACCTTCAGATTCGGGGGCATCTTCTCTTTCAGGAGGGTTTTCATATCTGACTCCACCGTGAAGCCACCGAACAGAGCTTTTGGATCGACGACAAGCTGTCTCAGTGCGGTGAAGTCGGAAAAGCTCATATGAGAAACTTCAGGTAGGTAGAACGACGACCAGTGTAATTTGAGCACTTGCAAAGTATCTTTACTCGAAGAGAGTAAAGAACAAAAGTCTCCTGGCGTCCCGCCAAAGTCAAATTGATTCATGAACCGAAACCTGCGGAGTGCTTTTGCAGGTATAAGGAACTTCTTCAGCGCTTTCAAGTCAACTTTGCAAGCCTCAATATGCAGCGTGTTTAACTTTTCGAGAGGGAAAAGATCAATTGATAAATCTCCAAATGCTCTGAGATCAATATAAGAAAGCCTGATACGCGTAAGGCTCGGGTGATGGAAGAAGATGGCGTCCTCAATGTGAATTTCGTAATGGGCTCGACACCATCCCGGGTAGTCGAAAGGATCATGCATGACGCTTAAAGTGACTACCATGACACCAGATTAGCAAAAGAAAAATCAAAATAGTGTAAAAGACCTTGTTGGTTCCTACAATTCAGTAATTGAGGTTTCTGGCATATCAAAGCGTTCAAAGCCCGCTTGGTTTCCGTGCTCGCGGGTTTCAAGATTTTCTTCTCATGTTGAAGAAGGATGCTCAAGAGATTAGGCATGTCGAAAGCTAAGAGTTGTCTGAATGCGCCCTCGTCTAGCTCATCAATAACGAGATAGCGGACTAGGTTTCGGATGAATGGCCGGCGAGTGAGGAGACCCACGAGTCCTGCTGTGTCATAGTGGCTCCCTTGTTTCGTGTACATCTTTTCATAGAAAGCCGAAGCGGTTAACGAGTTGATGGCTTGGCATGTCTCCATGAGGGGTCTGAGCTCCCGGATCTCCAGATTTGAGATTATCGCTGAGAAGAGCTCCGGGGCAATGTTCCAGAGGGCCGACGGAGGCTGTGATCCTCGCAACCCGCTCATCTTGCCGTCGCCACAGTGTTCAACGATTGAGTAAAGTGGTCCGCTTTCGATGTTTGGTAAAGTTAGAAAAACAAAAGACGCAGTTCGAGAGAGGGGTGTCAGCAATCATGCACGTGGATGAAAAGAGGTTCGGTTATGCTTATGTAAAACCACGATCCAGGAGCGGTAACAGCCCAATCACACAGTCGATCGTGGAATACAATGTGTATGCCATATAGGTTACAGATAGTTGCGGACCCATGATCGAAACCAATAGCAGAAAGCCCCTGACTTCTGAGCTAAATTCGGGCCTCTCATACGACATTGCCATGTAGATGACTGTACGGACTGGCCAATGGTTTGACGTCTTCTCGTGCTCTTCTTCAACATCCACTAACTCATCAGTAACCCCCGGCTGTATCTTTGAGCCGCATTCAAGCCGATGCAGCCAAAGACACAAACTGATGGCGGATGAACAGTTGATTGTTGGACTGCGCAGAATCAATCAAAATTTAGCAATTGAAACAGACAGTTATTTTTCATAATACCTCGATCTGTATTTCTAACTGTGTCTTACACTGGAAACTTTCTTCTTTGGGTCACCAAGAACCGACCTAGAAGTGTCGGTTCGTAGTATGCCGGTTCTAGATCAAGGACCGCTTATCACTCGGGCTGATTTGTCGGCCCATCCTTCTCATTATGTTGCCCTTTTCAAATCTTCTGCTACGGGCCTGTCATCCTGCGGCCAGAAGAGGGCTCATCTGTTGGTCTTGTCTCTCAACCTTGTTGGCCCTTTTTTCCGGCCTGAGCCGTGTTGTATCGTGACAATCATATTGCGCAACTCTATCGTTATTGACATGGCAGGTTCATCAAGGAAATTTGACTGCTTGAATGGTCTCTTGAGGCTCCCGATAGTCTTTTCTTATCTAGACTAAGCAAGGAGAAGATGGTGACGAGACATTTTTACAGAGGGAGCGAACATATCTTGTTCCATTCCAAGCAGAAAATCCAACTGTTCATTATTTGCGTATCAACTTGACTCAAGTTTTGGCGCAAACTCTAATAGCTTTGTCTCTTCCACTGCAGCTATAATAATTCAGCGCCAGAAGCCAGATCATTTATTTTGATTGCCTCATCTCTTTGATAGCATGTCAACATGCTGTGGAGCACATCACGCTGCAGCAGGTTCGAAGCGAGCTTGTCCCAGTCATCGAGCTACGCTCCAGTGGGTAGCCTCACTATGTCAGGCTTGGTTGCTTCTAGATCAAAGACGGGTCCCTCAAACTTGGCTGAGACAGGTCAAAATGTATTGCTGACTTTAAGACATTTGGTTATCCAGTGTTTGATGCGACATTACAAAACTTGATGTGTGTATTATCATGGATCGTCCAGCGCCAATCTGCAATCGTTCATTCGCAAACCTCGATGAACTATGATCATTTCCTCGACCCAAGATCATCCTCACTCTCATGAAACATGCTCTTCCTCAATGTCGCCTCGCCAGTCGGGCTAACAGGCAACAACCTCGCACTGATATAATCCTCCCCATCTGACGCCCCTGTCGGCGGACTCAGCGGGCTCGGGTGTCCAGGCGTGGGCGTCTCGGGCACCGTATCTGGCACCCCAAGCGGCTGCTCCCGCGCCGTGGACCCACCTTGCTCGCCGCCTGACGAAGCCGAGCTTACTGTCGCCTCGCTGAGGTGCCTCAGGTGCCTTGCGTCGCGGTCAGCAATGCCTGAGACGTCGGATCCAATGCGGCCTGCGGGCGTGGCCGTACTGATCGGTGATGATGGCGAGCCTGGATCGGGTGACTGGGCCCGGGTCTGGTAGCCAATAACACCAGAAGAGCGAGAAAGGGAGGAGGCGTTCTCGTTGCTGGAAACGGAGGCGTAGTAGGATGACTGGTGAGTGGTTCCAGGGTTAGAGCCGGTGCCGGTGCCGGTACCGAAGTGGGTGTGTTTGTTGATGATTTCAACTGGCGTTAGACCGACGCCATGAAGCTCTGGGCGTGGAGACGTATCTATACATGATTAGTTTTGTTCCATTTTAAGAAATGTTGAATGACCTCACCTGGAAGCTCAGCAATTTGATTATCGGCCACTTCATGGGCAAAATAATATGGCACGGGTGATGCAGCAGGCGCTAGAGGTGGTGTGCGGACTTCAGCCATGTCTTGAGTAGAAGGTGCCTCTTCAGTCGTGACAGTGGGCGCCTTGGCCGGCTCGCTTGGTTGTCCCCTAATCCAGGAGATGATGCGAGAGCCGTTGTCATCCGTCTGGGTCGCGGTCCCGTTGCCGCGTCTGAGGATTCTCCGGCGACGCCAGAGGCAAAACCCAACAAGAATAGCGGTGATGAAAACAAGACCAAGGACGACGCCGAGAACGGGGGCAACCCACTTCGGGGTTCCACCTCCACCGCCACCATCATTGTTTCCATCGGCTGGTACGGTAGGACGAGGAGTTTCTTTCGTTTCGGTGTAGGGGTACCATGTCTTGATCTTCGAGGTTTCATACGGCTTCGCGAAGATGGCCGCCAGGCTTGGATCTGCCCATCCGGACCCCTCGGGTTCTGTCTTGGTCGCCGATCCCTTCTCGTCGCCTCCGATCTTGCTGACGACGGCAGTGGGTATGGTGTAGTTTGACCATTTAGCCGGACTGTACCCATCGAGCCATTCTGCACTCGATAGATTGAACACTTGAATTATGCCTCCCTCGAGGCACGGCGGGGAACCTCCGCCTGAAATCGCTGTGTAGCCACCAATGACCATCATCTGATCAGGGTAAGGCATCACACACTGATGGCCGGCGCGCGCATGAAGGGCTTTTCCCTCATATACCTTGGTCCACTGAAAGGACGGAATGGAGAGAACCCAGACATCGTCGCTGAAGTCTTCCTTGGCGTTGATGCCATCGTACCCGCCATAGTAATAGATGTTGAAGCTTGAGTAATCTTGTGCCGGTGCGAGGACAGCACAGCCTCGGGCAAGGGCCGGAGGCTTTGTTCCCTCGGTCGTCTGCTGATACCATTTGTTGCCAGCCACGTCGTAGATGTCGATGGTCTCCATGAAAGCAGGGCTATCTTGTTGCTGTGCGTAACGTAAGATACAATACCAGTAAACGATAAACGCAGGACTTACACTCTTGAAAGCATCGTCGGACTTGTGACTGGAGTTGACATACTCGGGGTAGGTCACACCTCCCAGAACAACGAGAATGCCTTCGTCTCCGACGGGGACCCAAACAACCTCTGAATTTGCTCTTGCCTTGATATATTCTGGAAACGACTGGTTCGAGAATTTCTCGAATAACTGTTCAGACATATCAAGAGTGACGAGGAAATTCGAGGCGTTGACGGCGTTCAATGAACGGTTCGTGTCGCCCATGTAAATCTCTCCTCCGAGAGGCGAGCGCATGCCGCCTACATACCAGGCCTTGTTCTCTGAGGGGGCACTGGCAGCCCCTCCATGGGCAACATACTGCGTCATATCGCCCTCAAGGGACACCATGTCGCTGCTGCCATTTCGAAATGAAGGCTTCTCTGGACCGTATTCGTGCATACGCCATACCATTACCTTGTCACCAGGCGGAGAACCATATGAGTCTGACCGCTTAGCAAGGACACCTCCATACAAGAAAAACTCTGCGTCGTTGTGAAGGAGCGCGCCGTCGATGGTGTTAGGCGCAAAACTGTTGACGTTTCCTGACCCACCTGCGGCTTTGCTTTTGGTGTCGATCAACATGGTAATGTTCGTGGTTTTATCAAAAGGCTTGCTGAAATTCAAAGAGTACATATAACCCAAAAGGTTGTCTAGAGATGTCAGAGGCCGGTCGCGATTGATGCACTATTGTACTTACCCAAAGTTGTTGGGGGGCCTTCAGTTCCATCTCGATACCTGGGAGTCCAGTAAAGCCTTCCGCCATCAAGCCAAAGGGTGTCACGAATAACGGCAGCTTGAAGCTGTCAGTCTCGGGTTGTTCCTGATGGTACAGGATTACGAACCTCTTGGCGAATACCAATAGCACATGTTTGCGCTGACTTGCCCTTTTTCAAGATCCCACCCATCATATTGCCCGGCTACGAGACCGACAAGGGCTGCAAGCCTGAAGAAATGCAAGAAAGCCATCGCTCGACAGCGTCTTCACGTCACTAGTTGGGAGGGGCGATAGGGTAAGATTGTCACCAGCTGCTGTCTCAGCGCATCGCAGCTGATCGGGTGCTTGTTTCGGAGGCAAGCACAGCGCTGCCAGAAGTTGTGACAACGTCTTCGAAAAAAATAGCGGAGGAGACAAAGGGTAAGCAAACGAGTAGTTGGAGGCTGAAAGGTAGGGGAAACCACCTGCGAAGTGATGGGCAGACCTTTCAGGTACGTCTCGAGGCCGATAGTCAGCTTGCGCCCATGCCTAAGAGGAAACACGAATGGCACACCTACAATGCCCTTTTTCATTGAGAAAGAGTAGTCGAATGTAGAAACGGATGGGATGAACACACACACACGCAAATCCATACAACCTAGATGAAGCAACCCCGCAGCGCCGCTGTCGCCGTCTTACCAAATGGCCCAATCAGTACGGTGGCAATGGGGAAGGACCAATAGGTCCTAAGAGGGCCTGATAAGAATGTTGCCACTGGAGAATCTCGTCCAACTCAATGCCATATGTGTGGTATGTAAGGCTGGCCCACTGGTAAGACTTGAAATGGAGGAGGCAACCGAGCTTACGGAGGGGAGGGTGGCAGAAGATAGGATGGGATGGGATGGGATGGTCGTATGCAAGCCTTCGGGCTCCGGTCTAAGCCGGGCTCGGCAGTATCTGAGAGGACGACTCACACGGCTAGGAAATTGGTACTTGGTTACTTGAGGATGAGAGACAATTACATAGTGATTAGTGTACAGAAATGGGAGACGGTTGGCTTTTTCTTGGGACACAAACAAATGATTGCAGTGCGGACCAGTAGCCTCTCAGCTTCGTCATCCAATTGAGAGATATTACAAGCCACTTTCCAGCCCATGGCCAGAACACAACGAAATACAGGCATAGACTGATTCCATTGGGGATCTGACCAGGCAGTGTCTGGTAGTCAAAAGAGTTGTGTCAATGTGCAAACTCGTATAAGTGTGCTGAACAAAAAACAAACTGACAACCTCAGCATGCAAATAGCAGAATGTGCACTGATGTTAGGCTGTGCTCGGTGCGGGGACACAGCAGCACCACCATATCCCGACTGTGACAGCCATGACGGGAAAGTGGCCGACACTCTTGGCCTGCAGAGCATAGATTGTCAGAATTGGCAGACTACGTTGCCCATATGTGTGTGGACTCAAAGAGGAAAGGTTGCGACTAGACAATCTGTTATGCCGGGGAAATAGGAAGCAGACCTCGGGCAAGAAGTTACCGTCAGAGCGGATGATGGCTTCGAAAGGTCCGTTGTAGCATGCACTCACTGTTGTCATAAACTCTCTCAAAGCTTATGACAGCAAAAACCATGTCCTGACCACTTACGGGAGGTGAGCCGACGCAAGAAGATGACTCGGTGACAAGCCGGATAAACTTGGGGTTCGGGTGGGATACCATATCGAGAGAGATGACATGATTCCGGACGACGAGATGGTGGCGCAGGCAGGAGAAAATCCTGGAGGCCAGTCGAACTCAGGTGGCTGCTGCCTACGCCTCTCGGTACCACACTGGCTGCAGTCCCAGGATCAGCATGCATGGAGAATGGTGTAGTGGCAGTGGCTGTTAGCAGGGGATTACGGGTGAGCATCTGCAAGTCAGTCAATATATGGGCCGCCAAGTTGACCCTGCGAGGTCTGGATGGGACCAGCACACTTGAAGCTGCAGGCTCAGGCTAGGATCGGGAACATGGGAATTTGCAAGAGCTTCATTGTCGAGTCGAGTTCGCAGCCTTTTAGGTCAGGCACGGGTGAACCTAGCGGTCCATCGAGGAAAGGAGAAGGATGAAGGTGTCAGCCCTGTAGGATGGGTCGAGTAAGACGCATTCTTGGCAACAACGGCAGTCGGTGAAGGAATCACAGTTTGCAACGACCTTGGCCACTTTCTCCTTGCTGTTCAAGGCTGAGAGAAGAGATGATCCGGTAAAGAAAGCAGGCCGCGGGTGGCTTTGTTATATACTCGAATCAACTGCCACCAACCAACTTATTCATCGCACCGTTTTGGCCGAAGGACTGAAACATTTGATAAAAGCCAGGAAAGGGAACAGAAAAGATGGAGAAACAATGGAAAAGTGACAAACGGCGTCGTTGGACGGTGGACGATGAATTAAGCGCTAAACCTTATTTAGGTCGCTTGGATGAGGTAATCGGTCTTCCATCCAATGGCAAGGTCGTGCAGCTGGCGGCCGGGAAGGCTGGAGGTGTGGACAGGCACGGACGGAAAGGACCCATAATTGCCTAGGTATTTACCCCTCTTTCTGTGTCCAGGATTAGATTTGAGCAGTTCCTCCCATAGGGTAGAGAGCACGTTTCCCTTGTCCCTGCGCTAACCTCCTTCCGTCTTGGTCAATCTCGATCGTCACTCATTCTCCCCATTCACGCATTCATCTCCCCTGCTCCTGGTCATTCCAACATTCCTTCGCTGCTTACACCCTCTCACACATCTCTCGTGTTCATAACATTTCCTCACCTGGCCGCGATTCCCTCCAGCCTGCCTCTCTGCCTGCTTGCTGGCCTGCCTTGTCCCCCCACACGACTCCGTTGCACAAAGGTTGCATAGCAGAGACATGTCTCTAGTCGAACCAGCCTGTCAACGTTCACGGAAAGCTCACGGACGTGACTTACATGGAAGCCATGGCCCAGAACCATGGCATGATCAGGCCCAAGCCCAATGATCTTACAATAAAACTTCGATACTCCACGCCCAAGACTGGTGCTGACAGTCTCTCAGCCGCAACACCCATCCTGTCGGCCAAATGGGTGGGAAATGGACCGGTCAAGACAGGAAGCATCTCACAGGGCCAACCCAGTCTCGAGCATTCGAGAACTGGGTCAGATTTCCCCTCCGTCTACTCTTTGCGCTGCAATGCCGACCAATGCATCAATACAGCCCTTACATTAAGTTTCCCAAAGGCATCATTTATCAACCATTATTCTTGGGTTAACCAAACCACAATGTGCACAAGTAGCATCCATTGGTTGATGCAACACTACTCGGACTCCCTTCCAGTCGCACCCACTGTTGTCCGATCGACAATCCCCCTTGAAAATCATGACCGCAAGATCCCTTCTTTGTTGGCGATGATCAAGCACCCGAGAGGGGTAGTCGGACGCTTCTCTCCAGCCGGTCTGTTCAGTTGCATAACTGACTGGGTCTCTGGCTCTTGTCTATACCGTTTGCTACATATTGGCCCTCGGCTAAACCTAGTTTCCCGTTGTGCCTGTCAATCCGGAAGCTATACCGCATGCGTCTCTGGGTCGATGATCCTCAATCTTTTTCCTTTCGTCGTGCCTCAAACGTTGCAGGCGCTTCGCATTCCGCATGCCTACCCCCTCCTGCATCTCGTCCACATCCAGGTCCAGAATTATACATCGGTCTCACGGCCGAGACTGCTCGTTACGTTACCTACTTACCGTCTCCACCTTCCTCTTCACACTCAAGACCTGGGCCGATCCAACGCGGCAATAATACACCACGGCTTCGACCCGGCATGCAGCGCGGTGGTCAGTCCTTGCGCAGGAGGAGTGCAGGTTGGCCACTCACGGCTGCCACCGAAGCAAAAGTCCCTTGCACCTGCAGGAGTCTCTTCGGCCCTGGCCCTTGTCAATGCCACCCGCTCCCAACCCAAGCACGACGACAACGGCCGGCCGACGCAGCCCTGCCGCAGCCCGACCTCGTCCGTGTATCCAGGGCATGAATGAGACGAGCACTGTATAGCAATCGCAGAGTGATCTTCTCTTGCACACCAAACACGACCTTGGGCAATTTTTTTCTTCTTCTTTTGTGTTACCTGCTCTTTGACTCGAGGGTTATTTTTCCGCAGTCCTCTAGCTGGTGCTTGTTACTCTTGGCTCTACAATTCCTTGTTGGTTGTATATGAACCCAGCCGGAAATGACTATGTTGGAGACTGGTCCAAGACCGTGCGCCAATTGACCTTTTGACCGTATCTTCCGACGCAATAATTCGACCAGGCTCGATACTTCCATTTTCACAGTTCCGTGGCTTGCACATGGACATTGGTGAGTGCGCTACTAGAGGTGCCTTTGGCTTGCTGTACGCGCAACTACTTCGATATGCGTACCAAACTCATCAAGGTGCCCAGATTTGTCCCTTCTCACCCGTTTCTCTCCTGGCACTTGTCTTGGGGCTATTCCCGTGTTCCGTTGTCGCAGTTACCTCTCCAACCCCGACTGAAATCTTGCCTACCTTTCGAGAGATGGCTTGCCAACTGCGGTTGATATCCCTGTCGTCATCTCTGCATCTACTACCAGGGTCTCGGTGGGCCATCACACCCTCTTCCAGTGTGTCCACCTTCATGGGCCCTCTCGCCTCTTGTGCCCCATGTTGCTCTATTTCGGATCTTGTATTTGCCAATGGCTGTCGAGTGAAGCTCTTCGGCAGGAATTTGTGTCTCATTTTGCTCCCATTGACATTCGAGGCACGCCCCTTCGTTGTGTGGCACGTCAGCACACGAGGAAAATAAGGGCCTAGAGCCCAGCTTCCCATGTTGCTGGGTTCCTTCGTCATCCTGTTTCTATCTTGCCGTGCGATGTAATTAGCCATCGCCCTCCTTATATTGTCTTGGACTGTGCTGGCAAGATGCCGAACGTACAGAATACCCACCTATTCGTCAACACCATCTCGGACGGAGGTCCCGCGGGACGAATACTACTACGCTAGGTGGCTTACGGGTTACGGACTGCTCTCGCTAGCTAAAGTTTACGGGGAATTTAATCCTGCTGTTGAAGGGAGTCCTCCCAGGCTCAGGTAAGGCTGCTTTGCCAACTCAGCTCTCAGCCTCCCCTCCTTGCTGTACCCCATCGTACATACATATGAGACCCCAGGTACCATTCTTATCTTCTTTGAGTCCCTTCTGCCCCCAGTCACCGAACGGCACTCTTGTGCGTGTTCAGCTTCTACCAGCCATCCTACACTTGTTAGTCTATTGTTGCGACGCGGCAAGCTTTGCGTGCGGCATTGATACTGGGCAATTGGGATAGCCAAAGCCGTTCGTTCGATCCAGCCTTTCGCCATGCGCTTGACATCACTCCTGGCCTTGGGGGCATTAGCCGTCAGCGTTACGGCACAAGATGGCCGTGTAGTGTATGCCAGGCAGAACGAGTCCTCTCCTGAGGCGTCTGTACAATACTCAGTCGCTCCTGAGCCATCGCCTCCGCCTTCTTCCCTGCCTAAGCCTGAGGTGGAGTCTTCGCCGTCGCCATCACCGTCGTCCACACCTGCTTCTAAGCCCGCCGCCGAGCCTGCCTCCTCTGTCGTGGCCCAACCTGAGCCCACGCCCACCGACGCAGAGAAGAAGTCGCCGACCTATGACACCAACACCGACGACTGCGAACATTGGGGTTCCAAATGCCCGTGGGGCAAGACGGTCACCGTTACCGACGTTGTGACGAAGACTATCACTGAGGAGAAGCTTGTTCTATCCACGTCAGTCAAACCCTCTCCTCAAGAGCCTGGATTTGGAAGCTAACCCACAGCAGTACTACGCTCATTTCCAAGGAGACTATATTCACAACGGAAGGCTACACTGTTACCGACTTTGAAACCCGAACCATAGTCAAGTCCTACCCGGTAACAACTACGGTAGCTCTGTAAGTGGACATCGCCTATGGCCAAGCCAAAGTGCAACACATTTTACATCTCCAATTTACCTGCTTTATCTCTCCGCAAACAGTACCAGGGATAGGCGAGAATTGTAGAAGACGAGAGCTTATCCTCAGCTTTTCTTGCCATACACTTGCTGTTCCCTGGGTAAGAACAAAGTTAGCTAACGGTTGGCCAGTTGCAAACCCGTCGTCGAACCAGAGCCAACATACGCGGTGCCAACATCTTACGGGGGCTACGGCAAGGAGAAGCGCATCCATCCCGAAGTCTGCGAGACTCGTACAACAACAATCTGGAGGACCCTCACCGAGAGCATAAGGGTGCCTCTAACAGTGACCCAAGGCTACACAAGAACCCAAAAAGAGGTCGAGACCCAAACTCAAAAGTACACCGAGACCAAGGAGTACACCCAAACACAGAAGTTCACGGAAACTCGGGAGGTCACTGCCACCAAGATTCACACCTCGATCTCGACCTTCGTGACAACTCACCTTCTGACCACGGTCATGCCAACTACTGTTGTTTCGAGCTCCACCATATATATCACCAAAACCTTCACGACAGTCGAAACTCGGACCAAAGAGTATTATTTCACGGACACCATTACCCAAAAGTTCACCGAGACCCAGAAGTTCACTGATTTTGCAACTATCACCAAGCCAGTGACCCAGATAGCGACGGTCACCTCCGTTTTTGTGTCCCCAACCACAATCGTCTCGACTTTCGCTTTCACCACGAGCATCCCGTACACCATCACCGTCGACCATACCGCCATGACAACAGCCTGGTCCGTCTCCACGTTCTTCAGCCACATCACCTACACGACGTCGACGACTTTGACTGCTTCGTACACGGAAATTCAGACGCAGACGGCCACAGCTGTAAGGACGGCGACGTTGACTGAGAAATACACGACGCCCACGACCATCTTCGTATCAACGACCTTCTACGACACTACCACTTTGTCAACAAGCTATCCAGTCACTTTAACGGATGAGAGGACGGTCCGGGAGACCTCTTACATCACGAGTATCAGAACAATCGTCTCTGAAGTCCCGGTCGTCTCCTTCGTGACCCTTACGAGGATCACAACGGCTCTCTCGACTGTCGTGGTTTCTACAACGATTCCTGGGGAGCTCACGACTATTCTGGTCCCGACCACGATCGAAGGTGAGGCCAGCACCATCCTAGTGCCCACGACGATTCCTGGAGAGATCAGAACCATTCATGGTCCAACTATCATTTCTGGTCAGCTGACGACGATCCTGGTTCCTACGACCGCAACTGCAACGATCCAACTGCCCCCTGAAACAATCACTCTGCCAGGATCTACTATCGTCTCAACAATTGCAGGGCAGGTCACAACCATTCAGCTACCTGGGACTACTTTGACCCTGGTAACAACAAACGTCGTCGTCTTGCCCCCTTCAACAACCACCTTGCCTGGCTCGACTGCGGTGACGACCTTCACAGAAACTGCCCCTGACAGCACTTTGACCATCACGGAAGACGGAGTTACCATCACGAGCATCATCCCGGGCCCGACGTCTGTCGTCACTTCAACCTTGACCCTTCCGCCTGTCACTCTGACCCTCCCTCCTTCAACCGTCACTCAGACCGGAATCCATGACAGGACGGCTTGTCCTGCTCCTACCAACACCCCTGGCGTTAACCCCGTCGTGGATTTTAACCCAAAGTCGAACCGCACTTGGGGCTGCCAGCCTGGATACGTCTGTAACCCCCCCAAGCCTGCCGGCTGCGGCTTATGGGCCGACTCGCCAGCAGATGAATACGTTTGCAACCCTAAAGACTGTGTTCCTGCGCCGCCTTTCACCCTGGCCAACTGGAAAGAAAACGAGACGCACTACTATCCCCCCAACGATGGGTACTTCAACCTCGACCCCAATGCCTTTGGTCTTCCCTACGACATCTTTGACTACGAAGTCATTGTCACCAAGGTTAAGGGGAAGAAGGGCTACAAGAAAACAACCATCACGACTGGCAACTGGGCCTCAGCCACTGATCTTACGCACTTCCCTCCCACGGCTCAGCCCACTATAACGGTTGTGCCAGCGCCTGTTTCCTCTCCCGAGGTTGGCAAGCCCTCCTACAAGCAGTACAAAGAGGGCAGAGTATACGAGCGTCGTTCACTGTTAAAGAAGCGTGACGAAACTATCGTCCCGGCCATCTGTTACGACATCTGCAACAACTGCTATATTGAAGTGCAATCCACCGGCAAGGTCGCAAGCATCTGCAACCCCACATCTGCCTTCCAGAACGACGTGAATACATGCAAACAGTGCGTCAGAGACAACGTTGAGGACGAGAAGGAGACTCTACGAGTCTACCTTGAGCCCAAGTTTCAGCAGTTCCTCTCGTTCTGCGATGGTGAGGCTCCTCAGAGCTCGGCCTCTGCAACTGCAATACCGCCCCAGAGTCAGCAAAGCTCTGCTACATTGACCACGGCCAGTCAAGACGCCGGATCTTCAGAGACTTCGGCGGTGCCCATCCCGGACACTACCACTACATCGCCTGTTGAGGCATCAACCTCACAGACTCCGACGCCGACGCCGACCATGTCCCCGAGCACGAGCAGCGCCGCATCTTCAACGTCCTCGGTTGCCAGCTCGGCGGAGACCTCTGAGACATCGGCCACGGCATCCGAGGCGACCTCCACGGCTACCGTCACCTCTGGCACAACAACCATAATTGCGACCTCCTCATCAGGTGCATCCGAGTCTGAGGTAACTGTATCGACAGCAACCGGCTCTAGTAATTCGGCTGGAAGTGTCTCTGCGCCCACCGGAAGTGCTTCTGCAAGCGCCTCTACTGGCGTCCCTACTGGCGTCTCTACTACCGCCTCTACCAGCGTCTCTGCCAGCGAACCGTCGACCTCAACATCGCCCCCTTCAACGGCATTGTCAAGCACCGCAACTATCGGTGCTGGCTCAAGCCCCTCCGCTTCCAGCATCTCAGACTCCGTCTCTAGCACGCCAACAACCACAGCCGGCTCGGCTTCCACCGTGTCTGGCGGAGTGGGCGGTTCAGCCTCCGGAACAGCATCCGGGACCCAGGCTCCCTCCTCCACCGTCTCCTCTCCGAGCACTGGCACCACTGGTCCCGTCGTTGTCCCGACGGGTGCTGCCGCGAAACCTGCCAGCTCTACCCTCTTTGCCATCCTTGCGCCAATTTTGGCTCTTTTGTTCATATGACCCCTATTCACTCCTTTGGCAACATGTTTTTGAAGTTCTTATCACGGGTGGAAATACACTTGGGCGGGAAAAGTTAGCATGGTTCTGATTCACGACACTCATTCACGGCTCTCATCGAAGGATACCATTACTGGTTTAACGAGAGAGAAAATCTAGACGGCATTGATTTTGACGACGAATTCACGACACTCCTTAACACTAATGAATAATTTGCATCCTGTGGCGGGGTTACTTTTGAGAGGCTTGCATTTTGATCGTGGGAAACTTGGTTATGATACCCTTACGCTCCTTTACAGCCCGGCCACGGCAGACACTAGGAAGACATTGAAAACTATAGCTCGGTGAAGCTTTGGACGGCTGATGGTTTGTTTACATTTGAGGTTTGGAATCGCTATAAATCTGGTTCGGGAGGGAGGTTAATCGGCTGGGTACTGGGTGAGTCGAGGTGGCTTTCGTACCCTTGGAGTGGGTGGCGAGAGATATCAATTGCGAACAATTAATGTCTGTTTTGATTCCATGGCTTCCAAGAGATTCGGCTTTGCCTTGATATGGTTCAAAAATTCGCTGTCGACCTGTGGTTGTATTGCTGTAGTTGTCTAGCATCTGAAATGGATGTTATGCAGATCCGTCCCCTAAGCCTAATACGCAGAGACGACAAACGAGTCTCAGCGCAAGACGCCCAGCAGCGTCGAGCAGTCGACAGCCAACACGGTCTCGCCATTCATGATCGATCTTTGTCCTCGTGTGACATGTCTCATGGCTAGCCGCGATATATCAGCAGTAGATGTTCTGATCCATACGGCAGGGTGAACCAAGCGTGGTGTTGTGCCCGAATCCCAAGGAAAGTGAGTATTTCTTGCAGGAGTATTTTCCAATTTTTGACGCGCAGCCTTGACGTCGGCCAAAATACCATATAGGAGCTCCGCATGTGCCCTCAAGGACTCGATCCGGGGTTACAAATCTTGCGCAGTCTGAATGAAACCATTGGCTTGACGAGGCCATCGATGGCATGCTTCGTGACGGACAGGAGGCCAGCAATTCTGGCAACCACAGATACAGCCTCCATCCCGACTCACGCACACTCTACAGTGAGACTTCTGACCACAAAGGGGAGGGGAGGCTCGAGATTGTGTGGCCTTGGTGATTGGCCGGTCTGAACGACTGCAATGGCGCCTCCCGCGGGCATGCAACGCACCGCTTCGGTTACGAAGGCATTAAGAGTTTCAATTGGCCGGGAACCTGGAATTGTTCCAGGCGGAGTCGTGGATTGACTAATACGCGCACTATGGCGACCGTCTCAACTTCGAAAGGCAACATTCGAACTGCGGCAGTTTCAGGCCTATCATGGGATTGCCTGCCTTCGCAGTATCTCCAAAGCCGAAGCACAGCATTCGGTTGTTGAGAACGCCTCAAGATGAGAAACACCATGCAAGACTCGAACTTTAATAATAGTTATGTCCGGTACATAACGATGATCATGTAGTCTGTTCAGGGCAACGGGCCACCGAATGCCACATGCTACCTCTGCAGCTAATCGATTCAGTATTCCAGAGAGAAGGACCAATATCGATGATAGATTCAGTTTTCGCAACTTTTTGCCAACCTCAGTCCTTAACTTCAAGGATGTTGAATAATAGAAGCAGTTAAGGTCAATCAACAATGACTCTTTATACTCAAATTAGTACAATGCCTCCACAGTGATGTTTTCGTGCTTTTCAGGACAACTAGGCACGGCAAGGATTGTATAATAAGGGATACGTGGGAATTTCCTCTTCCTTTGTGAACAACCATGCCTGAGAACAATCAATGTCGCCCGCTCCCGAAAGGAGAAGTCGCAAGATAAGATGAGAAGACGAACACCCGTTAATGGGAGGAAGAAGTTGGCGATAGTAAAACTTCCTGAGGCCTTGCAAATTGTCATCGTCTCTGGAAGACACAAGCACTTGCATCGTATCTTTGGATTTGGCAAGACGGTGCCAAACTTGAACAAAGTCATTGACGTTGTCCACGAGATACTTCAGCATAGCAACTGAACATATCTCAAGTAAACCCAGCTCAAAACCTCTTGAGTAAGACCAACGACAATGTCTAACCGAGTGCCGGCAACCATTGCCCTCCCAACGTTTGATAGACCTCAGCAGCCTTCAACCAATACCAACAATGCAGGTCGGCAACAGCAGGCACAATATCAACAGCAGCGACCGCAACAGTATGAGTACCAGCGGCGACTCGAGCAGCAGCAGCTCAACGAGCCTATGAATCTGGATCCCTTCAACCCTCTCGACCTGTATCCATCTGCACAACAAACCCAGTCATACATAGACGTCCAAGACATGAATCCTGAGGACCATATAGACCTCTCCGCTCTGGCCTACGCAAACTCACTCCTCCCGGACGTGCCGCAACCAGAGCCGCAATTCCCGACGACGGAGCGCTTCATGCCAAACCACCACGTCCTCCCACTGGAGCCAGGGTACACCGAGCCGGGCGACGGACAAAATGCCTACGCTACACCGCCACAGCCGCATCCGGGGCTGTCGCCAAACCATACCAGGCCCCGCAAATGCAAGAATTGCCAGAAAGCCAGGGCGTATTGCTCAGGGCACGAGCCGTGTAACCGTTGCGTGGCCGCGAACATCAGCTGCAACTACACTCGCAGTCCCTCCAGAGCGTCGCCGCCGAAACGGCGGCACTCGCCACACGATGCAGACGAGACCGGAAGACCGACGAAGAAGACGAGACTTCCACCGGCACCCCCTCGCAGCGCCCCGGACCCGCCACTCTTCCGCCGCCGTCCGTTTCTCGGCGTCCCTGAGGACGGCCTCTGCGACCACTGCCGCTCTGGCGGGCACCAGAACAAGCCCTGCGACGCGGACCACGCCGCCGAGATCGAGTGCTCGCAGTGCACAAAGTACCGCAACCTCGTCGACCCGAACCACGTCTGCACCGTCCGCGGCGGCGAGTACTGGCAGAAGCGCTTCACCAACTCGCGGCCGACGTATTTCAGCTTCGATCGCAGCACGAGCTGCTGCGTGAGGTGCAAGGAGAAGCGCATCTCGAACCGCCCGACGCTGTGCGACATTGACGACCGCGTCAAGATAGGCTGCACGCCCTGCAACATTGACGGGGTCCTCTGCAAGGCGTATAACGAGGAGAAGGCGCTGGGCATCTCGCGAGAGCCCGACGAGCCGGCCAACTTCATGTGGGATCGCCCAGCGCAGGTTGGTGGCACCATTGCGCGCGAGCGCCGGCCGTGGTGGCGGCACATGTGCCGCGAGTGTCACTCGCAGCTCGGGAAGCGCCGGTGGCATGCCTGCTCATGGATTCTAGACGTGCGGCTGGGCGAGTACAAGTGCAGCCGGTGCGTGGAGAAGGGCCTGCCATGCGTCGACCCCTGGACGGGGGTGCAGTACGACGCACCGTATGAGTACTCCGGGCTCGGGGACAAGATATCCACCGCTAACAAGTCAACACCCCGGACGGGACGGCAGCGGTGCACGAACTGCTCCAACAACAATATGCACTGCCGCGGCTACAACAACGATGACGCGGGCTTCTCGTGCATAAAGTGCTCCATCTGGGGCCTGACGTGCCAGCTCCCTTCGCACAACGGGCCGCCTCGGACGCTGCCGCACATGGACCGGAAGATGATCGGATACTCGAGGGTCTCGAGCGACAAGGCGACGACGTTCGTCGGTTGCAAGCCGTGTCGGGACAACGGTGATAACTGCGACCGTAAGCGGCCCTGCGACAGCTGCCATAGCAAGGGGAGAGAATGCGACGATTGGACTACCGGGACATGCAAGCGCTGGGAAACCGTCGGTGCGGACACGCCTGACTATTACATGTCTCTCGGGTACGGGCCCAACGGCGTCGATAATGGTCGGTGGGATGTGCCGGAGCATCAGCTAATCGGGCCCAATAAGCCCAAGCGCGCAGAGATGGGCGCGCAGACTCTTCCTGTCCTGGGCCAAGGAGAGACGCTGTCAGGGTGGGCGGAGGCTCCCCAAGCGGCGCCGCGCGCGTTCGGCCCCGGCGTGGGTGAAAAGTATGCCGAATTATTCAAGAGTCCTTCGTCAAATGGCTCGAATACACGGGGCGCGACGGCAAGTGCTTCGCCCTCGTATAACAGCCCTACCAGCCAAACGTACTTTGGAGATAACAACGCCGCCCATGAGGCACTTGAGAATGGCCAGAAGTACGAGGAGTGGGTGAGCGCCTTCAACGCCAAGCATGGTGGCGCGGCCCAGAGGCACGAGAACTTCCCTCCGTTCGGAGGCCAGCCTCAGAATCGGGACGAGATCCAGCAGGTCGTGGGCAACAACAGAGGTACATCCCATACAGACTTGCAGCGTATGGCTCATGAGGCCGAGATCCCCGTGGACCCGGCTCTCGCCATGGACATAGACAACGACGACAGGCAGAACAACCTCATAGACATAGAGGTCCAAGAGCAAAACCGGGTCGCGGCAGAGATCAGGCAAGCTATGCACCTCTACGCAAGAGACATGCGCTTCATCCCAGTTGAGCTACGCCAGTTCTCCATCCCTGAAGTCGTTGACATCCCGGCAACGGCCAGGCCTGTCCGCGCTCCTCAGCGGGTGCTCCTGCAACTGGAAGATAACCCTCAGGCGCAACCCCGTTCGCCTTACCAGTCCTTTTGGGATCCCCCCGTATACGAGAAGCGTCTCAGAGGACTCCTCGCCAAGTGGAAGAAGCCCGCGCACAACGTCCTCTGCGACATCCCCGACGAGCCCGCCCGCTTCGATGGCCCGGCGGAGAACGGAGCAAGATGCGAGGAAAGCTGCCCGCCCTGCGGCGCCCCGGTGCGCAACGGCGCACACTGCGAGAATCTCCAGCACATGATCCGCCCGCGGCCGTATACCGTCTGCGACGAGTGTGACATGCGGGGCAAGCAAAACCTCTTCCAAGGGCCTATGCCGCTGACGCGCGGCGAGTTCCTCAACATGCGCGCCTACGCTTGCGATGCCTGCGTCCTGACGGAGGAGGGCGCCGCGACGTTCGGCGGAACGTGGGGCGACACACCTTCGAACCCGGTCACGGGGTGCCTCTGCGCGGCCAAGCTGCTCAACCGGCGGCTATGTCAGCACCACCGGTACCGGCTGGCGGCGTCGATGATGGTGCAGACCATGTTTGTGGCCGAGTGGGCCGTAACCAACTTCGGGCCCGACAAGTGCCTGTTCTGCAAGGAGCAGCCGAGCAAGCTGGCCGTGGACAGCGACTTTTCGACGTCGCTTGTCTACTTGTGCCTCAACTGCCAGGGCGTCGTCTGCGAGAGCTTTGAGCGGGACCTGCAGCCTGGCGTGTATGACTGGCTTGGCAGAGTCGAACCGGTGACGCTCTGGAGGCAGAACTGGGAGCCAATGTCCAACGTATAGGAGAAGCGGACGAATGCAGGCAGGGTGTCCATTTTTTATTTTTTATTTATTTTGAGAGGGTGGGGGATGGTGTTTAGGGACCGAACCGGATTAGGTGTTTAGTGATGCCATCATAGCGGTGAAGCGAAAGGAGAGCGCATAACGGGCGGTTTCGAGCAAAAGGAGGAAAAATAAAGCATTGTTTCTGGCGTTTTCTCTGGATATGTGGGATGTTTCTGCGCAGAGCGACGCCGTTGAGGCCGTACGTGAGGTTTGGCTGCTTTAGGTAATGGGGCAGACCAGGGAGTCCCGAAATGCAAGTAAGTGGTTGGCTACTGTCTCGGGGCGGCAACTTGTTGAGGTGTATCCATGAGCACCTTACATGTTTCAGGGTGACATTCTCTGGTGACAACATGGTCCTGGCCTTGCCGTCTTGGCTCTCTTGATCCTGTCGAATTCGGATTTGTGAGTCCAGTTCTTGATCCATGGTATCCAGACCTGTGCACAATGAGTCAGTGTCCAGCATGATGTATGTGTTATGGGAGAGTCTTGACACGATACCTTACAGCAAAGGACCTATTTGCTGATAGGCAAGGGCTTCGCCCCATTCGCCCTTTCATGTCAGCTTCTCGTCACATCTCAAAAACCCATTCCAGACAATGCCAGCCACATTTCACGTTGGCTGTGATCTTGGCACAAAAACGGCCTCGCAACAGTGGCATGACGGTCAAGTTACAAGCGGGAGCTGTCACAAAGGCCCAGCTCAACCGTTGAAGTCACATGAAAAGGAAAAAAAAACATGCACAGTGCTAGTTGGACTGACGTAAAGGGAATCTGTATGACTTGACGACTGACTCTGACCTCGGAAAAACCTTGCGGTGTCTCGGAAGAAAGAAGAAAATTACAGTATGAAAAAGAAAAAAATAAGAAGTACCGATATAAAGAAGAGACAGAGACAAGCCGATGTTTGGTCTCAAATAACCCTCCCAGTGTGTAGTAAAGAATCTCGAGTCCACCCCTTCACAAGGTCTTGCGGCCAACAATCTCTCTGGCTAGCGGACTGTCATGTCCCCTAGCCCTTTCTTCTCATGGCACACGATGAGGACCCCTCAGATAGCCCGGTAAAAGGACTTCTCTTTTGTCCCCGCGCCACATTCCAATCGTGTGCTCTGGCCATGTCCATGAAGTTGCCCTGAAAAGAACAAGTTCCAAATAGTGCAGCAAGTCAGAACCCGACTCCCCGTCCGATGCAGCACAAACAAGTTTTTGATCATTGGTCCTCCGTGTCGACATGTCTTCTCCAATCGACAAATGCCGGGCCAGCTTAGACCGCTCAGATGTCCAGATGGAGAGAAACCGTGCGTTCAACATCTGCCAGCATCCCACTGGGCCAGTTGAGGCCCAAGGTATTCAACGGCTCTCCAGCCGCTTGGGTCGCCGCTACCCCTCCTGCTCTCACCCAATCTCACTCGAAAAAACCCGCTCACATTATTACGCACTTGGAGCAGCAGCCTGCCTCTTGCTCGCCGTTCTCGATGTCCATGGGCTTCGGGGGGCCGTTGATGCCAGAGGCGCCACCACTGCCGGTAGAGTAGCCCTGCATCTCGCGGTTGTATCGACGAATCTCCCGGACAATATCATAGAAAGCCTTGTCGACGTTGATGCGAGACTTGGCCGAGGTCTCGATGAACTTGCAGCCAAATGACTTGGCAAGAGCCTCTCCCTCTGTAGAGCGTATAATGTTAGCCATCATTCGACCGATTAATCAATCCATGAGCCTGCATAGCGGAGAGCCGCCATCATGCAGTGTTGCGGCGTAGCAGGAATCATACCTTGTCGTGTGACTTCTCTCTCGCCTTCCAGATCGCATTTGTTGCCGACAACGACCATGGGGAAGTAGTCCTTGTCCTTTACTCTAAGGATCTGTTGCTGAAATGTGGTGATCTCCTCGAAGCTCTGGCGCGAAGTGATGGAGTAGACCAGCAGGAAGCCCTCTCCCGTTCTCATGTACTGCTCTCGCATGGCCGAGTACTCCTCCTGGCCGGCCGTGTCGAGGACATCGAGCAGGGCAACCTCTTCGTCGATGACGCACTGCTTGCGGTAGGAATCTGAATTGAGGAAGGGTGACGTTAGCACGCGATTGATTTGCGGTCGCATATAGCGAGCAGGAGGAAATGACAGGGCGACGCACCCTCGATCGTCGGGTCATATTCGTCGACGAAATGGCTTTGAATCAATTGAATGGTCAAGCAAGATTTACCGACACCACCTCCGCCGACGACGACCAACTTGTACTCCCTCAAAAACTGCAAGACGGCGACTGATTAGCAACGGATCGATGAAGCGACGGCGCGACGAGGTGGAAAGTCAGGGAATGGGAGGTCGCGACGACGAACCTTGGACGCCATTGTGATGTGATGAAGTCTTGGTTGATGGAGGGATTCTCGACGGTCTTGTTCGCGCTCGTTGTTGATGGCTCGAGGCAGCTGGTGAAGGAAGAGGGACGGGATCCGGGGAACAGTTCAGGAGCAGCAGCCAGGCGATTTGACTAGTTGACGGATTCGGAAAGGACTCAGCGGGTTGATTGCGAGGATGCGTGAGCGTGGGTTAAAGACTGGTTTGCAGCGAGCGAAACGACGGGTGGGAATCTGGGACGGCACAGGCCGGATTGCGAAGTTTAAAGGTGAAACGACGAGGTCGATGGCAGAAATCCGGGACTGACAGCAGACAGTCTTTCGAGGAGAATGAGAGAATGGGGTGGTGTTTCGTTGCTAAGGGGGGCTTTTGGCAAAAATGTGGAGATGGAGGGAACGGGTCGGTCCAGTCGTAGGGAAGGACGGACCACAAGCACTGGGCGACCGCACCTGCTGCTACTACTGCACCTCCTCTTCGCTCTTTCTCCTGCTCCTCTCGCCTCTGCTTCCTGCTCCCGGCTTAGGTACCTGGATGCCAGGGTAGGAGGGGGGAGGAGAGGTACTATCGTAGCGTACCGGGATACCTGCTCTGACAGCTGCTGGGCGACAGAAGTCTGAGTACTACCACACCCTCCGAAATTGTACCTTTCCTAGCTTTCCTTTCCCTGCACTTCCCTCCCTCCCCTTCCCTTTCCTTCCCCTACCTGACCCTTTGCTCCTTCCCACGCCTTGCCTTTCTTTTTTTTTGTCCCCTCTCTCGCCCCCAACGCCAGGCCTTTAAGAGGCAGGCGAGAAAGGTGCCGTATCCGTGCCTTCCCGTCACCTCATCCACAAATGGTACGTATTGATGTGGCTAGCCAGCGAGATACGACGCCGAAGACGCTAGGAGAACAAGCTCAATGGATGAATCTGAATAGAGGTAACGCCAGACGAGAGCGAGGGAGCAAGAAAGACACAGAGGGAAGAGAGGACGAGAAAGCAGGAAGCCGAAACACAGTTAACGGGGCAAGTTGATTCAAGGCCGGCTAATGATGTTGATGCTGATGCTGCTCGTCTGGTGCCGTCCGCTTCGGTCTCGTCTCGTCGCGCTGCTCTGCTCGTTCTGGCTCCTCTGGCGCGGCCTCGTTTTGTCTGCCGCGCCCGGCCAAGTCTGTCCCGGTCTAGCCAGGTCCTTTTCTCTCTCCCTCTTTCTCTCTTTCTGTCCGCGCGTGTGTTCCCCGCCCAGAAGCCCTTTCACTCCTCGTCCTCTTGCGCCCTTCTCTCGAGAAACCAGAAAGCCCAATGCGCGCGGCTTCTGCCACGCCAAGGAAGGCGCTTTTCGCTCGCCCTCTGCCTTGCCTGTGAGAGAACCTTGACCTCTTGTTAGTCGCCTCTCTTCGTCAGAACGGGCAACGGCGGTTGGTCAGCAAGGACTCGACGTTTAGCGCCGGTGTTATGATTTGACGGCTAGAGTCACAGAAGGCCCAGGCACACGCACAAACACGCACACACACACATACCACATATGCGAACTTCACCACTAATGTCGAGGTACGCGACGGGCGCTATACAGGGCACATGTCGGCGGAGTGAGAGGCAGATCGATGCGCGTATGACTGGTACACCAAAAGCGCTATTGGCAAAGACGGCATTTTCCAATTGCCAGTTGCATCCTAGGGTCATGGGCCGAGCTCTGGGAAGAATGGAGCACCATGGCATGGGGATTAGGCTCTGAGTGGCAATTGATGCCCATTGCTACGCCTGGGACGAGTTCGAGATACAGCGCTTCAAGGGCAGGAAATGATCAAACAGTCCATTTGAAAGGGAAAGTTGGGATGATACGGATACCAAGGGCTCGAACAAATGTGGGATTCGACCGGGGATGGAAAAAAGGGACTTACAATGTTGGAGTCTGTCGTGACGGCCTTCTGGTGCAGTAGCGTCGGCTGCAGCAGGGGATGGACCTGGAACCATAAAAAGAGGCCCGGTGCATACGCCTGCAGATGCCCACAAGCAAAGCAGCCGAGGGGAGCAGGCAGGTCATTGATGAAGCGCAAGGGGGGGACGCGATCGATTAAGTGGTGGTGAGTGGACAAAAGGGAAAGGGGAGAAAGGTGAAAGAGGAGAGGGGGCGTTGTGGTTCGTGCGAGTGGGAGCGAGATGGGGGGTTCCACCTTGGCGCTCAGAGGAAGGGGACTGCGTAAGGTACGTACACCAAGTGACAGGGGAGATGGACGAACTGCAACTGCGAGCGCCTCCGAAGGCAATTCCAAAGTCCTGACAGGGGATAAAGTGGGAGATTTTGTAAAGTGGGGTATTATCTTGAACAGTATACCACAATGCAAATATCCGTGGTAATCCATACCGAGTGACGGTCAAACTCGCTTGCGCTGACGGCCGAGTCTCAACCTCCATCTTTGTGTTCGCAGAAGCAAAGGCTGGCACAGGCACGGCATGAAATCCGTCATGGGTGAAAGCCCGGTCATGAGACGGGCTTTGCGACGTATTCCCGGCTGACTGCCTTACCGCTTCGTTGATGTGGTCAAATCAATTTTACACCTGACCACAACGTTTGGTCCGGCCCCCCGGGGCCATCGGTCATCTCATCTGCGCAGAAACTTGACATGGGAGGAGGACGTGGAGTGGGAAAGGACGTATCGCATTTCGTGGTCCAACAGCTCCACACTGCTGATTACGATGATTACATGGGACAACGAGCGAGATGAGCCTCTGGCCTGTTGCTGCCTCTGGCCTGTCCCGTGTCTATCGTACCCTACACTACTGCTGAGCTTCTCCAAGCTTGCTCCGTGTCGCAAGGTCGATTGCTAACAGCCATGCCCAGAAGCGCCACCCAGCACATCAAACATGAATCGCCCGGGGGCCGGAGCGGACGTTTTTGCGGCACTGCCTCGGTCCATTGATGGTGATGTGTGTGACGAGTGCGTGGGATTTACCGCATCGCACGTCGCGTCCGTTCTGCTTGTGGTCATTGTTTGCCGTTCCAGGGACATGCGGTGACCTGTAAAACAAGTAGCAGCCGCAATCGCCGTCTTCATTGGGAGACCAGGGTCCAGAGGAACCTCAATTACCGTACCTTGTCTAGCACCGTACCAAGATTGAGAACAACCCGGCCCGGCAACATGGCCGTATGTAGCTAAGGGGGTTCAAAGGGTGGGTTTCCGCTGCGGGGAGCTTTGACCAGATCAGTGCTTGCTCCTGTGGCGCCTTCCTCGATTGGCACAGCAAACTCTATACAGTGTCGTCGTACAGTGCCGGCGGCGGATGCTGCATCTCCAGCTCCCAACCACGTGCCAAGCTGCTACACCACCTCGATCCATGCTGCATCCACCTCCAAGAGCTCTATCGTACAATTCACACTTGACCCAGCTTCTATGCTACAAACGCCTCGGACGTTGGGCAAGAGTGTGGTGGCCATTACTTACATCGTGTCTAGAATCCAATAAGCTACAGTGGTGCCGAACTCCACTCCGTGCCACATTCCTTGCGACCCTCCCAGGCTCAGGCCAATATCGCCCCAATTCGTTGCGATGCATGCTGGACAGTCGACAACACTCGCACGTCGCATTCGGAGCACCACCTAGAGCATTTTGGTATCTTCAGAACCCACGGCAACACTTGACGGCTCCCTGGTCCCTGCTCTTGGCACCTAGCACGCACACCGGAGAAGCTGTACCGCCAACTGCTGTAGTCCTCGTGCTACAGCTCCATCTACCTACCGGCGTGCGGCGTGTATCTCATGCCAACTTGAGCCTCTTCGGTTTTCCCACGTCCACGTGGGCATTCGTTGTGCCACTGGCTATCGCGACGACGTTTGTTTTGCTCAAATTACAGCTCACATGCTGCCCAACCTCAACCAGTCCTTGTGCCAACTGGTGGCGCTGATGCCCGCTTGATTCAGCCTATGTGCACCCAGTTTCATTCTCGACTTGCGCCCCGAACCTTGATAACAACAATTTCAACATTTCATACCACTCGTTCCCTCCCTCCCTATCTACCGCACCCAGCACCTGACAAAAACAACCTGTACAACAGCAAGGATGCAAGGGCGAGGGCGTTGGAACGCAGAGTACCGTCCTCTTATTGCTCGTTTATGGACACAAAAACATCGTCTGAATGTCACCCTGGTGCAGAGAGGGATACGACAGAGATGCAGTGCTTCCAGCGGATTACCAGTCGTCATCGTGAGTATCTGGCTGCCACAAGCTATAGATGCTAAGGTCTGAATGCGGCCATCCAAGCTCTCTGCTGGAGCACCCATGGCCACACCACCGTACGACAGCGTGCACACATCATAGAACACCGCATTCAGCCAACACGATGCAAGGCAATCAGACTGCGACTATGGTGCTACCCTCGGTTCGGTTTCCGATACAGCAATAGGAGCCTAGAGTGGACTATGGTTGGTCTTCCCCCTGAAAAGAGGCCATATTATATCTATTGCTTCGATTCTGTGCAAAGACATCCAGTTTCTCGAGCCCTACTAATGGCGAAATTCGCCAAACCCCATTGTCTGGCAGAAACAAACTGCGACACAGCACTGTGCATCTTGGTACATGGGCACATTGGCACACGGTACGGGGACCACGACAAACACCTCATTCTACGATGGCCCAGAATGCGCGTCAGAGACGTGCTCTAGCAATCGCAACCCTTGCGCTGTGTGACTGGGGGGCCAACTGCAATCAGCGCTGCTTTGAGCCCCTCAACTTTCCTGTTCCAACAGCACAACTGGGGGCTACTGCACCCCAGCACCTCAAAGCTTGTATCATTATGACAAAATGGGCCGAGCGTGCATCTCTCCGAATGATACTGAAGCTTCAAAATGGTATGGGAACCGACTTCCATCTAGCCAAAGTTTCGCCGCAACACAACCTCAAAACCCCCGACCGAAACAGCGTTGCTTAAAACTTCCATCAGCTTCCGTTCCTCTCGCAAATCGGCCAACGTCGCCTCGCCCTGACATCTGAACTTGGGCTGGTTTACGTCGGTCATCGATTTACGCCTTGACTAAACTGCTACTCTCATCAGACATCCGTTAGCTACGCTTCGTCCGTCAGCTGTTAAATCTCATAAGTTGAACGTGTGCGGTGCACAGAAAACATCAGTCCACGGCATGGTTCCTCGGCGCAAGACAGCGCCTCTCAAAGCTCTTGGTTAATCATTAGCGGCCCAAGGCAGCCGTTACGAGGAGCTTTGATTTGTTCGCTACCAACCTCTTGGCCAAAAAAACGCTGGAGCCGTTTCTCCATCACACCTTTCTCCTTTCAAACCCACTGGCTTTCCCGCTGCCCGAGCTGGCATGGCCCGACCAGCAAGACAGCGCCGATCATCTTCCCAAAACACATCATCATCAACCATGTCGTTCTCTTTATGGTGTTGCGCTCAGGTCGCTTCCCTTCGTCCCTCCGCAAGTCATTATACTTTCTAGTAGAGGCGACTGGGGGTATACTCAGGCAATGTCTCTGCATATCCTGTAATTCCTTGGGATTGCTTACAGGTACGACATGGAATGATGCAAGTCGAATTGATGATTGCCCGGGACTTCTTCCTTGTCTGTCGCCAATGGGTTTCAAAGACTGACTGCCTTTGGCTCGCGCCCATCAAATGACAAAATAGTTAACTGCCCGCCTTCCGCCTTTCCGCACGCTTTCGCCAACAACCACGGCTGACAGTGCCCGGGGCCTACATAGTAAACGTTCAAATGCAGCCACAGATATCCATACAACGCTGGATGGCTCCTGCGAGGAGTTCAAACCTGGCGGGGCTCGTGCTTCTAGAAGCTCTGACCAGACCCCGGACAGCGCCGCGGACGACAGTGAACCGTTACACGCCACTGGATGGGTTCTTTGCAGGACCGCCCTCCTAAATCCTGACTGGGGCGAATGATAGTAACGGCCCAAGCTTACCTGGTTGCACAGTGCGATAGCACAGCGGGGGAGTGAAGTTCCCGAAAGCCCACACGACTACCTAGCATCCTATTCAAGGTTTGGAGACGACAATGCGATGACCGGGTGATAGTGTCGGATACGCTTTGGTGCGACATGAGCAGGTCTTCCCTTCGCTTTTACGTTCTGCTGACCCTAGACAGCGCTCATAGCGTGATCAGGATAGTTCCTGGTCCAAAGGGTTTCTCCTGCCTTGGGGAGCCGTCGATAAAGATCCGAACAAAGGCCCCATCGTGCCGTCATGTAACGCAAGGGCAGCCAGACGTTGATGGAAATCATCACAACAGCGCCGAATCCCAACCCACACTCATCTCCCGACGAAACGAAGCCAGTCTGCAATTGGTAGGTAACTGGGTTGGCATATCTCGTTCGCCCGGGCCTTTGTCACGTAGCGACTGTACTGGAACCTCATCTTTCTAGAAGCCCTAAATCATTTCGATCTACCCCTGGCTTGCAGTAATGCAATCTGCAGCCAGCGTCTAGTGGCGTCCAGGGTCCGGGACCAGTCGGCGACATGCGGTGCCATTTCCTTTGACAAGGTTTTCGCGGCGATCTTCTTGATGTATCTTAGAGGCAGTTCGCGATGCCGCGTCTGCCTGACAGTATGAGATGGCCGGTTGGCTATGGCCTGGAATTACGGGATCAATCGCCTGCGACGCCAATACAGTCTGTGCGAGGATTATCCCTTTTCCCGCACCATCAATGAGATCGGCGTCCGATTCCACAACTGTCTCCTTCTCTCGTGTGGACCGTGGACCGAAATTGGTGGTGGTGGGGGGGGCCTGCGTGTGGTCTTTGCGCGTCTTCCACCGCCAGTCTTTCAGGGTTGATATATCAACCCTGACATCACAGACAATATTGTGCACGGTATAACGGACGTATGCCGATTACAGGTTGTTGAAGTGCTCAACTCCTGCAGGATGATGACAATTAAACACGGCATGCCGACTTCTGGTGCGGTGGAGTGAACATCATCTTAGCAGAGCGCACACTTCAGGAGCTCCAATCGAGATAAGAGTATTATAACAGGACAGCCCGAAGGCAAGGAATTGTGATTACTGCTGCGCCACTTTCTTTAGGATCGTAGAGTTGCTATCTGGCTGAGTTTGAGTTGCTGTAATTAATCCATCGGTGACCTTTCACGCCTTGGCTATATCGTCATCCTCGCCCTCCGCATACACGCGTTTACCCTGAACGCCTTCAACGACCTCATCCACGATGCTCTCGATGTAAGCTTGGTCCCTGCAACAACAGTTAGCAGCCGTTCTTGAGGAGCAATAGACGTGTCGCCATCTGTAGACTACCACTAAGGGTTGGGGTTGGTTGTCACTTACCGTCCTACCAGCGTGACCGTGCCGTTCTGCTCCCACCGAGGGTAGCTGCCGACCTTGACGCCCTTGGGCTCCACCTTGGCCGCGAGTTGTGTCAAATAACCAGCGACAGCGCTTTCCGGGAGCGGCGTGGAGATGAGTACACGGCAAAGGCCCTTGCCCTCAGGATCGGTGAGCCGGGGTACGATGCTGGGCTTAAGCCCGTCCAGGAGCTTTTCGACTATCCCGCGGCGTTAGTAATGAACAAGTACCCCGGACAGACGCGAGAAACTTACAAAGACGCGGAACACCGGGCAAGATGTGGATGTTGCCGTTGACGACGTTGACCGGGACCCAGAGATCTTCGTGGGGGAAGAGGAACTGCTTGCTAGGGTCGCGCTTCTCGTCGGTGGGGAGGATAACCATGCGGAGCTTAGCCTGCAGCGCCGGGGAGTCGACGTCCCAGTCGAAATGCGGCTGGTTCGGGTGCGGCTTTGAGAGCCTCTTCATGCGCGAGAAGGCGTCTTGGTTGAGAACCAAGGGCAGGTCGAAAGCCTTGGCTATTGACTGATAGGTGATGTCGTCGTGCCTGTTGACTCATGAGCCATGATCTATTCGTTGGGGGTTGGTTCAGGTCCTTACGTTGGCCCAATTCCACCGCTGCAATGTCCTGTTAGTGCTCGTCCCAATGCAGCAAGGCTAGGCAACAAACCTAGTAACTACGAAGTCATAACGATCACTCATACGCCTGACGGCTTCGATGATTTCGCTCTCATCGTCCTCGATGACCTCAACTCTCTTCAAGTTCTGGTCGCACATTAGCAACGTTGTGGGATGTCTGTCCCATACTCGGAGCACTTACGATGCCCAAGGAGAAGCACCACTTGGCCATGTACGCTGAGTTGGTCTAGAGCAATTGGTTAACACGACACCGCCACAACACCTTTAACTTGCACCACCTAGCTTCACTTACATCAACGGTCTACAAATATGGCACGATGTCAGCCCTCGTAATTCACCCATTGACTCGGGAACGCAGCCACGCGAGACTCACCTTTCCGCCGAGAACCTCATCTCCAATGATCAAACACGCCGCCGTGTGGATGGTGCGGGTGTTTCGCTCGTCGGCCGAGACCATGATTCTGGCGCGGGCGACGCCGGAAATCGGGAAGGCCGGCTTAACGGCTTGCGTGATAGTCTGGGCGGAGGGGAAATGCCGGGACAGCTGGGTGAGACGGGCGAACATGAAGAAGCCTTTCGTAGTATGTCAAGGTGTCTATCACAGCCTGTGCAGCTCTCAAGTTGCCGTCACGCACGCAGTCGACTTTTCCTCACACGAAAATCTATGATGTCATATGCCGGAGGATAGTCAAAAGAATCGGCGGAAAACAGATTATGGCACGGAAGGTTTGACGGGATGGTACGGTAAGTGGAAATCCGCCGGGACAACGACTGCAAAGGTCTACCTAGTATTACGGACCAGAGGGAATTCGCACGAATCAAGTCTTAGGACGGAGCGGATACGGTAAGGGGAGAGGTGAGGATTGAAGCTCGGAGCTCTGTCGCAGTGTTTCTGCTGGCTCCGACTCCGGTCCGGCAACGGCTGATGGCGAAACAGTCAGTGCCATCACGTGACGGGCTCACGGAAATACCGTGCACCAAGGTTGTGGCCTGCGATATCTGTACATCCTGCAGGCATCGCCTGTCCTAGATGAGAGGTTTGCGAGACATGGGCGCTTCTGGATGCGATCCTTCCAGGCACTCAGAAACAATTTCGATTTACCCTGTATATTCCGTTTCGAGAAATGAAATATCCAATAGCCGTAGTCGGACAAGAGCTCCGCATTTTGTATGGCACGGTGTTGCTCAGGTAGCTAGTTAAAGCTTTGGACCCCTGCCCAGCAGACACCTCGTAAAAGTTCTTCACCGGGCGAGAGAGCCAACCTCTCAATCCTCCCGCGGCGGACAGTATTCTTCGAGTACTCATAACCGGGCTCCTAATAGTCTTCTGGCTGTAATCTTAAACTTGCCACCGGATGCGTGCTAGAGGTGCTCAAGAGTCCCTTCTTTGCAAGCTGACAGCTTTGACTGAGTGCTCTCACAACTCCCCTTTGACATGGGGCATGCTCACCTCTGAGATAATCCTGTCTTGATACAACACTTCTGGTATTATGAGTCGCGTAGCTCGCACAGACTGGCTGTTCCGTCTGGGTACTCCAGCCTCTGTCCAGCCTCTGGGAGGCTGGTCTTACTTAAGGTGCGGAAAGCCATTGTTTGGAGTTTCTGAGTAAGGTGCGTGGCTATCTGCCAGGGAGGAATCTAATGCAAACGGGATTTCATGATCCTGTGGGACGACTATGCAAGTTGTCATTTACAAAATTCAAGTTCGACTACTTTCGTGTTTAAACACAGTTGTTAATGCAAAATACTATTTAATAAAGAAGCTTGATTATTCAAACAGAGGCATCTTCTGCCTAAGAAGACGAAGCAACATAAATATGAGCTTGTTAAGTGAACATTGACTCCATAGATCATTTACGTTAACCACTTTGCTACTCTAGTTTCCGTGTTCTTCTCTTCCATGACAATATTGGGTAGCTATCTGACTTGTGTCATTCTAGTTATCAATCACCGCCGGTTGACCAACCAGTCAGAATACCTGGCAAGGCGATGCTGACTGACACACATACAGACACGATGGCTGTATCATGTCGGACGGTCGTCGGTGTTGTAACGTGTACGAGGCCCGAAGTTCTTGAAGCTGACCGGGGCATTGAACGACCAGAGTTTCGGCGGGTGTTGGTGGGTGAGGTCACTGGTGGGGCAAACCTGGCCACCGCTGAATGGCGGGGGCTTGGATGCGCTGGTCTCAGCTTCCCGTCGGAGGAGAGCGGGGGAGGGGTCGTATGGCTTACCTGACTCTTTGGTCTGACGTTCTTAGTGTTGCGGCCAGGGACAACCGAAGCAAAACAAGAGAGTTCCCGCTGGACCCTGAGAGATCATCGCAAAGAACCAGCTTCCGGTCCCGTTAAAACTTTTTGACCCGTCGCATACGCCGAGCAACTCTCTTGGAGCAGCCACAGCCATGGTGCGTTCCTCCTCCGCTGTCGCGCCCTCCCCTCGTCCGAATGATGGGCTAACTTTCGTCCCTGCTTCTAGGCTTCCGAATCGCGCCTCTACACCTTCTCCCAGGAGACCAAGGACCATCTGCGCAAGTTCCGCCTCGGAACGTCGCGGTCCAATGAACCCCAAGCTGTCATATGTATGTATGTCTCGACTCAGGCGCTTACCCTCGATCATCGCCATCATGGACCGCACGCCATTGCACGATACATCGATAGCTGACGCCCCATGCGCCTCCCTTAGACTACATCGATAAGAACACGCACGAGATCCGCCAAGACGACGACAAGGTCGTGTACAAGTCGCTCGAGGAGGTTAGCGACGACCTCCCGGACCACAGCCCGCGCTTCGTGCTCCTGAGCTACCCGCTTACACTGGTATGTCTTGTTCCAACGTCAAGTCCTGTATATGGGACAAGAGCATGGAGCTAACTTCGTGACCCGACAGCCCTCCGGCCGCCTGTCGGTGCCCTACGTTCTGATCTACTACCTCCCAATCACTTGCAATAACGAGATACGGATGCTGTACGCGGGCGCTAAGGAGCTGATGCGGAACACCAGCGAGGTCGGACGCGTGATCGACATCCAGGACGTCGAAGACCTGGAGGAGATACCGCAGAAGTTGGGCTCTGCGTGAAGGAGGGGACTGAGAGAGCATGGGTCAAGCACATATAGACGGTCGAGAAGGACTACAGGCTGGCCGTCATTATGGATAACAGAACGGCGGTATGCAGCGTTCGCGTACATAATACAGATGCTTCAACAGTAGAGCCCACGCCGTATTCAAGGGGGATATCATTTTTGTTCTATTTTGGTCCAAGACATAAACTCGTAAAAAGTGGCAGGCAATGCTCCGTCTACTCGGGCAACACGTCCTTGTCGTTCAGACCGATTTCCTTACTCACATTCCTCACCACCTCCTTGAACGCTAAACACGCGGGGCTATCTGGGAAACTATCGAAGAAGCTTTCGCCGTAGTCGCACGCCATGCCGATGCGCGGGTCCAGCGGCACGCTCCCCAGGAACGGCACGCCCATCTCCTCGGCCAGCGCCCTGCCGCCGCCCGTCGTCGCCCGGAAAATCTCGCTCTGGTTTGTGCACTTGGGACAGACGAAACCCGCCATGTTCTCCGCCAGGCCCAGCACGCGGATGCCCGCCTTGCGGCAGAAGTCGATCTCCTTGCGGACGTCGAGCAACGAGACCTCCTGGGGCGTCGTGACGACGACGGCGCCGTCAATGCCGCTGTCGCGGAGGAACGTGTTGACGCTAAGGTGCTCGTCGCTCGTGCCTGGCGGCGTGTCGACCAGCAGGAAATCAAGGGGCCCCCACTCGACGTCCTTCAGGAACTGCTTGATGAGGCCATTCTTCTTGGCGCCGCGCCAGATGATGGCGGCGTCGCGGTCCGGCAGCATGAACTGGATCGACATGACGCCGAGGTTGTCGAGGACCCAGACGGGGGACCACCCGGCGCCGGACACGTGGATCGTCTCGGACTCGACGCCGAGCATCTTGGGGATCGAGGGCCCGCAGATGTCCGTGTCCATAATGCCGACGCTGCTGTCCGGGTTCGTGGCAAAGGCGTGGGCGAGGAGGGTCGTGAAGGTGGACTTGCCGACGCCGCCCTTGCCGGAGAGGACGAGGATCTTGTGGGCGATGGAGGAGAGGCGCGACGAGATGATGGGAATGTCCGGGTCCGGGCCCTTTGTGGCCGTCGCGGCGCAGATCTCCTTGTTCGGGCAGCCGGCGCAGGAGTCGGCCGTCCCTGCCGCCGCGGACTCGGGGCCGGGACAGTGTTCTGGTTCCGGGGCGACCAGGGAGGGCTTCTGTTTTAGTGGGTTGGAGAGGACGTCCTGGACCGACTCGGGGTCTTCTTCCAACGAGGGTGCCATTTTGGGAGGCGCGAGGTGAGTTGCTTGGTGAGAAGATGTCTCCAGGCGGGCGAAATCCCTCGAGGTTAAAGGTATGGCGAAGGTTGCCTCAAGGCGGGATTCTAGGTCCGGAACCGGCCTTCACTTGAGGCCAAGTGAGGTGAAGTTGATTGATAAGCGGGATTCAAGAGCCGTTCTCTACCAAGCGTCAGAAAAGATGGGTCTTGGAGCCCTGGGGGAAGAAGTGGTTATACTTACAGAAGGAAAACTCTTCTCTTAATGTGTTTCAGTTCCAAGGTTTGAGATTCTGTGTCGTCGAAGTGGCTTTCTCTGTAAATAACAGGAAGTGGTTGACAAAATGAGTTGCTGTGAGTGGTGGCGAAACCGCCTCAAAGCCGTGGACGGTCCTGCGGAGGTGGTAACCCCACTTAATAAAGTCAGAGTCACCCATCAACGTCCGGTGCAACTTGAAGGTGCAGACTCTGTCGACAGCGCAGAGTCTCTCTCGCCTGCAAACAAAAGCAACTTTTTTCAACAACTTGAGTTTCTCAAAACCAGACGCAGGGACATCGTAGTCTGAAAGGGCAAAAAACAAGGTCCATCCAGGATTCGAACCTGGGCCTACGGAAATTCCAAGATCAGAATCCGACGTCCTAACCAACTAGACTAATAGACCATCTTCATCTATTGAACGTTGTGAATCCATCAGAATTTACATTCTATATTGCATCACGTGGAACCCCACTACCAACTGCACTTAGTTCAACCGCGCTGCTCCGTTGCGGTTCCCACCCATTGCAGGGCTACAGGGTACCCTTTCACAAAGAGGGGCAGATCTTATCGGAGCCTAAACCACCCCGCTGTTGCCCCTCGCAAAATTTCTACAGTTTCTTTATCAGATCCGAACTGAGATGACCCCTCGGAGGTAAGTCTTTTTGGCCCATCCCACCTTTTAGAGAATCGGCCCACGCCCCTTTTGCTCGGCCTCGTTTGAGTCACTTCACCGAATCTTGGCTGTCATACTGACTTTTCTCTCTTACTCTTTTGCTTATAGAACGATACCCTAGAAACAAGACAAATACCAAGATGTCCCCCTCTGCAGACCTCCCCGAGACGCGCGAGACGCTCGAGGCCATCGCCGCCGCCGACCAGACCCAGACCATCGCCGAGCTGCGCAAGACGGTCACTTCCGAGACAACCCCGCTGCCACTCCGCTTCCGCGCTCTCTTCTCACTGAAGCACGTCGCCTGCAACAGCAAGGGCCCCGACAGCACCGCTGCCATCGAGGCTATCGCCGCCGGCTTTGCCTCCCCCTCGGCCCTGCTCAAGCACGAGCTCGCCTACTGCCTCGGTCAGACCGGAAACCTTGCCGCTGTCCCCTACCTGCGCGATGTCCTCCGCAACCTGAAGGAGGACCCCATGTGCCGCCACGAGGCCGCCGAGGCCCTTGGCGCGCTGGGCGACGCCGGTCAGCTGGATATCCTCAAGGAATTTAGAGACCGCGAGGGCGAGGATGTCTGCATCACCGAGACGTGCGAGATCGCCATCGACCGTATCGAGTGGGAGAACTCGGAGCAAAGGAAGTTGGAGAAGTTGCGCAAGAGGTAGGGCCCCTGACTGCTGCGTGGACTTTACATCTTGAAGAGAAAGAAAGGGTATCGTGATTCTTTATGCTAACGCCTATCTCCTTTTGTTCCACAGTGACTTCACCTCCGTAGACCCTGCGCCCCCAATGGAGGAGTCCCAACGCACCGTCGAAGAGCTTGAGAAGACCCTCATGGACCCGAAGCTGCCCCTCTTCCTGCGCTACCGCGCCATGTTTGCCCTGCGCGATCTCGCGTCGCCGCCCGACCTGCCGACCGCCGTCCCCGCCGTGAACGCCCTGGCCAGGGGGTTCGCCGACTCGTCCGCCCTTTTCCGCCACGAGATCGCTTTCGTCTTTGGCCAGCTGTCGCATCCGGCGTCGATCCCCGCACTGACAGAGGCGCTCAGCAACACCGAGGAGGCCAGCATGGTACGGCACGAGGCCGCCGAGGCGCTGGGCAGCCTTGGCGACGAGGAGGGCGTCGAGGACACCCTCAAGAAGTTCCTCCACGACAAAGAGAAGGTCGTGCGTGAGAGCGTTATCGTGGCGTTGGACATGGCCGAGTTCGAGTCCAGCGGCCAGGCCGAGTATGCGTTGATCCCCGAGTCCGCCAAGGCGGCTGCTTAGACCTAGGGATATGGTATTTGGAGGTTGGGTCGACAGGTAAATATCGAGTGGGATTGGGTACTTAAAAGCGACGGGCAAAAAGTTTAGTGTATTTCAGTTGTTATGAGACCACCTGGAAAATAGTCAGTCAGCATTGTGGCTCGCTCGTTGGGAATAGAGGACAGCGTACTTGAAGCCACAGTCGCAGGTAAAGAAAATGGTGCTGCCTTCGTCGGCACTACGGAGTTGCACAGCAGTGAAGCGGACCTCCTCTCTTCCACACTTGGGACATGTTTCCTTGATCGTAGCCTCGGTGTTGACGTTGGCCCTGTCGACGGCCTGAACGTTGGACTGCAGCTTCTGTCGGAGCTGAGAGGGGAAATCGGAAGGCTTCGTCTGGGTGACGATTGTCTTGGAGCCGGTGTCTAACAAGGGGCTGTCAGTTCGATTTGCGCTGAAAATGCGCTGGCGGCGGTCACCGTACCCTTGTTGTCAGCACCGCAGCAGTCGCACGTGAGGATGTTCTTCTCCGTTCCCATAGAAGCGGGAAGCAGGTTGCCGCAATCGTGGCAAAAGACGAGGGTTCCAATGGCAGACATGTTTGCTGGTGCGGTGTGGTTTTGCTATGCCGACCGATAGTGTGGTGATCAACGGAGTATCGCGGCAGAAAGAACCGACAAAATATTTCTGCCGGGGAAGATTTTGGGACAGGCCGCCGTCGTCGTTATCGGCGCTCTTTGCCTTGCTTATCGATTGTGTGCTTATCGTTGAAGGGACTGTGGACCCTCTAGCAATTACCTAATCAGCCTGAAGTTGCAGACGAGACAAAGGGAAGGCGAAGGTCAGGGGGAAACAGGCAGGAACGGAACAACTGGCCACTGGTTGGCCGCCTAAAGCTTCTGCACGGACCATGCGACGAACAAGGGTCCTTCCACGCGAGGCTGTCGCAACCTTCCCACTTTCCCATCACATCCACGACGACGACGCCGGATCGCAACTCGAGATTGTTCCTTTCTCGTTGCGCCATTTCGATTCCGGACGATGCTATCGGCTTCTTCCTTCTTTAAAAGACCTTATTTCTTCTTCTCTTCCACTCAGTTCCACCAAAGAGCGCTCCTTCCCTGCTTGCGCGTTTCCGAATACCCTCTCCGATCAGCCTTTGTCCAACGCTTCGATTCTTTGCTTGTCTCTCGAAATAACATGTCTTGAGGCTCGGCCTAGGTCCGAGGACACTGAAAACATGGTCAACAGCCAAGGGGCCATCCAGAATGGTCCGCCCAACGGCGGCTACATGCAGCCGCCAACTGCGGATCAGCGTCCCATGGCGCGGCCGTTCACGCTGCCCGAGGCGTTGCCTTACTCTCCCCAGACCTCCGTCATTCCGTTTACTTCAGGTAAAATGACAATTCATCTACTTTTCTTGAGCCCACTGGAGCGCTAACTCCCACCAGATCTCATACCCGACCCGACACTCGGCTCCGGCTCGCTTGCTTCGAGCATATCGCATATGTTCAATAGTCAGGAATATGACAGCCTCAACAAGGAAGCCACCGGGCAAAATCAGAATCACGGGCTGAAGCACTTGAAGTATGCCGTTGATCATGTGCTTCATGATCTGAAGCCTAACCAGCGGACGTATTTGTAAGCCGATCGACTTTGGCCTGAACCTGTGTTGGTCCCTAACTCTGTGTCTCACGTAGCAAGTTCAAGACTGTTCCCAAACCGAATGCGAACATGACGTCGAGTTCCGCGGCCCACCAGAGCCTCAGCGCTGGCCTTTCACCAGTGGCCAAGATGGTTTTTGATAGGGCACCAACATTCATCAAGCCGCCTACTGGAACATCTGGCCCTGCCTCGGTCAACGGACAGGTTGCCCAGCAGCCTCCACAACCTCCTTCGACACCCAAAGCCGCCTTGCCGCCGAGACAATCGTCGACGAGCGCAGAAACTCACCGAGGAAACAACTTCCGCTTTGAAGTTGCGATTCCTTCTAAGAAATTCGACCCCAAAGCATACGTGGAGGTTCCTGACCAAGCTGGTTCGCTTCCAGCGACCGTCAACCCGTCTGAGGTGACTCGGGTCGCTACACCAACGCAACTTGTGATGAAGCAAGAGACCCCTACTCATCCTCAACATCCGGTGCAATCTGCCCCTACACAGCGTGGCTCTACTCATACTACTCCTATGGATCATACTCCTATGCAGCCTCCTAAACAAGAAACGCCAGGGGGGTCTGATGTCCCGGTGGCATCTTTCGCCATCGAGTTGCCGCGTGCTCCTGGGTTCAATAAGGATGAATACCTCGATGTAGCGGTACCAGACTCTCCCGACGAGCCTACAGGGTTGTCCATGCGTAGACAGGATGGCGCATACCAAAGCCGACAGGACGATATTAGCACAAATCTCAACCAACGGCAGCGAGCCGAAGCAGCACTGCAGGACCTTGAACGACTAACCAAGAGCGTTTTCGATGCTATTAGGCATGTGCTCGGAAACGAACCGGGTTACGAGCAGGTGGCCACTCTGAACAGCGACAACGAGGCCGTTTTGACAGGGTCCACGCAGCAGAAGCTGCAGACAGCTATTTCCAAGACGATTGATCTGGGAAGCTACGACCAGGCACCCATCGAGGACCTTCAGTACATCCAGAAACTGAGCGAAGCGGGGCTGACGCACACTCTCAACCTCGACTTCAGAATCGAAGAGTCGTGGGGCGAGTCGGATGTTACGAGTTGGGTGAACCAGCTGCCCGAAATCGAGATGGGTCTCAAGACAGCTCGTACATGCCTTCGGATAATGTGCGGCGGCAGAGAAGAGAAGCAGATCTACTCGGAAGAGACCATCCAAAAGTCAACCGATGTTTTCAAGGGCGTTGTTGAGGGCATTGTCATTCCTGTCGTTGAGATGAGAGGCAGTGGCTCATCATCTGCCCTCTTCAAATTGTTGCAGCCTCATAAAAAGGCGATTGGCCCGATTCTCACGAACTGTCAGAAGCTGTTCGCACTGCTCGCTAAGCTCGTCACAAGCATTGAGCTTTCAGATACCGCTCTCGGTACTCTGGAATTTGCTGCATCGAGTCTTCTCTTTGTGGACAACGCTTACCTGGAGAAAGACTCTGTCGTCGGAGTACAGAGGTTCGACGGAATCCGCCTTACTGCAATGGAGATGCTCTGCCAAATCTTTCTTGCAAAGCCTGACCAACGTCGTGGCATCTTTGACGACATTCTCACTTCGCTGGAAAAGCTCCCAGTCGGGAAGCAGAGTGCGCGTCAGTTCCGCTTGTCAAACGGCGGGAGCATCCAGCCAGTGTCGGCGCTCATTATGCGTCTCGTGCAAGCCAGCTCCGGCAAGGTTGACGAGAAGGGCACTCGCAGTCGATTGGCGATGATGGCGGATGACGATGCCGACGAGGACGAGGAGATGACCCAACCTGGCAAACAGGCTGTGGCTGCGACCATCAAATCAGAGGAAGCGGGTGCCTCGCAGCATAAGCTAGCATTAGAAGAGCTCAAGGCCGTTGCATTACCATTAACGGAGGCCTCCACTCACAACGCCAACTACGTTGTCAACTTCATGGTTAATCGCGCTCTGAAGTCTACAAAGTCCGGCGATACACCTTACCGCAATCTGCTCGACCTGTTCGTGGAGGACTTCACTGAATGTCTCGATTCCCCCGACTGGCCATCTGCAGAGCTGATCCTACGACAAATGACTTTCTACATGATGAAGCTATGGGAAGGAGACAGAACCGCCGCGCCGGCCAAGAACATGGCTCTTGAACTCCTCGGGGTCATGAGTGCTGCAGTCTCCAAATTGCGGTCACATGTTCGCAAGATTACCTACTCGATGGATGGCAGTGATTCTAATGAGCTTTCTCGCTATCTCTCGGATTTGGCGACCTCCGCATTGGAGCAGAAGACCCGTATCGAGCACGATGTTTCATGGTCCGGGCCGTATCGAACAGCACTTGAGCATCTCCAGCGGCGCTCTGGCGACGATCCTCACTTGCAAGGCGCCATATCTTTCCTAATCGCAGATTGGGCACAGAGAATCTTCTCCGGTTACGATGCCATGCAGGAGACCTACGATTCTCTCGACCAAGAGTTCGGGCGTCTGGCTTTTCGGCTTCGCATGATGATTGAGGACAGACGATGGCTCTCCAACGAATACACTTTCAAAGACGTCACCAATAATCATGCCAAGCTGGCTCACTCAATCATCCTCCTGCGTTCGCCATTCTGCGAACATTTCAAAGCTATGCTCAATGTACTCCTTAATGCCATGGCTAGTGACCAGGCTACCGTCCGCAGCAAGAGTCTCAAGAGCATCAACCAGCTTTTGGAGACCGATCCCGCCATCTTGGACGGTGACTCTGTAGTCGTTCATCTAATCATCAACTGCTCGAGTGATTCTTCGCCTCAAGTGCGGGATTCCGCCATCGGATTGATGGGCAAGTGCATTGGTCTGCGCCCGAGGCTTGAGGATAAGATGGCGGAGAGAATCATTGAGAGATTTATCGACTCTGGTATCGGCGTGCGGAAGAGAGCAATGAAGTTGGCTCGAGACATTTATCTTCGCAACCAGAGCCGGGAAATTCGCAGCACTATCGCCAACGGATTGCTTCACCGTGTGCAGGATCCGGACGAAGGTGTGCGAGAGCTAGCTCGCCAGATGATTGAAGAGGTCTGGTTCGCTCCGTTTTACCAAGTCGATGATACGGCTGCCTTTAAGACATCTTTGACCGATCACGTCGCCCTCATGATTCAGACAGTTAAGTCTGGAAATGTTGGTGCCGTCCTCGACAAAGTGCTTCAATCCATCCTTGGAGGCCAGAACAAGGCTCACAACGGGCCGTTTGGAGTCAGCATGAAGCTGGTCGAAAAGATGTTCGAGCTGATTGACAACCTGGATTCAGACGACCCGGCAGTTCCTCCTGGACGAGATGCACTGCAAGTCTTGCAGATATTTGCCAAGGCAGACGCGAAGCTCTTCACCTTCGAGGAGATTAGACTTCTTAAGCCCCATCTTGCTAGCATCAGCGGTGCTGATGATCTGGCTGTTTTCAAAGCTGTTACCGTCATCTACCGCCAGGTTTTGCCGCAGCTCTCTAGCAAATACGCCGACTTCCTCCGCGAAGTGAGAGAGCAGCTGCAGAATTCCGTTGGCAGGCTTAGCAAGAACTTATTGGACGATGTTGTTGCCTGTTTGTGGATCATTGCCGACCTCTTGGACAATCGCGACAAGCTGGCCTATCTAGGCGCGTCCAGTTTGCGCGGAGTCGCCAGCATGCGGAACACGCAAATGGATGCCACTAAGCTCATGAAGTTTGCCAGATACTCGACAATTGTGGGGATGGTTGGCAAGCACTGTGATTTGGACTCCGAGATTGACGTTTTCAAGAAGATCTTCCCGAAGTACTCGGGCACATCGGTTGCAAAGCTCATGGTCGACAACCTCTCGCCATGGGCCGATGAGTCGCAGGTCATGGAGGCCCGGAAGCATGCACTTGATGCCATCGGTCTTATTTGCCAAGCCCATCCTCGAAACTACGTCTCGCCAAATGTCTACACCAAGTTCCAGCAAGTGTTTGAGGCCAGAGTTCCAGCACTGGAGAGTACGATCCTCCGGTCTTTCAAGGAATTCCTCATCACCGAAGAAAAAAGGTCTGAGGCTGCTACTGCCGCCGCCACCGCTGGTCCCGAGGGTGACAAGAAGCGCGAGCTGACTGTCATGGGTGGAACGAATTACGACGACGTGGCAAGTGCGACAACCCAGCGTTTTCTTAAAGAGATCACTCGGATCGCTCTGTCATCTCAAGATGAGCACGCCTTCCTAGCGGTTGAGGTTCTCGGCAGCATCAACCGCCAGGGTCTCGTCCATCCCAAGGAAACAGGCGTAACCCTGATCACGTTGGAGACTTCGTCAATGACCAAGATATCCGAGGTCGCATTTATGGAGCACCGAGCGCTTCATGAGAAACACGAGACTGTCATCGAGCGAGAATACGTTAGGGCGATCCAAGCTGCATACGAGTATCAGCGAGATATTGTTAAGGATACTCGTGGCGCAACCACGAACCCATTCCAGTCGAAGCTCCATCTTTTGATGGAAGTCCTCAAAGTCAGCAAGTCCAAGAACCGACAGAAATTCCTGGAGAAACTCGTTTTCCAGGCCGATTTCGACCCTTCAAAGCTTGACGTTTCCGCACAATTGCCCCCGCATGTCGAATATGCCAGGTTTATGATCGAAAACCTTGCTTACTTCGACTACGTGACGGTTGGAGAAGTTCTGGTAACGGTTCATGCAATGGAAAAGCTGTTTTCGACAACCGGATCCAGCATGGCGCACGTTATCGAATCTGAGATATTCAACGTGCGCATGGACATGGACAAACCAGATGACCTGCAGGGCGATGGACAGCCAACACAACCCCAGCTGACCATTCCCCCAAAGAGGCTTCGCCAGCTCACGTCTGGATCCATTATACTGCTTTGCCTCTGGGAAGCTAGAACCTACCTTCGGCGTCTCTACGGCTTAGGCAGCAAGCGCGAGACGAAGACGAAGCTAGCAGCGAAAGACCTCAGCAAAGCGCCTACCAAGGTCCAAGGCGTGACAGGAGACAAGTTCTGGGAGGAAGTCAACTCGCACATGACCGGACTCGCGTCGCAAGAAGCTACGTTGGCGAAGTGCAAGGCCTTTGTGGAGTTGATGAACGTCGACAAAGAGTTCAAGGTGGCCGACGAAGACGACATTGATGGCGAAGATGCCGGCACGCCTAGCGAGGGTGAAGACGATGGCTCCACAGCCGATGGTAGAGGCCGGAAGAGAAAGGCTGGCTCATTGCCCGGAAACCGCAAGAAGAGAGCCCGCTCAACGTCTCGAGCAAGAGGACGCGGCCGACCACGCAAGAACCCTGTCCTAGCCGAACTCGAGGACGATGCCGACGGCGACCTGGATGACATGGACTTTATGTGAGCATTCAGACACGACATCTGGATTATGTTCCTTGTGCACACACTTTTGTGATTTGCCGCAATGGATGCGATTGCAGCTGCGATTATAGATTGCGGGCAGCAAAGAAGACATGTCTCTCTCTCTTCACTCAATCGGCTTGCTTTCCATTGTACATGTACACCATCATAATCATCGCATTGCACACATACAGGACATCAACGGTAAAAGGGGGTTGCATCAAGACGGAGAAGAAAAATGAGGCTCGATGCATGGTGTTGCACTTGGTCTTGCTTGCCGTTCTTATATTACACATGATTCGAGTGTGTTTTTTCCTCCCTGCCAAGCATTGGCTGGGACTCGAAACAAAACAAGGGGCGTTCTACATTTAATGAGCCGGGAATGAGAAAGCGTGGGAGGTTTTATGGGCAAGATGTGCTCCTATGGATGGAAGGGAGCGTCGTCTTCGTTTTTTTACTTTTGGAATGATACCTACTCCCCCTCTCGCTTAGCTAGCTTGCGAGGGGTTTGAAAGTTGCTTGAAATATACAGTCACTATCTCGACTGTCAAATGCGGCGGCTGTGTGCTTGTTTTTCTGTGATGTTGTGCATGCATCAAGAGTTGCTAATGAAGCTATGCCGCGTGCTGCTGTTTTCACCATGAGTTGCACTCTTCCTTTCTCCCGCTACCTGGTCCCAGGCCTGATAGCTCTGACTGGTCGTTGCCAGACAACGACACCAAGGGATAAAAACGACAGCAACTACTGTTGCCCCAAAGACATCGGGCACAGTAACTCACTTGTACCAAGGTTTTAAAAAATCTTTCAAGCATCATATCTATGCCAGGAAGAGGTCTTTCCCTATTACTTCGTATACGCTCCTAGCTTGGAAGGGGGGGAAAGCCACAACACCTGCGCCCACAGGACGCCCCTACATCCATTTCCCTTGCTCTAAAAAGAAATGGTAACCGTGTGCGGCAAAATCCATCCTTCTAAAACCCATGCCCTGCATAAACGCCCAACGGGAACCCATACAATTATGGCTGTCCCTATCCTATGCCTTTCACGCGAACCGCAGGCTGCTGCACCATGCTGGATACATGCAGGCGATCTCTCAACAATAAAAGAATGGCTTTCTTCTACTTCGGGGGTATCAATTCAGTTTATCTGTCTGTCTCCGGGCCAAGGAAATGTTTGGTTTGGTGGTAATACATGGACTGGCAGATCTGTGACGTCTGCCAGATGTCGTTACATCGTAAATTCTGCGAAACATAGCTAGTGGATGACGGCTACGGACTACCTTTCCGTTGGTGTAAGTTTATATTTGTTCGCTAGAGTCGACAGCATCGAGCCAGACTCGGACAGCTTCTCGGAGAGTACTCTCGCGGTCACGGTCGACCGCGTGGATGGTGGCGTCAGGCGTGTCGTGGTCCCGCTCCTCGATAACATCGCGAATGATTTCGTCCAGAGCGGACAATACCACTGTCTTACACTGGTCTCGAGGAACTTCTTGGGATGCCATCGGGATGCGGGTGGTATGGTGAGAGTCCACCGAGACCGATGCCTCGCTATTGCTACGGTCCCGTCTCTTGCTCGTCGACCGGGATGAGTTTGAGGAACTCTGCTTGCTCACTTCATTGCTCTGTGCAATCACTCTCTCAACAGCCTCAATCAGGACCTCGTCAAGACTAGCAATCGGCTCCTCAATGAACTCGTCGTCTAGCTGTGTTTCATATGGGACAATCGAAGGGGTCATCGGAGCAGCACCGTAGGCGCTCGAGCCCGCGGAGCCCAGAGGAGCCGATCTATCTATGAACGGCTTAGGTCGAATGAGTCGACGATAGCGGATCCTGTTGATCGTGTGCGTCGTCGTGTCTGCAATCAGAGCGCTGCTGACATCAACCCAGCGGTCGGCAGGTTGCTCGGTTGAATAAAATGGTTGCGTGACGAACGGGGTCGGCTCGGCTCTCATCGACTTTCTGATGTCTTCCATAAGAGTATCTTGTGGGGGAACTGCCTGCAGAATGAAATCCTGATGATATTGTTGAAGGAATCCTGCGACATTCATCGGAGAGTCGCCGTCAATCGTGACACGGGAAAACTGTTCGAAGCCTTCCAACCCGTTGCCAATGCCAGGTGTGGACAGGTAACCGCTGCTCGACGGCGAGCTGACGGCAGTCTCGAAGGAAGTGATGTAGTCGGGGAAGGGGATGTCAACATCTATGACTCCATCCTCGGCATTGATTGATGTCTTGACAGGCGACTGGAAGTCGCCGCTGGGATCGGGAACCCGCTCAGGGAAAGCAACTCTCTCAATCGGATCGTCGATGATCTGGTCATCGAAACCTCGAGGAGTTGCGGGCCCGTTGCCGTTGCCCACTGTGTTGTAGCTGCGATCATCCGTTCGACGATATCCCTCGGTCCTGACTTCCCTGACCATATCTGCTAGCTTGTCCCGGCGCCCTCCCTGGGTGGACTTGGTTGGAGACGTAGGGTTGCTACCGTAGGGATGACTTGGGGTGGTGAGGCCTGTCGAGTCTCTCCTCTTGCCGTTCCAAAGGGTGCTGATGACGCTGCCCCAACGCGAGCTTGATACACGGGAGTCTGTGCTGGCTGAGCTCACGTGTCCCGAACTCTCGCCTCGTTTTAATGTTCTCTTCAGATCGTCGGCCGCGACACTGCCACTGCTACCAGGTCGAAGGCTTCGCCGGTTCTCAAACCTTTGAGCGGTTGTAAAGTGCGGGATGGTTGTCTCAGGGGTGATCGTTGTGGTCGTTGCCGCGCTGCTCTTTCGGCTGACCTGGTCGTTGCCTGGGATAGGCAGATTCGACCGTATCGAAGCAGCATCCGAAACACGCCTCTCATGATGGCCCTCCATGCTCAAATGCGCGAGCTGAGGGGGAACCCCGGAGGCACGTGTACTCTGGCTGACTGTACGAGAATGGGAGATGCGTCTAGGGCCCGTCCGTCTATTGATTTTACGTCGCAACGATTCTTCACGGAGGATGGGGATGATTAGTGAAGGGGGCGACTGAGAAAACGCTCCAAAGGAAGCGGAGGTGCTCGGCCGGTGGGTCTTGGCCGAGAGATGTTGGTGAGATGGGAGGAATGCGGAAAGGAGAAAGATGAGGCGTCGTGCGAGCATCTTGTCTGAAGCGATGATGACTGTCCGTGCTGGCAACGAGAGGTCGTCTTCGCCCTTTGCCTTTTGTTGTTGATAGTGCTTTCGTCGGTACCATGCTGGGCTCATGGCGTTCAACCAATCGGTGTGCGTCGCAAGAAACCCGGTCAAGAGGTTGAAGAAGAAAAATCCATGCTCCTTCTCGCCGGCCTTCCTCGCCATCCATCTTGCTTCGTCCCTCCAAATGCCCCACCTCCCCTGTGCTGTGATGACGCGTTGGGCGCGGAGACCCGTGACGATCCGGATCCTGGCAGAGTTGGCCTCTTGTATGATGTTATCGTCGTTCTGTAAACAAAGGGGCTGCAAAGCTATGACCTTGGCATTGGTTTTGGGAGGCTTGATGAAATGAGGCTCCTCATTCCTCCTCCCGCTTATAGATGGAGCTCTGCCGACATATGAAGACACCGAATTCGGATAAGGATCCGGCGAGGTGATGTCGGCTTGTTTCAGCAAAACGCCAAGCGTGGTGGCAACCACTCCCTGTAGATGTGTCAATGTTCGCATGATAATATCCCACTGCTGCGTGACGGTGTCCATTCTGTCGTCCACGTCGGTCGAGCAAGATGACTCCATCGAGTCGATGGGGAACCCGGACCCAGACATGGTCCAGGCGGAGCGGCGAGCCGAATTCATAGAAGAAGGGAACGAGTCTTGGTCCGTGTAGGAGCTGGCGCCGCGGAAAGTCGATCTGATGGTGGAGGGAGGGGCCATCGGCCCCGAGTTGGGTGGCAGCTGAACCACCAACACAACTGCGTACATCGGCGTGCGCTTTTGCTTGGGCTGCGGCTTCTTTTTCTTGGGGGCATTTGCCTCGTCGGCAGACTGCGGGAACGGAAATCCCGTGTTATGGTCCGAGAAACGGCTCAAGGGGGTATCACTCTGTGTGTCGTCGTCGCTGGGAAGCAAGACGGGGAATAGTCGTGTGATGAGGATCTTTCTCCTCTCTGGCGGACTGCGTGTGTTGGGTGCAGAGGAGGTGAAGGACTGTGGTGGTTGCATGGGTGAGACGTTGTCCGATGTGTAGGACTGTGCCAGTCTGCTGGATCGCATGCTTGACCTGCCAATGGAGCCGCGGCCATCACCGAGGTAGGAACCTCCATACTCTGGGCGGTTTTCGGTCGGGACAATGTGGACTTTTGTTGAAGTGCCTTTGTAGGCCATCAACTCTGAGTTGCCAAAAACGGAGCCGGCAAAGGCATGGATCTCATCATTGTACTCCCTACGTGCGCGCTGGAGGTCTGTCTCAGCCTGAGATTGAGTTCGGCCCTGCATCGAGGCCCTGCGATCAAAAGCACCCTGGCGGGGTTGAGGACTGTCGGGTTGGATCACGAGAGGCCGCGATGTCTGGTTCAGGCTGCTCTTCCTGGGCGAAGTAGGACCCCGATAGGAGTCTTGCACGGTTCCGATGCCTGTTGCTGGTCGTTCTCCAGGTGTGGTGGAGGGCGGCTTTGGTGGTGCAGGATGGCTGTCGAAGAGAAGCTGTGCAGGCAAGGAAGCAACGGCGTCCTGCATGATGAGGAGACGGACGTGGCGGGCATCGAGGTCAATATCGCCATCGTAGTCGAAGGCACTGGCTATTGACGCCAAAGGAAGAGCAGAGACCATAGACAGAGGAAAGACTTGATCATTCCGATGTTGGTACAGAGCTTCCGTGTCGGGAAATAAGAGGTTGCGAGTGTGGATATCCTCCTGCATAGATTCAAGGGACTGTGGTGAGTCTTTGCAAGTGGCATCGTTGTTGAGATTGTTGCTGTTGTTGTAGTTGGTGTGCGGAGGGCCAGAAGCACCTGTAGCACTCCCGGTGCCCAAGTTGAAGAGCTTCCCCAGCATCGTGAGAGAGAGATGGCTGGAAATCGTCAATAATCCAGAGGCTGCTAGACTCTCGTGTCGTTTAGAAATTGGAGAGGAGTGCCATTTTTTCAGCAAAACACGCAGTGATGACGGATCAGATGGAACATCATTGTTTCTGACAGAAATTCCATGTGATTGAGGGTGTGCGGCGTGAGAAACCGTGATTGTGCAGGGTGAGGCTCATTCGTCGCGAAGGGGCATATGGTGGCTAGGCCGGGCTGAGGCGAACAGAGTTGAGGGGTGCACGGGGAGTCGGGCAGAGCTAGCCGGGGGTCGAAGCTTAATGGCGATGAGTCGATGGGGAGTCGTCGAACGTTGGGCAAATCGGAGGTCGTTGAGTGTTGCAGTAGTCATATGTCTGCAAGCTCAGGCGCACGCAAGCACAGTTGGAGGTCTCTGCTGCACGCTCCGAAGCGGATTGCGGGGATGAAGGTGGTTAAAGGTTGCGAGAGTGACCCGGGTGTCGATGTTGCGAGCGAGGGGGCGAGCGCGTCAGGCGGGCGTTCGAGGAGTCTCAAGGAATGCCGGGACGAGGGATACGTCTGGCGACGCAAGCACTTTGTCGCAATCAGTTTATCGGGGAAATGGTGGATGGAGGCGGAAGGAAGAGGTGCGAAGAGAGACAGGTTGGATGTGACGCAGTCAAAAGGGAACCAGATGCTCGGGTCAAACGCGGCGAATGACAGCAGCGGATCAAGATGAGCCGGGGGTGGTTGGTTTGGGGAGCTCGGTATTTGGTAGAAGTGGCGCCGACTGCGGATAGTCGAGTCGAACAGCCGAGGAGGCAGCGAAGGGCGGCAGAAGGGGAGGTGATTTCCTGTCTTGTCTTCCTTATCGGCACCAGGTAGGTAGCGCGAGGGAGGGAAAGAGAGAGTTGGGTAGCAGTTCAGACGCGGGATGGACGGGGAGAGGAGAGCGATGATATTTGGACGGGACGAATTCGGGGATGCAGTGTGGGAAGCGGAAAGTGGTCGGGATCGGTATGAAGTAATGCGATGTGTTGTGGTAATATTAGAGGTTTGGGAGCATCGGAGGTGGGCGGGATTAGAAGCGTGTCGGGTATGTGTGGTGTGTAGGTGCGTGGGCGTGGTGGTGGTGGTGGTGGTGGTGGTAGTGCTGGCTACCCACGTCGAACAGAGGACAGCGAATTAGCTTGGCGGGGATTCGTCGAAGTCGAAGACGGGAGGACCTGGTCGACAGGCAGAAGAAACGAAGGGCGACGGGCGGTGGAAGGGACGTGGGTGGTGGTGGTGGTGGTGGTGGTGGTGGTGGTGCTAAAGTTTCTTGGTCTGCAGTGGCGGTGGGTAGAGGTACCTCAAGGCCGTGAGATTGACATGGACATGGCCCAGGAAGGGAGGGTATGATGTGGTCAGTTGAATGGTGCGTCCATGATGTTTGCGGGCGCGTTTGTTGTTTGGTGTCTCGAGCGTTGAGATGTTTGGAAGAGGATGAGGAGCAAAGAGGGAAACAGGACAGCGAGAAGGCCTTAGGAGCGAAGGACCCAAGACGGCGGTGCGGAAGCGGCATGGCAGCGAGCGGCAGCAACACACACACATCCACACACATACGGAAGTGCCGCAATCGTCGGTGGGCCGGTTGCTGGTGGGGTACGTATCTCGCGGAGTCTTTGGAAATCGACCTGGCGGGGGCAGCACTGGAGTTGCAGGCGTCTGAGTGTTTAGCCCTGGGTGGGACAAGTCTGGGAAGACAGGAGACAGGAGCTGGCAGGATTTGGATCGTGTGGTGGTGCTGCCTTCCACTTGGTAAGGTGCCTAGGTAGGTATCGGTACCGAAGCAGTACGTACCCGCTGACTCCTTCCCGCTCCTCCTTGCCGCGCTTCTCATCGTCCTCGTCCTCGCCCGTCTCCTTTCTTCCAAACCGTCCGTCCTCTTGGTTGCTGTCGCCGAGTATCTAGGTGCCTGCCGCCACCGCCTTGCTGTGCACAAGGGTTGCGTTGCCTCTCTTGTCTCTGACGCATTTGCTTCTGTCAGGCTTGGTCAGCGGGCAGCGGCAACGGCAACGGCAACGGCGCGGAAGCGGCAGCCACACTTCATCCCACATCTCCCACCGCCGACCTCATAGTGCATCTCTGCCTGCATTTGCAGACGTCGACCTCGAGGCAAGGGGACCCCACGGTGCCATTTCCCCGACTGTCGGCATGGGGGCATTTGGGGGCATGGCGGGCTGGCATGCATGGGCAGCTACATACAGTAGGTAGCGCAGTCGGGAGCAAGGCACTCACTCACTGGCGGGCAATACTCTAAGGTATTCGCAAAAATGCGGTGAACGGCCCTGGCCTCTCCGCCTTGCCTGCTTGCCTACCTAGGCCCCGTCCAATACCGCACGAGGTACGTACCGCTCATATATCTGTTTTGGGTAATCTAGCCTCTTGAACGCGTTGCCTCGCCCGCTATCTCACTGCCTGCGTGCTTTAGCGGCTGCGCATGCCTGCCGTCCGCCCCTCTACATCTGGGCAGCGGGTGGCATCGAGAAAGGGAAAGATGATAGAGCAGCCAAAGGAGAAGGAGCGACAGCCACACACACACACACACACACGCAATGAAAAAAAAAAAAAAAAAAGCAAAGAGGAATCATAGAGACGAGAACCGCGTATCAGGCCGGGGTAGACCTAGAAGAGAAGATGGGCCCTTAGGTAACACCATTAAGACAGACCGGCCCTGCCAGTACAGTACATACCTAGGCCAAGACCGCCTACATGCCCCGAATCGACTCCAGCGCCCTGGGCAACAGCGGGGTTAGCACGGTCCTACACTTGCCCCTTTGGCCCCATCCGTCGCCTGAAGACCCTGAATTTGGGGCGAACTGGTGTCCTTCCAGACCGTTTCCTTCACTGCCCATACCTAGTGTATAGCGGGAGAGCCTTGCCATATAACCGCAATTTCAGGTCAACAATAGGCGGTGGCCATATCACTACAGGCCTTGTCCCTGCTCCGTGTCGCGTGTCTTGTCTTATTTCGTCCAACGACTGTCGACCACGGGCTGACGTCTCCCGCTGCCATGGTAAATTGCATCGAGCATCCCACGTCTCCGTCTCGCCCGTCGTCACTGTCTCCAGGTCTTTCTCTGCCCCGACATCTTCAGCTGCGCCTGCCCTGCCCTGCCCTGCCTCGCCTGCCTGCCGCCCAATCCATTGGCTTGCAATTACGCTCACGGGCCCTTCCCTGTCCGTTGCCCTTCCTTCCTTCCTTCCTTCCGTCCATCCGTCTGTCTGTCTCTCAGCCTTTCTTCTTGATATGTTCCGTCCGGCTTCTTTTACACTCCGTCAGCCCTGTCTCTCTCTCGGTTTCTCTCCCGCTCTCTCTGTGGTGTTGACCTTCGCCAACTCCAGCCCCCTCCGCCTGAATCCCACGTCATGGTCTGATTGTCATCGACGACGCACAAGATGCTGCTCCAGACGAGGATCCATCCCCTTTGTCCCTCGTCATTTCTTCCTGGACCGACGTCCATGTATGTCCGACTCCGAAAGTCTCCCTGTCTCAGGGCATCAACTCTCCGCGAAAAGCAGCCTTGCTTTGGGCTTCGTTCGCTTGTCTCCGTCGTTTACCTGTCGTCTTGACTGAGCTATGCTTCCCCCCCTGGTCTTTTGAGGCCACCGACAAGGAAACCCTCATCATCCTCCCATCATCATCATCACCGCCGTCCTACCTGGGACAAACACATCGTTATCTGTAGTCGAGTATCAAGGAGATGCTTCTGTTCTGGTCCGTCTCACAGCATAGCGAGTGTGACGGGGCGCACCTCTCATGTTTCTGAATGTACTTTACAGCCCTGGCGCAGCACTCGTCCCAGCGTATCATTGTCGGAGCCGACCCGACGGACCTGCAATTCTTCTGCGCTCACGCCTCCCTGAGCCCCCGAGAGATGAAGGATGAGGGGCTGACAGCACGTCAATCCGCTGCGTCCAGCCTGCCGTTGGCTGCCGGTGCCCAGGCATACCCTTGCCACGACTGACAGATGTTCCCCAAATTACATCAGTCGCTTGGAAAGGGTCCCGTCGCCAGCTAATGGGTATTCGTTCTTGACCCCCTCCTGACGCTTGTGCTCCGGCTGCCAATAGCTCCAGCGTGTTGCTCGACTGGTTGCAGATGGTCCGTCTTGCACCCCACCACGGGCCCTCCAGACCAAAACTGCCCACGTTCACTGGCTGACATGGCCCCGAGAAGGAGGGGGACAGACATGCAAGTCAACGTTGGCCACAACGCTGCGAATGACCTGCTGCTGGCCCTGCAACTGCTGCTCGACATGACTGCAAGCAACCATGGAGAAGCGCGGCATGCCCATGGCATTGCTTTGATTCGGGACGGTGGAGCGGCGGCAGACCACACGGGGCACCCATCAGTCAGCACTCGCTTCGGACTGGGGACACGGCAGTCCGTCATGCTCCATTTGTACGACAGGGAAAACGCCTCGGTGAGTGACCGAATTCTCTCTCTCAGTTAGACCGACCACACCGCACTGCTATTGTCACAATCCGACAAGCATCATCTACAAGGACCTCGCTGCGGCATGCCGTCAAAGTCGAGGACTTCACCGGCCCGACCAGCTTTACTTCTTCTCAGCTCACGCTTTCCAGGCCCCCGTGCCTCCCTCCTCCTGGCCGCGCCGCCCAATCTCCAAGAAACTCAAGCCACCCATTGACCCAAGCTGCTCCATACTTCCCTTCGTTGATGGTCAGGGACATCGGACCCTCCGGCGCGAAGGTATGGCGCTTCTCGACCATATCACCGACCGTCAATCTACTTGTTGCCTATACGTAGTGTTGCTGTCCAGGGATCAGATGCCCGTTTTCGTTGTCTAGGCAGGCAAAGCAAGGTATATGCTCTTCGCGCGGCTCCCGGAACTGGAACCGGAACCTTGAATGATTGTTACCCATACCCGTTCCCTTGTCGGTAATAATATTCCACGCCCGAGTCGCATACCGAAAGAACCACATTCAACGCGTCTACGGAACTCTTTATCAATCTCCGTACGACGCGCAATTTGACTCACCCCCCAGATGACGCTGTGCGCGCTGTTCTCGGGTTGCACTGCCACTACGATGAGCCTTTCGAGGCCCACGAATAGAACTGAAGTTCATGTCCACGCGCCGAGGGCAAGCCAAGATGCACCGGAGCTGCAGATGAGACACATACACGTAGGGCAGCTGCAGGCTAATTGTTGCGTCTGCTGTCGCCCGCTTTGTTGCCATGTGCCCGCTTCGTCCGCCAACTGTCTGCTCTTCGTCTTCACTGCGTATCTCGTCCAGCAACCTCAGAAGCAGATGCGCCGTCACACCCGTGGACAGCATGCTCGTCACACACCACGGACTGCACACCAACACGCGAAGCGCATGTCAAACCTAGCTTCTCCCAACGACGGTCTTGGCGGACACCTGCGCCGCCGGCCAACATAGGCCCTAGCCAAACTCTGTCCTATGATACCCACAGCTTTTTCCCAAGAACCCGTTCAGCGTTCGTTCGTAGTCAAGCAAACATCTACCCACACCGACAAAAGAGCCCGCCGATCGAGTCGTGATACTGGATGCACCTTCCACGATAGGCACTCGATCAGGCATCCCGGCTTAGCCCCTTGCGAACCTCCTATTTGTGAAAGAGTATCAGCGTCACCTTATGGTCTACACGCCATCTTGTTCTCGGCAAGCAACTCCGTCAGCTGTCCATTAATGATCACAGGGGAGGCAGGCATTGGCCCAAGTTCCAGGCTCCTGGGGACACCTGCTTGCTGCCCAGCAATCGCGCCGTTGCAAAAGTGTCCCAACGCACGGTTCTCCGGGACTCGCCCATAGCCTTCCGTCGCCGGCTAGTCCGTCCATGCAACTTGTTCACCAACAAGCAAGCCTCACCTTGTTTCGCCCCAGCGAGCTGCAAATGGCGAGCGGAATCCGGAAGCATGGACGCGGTGAGCGGGCGCTTATCAACCTACCTCACCATTATAGAATTCGTTGTCGCCCAGACCCGCAAACTTTCGAGGCTCATATTGCGGTATGATCTCACCTCTCATCGTCCCGGTGATTATAATGCCAGTTATTGGCCATCCAATCCATCAAAAGGTAGCGGTGTGTCCTTTGTCGGAGTCAAGGGAAACCCCTTATCTGTCCATTCACCAACCCAATTCTCAGACAAGGCCATGCGACAGACAGTGCACACTCGGCGGAACGCCTCCCCGTCGTCAACATCCCAGTGACATCAGCCATGGAAGACTGGCCCTGTTCCGGTTTCCAGTATACCAATTTTGCACCTGTTCCCATGGTCGGCCCTCCTCCGCCGAGTCCTCCTGTCTCGCTACAGCCTCATCTTCCAAATGGCTGGCTCATTCGGTTGGAACGTCGAATAACAACACGAGTATGTCTCATTGTGTAGCCGTTGCCACGCTCTCGGCTAGCGTCGCCTGACCCTAGGCGGGTTTCTTCTGCCTCTCGCGGTAATCCCGAAAGCTCCTCCAACCTAACCGATTTGGAAATCGCCGATTGTCCATTGCTGATGCTACATATTCCAATCCCTCCGCCCGAATTATTTTGCCCGTCCGTCCACGAGACGGGTCGGGCCTGCCCGGCTTATTATACTTGGCAGTAAAGACGGGAGCAATGATCTTTTTCAAAGGAGCATGTCGGCTATACATGTGTATCTAGCTCGACCACGGAGCAGCATCCTGGATGGCCTTTCATAACACCACAAGACCATGACCCTGTTTCGCAATTGCACTCATGGTTTAACAACTACCTGTAGCTATAAGAAACCCAAGCCGATCCGAGTCACAGGGGCGAATATTGCTCACTAACCATACGTCATTATCGAAGCACCGATTTGTTGTACGCAGCCTGGATGTTGTGTATAGCTCAAGGATGATATTGGGTGACACAGGACGCCATCATTCTACAGTTTGGGCTGTGAAATACGACGCTGACCATAAGCAACGCACATGTAAGCAAAACCGGCCACAGGCGCGCCTCAGGTCTCTGAATCACAGATAGCCAACACCCAAGGACATAAACGCCAAGGCCATCTCAGTATGTCGTTCAGAAATGCAGATCCAAGCCCGCAATCACAATGCACCCACTTTCGGCAGAGTGACCCCCCACGTACCTTGGGGGGCGTCCACCACTCCCCGTAGAGAGAGAGAGAAGGTCTTACCATGGACTCGGGACTGCGAGAGAGCCCTCTAGAGTCGATGCCCCTTGGAAAGATAGCGCTAAATATGAGGCGATGTCAAAGGTGGATGGCGATGGCCAATGGTCAAGATCGCCGTTATCAAACCTGCTATCCCCTGCCATCTGGGTTTGGCGATTTTCATTTCTACGTGAGAGATGAGCATAGGTGCACTTCACCCTGAATTATGTACAAGGTATCTGGTCGGCACGTTTTGAAGCCAGGATTTCTATCCAAGGCAAAATAACACCGTATCCAACTGCAGCCCCATTCTCGCGGCCCCTCAACTCGTGACGCTATCAGCATCGTCGTTTTCCAATCAGAAAACCCAGGAAGCGAGTTGGAACACACTGAACTATCATTTATGGCGCTACACGACACCACTGAGACAACAAGACGGGTTTATCCCGTTTCCTTTTCCTCAGCCGAAGGCGACAAAGAACCCATGCAAATTGCCGAGGGGCCTTTTGTATCCCATAATCTCCGCCATGATACTTGTCAAAGGCCATGACCCGTACAGTATCGAAACAATGCGGTACTATTCATCTCTCTCTTCATCGACGTTAGAGTGGCGGTAACATCCCGTCGCATGCTGGACAGGGTTCTCGTAGGCAGCAGTCTATTTTCAGCTTGAGGCTCAAGCTCGCTTCGGTGTACAAAGTATCCGCGCGTGGATTGACGGATGCCGCCAGCCAAGGTGAAGTCACTTACCATGGCGCCTCCTCAAAGCCCAGTTCATCGAGTAGCAATCCCGTGACTTCCAATCTTGTTTCTGCGAGCCTTTGGTCCAAGACAACGGTTTGACGAAACTGAGTGTTTTGCAAAAGCCCGTAGCCTCGTCCAAAACACCATTTCACAGGACGATAAGACCTTGTTGATCAAGAGGATTTCACTCCCTCCGAGACCTTACTTGCGGATTCACGATCTCCTGCATCTGGAGTTACTGAACCCTTGCGAGGCCGGTATATAGGTTGCAAAGCAATGGAGTGGATCCCATAAGTTCGCAGACCTGCGCCGATAGCCGTCACCTTTGCGTCGAAGCTGCTCACACTGTCGTCCGCGACTACAATGTGGGCCGTCGCCAGTGTCGTCTTCTGGTCGATCCTCCAAACAAGAAGCTCTGTAACCGACTCGACACCAGAGATCTAATATTCGTCAAATTGAACGGTCGATTCAAAGGCTCGGAAGCAGACTCTTACCTTGGTTATTTCGGATCGAACATTATCCAGGTCAACATCGGAAGGCGCGCTTTCCATCAAGATGTAGCCAGCCCTTTTGCAAAGGGGCCATGCTGATGCCATGATGGTCACGGCAATGAAGAGACTGACTCCCGGGTCCGCATAGAACCGGCCGTCCCCGTTTCCTTTCCAAATGACGACAGCTGCTACTATGACGCCGGCGTTGTTGATGGCATCTCCAATGACGTGGATCATGACACCGAGCATGCCGAGATCACGACCACCGTGTCGATGTTTAATTTCAGCCTCCTCGGGGCCCGAATCCGTTTGCTGCGACTAAGAGCAGTCAGACCCTGAATTAACAAAGAGACGGATACACCCACGCTTCCTAGAGATGTATAACCGGGGGCAACGGGCTCCTCGATGGATTCTCCTTCACACTGATCGGTCTCGTACTCATCGTGGCCATGGTGGTTCTCTATGAGGGTTGTCAGAGCACAGTCATCTCTGTACTTGTAATTCTGCTGACCGTGAAGAAAGCTCATAACGAGGACATTGAGACCAAGTCCAACACAGCCCATAATCAGCATCAGAATGGGATCTTCCACATCTAGTTACGTGTGATCAGCCTAATCAGTCATCATTCGTATAAATACTTACGGGTGAGGTTGCTGAATCGCTCGACCGCTTGAAGCAGGATGCTGACGCCCAAAGCGAGAAGGAATACACCATTGAAGAATGCGCCCAGTGTTTGAGCACGTTTCCAACCGAACGTCAATGTCCTGGGTGAGGTCTTTCGTTCCGAGAACTGGGGGCAGACATTAGCCCGTCACCGGTTTCGGGCTTCAGAGTGATTCGGCTTACAATTACCGCCAGTAATGCAACGACGAACCCTATCAAGTCGTTCATCTAGTATTACGTTAGCCTTCGGTGCTGACAGAAACTCTACAGCTATATAGCTGCACCTACGTAATGGAAAGCATCTGCAATGAGCGCTAGCGACTTTGTGCGGAATCCGATGACTAGCTCAGCGAGGAAGAAGCCGGCAGATATGGCGATCGTGGCAACCAGGCGCTGCTTCCTAGTTATGTGGAAGGATGCCGTGGTAAATTTGGGTGTCATAATGAAAAGTCACAGGATTGATGAACCTAGTGTTTTGGGAAGTCGAGGGATGGACGTCGCCGACTTTGATGTATCGCGCCAACCCTTTTTGTTGTTCGCAAGAGCTGGAGGAGACACATTGATGTGATCGTACAACCTGAGCTGTGTGTCGGCCATTGTACAGCCGGACGCTCATTTGCAAAACACGAGACAAACATTCCCGTTTGGGCACGACATGAGCACGGTGAGTTTTCTATTATTAAGGTTCGGAAGATGACTCGCAGTCCTACGTATGTATACAAGTTGGGACGAAAGGGACTCTGCAGGGAGAACACGCTTAAGATGTCAAGCGTCGGAGTTTTCGGAAAGCTGCATTTCTCTTTCTCGTTTCTATGCTCAGTGTTTATGAGAGAGTTTGAGTCTGCTGTTACAGTGTCACAAACCGATGGCATCGCTAGTTCTGCACGTATTCTCGGGGCCCGGATGGTGATATCGTGACAGGTCTGGTGGCCCTGACCGAGATGAAATGCAATGGTGAGGCCAGTAAGCGTTCTGTTGATAATGATAAGCGGAGGACGAAAAATGGCGGCAGCACTGAGTTGTGCGGGTTGAGCCTTGGACTGGACGGTATACTGAGGAGAGCGACCTTGACGCCCGAGATGGCCGTTTTTCATCTAACAAACACCTGAAGAGAGAATGAATTATTTACTCATGGCATTACAACGGGTGTTTGGCGAAAGTTAATACATTGGACGACTTAGACGGCAAGGCCAAGTTCTGGGTCTCACCTCGGTCAAGCGAGGTGCGGCCAGGCGAGACCAAGTGAGACCTTGACGCAAACGTCTAAAACCTGGGGAGATTCACCCAAAATAGAAGGCGGTGTATATCAGTGGGAGCTCGATGACCGCAATTCTGCCGTCGCAATGAAGCTACAGCTGCAACGCTGCACCACCACCATTACTTGGGGAAGCTCAAGGCACAACTGATATAGTCACATCGACAGCACGCAATCATATAGAACCGCCGGCGCACACGAAACGATCCCATCGCCTCGAACGACAAACTCGAAATGCTACTGCGACACCACCACGGAGGCCCACCTTGACGAGCCCCCCCTCCTCCCAATCCTCCCCCGGCGCAACAAAGTACACTGATTACACCCCTCTTCGGCCAACGATGCCTCGCAATGCTAGCGCAACCCCCTCTTTGCGCAAGGGGCCCAACTGGTCCTCCCATCTCCGTCAATTCAGCCGGAGTAGTCTCGAGCCGCCATCAGCGACATCGTCCGTCGACTCGCCCCGATCTCCCGATACCGTCTCCAGCGCATCGACCATCCGCGGCGACAACTCGTCCAGCTCTGTCAAGCAGCGACGCCTCGAGCGGAGGTGCACAGTCACCGTCAACGAGGGATACTCGCGCGACGAAGTGCTCCTGAGCCCGGACCTGGTCAAAGGCGACGTCAGGCCAGGTAGCCTGGTGGCTATCACAGTAATCAAGACTGAGGGCGATAAGACAGCGACCAAGGACCATGCGGCTCGCAGCGGGAACGCTGCCGGCGGCAGTGGCATAGGAGCAGGCGCATCGCAGGGAGACAATGTGGCTGCGGAGGGCACGGCGCTGGGGAAGAAGTACTTCTTCGTCGCCAAGGAGATGTCCAAGGAGCTCAGGAGTCGCCTGCCGAACGTAGATATCTACGTCGTCAAGCATATTGCTGACGCCTTTGGGATGAAGAAGGGCACGTCGGTGCTCCTGACGCCCGTCGACGCAGATAGCCCCGCGACGGCAGCCTCGCATGTCGAGCTCACATTCAAGGACCAGTACCTCTCGCGGTCCGACATGTGGCGGCTTGCCATCGGCGAGCTGACGGAAAGGACGGTGTATAAAGGACAATCGATACTGTTTATGGGCACGATAAAGGCACAGGTCACGGCGGTGTTTGTGGACGGGCGCAAGACACATTCGGCGTTCTTTACAAGGAACACGAGGCCCATTTTCCGGAGCGAGTCGGCACGGTATGTGCTGTTTATACAGATGGCGCGGGAGATGTGGGACTTCGACTCGGAAGGGTCTGGCGAGATCCTCTTCAACAAAGTCGTCAACGGTTTCCTACCGGCGCTGTTCAAGAAGTGGGCGAAACTAAAGGCGAAGCACCTCGTGAGCATCGTGCTGTTTGCGAGAGTGGAGTATGACACGGGCTTGACGACGGAGCTGGCGAGCAGCACGCTGCACGGAGACTACTACACGGGCGCCCAGATCTCGGGCGAGCGCAGGCCGTACAAGGACTTTTACCGCGTCGTCGTGAGCGAGATGGCGAGCGGCGAGTGGACGACGATTCTTTACCAGCTGAAGCGCGAGTTCAACTTCTTCCGTAGGGACATCAGCCTGCACCACCAACAGGCCGGCAGCGCGTTCGTGCCGCTGGCCGAGGAGACGGGCGGCAAGGGGATCGCGTCCAACCGGGTCAAGGCCGAGTCGTCGCTGGCCATGTACGGCAACTTCCTGGAGGCGATCAACCTTGCGTCGTCGCAGTTTGCGCATGACTACGTCGACCGCGACCTCATGCGGACAGGCATCTCCATCGTCGTCATCAGTCCCGGGCCCGGCGTGTTCGAGGTCGAGTACGAGTCCCTCCGCCGAACGACAGAGGCCCTTGTGGGGAACGGCATCGGTATCGACCTCATCTGCGTGCCCAAGATGCCCCTCCACTCCGTTCCTCTGTTCCGATATCATAACCCGCAGACGTCGGAAGGCTCACATGGCCTCTCGAGGACGAGGTCCGTACGGAGCCGCGAGAGCACGCCGAAGCAGCAGGCCACGCCCGTCATCGGCAGCTACCAGTCGTTTTCGGAGTCGCTGTCTCCGACCAAGGGGCTGGAGCTCGCCCACCGCATCGACACCCTGGCGAATCCGCAGGACGAATGGTCGTACGCGCTGCCACAGTGGCTGCACGTCTCGTACTGGACCGGGACGTCGGAGGAGGCGCTGTCATATCAAGGCATCGCGCTCTCGGTGTCCGAGGGTAAGGAGGAGCAGGATAGCGACGACTTTGCGATCCGCGCGCGCATGTACGACCTGCAGATGCGGAGCGTCCTCGAGACCAACGAAATCGAGACGACGCCGCTACAAGCCGACCCGCTGTTCCCCATCACCACAACCGAGACCAAGAGCTCCACGCAGCGGTCGCGGTTGGGCGGGACGGACGAGATTGCCGCGATCCCTCTGAAGCGGCACCCGGACACGCTTGTCGACCATGTTTATGGGTTCCAGAGGTTCGTGCCCGACAGGCTCGTCAAGCCGGGCGAGAAGTCGCTATGGAAGCAGCTGCAGGAGTATGACGAGACGAGGGCGCGGTTGCCCAAGTCGCGGCGCCCCGCGCACGCTAGGGTATCGCGGGACCTGGAGGAGACGACGAGGCGGCAGCTGATGGAAGACACGGGACTGTTTGGCACATCGCTGCCCGAGAAGAAGATTGTGCCGAACCAGAGCCTCGCAGCCGTCGCTGCGGGTCGGAAGCTATCGGTCAATATCGCCGACAGCGAGAAGGCCGAAATCGTTGCCAGTGCACGGAAAGCTGCAAACCATCCCGCGACAACAACAGCAAGCTCCGCAGTAGGCTCGACGTCTTCCCCTGCATCGTCGTCGACGCCCGATTCCCAGAGTGTGACGTCCAAGATGTCGTCGGTGAACTCGCCGTCGAAACCGCCCAAGTTCATGCGGCAGATCAGCCTCGGCTTGAGGGGATTCGGCATCGCGGCGCCAAAGGTTGTGGCCGCCGAGGCTAGCTTTGAGACGGTCAAGGCCTCGACCGAGCAGAGCGTGGCGAGCCCCACGACGCCGTTGGTCATGTCGACGATGCCGCGGCCTTCATCGCCGCAGATCATCAAGCCGGCCATGTCCTCTTTCTCGCCCCAGCTGTTCCGGACGAACTCGAGGGACACGCTCAAGGACCTGCCCTCTACGCCGAGCATACCCATCAACATGAAGTCGTCGCGCAGGGGCGAGAGCTCGGTGAGCCAGCAGCATCGGTACGGCTCGGTCCTGCCGTCGTCGCTGGCGCGCAAAGACCACCTCCGCGAGGACCCCGACCAGAGAAACTCGCACGTCTTAAGGGCAGAGGACGACAACACCAAGATGTTCAACAGCAAGCTGCGTGCTGGGGCCATGCCTGAGTTGCCGTCTACGTTGTCGCCGACTACGGCGATCTCGCCCTGGCTTACGGTTCTCAACCCGTCCAATCCGGACCGGAACAAGCTCGATGACACTGTGCTTTACAGCCGGTGGCAGCATGTGTTCCCGAGAACCTCGGAGATGAAAGTTATGAAGTGGAAGGCGCTCTGCTGCCCGGCTGCCGTGCCGCTGACAACGGAGTACTTCCCCACGAAAGCACAGTTTGACATGGAATATCAGCGACAGCCCTACGTGATTGCGCAGAACGCCGACGACGAACTCAACGAAGAGCCAAAGTCAAGAGAGGAGTTCTTGCGCGAGCTGATCAGCCTGCGTTTTTCCCAGGGCTTCCAAGTCGTCATTGGTCCCTCCGTCGCGAAGGCCTTTGGCCAGAGGTTGCTACGAATCGCCGACATCTTCTCGCGCGACCAGGCGATGGAGGACGGCACGAGCATCTTCCTGTCGGTGGGCAACACGATACACCAGCTCTCGTGCGTCAACGGCACGGAGGTCGAGGTCAATATCTACATACGGAAGCCCGCCGAGTCGACTATTGGAAGCTCCAACTCGGGCCCGCTGTACCGCCCTGCCATCCGGACCCTGATGGACAGCGGGTACCAGACGCAGGAGGTCGACATATCCACGCCGAGGCCGGAGAGAAACTGGAACTATATTGATTCGTATCTCGCGGGACACCACGACGAGATGACGGAGAACCTGCGGTTCTGGCGCGCGCGGTTCGTGCTGATTCCGATGGTGTCCCGGTCGTCGGCGGTGCCTAGGAACCAGGCCGGCGACAACGCCGAGGAGGTTCGGTTGGAAGGCATCAGGAGGCTGTCACTGTCCTGGCAGAAGCACCGGTATATCCCACCGTTTGAGCGCAGATACCAGACCGCCAAGTCCAAGCGGGACCCCAACCCGTTGGACATTGTCTACAAGACGGAAGACCCGTCCGTCGTCATCGCGGCAGAGCTCGACAACTTGCCGCTGGTTGAGGGACTGGGAGAGAGCCGGAAGGGACAGCTCATTTCGAGCCGGGAGCACTTCCGCAAGTCGAACCTCAACCTTGCGGCGTTGGCTGAGGCGATACAGCAGCCCGTCGAGAACGGCGGCGTCAAGCTCCAGAACCGGAGATGGCATCTGCGACTACACTACAACTGTTTCATCGGGTCGGACATGACGACGTGGCTCATGGACAACTTTGAGGACCTGGACAGCCGCGAGGAAGCGGAGCAGCTGGGCAACATGCTCATGGTCAAGACGTACGACAGATTGGATGACAAGAAGGACCGCGGCGGGCTGTTCGAGCACGTGGAGAAACGACACGCATTCAGGGACGGGCAGTACTTTTACTCAATCGCCAGCGAGTACGCCAAGCCGCACCCGCCGAGCTGGTTCAACGCGCGGCGGCGCGACATGTCGGTGCCGTCGACGCCCATGTCGGAGAACATACCGCGCGACTCGCCCCGCCCGGGCATGATCTCGCGGCCGACGTCCATCAACGAGGAAAACTCACCCATCTCGGGGTCCACGACCCCGACGGCACACTCGGTCATGCTCAACAAGAAGATGCCCAAGGTGGTGCTCAGCAAGGTCATCAAGTACGACGTGGACCACCGCAAGCGGTCGTACCGGCCCGAGCGCGTGGACCTGCACTACGACCGGCTGCACAACCCGGACAACTGCTACCACATCCGCATCGACTGGATGAACGTTACGGCAAAGCTCATCGAGGACGTCGTGGAGGGCTGGGCGCGGGAGGCGGCGACGTACGGGCTGCGGCTCGTCGAGGTGCCCATCAAGGAGGCCTGCTCCATCACGGAGGTGAACCCCTTCCGGCGGCCGTACGTCATCAAGCTGTCGGTGCCGCCGCCGAGCCAGCAGCCGGTGACATACTACGAGCCCAACTCGTTCGCGCCGCAGACGGCGCCGGGCAAGCACTTTTACCAAAAGGCCATTATGCGGAAGCTCGACTTCGTCCTCGACATGGAGGCCGCGTCCAACTTTCCCCGAGACGTCGAGGTCAGCTACTCGTGGGGCCGGCCGGATTTCAAGTACTCGCAGTACATCCACCGGTCGGGCGTGCTGCTCGCCGAGATCACGGACGACGGGCACTTTCTAGTCCTCGCCAACAGGTTGTTTAGCAACCGTGCCTCGGCGGCGCGGGATAAGGAGCTCAAGGACATGCGGGAGGCGAACGGCGGCGGCGGCGGCCCGAGCAACACCGTCGTCGAGCGCGGCGGGCGCATCATACCTGTCGGGTCGTACACGCCCTTTGGCATCCCCGAGCCGACGCCGATGAGCAGCCCGATGGTGAAGCCCGTGTTCTACGCTGGCGGGAGTCCCGCAGTCCGGGCCTCGGACATGAAGTCTGGCGTCAACAGCTCGACTGGCATCGCAGGGTGTGGCGGCGGTGGCGGTGCGTCGGCGTTGGGCGCGGCGGCGGCGGACCCGATACCGATCCTGGAGCAGCTGGAGGCGTTTTGCAGCGACAAGGCCGGTCTGGAGGCGTTTTACAAGGAGACGCTGGAGAGGGGCCCGCCGCAGTCCATGACGACGCCGGGGGCGATGAGGCCGACGACGATGGGGTTGGAGGCGGTGCCGGAGGCGAGCATCCCGACGCTGGGGTTGCCTGCCGGGGTGCTGGGGGATCTGCACGCCTCGGGGCCGGGAGGAGGGCCATGGGGGCTGGAGACGCTGAGGGGAGGGCCTGGAGGAGGCGGAGGGCCGGAGGGTCTGAGGGGGTTAGGGGGCAGCCCGAGCCCCGGGCCGAGGAGTCTCATGAGCAGTCCGGCGGCGGGGATGCAGTTCCTCAGGAGGGCGAGTGTGCAGGACGGGCTGGGGCTGGGGGGCGGGGGGCCACGGAGGGAGGTTCGCGAGAGGGAGCGGGAGTGAGGCGGTGGGCATGTGTGGATACGTGTACTGTTCTACGTAGATGATTATGAAGCTCATGAACATATCCAACTCGCGATGCCGTGTAACACGTTTGTGTGAGGGCCGTCAGGTGTTAGGTAAGGGTGGAGGAGACTACGCTGGACAGGTGTGGCTTAGCAAACGGGGGAGGACTAGCGTGCTGCGCCACATCGAGCGTGCGCCTGGGATGTGGATGGCCCCGTTGAGGCGGTTGGTGGCGTCTTGTGACAGCATGTGGCCATGGTGATCGGGATGCGGGAGGATGCAAGCCCGTTTGGCGCACGGCGCGGCATTGGCTGGTTGCTTACCCGGGTGTTGGGAGGAGGACGATTCCATGCCGGTCTCGCATCTCAGCCACGCGATGCTTCGTTCTGGGGAAGGGAGGCGTGGCTTGCAGGGAGGGGCTGCTTCGAGCATCCCATCCCTACAGCGTTTGTCGGGAGCGAGCGATTAACTCAAAATCTCAAATATTATGGTGGTGGTGGTGGTGGTGGGCGCATAGGTAGTCACCCCCTTGATCTCTCTGGGTCTGGAATGGTACACACGATCCAATGAGGCAGGTCTTCCGCGCCTGAACGAGGCAAGAAAGTGTCTCTGTCTCTTTTCTTATTGAGGCAAGGCATGTACAATACCTACCTAGGTAGTGTGTTGCTGAGGGTTTAGGAATTCCGGAGGGCGCCCTGCTTTGCTCAAAGTCAATCGAATGGTGCCCCCTGTCCATCCAAGCCACGGAAGCCCGCGCCCTGGATTGGGCGCAGGAGAGGGTTTGGCGACATCAGGCCAAGTTTACGGACCGGCGGGAGGTAGGTGCTGTCAATGCATGAGGTGAATGATACCTGATTTGAAGCGGTGTTGCGATGTGAGCAGGTGCAAGAGGAAAAAAAAAGAAAAAAAAAGGATAAAAACAGGTGGGCGACCATTCGCGACGGGGGGGCATCGGTGTGGCTGGCCTCGGGGGAAAAAAGGTGGCTGATGTCATTGTGCGCACTCCGACCTGGTTCCAGCAGTTTTGCACCCTCCGTGTAGGGGTGGGTTGATGCACGGTGATGCGACTGAGCGCCACGCAGTGGGTGGCTGGCTGTAATAAGGACGAATATATGTGCGAGTGTCAATTTTCCCGCAATCATTTCGTTTTTTTCCACGTTGAGAATTATGCTCTACCCTGCTCCGTTCGGAGGAGTAGAAGAATAGGAGAAGAAGCAACAAAGGAAAGAGAGAAAAAGAAGAAGAAGAAAGGCCAAGACGATGGGATCGACTCTACCGCCTTGGCAGGGGATCTCGAAGTGCTTGGCCGTCGACTGAGAGCATGAGGCGAAGACGTCTCGGCTTGGCAGAAGCTTGTTTCCAACGACCTTTTTTTTTTTTTTTTTTTTGTCTTTTTTGGGCGATGGGTGCACGCTGCTGCGGCGGCGGCGCAGAATTCCAAGGCTTGTGGCGTCTCGGCTTGGCACGTCAGCGGGAAACGCTGACGACATTGAATTGACGGACCGTCTCAACGTCGTCCGCCCCTGGAAGGCATTGGCACCTCCTCGTTGGTGTTGTCCGTGTCGTGTGTTTTCCCTCACCGTCTCCAGCAAATGTGCTGCGGCAGGTGCAATTGGATAGGTCCCCGGACGCAGGGGCCTCTTTCTCTCTCTCCCTCTCTTTCATTCTAGTGAATGGAGAACAAATGCTACCCGGAAATGTACCAGTATGCATGGGAAAGAGGGAAAAAAGGGGAGACGCAATTGCCAATGGAATAAGGGACGACGGGTTGCCCCGCTTCCCGTGTGTGTTATTGTGGCGGAAGGATATTGGCGGACTGGCCAGGCCACACATCTAGCAGGGGGGGAGAGGAAACGAGACCGTCGTGACGGCGGGACATCTTGGATTGGGCATGGGCGCACAAGGTGCAAGTTAAGCGTTCGATTCAGGGAAATTAGCGTCCTGCACATCGATTTTGGGTCCCGGTTGGATGGATGGGAGGGGACACAGCAAACCTGCCGGGGCGACCAACGGGTAGTCACCAGCGGCCAGTGGCCAGTGGCCAGCGGAATCTGACGTATGTCTGCCACTTGAAACCATCCCAGGCCCGACGAGCGCGTGTGTCCCTTTCATCGTCACCCCCCCGGCGCCGCAATTACACTAGCGACCCCGTTTGCACTTCACTACCGTTCTGAGAGTCGTCCAAGGGCGATGGTCAAAGGGGGGGCAGGAACCAGGTAAAGCTCCCTCATTCCCTCCTTCCATCTCATTACAATCTTCCGTCTCTCTTCTTTTCTCCCTTTTCCTCCATCAACCTGGAACCTTTATTTCATCTTTCCCTCGTCGCCCTGCGCAGCCCAACCCAAGCCAACCCTTCCCGCCTTGCCTCAGCTGAGTAAGGTCGAGCAGGTTGATCGAGGAGCCGCCAGCATCAAAGCTAGCTAGCAACAAAGCTTGCCGACGACACGACTCGCATTCGTTCCTCTGCTCCCACTTTTTTTTTTGCTTGCACTGCCTCACCGAGCTGCATGTACGCTACTCCGTCGATACAGCCGCCGTTGCGAATCCAAACAAAACACTCGCCATCTAAACCAACACAGCCCAACCGCGCCCGGTATTCGTCGTCCCCCGTCGTCGTGTGTCCCCATAGCAGCGCCAACTGCTCCCTCGGCTTGCGCGTCAACTCGCCCTCCATTGGACTCTCGTCGCCGAGCACCTCCCCAACGCCGCTCCATCCAAGCCGTGCATCGGGGCCCCATCTCATCTCCGGCGCCCGACCCAACCCGGAAAATATCGCCAAGGAGGCCTCTCTTCCGCGCTGCCAACTGACTGCCGCCGCGCCACAACACCTCGGCCATAAGAGACAACAACAATAACACACCGACAGACTCGGTACTTTCTGCACAATACGCACATCAATAGACGATTCAAGAGTTACCGGACCAAAGGACAATACCAAGACCCCGACACCACACAGCTCGGTTCGCGTTTCGTCTCAACACCTGGGCGCTGATCTGAAGCGATCCGATCTTTGCCACAGAGCACAAGCACAAGCATCCCACCAACACACCACCACACCCTAGGCCGTCATCACTGCCGCCGGTTGCTAGCATGAACACCTGTGAGTACCACCTAGAGTGAAAGAAGGGGAAAAAAAAAAGCAGCACAGCATTTCATTACCCGCCCGCCCCCGTCTCCTCCCCCCTATCCCCGTCACCGTTGCATCGTCTCTCGGCAAGACACGCGCAGACAACGACCCTCAAAACACTCGCACGCATCTGTTTCCAATATCACCACTCTCTTATGCCCATTCCCACTCTTTGTTTTTCCGAACCCATTCTTCCTTTTTTCGACAGGTGGGAAACTGCCACTTAGACTACTACTCTAGTCTAGCCCACCTTCCCCAATCATCCATCTGTGCAATCGTCGAGTCAAGTGCGACGGCGAGCAATCTTCGTCCGGCCCTAGTCCCCTCCATCCCTACCCATATTATTCCCACCTGCACTCCACACACCCGGTTTCACGTCATTATCCCATCTCACTTAACGAACCATCCCCCTTCACCTTACCTTACCTCACCTCACCTTTTTTTCCCCTCGTGAATTCGAGCTCTCTCCCCCTCCCCACCATTTCTTCACAGCGCCTTCTCGCTGCGAACACTTACTGACCATGCCGAATCTCATCGGTTCAGTCAACCATTTCGACATTAAACGCAAAGCCCACGGCCTCAGCCGCCGGAGCCAGGAGCAGACATGGAACCCCTTTCGCCATGTGTCATGGGATAGCCACCCCAGCAAGCGATCCACTTGGGACGGCGCGAACCTCGAGGCCCAGCGCGAAGCTGCAGCGGAAGACGTAGAAACCGAAGACACAATACATCACGTCCAGAGCGAACCCGCCCCCAGGGATTCCGAGACCGTACGCAACAGCATGGGCAAAGAGACGAGGTCCGCTACAGGGAGCGGGAGCGGCGACACCGTGTTCGAGAACAAGCCCGAGGAAGGCGGTGTCCTGAGGAATCGCAAGACCGAAGCTGCGCAGGACGAGGAAGCACCCCCCGAGGAGGAGAGGGAAAAGCCCAAGAAGCAAAAGTCGGGCCTGATCAGACATGTGGAGCCGAAAACCCCCTTCACATTCGCCAACCAGCTTCAACGGACGCTACTTAGCTCGTACATCAACGTCTTGATATTGGCCGCCCCCGTCGGTATCGCCATCAGCTACGTCAGCTCCGTCAACAAGATCGCCGTCTTCGTCGTCAACTTCATCGCCATCATCCCCCTGGCAGCCATGCTGGGTTTTGCTACCGAGGAAATCGCCCTGAGAACCGGTGAGACATTGGGAGGTCTTCTCAACGCGACTTTCGGAAACGCCGTCGAACTCATCGTCGCCATTCTCGCCTTGGCCGAGGGCAAGGTCTTGATCGTGCAGACCTCGCTCATTGGCTCCATCCTCTCCAACCTGCTGCTCGTCATGGGCTTCTGCTTCTTCTTTGGCGGTCTCAACCGATCCGAGCAGTACTTCAACACGACCGTCGCCCAGACCGCCGCGTCTCTCCTCGCTCTCGCAGTCGCCTCCGTCATTGTCCCCACCGTCTTCGACAAGAACGACAACACCGACAACCCCGTTCACGTTGCCGCCCTCTCGCGCGGCACCGCCGTCATCCTCCTTATCATCTACGCTTCGTACCTTTTCTTCCAGCTCAAGACGCACAACTCCGTGTTCAACGAGGAGTCGCAAAAGGTTGCGGCCAAGCCCTGGAGCCGCGGTGGCCTAAAGGAGGGCGCGCTTGCCCGTGGCTTGGCAGGCACTGGAGCACGCATGGCACAGACTGGTGTCCGCGGCGAGGGTGAGGATGAGCGCCGGGAGCTGAGCCGTATCATGATGCAGCACCCTCACGAAGAGGAGGAGGACGAGGAGGAGGAGCCGCAACTGCACTTTTTCGTCGCCGTCGGTACCCTCACCCTTGCAACTGTTCTGATCGCTTTCTGCGCCGAGGCCATGGTCAGCTCCATTGACTACGTCACCAAGGAGGGCGGCATCAGCGAGGAGTTTGTCGGTCTCATTCTTTTGCCCATTGTCGGTAACGCCGCCGAGCACGCCACGGCTGTCACGGTTGCCATCAAGGACAAGATGGACCTTGCCATTGGTGTCGCCGTCGGCTCCAGTATGCAGGTCGCGCTCTTCCTCATCCCATTATTGGTCATTATTGGATGGGGCATGGGCAACGATGCCATGACGCTCAGCTTCGACCTGTTCCAGGTTGCCGTGCTGTTTGTCGCCGTCCTGTTGGTCAACTACCTCATTAGCGACGGCAAGAGTCATTGGCTCGAGGGGCTGCAGCTCATTTGCCTGTATGCCATCATTGCTACATGTTCATGGTGTAAGTTCTCCCTGTACCCGAGATGTCACATGAAACCTTTGCTAACAACATCCAACAGGGTACCCCGCTTCCGGCGTTGCTGGCTAAGACAGCCGCTCATGTCACGACTTTGATTTCTTCTTTTTTTTACATGTTCAATTTATTCCAAAATATTTGCCGAGCGTTTGTGCGATAATTTCCTATTCACATAATGTCTTGTCTTCTGAAGGAAGATTTCTTCCCTTTCTGTATATACAAAACAAACGTGCCGGGGCATCCGGATGTTGGGGAACTGTACATTGAACCCACGTTGTTGGGTAGTTGGTTGTGAGAGGATATCAAGCAGAGCTCACGAGGAGAGATGATGCGGACCAGAGAAGAGCTGCTTTTCTGCTCAGACATGCCACTGAGATCATCATGTCCTTGCTGGAATGAATACGAGAAAAACATTCAAACACTTGAACTAAAGTCCTTGCTATGGCGGCCTCGTGGTTGACATCCCCGACGTTTCGCTCGTGTGAGCCTTGGAGTGAGATAAGGGCTCAGAGACAGCAACAGCAGTTGGAGTTGCTCGTCACTATATGATTTGTGCAAGGGTCCGTCGGTCTTGAGCAGAGAGTGATGGTTTCAGGTAAAGGTCACTGGATGTCAGGCTTGAAGTTGCGCGCGCTTTGGAACCCTTGTATGTTACTTGTGGTCTAAGCTGAGGATCGTCGAGAAGAATTAACCTGGTTTCGCCTAGAGCCCGAGTTTCCGATAATCTCTCTACTTCATAGAGAAGATCAAGGCTCCAAACACAGGATGTCCTTCCTGGCTCACAGGATGGGGGGGTATCCGCCGCAGTGTCAAGGGACGCACTTGGGCCCCGTAAGCTCGCGCGATGAGGGGAACCGGCTATGAATCGACCGTCTTATGCTCGGTACCGTCAATCCTCGTCTGCAATTCTGACATTGGTCCAACTCGCCGTCATGACCTAGACCTCGCCCAACGCCTTGCCCTGAACATTCACAAGCCGGACCTTACCGCCGCCAGGCTTGCTCCCGGACACCACAACAGCCTCACCAACGACGCCCCCGTCGTCCCAGCTAAAGTCAACGACCCCGCCACCCCGGATCCTCAACCCCGTGACGGCCCCGCCGCCCCACTTCGCCGGGATCGCTGGCCCCAAGACCACGGTCCTGACCTCGCCTCGCGCCGCGTACGGCAGCGGCAGGTCCACGACCAGCATGCTCAGCACGGCGCCGCCTAGGCCAAAGTTTGCGTCGATCTGGAATGGCGGGCTCGTGGCCCAGTACATGCTGAGCCCGCTGGCGGCGGCCAGGTTGACGTCGATGGCGTACCGCAGCAGCTCGTACGCGCGGTCCGTGTCGTTGAGCCGCGCCCAGCACGCCGCGCGCCAGACCTTGGCCCACCCGGCGTCGGCGTCCTCGGCGGTGCCCATGCCCCGCGCGCGCAGCGTCGCCCGCACGGCGTCCTGGACCGTCGCGTCGGCGTACCCGCCGAGGAACGAGGCGACCGAGTAGCCCGGGTACCAGCCCGCCAGGTGGGAGAGGTGGCGGTGCGTAGACGGGCTGTCGAAGCCGTACGCGTCGGGCAGCTTCCACTCCTTCAGGCCACCCCAGGAGGCCAGGTGGACGCCCTTGTCGAGGCGCGCGAGGGAACCCGCGACGGCCGCGAGAAAGGCGGCGTCGTCTTCGGAGTCGGCGGCCACGGCGCCGGCGCCGAGGGCGGCCTCGAAGACCTGGTGGATCATCTGGTGGTAGTGCGTGCAGCCGTAGGTCGTCGGGCCCGTCTCTGGGCTGTTGCAGGGGTTCACGACGAGGGTGCCGTCGTGGGCGACGGCGTCGTCCTGCAGCTGGGATAGCCAGAAGGAGGCGACGCCCTTGATGAGGGGGTAGCCCTGGCGGGCGAGCCAGTCGACGTCTTGGGTGTATTCGAAGTTGTCCCAGACGTGCTGCATCATCCAGGCGGCCGCCGCCGGGTCTGGGGTTTGGGTCAGTACGGGATGGGTTGTCGGGGTGTGGAAAGGGGGGGGTGGGGGGATGAAGAAGACGTACAGTTCGCCCAGCTCGCGCCCTCCTTCATCGCCGTGTGCCCAAAGACGTTCATCTCGTTGTGGACGACCCACCCGCTGGCGTTGTAGAGCAGCTGCGCCGTCTCGGTGCCCCGCGGCACCCACGTGTCCTCCATGTAGTCCCACAGCGCGTGCTGCGTCTCGCCCAGCCCGGTCTGGTCGGCTGCCCAGTAGTTCATCTGCAGGTTGATGTTGGCGTGGTAGTCGGCGCTCCACGCCGGCCACAGCTGCTCGGTCCAGCGGCCCTGGAGGTTGGCGGGGAGCGAGCCGGTGCGCGACGAGGCGATGAGCAGGTGCCGCGAGTAGTCGAACAGCAGCGCCTCGAGGAACGGGTCGCCACCGTCCGTGTAGACGTACTCGGAGAGGAGGTGAGCGGTCTCCTTCTCCGCCGAGGCCAGGGGGTCCGGCAGGCTGACCTGGAAAGCGTCCTGGAGGGATTGGTAGTCTGCAACGTGGGCCGCGAGGATCTCAGCAAAGGGTTTCGCGGCGGCCGCGGAGGCGAGCGCCTCGACGACGGGGCCGGGGTCTCGGCCCTTGAAGGAGTAGCCGCTCTCCGGGTTGCCTTTTTTCTGGTCGTAGTTTGTCTCGCCGCTGACGACGATCGTGAGCGTCTTTTGGTCCCTCGCGGGGTGGACCCGCAACGCGCCGGCGCAGGTGCAGTCCGTCGCCGCGGCGCCCTTATCGATTTTGGCGATGGAGTCGAATTTCATGCCCTCGGGCGGGCCAAGCTGCGTGACGCCAGTGAAGCGGACGTGGTCCTCGGCGCAGCGGATGTCGAAGGTGTCGTTTGTGATCAGCTGGTTCTCGTAGCCGAGCGTGAGGGCAGGGAGGGTCGCGTCCGAGGCGACGTGGTACACGCAGACCTGGTCCGGGTACGAGCAGAGTTGGGTGACTTCGTAGGCTGCCCCGTTTGCGGTGAAGCTCGTCGTGTGGACGCCTGTTGTGAGGTCAAGCGTGCGCTTGTACGAGGTGTAGTTGGCCACGCCGTTGATGGAGACTGTCAGGTTGGCCAGGACGCGGTTCCCGCCGTAGTATTGCCCCGAGCCGAGGAGGGAAGATACGTCTGTTGAGAGTTTAGATGTGTTCGTGCGACTCGTGATTCGAGAATGCCTTACCTCCAGTGCCGTTCTCAAAGATGGTCGACCGGATCCCGGGCAGGGCCTGGTATTTGGCCTCTGTAGGGTTGCCTCCCGAGTAGTTCTGAAAAGCTCGGCTTCAGCTTGAGGTCATCTCTTTGGTTAAAAGAACTAGAACCCACTGAAGCTTCGAAGGGGCCGCCAGCCCAGAGAGAGTCAATGTTCAGATTGACCTTTTCCGCATGAGGCGGGCCGAACGGAATGGCTGGCAGTGGTGAGTACAAGCACTGGGTAGTCCGGCGTCTTGAGACTCACCCCCGAGTTTACCATTGCCGATGGGATAGCCGGCCTTGAGCAAATACGTGTTTGCGCTCGTGTCTCCATACGTCGCAGGAACCGACGACCAGAATGACCGAGCCTCGCTTAGAGCGAAGCCGGTACAGGATACCAACGCCCAGTTCGAAACGGCTTTCATCATGAGTAGGATACTGCGTCAGTCGCAGCTAAACCCATCCTCAACGTCTAGGGGCTGAACGACTATTTAAAATAACCAGGTCGACAAGCCCCGCCTTACCAACCAGGGCAGAGATTCGATGACATCTCTGTACATCTGCATAGCGGATATATGAGTGACGCCCGTCAGTCTCGGCACGGTGAAGCTGCGGTCATTATATGTACGTTGAGCGGGGGATGCTCGTAGGCGATGGGCAAAGGCTGCTTGGTGCGCATAGGGGTCAATTTTCCTCCAATTGAGAGGACCTTTATCATGCTAGAACGCGGCCTCGACGGGCTACTCCGCTCTTGATCCTCTTGTATTTCTCGACCTGCTTGGCACGTCTATTAGACTTTAGGTGTGGTATCTGACGTCGGTTGGCAACCTATTTAGGCCTTTCTGGCTCGTTTACTAGTGCTGCTACTGCGGGGTCGAACGTGAGTCTTGGCGGAAGATAGGTCATCAACGGACGTGGGCCCAATGGAGGAATGCACCTTTTCTTGCGTGTTGGGCAATGATTTCCGTACGTTTATAATATTGTAGGCTTACTCAGAGGCTCTCCAGAAGTAATGATAAGATTCCTTTCCACTCGAATTATTCCAACTGCTTAGGAAAGTTATCTATCTTTCCGCCAGAGACAAGAGAGTGTCGAGTTGAGAACCAAGATCGGCAGGTTCTGACCACCACCAACCAAAAGAAGTTCATGAACGTTGGAGCAGATCACAAACAAGAGAAATCAGCGTCTTGAAAGCAATCTCTTGGGAAGATCCTATCAGCAACATTCCAATCGTTCACGGGGCTACCAACAAGTGGAACTCGATCAACTCGTGCCCTACACATGCGGGTATAATTTGATCCTTTCCAATAATATTAATCAACCCGAATAGAATACTGGCCAAAGCAAACTTGGTCATGACTATCCATGTTAGAGCCCCTGCCCCCATGACCTAATGCATACGAAATCACATTATTAAACTAGCTTTACGCATCGGCAATGCTTGATTATGAATCTTGACATTGATACCCTAGTGGAGGCGGAGGTCGTGCTTGCTGGCGGATAGATCGCCACGGCGTCTCAGACGGGACTGTCGGTTTCTTTTGGGCATTAGTGGGCGCTGGCGGGAGCTTCGGTATCGTAACAAAGCTCACCTCTGAGGCTTCTCCCATAAGAGTTTGGTCCGGGTCTCCTATATCTTCGATAGGGAGCTTGTCGGACCTTATTGCGTGTATCAACGAGTTCCGGACAAGATGACAGGAGATAGTTCCTATTCGTGGGGTTCACGTACGATCTGCCCCCTGATCTTAGGCACTCGGTCGTTGCTCGGCCATTCCATAACGTAACGGGTAAAGAGGTCGCCAGTGGTATGTTCACATGACTCACTAAAAGGGTCCTACGATAATTATAGCGAGTGAGGTAGACTATCCGGTGGTGAACACACTTGTTGAAAAGCACTTTGGTCCTGGCGGGACATGGTTGACAGGAGGCATAAACATCGCCTCGCCTTTCGAGCTGTCCAAGTGGGAAAAGCTAGGCAACGAAGTATTAGGTCGGTTTGACAAGAGAATGGCATAGTGAAACGCGCTATGCGGGCCAAACACCTCGCTGTGGAATCATGGAAAAAGGATAAGGTGGCAAGTGTTCGGTTTGGAGGAAACCGTGGAGCGTATTTCGCTGCCTGTTTCTGACATGCTGGACGGGCCTGGCCAAGGGGATGATGGGAACCAGGAGCAACTAACTCGAGCAGAAAAGCAAGGGAAGGAACCACACAGGCAGGGGCCGCAGCGTGAGGCAGTCCAACAACTATGTATGAAGTGAGGGAGATGTAAAGAGGCAGCACAATCCGAGGAGGCTGTTGGAGGTGGACGGTAAGTTTGATCCGGAGGTTGGTATTCGAGGAGTCCTTGGAAGATTGTGGCATCGTATAGGAAAACTGTTTATCAAATCCATCGTATCCTCTAGCTTGAAGTACGTACAAAACTCTACCATATATCCAACATGAGTAGACGGAGGGCTTTTAACGCGATGGCAGTATGGTGTTGATTTCCCCACGAAGACGAAGCAAAGAGCACTCTCATTTCTACAAACTACTAATTTGCAAACACAAGTATGCTTACTCGCGATGCCACCCCTGCACAATCGAGGCTTTGACTTGTATTGCTTTGAAGTAGCTTGTAGTGTACAACAGCTGTGCAAATATGCTCTACAATAAAGATAACGACGAGGAAACATGCCATCAAGTCCACGTTTTTCTGAAAGTAAGCAGAAGCCAAGATCATACCGGCATATCTTGTTTGTGTTTTCTCTTAGGTCTTAGCTGATGTGATGGTTAGTTGAGGCAAACGTACAGTGCCCAGCGTCTTCAGCGGTCTTGACTCTGTAGTGTTCAAGCATTGGTGCAACTCAAAAGAGACGTACGCATGTTATCTTGCAATACCTCACTGCAAGCAAATAGCGAAATCAACGGTATACCATGAAACTACTTCAAGGAAGATTGACCAGACCCGTGTGATACCTCGCCCGATTCTGAGGTGTCAAGGGACATCGTCACTAACACCGGCCGCGCTTTCCCTTCTCATCAGCTCGCTCCTGCTTCCTGTGACAGAATCATCACACCTCTTCTCACCGCTCAGTCACGTGTAGGTCTTTCTAAGGTCATATCAGTCTTCGCTCTTCTAATATTTAACCTAGTCCATTCCGCGAGAACTCATCTTTCTTCCTCACCTCTATGAAGCACAGTTCTATCCATACTTTGGGCCTTTCAAGCTTTGTCTTCTTTCATCTATATCACTTCACTTAGTCAAAAACAGCAGAACCGCAACCATGAAGGTAATCAGCACCACTGCCGTTCTCTCGCTGATCGCCACCATGGCTTCGGCCCACGACTGCCCTCTTGAGTCCGAGTGCGTCCAGAAGTCGTGCAAGAACTTCCAGCTCACAGAGGGGCCGAACAAGCCTTACATCGTTTGGAATACGGACGGCGTTGCCAAGAGATGGATACTCTCTGCCGAGTGTAAGGACAACGCCGGTAAGAAGACCCTTACCGACCTCAACTTGGGACTTTGCCTTGGCAACCTCGACGGCAACCTCACCTGGCTCAAGTCGTAAGTTCCCTGCTCCATTCGCACCTTCAAAATTCACTATCTACATTTCTCTGTGAGAAAAGCTGCTGATACTTGGCGCTTCAACAGCGGCGACTTTGACTGCAAGAGCTGCAAGCTCAAGAACACCGATCCCTTGCTCATGGAGTGCTTGTGCTACTCCAAGAAGAAGAAGCCCCTTGTCAGAGAGATCAGTCTCTGTGAGTGAACCCTAGTTTCGATCTATTCAGATTGTTCCAAAGAACTTCTGCTGACCTTTACTGTCTCTCCCTAGCCGAGGGCATCTGGGTCTATGATGGTGCCATCGGATGCTACCAGGCCAATTGGTGCAAGACCCCCGGCATTGGCAGCTACTAAGCCTAGGATGTACCGATTCATCCGCTCAAGCGCGTTATGAGGGATGAAAAAAATCGGATGGAAGCATCGTATCATGAAGGAACCGTATTAAGGAGTGAATTGTGAACAGAATGCAAATACAGTTCATCAGCCGGGCTAGATAGGCATGCATGATAGATTCGGCCATCCAAGAATCAAAGCTTACTGCGGAAGACATAAGCATCACAAAATGCATTCCGACATGCACATCTGCAACAGAGAACAAGCTCTCTCTCTGTTGGGCCGCTGAAGGCGTCCAGCAGGTGGGTGTGATAAGCTTAAAATCAGTAAGCATAGTGTCCTGTCGCACAACGAACAGCACAAGTTACCCATCACAGCTTCCAGTCAAAGGCTTCACATGTAGGCCGGAATCTCCAGGAAATTCAAGCAGATCAAAGTGTGTTTGTGATAGTTATACTACCCACCCTCCTCATATGCTTCCAAATCCTTCAGCATCATCTTCAAATCTACGTAATCACCAATCATACCACAAACTTGCCACCACATCCACCACACATCTCCTCCGAGGCCTCTACCTTGGCATCAGGGCCCAGGTGCTCCTGCGCGATCTTGACAACCTCCTTCGCAACAAGGCAACGGAGACCGCAGACAGCACAAGCCCGCGAGATGCCAGGTGCGAGAATGGCGAGACCGGTCGCTGCACAAGTGGCTGTTCGAAGTCAGTAAGTCAGTCGTCAAACAAGAAGACAACACAGAAGACACAAGCAGCAAAGAAAACAAAAACAAAGTACTTACCAAAGATGTGCCCCTTTTCACAAACCGACTCTTTCCCCTCATCCTTCAAAGAAGTCTGGCAAAAGACGCACCGCTGCTGCTTCTTGACCTCCTCAAACCTCTTCCTCAACGAGACGTCTCTGGCCCTCGCCCCCTCCCCGAACCCAAGCGTGCCAGGAACGGCGGGGCCGCCGGCGTACATCCAATCCCACATCTTGGCCTCGGTGCTCTGTTTCGCCCAAAACCCCTCGTTCTTCTCTCCGCCGGCAATTTCATCCACATCAACCTCCATTTCATCGCCCGACGGAGGCAGCGCCGCCACGGCGCTGGAACGCCCACCAAACATGACTTTCGTCTTGACAGACTTCTCCGGTTTCTGCGTGCTGTGCTGCGAGACGAGCACGGCACTCATGCCACCCGCCGGCGACATGGTCATGCCCCACATACGTACCCGGTGCGGGTGAATCTGCTCGCCGGCGTCCTCGGGGAGATCAAAGTCGTCATCGTCCGAGTCGGAGTCCTCGCCAGAAGCGACGGACTCGGCATCACCCCCCGCTGCGCCCACGCCGCGGCTGAGCATGGCGACGGGGACGGAGAGCTTGACGGTCGAAGAGATTGTCTCGGCCCATTTGGGGAGGGTCCCAGTGGCGGAGGAAGAAGAGGGATCGCCGACGCTTTGTTGGAACCAGTTGTCGTTTGTTGCTGTGGCGGAGAGGCGGACGAGGGAGTAAGTGGGCGCCTTGCTCTGTTTCGATAAGTCGGGAGGATGGATCATGAGGCCTAGCAGAGCACTATTTAACGCCGGAAGACTGTGGGAATAATCGGAGGGATGCTTACTCATGATAGGGTTCGTTGCATCGGGCAAGGTTGTGTCTTCAGGAAACGTTGTGTTACAAACGCTCGTGGCATGAAGCTCCTTGGCGGTACCTTCCGACCCGTTGAGTGCGACCTGGAAGGGTAGAGCCTTGAACGGAGAGGCGATAACGCCGCGGCAGACCTTCGCTCCGTCGCGATCCCAGATGGCTTCCTCCCATTCAACGAAGGCGTCGGCCAGGAGGTTCGTGCAGATGCCGGTGAGGTCTGCTTCCTCCACTGCGAAGTCGAGGCCCGCGCCTCGTGCCCACTTACTGGGTATCGTAATCCTGCGGAAGCCAACGTAGTTTCTGGCACAGTACGCCAGAACGGCGGTCCTTGAGCCATCGGAGCGAAGCCAGGGGCTCCATTTCAGGGAGAATGCTGAGGTGTAGGGGATGTAATCGGGGTCCATGATCTAGGTGCCGTTAGCTACTTCCAAATCTCGCGAAGTTCGCAAGCACCACTCACATTGATACTCGGGTGCGGCCCTCTCGCGTCAAACCTCGCGAGCTCCTCGACCTCCCAGATATGTGATCTAGCATCCGACTCATCGTCGAGCTCGTTCGGGAGGTAGTACTGCACACTTAGCACGACAACCTCCTCCTGATCCGTCGCGTACGCCATCAGAGCCTGGCCGGGACCCAGATACTTGGCCCACGAGAACGACCGCACCTTGTCCTTTGGCAGATACGCCCCGTCCTCGCTGCCGGCATCCGGAAGCGGCAGGTTCGCCCCGACGCCCCAAAGAATCCTCCAGTCCCTGAAATTTCTCATCCGCGCCCCGAGGTCCACCATACCACCGCCGCCCTCACCAAAGACGAGCAACGCGCCGCTCGTCAGCATCACCGCCAGAACAGCGCGCAGGTTTCGCCCCAGTCCCGCGGGCGACCACTCGATCGCGACAACCTGGTTCAGAGAGGCTCCGTAGCCCGTGACGGTGCCTGAGCCGACGCCTTCGAAGGCCGAGGACAAGTCCTCCGCGACACCGCCAGCTGATGTGGCATAGTCGTCATCGTACGTGGGCGGAGCAAGGTCCTGCGCGGTGAAGAGCGCGGCGTTCATGCGCGGGTCAGGTTTTCGGGATGTTGGAATGCGGAGGATGTAGGTGTAGAACTGCTGACGGGACGTCTTGCTGCCGTCTTGAGCGTCAGCGACGGCCGCTGCAGCCGCTAGGCCCGCGGGGTCCTTCTCTGCTGCTTCCTGGGCGGCATGGTCCTTGGGAGCGGATGGCTTGTTGGCTGTGGTCGTTGACGTCGGCTCCTCTGGCGTTGGGAACTCGGGGAGGAAGACGTGGATCGAGTCGTCGGCGGCAACGGCGAGCTCGGCGTCGCAGGAGAAAGTGAGCGCGTGGCTCGTCAGAGGTCGAGATTTGAGGGTGAGTGTCTTGAGGGGTGGAATCTGCAAACCCGCAATGTGTGTCAGCGGTTCATCATAGGCCAAGAAGTTTGGGTCGAGAGCTTTTGCGAGGGTCTCGAAGTAGTCCATGACTTTCAGCTTGAATCGTCTGAAGATATGCTTCAAAGAATAATTATCCTGTGCAAAGCTTTCGCAATGGGAGCTTCAAAGTTGACGACGAGTCTCATCCACGACATGCTCAGCAGATGAGGTGAGTCTCATGGAAAAACACATGAGCGCATGATGGGGTCAAAGGGAGATATAGTAAGGTGTATGGACGAATTTTCCGATTCAGATGTTGTGATATGAGGCGAAAACTCATTCATCTGTCACTTACAAGAGGTTACAGGCAGGTGGAGGATACGAACATAAATGCGCATGGAAGGTTGAAAGCCAAGAGGCCGACAGGGAAGGAGCACCGCAGGCAAGACACATTGAGAGGGCTACTACACTGACCTTTGATTTATCCATTTTCACAGACTGTAGGATGCTTACGGACCTCCATGAAGGATACCGTGGAGGCGTTGTGCGGTGGTCAAACGCATTGGATTGACACAAGAGACAAGATTTTCGAGTGAAATCCTCGGTGAAAAGTTCGGTGAGCGAAAGGTGAGAGACCCAGAGAAACCTGACTGGAAATACTCCGGGTAAACGTCAACATCGCATCCTCAGAGTAAGGTGTTTACAGCATCACGGCAAATCCGCCACCATGTTTCGATTCAAATGTTTGTTCATAAAAACGGACACTGATATTTTCTAGATTAAATGCAGACTACTCAGACCTCAACGTCGCTAATAGACGAGGTGCATACCATGTCATCAATGTAGGTACTCCCTTCCCTGTCCCACCAAACGCCATGCTGAATGCAACATCATACAAGTCAAACGAAGACACAAAAGGTACAAGAAAGGCAAAAAGACGATTATGCCTTCACTGTGGCATGGCCGTTTTGACCGACTGGCGTCTTAGTCTCGTCTTCCGCCTTCTTCGTAGTCTCAAGGTACGACCCCAAGACCCACAGAAGGGCGCATCCAGCCAAAGCGGTGGCGCCAACAATCTTCTTCTCCCACCAGTTGTCGTTCGTCAAAGGCTTGGCCATCTTTACCCTCTTGGCCTGCGCCTTCGCATTCGGCTTCTGAACTTTAGCCACGTCCGTCAACGACGCATTCTTCGCTGCGGCGTCGGCCTCCTCGGCCCGTCGCTTCAACGCGGCAATCTTCTGGCTCAGCTCCAACAGCTCCTCGTCGAGGACCATGCTCTTGGCCCCATCAACCTCGACATTCTGCACGTTGCCGAAGAAGTCGGTAATGCGACGGCTGCGGGCGGCGTCGGCGCCACCTGGAAACAGGTCGTAGCGCACGCCCGCGTTGGAGTGGATCTTCTCGTAGGTGTAACTGTCGAAGAGCTCGCCAACCGTCTTCTTGGAGCTCAGATCCTGGACTTGCGACTCTAGGAACTCGAGGTTGTAGTACGTGTACCGGTCGATGACGGCCACGCCGACATCGTTGTCAGCGTGGTGTGAGTATGATGACTGGTCGAGCTCCGAGGAGCCGGTGGCGATAATGTTGGGGGAGTAGAGCTTGCTGTACATCGTGTTCGCTTGGCAAGTATCGATCATGAAGAGGATTTCGTGGTATCTAACCAGTCAGCATTCGTCGCAACAACACAGGGGTCCTCTTTGCCTACCTCTTCTTCTCCCACATCTGCTCGAACGCATCAGCAAGATCAAACGCGCCAATCTCCTCGGCGTCCTGGAACTTTAGGAATTTGTTTCCGCCGTGGCCCGTCATGTATACGAGAATGTTGCTTCGATCGTCGGTCAAAAGGCGCTTGCTGCGAGGCATCTCGTCGCCAACACGGTCGGTCAAGAGTCGGATAAAATTTTCGACGGTGACTTCGTAGCCGCGGTAGTCCACCTCGATGTTGTCGCCGTACAGATCGACGGCGCGGTCCGAGTTACTGTAAACGGTTCCGGGGAAGGCGTTGCGCGGGTTGCAGGCCATGTCGTCGGGCAACATCAGGATGATCTGCGAGTCGGGGATGCCGAGGCGCTTGACAGTACGGTAGATGGAGAGCACGTTGGCTAGGTGGCGGTAGTTGAACCAGAACCGCGATGTGCATACTAGGACGGCCCAGTTGCTCGTGTGTTCGGCCAGCACCGCCGGGGCGAGCGTCGCTGCGGCCAGGATAACCGGCAATTGTAGGAGGCGTGAGAGCTTCATGATGGCGTGGGGTTGCGATTCGAAAGTTACGAAAAGAAAAGGAAGATTACAAGGTTGTACAGAGTATGGCAAGGGAGACGATGGGATCGCGTCGAACTAAAGAATGTTGATGAAAGTTCGGCTTGGTCAGGGGGAGCGCCCCGGAGCTTCATCCTGACAAACGTTAGTCAGCCCGTCGCCCACGGCGCGCACAGGCCATTTTGCCCCTCCGACGTATGTACTGTAAGTTCAGTTTTGCTGGTTCCTGTTCATCAACCAGGACATGTGTTTTACCTTTCCGTCCAGCGCAACTCAAACTTTGGTAGACTTGAAATTGAGGTTGAAAATCTTCTCTATAGGATTCAACCCGAACAGTTAAATGTCACTGTATGCCCGCATTTATGATGATGACCGACATTGAGAAATGGCAAGGTACCTCAAGGTACTTGATCATCGGATAGTGACTCCACTCGTGTCTAAATATTAAAGTACATTGTACTTGAGACCCTTACATCCTCGTTTCCTCCCCATCGTTTCCAGGTCGTTTGGACCATTGTGCTCGTCTTGTGCGGTTCATGACAATTTTTGGCTGGGAATTTGAGACCATTTCCGAAGTGGCCGTTTATCGATGCCTATTTCTTCGCCAGAACCCACAGGAACTTGGCATCCTTCTCGTCGTTGATCTCGTCTCTTATAATGACTTCCAAGCCAGCCTCCTTGAGCTGGTTCAGAGTACCCTCGGTCCCCCAGCCGCTCCAGTACATCCAACCCTTGTCATGGAGCCATTTGTCGTTGACCAGACCAGGCAAATCCTCGGCGGCAAAGTTGACAAGTAACAGGCCACCGGGCTTCAGCCACTTTGTGACGCGACGAATCATCTCAGTCTGCTCGTCACGGGGCAGGTGGATGATACTGTACATGCCGATAATGGCGTCGAAGGAGCCCTCGGAGAATTCGAGACCCATCATGTCCCCCTCGACGAAGGTGACGCGGTCGGTGCCGTGCTTGGCGAGGTTTTCCCTGGCCAGCTTGATCTGGGTGCTCGACAGATCATTGGCGGTGACGAAGACGTCCGGCACCGCCAGAAGCCTCTCGGTGACAGGGAGGCCGCAGCCGCAGCCTAGCTCGAGGATGAGCGACATCTGGCCGGACAGCGGCTTCGCGGTAAGGAGTCTCTCCATGAGCTTCTCAAGATACTCGATACGAAACCCCGACTGCTGGATGGTCCAGTCATTGTAGGCTGGGGCGATAGCGTCGTATGAGTCTTTGACACGCGACTTGAGGTCCTCTGAGGCGACTGGGGCCTGGTTGTCCTCTGGGGCTGTCGCCATTCTGTGCTTGTGCGCTTGTTCTTAGATTAAATACCCAAGATGTGTCTAGATTGGTGTGGTTTCCCTAGTGTAAATTAAAGATGCGCAGTGTTTTCTTTATAGCTTGATAATACAAGGAGAAAGGAAAATCAAACCAAAAGGAAGGCACTGATATTCACGATGTCAATACGTGAAGGGCGACGCCGAATGACTCTGAATGTGATAGTACTGGATGCTGAGTGTGGGGTTGTGGAGAGGGAGGGGTTTGGGTGCATCCCTCCACGTTATCCGCAGCCAGCGGGAGGGGGATGTGGCTTTGACCGAACTACTCCCGCTTGGGACTGGACCATCTCGATGAGCTATGTGGCTGGTGAATTGTATGCCTTACTCAATACTGAATGGGACGCAGGTAAGGGTCCACGGATGGAGGAGCCGAGATGGGACGGGGGCCCTGAACTCAACCTGGACGAGCCCGGAGGGTCAAAGTCCGAGGGTGAGTGAGTCCCCGCCGTCTCTGCCGCCGCGCAGGTCGCTGATCCTGATCGACCTGCTGACTTGCGTCAACATCATGCGATTCCTGCCACATATTTTGTTTGGTCTGGCGGACGCCGAAAAGGTTTGGTTGCATCTGACAATGCGCTCATCATTATAATCAACGTTCAATGAATGACTCGACTGGACAGAAGCAGTTGGAGGCGGATCGAATGGAATGCTTGGAGTTTGGGATGAGCCCTGAAAGCCGAGCCGAAGCGTCGAGGAGAGAGAGAGAGAGAGAGTCTCGGGCCGTTGAAGTCTGATTACTTAAGCTTATCTCGCAAAGACCTCAGCACCTGGCATTTTCGGTCATTGTATCGTCCGATTTTTTTCTTTACTCCCCACGTGCCGGCATGAGGTTTGGCGCTAAAAACCGAGAGCGGGACAATCACATGCACAAAAAGTGAGAAACGAGCCTTCTCTTTGCAACCTGCACTGCTGCACCTCCATACGACCACCAGCAGCTACCTAACATGGCGCGAGGGGAGCAACGTCAACGGCAGGCAGCGGCAGACGCAGAGCGGGACCCAGTCAATGAAAGCCAACTACGACCCCTACCTATCTGCCTTCGACTGGGGGAAAATGAAGACTCATCTCCAACGGCTGACGCGCCTGGCGTAGCAACAAGCGACAGCTAGCTGCAGCGCTCCAGCAGCAACTGTACAGTGACATTTACGACTTTCAGTACCTACCCCTCGATGGATCATCATTCCCCCTCCCTCATGTGTTCTAAGCCTATCACTCGCCGAAGCCTCTGTAACCCCCCCTTCGTTGACACATTCGGCAACACCACCACCATTGGCCCACCGCCCAAACCCATGCTTTCTTCTGGCCTGGATGAAAGGGTCTCTGTCGTCGGGGGACTCGTCCAAACAACACATCAAACCAAATCAAACTTGTCATGTCTGGCACGCCCCTGTCCTTGCATCATCATATGTGATCGTTTTGTAGCAAACAAAAATAAACATGCCTGCCCCGCTCCGCTGCTGCGCGCTGCACCCGGAGAAAGTAGTCCATCCCACAAGACACATCAGCAGAGCACAACTGCGACAGCGCTTGGTACCGTGTGCTTTCCTTTGTTTGTTCTGCGACCTGCAACCCGCGAAATGCGAACTGCGAACTGCGAACTGCGGCCCACGACTGGACCAAACAAGCCTAGGTAGACAAGACTCTTTCTCTGCTCTGGCCTGCAGGGTCCGATCGCAATTTACAGATAACATCCTCGAGCTATCCGCACACTGCAGTCAGTCTCCAACCGAGATGCTCTAATTCCCCACGACATCTCGCACTCCACCGGCCGCTGACCGACCCTGAATCGAATCTGGGTCCAACGGTCTCCATCCAGTTCCAATCTCTTAGCGCTTGCGAAGTCGGTGTCAAGTGGCCGGAGAGGGGCACCAGACACCGGATGACTGACGCAAAACTCGTGGCAGAATTTCTGGAATCCCGCTCACTCCGTCGCTTACCTTTTGTTGCCTTTGCCTTTACCTCTGCCTCTATCTGGGCGCACTTCTTGATTACTCAAACCTTTTCACAATCGTTCCGACCCCATTCCTGAAAATTCTGGCGTACAAGAACCTGAGCGTACCTTACGCGGCGTCCACCGAATCATTAAACCTGCAGGCGCCTCACGGACGGCCCTGGCCCTTCCTCGCCCCTTCGCGCTCTCGTGGTCCTCCGCCGCCGCCGGGCCAAAGCTTATTTTGCCAGTCCAAGCCATCCGATCCTCTGGGTCTGCTGGTGTCTGCTAGCCGCATCTCCGACCGTCATTTTTTTCACCCTCCGTCCGTTTTCTTTCGATACTAGACGTGTCACGTACGCCATTGGTCTTCCACCGAATACCTCCAATCCTGTCTCTGTACACACTCTGAGTGGGCATCTGCATCCTCACCCGCGTTGCCGACAACATGGGGCGCCCGCCCGCGTACATTTTTGTGGTCAGGTAAGCCGGCTTTTCACCTCGCCTGTTCAGTGTCATGGGAGGCTGACAAAACTACAGGCATGGTGCTCGTCTGGACGCCGCCGACAAAAAGTGGCATCTCACTTCTCCAACTCCCTACGACCCTCCTCTGACCTACGGCGGCTGGCAACAAGCAAAGGCCCTCGGAATCCGCATCGCGAACATCCTCCGACAGGCTGAAGCAGATGGGATCGCAGACCCAAAGCTCTCCAACGACCGCAACGGGTCCGCCGACTCCCAGAGAAAACGACGCAAGTTCAAGGTCGTCCTCCACAGCTCTCCGTTCCTGCGATGTGTCCAGACATCTGTCGCCATCAGCGCTGGCCTGGCCCAGGCGCCTCCCGCCGGTACTCCCTCATACCCGATGCCCTCGCCCAGCGCAAACCCTTCCGCCTCCCCCTTCATTCTCCCGACTTCCGTATCCGATGAAGTCTACCCGTCGCCCGCCGATGCGAATGACAACAAATCTGGGTCTTCCAAGAAGAAAGTCAAGAAGGCCATCCTCCGGCTGGATGCGTTCCTTGGCGAGTGGCTGTCCCCGGAATACTTTGAGATGATTACACCGCCGCCTGGCTCCGCCATGATGCTGGCTGGTGCAAAGGCAGATCTTCTGCGGCGGGAGAATATCAACGCTCATGAACAGGCTGTTGAGCATTCCCATCACCATGCCCACTCTGTTGGTCAAGCCCAGAGTCAACTTTGGAACAGCCCCAAGTTTAGACCCGCCCCCGAGCGGTCCGGCTCGATCGACTCGGACTCACCGTCCATTCTTGGTCTCGAAAACGTCTCCTCCATGGCCGGCGCCCTGCCGCGGAGCCGCGCGGCTAGCTCAGCTAGTTCCTCGAGCCAGCGCGTTCGCTTTGCACTGCCAGATCCTGCCAACCCCAACGACGGATATGTCGCCCCGAGTCCCAACTATGCTATTTCACCAAGCTCCAAGATCCCCGATGGCTACGTGGCGCACGCGCGGGATGCTTGCGTTTCTGTCGACTACCAGTGGGACTCGATGAGAGAGCCTCTGGACTGGGGCGATGGCGGCAAGTACGGCGAGGAGTGGACGGCCATGCACCACCGCTTCAGGAAGGGCATTCAGAGGCTGGTAGACTGGTACACCACGGCCGAGCGTCCCGCTGAGATGGTCACCAAGACGGTGAGGCCGGCCCAGAACGGCGACACCGAGTGTGCTATTGACGATGAGGACGACGACGACATTGAACCAGTGGTCATTCTTGTTTCTCACGGTGCCGGATGTAACGCTTTGATCGGTGCCATCACACACCAGCCGGTCCTCATGGATGTGGCGATGGCTTCCTTGACAGTCGCCGCTCGAAAGCCCGGCCGCGACTCCGAGCCCTCGGGGCTGGATACTCCAATGTCAGAAGTAGACATGGATCCAATGTCTGGCACGAAAGGCCTGGTTCCCGTCCACCACTACTATGACTTGAAGATGTTTGCGAATACGGATCATCTGCGGCAACCTGCCTCCGCCACCCATAACTTATCCAGAGCCCCGTCCACGGCCTCGAACCACTCACAAAACGGTCAATCGCACCCACGGGGCCGCGTTCCGACTGTGAACTCTTATACGCCTAGCCCAATCACTTTCAACCCTGACTCCTTTGCCTTTCCGGGCAGTCGAAGCAACTCGGCGAACGCGAGCCTGGGGAGCATGCGCCGCACAACGCACAATGCATACTCTTTGCCTAGGACTCCGGCGCTGAACACGACTGGAATCACGGTTGGAAGTGGCGCCACGAGCTTCACGAAGCCTTCACCGACACTCTCTGTTGGGCTATGGTCGCCAATCACGCCGCAGAAGGAGACGGACGAGGAGGATGAAGAGGATGACATCTTCCCTGACTTTGACCACCGTAAGAAGCTGGCCGCTCTCTCTAAGCCTAGTCAGGAGGTTGTCAAGCCTCCTACGCCAGAGAAGAAGGAGCCGCAGTTCGGAGGCCCTGCAAAGGTTCCCCATAGATTACAGGAGATCTCCCGACCTACCTCGAGCGACGGCACCGATGAGGAAAACAAGATTCCTCAGCTGGGCACGTTCGGGAACAGAGGTCTCTGGGGGCGCCGCGCCCTCTGGGAGAGACGGAGGTTATGCGCGACATGACGACGTCGAAGCGGCGGTGGACCGTTAACGAGCGCGCCTAGGGTCCGCAGCTCAGCACAGGAGATGCGTGCATGCATAGCGATGCGAAACGGGTAGAATGACCACAGTCTGATGAGCCCACGATATTGCAAAAATTGCAAGCAGTACAGCATAGCGTGAAAGTGGTACAACCACCGTACACAGATACGAAACAGCACCGAGACGTATATTTTGGGCGGCGTAGGACAACATCTCAACTTTTTTCTCACTTTTGCATGGCGCGGTCGACACCAAGGGGGTTGAAAAGGTTGCGGGCGGATCCAAACATGACATGTATCTTTTTTTAATAGCACAGGAGGGACAAAAGCACCCGGGGGAGGCTGTCTTTTTCTTTTTCTTCATCATCTCCAAATTACAAACCCGACTCTCATGAAGCATCATAGCATAGCCGTTGTAACCAGAAAAGCGTCTCGCATGACCGTTGGATGTAATAAGTATATAGCAAGGCATTCTGATTCAGGGTAGTTATAAAGTCGGCTCCGCTCTTCTATTTTGATGTGACGTGACAAAAGGGAAGAAACTCGAAAATGAAGCGTGTAAAAAAGAATAAATCTCTCACGAGTGCCTCCGTCAAAACGCCCGTTGTAAGTAGTAGTCTTGCACCCTTCGAACCATCTCCCTCAGCCTCGTTCGCCCATTCCACCCACATCATTCAGGCTCGTCCCCAAGTCCTTCTTCTTCTTCTTCTTCTTCTCCTGGTCGTTTAACCAAAGGCCTTGTTCATGGCCTGGTGCGCCAGCTCGACACCCAAAAAGGTGGCGGCGTTGGCCGGCACGGCTCTTGCGAGCGCGGGCCCGAAGCCGGGGAAGAAGGCCTTGACGCCGCCGCGACCGTAGACCTCCCGCACGACGCCGCCGAGCGTGACGTTGCCCTCGGCGGTCTGCAGGCGCGACTTGACGGTGTCGACGGGGAACACGGGAATCCACATGGCGACACCAGCGGCGGCGCCGGCGGCCGTGATGGCGAGCAGGCTCAGCTCGCCGGACGGCTTGCCCGTGACGGGGTCCTTGGGCGTCAGGCGGCGCTTGATGTACTCGTAGGCGGCGAAGTAGGCGGCGCTGCCGGGGCCGTCGCGGGCGAGGGTGGCGGCGCTGCCGCGGAAGACGGAGCGCAGGCCGCCCTCGGCGTATAGCTGGCGGACGACGTCGAGGCCGCCGGCGTACTTGGGGGCCTCGCCGGGCTTCAGGCGCTGGGACTGGACCTGGAGGATGACCTTGACGCGCTCAAAGGGAGCCGTGATGGCGGTCATGGGCACGGCGGAGAAGAAGCCGGCCGCCGAGACCTGGGCGATGGAGAGAGGGGCCGAGGGGTCGGACGAGGAGGAGCGGACGAGGGACTTGCCCACGTCGTAGCCCCAGAAGGATACAGCGACTGCGGTGCGGGTTTGGGGTCAGTCCGGGTCGTTCATTCTGCGCAATCTGAGGGAGGGAAGGGAGGGGGAGGGTAACGTACACATGGGCGTGACACCGACCAAGGGCGCCGAGACACCGGCGTACAGGCCCCTCCGCAGGCCATCGCGGGCGATGCTCTTTTTGACGACGTCGATGGCCGAGGAGTAGACGCCCTTGTCGGCGGTCTGCAGGCGGACCTTGACGAGGTCGAAGGGGTGGCCGACGACGACGGCGCAGACGCCGCCGAAGCCGCCGGCAGCGAGGGAGCGGAGCTGAGAGGCTAGGCCGGAGGCGGCGGCCTTCGTGTCGGCCTTCAGCTCGTCCTTGGACTCGGGGATGTGCGGGATCTTGTCGGCGATGGGGTTCGGGAGGGTGGTTTGGAGTTTGGCGTTGAGGGTCGTGGTGGCTTCCGAGGTTGAGGGCGCCATTGTGTCGGGGGTGGTGGGAGGGGGGGGGGGGGGGGGGCGGATGTGATTAGGGAGATGGGAGGATGGAGAAGAAGATGAAGAAGTGATGTTCTCGCTATGGAGAACGCGGGAGGGGGAAGAGGGTATTGGGTGGCGGTGGTGGAGGAGGAAGAGGAGGGAAGTCCGGGGGAAAGGGAGGTTTCACGTGCTGGCGATTTCAATCGTGGTGTTTTGTGGTGCTCTGCGCCGTAGCTCCTAGGGAGGCAACGTCAATGGTCCCGATCCGAGTCCCGTGCGGTCCGTTCCTGGTGCGAGGTGCTCGACTAGCGGAGGGAAGCTATCGTGCGTGCGGGAAAGGGGGAAGGAGTCGGTTCGGTCGTCCGTGGAGGCCGTGGATTTCTGCGCCGGTGCGCCAGTGAGATGGTGAATCGAGATGGGAGGGAAGCTGGGCGTTGAGCTTCTACGTCACAGCGAGCCTCGGCACGTCCGCTCCAAATGGGTCCCCACTTGTAGCCGGAGTAGGTACGGGGTCTGGGGGGATTCAGCGTTGTGTGATCCACTGGGTTGCTCCAGTTATTGGAGGGGGGTGAGATGGATGCCGCTGTCTCTGGCTTGTGATGTTCTGTTTGCGGGCAGAGTTTCTGTTCAAGAGACGCGCGGGAGTTGAGGATGTGCAACAGTTCTAGAAGGAAGGCTGGTGCAACTGACTAAGAGCCCCAAAAAGGAAAGTTCCCCCCAAGAGACAACTTTTGAGGGAGCTCATCCCGGCGCGCTGGATGAAACTGTGAGGGTGACTTCCTGGTGCAACTCGACCGGTTCAGCGCTTGCCGCAATGCTGCCTCGGTCGTTCGGCTCATTGCGGTGCAGCGCGAATGCTCCGGTGCGCGGGGCGGGCGGTCTGGGACCCTGGGGGACAGTTTGGGGGGGGAACCTCGCACTTGGGGCGAGGGGACCTGGCCTAAACCGGGGCCCTGCTCTAGCGGGGAACGTGGCGCTGCGCTGTCGACCTGGAGAAAACATGCACATGTCGTGTGCGACAGCCAAAATATTCCCTGGATGCGCGCCCCATGCTAGCCAGTCGTCCGTAGCTTTGTGCGTCTTCAAGGGCACATTTCCCATCTTCTGGTTGCGCCCATCGTCGGCTCATGATCGTGCGATCTCAAATGTATGGATGATGGATAATGGATGCTGACGTGGGCGGTAGATGGGACGAAAGTCAATTCCATGAAACTCCCAGTTTTTCCCATGTGACATTCCATCACGGGCTTGATGGTATAATACAACAGAGGATTCAACTACATGATCTGTACTCTGTACGCTCTGTCTTGAGCACCAGGTAAGCAGGACCCAATCCCACAAGGGCGTCGACATGCCAAAGAGAGTCTCGCAGTCAACAGCAAGACACATTTAGTCTCCTGCTCGCCCTTGACGACCCCTCACTCAATACCTCGTCAACACAAACCCGCGGGGTAACAGCATTTTCCCCTCGGGTCACCGCTTACCGTGACCTACGTCCCGTAATCTGCAGCGTATTGTGCTCTCTTTTAACCTCAAGATTATGTAGCCCGCGCCCGCCATCCATCTCAGCCGCCTGATCCGGCACAATTCAAAGCACCCAATCTCATTCTCACTAACCCACACTCGAATGAGCCCCCCGGTCTTGTCTGCACGTCAAGTGACACTCTTGATCCCCCTCCCCACATCAAACACAGGCTGCGCCGGGCGGACGGAGGTGGGAATAAGGCAGAGCCCACACCACCAAGGCCTTCTTTAACAACAGCCTGACGCGGGGTGACGACTGTGGGGCTGGTTGACTCCGTGGTGATGTGTCATAACCCTAGGACATCGCTCGAGTGACATCTTGTCACCACCCACAAAAACCACCTCACGCTGCGTCTTCCACCACCATCAATTAGAGTTAGCTGCAACGTCAGGTCTTGGTCTTAAGGGTATCTAGATTTTCCATTGCCGTGCGTGCGGAAAAGTTTTGTGCGCCCGTCTACTCGTACAAGTCTCTGAATGGCTGTCGCGATGCCTCCCATGATGTTGAGTTCCTGTGTATGAACGTCCCCAGACTCCCCCAAAAATCCGAAGAAACAAAACACCCCAAGCCGGATGAGAATGGGGAACAACGCCATCAGCATAGTGGAGAGAATGTCCAACTCCTATGCCTCGCGAACCCCCTTTCCCCAAGCGGGGGTCCTCTATCACCAAGCCTCTATGCGGTTCGTCTTATTCCCCAGTCCCGCTGTCTAATCCACGAAAAAAACAAAAGGGTACACGGACCAGACCTCTCTCAGACCCGCCTCGCGTAGACGTTGTGATGCGCCAATGTCTCGACAATGGTCGGAACGGGCGCCACTGACGGCTCGCTCTCCTAAAACGTCCTCTTGAGCGGCGTCGTAGCCAGCCCCGTCGACCGTCCCACTCCGCACCAGCAGCTGGCGTCTCCCTCCCTTTCGACCTGGACCACAATGTCCATCGAGTTCTTGAGGAGATACTCCCTCACCCGGTCCCGAACTTCGTCCAGACTCGCGCCCCGGCCCGCCACCACGTGCACAATTCCCTGCAGCTTGTCGCCCGAGTCCTCGCTGCTCCGATCGTCCATCCAGAACTTGGGCACAGAGTAGTTGACGACGCCCTTCTGCTGTAGGATCCCCGCGAGCGTGTTGCGCAGGTTATACTCGACGTCGTCGGGGACGTTGAGGAGGAGGTTGCGCGCAGAGGACTTGATGAGCGGGACCGACGCGAGGAAGATGAGGATGGCGATGGCGCAAGAAGCGAGTGGGTCCCAGAACGTCCAGCCCGTGTAGTACGTCAGGATAGTCGACAGCACCACCGAGGCGCTTCCCATCGTATCAGCCAGAACATGCAGGAATATGCCCTCCATGTTGTCGTTGTGATGCGAGTGTGCGTGACTATGCTTCTTCCCGTGCGAGTGGTCATGCCCGTGGTCGTGTTCGTCGTGCGAATGCGAGTGGCTGTGGCCGTGATCGTGGCCATGATGATGGTGACCGAAGCCCCAGAGACCCAGCAGATTGATGACACCGCCCAGGAAGCTGACAATCAAAAGCTCTCTCAGCCGGTGGAGTTCCTGGCCCTCCCATATCCGCTCAAAGGCCTCTACAATGATTTCAACGCTCAACAGCCTGGTATCTGTTAGTTTCCATGCATTTTATTCCATGGTGTAGAACCTACATCAGCAAGATGCCATTGGCGAAACCACTCAGCGTCTCGATCTTTCCCAGTCCAAAGGGAAACCGCTGGCTTTGGGGCCACTTGCTCGTGACCGCGGCGCAAAGGCCGACGAAAAGGGCAAAACAGTCGAAGAACATGTGGATCGTGTCGCTTAGCAGGCCGAGGGAGTCGGTGACGTAGCCGTAGAAAGCCTGTACGCCCATGAAGCCGAAGTTGAGACTGCGGATGTAATGTCAGTTGGGGCACGACCAGTATTCATACCAGGTAGCTCACGTCATGAAGTAGAAGATCCTTCTTGAGTCCTTCTCTACGAGGATAGTGTGGAGAACCGGAATCGCCGGCGTGTACTTCAGCAGAACCCTCGTGAATAATGATGGCTTCGTGTGATCGTGGCCAAGGGAGTGGGCATGCGAATGGCCATGATGATCGTGTCCATCGCAATGTCCGTGGTCGTGGTCATGGTCATGGCCGTGTCCGTGGTCGCGGTCGTGGTCGTGGTGATCTATTGTCCTGTCCAGAGGCTGGAATGTCGCCGAGAAAGACCCAGTCGTAGGCGTCAACAGCTGGCGCCCGCTCGGTGTGGTGTCTGTTTTCCAGCCGTCCATTGTCGCAAGCGATTGAGGCAGCTCTTTTTCTCGAGGAAGGGAGGATTGGCTCGAGTTCGCGCGGTAGTGCGAATGACCGCCGTGGGCATGAACGGTGTGACTGTGTGACCGATCATGATCGTGTGCGTGGCCGCTGCTGGTCGAGTCGTGGCTTTGGCTGTGCGTATGCAACCCGCCGTTGGACATTGTTGACTTCAAGGCATGAAGGGACGGCGGCGAGTGGGAGTGGGAGTGCATGTGGTGATGATGGGCGTGGGGAAGGGCAGAGGATGGCAAGGCGTAAGACGAGGCCATGTTGACTGCGGCGCGTCGTAAAGGTCGATCTGGGACCCAGATCCGGGGTCGGGATTGGCGTCGCTGTCGCTATCGGCGTCGGCGGGTACGGGGCGAGAAAAGGGCGTCTCTCGTCCACTATGAAGTGTTTTCTCTGGGTCGTTCTCGTTTGTCTCTCCACCGAGGACCCGTTGATTCGAGATCTTTACCAATATCCCCCTATGGTGGGCAGCCCCGAGTCATGGGTTGGAGGTGATCCGCGGTGTACGTTTTCTCTCCGGCGTCTCGACGACGGCAATGACGAGAGATGACAGTGAGTATGCAAATTGTAGAGGGGTGTCGTAGATTGACGTGTCGTGGAACGTCCAACGCCGTGGAGCTGGAGAGAGGAGAGAAGCGGGAGTCGTGTGCCCGCCGTGGTATAGTACCTAGGGCCGATGGCGGCAGCGGCAGCGTCGACGGTTCAGGGGACCTGCACAGGCTAAAAGACCGGAATGGAGTCGCCCCGTCAATGACGTTGCGCCGCAATCCCGACGCTGGGCTGCGAGTCTTGGGGAGGGGAAAGACGGGAGATTGGATCGTCGACGGACGTGCTAGTGAGTCGCACAGACAATGCTGGAAGCGGCGGATGCAGACAGTCAGTCAGTTGGCTTTGGACCAACGTAGGTTCGACTGGAGAAGGTGTTCTGAAAGGCAAACTGCAGAGAAGCACCTGGTTTAAAGTGAACAACCAGCAGCCACAAGCAATTACCCAAGACGTCAGTCTATCAAATGTGGGATGCCAGCGTTGTTGTGTGTTTTTTTTGGGCCGAACCCACGGGATGCATGGTATGCCGGGTTGTGCCTCCTTTCAGCGCCTTCAGATGAATCTCCCGCCTTGTCCCAAAGAGGAATCCAGCAGTCAGCCCCTGCAGATTTCTCCGTGTGGGGAGGAGAAGTTGGCGGCACGTTCGTTGTGACAGTGTTTGTGATTCGCCATTGGAATTAGACAACCATCAGGAGAGGGGGCGGAACGCTTGGCTGCTGCCGGGCTGCTAGGAGCTGGCTGCATAAAGTTGCCCATGCAGGCTAGCAAGCCAGCAGGCGTAAAGCAGAGACACGCAGGTAGGTGGGTAGGTAGACTACCTACAGCCCCGATCCAAGGCCCCGATAATCTACGATGGGATGGCTACGGAGAAAGCGGTGAGGTGGCTAACACTTGTTATCGCACGCATGCTACAGTACACTCTCTGGACAGACAATGTATGGCTCCAGCCCCATCGCGACATGTTTCCCCCTGGGCAAGCCATGCCTGTCTGAGAATTTCGTCTCCTGCTTCCAACGAGACCCCCAGGCATTAACGACTTTTGCTTTTTTTGTATTTTGGCTCAGGCTTCTGGCGGTCTGTGTCGGTTTTGCATGTGCGGCAGCTGGTTTTCCATTGATTGGGTGACGAAAAGACGGGTCGAGTCGAGTGTTCCTTTTTAAGGCACAGGGATGGAATTGTGAAGATTATGAAGACTGTGAAGAGCATTTTAATGCAGATTGACGAAGCTCCCCGGGTGTCTCTTGCATGTTCTTGCATGTTCTTGCAAATTGGGAAAAGGGACGTACCGAGCGTCCGTCTTATCGTCCACGTGACATTTCCACTCCCACTCTCCGAAGCCTTGCTATCGGGCGCAACGACCCCTGATTGGCGCCACCGTTGCAACATCGCAAAGCTCACCCCAAGTTGGAAGGCGCAAACCAGGACGACCTCTTGGAAGGAGGGGGGTCTAGCCCAGTCAAGCAGCTTCAAAAAGTGCTCCCAGTCTTGGGACCTGGACAAGAGGCCATCGTCGGTCACGCGATAGTCTAGGCAATTGCCTTTTTTTTGTCCCCTTTCTTTCTACATTCTCGTTGAAAACCCCCCAAAACAGAGGCCCTTCCCCCGCCATTCATCCACCATCCTAGGCCCCTCATGCGCTAAGACGGTATATTGCAACTTCAGATGACAGGACGGGCCAGGTTGCATAACCGATACCACCACATTCAAGGGCTGACGATCGTCTTGAAACTCCACTACGATTCTCATTACCACTCCCGACCGGCTGCCTCAGCTCACGCGACACATCTTCGCGCGCACCCGCACGCTTAACCGTCGCCCCTCGCCAACATGTCGGTGGTGCCTCTCGTGTTCTCTGTCCTTGCTGGCATCGTCACTACTCTCATCGCCGCCCTTGGCATCAACCTCTTCACGCGCCTGCTTCCAACCCGTTACCACGCAGCCGAGAACCCTAAAGATGACCACATCCAGATCTTGGTGCTGGGCGATATAGGCCGCAGCCCTCGGATGCAATACCATGCGCTGAGCGTCATGAAGCATGGAGGAAAGGTCGACCTCGTTGGGTACAAGGAAACGGCCCGCCATCCGGAGCTTGTTGGCAATGAGCGGGTTGCGCTGTACCCTCTACCTCCTCTTCCGACTGTATTCAAATGGAACACATTGCCGTTTCTCATCAACAAGCCTGCCAAGGTGATCTGGCAAGCTTGGTCCATCTTTTACGTTCTGGCCTACACGGCGCCCCCAGCCCGGTGGATCATTATTCAGGTATGTGAGTCGCCATCTCATCATGTACACGTCTGACTCTTACAGAACCCCCCGTCTATCCCGACCCTGCACTTGGCTCTGCTTGTGTCTCTGCTGAGGGGAAGCCACCTCCTCATTGACTGGCACAACTATGGCTGGTCCATCATGGCCACCGGCCGCAGCCAGAAGAACCCTTTAGTATGGCTTTACAAGAAGTACGAGACCTACTTTGGCAGGATCGTGCCCACCGCCAACCTCACCGTCACCGACGCCATGGCGCGCCAGCTCAAGGAGAAGCCCTACAGCAACAAGAAGCCCATCTTTACTCTGCACGACCGCCCGGCCGAAGTGTTCCAACCCATCGAATCATCCGATGCTCGCCTCGCTTTTCTCTCACATCTCAAGGAGACCAAAGACGTTGCTCAGAACATCATCGACGGCACTACACGTCTCATCGTCAGCAGCACCTCCTGGACACCCGACGAGGACTTTGGTTTACTCCTAGACGCCCTCGTCGCCTACGCCCACCCCGAAGAAGCCGTTACCGCAACCGGCGCAGGCAGGCCCCCTATCTTGGCCATCATTACTGGCAAAGGGCCCCAAAAGACCGAGTACGAAGAAAAGATCAAGAATCTCCGCCTCGAGGGCAAGCTTCCTGGCGTCACGATTCTGACCGCCTGGTTGTCCACCCGCGAATACGCTACGCTCCTCGCCTGCGCCGACCTTGGTGTTTGTCTGCACATGTCTAGCTCCGGCGTCGACTTGCCGATGAAGGTCGTTGACATGTTCGGCTCGGGTCTGCCTGTGGCGGCATACTCTGCGTACGAGAGTTTCGCCGAGCTGATCAAGGAGGGCGTGAACGGATGCGGTTTTGAGACGGCCACAGAGTTGGCCGAGGTCTTGGTTAGGCTGCTAAATGAAGGTGGCAAGGATGAGCTGAAGAACCTCAAGGCAGGAGCTGTAAAGGAGGGTAATTTGCGCTGGGACGAAGAGTGGGACCGCGTTGTCGGACGGGTTGTGGGAGTGGTTGATAGCTGAGTTTAGGAATTGTCCGTGATGTTTGACTCAGCAAGAGGTCTGCACATGCATACACACCACGGTCACAAATGATTAAGGAAACAACGGAGAACTCGGTACACCTCAAGAAAGTGGCACAGGTCCGGACTTCAAAAGCAAAAATTGATTTCGCCCGGACTTGAACCGGAGACCTTCAGTGTGTTAGACTGACGTGATAACCAACTACACCACGAAACCCTGAGAAGAGAACAAGTTCTCGAGTGGCAGTTAGAAAGTTGTGTGTGAGATAAAGTCATCTTACGCAGAATCTTGCGTCCACCGTGGGGTTGTGGGCATACTTTGAGAGACCAATAGAAACGGGTAGGGTCTGGTCTTCTCAACTAGGCTAGCATGCTTCCTGCTCCAGACCTGAATCTCTCTAAAACAACCAATGTCTTCGTACGAGATGGATTTGCTAGAAGTAATTCACAAGACGGATATTAGGTATGATGGTAAGAAAATCTCTCTCAAGTCCATAGTCAATGGTCCCTCCCCGCGTTATGTATGGAGACAGGCAGCCTCTGTGAGGTAGCTGCCCTTCTTTGCTCCTTCGCAATTGCACAACCTTCGGCTTGATTGAATTCAGTCGAGCAATATCCAGGGCCAGTGGTATTAGTATTTCAGCAAGGCAACAAGAACAAGAAACCCAAAGAACTGCTCTTCTTGATTCACCTCCGTTTACTGAGTAAGTTCAATGTCGGCTTCGACAGCCAGGATCCTCTTGGCGGCAAACAAAGCAGCCACCATGATGGGGGCCTGCGTGTTACCAGTAGGCACTTCGGGATGCATGCTTCCATCCACGACGAACAAGTTCTCCGTGCCCCAGACCTTGGTGTCCGGATCGACGACACTCTTGCCGTCGTTATGGGCGCCCATCTGCGTGGTACCCAGGTAGTGACTACCGCTGCCGGCCTTGGCAACAATGGCCTCTGCAGTCGCGTTACCATCAACGCTTAGGATACTGCCAGGCTTGCGGGCGTAGCCCAGGAGCGTGTCGACTATCTTGGTCAGGGCCTCGCGGTCGCCTTTGGTGTGAAGGAGGGGGTTCTGCGTCATGTTGGTTGTTCCATCGGCCGTGATGCCGACGGTGCCGACGGAGGTGGTGCCGTGGGTGAGGTACACCTTGACGCCGATCGTGTTGTTGCCATCGGCGCGGACGGTGCCCTGGATATAACGGGTATCTCCATGGGTAGTGTTGACGCTCGTCCAGAAGTTGAGACGCTGACCCGACTGTGCCAGCAGGCCACTGCCGTGAGCAAAGAGCTCGACAGACTCGTGATCCGGGTTCGTCCACGCCGCATCGGGCAGAGCAGCAAGCGTGTCCTTGGTCTGGAACGTGACCGTCGCGACAGCGTGGTCTTTGAGGTTCTTGCCGACGGGGAGCTCGATCCACTGGTTCCTGGGCGGGAGCTTGAGGTTCGTCGTTCCGGAGGCCACGATCTCGATCTGGGCGGCGGGGCCGATGCCTGAGTTGAAAAGCACACGGGGCGTGGAGTGGGTGCCGGCGGCAAGGATGAGGGATCCGCCCTTGGCCAAGTTGATAATCTCCCGGGCGCCGGAGTCTTGTTCGACCTCGACACCTGTGACGAGGCCGCCGTCGCGCACCGCTCGAAGGACCTTGGTGTGGAGTTCGAGTGTGAAATTGGGGAGCACTTCTGCGTCAGGGAGGATGGACCGTAGGGGCTGTCTCGTAGACCGTGGGCGATCTACACGGTGTTGTTAGAGGATCTCATCTTCCAGTATGGAACCGTTCACGACTTACCGACCACGGAGGGTGCGAGTACATTAACTCCTTCTCCTCAACATCGTTCAACGCATCCCGCTCAGTCCAGCCGTTGGCCCCCAAGAAGCGCGACACGACCTCGTATGCTCCGTCATCATACCGCTTACCGTCCTCCGACGCCAGAATCGTCCCCGGAAGCCGCTCGTAAAACTCCTCCGCTGCCAGTGCGACGCCGTTCTCCCAGTGCCACTCCTTGGGCCACCCTGCAAAGTCCGCCGCGCGCGGCCTGATGAACATGAGCGCGTTGAGCATCGTCGATCCGCCGAGCATGCACCCCGCAGCGATGACGAGGTCTTTGCAGTACTGCAGGTCTGGGTCCGCGCCCGTGTAGTCGGACATACCCGGGACGTCGTACATGGTGACAGTGTCGTTCCACGGCAAGGTCTTGCGGTTGCCCGACATGTAGAGGGAGGGCCCGCCGCGCTCAACGAGGAGCACGCTGCGGCCCGAGGCGGCGAGGCGCTCGGCGGCTACGATGCCTGCGGTTCCGGCGCCGGCGACGATGTAGTCATACGTTGCGTTACGAGTGGTCGTCTCGTTGGATCGGAGTGAAAGACGGGCTGAGGCCGTCTCGCCCAGGGCCAGGATCGCCGAGGCCAAGGTGATGAGCTTCATGATGCCGAGTGAGGATGTTTACGAGAGGAATGACAACACACACTCGAATGAGAAACTGGGGAAGGAACACTTCTTTTGTAGTAGGTGGTTGTGAGATACCTACATGATTGATAAGATGAGATTGATTAGACGAGATTGATAACCTTGTTCAACTGCTATACTGCGGCATTGGAACGCACTCCGCAACACCGACAGTCCTGACCAGGTCCGGCAATGATCGCAGGCATTCGGTGGATCTGGCAATATAAGCATACTCCGGAGTGGAACTCCCACTGGCTTCAACACGAGGGTTCTCGTTGAATCAGGCAATCGGCCTCGTGGATCGTGGGAAAAAGTTTGTCGTTCCTTTGTAAATACCTCATACTCGAATCTCCGGTCCCGCGCCGATAAGTCCTAGGCGACGTGGAGAATGGCTGAGCAGAACGGGGGTTCGTAAGAGACGAGTCCAGCCTTCTGGATGGATAGACTTGGACGATCTCTAAAAAAGTTGGTCAGCAGCGTCGTACGCAGCTACGTTACAAGTGGGCGAGTTTGATTCATAAGACTTGGCGTTTGCGCTTGTGCTTTCCTCTCTTCAACGCCCAAGAATTTTCGCCCATGGACCCTCTACTTACATGAGGCTTCCTCCTAGTGAGAAACGATTTAGGCAAGTTGACTCCGTTGTTTAATTAATAGCTTATTGGAATCCGTCCATAACTTGAGTCGTCTGGCAGGATTGCTTGAAGTCCGTCTGATTTACGTATGCTATAATTATTATTGGAAAAAGGTGTAACATGTACTCAGAAACTCCTTGGCTTTTGGGATTGAAGTCGTAGCCTGAGCAACCGATTGTTGGTGTTGGCGGTGGCGGCTACTACCACTCGACGGTTTGTTCTCCGCCAAGCTCTTGTAATTGAATACAAAAAATTAACATTCGGCGACTTATGTGTAGATTGGAAGAGGAAGCCTTCATCCGGCAACTCGGGAGCGTCTCAGTCTTGCAACGATAACGGCTGCTCATGATTGCCACCTCAAAACCAGGAAGCATCATAGAGCCAAACCCTTGCATCAAATCATCAAACTTTAAACTGTTCGGACTTTAGATCGTTGCGGCCCCACTTTGGCCGCCTACCTTTACCTAGCCTTGCCTTTTGCGACCTTGCACTAGGTACACCTTCGTCATGAAGATAACGACGTCCTCGTGGACGTTGGCGGATACAATTTTTGATGCGCGCTTGTGCATCTTTGCGGCACAGCGCAGGCACGCATGTCCTCAACAGGCAAGATGGGACAGCTTTCCAGGCAACAGAGCACCTAGCAGGGATCATGCCATGTCCGTTGCTGCAAGTCATGACCTCAACCACAACCAACAGCATATCGCTTCGTTGCTTCACAGTCCGGACCGCATCCGATTTGTCAATCCTGGCATATCTCATACAGAGCCGCTAATTGCCCCTGCTGAACTCTCTCCGCTTCGTCCCAACAGTCGACACGATAGAAGCCACTGCGGACTCCCTTTTTTACGAGCTGCTCGTTCCGGATAAAGCGGCAGAACAGACCACAATTTATCTGCTCTTCTTCCATAACGAGAGATGTGAGTCAAGCGACCTGTTCGTGCGATTTTGATATCCAGTCCCCACGGCAATGTCCGACTATAAAATACGTGATGTTTTCCAAATGCCTTGGCTACAGATGTTTAAGACTTCGTCTCAACCGCTGCTGACTCTCTCATCCCATTGTCGACTCCGTTTCGACCATAATCCGCCATGAAAGACGAACAGTATCAAGAACGCCTCGACCTCGTACGAGATGTCATTCAAGGCTATGGATTAGAAGTAAAACTACCCTTCCCGTTTAGAAATCACTATTTAACACATGCACTTTCTAGCCCCTGGACATTGCCACTGTAGAGTACCAGGAGGACAGCCCGTTCCAGTACAACAACTTTATCTACAAAATCACACTCTCGTCCCCAGCGACTGCGGCCTCCTTCCCTAATGCTGGATCGTATACTGTGGCCCCGCCAAAGGAAGGTATTTCCATCCTTATAATGCGCCTCGCAAACCCGAAGGCAGAAGGCATCGTCCACGAGACCCGCGTCGAGAACGAGGTCGCCGCCATGCACCTTGCTCGTCAGGGCCTCTTGTCTTCGGCCAAGCCGGAAATCGCAGCGCTCGTGCCGGCGTTGTACGATTGGCAGTCTTACGGCAGCTCCCAGTCCGGCTTTGGGTGGTCTTTGATGGAGTTCAAAGAGGGCGTGCCACTTGACACCGTATTTCGAGACATGCCTGATGACGAGATGACGGATGTGCTGGGGCAGATTGCAGATGTTTTCGCGGGCATTCAGAAGGCGCCGCTGCCGGAGAGTATCCAGAGCTACGGAGGTATGACGATCGATGGGAAGGGTAATATTGTGAGTGGTCAGATGACCATACTCAAAGGCGGGCCTTGGGAGTCGTACAGCGATTTTTGGAAAGCAATGTTTGCGCTTCGTATTGAAGATGCTGGTGTGAGTCCGGCTCTGAATGGTTGGAAACCGAACGGCGTCCGGGAGCGCATTGACAAGTTTCTGGCCGTGGGTCTCGAGAAGTTTCTCGACGGATCGGACGTAGACGTTAGAAAACGTGTTCTCATCCATGGAGATCTCAGTAAGTTTTCGGCCATCACTTGATATTCCTTTCGAGGCTTTGAACAGACTAACAGCGAATTCCAGCCACGAACAACATCCTCTACGACCCCAACACGAAAAAACTGACTTCAATCCTCGACTTTGACTGGGCATTTATATCTCACCCCTGCCACGAATTCTTCACTTCCCTCGGCGATATTGGCGGGAACACAGGCGGCGGGACCGGGCGCGACCCGGACCTCAGCGGCGGCCGGCTAGGCAAGGCAATGCTGACAGGAAATTTTGAAATCCCCGATCTACCTGAAGCGGCCGCTAAACAGCTGACGCGGGACAAGGCTTGGGACGATGCGTTGGCAGAAAGAGGGGCGTTGAGACCGAGCGACATTCGGGGTATATCTGCTCTGGACAAGCTAAGAAGGCTCGATGCTTTGCTTTGCCCTTTTGCGCTGGAACATCCGGTTATGTTGAAGAGAAAGACGCCTGAGGAGATTACGGAAATGAGAAAGGCAGCGGAGAAGGATTTGGTTGACTGTTTGGCTGAATTTGGGTGCTGACGGAGGCCAGGAGGCGAGTCCGTATGATGACTTCTCACCTTGCCTCTCTGTGTACACAGGTTTGGTAGAGCCCAGGCAAGAGTACTGATGGTGGTTTCTTAAAGTTCTTGATCTGCAGCGTTTGACAAAACCGCAACGAGGGGGCTCAAGGCCCTGGCTCGCTGTCAGTGGTCTGCCGCTTGTAAACATTTCCGTTGCATCATGACATTCCCACTCCTCTTCATCAAAACCTAATCCAGCCAAAGAATCGTTTATTACTACAAGATCGGGCTTTGCAATCTTCTTCAATAGTTTTCTCCAGAGCTTGCCCTGTGTCCATCACTGTTATTATGTCTTCCTTAAATATCCGGCTGAAGATGAGTTTGTGGGCTGTTCCGATTTCCCTCCGCTTCGCCTGGTAATAAAACTGTTGTATTCCCAGGAGGTGTCAGCTGGATCCGTCGCAGGCCGACCTCACTTATTTAGCAACAGCTGAGAATCCCGAGGGACAGCTTTTTAAATCGCCAAAAAAATCCTCTCTACCTTGCTACTCAGACATTATTCACTATTCTCAGGAATTGGCAGAAAACAAACTTGGCTACTGCTCTAAGAGACATGGGGTATGAGAGCTGAGGCCATTTTCATGGTCAAATATTGCTGTGAGAAAACAACGCATCATACTGTGAGCGATTTGGTGAACACTTCAATCTATAACTTATATCCAATGCTTTTAGGGTACCCAACAGGGTAGCTTTATTGTTATTAGTGACCTCGCAGGGAGGTCTGTTTTAACACTCGCAGGCAATGGCGCTTATGAGGTTTGAGAGAATTTGTCACTTAATGCAGGCATCTTCCGTTCGCTTGAGAAACGTCAAAGTTAAGGATCGCCATGAAATGATGCCGCTGGTAGGGCCATGCTTATGGTGTAATGTATGACCACTTGATGAGTTTATTGCCAGCTGCAAGCTATCAGATATCAAGATGGTGTAGAATATCTGCTTGTTTGCAACACCTGGATACATACATGCTGAATTGACTCGCCGACAACGGAGGACCCTTGCAAAGAACCCCTCACACCCTCCTGCATGCAGTATGCATACATGGTAGACTTCAAGTTTAATGCAACCTCATATCCAAAGCTCCATTCTACAACAACGGAGCTATCCAGACGTTGCATTGGCGCAATGAGCCACATGGCTTAGCACTTGGCGCTTCTGACCGTCTACGCTTTCGCTGGATGAAAGTCGCCATCCATTCCCACTCAATCCACCGCAATCGATTAAAAGATCGCCGGCAGACGTCAAGCTGAAGTATTGCTCCACTACCTTCTTGTCTTCTGAAACCTGTGTCTGTTTCTGATGAGACGGCTTTCGGGCTTACGCCTGCTCTTTGATGTGTACCATAACTTTCATGCCATCAACTGGTTTACCGGTAACAAGATGAGTCAAAGAGAAAGGTGAGAGATTAGTATCAGCACTTTACAACAAGCCACACCTCATCCCTTGCCACTTACAGAGAACATGGTAGATTTGGTCTTGTAGAAGCCCTTGTCATTGAGCACAGGCAGTCCCTTCTCGTCAAGATCCAGCTCGCCCTGGCCAACCTTGACGAATTCAAAGTACCTCGCAACGCATGCCAAAACGATTCGCACCTCTAGGTTCGCAAGCTCTGATCCAGTGCAGCGTCTTGGGCCCCTTTCTTACGGCCTAAACGCACTGTCTGGAATCTTCGACCCCTCTTCCCCAAGCCACCGTTCGGGCACGAAGTCGTCATTGGTCTCGCCAAAGACCTTGGGGTGGCGCTGAATGACATATGCACGCGGTGTTACACACAAGTCGTCGACTACCAGCTTCTGTCCGTTCGGCAAAGTCAGAGTAGTATTAGATCCCCTAGGTGCAACTCGAGCAATGGTGCCGGGTGGGTGAAGTCTTAGTGCCTCTTTGATGATCGCATCGGTATCTGAAGCATGGGGAGTCAGCTTGACTGTTTCGAAGGTCGGGCGACAGACATGGACTTGCGATCCACTTACAGGGTAGACGGCTCAACAGCTTTCCAGCTTCAGGCCCGTAAAGCTGATCCATAACAGACTTCGGGTTTGAAGCCTCCCCGAAAACCTCATCAAGTTCATCCTTTAGAGCTTGTGCTGAGGAAGGGCATCTGTGAAGCTCATAAAAGCACCATTGCAGCAGGATACTCGTCGTGTCGTGACCAGCGAAGAGGAAGCCTCGCAGAGTATCGCTAGTCTGTTGGAGGATCTTGGGAGTTAGGACACTGATGCCGTGCAGACTAAGGGTCGCCACACTTCGGGATGCTGTCGAGTCACCGGCCAACAACTTTTTGTGCTGCTTGATAATTTCTTCCTTGAGAATACAATCGAGCCTCTTATCAAAGTGTCTGATTGTTCGTTCATTGTCGGTCAAGTACGTCCACAGCCAGTGCTTTCCGGGCACTCGCTGTTGAAGGCCTGCGATAATGCCCGGTATGTCAACAGCACGTCACTCTGCTTGCCATTAATCTGGGCGTTGAGGTCCATGTTGAATGTGACAATACCTACGGGCGGTGCGTAAGCCATTGACTCTGCCAGCGATTCTCATAGACTCACCGATGACGTCAAATGTCAAATTCGTGGTGTACTCGTCCATGCAAAAGTTAGCACCAGTGGCGGCCTTCTGCTCCATAAACTCAATAAAGGTCCGTGACTTGTCTAGAATGACCCTCGCAAGACTGTGAAGATGCTGGGGTTGGAAGCCCGGGAGAATCCTTTTTCGCAAGCCCTTCCACTCATCGCCCTGTTAAGCAGCTTGCAGTTAGCCCCTCATCGTCAAGTATGGCTAGTTACTATGAAATAAAGTCCAAAATCTCACATCGGTTGTAACAAGAGACCGTGCGCCAACTAGAGGAGCTAGATGCTGTATGGCAGGATGTTTCGGTACGCTGGTACTGTACTGCTTCGATGGTTTTGTGGTGTGCTCAGCGACCTCATTGTCCAGGATAAACAGAATCAGGAACTTCTCGATAGGGCGCCAGTCGACGAGAAGTACGGGGGAACCCGAGCTTCTGTGCCTGTTCGTATAAGATCTCGTCTGGACGGTGCCAAATCATTGAACCCGATCTAAAACATCAACTACACAGCTGAGGTCTTACCAAAAGCCCTTCGAGGATCCCCTAGACCAGTAGACTTCTCGATCCATGGCCAATGCCCTCTTTGCGGGGTCTGCCTCTTCTGGCTGGGGAAAGTTTGAGTACTGCTTGATATCGAGAGTAGGGGCCTTCGAGCATCGAAGAAAGAAGACTACCAGGAGCAGTATCGCGGCCACAATTAGAAGCCTCCATTGGAGTAGCACGCCAAGATTTTCACCGTTCTGTGAGGTAGTATACTGGGGTAGAGCCATCTTGGAGATGAAGCAGAGATCGAAGGGAAGGTGTAAGTACCTTGACGAGTCTTTGGATGATCGAAACAGCAGCAAGGCTGGCTAGAAGAGAACAAGAGGGCTTTCAAGGCTCTTCCACGAACGTGCGCCATTTTCCAGAGCTGACTCCCCGAAGCCGGTGAAGTAATTTAACCGCCCTTGTGAGTGCATTGTGCTTATACTCAACAACGACCTTTGCAGGGGAACCCGCTGATCTTTTCTCTACAGCAAATATCACTTGTAAGCTTGTATTGCCAAAGAAGACTCCTGACGTATATGGTGGAGCTAAGACAGATAGAAAGTAGCCCATCGCCCGCTGTGGGGGAGCTCATCGAACCTAGTCCGGCTTGTCTAATCAGATCCATCTTATCTGATCTAAGGACGCTTCCGATGTTACGTCCGATGACAAGTCATTCACACAAGGGTAGATCGTATAAGGAGCACTGTGTGTGAGGGCACGTGAAGTGGGAGACAAAATAGCCGGGAATTCCCCCAAAAACAAGGCTTTAGCAAGCTCAAATGCACTCCTCACTGGGTTTGGTGGCTAACGCGTCGACTCCTCATAATTCACTTTGAGCTAAATCAAGTACACCCTTAAACTGCTCTCTGAACCAAAACCTTTCGAGTGAACCGTTTCAATGAATTGAGGCCTCTTTCAAAAAGTTTCCAAACGAATCATACTTTTTCTTTGCTCTGTACCTGTGTTTGATGGTCTTTGCTGTGCTCATCAGCAGAAGGGTGTCGTGTTTTCGCTGTGGAGGTCATGGGACTACCGTCGGTAGTCCGCCTGTGGGTAATCTCCACCACAACAAATGTCGAGGACCTGATTCCAACGAAATATGGGATTCTATGTGGACACGTGAGGCCACAACAGGTAATGGCAAGAGTCTGGCCTCTGGTGGTCTATTAGTCTAGTTGGTTAGGACGTCGGATTCTGATGCACATTCAGACTCTTCCGTAGGCCCAGGTTCGAATCCTGGATGGACCTATTGTTTTGCTACTCAATTTGATTTGATTGTGTTAGTGTGATATTATGCTCCAAGGGCGTTGGCTTCGCCATCTAGGCCTTCTTTTATCTTTGGGATAGCGCTCCTTCGCACTTTGTATCTCTTTAAAGTAATGTTCTAAGGCTACATTTTTTTGACTAAAGTAATGCCAGTAACCAAAGCAGTAGATTCGATGCTTTGTGTGAAAGGAGTCAGTAGATTCCTGTTTGAATTTAATCTGGCAGTATGATTCATGGTGGATTTCCATCAAGTAGTCGTAAATAGAACTCTACCTTATGATCCGATCGCTATTTGGGATCCCTAATAACCGGTGTAAGTCCCTCAAAGCTTATTCTTTTGAATGTGAAATTCTTCGAGAACCATCACCATCTTTCATGAATTGCGGTCTGCCATGTTTTGGACTGGTTCGCCACCTCCTGCAGCCAATAACGAGGTGCTGATGGTCATATCTACTTGGGAAAAAGCGTTCGAGGTCAAAGTTAGGGATAAGATATGAGATTGCCTTGGAGCTCCCAGAAATGGCTTCACCCTCTAGTACTACCAACGAATTTGGTACGAACGAACTGAGCTTATGGATGAGCTTTCTTTACTGGGCTAATACCTTGCTGAAAACATAACTCCTTGTATATAACATAAAACCGGGATTAAGTGGCGGGCTTGCAAAGAGTTGAGAGTCTAGGAGTAAAGAAGGACATTGAAACTATGGATCACGACCAACGTAAACTGCTCAGCCATGCTTATCTCACAGGAAGGTAAGATTATCGTAATGGTTCGTATCGACTCTATATCTGAACCGACTGTTTCTGGAGTCACAGCGCCAGCGTCCGGGAGAACCGCAATGATCGTGACACACCATTCGTGTTCGTAGGAGAAGGCTTTGAAGCCCCTATCAATGGCACTGTGATGGAGGATGAAACAGTTGTTGACTTGGGCTCCAAAGCTATTGTACAGTTCTGGACAAGTCAGAAGGGAAAAGAACGATATTGATGTAAGTAGAAAAATTACTAGAAAACAAATCTCTTGTGCGCCAGCCATAGAGCAGAACGGTTTTGTGGTAGTCCTTCCTGACAAACTGAATATGGCAAGGATAAACTCCAATATAAAGAACTATTAGAGAACGGAACTTGTCGACAAAAATAGAACAAAAACAAAAACAGTTAATTACAATTAGCAACTATCCGTCGGATGTTTCATGTGGCTGGATTTTGACTGATGAAAAATGCCGTTTTACTCAGAACAGAGCCGAGAGTTGCAGACTGCGTTGGAGCATCTTGTCTCTTGCAGTAGTTTTTAAATTTGGCTATGACCCCATTATTTTCAAGTTTAACCACTTTCCAAGACATCTTCTACATAAAATGATATGTATAATCGTACGTGTGTTCTGTTGTAGAGAATCAATATCACCACTCCTTTTCTGAGACTGAAACTCGAAACAATGCTTTCAGAGTCCTTCCTTTGTGCTCCGCAATGCAGCTTATCAGTCGGTATGATACATGATCCAGTCGCTCTTCGGTTCCAAACCGTGACTTGAACATCGTTCCTTGTCTCGCAACCTAATAAATGATAGCGTCAATTACTTACCGAAACAGCCTAGGTTTGAAATCGGTAGAAGCTTATTTGTGTGTGCCTCGCAACGCCTACTAGACCAACACAATCGACTCGACTATTGGCTTGTCATGCCAGGGTCACCCGACATCAGCTGGTCCCCGCCTGCTGAAGTATTACCCGCGCCTATTCATGTTATGAAAACATCATTCCGTCTGACGGCCCGATGCCAAGTGGTACAAGCTCGGGCGAAACCGAGTTGAGGTGACACTGATGTACGTTTCCCGCTGGAGCGTTTCCCGGGTCCGAGCTTGATCCCCTCCACAGGCACACTTTGAAACGCGCATCGTGCCTTTCCGAAGAATGCTAAATGGTGCCGATGTGATTCATTAAAAGCCAGCGCAGAGCCATCCCCACCCCACTTCCACCATCACCTGCTTGTGACATCGCCGAGGGTGATGTTTAATCGTTCAAGACAGGTAAAAGGGGTATCGACGATTCAATCTCAACCACGCGACACCGTACTACAACATGCGTTGGCTCCATACAGTACTTCTGCTAGCTACGGCTGTTTCTGCTACTTTGAATCTGAAACAGTATAAATCGTCGTTCTCGCAAAAGCAGTACTCGAATCCAGAGGATGCCATACCTCAGAATGTTGTGAGCAAGGCTCAAGGAGAGCCAAGGTTTCTCACCGACAAGACTCGGAGTGTGTATCTCCTCTGTGAATGATCAAATTAGTCTCTGACATCGATATGTACAGAGTTCGTGGTCAACGGCACCAAAATACCAGAAGTCGACTTCGACGTTGGCGAGTCGTACGCAGGACTGCTCAACATTGACAAGAACAATGATACAGCCGGGAAACTATACTTCTGGTTCTTCCCGTCTGAAAGCCAGGCAGCGGATAAAGAGATTCTGATCTGGCTGACAGGGGGTGTAAGTCGACGACATATACCCAATATATGCTAATTACTAATCCATTACTGCAGCCTGGGTGCTCCTCAACTGGAGAGCTTCTCTCGGAGAACGGGCCCATGCTCTGGCAACCTGGAATGTTCAAACCCATCAGAAACAAATGGAGCTGGCATCGGATCACCAATGTCGTTTGGATAGATCAGCCTGTCGGCACAGGCTTCTCTCAGGGCACGCCAAATGCGAAGGACGAATTTGACGTCGCCCGACAATTCCTGGGGTTTTGGCGCAACTTCATCGACACCTTCGCTATGCAGGGTTACAAAATCTATGTCACAGGCTCATCTTACAGTGGCATGTACTGCCCGTATATTGCTAGCGCCATGGTCGACAGTAACGACAAAAACTATTTCAATATCGCGGGTATGCAGATTTTTGATGGAGTATACTCAGTCGACAGCATAGGCGAGGAGATCCCTGTGGCTTCATTTGTTGATCGGTGGGATCACGTGCTCGCATTCAACGATTCCTTCCGCAAGACAGTGAAAGATGCGGACGAAAAGTGTGGCTATAAAGATTACATGAGCAAGTATCTTGTCTATCCACCAGTTGGGCTACAGCCAGGAACCCCTCCAGGAGTTGATGCCGATGGAAATATCAAGCCAGAGTGCGATCTTTGGTCTATGGTTCTGAACGCCGCAACGGAGATCACGCCGTGCTTCAGCGTTTACACCGTCACTAATTTATGTCCGCTCAAATATGATCCGTTGGGCTTCAGTGACGGCACGATGTACAGACCCAAGGGCGCTGGACCTGTATACTTCAACCGAGAGGATGTCAAGCGTGCCATCAATGCTCCTGTGGACAAGGAATGGGTATTCTGTACAGATACGCCAGTGTTCTTCAATGGAACAGACAACTCCATCAAAGAAGGACCCGGTAGCCAACCTGTGCTGCCCAACGTCATTGACAAGACACGCAACGTTATCCTTGCACATGGCACGAAAGACTTTGTACTTATCGACGATGGTACGCTTCTTTCAATCCAGAATCTGACTTGGGGCGGACAATTGGGATTTCAGTCAAAACCAACGGCGCCGCTTTATGTGCCCTACCACAATAACAACAACCCAGAGACCCTTGCCGGCGCAGGCGTAATGGGAACAGTACACTCTGAAAGAGGGTTAACATACATTGCTGTCTCTACAGCGGGTCATTTTCTGGCACAGGATGCGCCTGCTGTTGCGTTCCGCAGTGTTGAAGTTCTTGTGGGAAGGAGAGATGGGTTCGAGTCGACGAATACGTCTTTTACTATCGAGGGTAACGCCACGATGCCGACGGGAGAAGTTGGTAACGGTACTGTGGTGATGTTTCCACAGTCTATGGATCCCCAGTGCGGCCAGCTCACTGGAGCCGAGCCGAAAAGAAGCAACGGAATAAAAAGTTGGCTGGTGGATGGCCAATTGATTTTTGCTTCGGCTATGATGGCTATCCTGGTTGTGTTCATGGGATCCTGATGCCTTATATTTGACCAATGGGGATGAAGAAGTATACAAACTAAAATAGGTGCGAGGTCTTTCAAACCATCGAGACTATCAATCACTTGTTTTTCTAAATCGCAAAGTCAGTCGTTGACCAGCCTGTCATCAACCAAAGTTATCGCCCAGGGAATCACACCCTTAGTACCAGATGATCCGGCATGATCCCGCCTGGCCCTGGTCATCACGACATTCTTGATGATCAAGATTCCTATTAAGAATATTTTACCAAAAGATTCGCTGATTAGGGATCTCACTCAATGCTCGTATTTCTTATGCACGATGACAACATAATGCCAAAACCAGGAACCGGTCGGGGTCCCCACCATCAGTTTAATAACCTGATCTTACCCTGTGCGCAATGGAAAATCTGTTCTTCATTTCTTCTTGAGTGGCGCCATAAATGGTAGTCTTCATGGTTATCTAGAATACATTTCTCGGCTTATTCAGTGTATAGGTTGGCCTGGATACTTAGCTCTTAGTTCACAACAGCGAGCAAGACGCACTAACTTCCATGGAGAATACGAGCATCTACACTATCCAAATCCTTAATTGAATTCTGAGAGCGTTGCTGGAAAAGAACCTTCATGAAAGACTTTCGGAGTTCTAGATTGAGGGTCGAGGCTGTGAATACATCTGGCTAGTGCAAAGCTGGAAAGACGATTTAAGTAATCTCAACATTTTTTGACAGCATAGAAAGACAGGCCTGCTATCGGTGCGTGTCACGGATAGCATGGAATAACAGAATCTGAGTCAGACGTAGAACAGCCGGGAATATGCTTTGTGTAATATTGTCGGTGCTAGATTCTTAAGTGGTCAAGATGGTTTTTGCCCGTAAACTACATAGCTACGAGCGAGGTTAGTCTAGGGCTATCAGACAGGGCAAACCGGGTGATACTCACATTGGCCAGTATGCGTGGATTTCCCTATTTTTCAGATCGTTCCGTACCTCCGCCAAAAATACGTCCACCTTCTCTTTTGGCCAACCCAACAAACGGGTAAACACTGCAATGCAGAGACCCTCTAATCCCATCATGACGTTCTCATAATTCCAAGTACCTTGACAACTCATTAATGAAATGCTGCGAGACCACAATCATCTCTGGTGAAGGATCGAAAAGACCAATCTGCTCTTCCCGTTACGCCTTTGGAGGGGTTATGGTATGATACTCACCGAGTTCCTTGTGCCTAGGGTGTTTGGCCCACTGGTTTGTCGGCCATTTGAAGACAACTTCTTTCACGTTTACGAAACCCGCCTCCCGAAGCTGTTCTTTGTACTTTGGAGCCGCGCCAAACGGTGTACCCAAAGCTTCCGTCCCCTTTGAAAGCAACTGATTCCACTGATAAAGCGCGGAATTCTCTTGCAGAGTCCCATCATCTGAAGTAGCGATCGCTCCATCAGTAGCCTCTATCCATCCCCCAGGATTCAAGTTCTCATAAGCCTGTCGGAACAATTTGGGAAAGTCTCGGATTCCGCCTGTGTTCATTCGACTATGGATGAAGTCAAACTTCTGTGAAAACGACCACGGTTCTTCCTCAATATCCTCGATCTGGAAGTATGCATTGGGTGGCACGTAAGACGGCTGCACCGGGCTCAAATCGACACCTATAACAGTGGACCCCGGGTTGTCATCCGCAAACTCAATAGCCCAGATACCGGTCCCTGTGCCGACATCCAAGACGCGCTGAGGTGGTTTCTCGTGGTTCAAAGGAGATAGATGAAGCTTGTTTCCCATTGTGAGGAGAAAGAGGTTATGTTGAAGGTCCAGGCGGTCAAGTTCAAGGTCGTCATTGGGCATGAGGTAGGCGCCGTCCTTGTAGGCGTGGTATGTGCGGCCGTTCTCCTCACGATAGCGGAGAATGCTGCTGCGGAGAGACATAGTGGATGGCTGCACCTCGGCGCCTAAGGAGGAATCCAGATCAGATTCACCGCCTGCAGAATCGGTATCGCTTGCCTCGTCGGCGGTTGTTGTGGTAGAAACGGCATCGGCGTCTAGTATCGGCTCAGTTTCGACGAAGGCTGAAGCATAAGGTGTCTCTGGGGCGGACATGTTGAAGGTCCGACCGCTGAAAATCGATTTAGAGGACAAGATGTCATAGGACTGCGGCTTTACATAGACTGAATCTCTGGACACGCTGAAATGTTACGAGGATAGTTCCGAGTTGCAAGCAGACATTATGACAACACTTCCTCTTTTTCCAATAAGAGGATCCGCGTCCAAAGGTGGGAGAGCTAGAAAAGAGAGGTGTGATTCGTGGAGACGTCGGAGGGATATGTCTGTTGGTAATTAACTGGTGTTGGAAAGATAAAATAGTGAGCCAACACGCTGTTGGCCTTTGGCCTGTCAGCTTGCACCAACAGAAACTTAACGCGCTGTTCTAATTGGGCGAGACGCACCCCTGACAAGCAAACAACGCCCCCTGACACTACGTTCTCGCACACTCCCAAAGTTCACTTTCTTTGCTACTGGTGTTTCGCTCATAAAGTGGCGGTAGGTGCATAATCTTTAGAAAGCGATGGAAGAGAAAACTATCAAATATGACAACAAGGCCATTGAGATACCCCGCGGTTGGCCAATTGGGGATCTAAGAGGGGTGGTTGGGAAGTCTGGGCAACTATCGAACGATGCCAGGCGCCGACTCCACCCATATTGGCATGGTTGTCTGTCTCCTGCGGGAGAGCGGCGTAGGTGTGGACACAAGGATGTGTTTGAATGCAACCCCTCTTCTGCGCACCCGGATTTGGGTAAATTGGCTCATGAGTTTCCGGGGACGTAGCACTACTAGGAAACATCGGTAGTATCCGCGAGACTGCGACCCGGTTTCCGGGCTGTTGGCTGTTGAACAAAGAGGGCGAGCTTTCTAACTAGGTTGGATTGGCTTCTTCGCTGCATGGATTCAGGCTCACCACCCACCCCCTAAATTCAAAGCTATGCCAAGTCTATGACCATGGCTGCTGGGGAAGCTGAGTTGTAGCTCAAGTTTTCATGACTTCAACGTCATGATACAGTTAGGCCCGGTTAGGCCAGGGCTTTGCAACAGCCAATGTCTAATGTAATGCATAGACTAGCAGTCCTGTAATAGTGAAGCCTTTGGAGCACACCCTACTCTACTGAAGACTTCGCCTGATCACCCATCTTGTAAGCGTTTCTAGTGCCAAGCATGCAAAGACAAAGTGCTCATCGATGAACCTGATGCCTAATCAGTATTGGCTCGCGGAAGAAACGAAGCCAAAATGAGCATATAGCCAAGTTCACGTAGACCAAGAGAGTATGCTTGCCTCAAGAAATACTTTAGCAAAGAACCCACGCAAGAGTACGATGAGGCCTAGTAGCTTTCCCACAAGACCAACAACAAGTGAGCTCTCGGTGATGTCGGTCGGCCTCTCCCGAGCCCATTCACTAATTGTGGACAAGACATCACATAGGCAGGAACGTTTAATGGACGTTTCGTAATGAAGAAGAACCGTCGGTACCGAGACAAGAACGTGGGTTGTTCTGCCAAAACCTGCTTCATCTATAGTTCCACCCTACGCAGAGACCCTTAAGAAGGAGTTGTGGGAGAAAATGCTGCCAATCCCAACAGAGAGCGTATCGTTCAGAGGCTTCCACTATTTGTCTTGTATCGATGCAGACCCGAGATCACAAAAAGGTCTTATCGCTCATATGGAAGAGGCGATGACTCTGGATAAAAATGCCATAAACGCCTTCCCAGCGAAACTCAAACAGTTTCGCAGGGATCTCCATGTCAAGACCAACCTAGTTAAAATAAAGTTATCAGCACGCTTCGATCATCCATTACTATATCATCCATCTCACTGTCAACAATTGCTGTAAGCATCTGGAAACAGCCTACTGTATAACTCTAGATACTTCACTTCAGGATGATCCAATGGGTCGCAGACTCGGACATGTCCGCAACATAATAAGACTTGAAGATCTCTGTACGTCGACTACCATACAGCACCAAGGGTATTAATTAAATTGTGGCAGCGAGATGAGACTTAATAAGTATTTGTCTGAATAACATTTCATAGCAAGCATTCACCTTCTACTACCGTCTGCCATTGGTGATAATACTAAGTTCATACAACACCTCTCATAAATGTTATATATCCACTTTGCTCAAATCTACAGAAATCACGGATGTGAAATTGTAGACGTAGTAGCAGTAGCAGACGTGCGAGAACTCAGAAACACCGGCTCTTGTGGCTAGAAATGAACAAAGATGGACACAACGCTGGGTATTGCTCTGAAAGAAAACTGACCACTTATGACATGCTTCCCCCCCCCCCCCCCCCCCCCCCCCCCCCAACTTCTCAGTCGCTCATGTAATACTATATATAAACAGCGCAAAGCATCACGCTCCTCAAAAATCCCTATCCTGCCATCGGTTTCCTCCCTGTGATGAACCGGTAACTTGTAATAAGCCTATAGTCTTTGCTCCGGAACTCTCGTTTGACGCCTTCCATCAGCACTTTGGCCTGGTCCTGACTAAAGTTCAACACCCGAGTGAAGAGGGCTGGCGTGTGTGAGTCTACGGACATCTGCATGTGGACCAGTTCACAGCGACCAAGTTCCTTGAGGGCTGGTTCCTTAGCCCAAGGGCCGATCGGTATCTAGAAGTGTTAGTGCTTTTCTCAAAGAAACTCCTTTTACTCGTACAGGTTGGCATTCCATAGGAAAGACTTACCCTGTACACAAGCTCCTGCACATCCTGAAAACCAGCATCTACCATCCACTGCCTGTGATGCCTCGCCACGTTGATCTGCTTCCCATACATCTTACTCGCCTCATCCAGCTTCGTGACCCATTCCTTCGTCCAGATCGCCCTCTCGAAGCTATCGTCGTCGCTAAAAATCCACGCATCGTACTCCTGCATCTCGACCCAACCGCCCGGTTTCAGCCCGCCCATGACGCGGTCGTAGAACCTTGCCCAATCGGACGACGTCCCACTGAGCGCGCGGCCATGGATGTAGTCGAAGCGCTCCTCCTCGCGGTACGTCCACTCGTCCTCGTAGTCATCGACATGGAACTTGCAGTTCGTCGGGACCCATTCCGGCTGAATAGGCGAGAGATCCACGCCGTAGACATGCGCGGTGGGAAACTCGTCAGCCATATCAATAGCCCAGATCCCAGTCCCTGTGCCGAGGTCCAGGATGCGCATGTCAGCGGCTTCTTCGCCCTCCGGCGGCGGCAGAGGCGCGGTATAGAGCTGGCCTCCGAGGAGCAGACGCCAGATGTGGTGCTGCAGATCGAGGCGCTCTTGCTCTTGGTCGTCGTTGGGGAGAACGTACTGTCCCTCGCGATAGGCGTGATACCGACGGCCATTTTCGTACTGGTAGTGGAAAATGGATGAGGATATCGAGCTCGTGTAGGCGGTGCCACTGTCGGAACCATAGGCGGAGTCGTTATCTTCACCAGGGTTGGCAATATCGGTCTGTGGGACAGGGGAACGTTGTCATGTCAGCATGCATATCCCGGTCTTGCAGTAGATAGGCGTGCGGAAGCGTCTTACATCGACCTGGAGCGGTGCTACCGTCCCATCCTCGGCCGGATTAAGTAGATATTGGATACTCGTCGGTGCTATAGTTCGCGGGGGGGTTGTTGCCGCCGGTTCCGTAGTCAAAGGCGTCGGTGGTTGTACTGGCTCGGCGCTAGAAGGGGCGTCCGATGCCCGACCCGAGTCCACGGTACTGGGACCGCCCGTAGTTGACGCAGTCGACGTCATCGGATGAGGAAAGGGATCGGCAGCCAATGTGCCGGGTAACCTGAGCAATAAAGCGGTCGCTGAAAACTCTCCTGCTGCTGCTTCTGGGGCCTAATGTATTTTGATGTTGAGTGTGAAAGCAAAAGAGTTCTGAGTCTTTGAATGGGGAAACAGATACGTAAAATGTCACTCCGCATTGAGAGAGGCAAAGACTATCGACGAAAAAAAGGGCGGGTCGGCGGATTGTCCGGGAACCCAGCTCATAAAGGATTCTGGGAAAAGCCTTGCACAAAAGAACCCAGCAAACCCCGTTAAAGCACACAGGATACCAATGAGCAGCCGAGGGACTTCCCTAATCCGCTTTGAGCGCAACGTCCGTGCCGCCCCCGTACGTTATGATCCTTCAGCGGTCAGTTGCTAAACCCACATAGGGTCCGCTCCGGATCGCCATGTCCATATTCAGTAAGGTCGATGAGCATATTATGAAGTTAAAGAGACTCGTTTCTGCCAATGGATATCAAGTATCCTGCATAGAAGGATGACCCACTCTCATATCGACGCTTTGTTATCACCTTATGTACATCACTAAGGTACGAGTCTGACTTAGCGACCTTTGAAGTAGTCTCGGTGACATTGTCTCACCCTACTAGTGCCTGAGCGAACCGAGAGATAGCGTGAGGGCCTGGCTCGTCATGAACGCGCGGGGAAGGGGCCGCAGCGGAGAGGCAGCGAATTTCTCTGCCGCAGATTTTAATCCTCTTTGGTTGAGCGGTCTTGACATTTTTCACCTAACAAGGTACGGAGTGTATGAAACCCGGAACTCGAAAGTCAAGGGCAAGCTCAAGTCACTTGTCACTACTCAAAGTCACCATCTCTTTAACGAGACCAGTCTGTCGCTCACACCACTGCCGCACCGCTACGCCTCGTCGTCCCTCACATCTTCTCGACCCTCACCGCCCATCTCATTTGTCCTCACGCGTCACCTCCAACGGCGATGACCCAAAAGCTTATTGCCGTTGTCGGCGCCACGGGCAATCAGGGAGGCTCTGTCGCCCGCCGCTTTCTGGCTGCAGGCTACCGCGTCCGCGCACTTACCCGTAATGTCGACTCACCCTCCGCGGCCGCCCTAGCGGCCCTCGGCTCCGACGTGGAGCTTGTGAGCGCGGACCTCGAAAACGTCACGTCTCTGGAAGAGGCCTTCCGTGGCGCCAATGTCATCTTCAGCGTCACAAACTACTGGGAGCCCTTCTTTCGTCCGGACTGCCGCGCAAAGGCAGAGGAGCAAGGCATTTCATGCCGGAGGTTCGCATACGATGTCGAATACCGCCAGGGCCACAATATTGCTGATGCCGCAGCTACGGCGCTAGAGTCGCTTGACGATAACGGGTTTCTGGTCTCGACACTTAGCCATGCTGAGAAGTGCAGTGGTGGGCGGTTCAAGGAACTGTATCACTTCGATGCGAAGGCCGACGTCTTTCCCAACTATGTGAACGCGAAGTATCCCGCGCTGGCGGCCAAGATGTCGTGCATCCATACGGGGTTCTTCTACACAAGTTACAATATTCTACCTAACTCATACTTTGGCAAGGTGTGCTACTGTTCTTTCTCTTATTGGAACATGCATGCTAATCCTTCCAAAGAATTCCGATGGTACATTTACCATGGCTTTCACCACCTCTCCGGACAAACCTATTCCTCACTTTGCCCCAGCAAGTGACATGGGCAATTTTACATATGCCGTGTCCCAAATGCCACCAGGGAAAGCTTATATGGCGGAAGGAACGACCTGCACTTGGCCACAGTTCCTTGAGACATGGGCCAAGGTGACGGGTGTGAAGGCGGATTATAAGCAAATCTCGCCCGAAGAGATGATTGAAATGACGGGAGAGCGGGACACAGGCATCGAAGTCGCGTATATGTTCTCTTACTCGTCCGATCCAGGTTATGACGGCGGTATGGATCTTTTGACTGCCGCGGATCTTAGAAAGGTGAGATACCCAATCATCAGTGACAGGCAGGGGACCTGCGTCGGGATCTGCATCTTTACCAACAGAGGGAAGCATACTAACCGAAACAGAATGGCATTGGCTGTCCCATGACGACGTGGGAGGAGTGGGTTAAGCAGAACGACTGGAGCTCTGTTCTTAACAGATAACTGGCAAAAGCGCCGCACTCTCATTCCAAGGTCAATGGGAAATTCAAGTTTACCCTCCAATCTGTCGTAACCGGGCTCAAAAAGAGGTCGGATATTGGTGTTCTTGAGAGTCTTGCACGCATCCTTGTGATTCATCTCGATCCAACCGAACTCTTGGCACTCCTGTACATATCCGTCAGTGTTGGACATGAAGAGGATTATGAACGGCTCTTACCGCGTTACAGTAAAAGTAAAAGCCACACTTGCTGCAATTCAAGAGTTTCTTGCCTCCCTCAGCTGTATCACCACTGCATGACATTCCTTCGAGATGGTGCCGTTGCCTATATAGTCACGCAGCTCGCGGTTGATACGAAGAAGCCCATCAGGGCAGACAGGGAAGGTCTGTATCATGACGTTATATCAGCATGTGGCGATCTCTTTTTCAGGTCTCCAGAACGCCATTGAATATCGCTCTACTGGGAGACCTTACGCGAAATCTGGTGCTTTCGCCGATAACGACGCCCTCAAACCGGCTGGTTGTCTGATCATTGGCGACGTGCATGATGTTCTGGTGCTCGGGGTGGAAGACGGCAATGGTGCGTCCATTGATGAGTGTAGAAGAGGAGCTACGAAAATTGCTTTCGATAGGGTAGAAGATGTGGTAGTCATGTCCCGCCTTGTCACGGACCGTGAGATTGAGTATCTTGGCATCCATGTTGACGTGCTCGACCTGGGCCAACAATACTCAGTGCTTGCGGCGGTAGTTGTATATTTTTCAAGCAGGCGCGTGGGTCCTGGAAATCGGCAATTAAAGTCACCGTGCTGTTAATATGTGCTGTTTCTTGATGGTTGGTGGGAAGAAGAGGTTTTGACGGAATCTAGGTCTGACACAGGAAAAGAAGAACAGCAATGAATGGCTCAAGAATTAGGCATTTCCTGGAAAGAATTGGGAAAGAAAGAAGTGTTCCATTTTGTGATTTTCCTGGTTTGCATTGACACGCCTTTTATGAGATATCAGCAATCAACTAGGACTGACAGCACGCGCATGTCTGAATATTTGCTACCGGGCGATGTATATGACAAACCTAGATGCGTGTTCATACAGAACAGGAACAAACAAGTCTTGGCTCTTTCAGAGTCCTGAAAGCTCCACGTACAAGCTTACAACATCAACTATACCTGAGAGTGCGTTACCAGTTTGGTTGCTCAGTAAACAAGTGCGGCAACTGGCATTTCAAGGCCACATTATTAAGCTTTGGATGGTTGCCACACAAAGATACTCGTTCTGCCAGAAGATCTTGGCAAGGGGTAAGGAAATACATGAAAATGTGCATTCTGACATGAATACCACGAAAGAAAACGTTTGTGAAACTGTCTAGCTCCAAAAAAGAACACAATATCTGATTTTAACTAGTTTTTTTATTTAGACAACGAACCAGTTTTGACAATGATTTAGCAATGTACTTGATGAAATTTCGGGCTCCAGTCAGGGTTTATGATGTTAACAGTGTGACCGACGCTAAAGCAGCTGGGACGGTTCGTGACAATCTACTGGGGAAACGTGAATTTGTACCTAACGCCATCATTGTCGTCGACGATGAGGTGGACGCAGACGAAGTAGATATAAATCTCAGTCTCCAATATAAATTGGTGGCACCTGAGCTTAATGAATAAACGCTGCGCTCGTACATGGTATTTTGACTGACGAACCTTGAGCCTCAAGTCGACTCGCAGGGTCTCTCGACGCTAAGGATCAAGGGAGGCTTCTGGATTCCCAAATATTCTATAGGTTGAACGAAGACATCAAAGGATTGATTTTGAGAGATCCACGATGAATTTGAAAGAAAGGTTTCGGAAGAGGAGATCTAGCTTCTTGCCAGCCTGTAGTCGTTGAGGTGGCTGTGTATTACAAAAAGATTGTTGACTTATAGGCTAGCTCTGTTGGTGTTGTTGCATAGTTATCAGGGAAGTGCTCAAAACTTCAACTACTTGGACATAGAGGGTATCTTGATGTCAAAGGAATCTCGTCGTTACCAGTCATAGTGCTTAAACAATGCCGTATTGAAACTGTACTTATGATTACTTATTTGCTTTGTAAAGATATGCACCTCCCTTGTTTCACCTTCGCATAGATTCCATTCCATCCAACTTTGTCATAAGACACAGAGCTACGTAGAGCTCCAAGAATAACATGGCAACAGGTTAGTAGACCGGAACCTTAAAGGCATCAAGCGTGTACATCCAGCTGTCAATGGAGGCTTGGTCATACACGCAGTCAAACGCCGTGCCGTCATTCGACCACAACGGCCGCAGAGGCCAACGGCAGAGCGTATCGATTCCCACCCCCGTATTGTTCAACGTATCAGGCGCATTACCCTTTTCAACCCACTCGATCACCGTCTGCAGCGTCGTTTGCGGCCACCCGCCGTTGGGCTGGTTCGTGTTGGATCCGCAGTGAGCGCCGCCGGGCACTAGGTACAGCCTGTAAAACTCGTCGAGCGCCGCCGAGCTCTCGTTGAGACCCTGACCAGGGAACATGACGGTCCTGACGGATTCGTAATAATGCACCGACGACCCCGCAGGGATCGAGTCGTCTTGCTCGCCGTGCACGTGGAGGATCTTGCCGCCGGCGGCCTGGATGCCGCTGAGATCCGGGTACGTCGTCTGTAGGGAGTCGGCGTATCTGTTCATGCCGAGTAGCATCCAGTCGCGTAGTGTGTCAGCGGTGACGTTTGTCAAGGACTCGAGCGTGCTGGTGTCGCGGAGTTGGAGATAACGCGCTACCCATTCGCCGCCGAGGCTGGAGATGCTTAGACCCCAGCTCTGCGTGTCCTCGTCAAAGGCGGTGCTGGCGTCAGTAAAGGATGAGCCGGTTTGATAATTAAGGTAAATCCGCTTGCCCTCAGAGTCCAGAAGGCCGTCGTAGTACTCGGCTACCAGGGCGGCGGCTTCGGCAGTGACGGTGCCGTTCTGGGCTGGTGTTGGGTTCGTGGGCATCTGGCGACGCTCCAGGCCATCAAAACCGCCGGGCCCGCTGTTACCGGTCTTGGCTGTGCAAGTGTAAGGTTGACCGACGGTCGTGTTGAAGTCGAACGTGCTCTTGCATAGGTCAGATCGTGCAACAACGCCATCGGTTTTGCCATCGAGGGGGTCGCAAGCAGTGATAGTCAGGTTAAGGATCTTTTCGAATTCGCAGGAAGGAGGAAAGTAGTTTCGTGTCTGCTCCATGACGTTTGCTGCAAGGTGGTTGACTTGCTGCTGTCCGTCTTTTTAGATTGTAAGTACATTGAACTCCGGGCTCGTTACACATGAGTCACTTACATCTGAAAGCAGGCGCGCCAATAGCAAGACCATCGAACTGGTCCGCAAACCTCTGAGCCTGGCTCCATCCCTCGCGACCTCCTTCGGAACAACCCTGGTAGTACGAATAGATCTTTTGGCCATCCGCGAGGCTGTAGAATTTCTTGGTGAACTCTTTGCCAAGCGTTGCTAACTCATTATGTGCCTGGTATCCAAACATGTAGACCGACTGCCAGTTGACCGTGCCGTTGGCCGCAAGGAAAACAGCGTCCCATTGTGTGTTGAAAGACCCGAAACCGCCATCGGTGATACCTGAAACGGCACCGACGATGATGCCCGTGGGGATGTATTGGCTCTGGGAGTTGATGGCAAGGCCGCCGCCGCCGGTAGAAACGTAACGGCTCTGGAAGTTTTCAGGGGCAGGCACCCAATAGGTAACATGGACCTTGTCGCCGGCAAGGCCGTCATGTGAGTAGGCGAAGGTGACATTACAGTATTCAATAATGCTGGTCGGATACCATTCGGAGCTGACGGATGCGTTGCTAACCACAGATGCCTCTACTGAAGAGGTGTCGATTGTGATGCCAGGGATGAAACCGGTCGCGGGGAGAGCTTCTTGTGCGTGAGCTATGGTGCATACTTCGGCAAGCGTGGCGGCGCTGACGATGGCTGGAGCGATCGCAGCCACGAAGGCCAAATAAAACGCGGGCATGTTGGAGGAGAGTCGACTAGATGCGTGACTAACCTAACTCACTACCTAAGAGAGTAGAAGAATGAGACTGCTAAGGTAAGTGTGACCGTAATTCGCGATACATCTTCGGACTTGATGGGGGAGAGCCACAGTGATATACACAATTGAGCTTCCCTCGTGGCCAAAGCCCCTTAGCACCCCCTTTTCCGCGCGGCATCATCGGGCTCGCCTTGGCACTTTACGGGCTACTCCATGTTGACCATTTCCGACATTGCACCGCATTGGCAGTCATTCAAAGCAGCGTGAGTGCGTCACCTTTCGAAGAGAGGCTTTGTCGAGGAGGCAATGGCCGGTGCAGCGTGGGCCAAAAGCGAGCTGGCGACCGACCCAGACTTAATATTGCTCGGAACAGCCCCATATTTGACACGGAGCCACCTAGTTTGGCACGGCTTGGTTTAGCGGCGTCGGACCAGCCCCGCCGCCACTTTGGGATACTGCCGCCCGTCAGGGAACATTGCATGACGAAGTAAAGACACAATATGAGGTACCGTATTTCCGTGATTTGTTACTACTTGTCGCTCGCCGAGCTGGACACCCGACAGAGGAGGGTTTCGGCCAAAGGCTTGTCGTGATTCGTAGGTGATTCGTCCGCACTCAAGTCATAAGGCAATCCTTATTCTCAATATGCAACTGAGCAATTAAGCCTCTACCACTTCTACGAGCTTTTGAAGGGCTCATAAGCATGGTGATATGTTGTCCTAGACTTCTGTTCGGCATGGGAGCTTAGATGGGGGAGGGGACATATAAGCTACAGCGCTCCATATCGCGGAACCTGGCAAGAAAGCACATGCAGGATGAAGTCCCCGTTCATCGAACTATGCTTGCCAAAACCCAATCGGGGTTTCTTCATTATGCAGATATACAAATAATTTGTGCTACATAGGCTTCGAACACCGCATGCAGGGTACGGCGGGCCGTACTTGGCCTGGTATTGCGTCTGTAACATACTCCTGCCGCACGTGTACCTTGCCCTCTGCATCTCGCTGTAAAAACGACACGGTTCGTCGATACATGATCGACCCATCTTCGTGCTTAATCACGTCGAGTTCGTGGTCTATCGGCGCCGCGAAGAAGCGCTTCTCCTCCGGCGGGAAAGATAACTGCGCGAAGGCGGTTGGGTTCTTCTCTATCGTGCCGTCCTCCAGAGAAACTCCGTGCTCGAGCTCAACTCCAAGCCGGCCGACTCTGTATAGTGTACCGATATCGACAAACCCCTCCTTGGGCGCTGCGATATCAACCATCAGAGCTAATGACTCCAACCGAATCTGCAAGTCGCGGCATTTAATGGATATGAATCCAAGCGTCGACAGGAACCCGCTCTCAAATGTGAAGCAGGCTTTTGGGCGTTCGTCGGGAAACGTCTCCCTTAATTGGGACGCGTGGCGTGCTAGCGTTATGATCCTGCGAAATCCCGCCGTGTGCTTGTCGAATCTCGTCTCCGAAGTGCCGTTAATCGTATCGATCTGTATCCGTGCCATTTCGAACTTCATCATCATGTTACAGATTGCCATTTTTGTCGAAGATTCAGAGGAGGGTATAGTCGCGTCAAAGTCGCTCAGTTTCGTGTGGAACTGTTGCAAATTTCTCTCGATATCTTGTCGGTCGACGGCGGAGGCGTTTCCGGATGACACGTACTCGATCATGTGCACCGTCAGATCGTCAATCGCGCTCTGAGCCTCCGCGACGCTTTCGAATTTCTGAGGTATAGGGACTTCGAAGCCGATGAGCCCCGGCACTGCCGCATCCGGCGGTGGTTTGGCGCCGAGGTAGAACGAAGCGAAGCTGAGACGCCTGAATATTGGCATTAGGTACTCGCGGGCCCACGAGGAGCATCCTACCCGGTTGAGGATCATAATGCCGTGCTTACAATGCCGCAGCGCCGCCTCGACGTCGCCTTGGAGATACTCAATGCAGATAAAGAGTATGCACACCAACAGCACGAGCTGCTCGTCTTCTGCGGACTTGATTCGCTGGATCGCCGCACTATAATGCCTCAGCGCGAAGTCGTTACCGGGCTTCTGTCTCGTGACGCGAGCGCCGCCATGGAAGTCCTCGTAAAGCGAGCTGATTGCCAGAACGGCATGGCGCACGGCAGGCTCGAAATGGCTGAACTGCACAACCAGATGGGTCCAGAAGTAGGTGTCCATCGGCCCGGAGAGGACGGGACCGACCATGTGGGAGAAGAATTGGAACGCCCTGCCCTCATGTTGGTCGTGGGCGGTGAGCTGCTGCGGGCGGTACCACGATAGGCCGTGTTCATATGTCGGCTCGTAGCCGGCGCATTGGCGGCCGCTTGTCGTGCATCGTTTGCATTTGGGCTTGGTCTCGTCGCACTTCACCTTTCGAGCTCTGGGTTTCTGGGGGTCAGCCCGGGATGATCCAAAAGGTTAATGTGCCAGCAGCGAAACCCACTTGCATGTCCGACAGCCTGTCTTCACCTTTGGGCTGCCCTTCCGGGGCGGCATATCGCGTAGGCGAGATGGCGATGGCCACCAAATTGAACTTCTCTGCCTTATTTTGTTTCTCTTGATGTGGGGCAAAGCCGAACTTGTTTGACGAACGTTGGTCTCGTAACAGCAAATCAGACAACGAAAGTCGAGGATATTGGGGTATTTGGCGGCGCTTGGCGCTAGACAAGGTCAGATGAACGGGACATCAGTCAGAAACGGGGCCAGAGCGAGGTAGTCGGTAGAAGAGGGCAGGTTAAAGACGATTATGCCTAGGCAAGGCGTTAGAGAGGGAGAAATGTTTCGAAATCCTGCTGTACGCTCCAGACGGAGGGAATAAGCTCTTATGGACTCTTATGGGGCAAGTACGAGCACTTCCAGCCAGTAAGGCGCGTAAGTGGTTGCAAAGGGGAAGTCTCCATAATCACTTGGAATGCTCGCAGGAGGGGTTGATCCCTGTTCAATGTACCCGAATCCGAGCTAAAAAAATTGCCAACATTGCTCTAAACTGGCTTGCCGGTGTCTTGAATGAATGCCGTGTGGGGAGTGACCCCACACGGCCGAGACTGCCGGGATGTGGGGATCTGCCGCTCCGACCCGGCGACGGAGAAGGTCGCAACGTGAGAGGGCAGCCGTGGTTGTCTATTGCCCGATTCAACGGCTGACGGAGCCAGAGTTGAGTTTATTCGAAAAGGGATATTCGAAGTGCTTCTCGACTGATAAACAAAACAGTAGGCTATCTCCTCACACGCCACATCGTCGGCTCATATACTTTCCAGGTTTCGGCCTCGGCCTCCTCCGCCGCTTCTTAATGGGATCATTCAGTTTCCTCCAACTTCCGGGCATAGGCAATGTGGTTGCAAGTATCACAAACAACAGTTCCTAACAAAGTCATGACTGGACACAACTCACACCTTCCAGTACGCATGCATCTTTCTGTTATGCAAGTCCTTTCGTACCCCAGTACAAAGCACAATGACCTCCTCCTTGGACCAGTCTTTCACAGATGAGAGTCCGCGGGCCACGAATTGAGCGGCCAGATGTAATCCTTCCGGGTGATGTCGACGAAGCCGGCCTCTTGAAGAAGGCTATGCCACTGCCAGGGGTATGAATCTCTGGGCACACTGTCGTCGTCACAGCCGGGCGAAAGTTCCAATCCTCCGATCTCGAGGTAGTCGCCTGGCTTCAGAGCTCTGTAGATGGACTGTAAACCCCTAAGTCCTTACAAGCAGAACTACAAAGAACCTGGACGCGTACTTACTGGTAGATTTTCTTAACCATCTTCGGCGCGTCTAAAAAGCAGCCTTCCATGCTTCTGCAGTTGATGAAGTCAAAGGGCTCATGCCAGGTCCAGCTCTTCTCCACATCACCCACCTCGAAGCTGCAATTAGGAGGGGCCCTGAAATACTCATTAAAACTTAACAAACAACGTTGATAAGTAGAGGCCATCATACTCACCATTCAGGCTGAATAAGACTCAGACCAACACCGATGACCTAGCAGTGTCAGAAGGTGCCTGTTGTCGTGTGCGCCTCACCGAAGAGTCAAATCTGAGTCGATGGATACTCGCCCGCTATTATTTGTCTAGCCAGAGTGGATCCTGGTTTGGTGGAAATAGATGTCATACGGGAATCGATTGCCCAAATGCCAGTTCCTGTATCCATATCAAGAACACGCTTGGCTGTCTTGTGGCCTGGAGAGATTGCCAATTCACCATTGAGGCAGGTTATCCAAATGAAATGTTGTAGATCTTTGGAATATAGTAGGCTCCTGTTGGACTGACTGTACCAGAAAAGTTACCCAGGCGGTCGCTCTCTCGCTGTCGTCGGAATCAGAGTCAGAGTCAGTGAGTGGTTTCACGGAACGTACTGAGCACTATTGGAATCCCCGAGCCCCTACCACGTCATTGGGTGAACTGCATTCTATAATCACCTCAGTGATGACGCCAACGCAGTTATTGGGTATAGTCACGCACTTCCAGTGCTCATGGAGTGGCAAGTCTGGCCATTCTCGGCTTGGTGTTCCAGAATGCTCGAACCCAATGAGGCCAAAGAGGAGTTCTCACAGAACTAACTCACAGCAAGACTTAGTTAATAGTCGGGCTCAGAGAAACCAGTATAAGTCGCTGGCTTTTACAGGACGAAATTACTTACGTCACCGGGCTCCGACGCGCTGTCAGCTTCCACGACATAGAAAGCGTCTGATCTTAGTCCACATCGCGACAGTCATCTTGGTGGGAAGAGACCACCGTCTGATCGTGTTGAGGGCTCTGCATTTTCGGGTGCTGCCATGTTCAATGGAGGGAAAATGAAGTGATTCGACTTGCTCAGGGCCTATCCGTGTGAGCGAGCACCCAGTGTAACAAAGACCGGCAAGTTCGGGATTCGTGCGAAAGCCTGTTATACACGACCCAAAGTCGTGAGAAAATACTTACCTTGACCAATCTCGACGAGACTTCACAAAACCTAACCCTTTGAATGGGAAGTGATAAATCAGCCCCTCTCGCTGTCACATTGTTGAGGAGGGGGCGACGGTCTTTAACACGGACCGACCCCTGCTTCTCCATGTCTCGCCTAGATCCTCCAGAATGCTACGGCAGCATGATGTCAAGCACACCTCCATAGTTGGTGCTTGACTTCCGATGATTGAGGGGAACAATGCAGAATGGAAATTGATTCCAGGGTGCTATTTGCATTGCCTAATTAGCACAAACAAGTTAATATATCATTGGGTTGAGGTTCGCTGCTGGTTGGTTTTTTATAGGCCGACGCACCTCCGCTTGGTAGCTGGCTAGCCAAAGATTGTTGACAAAGATCTGAAACACGCACCACCATGTTTAGAAACGTAAAATGACTTGCAAAAATCTCTTGCGAAGGCGTTGCAAAAGCTTGAACTACCCTTGCGGTGTAAGTATCAGACCAACGAAGAGGCGACGATTGAAAGGCATAACTAAACTGTGTAAGCAAATGTCCGACAACAGAGAATATATCGAGCCAGAGACTACGAATGTTTCGAGTGGAGGTAAATCTAAGAACATCGAAGAACTAAAGGCATTGTTGGGGAAAACTCTTGAGGTGATGTGGTCTGTATCTACAAGGTGGCTACGTGTGCTTCATCCTATAGCACCATGGCCACGAAGGGCACTTGTGAGCCACCAATAAGTGCGAGAGTCCGAATTCCCACCGAGCCAGGATCGATACCCCAAGCCCAAAACTCAAGTCTTCACAAGTAACACCCAAACATTCACTCAACCCCTTTTCCGAGCCTCGTCCTTTCTAAACGAGGCGTGGCAGCTTACTACACAACTTACGGCCCAACACACGCGCCTAATCCTGCAGCCCTTAACGCCCTCCGCGGGCGCCCGGACTACGACTCCTGCATGCTCCTACTCTCCGACCATCAACTCTCCATGGACTCGGGCGAAGTTTACTCCTCTTCATATCCCCCCCTTGACCTCCTCGCCATCCCTTTTGCGCACACCCCAGGCCGAAATCGACACCACGTGGGATCTCTGTAAGCTCTGGACCATGATCAGACGAAGCCGCCAGGACATTGACGCCCCTCGTCAACGGACCCTCGAAATCTAGCGCGGCGTCCACGGCGCGAATTGGACGATTGACAGCGCGAGGCGGCGAAACGGAGGAAGAAGCGCAGGTGTCCAAACTACTGATCCAGTGCTCGTAGCAGCGCACTCTGTTGGTCAGAAGCATTGACATTGATTTGGTTCACACATGGGCCACCAAAGGACCAAAGTGCATCGTGGAAACCACCAGAATCTCATGACATGGGCCATATGCCGACCCCATGGTCTCATTACTAGTTAAAAATGGTATCTATGTGCCCCGTAGCAAAGTGTGGTATCATAATTCCGTGACCTGAGCAAAGTAACTCCGCGAGCTTTTCCATCTGAGAACCCCAAACCACACTCCAAATACCATGTATGATAACACCATACCTCGCCGTTTTTGTGCATGATTCATAATTCTCCAAGTCCATGGCATTCTGCCTCCAATGAGATGAGACAAACGGCCACCATTGTCTCCCATTGATATTCAGAGCTCGTCCTCATCGAGCTCGAGAAGGTCAAGGAGACTAGGATGGGGCTCGCCGCAACAGGGGCAGACGCCAAGCTCATCATCATCGCCCATCATCTCTTCAATGTCTTCCATAGGATAGCCACTGCTACGGCAGAATTCTGTCCACTGACGTTCCTCGCCATCTCGAGTCTTGGGAACCTTCTTCCAGATGGTGAGATCCTTGCGGTTGGGTGCAGACTTGGGATGGCCGTTCTCCTGAGGAGCAGGCGGCATGATGGGTTCGCGGGGATGGTGATGGCCCAAATCAGACTCCGAATCCGAGTCAATGTCGTCCGCAGAGGAACCATCGCTGCCCTTCTTTGGCTTCAACGTCTTCCAAGCTCGAACGACACGGGCGCAGCTAGAGATACCCGGAAGGGGCTTCAAGGCATTCTTCAATTGCACAAAGGAGGGAAGACCAGCAAGGAAAAGGCCCTCGTCACGCAAGAGACCGGTGAGCTCAGCGGTCGCCTTGCTGCCTGCGTCGTCTATGGGCAAGCCAGTCACTTGCAGCTCGTTGAGTGAGCAACCCAGCTCGTGGGAAGCCATGTCGTGTAGATCGCTGCCAGGCATGGGTAGGAAGTCGTCCAAGAAATTGACGAGGTCGATTCTGAGAGACTCGAGTCCCGGGAAGAGCCTCGGGCGAACAAGCTTCCTGTCGTGCTTCGGGTCGTAAGGGGCACGGAGGGCGCGCAAGAAGTCGGTCACCTGACCCCAAGAATAGCAGCGGAAGCCACCGCGGGCGTAGGTATGCTCATTGATGCGAGGGATTGTCCGCAGTGTGATATCGCTCTTGAGGGCCGGATGGTAAGATCGCTCCAGCTTGTGCTTACGCTTCTTATCGTCGAAGAACTGGGCAATAATGCGAAAATCGATATGCTTGATGTTCTTGCGGTACGCAAAGTCCAGATCGGTAAAGTTCCGAACGGCTTCGTGCGTTGTAAATGCGAAGGAGTTCTGGCTCCACAGAATGCGACTGCCCTCCTCGTGCATGGCCTTGCATGTCGCCAAGAAGTGGATAGCAATCTGGTTGCTGCGACTTCTCTCCTGAGGGGTTAGGTTCTCGGGCTTAAGCTTTGACAGAGGATCAATGATATAGTACTTGGACGTCAAAGAGTACTTCAGGATGCGCAGCAAGACTTCGGTTGGCAGATACGGATACGGATGAGTCTCGGAGCAGATGGATGAACGAGTGCGTCGACCAGCGCGGTTCTGCTTCTGGTACGCCGCAGAGATGGGCGACCAGGTGATGCCGTTGTCGCGGAGAAGCTTCTTCAGTCTCGCATTCTCGTCGGCAAGCGCCTTGTTCTTGGATCGAAGCGGATGATTGTAGTGAGCTTCGGCCTGGTCCTCAACGTCACGACACTCCCATGGCATGATTTCCTGGATGTTGGTCAGCTCGCGCAACGCAAACGACAGTTGTTAAACCTAAACGCACCATGTCTCGATGCGCCATGGTGGTTGAATTGATGTGCTGCCACCTAAAGACTTGGAGAAGTTTTTGAAAGGTTAGTCAGCTGGGACAAATGCAAAAGGATTGTGTCCGATTGACGTGGTCGGTGTGTCGCGAGTGATGAAATGGACAAGTTTGTCAACTAGACAAAGTATGCCGCCGGTCGATAGTCCGATGAGCGTTAGTGACGAGGTTGGTCGCCGAATAAGTTCACCCGACGTCTGAAAAGGCTGAGGAATTGACAGATCGGAACAACTTTCGGTGGTACAGGGTATGACGGGTCACTGAAGTGAGTTGAGCTTGCGACGATGCGACCCACGATTGGAGTGGAAAAGGTGAAACGAAGGTTTGAGGAAGAATGTGGTTCGGGCGTTCGTCCTGACGTTGTGGAGGGGCCGATTCGGAATGTGAGTTGGAGTGAAGAGAGTCAGCCCAAGCCCACGGTCATAAGTCAAGTGGGTGGTGGGTTGGCGACTGATTGGGGAAGGGAGAAAATGAAGTGGTGTCGAGTCGTGAACGAAGGAAGTCGGCAGCCGCGGGTGATAATGGCCGACTGACTGACTCCTGGCTGTAAGTGACCGGGTTGTAAAGTGTGCAGAAGAGGTTGAGTAGCGCCGGAACGTTATTGCCAGGTCGCTCCTGAGTCGGCGTCGAGCCGAATGAGCGTTTCCCGGGTGTCGCTAAAGTCGTTTGGTCGGGACGGGGAGTAAGGCAGCTGCTCTACTGCGAGGGCAAGAACCGTTGTGGGTGAGATCAGCCGTATCGCCCTTCATCAGAGGATACGGAGTGGAGAGAGGGAGATGACAGAGGGGGAATAAAGAGGGGGATTGAAGTTGGAAGAATAACCACGAGGGGGATAAAAGGATTGAAGATGACCAAGGGGAAAATAGGCAAGCGACGCTGGAGGTGGCAGATCTGCGCGGAAGGTAAAGCAGACGGGGGCAGGTGGAAAGTGCGAGAGGTGGTGGCTGATTAGTGACCGTGACCGTGAGTGACTGCCCAGACTTCACCAGAGTGCGGAAAGCAACAGCAGCACCACTAGGCCGACAGCCTTCAAGAGCAACAGCGGTAGCCGACTCGTTCTAGGCAATGTCTCCCCGTCTCAGCTTTGACGATTACCGATGTCCGCCGAAACCCCGACCAGGCCTACTTATGGGCGGGCAGGAGCTCTTTGCTTCTGCTTTCCTTTCCCAGTTGAAGCAAGTATCTCTCTTTATTCATCGGAAGGACAGGCCGCATGCATTGAGATGGAGGGAGATGGTCCTTGGTAATGGAAAGGTGCCCACGTCAGAGCAGGTGTTGCCGGTGCTGTGCTATTATACGAGTCCACATTGCCTTCGTCTCAGGTCAGGCAACTGTTCAACCACGGCAGGCGCAGCCATACCGGCAAAAAAAAGGGACACTTAAGCGACTGCCACGACACACAAGTCATCAGGTGCAGCAATTGGCCGATTGGATCTGGATGAGTGGGGTGGGCTGCGACTGCCCGCCGATTACTCGCAGCTGCATTGGTTGAAGATTTCCATGGGCAGTCAGTCAAATGGGGGAATGACGATGCGACTTCCCATGGGAAGGTTGAGAGGAAGAGACGCGAGGGAGGAAAACAGAGCGCTCCGGGCCCCTTTGCCGACCTGACATGGAGGGAAAGAGCTTGGGAAAGAGGGGAGGGGGATGGATTGGATGGGGAAGAGGGCAGGGTGTGCGCAGGGGTAGATGCCTTCCGCATTTGCTTTCCGTGTCTTGCTCCTGTCCGCTCGAAACTTTTTTGCCAGGGGAGCAACAGGCACTCTAAGGCACTTTCCGAGATCGTGCTGCGGCAGGCGAATGAAAAGAAGGGACTTCCTGGTACACTGTCATTACTCTCTACCTTTGACGTGATGTTGTTCTGCTTCCGACTGGCGGGGACCGTCTTTGGCTTTATGGCTTTCACAATCCATGGGCAACGTTAGAAGGAGCTGCCTGAAATGACACGAGAAACCGACCAGATGCAACGTCTGACATAGAAAGGAAAACAGACAGGAGGAGGTACAGAGTACATGCCCACTACCGTACGGTGCGGATAATTCGACGCAACTTCCCGAGCTATCTCACGATCGATGTTTGGCGGCAGGATCGGATCCCGCCTGTGGATGTCTATCTCGACATGAATTAAACAAAAACGAAAGAAGAACCGTGCCACCAGAGGTGGGCAAGAAACGGAGCTCACGCCACGCAAATAGGTTTCCTTGTGAGGCTGGACTTTGTTTGGTTGATGCTGTCATAGCCTCGTGTCTGTGCAGACGCACGGTGGGGAGAAGCCACACGGATCGTACCCCGCGATGACCTCTGCACAACGACCACAAAAAGGTCCAATATGCCCATCATGAACTACCCATACGAGATGCTTCTTCCCATTGAGCCTTTACATCTCTCACACAGGGCTGCTGAATGTGCAAGGCTCAAGCCCCCTCCATATGTTCGCTCATCGCGTTCGCACCTCAACTCCCCGACATGCCCCTGTACTCAATGCAAGTCGGATCCAATTGGAGCCATCTCCTGGCCATTGCTGGCGTTGGAAAAAGAGCAGGCGAATCAAGCAAGACGATCAATGATGAATTATCCCCATAAAATACGTCCATAGAGGTACCCATTGAGCCACCGTTCCCACGAGTCTCGCCCCTTCTATAGCAATTTCTAGGTGTCGCAGTAAACCGCAGGTGTTCCTCCTCCGCTCTTGACGTCATCATGTCTTGCCAATTACAGCTCAGACGGCTCAAGCTCCTCACTTCTGCGCGACCACGGGCAGGTAACGTGCTTTTTCGATGATGAAATGATCATGCCTGCCACAGGTAGCTACAGCGATGAGGTCAGCTCGCCTAATAGGTTCAAATAGTAGACTTCTCGACTACAAAGTGACTTCTCTCCCCCGTATTCCTCACGGTCCATCTTCACGACCACTCACATCGACTGATCTGATAAACATTCAACACTACCGGGAAAAAAACCACAATACACCCAAACGCCCGAAGCACAATCGCAATGTCGTTCTCCAACGCAGACACCGGCAGCAAGACCGCCGACCCCTACAAGGCCGCCAACCTCGATAATGACGTTTCCGTTAAGGAGAAGGTCGAGGCGTTCGTCAAGTTCGCCGAGAAGTCCAAGTTTGGCATGATGACCACCAGAGACGCAAAGTCTGGCGCCCTGGTCTCTCGTGCCATGGCTCTCGCCGCCTCGGTTCGTACTTCCCCCAGCCTCTCTCCCGTGAGCACTTCACTAATCCTAGTTCCCAGGAAAACGGTGGCGTCGACTTGCTCTTCCATACCAACACCGAGTCCAACAAGACGGATGAGATTGACAGCGACCCCCATATCAACATCGCCTTCATCAACAGCTCCGGCGACTGGGCCTCTGTCTCGGGTATCTCCAGCGTCATCACCGACCGCTCGTTGGTCAAGAAGCACTACAGCCCCACCCTGAAGGCGTGGCTCGGTGATCTCGGTGATGGTACCCACGACGGCTCTGAGAACGATCCTCGCATCGGTGTCATCCGTGTCAAGACTACCAGCATCACGTACGCCATCAGCAATGCTACATTTGTTGGCAAGGTCGCTCAGTTAGCTGAGGGCGTTGTGACAGGCAATGCGGCGCAGGTCAACAAGTTGAGGGAGGTGACATCCCAGGAGGTCGAGCAATACCGCTCAGCGGCTTCCTCTTAAACATAACGGTGGATAATGGAAAATTGTATGAATAGCAAAGTAGATGATTTTTCGGGGAACAACACCAACCCGAATTGCGGGACATGAATGATGACTATTGCTTCCCATACTCTGCGTTCCAGTTTTCGTCGAACGTCTCCTTGTTAACCGCAAACTCACGGATATAATCGCGCTCAAGTTCGTGTGCCCTCCTTCCGAGCAGAACCATGCTGTGCAAGGGGCCTCCTAAGATCTCGTCCGTGTCGCACAGCTCCTTCAACGTGCCGGCGACAAACTTCTCAGTCTTGCCACCTACACGGGCTGCTCCAATTGCCAAGCTGTCAGCGGTGTAGACACCCTCTTTCTTGTCCTCCTCAATCTCCAGCATCTGCGCGGCGCACTGCCCAACGGTCATATACCGCGGCGGCTGGTACACCCTCCGCCCTCGTGCCATATCTTCCAAGCTCTGCTCCTTCACTTTGATGTCAAGCAGCACTAATGTGTGCAGACCGATATCGCGGTTCTCCTTGATGCGGTCGTAGAACGAAGCGGGCTTCCACGTCTCGGTGAAGAAAACCATGGAAACGGTCTGGCCAAAGTTGTATAGCTGCAGACCAGTGGCGCCGATTCCGGACATAATCGAGGCGTTGGGGACGGTGCGGACAGGAATCTCGAGCTCGCGCGCGCGCAGGACAAGGTCGGTGTGTGTCGTCGCACCAAAGGGGTCTCCGACGACGCAAAAGGCGACGTCTTCGGTCTGGGCGTTGCGGAGGATTTCGTCGCTGTTGGACTCGACCATTTCGCGGTCGGCCACTACGATTTCGCGGCCATAGTAGCTCTCCTACTAAGGGATAATGTTGTTAGGCATTTCGCGTTCCATAGATTATGAGCGATGTGGATAGGGGAGTGAACGCACTAAGACGGCCTTGTCAACGAGGAGGATGCTGGTGTAGGCTTCGAGATAAACCCTGGAGGCCTTCCTGACGACCTCGAGACCTTTGACAGTGATGTCTGTCTCGTCGGACAAACCGAGACCAACGAGATACAGCATCTTGTCTGAGGTTAATTGGGACGTTTTGTTGCTGGAACGAGATGTGCAGGATTTGGGCAGTCGTCAGTCGCAGGGAAAATCAATTGAGACTCAACTTTTTTCCGCGGTTTTTGGAGGGGGAGGCGGGATGGAGGGGTAGATGTTTTTTTTAGCGCTGCAACCCCACCACCGGCACCCCTGGACCTTGTCTCGCCTGGCCCCTCCTAATCTTCCCTCCCTCGAACCCCTGCAGTTTCGTCCCGATCCCCAGCGCAACCTCCCGAGGCAACAAATTTCATCATTGAACGCGTCTAGGCCTGCCTCGATCTGCCCAGCGAAGTCTCCGTCACGACTCCACGCACGTCGTCAAGCTCTCACCGCAACCATTTCTCGCGACGATATCCTCTTAAATCACCCACAGAGATCGCCCTCATCGCCCGAAACCAAAGACGATAAACTGTCCAACTTCCGCACAATGGCCGACAAAAAGGGAAGCGCCTACGGCGCGCCGGCAGGCGACACAGACTTCCGCAAGACGTGGGATCTCGACGAGTACGCCGCGAAGGCCAAAGACCGCGAGGCCAAGGAAAAGGAGGAGGCAAAGGCACGGTATGAGGCCAAGCTCGCCGGCAAGAAGTACCACAAGCCCCTGACGGGCAACGAGACCTTCACGCAGGCGCGGCGTAACGTGCTGGACCTCAGCGCGCAGGTCGGCAAGACGCAGCTAGTCCCCGCGGGCGCGGGCGTGGGAAAGCGTGGGCGCGGCGCAGGCTTCTACTGCGAGCCCTGCGACCTCACATTCAAGGACAACAAGCAGTACGTCGAGCACATGAACACGCCGCAGCATCTGGCGAACACGGGGCAGACGAACGAGGTGCGGCGGGCAACAGCCGAGGAGGTCAGAGAGCGGATCGAGTGGCACTGGCAGCGCAAGCTGGACCTCGAGAAGGAGAAGGCGACAAGTCTACAGGACAGGCTTGCGCTTCGAGAGGAGGAGAGCCTGAAGGAGGCCGAGGAGAGGAGGAAGAAGAGGAAGGAGGCGGACGAGAAGAGGAGAGCGGAGAGGGAGGCGGCGGAGAAGGTTAAGTTGGAGTATGGAGAGGATGTGAGGATTGAGGGGGAGCACGATGAAGATGATATGATGGCAGCGATGGGGATCACTGGGTTCGGGGGGACGAAGAAGAAATGAGGCGATTGGAGGGATTGTGTGGTTCAAGAGCTGTACGATGTCGCAGGATGCAGAATGATACCCTTGTTTGGCAGCATGGAACGGCAGGTCTCGATGCACTCGAATATCTCATGGAACGAGGGACCATCCATACTGCCCAGCTCTTGTGGCATTTCACTCGGAATCTAGGCGGCCCCACCATCGTTTGGCAGCAAACCCCGGAGCAAAGTCGGCGTGGTCTCACCGAGAAGTCACCGGTGTGTCTCGGTGAGCATGAGCCAACCCCCCACACCTGACAAGCCCCTGCAGCCTGGGTAACCCCACACTCGCATTGGCTTCGATTTCGACGACCTCACCACCACCGACAGTTTGCCGCACTTTCCCCTCTACCCCAATCGCCCTAGCCTCGCACGCGACAGACTGCACCCTGATGCCACATTTTCCTCTCACACACAAAGATATCGACAACGACACCGGTGTGACGAGGCAATCCTCAGAGGTTCCGCACATCCGCTTAGTCCTCGCCTGGTTCTGCGCCCGAACCTTAGCTACTTCGAGTGCCATCCTCCGACCGGCAAGCGACCTCCCTCGAGTAAATATCGTGTTGGAGAGACCAAGACTTCCTCCTAAGTAACTTGCGATACCATGGCATCTTCCTCTGCCGCTGCGGCATCGCTGCTTGGCCGACAGCTCAAGGAGATGCAGACGGGCAAAGACATACCGGGAATATCATGCGGCCTGGTCAACGACAACAACATCTTTGAGTGGGAGGTGATGCTTATGATCAGCGACGACTGCAAGTACTATGGAGGTACGAGTCTCTTCCTCCCAACACAAACACAGCTACCCTCGTGATACTCAAACTCCCGAACTATGTTGCCCCGTCTGTCCAATCTCACGGCCACTAACCTCAATCCCCCAAACAGGAGGCAACTTCCGCGCGCGCCTTGTCTTCCCGCCAAATTACCCGCTCATGCCACCCTCCCTCACGTTCCAAACGCCGATTCCATTCCATCCCAACATCTACCCTGACGGGCGGTTATGCATATCGATTCTGCATCCGCCAGAGGAGGACCAATACGGTTACGAGGCGGCCTCGGAGCGGTGGAGCCCCGTGCAGAGCCCCGAGACGATCCTGCTGAGCACAATCAGCCTGTTCCACGGGCCCAACGACGAGTCGCCCGCCAACGTCGAGGCCGCGCGCATGTTCCGCGAGGAGAGAGAGGGCAAGAACAAGGACTTCCGGAGGCGGTGTCGGGCTTGTGTCCGGGAGAGCTTGGGGGAGGACTGAACTGCTGGGCTCTGGAGGGATAACTGCAAAGTTCAGTGTTGGAAGTCAGGAGTCTTGGGGTGGAGAGGATGGGAAGGCGACGGAAGACTGCAGCTTTGGTTGGATAGCGGGAGGTTATGGCAACCAGGTGAAATAGGACGAGACCACAGCATCATGGCGTTTGGAGATATTCACAGCATTTACTAGGCTGGGCCGGCATTCAAATTGACGCCTTTAAGGTATTCGTGGCACTGGAATGGATTACGCGTCTACTTTTTGTTTCCCGGAATAAGACTGTGGTAGCCGGAGCCGCCAAGAACAAGATTAACCAGAAACCCGGACTTCTGCCGCCTAGTCGTATAAACTTCGATACCAGCCTCCTTAGGTCGACCGCATCCTATCGTTCTTCCGTATTGCCATTGAAAAAAAAGAGCCAAACATGAGTTCCATTCTCTGTTTCAAACAAGCTCTTAGTTAGTGGATATTATCTTGGCCCGGAACGATTCCACGAGGTTGCTGGACTGCCATCAAAGTCCTGGTCAACTTTTCTCTTTTCTCTTTTCTTCGCTAGAATTCGGTCTGACAACAATATTTCCAGAACGTAACTTAGCCTCTATGGAAATTGCAACAAATGGAACCGTCGTGTTCGCCCAACTTTGAACCCCATTTGCCTGCTTCAGGTTGTCTCTTTCCTCCCTACCTCCTAGTTAGCAGTCGCAGAAATGGCAAGATGAAGTGGGACCTGATTCTCGACTCATTCATGGACACGTTTTCGTCTACTACTTCGACATTCAATCCACCCTAAACTAGGCCTCACCGACTCCTGGATGTGTCGTTGTATTATGTTCCGTCACCCTTATCTCGTTCGGAAGCTTTACCGTCATGTTCTCCCCTGCCCGGGGTAGGCTTCCTTCGGATTTCAACGTCTGCCGAATCCCGACGAGGATAGCTATGCTTCCTTTCATTCGGGCGCGGCAATTCACCCCACTCACTGTTTCCACTCCGTCCACTAATCCTCTTGCGATTGTCAAGTTGTGGTCTCTCTTGAAAGAACTTCAGCAGACTAAGCCCCGGTAACCACGCGATTAGATACCGTACAAGCCGGCCCCTAGGCTTCGCAGTTTTGTCAATCTCCTCGGCGTCGTGTCTTTCGACTGTAAATTCTCTAACCAAAGCTGGCGAGAAAGCTAGAAGCACGTTGTGGGCGTGCATAATCCGCGTGTGTGCAGGCGCGTGTTGCTCTGACTGTTGGGGCTCATTGTTGGGTTGAAGTGATGGCGTGATGTCCTTGGGCGATTGCCAAGATTCAAAGAGCAGGTAACAGGTGCGGACAAAGCCGAATGCTCCTACCAAGAGCGGAAGGAGCTGTGCTGGAAGGTCCAGCTCGTTATTGTTGGGGGCTCCAAGGACCGCTGCTACGTGGTTGAAGTTGAGTGTGAATTCGACTGGGAGCATGGTGTAGAGCAGGAAAAGGAGATTCAGTACACGAAGACACTTGTAGATAATTTCGAGCCTATGTTTAATTTAGTCACTCTTTGTATGTGAGATTCCTTTGATGCAAACTCACTCTCGATATTTGAAGCCAGTTGCAGATCTCAATCGGATGTTACGGCCCATTTCTTCTCCTTGCTCAAGTTGGCCATTTTCGTAATTCTCTTCCATCCCGCAAGACTTGACACCAACAGCATGGTGCCATAATAGGCGATACACCCGATGCATACAATGATGCAAAAGATGCCGATACCCCCATCAGCACGCAATTTAGCAAACATGAACGTGTAAAGAGTCTCGCATTCTGGTGGGTTGGGCGGTTCAATCCCTAGGTCGCTAGTCTCCTCGGGGCTGCCCATGTGCACGAGGCCACCCACAACACCATACATCCATACCGTAGACCATACACACTTACCATGAGGCTAAAAATCAATCTCGAGTGAGTTCTAAAGCCACCAAACTGGCGGATGCCCCCAGGACCTTTCTCGACATAGTGTCTTGTCCGGTAACCCCAGAGACTGAGCGTGCCGAAGAGAAAGCCGCCGCTGATGTGCATTAAGATGAGACCGTCAGTGTTCATTAGCATCCTAACACTGATGCATTGGATTAAAGCATGAGAATTCCGAGAAGGAAAACTTCGTTCGTATCTCCTGCCTCAGCGATTTCGTCAGAGCAAGGAGCAAAAAGCTTGCTGCAGTTTATTACTGATGCGGCAATACCCAAGAGAATGAAGCAGATAAAACCCCTGCATTTTGAGTCGTTTTCACAAGGGTCCTTGCCCCGTGCATGTCACCAATGGATTACAAAAGATCCAAAAACGAAATAGAATAGATTGTCATGTCTTGCGCTGTTCAATGAAATAGGGGATAATATGGCTATAAGGCCTCTCGCTAAGGTTCAAACAGGGGGTATCAGATCAAAGTCGCCTTGCTCCAATAAGACGTTTTCCAATGACGCCATCGGCCTCGTCGACCTGCAGTTGTAGCGCAAGAGAGTCCGCGCCCTCGTACTTGCCCTTCTGTTTCCAGAAAAATTCCTTGCCGGATTTGGTTTTCGCACGGAAAGTCGCCTCAACATCAACGTCCATTTTGAAGATGGTGAAAAAGGAGGTGCCGACGCAGTACTTTTTGGCGGGGCACTTAAGATTGATGATTGCAGACTTAGTCAAAGTCTCGCCTTCGGTGTCCTCTTCGGTCTTGATCGGTTATGTGGTCAGCATGTGGCTTGCATGTTTGGAAATAGCCAAAGGAAGCCTGAGGCTTACCGTAGTCTTCTGGACTTGCCAGTTGAATTCAGTGGTAACCTTGCTCTTGCCGATAAGAGGAATACCAGCTTCAGCTTCAACTGCGACACGACCTCCGACATTCCACTGGTTTGCTACGCTGATGGTGTGAGATTTAGTAACGGCGTCAATCGTCGAGAGAGTTATGATCTGCTCTGCGGTGGAGTTGCGATTGTCGACAATCTGAGAGCCCACTGTCATTGTCTGACCGGGACCGGCAGGCATGATGTCGTCCGTGAAGCCAGAGTAGGCGATATTGCTGATAGATACGGACTGGAGGTCATCGAGGAAGTCGAAACCCAAATGGCCGACCAGGCCGATATTACAATACTGCACACGAATGCGACCCAGGATTCCAGAACCAACCGGGACCTTGACCATGGAAGGCTGGCCCTCATATGGGGCTACTTGTGCTACATACGTTGCGCCACTGGTTGTCGTAAAATTGAATCCAAGGATGCTCCCCCGATTCTCCCAAATGTAAAGGTCCTTAATCCGGTCACCATTCTCAAAAGTAAACACGCCAGCATCAGTGCTTGTGTCTATAAGTCTCTACAGTAATTACACATTAGTTTGGTAGTGGAACGTTGCATGAAGGATGAAATCTCACTGAGAGAATCCGTGTTGTGTTGCCACTGCTGCTGGTGACATTCATCGCACGAATGTTGGCTGCACCCATGAACACTTGAAGGACATCGATAGGTCCATTGATCTCCTCGGAATGGCAATTGGCCGGATTTGCGTCAATTATGTTGATGTCGCCGACATCAACGGACACAAAAGCATCTTTTGTGGTAATGGTAAGGCTGCCCTGGACTGTGCTTGAAGGGCTGAGCTGACGTTTAACTCTATCAGGCTCGGGCGTTGATGTCGGGCGAACAGATATAGTGAGGGAATTTCTCAGGCGCTCAAGAGCTTTGTCGTCGAGAGGACCGTGGCTAATGATGTTGGGAGTAATTTGCGCCAAGGGTGTGTCGATGACTTTGACGGCTCGGGAGTCGAGACTGCCAATTGGAGAAGCAAAAGCAAGGCCCCGGAGGAAGATGGCGCCTAGCAAGACATGCTTTAAAAAAAGTGTGCTGTAAAACATGTTGAACAAGAAAAGAGAGACAATAGAAAACATGGACAGTATCTAAAGAACGGAAGTGGCTTGTAGAAAAGAAAAGGCTAATGAAGATTAGATCCTGGAGATGGATGTTTATGACCGTCCCAAGTCCCCTTTCTTATACAGGTTCATCTGATTGCCCACGAGGTGTGACCCCTACGCCTAAGAATTAGCTTAGTCCAGGCGCGAAGCCGGGTTCATGCTAGTCAGGGTGAGGAGATAGGACGGCTGGATGCCCGAAAGAAGGGGAGACCGCTTAAGCGTTTGCCTGCTATCGACCAGGACTAAGGTTATTCATGGGTTGATAAATGATTTGTACCTTACATGCCGCGCAGCCACGCTGTCGCCAGGAACTCAATGTTGAGATTTGCAACTTTTTGGAGACGTTTCGCGTATCTGGTGGGGAATCGTCAGGTCAGCTGAAGGAAAAAGGCAGGCGATGAGTGAGATGACGCTATGTGGTTCTTTGCACTCTATGAGAACATTGTCTCTTAGTTTGTAGGAAACCAAAGTGGGCTCACACGTCGAACAGGCAACATTAGCTCAAAAGTAAAGGGGCCTCGTAAGGCTGGTAGGAAGTGATGGAGATGGACCTGAAGACTGCATCGAGAGCGTCTAATAAACAACGTGTACAATCGCTTGATTAGGGATTGCTACAAGGTAATGTATCTTGACGGATAGAAATAGATGTGAAAGGGCCTAGATCGGTCGGCTAATTGTGAAACATTTCTCATCGTCGTTCTACTCGGATGACCACACTGCAAAGAGAGCAAAATGGGTCCTGGGCTAATGCAGCTACGCCTTTGTTTCTACTTGAACACTTTTGATGGAGCTCCCCATGTGACAACTACGAGTAACGCATTGGGCACGTTGACTTCTGTGCACAAGTATGATTTCTGTCTGATACTATAACTCGTCTCGTGGCGAAGCAAAAGCGAAATATCCTAGGTCTCGTTCTTCTTCCGATGGTCCGCTAGCTTCCTCACAAACAGAGCTCCGCACCCGAAAACGAAACTACCAGTCGGAGTACCTAAGCTCGTACTCGTCTTGGCACAATAATCGATAGAGATGGGGCCCTTGTCACAAGTGTCGTGCATCAAATAGTCACGGACGATGTCAAACCTCCCCTCCCCCTTTCTCACGGCAAACCAGCCGAGGAACCTGTCGGTGGCGTGACTCTTGGTCTGGACTCTGACATCGTGAGTAGTGCATGGCACTGTGAACAAGCGAGGCACACATGACTTAAGCCATGTTATAATTCCACCCGAGACTGGTTCTTATATACCGGTATTTCCTTACTGGGTGTGTGTAACTGTAGTCTTGAGAAGCAGGGGAAAGGAAGTGTCCTGAATATTACATGGACATGTTGTGCTCCCGCAATGGCGTGATGCACAGGCCAGCCGGAGAACAAGATGAACTCTACTTTGGCACAAGTCTGAAAATAGAAGGCCGTTTTCTCCTAGGGCTTTGGGTCTGGTAAGGGTTTCCTCTCTTCAGTCGAAATGCCCTGATAAAGTCAGTTGCATGGGCTGCGGGTTTGCCGTGTTTGCCGCGCCATGATTGCCATTCCGGTGTGTCGACAAACCGGCATTGCTGCCAGTTGACGCATACCAGGATAAGTGGCACAATAATTGAATCACTCATGGCAAAACTCGATAAAGAGAGAGATGTCTAGAGAAGTTGTGGGCAAAACAGTCGACTCCAAATCCAGTTTATGTTACTCTTGGCAAATGCCATAACAAGCGCGACGAACGATGTTGTATAATCGCCTGACCGCTTGAGCTCATCTTGTAGAGTTACTCATTGTCTCATCGTGGCAGATGTCTCGGAGGTCAAAGAAGAACCCGGATGTTTGCTGTTGTACTTATGCGGATTAACGACCAAGGATGGCGCAGCGCATCGAACCCAGGATGTACCAGAGGCAGTATGTCTGGATGTAATGAACAACCCAGCGGAACCCATGTACGGAGAAGGAAATAAGGAGATGCAAAAAAATCTGGAGAACCTTCTCCGCGTCACCAAAAAGAGGTATGATCGCCTAAATTAACGCAAGGTGCAAGCTGTAAGGTTATTGCAATTTGAGGAGACAAGGCAAAGCTGAACGATTCGATAACAGTCTGCTTTGAATCATTCTGCGACGCGATAGCTAGGTAACCCTTGTATGTTTTTGATCAAATGTGCAACTGGCTGACTCGATGGTCGGAAGTATCTACATGTATTAAGCAATTCAGACTTCGAGTTGGCAAGTCGATATTGGCTCATGATACCTATGGACATTCTTCGTTAGGCCCAAGATTCAGAACTTGATAAAAAATTAAAAGTAAGAAAAGAAAGCATTCGGAATGTGGACGTTGAAATGAAAGGTCTTTGCCTCCACGTTCGGTAACTGAGTGGTCCCCTTACAAAGTGAGCTTGCATTATTTTCCAATCATTGAAACCACGCATCCTTGGGTACTCCATAGCATACTTTACACTGTCTCTCTATGCAAACCAAGAATTGATGTTTTCTATGGCGAACGTCGAATACTGACTCCAAGTCATTTGGACAGTCGCAATCAACTGGGCTCATGTGACTGTAAATTGTGTGCTAAATCAAGCAAATCTACAGAGAGCACTGCATTGCAAGCGGCCGGCCCGAAGCTCCAAATACGTCACAAATTGGACGTGACGTAAACTATGGATCCCCTGTCAAGGGTGTCATTGGCTTGTTTGTCAGTTCACAAGGAATCGCATTCGTCTGAACCCAACCCCGCAAATTTCTGGGATGAACCAGAACTTCAACTTCAACATACGAGCAAAGTTCCAGCCAGCGGCCAGCGGCTCCATTAGCTCGACCACATGTCGCTGACATCAATGGATCATGCCAGCGGCAGTCTTCTGACTTTGTATGGCATTGTCGCTGTGGTTTTGACTGCTCTGCTCGCATACCGTGCATTCTTTCACGGGAACAACAGCAACTCACCGTCGCGTTTTAGGCGATTATTGCGGCCTCCGGCACGCTACATTCATGAGCAATTAGATGCGGGGCATTTCCGATTACTTCGCCTACTTCCCGGAAACGAGGCCGACGACATCTGCATAAGGCTCACTACTGAGTCAATCGACGCTGACATTCAGTATCATGCCGTCTCGTATGCCTGGGGCGACCTCAGAGATAAGGCATACATCACGTGCGAGGGTCGAGAAATACAGATCACGAAAAGTCTATTCGAGGCCCTGAAGCGATGGCGCCGTCGTGACGAAGAGATTGTGCTTTGGGCAGATTCTATCTGCATCGACCAGCAAAACACGTTGGAAAAATTGCATCAAATTGTGCGCATGACAGATATCTATTCAAGGGCAAAATCTGTCCTGATATGGCTTGGCAGCGACGATTCACACCTTGCGGGAACCGAGGATGTCATCAAAGAGGCTTTAGAGATCATCCCTGAGGTTATGGACGATCCAAAGAGTAATAGGGAGAACGCTGTGTTGTTGGGTTCTCGTAACATCGAGCGCTTGAAAGAAGGAAAGACCACTACAAAGACGCTGAATTGGCAACCACTGAGATCACTCCTAAATCATACCTGGTTTGAACGTAAATGGGTATATCAAGAAGCGGTTCTCAACGACAAGACATGGCTGTACTGCGGGATGTTGGAGATGCCCTTTGAGCCGCTTTCAGAGCTCGCGTTGCGCATGTCAACGTTTGGTGTTCAGCCTTTGCCTAACGACGGATCGCTCAACGATACCAACGTATCGTTCTTTCCAAATCGCTTATACAATCTCTCAATGATGCGTATGAGCCATTGGTATCGCGGAAAACGACCCATAACGCTCATGGATGGCGTTAAAGCTACGAGGGCGTTCCAATGCACTAACCCGCGAGACCACATTTTGGGAGTGCTAGGCCATGCAACGGATATCGAGAAGGGTAGCATAATATCCCAGGACGACTTATACTCGCTTCCAGTTCATGAGTGTTACCTTCGCTTCACTCGGTTACAGCTTTTAGAAAAGCGCGACTTTGGTATTCTAGCATCTGCGCCTCAGAGGGTTGTTTCTGACGCCTTACACCCCTGGTATTGGCGCCCTTTTCTTCGGTGGCAGAAAAGACGGCTACCGGGTCTGCCTTCCTGGGTACCCGATTTACGTAACCAAGAGATCGACACCTTGTCTAGTTATACTGTTCGGTACGGAAGGTTTTCAGCTGGTGGAGCGAAACGGGGAAAGATTGAGATCGTTGATGACAAAATACTCAAATGCTCAGGGATGATCGTCGACAAGATTGAGGACAGTGGGATTTTCTGGCCTGAACTGCCACTACCGAGGAAGCCTAAACGAGTCCCACACCCTCTTGATAAGATGGATGCCTACTTCTCCCGAAACGCGATGAGGTCTCTCAACTTTTACAGGTTATGCGTAAAACTTGCCTGCGGCTCACAAGATATTCAAGATATGTCACCTGAGCGACTCGAGGCCTTTTGGAAAACAATGACCTGCGAGAAGAGTCAACTCAATGATCGGATCGATATCGATCTTTCAGGCCCCGTCAAGAGCATGATTTCTGGAATGGAAACTTGGCTTACTTCTGAGGACCCTGAAGAGGCGGAGCAGGCACGGGTGAGTTTCGTGGCTTCTGCTCCATTGGTCGAGATGACCATTCTTGCCTCTGCGACACCACGAAGGTTCTCCCATACGGAGAGTGACAGGCTGTGCATGATACCAAGGGAAGCAAGGGTTGGCGATATGGTCTGTATATTTATCGGCGCCGAATTGCCCTTCGTCATTCGTCCCACGCTGCAAGGGATGTACGAGATGATAGGTGATGCTTATGTCAGTGGAATCATGGACGGTGAGGCTCTTGTTTCTGGTATCTATGACCAAGTAGAGATCATTTTGGAGTGAAGAAACGTTTCGTACGGGATATCTCTGACTGTTGCGTGTGGCGTCGCATCACCAAGTGACTGTTGTCGACTATCATGGTTTTCAATGGTTTGTTTGTATTTTTGTAGAATTAAAAGCCAGTAACGTCCCTGTCAAGGGCAAAAGATGCCCGGGTGGTCTAGTCTACACACATTCTTTCTCGCTTGCTGCCACAGTCGATTCCTTGCATGCCTCTCTCCATCCTCGCCCTGAGGGTTCTATATACCAGTGTTTCGCCCTGTTAAGTGCCAGATGTCTCTGCAGTTGTCAGGTTCTATTACACTCGAAATCAGCCCCGGCCTATTCTGCAGCTCTGTTGTGGGTAAGCCAGGATGGTTTTCAATGAGAGATGTCAATAGGTAGTCAAATACACTAGAACATAATGACTGTTCTATGGAGATTGATGCGACTGAATGCAGTCCTTCGCTTACCATTGACACCTAAGATAAGGGGGGAAACAAGGCTGAAGTCACAGAAATATTGATTGTATACTCCCTCAACGACTTTGGTAATTAAATCCAGACATCTTCTGGTACACACTCGCTGCTGAGAATGTTTATTTCGTTTTGTAATTAAGTTTACATTAAGGAGCGAGAACAAAGCAAACACTGGCAAACTTCCAAAAAGGATCTTGAGTTTTCAACATATTATCCGAACTGTCTTGTAATACTACATCGGCATGTTTATGTGCTCAGTACAAACTAGGCCATAAGGAATTGGTGTAGTGCGACCTTCACTTCCGGTGGCCATAGTTATAATCAGCAGACTGGTGGCAAGTCATCGCCGCGAATATGGTTGTTTTCCAGAAGAAATCGTGACATTGACAAAAGTCTTGCGGGCTTCTGTGTAATATTCTTCCTTGTAATGTTGCAATCCACTTGGGTACCGTCTCAGCTCAATAAGTACGCTTGCACTCGTCGGTGATATTATCTGACAAGAGAGGCCTTCACGGTCACAGCCCCTTCTTGCTTGTTCCTCCGATTCGCGTCCGTTCTCAACTTCTGCATCATAGTGTCTTCCTTGACTCGTTGTTTCGGGCTGCTCACTGCCACACCGCTAATCGATAATAAGGAAACGGTAGAGCCAGGCAAACTTGCGTGAATAATGCCAACGTCACAAGAATGGTTTTAGAAATGGTAAGCCGTTTCACGAAAGATCAAAATCTGAAGATGAAAGCGAAAGCAGATAAAAATGCCCAGTCAATCGAGAGCTAAAGATCATCTTAGGTGCAGGGCGAGGATAGAGTGACTATCATGAACAGGTGGTCACTATCTAGGAACCGGTATAATCTTAACTATTCAGAGGCGCTGCTTAAATTTCCGGTTTTAAAGATTACATACAGCGTATTATGGTTCCAGCCTAAATCGATGTCCCACACATATCAAACCTCGATTAAGCCTTCTCAAGCGTCTACTTTTTACCATGTAAACAAGTTACTGCTTGGTCAGAGAAGTAGAAAAAGATATCAAATGCAAAACCAACTCTTTGGCCTAGCTGCAGAAATGATTAATCATCTGGAACGTCTTCAGTATCACTGATCACTGTGAAATGCGTTGTTATTGTCCCCGTCATGATTCAGGAGCTAGCCAATACAGCCTTCAATATGCACTTGCAGGTATTCTCGATCGCTCTGTGTATAAAACGCCAGCATCCATATGAGACGACGGCATCTTGCCGTCAAAACATTTAGGGAGCGTGAACAGGGGACATCTCCAGAGGTTGATTTGATGCATTGCTGCCTATGGTAAACCGCGCCATACGCAGTAAGATACCTGACTGTTGTCTGTCACCCTTGTAAACAGCAGGAAGGCACAGTACGGGTTGCACTCGTGGCACTACATTTAATCACTCCATTCAGTGAGGCCATGATGATGTTATTCAATTTGTTCAAGCACAAAACGTGCCACGAGAACAGGGAGTTATAGAGCCCAACGAGATTATCGAATGATTAGCGCCAGTTCTCAGATCTCTTGAGTTGGATTATAGATTACTTGATATTACATAAACTTGGGCCATAGCCAGTCGATGTGCAATGAATGTTTAGCAGGAACTGCCACCCGGACACCAAATCATAGCGTGGTCCAAGGCTTTGTTGTTAATCTGAAGTGAAGACGAGCAAGTTGCGCTTGGCCAAGGGATGTTCATGAACGTATGCGACGGCCCATTTGCCAGCCTACTGACGTAAGCTTCCATCTATGCTGGAGCGCACCAAGAACATGAGTGGTCCAGGCGGAATGTTACCGGGCAAGGTTGAGTGACTTTGATCTACTGGGATCGGCTTAGATGCGACAAGCTACCTAGACAGCCACACAGCGTAATCAGTGAGTGAGCTATATCAGTTTGGTGTGAAGCAGTTGAGTTGTGTGGGGGAGCAATGATCATGCATGGTAAGAGACATACACGAATAGCGGCTTAGACGGCGAAGTCCAGAGATTGGAACGTTGAAGAAGTTGATGCAGTTGTCTACATTATGAATTTTGAGGCAATCAGTCAGTGAGCCGAGCTACACAATGCTGCAGAGGAATGCATGAGCACTGAAAGACGTTACTTTCACCTGGGCTATTTTCAGCCGAATTGGATAAGAAAAATTGCATTCTGATAACGGTATGGGTGCTAATATTCGTTAGTTCATAGGAGCTTAGCAAACAAAGTATTATGGCGACCGACACAACAACATTGCCGCATCACCTCAAACCAAACTGACGTTTCAGGGTTGGGCTTATGTCAAAGGTGCGCGCCCATTGAGGACAGTGCATTTGATTGAAGGGATGGTCAGCTTCCAAGGCCAAGATTGCCATTGTATGATTATTGTATAGCAGAGCTAGATCACATCCCAGCGCGGTTGGTCGGTCTGTCACTTGGAACAGAAATTGGGCCTAGTTATCTCGGGTAGCGAGCACATTACTGGGACAAGACTTTGTCATGACTTGGTTGGCCCCTGAACGCTGTGGCACGTGTCATAATATCCCGTTCCCTCCTAGAGTTTGACGGGTACTTGCTTACAGGTACTTGCTCCATGGCTTATGTGTTCATGATCGGAAAAAGTCTACTAGTACTCCCCGCTTCGTCCTTGAAGCGAAGCTACTTGGCAGGGGCTATTCAGCCTGTAAGGACAAGCAAGCCCCGACTGGAAATCACCCGACGCTAGCCAAGAACGATCTAGCAGGGGCACACTGGCTGAGGTGGATATTCATTTACCCGCTCATCATAAACTACCCACCGTGTGGCTGGACCGTCTCCAGACCACTCATTCCATCTGTCGGAACCCGAAGAAAGCGATTTTCACGGGTTTTCCGATGGTGCACACTTTCACTTTCCACCCAATATAGCTTGAACCTTTTTTGCCCTACGTTGATTGAAGCTAATCTATTTCTAACCACAGAGTGAAATCTTCAAGGCTTATCGTTCCAGGGTTCATGCAGGTAAGTTGACTGATAAATCGCATCCACCCTCAGTACTGGTATGTTTGTGCTAGTCAAGACGTCCCCTTCCGCCCCGGAATGACATGATTGAAGGTCTTGGTTGGAACCTAGAGCAAAGACTACGCACAATGAAACACGCACGACCAGGGGTGACAAATCGGGATCCCCATGCCCATGCCCCCCTCCCCTCCCAGTTTATCATCCTGAATACTTATTCTCCTTGGTAGCCAGTCAGACCAGTCGCTGTCTTGAAGCCCTGTCACCCAGCTGAGGTGATTGGATGTAGATCTGAGCGCGGCAAAAGGTGAAGATTGCGGCCAGTGTGGATTGAACACACGACCTTCAGATTTCGTGATTGAAGTTTAACAGAACCTAAGCTCACTTCAGTCTGACGCTCTCCCAACTGAGCTATGTCCGCCACGATCTTCAAATGGGCCCCTGAGTCCTGAGTTCATGGAGCGACTACGTGAGCGGGCCGCGCCCAGCGAGGCTCCATTAGGGCTCAACAAGTGACTTTACGTCATCATTGTTCGGAAACGAAAGCCTCTACCGGTAATAAATGATTGCCTCTCAAGATGTACAAAAGATGGAATAAGGTTCGTTATTCATCATGACTAATCAATACCGTAGCGTCAGTTATCGTCACTACATCATCCTGTCTTCATACTATGAGGTACAAAATCATCGAAACTTCCTGTGCCAAGCAAACAAGAAGGGACTTTTCTGCCTTGGCAATTTGGCATCATCAGATGGTGTTAGAAAAGAATTATGAAGCTTATTCAAGCTTGGCACTCCCTATTCTTTGCCTGACGGTGCCCGTTTGCAGGGGCCTTCAGAACGTTTTCCGGAAGGATGATGGTTCTACGGTCCAGTGTGCCAGGGTCTCGGAAACCAAGTGCCAGTGTCTCGGAAACCAGCGGGCACTCCCAGCATTACCGACGGATTCTCTAATCGGCGTGAGGCAACTCTCCGTGAGACGACTAGTAGAGTCTGGGACGTAAGGCGGGCGGCCTGAACGTACAGGAGCCTGCCCCATTAGATCAAACGACCCACTATCGGGCCGGCTTGCACTCTTAGCTCAAGGTCCCCATTCCGTACCACAGCTTGGGTGCACAGTCTAGATCGATTCGCAAAGTATTGGGAACATAACCTCCACGTCGAGCTATCTATTCAGCCTTGAAGACCCGCAGAGTAGCAAAGGCCAACCTGTGCGCTGTTGCGGACAGAGTCAATACGCAGGTTTTATCCTCGACTGGCCGCTTAGGTGTGTTGCCCGTTATCATGCCGGTCTTACCAGTCTGTAAGTAGTTGGTATTGCGGAGTTAGGGTTATCATCTCTATAGCTGATCAAGTTGGGGAGTTAGGGGTTAAAGACAAACGTCAGACACTTCAGTGCAGCAGCCCTGCATAGCGGCCCGCTCTTTGATCCGTGGTATAGCTGGTGAAGGCTGCATCAAACCACCAAATCAAACGTTGGTCATACCCAAGGTTTCATCGAGTACACTAAGACAAAATAGTTCATAGGCCATGTAATAGACCCATGACTCGTAAGTTTAGCCGAGTGTCAAACTAGAACTGTAGCGACCTATCAACGGCCCTTTTAGGTGCATGTAGTCGACGGAATCGCGTCCACCTGCCCTCATTTGACTAGTTGTGGGCAAGGCAAACTAGACGAGAAGTTTGAACAGGGAAGTTCTCTTACTTTGACTGGCAATGACGCCGATTTATTCGAAACTTTTACCAGTGGGAATGAACATCATTGGCAGTAGGCATACGCACATGATAAGCGAGTGCCAAGCTTTGGTACGTGATCAGACAGCAAACTCTGTCTTGATCTGGGGAACTCCAGGTGTAAAAAGGTGACACAGGTCTATGAATTAGACTCCTAAATCGTGTGCAGGCGCAGATGGGGGTGGGGTGGTCGGATGTCAAGGCCAATTTCAGGCCGCTCAGACGATGGTATTTGCTTGCCAGCGGTCACCGAAGGACATGACCTTGTCGGCCTGATAATTAGAGATTTGGGTTTGGGAGTAATGATTGCCGGGGCGTGTTCTGTTTTCTGCTAATATAATAATAATAGCACTTTATCGTTAGAACCCAGTTGGGCGGTACAGGGTGTGCTTCAACTCAGATCGGGACCACATTGACAAGACATCATCAACCAGGGAAGAAAACCTCTTCGCTTCAAGGTAACAATCTGACTCAGCGAGAGTCAGCAGGTGATCCAAGACAAGGACAAGCCCATTGTGGCGCCCAGCTGTCCAATGGAACTTTTCCATTGAGCTTAGCCAGCCCCTTAGACTACCTTACCCGAAAAGTACGAATACGACCAGAGGTGCGAAGGGATCCGCGGGACTGGTGCAGGTTGTTCCCCCCTCTATTAACCGTTCTTCAATCTTGCAACGGTACGCGCAAACAAGGCCTCTGTATACTTGAGCTACTGGACCGGATCGTCCAGCTTCATTGAGGTTGTTTCTCGCGGCAGAAATGCCGGTCTAGATCTTACGAGCATCGGCCTATCGACTCGACCCTAAGATCTTTCCTTCCAATTCGCACTCCTCGGACAAATGCCGAGTACGAATATGCAGTCAAACCCGTCCAGACGTTCCCATCCAAAGACTCGAACTGGTTGTAAGACCTGCAAGACAAGGAAGATAAAGGTATGCGCACGCCAATATTTCTATGGAATGTATACAGATAGGCCCTCGAAGGGGGTCTTATAACAATGGTTATGGGTCTAGAGACGTCTGTGCCAGCACTGTTGTACTTGGACTTGGCCAGGCCGGTGGGATGATTATGTTGACGTTGGTGAATCACGTACAACATGGCTAACTTGCTACCTCTAGTGCGACGAGCAGAGACCAGCATGTAAAAATTGCATCAAACATGGCGTCGCTTGTGGCTTTCTGGCGTCGCCATCGTTGGACCCGATGCTATCCCTCTCTCAGCATGCCGGCGATCTGAACTTCCTCGATCTCGAGCTGCTACACCACTATTGCAACTTCACCGCCCACACTCTTTCAGAGAACCCTCTCTTGCGTGAGTTCTGGCGCATCAACGTTGTCAAGCTGGGCCTTGAATGCGACTACGTCATGCGCAGTATTCTCTCTTTATCGGCACTCCACATTGCACATTTGAACCCGGAAAGAAAAGACAGTTTGCTCGAAAAGTCGATGGCCCATCACGAAATGTCGTCACGGACAGCCGTCAGCTTAATGCAACATGTACAAGACGAGAACAAAGCGCCACTATTTATCTTCTCGGTCCTGACCATCTACATCGGTAAGAGAATCTTTCCAGTGTAGACGTCGTTTGCTGACTTGCCATCGACCGCTAGTGCTAGCTAACTCTCAGTACCTGCACGATGCGCCTTTGGCCAGCGCAGAACAATCCCCCGACTGGATTGTGCTGTTCTGCGGGACAAGGTACCTGGTCGGAGAGCCGAACACAAATCCCTTGATTTCACCCATCATCAGTCGGACAGTCGCGCACTTCCAGTTTCGAGAAGCTCCATGTCATCATACCCATCTCGGGGACCTGGAAGCTAACATTAACGCTTCGGAGAGCGATGATGGGCTTTTGGCCATATACAACCATGCCATCAATGAGCTTTACAAGTCATACGGCGTATTTTACGAAAGCTCGGAGCCGCAGGACATTATAGATGTCTTCATTTGGATCGCGATGGTTGCCGAAGACTTTCTCCCACTTTTGCGGGAGTCCAGGCAGAAGGCCTTGGTCATTTTCCTATATTTCTGCATGCTTCTTCGGCAGCTACGCAGCCAGTGGTGGCTGGATGTGTGGGCTAGCAATCTTTATGCCAAGACGTATGAGCTGCTGGACGAGGAACATAGGTCGTGGATCAGAGATCCAACAATCGAAAGCACCGATATTTGCTTGTGAAACCCTCAATTCGAGATGGTTGTCTTCAAAGTGGCAAAATCGCACAAAATGCTACCCACTGCCAGTATACTGTCGTTGAAAGATACACCTTGTGTTGCAGTGGCTTTTATCATGGTGACCCAAATGTTTGACATCGGAGAAGGGAGTGATCGCTGTGACCAGGACGTTCCGTCTCTCAGGAGTGTTTCTCCCAACAATGGGACATTCGCCGAACCCGCATCTTCGCCATTGTTTGTGGAAGCCTTCTCTTTAACGTCTCCAACAGCCCAAATCAAGAAGGCCAGCATGCTTGCCGCCATGAGAACCGTATCGAATGTGTGGAAGATTTTGCAAAATATCAGGTAGCCTCGGTTGTCATGCAAGTATCTATTGACGCGGAATATGCTTCAACGCCCAGAACGACGAGACTGGTGGTGTAGAATTGCTAGACATCTTCGTCAAGAAGCCTTCGCTTCGATCGCTTCGGCGGCCGGGGGATTTCTGGTTCGGCGCTGAAAGTGGATAGCGGTAACAATGATGTAGTCAAACAAGACGATCTGGACGAAGAGTACTTTCGGTTGGAACTCCACCTCATCCGGCCTGAACCGTAGATGGGTTGACGTTGCTACTGGCAGAAACCTCGACAACCCATGACACTAAGAGGAGTCCGATCGTATCGTGGAGTTTGATCGTCTCGAGGAGTTCGAATCAGTTGGTCCAGAATCGTCTAGGTCGGCGCAGCGTATGGGTGCTGGGCAGCGAGATCATAGCGCGCTTGGATCAAAGCAGCCGATGGCTGTGGTTTCGTAGTATGACTATGTTGTCAGAATGCCGCATTGTCTGGGCTTGCTAAAGATCAGTACTGAAGCAAAGAAAGGGGTGTCCACAAGAGATCGCTTGGCTGGGTTTGGTCAGGGGAACTAACAGAAGCACTTGACGGCGGTGGTGTACAAGCAGAGAAGATTCCGGCTCCATAATGTCGCAGAGGCGAAAACAGATCAGACTGGCAATCGCAGCACCACGGATAGTGGCATCCGTAAGGGACGGCAGGTAGCGATAGAGACAGAAGCCAACAGCTTGCTTGCCCGGCAGACGCGGCTGCTTCTCCAGCGCTCATAGTCGCGTAGTGACCGTACATGTCGGCCCCACTCCGGGGGTGTTACTGCTCTGCCTCCAAAAGGGCCAATGAACGTGCAGTGGACGACAGCCGCTCCATCGGTTTGCACCTTACCTCCTTTTGAACAATATGACGACGAGCGACTTCGAAACGAAGAAGAATAGTGAAAAAACAGATTGAGGGAATATCTTCAGAAAACCAGATGGATTCTGAAGTTCTTTTCAAGGAGCGGACTCTTCTTTGTCTTGTAAGAGAAACACGATTACGGAGACCAACACTATCGGACTCTCGCACTTCTCGCATTTAGCCGAGTCCGAAGTATTCGGACACCTGGCTAGAAACCGTCACGTGGGTCTTGGAAAAAGAATTTAGGAGGCTTGAGTGATCACCTATCTCTGTCAGGTCTGCAATGTCATGCTGCGCCACATCTATGAAAGCCAAGAGCGTCCGAGGCACTCATACTCGCACGCCTCAAGATTTTTGGCCTGGCTTGTAGCGTTGAATAAGTTAGTGGTAACTATTGATAACACTTTATTCATTATACAGTAAACAGTAGACGTTGGAAATCTAGCATCCTCTCCCGATGGAAGATCATGAACTAAACAGCTTGACGTGTACCCAATCCTATTTGAGAAATATCCACATATAACTATTATTTGTGGGTTATCAATAATAAAGTCAAGAACCAACATTTTGCTGCTTCGAACTTACTTACCAGAAATAACATATTTAATATGATGCAAGTTTAAACTTGAGTTTACAATAAGGGCATTTTGAAAGTGCAACATAAATAGAATATATGTGAGGAAGCGTCGATAGTCATGAGCCTAAAGGGTAGTTTAGAAGCAACAAAAGACCATTTCTGAGATCAAGCGATGAGCTTGGCTTTATTAATAGCGGAAGTGTATTCTCCACGCAAAAACACTCGGCAGATAGCAAAGCTTACTTGCTTGGATTCTATCGATTTGTGTTCATGGAATAGTCAATGATCTACCCTCAAATATTTCGGTTAGCAAGAGGCAAGCTCAAAGTGAAGGAAACAAACCATTGTAACCACTTATGCTCACCAAGAAATGATGTGTATCCGGTGCAGTCGCGACAAGCCTCTGGTTCTGGAAGAGCTTTGCTGTATTAAAGCACTAATGAGCAATCTCACGACGAGCCAACTTATATTAAAGTCATCGTGTTTGTGGTCTTGGGCCGTGTTCGCGGGTGGCACTAACAAAATCAATATTCGGCTCCATCCAGGCACACACACCCTGTAAACGTTCGTCCTATTGGGGCGGCGAACCTAAGCTAAGCTTCTATTCTTGTTTATCCGTGGGTTACAGGGAACAATTTCCCGGTTTGAGAGCCGCTTCGGCCAAATATGGCCCACTCTAGAATGTCTGCCGCCTTGGCAGTTGCCTTGTCGCCGAATTAGCGTATCTGGCCTAAACCCCTGCGGCTCGCAAATGTAGATTGGCCACACCACACAGCACGCCGTGTGACTTACGGGACGTTACTAGAGTGCCGTTGTGAGGTAGGTTTAATGTTCGCTCATAAGTTCTTTGGAGATTCAGTCCCACTAAGCCATTGCATGGGATTAGTCAGTTCTGAAGCAATTACTGAACCACATTACACGAGGAACAATGCTGCCTAAGGATCCACTCCTGTGCCCCGAAGACAACGGTGTCTCATGTGTCCAAAAATGCCACCACCCTAATCGACCTGGAAGTCACTCAACAACACAATCAAGCCAACCTATCGCTCCATGCTTGTCCGAAATCCCAGTGCTGTTTTGCTGACTCCATTGTTAGAAGGCTAAACTGTTGTCGCTTACATAACTATTACCCGGTGTGACCTCATGGTAAGAGGTTACCCTCGTTAACCTATATTGATACAGCTACGATCAACTTTAAACGGTGGCACCATCAATTGAAAACCCTGATAAGTGACAGAAACCTCTGATTGACATGAGTAACCGCCACTTGTGTGCAAATGAACATCAATTACTTCGTGTATCTTATCGTAAGTCCGCGTTGCCACAAATAGCCGAGATAGGAATGTCTCTAAACATGTCTGATTATTAATCCTCACGCTCCGGTCTCCGTTTGGTAGAACTAGGCACTGCCAAGTCCTCCCAGCCTGAATGTACTGAGAGCAAAGTTTGCTCCGAGCCATGGGTCAGATGCAGACCTCAACTGTGGCCGTCGTCTATAAGAGAATTTGGGGATTTAAATTACCACTGAGCCGGCTATCACCACAGCATGGATTAAGAATGCTCCAAGTTTGGCTCATCAAGATCACAGTTCGTTGCTCATGAGAGGAGGATTTAAAATTTCAAATAATACCACCCGGGTACCCGAAGACTGTCCTCTGCTCAGATCTGCGTGACTTAATGGCTCATGAAGAGTGCAACTGAACGGCCACCTCGATACATCATAGCACTCGGAATATATAAAAGATGGATAATACAATTCTCAACATATCGAAACACTGCCACTGAGATCCCCATTGATATTGGGTGAGCCATTCCTGAGGATAACACCCTGACGCCGAGTAATTGAGTGGCGATCTCGGATATCTCGCATGGCTTTTACGGACCGAGAACCCATCTTTGCAGAACGACAGTATGAAATACTTTTCATCAGTTTTCCGCGTACATCTTGAGCGTATAACGAGAATGTATATCTCCTTTTCAAAGCTCTCCAAACTTCCTGTCACAGCAGTGAACTCTCATCCACCTCTGACTGCATATCTACCATTCGACTATCGCCATCATGTACACCAAGTTCTCTATCTTCGGCTACACGCTTTTTCAATGCTTGGCCGTTGTTAATGCCCAGAAGATTGGCAAATAGACCGCAGAGACTCATCCCAAGATGACTTGGCAGAAGTGCACTGTCCGGGTAGTTGCAGCAATGTCAATGGCGAGGTTGTCCTTAATTCCAACTGGCGTTAGCCTCGTAAGCGAGATATCCACCCCAGAATACGTCGCTAACAACATGTTAGATGATAAGAATGGCTACGCAAAATGCTATACCGGCAACGGCTAGAACGAGACTATTTGCTCCGACGGCAAGAAGTGTGCCGAAAACTGCGCCATCGAGGGTGCAAAGTACTCCAAGACCTACGGAGTTACCACCAGCGGCAACGCCTTAACTTTAAAGTTTCCTCAAACCCATGAATATGGCACCAACATCGGTTCTCGCATGAACCTGATGGAGACTAGCTCCAATTATGCCATGTTCACATTGATGAGGTTAGTATGGCGTTCATTCTTTCCTCTTTACGGTCTTGCTGTGGATAACGAATATTCTGATAAGCACCCGTCTGTAGGAACGAGTTTGCTTTCGATGTCGAGCTTTCTTCTATAGCCTGTGGTCTCAATGGCGCTCTCTGCTTCGTTTTCATGGACTCAGATGGTGGTCAGAAGAGATTCCCTACCAACAAGGCATGTGCCGAGTACGGCACGGGATATTGTGACTCACAGTGCACTCCTGATCTTAAGTTCGTCAACGGAATCGCCAGCTTTGAGGGTTGGAACACAAGCTCCGATGAAAACACGGTGATCTGGACTCTGCATACCCTCTTGACCGTGATGAGTCGGAGCCTGGCATTGCCCGTGGCTCGTGCCCCTGTGGCTCGGGCATGCCCGATGACGTTTATGAGAGTGCCAAAAATGCGAAGGTATGGTTGAGCGGCATTGCAAATGCCGAGCTGTGCTGATTGTCGTTACTAGGTTACTTTCTCCAACATTTAATTCGGCCCCATCGGATCAACCTACGCATAGACCGTATATGTTAAAAACTGGTCATTTAGGATGCAGAATACTATAAGCGGGTTATTGGCTACACATATTGACAGCATCTTACCTTTCTGGATATATGAAACTTTGGTGGCAGATAGTTTGGTCCAAAAATGAGATTTAAACGACTAGTCTGTACTCATACAGTCAATCTTCGAATCACTAAATAGGGTACACACGATGCTTTCCGCTATGTATTGTCAAACTTAATGAGAATTGGTGACTATACAAGGAAACTGTAGCGTCTCTATGACACCAACTTTGTGCTAACGATTGTAATCAGGAACGTTTCGGCATTGCATCCTCCACCACCGTAAGGTTTCGTAAGCCTAGAGTATCTAAATGTCTAGTCGTATGGATTCTAGTTCTATACCGCTACCCATTACTGTTTTTGTAATGATTCCTGTCGGGGTGGTATACTTGGTTTATGATTTTGAGACTCATAAGCCCTGGTGGGGGGTGTCTTGATTGCCCACGATTGACTTTCAAGATCGTTGTAATGATTGACGTAAAGGTGTAACGTGGATCGGCAAGAGCACAAGGAACCTTACCTTATTAGGAGCTGCCACACCAGGATTCCAAAGTGCCTCGTCGACTCGGTGAGTGGTGCGGGGTCAATCGTCCGAACAGCCGTCTCCAATTGTCGTACCGCATCACCAACTGTCGTACCGCATCACCAACAACGGATACCAAGATCGCCATAGCCATCTTTACCTCCGGCAATTGAAACAATCAATTTCGGATAATCAATGGCTGAAGACTCAGACGCCCTATTCGAGCATCTGCCGACAGAGGTTCTGCTCCAGATACTTACGCAGATCACCGACATTCACTGTCTGTGGAATCTTCTCATAGCGTCACCTGCCGCGAGCCGGGTATTCAACCAATACAGCGATGATATCTTCTGGCCTTCTGTCTTCGGTGGCATCATACCATCGCAAACCCAGGATGTCATACGATGCATAGTCTCACTTCGCGCGGGCGCTTTTCGAAGCACGCCACTTGATCAGCTTGTTCGCAAGATCAGAGATCGCGAAGCCGGCATCGTGCTTGGCCAGAGCTCAGAGCTCGGTTACAGCCTCCCAACCATGGACGTCACAGCCAAACCATCACTGAGCGTCATACGTTCTGTCTTGGCGGTTGCCAGTCAGATACACTATCTGAGCCGGCTCTGTATCGGCCATTATCTCGCGAGCCTGGTATCTGCGAAAACAGAAGGTCGGCTTGATAGTGCACCTGAGTGGATGGCAAATGATCAGCCATCCTGGGTAGAGGAGCAACGCACCATTCGTGCATTCTGGCGTGTTCAACTTGTACTCGAACTGAACCTTGCAGCGCGTACCTCGCAAATACAGTCTTCCGCTGAAGGCAACAAGACTACAGAAGATCTTGATCTCGAGAGATTTTACGACAGTAATACGAGCAATCTAAAGGTTGCCTATCACGAAGTTATGACCGCGGTAGATTTTCTCAGAGGCAGAGACTTTTGTGGAAGCAGCAGTTCCATCCCTTTGCTGAACCGCATACCATCACGGAATCGTCTTGCAAGAAACACCCCACCATCGACTGCTGGAATGCCACTCAACTCTGCCACCCGAAGGTCGTCTTTGGTACTACCTGCAGACGGCCTATGGATTGTGGACAGCATGGGAAGAAACGCACACTCGCCGATCAAGTATGCCGGTTTCGGGCCATACAGAAATATGGGATTCGCAATTTGGGATAGAGAGAGACTCGCGAGAATAGGCTTGGCAAGTCCGCCAGGCCATGGGCGTGTAACAGGGCTGGGATCCTATTTTTCTTTCTGGTTGAACCTTCTTAACTCACACGAGATGTCCCGAGCTGAAGAGAAAATGCGGGAAGCTGAGTGTCGTGGTGGACGACTGGACCCGTTGCAACCTATGATTCAAGATAACGCGTCCTGAAAGTTGAGAAGGAAAACATATTGTAGTACATCAAATTTGACGCACAATATCTGCTTGCTGTGCTCTGTTGGCCGCGACCTCAATAGAGGCACCTATGATGGTGTCTATTGAGAGACAATTCTCAACCACAACTATGATATGTGTCCCTCGGGTTTTCCCACTGAATCATTGCTTGTTCCACTTTGATTACTTATTGAGACCCTTAATCAAAGAAGATTCAACTGAGGCCTCGGGATGCTTGATAATTGACATGAATCCTAGCAAAGAAGGAGACAGCATCATGGCAAACAAGATACTTAGTCAAAGACTATTACAATATCTAAGAAGACGAATGCCATTAAGTGCACAGCCGGAAAGTTTTCGAAGTGCATGTTTTGAAAATAGTATAATTTCTCAGGACACAGACGAGACAGCGGTGCGATCACACCTGACTCAATCTAGGTTGCGACATTATGACCAGCTGGTGACAGCTGACAGCACCTCTATACTCTCCTGCGGAACAGAAACGTCACACTATAAAAAGACACTTTGACCAAGTCTGACTGCTGGACCGCGATAAAGATGTCAAAGGAGAGCCACGTGTTGTTGTGTAACATCCCTCGAAAGAAACACATTACAGCTTGCAAATCAGCCTTTTGGAACCACAAACTTGGGTCATCTCATTGGTCGAATCGGCGCACACGGCGTGAGGCAGCCGTAGCAAGGAATGCTGTCTATTATTTGACATCTGCCGCATCAAGCGCCCTGGATGCGGCAAAGCGGTTCCTGAAACCAGCCACACTCGGCATCTGCCTGGGCTGACGACTGCAATGCAATCACTACCGGTGACGGACGGGACTGAAACTTCGTATCTGACACGCTAGGAACATACCACGCGACGACGGTGCCCCGTAAACATCCTCCGAGGCAGCAGCATTTCTGACCTATAATTGCGCCTTTTCATCCGCATGGCCGTCCGCTCGGGAGCGAACGTTTTCTCTTCCCAAATTGAAACGAAGGCCAATCATCAGAGGGTACCACTGGTGCAATTTACCTTCCTGCCTCAAACCCGTGCATCTACTATCGCACCCATTAGAAATGGAACCTATCCGCACCCGCAAACGACCCACTATGGGGCCGATTTCAGGACCCCCAGACGGGGACCGGCCATCTGACTGCGAGACTTCCGAAAATCATCAGCGCGTCAGACTCACGGACCTGCCTGCAGAAATTCACCTCCTCATCTCGAAGCACCTTATTTATCCTGATGCACTCTCTTTAAAGCACACCAGCAGCTACTTCTACTACCTCGTCGACACCGGCGTGCGACTTAAGGTCGAATGGCTCATGGAACGCCGCATGCTGCATCTCGAGTGCCCAAATGATAGAAGATGTGATCTCGGTAGCGACCTTCGCTTCTGCAGAGGCAGCGTGCCGTATGTTTATCAGGACGGTTTTAATACCGAGCAAAAATCGCTATCAAAGTACTGACCTTTTTCTAGGCTTCTGATGCAGAGACGGCGAGAACATATGGAATGCGAATCGAGACCAGGCCTTGGGTGTCTGGTATATGGCACTACAGTATGCTCTCATCGTCGAAAGATTGGTGCGAGATGTCAACGCTGGCTGAGGCGCAGGCTGACAGTGGAGTTGTGGTGGCTTTTACTTGCTCTGCTACCAATTGTGCTGTGTTGGATCTGGATGGGCGAAGTTTTGCGGTGGGTAGCCGGAAGCAGAGAAGTTCAACTTTGATAATCATATGAGTCTACAGTGTGGTGATGAGTTGCCCTACTTGAGTTTATACTGGTCATGGAAGCCGCGTTTCCTCGTCTACCACTGTTTCTTAATAGGACGTTTGAGCCCATTTGTTTCCATACCATTCACTTCAAAAAATATAGCGCGGCTAAAATTTGTAATTGGAACGTATAGTGTTCTTCAGATAGCTACTGGCTTTCCATCTTAAGACAAAGAGACTGGATTGTACCGTTTTAAACAAAATGCAGTTACAAAGGCTATCAAGAAGTGCTTCCAGAAAAAGTCAGATAACTACATATAGTGCTTGGTTTTGGCGTCCACGACACACGATTGAAATCAGTCCCTCTTGATCATTGTGAACCGACCCCTTCGCCTCTTTTTTGCAGTAGCAATGTCCTCCCCGACGAATTCATGTCCGTTTTCCTTCATCTCCTCGATGTCTAGTTCGTAGTATTTTTTTCAGTCCAGCTGGGTAAAACCTAGCTCATCCTGTACCTCTCGAATCTTCGGATATCTGCTCGCCAGAACGGCACTGGATAAGGAACTCTCGAAAGCTAGTGTGGTAGCAATCAGGGGGAGAATATCTTCCATCAGAGGGATCCACTCCTCCATGGAAAGGTCAGGCTTACAAGACAACCAAGCCACGGTGGTAGCATGGACCACTTCGGCGAATCTAGCTGCACGCCTCATGATGTTGTCCTCCATTCTGTTTGAGATGTCGATGTACCGTGAAAGCTGCTCGCGCGTCAGTCCGCCATGAGAAAAACCATCCAGCAGGGTCTCAGCTTTCCCTTCACGTTAAATAGCGCACTTGATGAAAAAGAGATCCTCGACCGGTTCTCCAAGAACAGGCGTCGAAAGTGCTCCCAACCGCCAATCTCTTCCTTGTGTGATGTCATTTCGTCTTGGTTCATGTCGTTTTATCGAAACCCAGTAGCTTGTTATTGGGGTAACCTGTATAGAGCTCAAGAATTCCGGGAACCCCCGATGCTATTTATTTGTCCTATACATGGTTATGTTGCGCTCCGGGCGCTCCGGCGTCATTTTGGACAAAGGCATGCTGGGAGTAAAGCAGCCAGCTGGAATGAAATATCCCTACAAGTTGACAAAGATTTTTCAAATAAAGATCTTTTCATGCCTTTTTTTTGATTGATGATTTATCTTTTCCCGATGAGCTGTAGTTTCTTCTACAACAACACTGTATTTGCTATGGGTTATGCCATTGGGCAGGAACAACCCAGCCAACTTAGCGCATGGTAAACTGAACAGCCACTTCTCAGCATAACCCCGATTTGAGTGTTATGAGGAGGCGTGTTTCATGGTAATATCGAAAAGGACGGCTTGAGCAAGAACGTGCCTGTTAAGGGTTCGGTTTTTGGCGAGGAGGTCGGAGAACTCTTATATATAGGTGACCAGATGGAAAACGATTTCCTATTCTAGGGAATATAATTTCCGTCTCGAGATACTCAAGCCCTATGAGTAATGTCAGACTGAGTAGTCGCGTTCCCGAGTAAGGATAATAATGTGCGGGGCTCTTGCCATAGGCCACACCTTCATACCCTTGATGACTGCATGCAATGGACTGGTGGACCTGGAGTTTGAAGCAACACACGTTGAGGTGAATGGTCCCAATAGGCAGATGTCGGGACTCACAAGGTTCATAATCTCGAAATCATCTCCAGCCTGGCTTAAATCATCATAGATCCGGACGCGGCGGTAAAAAGGAGCCACGGGCGAGAAAACGGGTCAGAGTCGAGTCCCCACTATGAATTGAGGTAATACCTGCTCTATCTCGAATATGTGTCACGCCTAAACACCTGCGGAGACCAAAACATGTATGACTAGGGACCTGGTTACACTTCCTGTATAAAACTATCTAACTGTGTTTGGCATGCTATTCAAATTTACTTGTTTATGAAGTAGCCTAGACTTCCATGCTGGTGGTGTGATTATCAAATCGTTGAAGGGTTGGGCGAATGAACAACGGCCTTCTAGAACAAGGGAGCGAATCCTGACCGAGTCACAAAAGGGACTACTGGGAGAAAGAGAAAATGCCTAAAGAGGTCAGATATGTTCGCAAACGTTGGAGCAATTCATCAGTTCTGGTCAAGCCCGGAATACGAGAGCTGTGCATACCAAAACAGGATCAGAGACGATGCGTTGGTAAGAGAACGGTGTACTATGATTGGTCAGCTCCATAAATATCGGTTGCCATCAGAAGGTAATACTGCTAGAGGGTCCAAAGCTTCAGGCTTGGGACTAGGCCCGGACTTCATCCCAGGTCGCCGCTCTGATCAGAGCCATAACCATTCGCCACCTATCTCTAGGTCTAGGATGTCTACCCTTTTATAATGAACACTCACTTACCTTAACTTGACTGGCACAACCACAGCCGGTGCTGGATATTGTTATCACTGGTAAAACAGTCTAATTCTTCGAAAAGAAAACCCATAATCTATAACAGATTCCAGTACTGGCCACAACTTGTAAACTCGTTTCCGTGAGCAGAACTGATACCACGTGTTATCCCGCTTCCAACCGGTGCGCCTCGCAAGCAATGATCTACCAAATGTAGCCAAGAAAAGGGACCTCTATGAGCCTAGCCACTCGCAACATGCTTCTGGCGACTTGCCATCCGCTGCCGCGTGCTCTGCAACCGCTCCTCGTCCATGGCCGACCGCCACGTGCAATCTTCCGCAAATTCGCACATACGACACTTATACGCCTCCTCAATCTGCACCCCTTGCGGGGCTCGATCCGCCCTCCACCACTCCATATTACTACTTAAGTAGAGGTTCAGCGCTCGGTCGTCCATGGGGAAGATTTGGGTGTTGATGAGCGAGCCGTCGCCTCGGTATCTGTACTCGACGGCAAGCAGCCGACCAACCGAGTCGGTGCCGTGAGGAAACGTCTGCGCCAACTCGGAAACCAAGAGTGGTAGCAGCTCGCGTAGCGTTCTGTATTTGATGAAATCTGGCGTGGGACTGCGCGCTTTGTGTAGTGCCTTATCTGCCCCTGCTTCATCAACTATTGTGTCTGATGAAGGCGGCGCGTAGTCTGCATCTAGAGCCGAATCGACGTCGAACAGCTCGTCATGCAAGCTGCCGATTTGGGCGATAAACGAGTCCGAGAACGGTTCGTCGGGGTCGAGTCCGTACCGACGGAAGATGCGTAGGTAGTCCAGCTTGCCCGCCGCCATTTCTGACATGAACCGCTGGTAAAGGAAGAGCTGCACCTTTGCAGGCCGTAGCAGCGCCGGGCTATTCGGCGCCTTCATTGACCCTCGCGTCTTGACATCGGTCAAGTAGATCTGAGGGGAGTCTGCCTGCTTATTCGATGAGAAGTAGTCGGTGATGCTTGCTTGGTTCTGGTTCCCAGAGTCCTGGCTTAGCTGCTCCTGGAACTCCGGGTCGGGGTTCTCGTAACTCAACCCGTCGATGACGCCATTAACAAGGTTTCCGTCAACAAAGCCCCAGACCTCTAGTTCGCGCGTCATGCCGGTATCTCGAAGGGTACGAAGACCCTGAATAAGATTCCATATCCGCAGACCAAAGCCATCTTCCTTGCTCGCGATCTCAACGCGGACTGTGGTGTGTACTTCGTCCTCAAGGTCCTGGTGCACTTTGGTTCCCTGCTTCATGGCCGCCGTCCGTGTCTTCCGGCCAAATGGTAGCCGAGTCAAGGTATAAAAGTACTGCAGCTCGCACCAGGCGCCGGCGGTCAAGTCGGTGACCGTAAACGGTTTTCGAGGAAAGGAGCGGAAACGCACGAGCGGCGATCGGGTGTCGTTCGCTGGCTCGGGGGAGGCCTTGTCTGCCTGTTTCGGTGGCGAAAGAGCGCGGTCACTATTGGGGAGAACCTTTCTCACTAGACGCTTGGAGTCAGTCAGTTTTCGACGAACAGTCCATTCCTAGCAGCAAACGTACGATCCGGGTAGCTGACGACGGTATGGCCAGGTGACGACGGGGGAAGAGCCGCGGGAACCTTGTTGCGATTGCCACCAGCTCGTAGGGGTCCTTTGGCTGTGCCAAACGACCGGAAAGAGAGCGCATCGGTTGGGACATCGTCGAGTCGAAACTCCTCTTCGGCGATAGTGTCAATGCCTAGATGCGAGGCGATGGAGGGGGCGGTGGTATTCTGTAATAACATGGATGTGGGGGCGGGGTCGTCGGTGATGAGCTGGCTCAGCAAATTCTCGTCTTCGAGAGAAAGATCGTAACCATATTCGTCGTCAGAGTCGAGCGAGAGCGGATTTGTCATTGTGATGCAAAGCGAAAGTCATGTCGGCACTTCGGTAAGAGGGAGGAAGACCCTCGTCGAGAGCGTCACGACTCGGCGGGGAGATCGCCACTAAAAGGCCCCAGGCGCGTCGAGGATGCGCTGTTGGAGTCGCGCGATCACGGGGACTTTTACTGGGCTGGACCCCATTACATCGATGGAGCACCCAATCAGAGGCAAGGTTGTCTCGGGACCTAAAGTGCATCACGTCAGCAATTCTAGGCTCCAATGTCAACTTCAACCGCGTCACTCCCCTTCCACTCTATTGTCACTCAGTGTTGTTCTGCGCCGCTGCATTCTCGGGCCCGGCTTCTGCTTCCATTCATGGGGTCGATCATAGCTTGGTGTTGTGATGTATTCTTGACCTAAAGGATCTTGTCCCATGACAAGGACTGTTGCGCATGATTTTTGCAATCATGCTCTCTATTTCAGGTCTAGCATCTTACTTTCGCACTTGGAAGCCCCTAGTAAGCTCCTCGAACTCTGCGTGCTTGCCCTGAAGTCGTTTTTCGGTACTGCACCTTTACTTTGTTTAGGGGGCGACCCAAGTACCGACTCTTCTTCTTGATCGTTAAGTTTGGAACGTTCGTCTTCCCCTATATCAAATGAACCAGGATTAAGAACTTCCGTCGCACACTTCAGAGTGGCGATCGACCTACCGTTCTCATTGATTCGGGTAGACTTTGGGACACATAACAGCCACCATGACCCCTCGCTGAAGGAATGTTCCGTTGACGACTATTAGGTCTTCCACAATCGCACAACCTTATAAAACCAACATCGTTGTGGTTCCGAATTGGGTTGTCCTATAACTTGTCTTTTGAGTACTTAGGTATTACGTAGTGTACGTCGCTTGACAAATTTATCACCCTTGCGCTGCCCAAATCTATGTCTTTCAGCTTTACAAACTTTGTTTTCTTTGCGAGTGTCCAACCGAGCGTCACACATCACCACTGGCTTGGCGAACAATGATGGTCCGGGAAGTTTCCAAGCTTGAAACTTGGGATTAGATGGCCATACTACCCAGCCCACGTTAATAAGGGCGTGGTAACTGCGGATGAATTGACGACCTGGAGCTTCCGTCCAGTCAAGGTTTCAATTTACGGTCATGGGCTCGGTCAAATGGATCGTAATTCCACTCTTGATGGGCGCCAAGTTGTTCATGGTAGAAGTCTGCGAAAACCGGAATCCAGATTTTATATCTTCCGCTGCTAATGACTGCCTTGAATCCGTATGGATACAACTCTTCCATAAATACTTGCTGCAACAAAACATATCCCCTAGCCAAGTCTGCCGCCTGTCGACTCTCAACTTAAAGCGTTGAGACTTGGCACCACATGCCCTAAGGTTTATATCTTCAATTCTGTCGATGTCCGCGCAATTGTTCCAAGCAATATGTGTTGCTGCATCCGTGGGGTATACCTCCGCTTTTCATTATGCTTTCAAGTCCACTGCCTTTCAATATCTTGACCAAAACGTCCTAAGTCCCCAGGTTTAAAATCGACATACACAGCTTCAATGAGCTCTTCCTTTTGTATGTCCCTTGATCATTGTGCATGGGCTTAGTATCATCGAAGGCTCATTTCAGCTGTTGACAGCTCGTGGGTAAGATCTTGGTCTTGTGGTTCCCTGTCGCTGGTCCAACGCTATCGGTCTTGATCGACTTGCAGTCCTTGTCGACGGCGTCGTTGATACGTTCATAGGCATTCCCGATAATCACGCTCGCAAGGAACGACCGGGAACTGTGATCTTCATCCTTGATAAGCTGCTCAGCCGACTTCTCCAGGTCGCCCCAGCCAGCCTTGTGGAGATCTGCGATGAACGTCGAGAGGGCGACCTGGCGGACGCTAGCGTCTTCATAGCGAGCTACCTTGTTGAGGACCTCGGTAGTCTTGAAGATATTGGCGAGGAGGACGTCGTCGGTGCGTCCGCCTAAATGTTCGGCTTCGGGGCCACGGTTCCGTTGAGCACGGCGAAGACTGGTGGTCGGAGAGCTGTTCTCATTTCGAACCTGAATCGGACTGGCGTACTTTGTGGAGCCGCCCTTGATCACAAGCTTGCTTACCCCATTCTTGGAAGTTGCCGCTCTCTTCGGGGTCGCAGGCTTCTTGGGGTTGGCGATTTTCTTGCACGGCTTTGGAATGTCTTGCGGGGTCGGCTCCGAGGTGGCCTTGCGCTTGTTTGACGGTGGCGTCGCCGTGATGGAGCTGGTTACTGCCCGGTTTCTAGGTCGTGCTGCAGCAATGACCGGTCTGTTTTGCGTAGCCGCTCGGGGAATGTTACTGAAGGGGGTGCATACCAATGAGGGCATCGTCGCTGCTGAAGTGTTGTCTTTTTGCAAGTGGGTGGCTGCTAAAGCTACTTCCTTGGTCATGGCCTTCTTCAGCGACTCTGCGCTGTATAACTCGATGCCGTTGGCGCAGCGTTCAAGGTATTTGAGGGCTTCCCACCGCTGACGAACAGCTTCCGTCTCGAGCCATGCTGCAGGAGGATTCAAACTGTACCGGAGCAGTGCTGTAAAGACGTTGACCTCGACAAAAGGCGCCCTCCCTGCGCAAATCTTGCGGACCGTGTCTACGATCTTGCAGGATCCCACTGCTAGACTGTACAAAGCAATGTTCGAGTCGGTAATTCTTTCAGCGAGAAGACTGAGCACTTCGATCTTCTCGCTGCTGGTCAGAAGTACGTCGTCCTCGTCAATGTTGAAGAGCCTCGTGGCGAGGTTAAGCCAGTTCTTCTGCCACTGAATGGCGTGGTGCGGTTGTAACGTCCACTTGTACTTGCCGTTACCCCCTCGCGGTAGGTTGCGCCTCCGACCGTCGGCGCCGTTGCTGCTGCTGGTCATCCTGTCCATCAGTGACTGGGTTCAATTCTTGAAATGCATGTATTGCAAGAACACAAAGCAGCTGAAGGGTGGAGAAGAAAGTCTTGAGGTGGTGAGGCCGACGTTGAGTGCAAAAAAAAGCTTGCGTGTTTTGTGCTGGACCTGGGAAGAGCAAGAATACGCTGGTTCTTTCCTTTTAAAACAATGAAAAAAAAGTAGATGGTCATAGAATTTCAGGAGCACCAATATTTTCTTCAATGCGGAACAAAACTCCGGCTCTGGCTCACAATACGGGCCAAGCCTGAGTTTCATGAAATCCCTACATGCCAGTTTTACGATCGATAAATTAAGTAATTTTTACTGAGACTTTGGAATTGGTTGCAGTCGGGTTCATGAGGCGGGACAGCAAGAAATACAAGCTTGTGCCAGCAGCTTTGTCCAGCTCCCTCTACGGGTAGAGTCGTCTCTTCATGTTACTCCGACAACGAGGGCCTCTATCGTCGTGACTAGCGCTCAGGTGGAGTCAGACTGCCGTGACGTCTTTTGAAGCTAAAGAAGAGTAGGATCAACTTTATTGCGATATCGATGCCATGAAGTCCATTTACTCTTCCACCATATATCTTAGTAATACTGACACAACTAATGCGGAGTCGTTGCTCAAGGCCTGGAGTTAAGCAAAAGACTCGGATGCAATACTTCAACAGACCTTTGTGACCTAAGAATTGATAGACATGCTCGGAGACACCAGCACAAAGCCAACAGCATTCGGGGGGGAACCCCCCCCCATTGATTCCACTAGGTAGCTTATTCTGGCCGGATGAACAATTTGCTAGTGAAATCTAGGTGTTGAAATGTTACAGTTCTACCGGTCAAGACTCGATAAGTTGAAGGTCACTTGGATGTTCGATGTTGATGAGTCTTATAGTTGCTACCACGCCTCTTTAGCCTGGCTCGATGGACTCCGGCTTCAAACTCATTAGACATGGGGCTTGGAATCCGGCGTAACGGATGAAGACGATGGAAAGCATAGTGGCAGGAATATGATCTTATAACGGACATTTCTTGTTCTATTGCATACCGGGCAAGTAAGCCTCGACTCCGAGGAATGTCTTTACCCTCCCCAGTCTTTGCCACGAGAGAATCCTGATGCTCTATACTCTGCTTCTAGAAAATAGAGTCTGGGACATGCAGCTGTCTATGTTGCTCCATATCTTGAAGACCATTTTGCAGTTGCAAAACATATGTGTGCCGAAGGCTCACCCACCACCCTTCAATATAAGCCAGCTCGCACCCAACGGCCTGTAAATGCATCAGAAATGGATCATGCCACAGCGTTTCGAGAGAGCTTACTCAGGAAATTTGTTAGCACCATGGATCGATGCGCAGATTGGTATTTTCACATCGAGAAACAACGCGTGAAGCTGTCGTTACTATAAAAGTGAAGTCTTGATTCATCTAAATGAAGACGCCCAACCTAGGACTCCGGCAAGAATCTGGTCGGATAACACGTAATCAGTGCTGAGAAGAGAAAGGGTCAAAAGTCGAAAACTCACTTACGCACTGCCTGAATAAGGTTTAATGACCCCAGTTATCTTTTCCTTGAGATCCGCTACAAGAGTCTCTGCAAGCATGACACGCGTGACCTTGTCCTCGTTCTCCGCAATGTTGTGAGCAAGCGCGTCAGACTCCGCCTCAGATGTTGACTTCAGGTGCTGCCGAAAGGCCTTGAGCGTGGCCCTCCGAGAGAACGCATCCTGAAGACGAGCTACCTTTACTATCTTATCGGCAGCAATGAAGTCGAGTATGAAAGCGGCGCTCTCGCTAGGAGGTGATGTCGGGGGTTTGGCTATGGGAATATTGATCTGTTGGCCCTGGGAAAGGCGCATCTCGCCAATGAATTGGACCTCGTCATCACTGTCGTGCTTTTCCTCAGTCTTGACTGAGATCTCGTCTTTGGCGTCTCTGTTGTCGGTTTTGAGTCCCGTCGAGGCTTGTTGGGAAGGTCGAATGCGCTTGGGTCTTGGACCGGGTCCAAAGTCTGCTAGCTGCGGGATCCATCGCTTGCACGCCCGTGTTCCTGCCCTGTTGGTGTTTGCCATGGTCGTAGGGACAGTGTGAAGGTCCCGAGTTCGTCGTGCTCTCTGCCTGGCGGTCTTGGGTACACGAAGCGTAACCATGAGTCGATTCGGGGTGTCGGAAATATCCTGATATGTCACCACCGGTATATCAGACGCTTTCTCGCCCGCTACTAGTCTGGTGTACATTGCAGTTTCCATGGGCAACTGATCGAGAGACGGGGCGTAAGGTGGTGCGGGTTGAGGTGCTCTGACGTCTTTGAAACCGTCCTCGTCGATATGTCTCTCCTCATTTTCACCTTCTTCCTCATCCTCGGAAGTCTTGAGTTTTGTGTCGATGAGATTTGGTTCAGAGATTTCCTCAGACTCGGACGATTCGGAATTCGCCAAGTAATCTACATCGCTTACATGCGAATCGTCATGATCCGAAGACTCTTCGACCATTGAAGACTCATCGTCAACATTTTGGCGCTCTCTTCCACTATGCTGGAGCAGAGTAGGGCTTTCCAGAGGACTATCTGCCATTCGCGCTGAAAGGAGTTCTGCAAGCTTTTTCCCCCAAACTTTCCGACGATTTGTGAGCCCAGTCGCTGCGTCGTCCCTCCATTCTGAGAAGAACAAGACGTTAGGGATGCCGCCAGGGACAGAAACAGCCTCGCAGATGCCAGTCTCATCCGGAGAATGGAGAGCGAACAGCTTCTTTTTGCCGGTGATATCAGCCTTGTAAACAACCTTGAACGCTTTGCTGACGCTAGAGGAGTTTAGGGGCTCGGCCAGACAGCTGTTGACACACTGACCCTTGTTGACATCAACTTCTCGACTCGAACGCATCGTCATCTCGCTGAATGGAATGTAAAGGGCCGGAATAAACCATCCTACCCAGACACAGTGATGGTCACTGCTCCATTTCTCAAGGTCTGTCTCGTGGACGGTGGGCCAATGCCAACTATCCTGGCACCCGTTCCACTCCTCTATTACTTCGCTTTTGGTCTCTGACCACTGGCATTTGAGGAATTCGGAGACAACGAGGCTCACTCTTCTTGGGCGTTGGTGATATGCCCGGAGACTGTCGTCAAAAGCATCTAGCGAAACGTTGTAGCAGACCTCGCCAATGGCATTTCTGTGATTAGGCGCCATAATGGTGATCCGTCGTCGAGTTTCGCGGAGTAAGTAGTGAGGATGCCGATGTGGTGAGCTGAAAAGTAATATTGAGGAGGAAATAGGTGTCTCGGGGGAAAAATCAGAAGAAAGAATAAAATCAAACAGGCGGTGCCATATTGAGGAAGGGCCGCGACTGCCTAATTCGTTGGGGGAGGGGAGGTGAATGGAGTTCTCAACTAGGCCTGTGCGAGAGAAAGAAAGAACCAGCGTTTCCGCGTATGGGTAAAAAAAGAAGTTGTTTGGATTTGGTGAAAATACGATCCATGTAACCGGGGGTAGTATTCTCCTACGAGGGAGAGGAGAAAGGGTGCGAAAGGGAGGCAGCGTGGCAGAACATAATGGCAAGAGGCGAAAGTTTTGAAGCTGCAGCGGCCTGAAGCATAATGAAGGAGCAATCGTTCATCCATGATACTTCAGTTAACTGATTAAGGGAGATATAACCGTGGAAAGAAAGGGCAATGATACAAGACCGGAACTTGTCAAGATTCTATTTTTCCCCCGTCACATCTTTTCCAAGCACCCCTTTCAACTGCTTTTGATAAGAAGCTTCAAGAGAAAAAGAAGTGCAGAGTATCAAGAAGTGTTTTTCTTCAAAGAAAAGCCGAACTGGATTACAGACATTGCTCTTAGACCACCAACATTATTAGACCGCTTATGAACAGACAACATTCAGTAAGGTCATGTGCGGTGCCTTTCTTTCCTTACTCCCCTGTTGCTCCGTGCCGGACGGCCCCACTGCGGTACGTGGCCTGTGCATCTTTTACTGCTAACATAGGGTACGTTCCACCAATTGCCTATGAAGAAGACAAAAACATCACCAGACTCAAGGCAATTCACATCATTCCACGAGGGAATGAAAACAAAAGTGAACGACCGAGCTGGGACTCGAACCCAGAACCTTTACCACCGGAAAGTAACGCGCTACCATTGCGCCACCCGGCCATGTTCGTGAAAATTTTGATGATGTGTGAGTAAATGTATGGATTGTGGGTGGGAATCCATCGGATAAAACAGAAACGAGCCACCCTCTGATGCCGTCCACGATTCTTCCGTCGCTTTGCAACCAGGTAATCCAAGCTTGATCAGATTAGAAAACAGTGGGGTTAGACTTAAAAACTTTACCTATTTTATGATATTTACTTTGTCATTTTTACACTTAATTTTGATGGCATATCTGGGCGTTTTTTACTACTTGTATTAACAGAGAACGGCACGGTCTTATTTCACCCGCATGGGATTTTGGACCGATGTGGATAATACAAACGAGGTGAGGTGTCCGAGCGCCACAAGCCATCAATTTCCCTCTGGGGCGGACCCTGGACACACAATTTTTGTGTGATCTCTCTTCGTCCTCACCTCAATGACGTAGCTTTCAGTGAATGACAAACACAAGGCTGAACCTACACAACTTCAGCGAACGAACACGTTTTCTTTTTTCAACTTGATTCTCGTCCAGTATCTCCCATCATGAGTCGGGTTCCTACAATAGCCACCGTTGTCCGTGGCGCCAGCGTTAACATCGTCCTCAAGGCCGATCAACCCACCGGCCGTACCGTCTCGGGAACCGTCCAGGATGTTTTGACACGCGGCAACCATCCCCGCGGCATTAAAGTGCGGCTCACTGACGGCCGAGTCGGAAGAGTGCAATCCCACGCTGGGGCTCAGACAGATTCATCTGCTGCGGACCAAGAACCTTCCGGAATGGGTGCCGGATCAGCGGGCTTCGGAGACAGTCGTCCGCCGCGGCGCGGACAAGGTCGCCGGCAAGAAGCAGAGGCCGACCGCCCATCGTCGCAAGTCGGACTCGAGGCCTACATCCGCCCAGCGAAGCAGAAAAACGGCGGACGGGGCAGACCCGCTGCAGCTCTCGACATCCAGGCAGAGGAGACGGCGCATCATGCGACATCCGACGTGGTGACTTGTCCGGTCTGTGGCGATTTCGAGGGAGACGCGGCGGCGGTGGAGCATCATGTTGCCGGTCACTTCGATTGAGGAAATTGGCCACTCACGACATTAATAATCCAAGATCAATCTTCCGTATTGACGCGGGCGACGGTTCACCCAGCTCGTGTGACATGTTTCGGGGAGGACGTCGGTGTCTTGACGGGACTGGTTTCAAGACCCGCTCCAAGTCACTCTGATCACCCCATTGCATCCCACGATGGCCCATGTATTCTCTCAAGAGAGCAACATTGGAGCTTGTCGCACAGATGTTATGATTTCCCGGCAGCATCTCACTCGTCATTATTGTGGCTATCACCATCAACTCAGGTTTAGCCGCCTTCTACGTTGTGGTCTTACCACGCAACGGCCGAATCTCAAACCTCGCGACCGTGGATCTACATAGTTCTTCCTCGGTTTCTCGCACAATTCCACCAGCCTACTGACGGTCCCTCTCACAGGCGATACCTGAAGCCGGCGGTCTTCCAGTCAGTCACATCCTCATAATCCTCGGGCCGCAGCTCTACCTGGTCAACCATATTCGCGACATCATTCGCGTTTCCATTTGCTTGCATCACCTTACCACCGCCAACAGCACCGGCGCCTCCAGCGCTACCTTCATATCCCTCCTCTCTTGTGCGCTTGGTGTTCATCCATTGCAGGTAGAACCTCAAGCCAAGCGCGAGGACCACGACCAGCGAGTAGCAGATCATGATGGTCCGGAAGGCGGTGTTGTAGTGCGGCTCCTCGGCAGCCTTGAAGAACTGGGGACCGGCGATGTTGCCGGCGCAGTAGGCCAGGAACAGCAGCGCCGACATGGTCATCTTCTTGGTCACGCCGCGGTAGTTGGCCTGCACGAGCGACAAGGCGAGGGGCATCGCGGCCGGCCCGGGAGCGAGCAGGAAATAGCCGAATAGCTGGACGCCGCTGCTTACGTTCTCGCGGGAGTAAATGATGGCCGAGCCTGTGATGCACGGGAGAACAACAAGGATCATGAGAATGCAGTTCATCTTGCGGAAGCGGCCAGCGACCCAGCCGGTTCCCGCGATGATGCCGGCCGTGAGGAGCGAGTAAGGGATGTTGATGAGGGTCGACTGCAGACTCGTGAAGCCGAAGGATTTGATGACGAGGTTGGCAAAGTTCTGGGTGCCGCCGTTGGGGATCTGCGTGATGATCTCGAGGCCGAAGATGAACCACGTCTTGGGGTCGATCAAGCACTCCTTTACCTGGTCCCATTTCCAGTGCGTCTTCTCCGTCGAGCCGGTGCCGGCAATGACGACACGGTCGGCCGCGTACCGGCGCTCGTCGGCAGTAAGGAACCGCGCCTTGGAGATGGTGTCGGGCAGCCAGATCCAGAGGACAAAGGCCCACGCAAAAGTCAGGACACCGAGGATGATGTACATCCACCGCCATGGGCCGACCTTGTCGTCGTTGGAGATGTGGCCAAAGCCAAAGGCAACAAAGGATGCAACGAGGCCGCCGACACTGTTCCCGGCGAACCAGATGCCGGTGCGGGTCGGGATCTCGTCGCGGGTGTACCACGTCGACGTGAGGAACATGAAGGCCGGGGTGATTGTGGCCTCGGCGACGCCGAGGAGGAACCGCACGGTGATCAGGCCGCCGTAGTTGGTGCATGCAGCCGTGAGCGCGACGACGGCGCCCCAGAAGAAGGTGTTAGCGGTCATGTACTTGGCGACGGGCAGCCGTGCAATGAAGATGGACGTAGGGTACGTCCAGGCGAAGTAGCCAAAGTAGAAGATGCTCGACACCCAGCTGTAGTCCTGGCCCTTGAGGTTCTGTGCGCTATCATCAGACACGTTTGCAGACCGGGTAGTCACAAGCGAGCACAACTCACGGTATCATCTCTGAGACCAAACACGGACGCGCTGGACAAGATCGTCTTGTCCATGAAGTTGAGCATGTACGTGATAAAAAGCAGCGGGATGATGTTGAAGTCAATCTTTCGAACAATCTTCTTCGCCATGGTGCTGTCGACATGGCGCCCCCCGTCCTGCACCTCGGCGGGAGGGTTTTGCTGGACGTCCGATGATGAGCCCATGTTGGCAAGTAGACTCTGCCTCTCGTCGTTGTCGTGATCGTCTGCGCCAGAGTTCGAAGCCACTACGGATTCGCAAGCGGTCGCGTCTCGGGACCGCCACCGGGGCGTCGCCCTTTTGAATAAAGCGGCCATTCAACAGGATCCGGCGGGGATCGATGCGACCTTTCCGCGGCGAACGAAAGAAAACGAACCAGAAAAACTCTCTCGGATCCTTATCTCTGCCGATCTTCCCCGACCGAACGACGCGTCTGGCCTCCCTCTCCTTGCCTCTCCAATTACCGTGAAGCGGAGGCTGCAGCGACGGCCAGACGAACGACGGTGGGCGAGGGAGATAAGCAGACGTTCGTGCAGGCGGTGGACTGGGGATCCAACCGTTTAGCGACCGCTAGACTCCGCTGAATAGACGGTGTTTCCCTGGAGATATCATTCCACCCTCTCTTTATCGGCTCGGATACTCGCCGACAGGATGCGACGGGGAATCCGCCAATAATCGCGCTGCTCGAGACGTTCTTGGGGCGCGATGTGGAGAGAGGTAACACAGATGTCTGGCGGAATAAAGAATTGGAGAAGACAGGGCGAAATGTGAATGGACAGCTTGGACTCAGAAGGACCGAGCCGCTGACAAGCTGTGATACCGGCTCAACGGTTATGGTTGGCTGATGATCCAGAATCCCACTGTAAAAAAAAAAAGACCCCTACCGTAGTCTTGACTCTTATCGAATCCTGTTACCCCACATCGCTGCGAACATCGGCCGTCCGACCCCATTTTGGTCTCTATGATGCTTGTTCTCTGCACGCCAGGCCTTGAAAACGTACCAAAACTAGACTGGATGGTACATGGTTAATGTGTTTGTGGCCGACAGGAGTACGTGGGTTGTCGGCTGATGTCCGACATGCTGGGGTTTCCAACAAGATGCCCAGCCAGATCGGCAGACGTTCCTAGGCGGCCGTAAAGATATCCCGGCTTTACTTTCCATGTCATCGGATTATTGATTGGCTCTGCACCTTACGACCGCATCTCACCACGTCGAAATCATTGACCAGGGATCCGGAATCAAGACGCATTCGCCATGAACGGCCTCGAAATTTCTCCTTTCATCGCCGCTCTCCCCAAGGTCGAGCTACACATCCACATCGAGGGCACCCTGCTCCCCGCTCTCCGGTGGAAGCTCGCCAAGCGCAACAACGTGCCCTTACAGTATGACACCTACGAAGCCCTCTTAGAGTCCTATAAAGTATTCTTCAATCACCGTCCAGAGATCAATGGCCGCGTTCCCGGCATCCCAACCTTCCTCGAGGCCTACTTCGCCGGTTGCGAGGTCCTCAAAACGGAGGATGACTTTTACGAAATGTCCATGGATTACCTCCGGCGCTGCGCCGAGATGAACGTCCGCTACGTCGAGCCCTTCTTCGACACCCAGGCGCACACGCGCAGGGGCGTCCCCGCCAAGGATGTGCTCAACGGGTATCTCAGGGCTCAGCGCGACGGGGCGAAGAAGTATGGCGTCAGATCGAACTGGATCTTCTGCTTCATTCGCGATGAGAGCCTCGAAGACGGCATCGCTGCGTACGAGACTTCCAGACCGTGGGCGGCTGGCAACATCGAGGGCGGCAAGGGTCTGTTCCACGCTGTTGGGCTCGCGAGCAATGCGTTCAAGAGACCTCCAATGCTCTTTGAGACTGCATTCAAGAAGGCAAAGGAGGACGGATTGCATGTGACGATGCATTGCGACTTTGGACAGAAAGACACCTTCGAGCACGTCCATGAGGCCATTTTCGAAGTCTGCGGCGGAGCGGGCGCGGAACGCATCGACCATGGCCTCGACGCGGCGGACCGCGAAGAGTTGCTGCAGGGCTTGTTAGACCGGGGAATCGGGTTGACGTTGTGTCCTCACGCATATCACCGTCGCACGCCGACAGACGTGCTGTTCCCCAAGATCCGGAAGCTGTGGGATAGGGGTGTCAAGTTTTGCATCAACAGCGATGACCCGGTGTACATGCACGATGTGTGGGTGGACGGGAACATGCAGAAAGCGTATACCCACTGCAACTTCACCAAGAAGGATATGGTGACGTTGGTGCGGAACGGAGTGGACATGTGCTGGGCGAGTGACGAGGTCAAACAGGAGCTTTACCGGGAGCTAGGTGCCATTGACACATCTGAGTGAGCTATAATTTTCTGAGAACACACTTGAAACACTACGCTGTAGAGGTTTTCTTAGCACCAGGTACGAGTTGCTCAAAAGGTACACTAGTACCTCTCGTCCGTCCTCAATGCTCCTATGGATCCTTTCAATTTCCACCACTAACCGATCGTAAATGTGGAGAGACGGAGGTCCTTTCGAGGTCAAATCAGATGTCCTTGAGAGCTTAGGTTATGTAAGAGATGCAATCAGACAGGTTTGGTCTGATGATCAGTTTCCCACGTGAGGCAGATCAAGGAAACCATTAATCACTCGCTATCAGAATGTATAGCCCATCTGTTCTCAACTCCTGTATACCATCGTGCAAGATGTGGTTCATGGACTAAGGCCAAAAATCAAGTTCAAAGACGTTCACATCTTGTATCCACAAGGAAAATGGAATTCGCCCAGTAAGGATCGTTGGCCTTATTTTTGTATTGGGAACTTGCTTGTCATTCTGCAACCCAAAGCCATGCGTGGGAGTGTCACGACTAATTCAATTCGAATTTATGCTCCATATGCCAGAATCAAGCAGCAACCCCCAGTGCCTTCTTTCCCAATTCGCGACGATGCAGATATTTGATGAGCAAAGAAGTCCCCGCCATACCTGCTGCAAAGAAGACCATGGTGATGTAGGCCTTTGGGTATCTGGGCGCCTCCACTTGCTGCCAGATGAGAAGCGGCAACCACGCCTGGATCACGTACGCCATCTGGTTCATGGAACCGGTCACCAGCGCTCGCTCCTCGTTGTCGTCTTTGCAAATCTCGTGGGCCCAGGCGAATGTCAACCCACTAATGCCACCGCCAAACCCGACAAGCAGGAAGCAGCCCCATTTCCACGCGTCAGGAATATTCCAAGCCGCTAAGCTTGAGTAAACGACAATATTCAGGACTCCGGAGAAGACAATTGGAGGCCATCTCTCCCCCTTGAAGACGGAGTCAGAGGACCAGGCGTAGATCCATGTCGTCACCACGGTAATGGCGGATGTGATCGTGGGGTACGTGTTGTAGTCCTTGACACTGTAGCCTTCGCCCTTGAGCCACAGTTGGAACGCGGGCTGGCTCATGATACCGCTGCCATTGTTGAAGAAGATGTACAGCAGCGTCAGCGCATAAATGTGCCAACTTGTAAGAATCTTCTTGATCTTTGACTTCGTGTACGGCTGTCGATTCGCGCGTCCTTCGAGCTGCATGCGTTTCTGGGCCATAACGATGTCGTCTTTCGACAGCCACCAGGCCTTGGTGATTTCGGGGACGTCGGGGAGGAAGAAGAACCCAGCGATTGCAATCGGCAACGAAATAATAGTGTCTACGATGAAAAGCCACTGCCAGCCTTTCCACCCATGGACTCCGCCGAGGTTGTACACGGCTGCCATTAGGTAGCCTGAGAACATGGAACCAATGGAGCCGCTGGAGTGAAAGATGCATGATCTCTTGGCAAGTTCGTCCTTCCGATACCAGCATCCGATGATATACTGCATGCCGGGATAAAATGTGCTTTCGGCGAGACCAATGAAGAATCGGAGGACGTATAATTGAGTAACATTGGTACACTTGATCATCAAGATGGTGAGTATAGCCCAAGTGCATTCGCAGGCAGGAATCCAGATAGACGGTCGGACACGAGTAAGGAGGATATTGCTGCAGGCCGATGTCAGCATGCCTTTCTTGAAGCATTCTGGAGGAACGAACTCACCTAGGGATCTCGCCAATAACGTATCCAACGGTCCAGCAGGCTTGCATGTAGTTCAACTCATTGCCGAAGAGCTTCATGTCTTCCTTCATGCCAGATACAAAAGCATTGTTGATGTTGATCTGGTCAAGGTTCCTTGTTACTTGTTAGCACAGAAAACGGATCAAGGCTTCGGGTGGCAGCTTACTTGATGAAGTAACCTAGACTTGCAAATGTCAGGATGACGGCATCCAGCTTAAACATAAACTTGCGCTCTTCTGGAGACTTGTCCAGTGTATCCCAGACATATGACCTCCATGTGAGCTTCGGTTCATCTTGCACGAGCTCAGCCACGGCTGGTTGCGCCTCCTTAGCCTCGACGGAAGTCGGGGACTTGCTCCGGGGCGAGTCGCCGAGCGTGACCTTTTCGATCTCGGGGGCTCCCATTGCGAACGGCCAACTTAAGATGGAGCGCCAAAACCAAGTTGATACTGAACGAGGAAGGTATGAATACGCTCTGAATCAGCATGGTGAAGGATCCGCGGTTCCACGACGGCAATCACGAAACTTTATACAGCCATCTGAGCATATTTTTTATTGGTGTCCAGGGTCCATCGGGCCAACATCGGACACCTCGCAGATGCAACAGGGTTAGAAATGGACAAGTCGCTGACGATGTTTTTGGACACAATTGCGTGCTGGAGACACAAGCGCGCGTTTGTCACCCTCCGAGCGGACAAGATCCGACGGCATCTTGGAAACCGGTAGTCATAGCCATGATAACCATCAACATCGCGCGGCTCTACGGCACGACCCGAAGCCAATAGCCAATTCGCGCCAAGTAATCTCGGCAAGAGCTTGTGTCAATGTGTGTCTTCAAGAGGCTAGATACTTGAGCCGAACAAGAACCGTTGTTTTTCCAGAGTTAGCCAGTCTTGGTAGCTTGGTATTGAATAACTGCTTACTGAACCAATGCTTCCGGACAGAGCAAACAGACACCAGAACATCGAAAGAGGGGAAGCCGAGATTGAGGCGCCTGCAGGCTTACGTCTTCTCCCTAATAAATCTCTCTCCGCACCGATCTAGTTTCCAAAATGCCTAGTTGCGACGAAGATCTCTTGAAGGGGATTGGGCTGTGTGTTGGTTGTCGAGCACACAATCGGGCCCTTGTATCGCGTAACCCCCACTTGCGAATCGTGATGACCGACGGCCCCAGATCGGTGCCCGCGCGGATGGTAAACAAAGAACAACAACGACCCAACGGCCAGCTGAATAAACCCTCCAACATCTTTGGCTAAATACCAATTCGAAGAGTAGGAGGGTTGGGGGTCAATCGCGTGCTGCCTAGGACGTCTGGTTGGCGAATTCATCCCCTACATCAGCGACCTTATGGTTCGATGTTGCACTTTTACTCCTAGATTCGTCACATTCAATGCAGATGAAGCCATAGATAATGGGTTTAATGAAAGATTTGACCCCGCGATTATTGGTAATCAGTACTTCCGTGGCAAGCGTGATCACTTTTATGAATCCCTCGGAATTGAAAAACGACCAGCGACATGTATCCTAAGACATAAAAGAGGCTATCCGTAATCAGTTCAAGGTCTGGGTTTCGAGATCAATATTCTTGAAAAGCTCATCTGCGACTGTTGCGTCCTGATTTCCCCACCCCAGCTAAAACTTCATCTTGACTGATAATCATGGTTCCCGCCCCCATCGACCCATCCATTACGGATGTGGCAGAGCCACGGAAAGATACCCTCGGACTCCCCGAGAGCGCAAAGACAAGATTGACAAAGGCGGGTGTTGATTTATCCAACGGATATCCATACCGCCCCTCGCGGCCGCTGTACCTGGACGATGCATACAACATTCGCAACAAAGAGCGGGAGTACATTGACGCAGGCTCGAGGGCAGATAAGTCCAAGAAGAACTTGCTCGGTACCGCTACCAAGGTCACCAACCTGACAGCTCACATCGGCACGGAGATTGAGGGCTTGCAACTGAAAGATCTTACCGCGGAGCAGAAGGATGAGCTTGCACTTCTGATTGCCGAGCGCAGCGTTGTTTTCTTTAGAGACCAGGATCTTTCTCCACAGGAGCAGAAGGAACTAGGTGACTGGTATGGAGAAGTTGAAGTCCACGTAAGTTATACTCTCCGAATCTCCTTCCGACCGAGAATGTAGAATCTAATGACCTCAATAGCCACAAGTCCCGCAAGTCCCCGGTGTTCTCGGCGTCACGGTCATCTGGCCTGCGTTGATGGCCACCGAGCGGAAGGCCAATTTCCGCAACCCCGGCGGTGCGTCGAAGTGGCACACCGATCTGGTCCATGAGCGCCAACCCTCCGGCATCACACACTTGCACAACGATACCATCCCATCGATTGGTGGTGACACTCTCTGGGCCAGCGGCTACTCAGCTTATGAAAAGCTGTCTCCGGACTTCCGCAAGATCATTGATGGCAAGTACGCAATCTATCGGTCCGCTCACACCTACCTTGACCGGAACGACCCCAATGCCGGTCCCAAACACATCGAGCGAGCTCACCCTCTTGTCCGGGTGCACCCCGCCACAGGCTGGAAGTCTCTTTACGTGAACCGTCTCTTTACTACCCAGATCATTGGTCTCGACAAGGCCGAGAGTGATGCAATCCTCAATTACCTTTTTGACGTTTACGAGAAGAACGTTGATATTCAAGTTCGATTCAAGTGGACCCCAATACCAGCGCTCTTTGGGACAATAGGTTTGTGTTTATCTAGAACAAAGCCTATAATGTGCTCTTGACTGACAGTGTACAGAATTACGATCCACAACGCAAGCTGGGACTACGAGGGAAACCAACCCCGACATGGGACGCGCGTGACATCTCTGGCGGAGAAGCCGTACTTTGACTCCAATGCACCTACTAGGCGCGAGGCTTTGGGCCTGCTCAGCCCCGATGAGAAGGAGGAACTTGGAATTGATGGTACTACCCAGGGACTCAAAGATTTCTCTCTGTAGTTGAGTCTACGCAGCTCTTGTAGCTTAAGACAGCTATCTCATTGATGCTCTACAGCGGTGACGCTGAAATTGGCAAAATGTCGTCTGGCTTTGCTTTGTTCCTACTTGTACCATAGCTCAATGAAATTGTCAAAGTGATGGAATGCAGAACCTTACACTCGATTTGTTCGGAAGCCCAGACGGGCGAAAACTCTCGTTTGGATTTTGAAGGTGAATCAACTGACCTTGGTCACTAAACGTCGGTGTTCTGCCAGACATAGTCATTGGCAGCGTCTCTTTCCCAAGTGAGAGTGCCTCTTTGGCATATCCAACCCTGAGGCACCTAGGGGTAAGGAACGCGTAGGAACAATTGCTTACTCTGTATCTTAGTTTTATTAAGCTTATGTTGCTACTTGAAAAATTGTCCCAACAGAGAAGGAGGCCCAGTGAATGAAACTGCTGCGCCTTAAGTGTCCACCTGCAAGTCTCTTGTCTCTCAGCCCCCTTCCCAGCCCCCCGGGTGCTTGTCCAAATACTTATTTTCACTCTTGACCTCAGCTTCAACACCACGCCTCTGTCTTCGTGCATCTTTCCTCCCCCTCGCAGCTCACTAAAGCACAAATTGAAAACAAGGACGCCATCACATCGCTGGGAGTTTTTCTTTTCTTTTTCCAGACGTTTACAGCCATGGGTGGTCTGCCAATCTGGGCAGCCGCCGAACAAACCGATGCAGGTGACCTGGAGCAACGCCTGCGGTCTCAGAGATATATCCACGCGGATGCTATGGCAGCAATCGAGGGCAAACGACTCCCATATGATCTCGGTCGAGAGCTCGTGCGTCTCTGTGTTGTCCGAGGCATTAGGTTCCATGCGGACTCTGCTTCGGCCCAGCCGCCATTCTTCGTGGATCGCTGCCGCTCTTTACTCGTGCCCTGAACGCAAGGGCAGTCATGAGCAATCGAGTCCCAGACATGGATGCCAATCAACCGGAAGATATGCCCTACTGTATCTGGTTTCCTGATATTCCCTCGGAAACTACACTTGGAGAGCTGATCCAGCGCTTTCCCGCCATGAGTTACCAGGCCGCGCGCGCCTGTGCTGTCGCCGGATACACAGATCTCTACAAGAAACTTGCCCTCCAAATCCTACCGGAGATTTCCATCGCTGAGGAAGCCCGCGAGAACGGCAATGTTGCCATCTTCAATCTGATCATGGAGGCGCCCTGCCGGTACAAAGTCTTTGACAATTACAACCGTACTATAGATACTACGGCATCGAAGCCCGCTTTTTTGAATGGCGATACCGCGATTCGACCGTATCTGCTGGAGACCCGGGCGTTTGAACCTCCGATTGGTCGCATGGATGACGAAGAAGGAGGTTCTGGTACTGACGACGATGAGTTGGATCCCTGGGGCCTCGGTCCTCGACGGAGCTTCATACAGACTCGCTTTAACATCACCGAGGATATGAATATCGATATTAATGGGAACGGTGGTATTGCGGGTTTAGTTGCCACAGTAGTCCCGAATTCCGATGAAGAAGCACTCAGAATTCTCTGCCAGCCGCTTCCAGTCGACCTGACCACCTGCCATAAAGACTTGCTCATTCTCATGGCCGCATACAACGGCGACATGGATAGGTATCATTGATCGCGACGACCTCGACTCCTTGACCACGAGATCGGATGCATTGTCCGCGGAATATGTATGACCAAACCTTCCAGAAAAGGGGCCTTTCACATCGTCTGACTGTTTCTGCAAGTCATAACGCGCTTTTTGCGCAATGGTGGAAAAGCCAGCTATTTCCTAAGGGCGATGAATCGCCCATTCGCAAAGCCATATCGGCGAGAGGAATCATGAACAACGACCTCTCTTACATACTTTCGCCGAACGGAGCTTGCCCCCGACTGATCTGGTACCCTGCCGTCGCTGCTGTACGAGGCTCTTGCACGCCTCATTCCCTCCATACGGCCCGATGTCAATCGAGCCGCCATCTTCTCGAACAATCAGACGCCGTTTGATAGTCTTATTGACGGGAACGACGGTGGCGAAGCCGTCAAGCCAAGTCTCGGACTGCTGAATGAGGCCAGACGAAGCCACAATGTGCATTATCGTGAAGCTCTAGAGCGTAAGGCGGGGGAACTAGGGCTTGATATTACACAAAACGTGCCACGTCCAGACCCGTTGGTGCAAGACTTGCCACAGCACATACAATTCTTTGACACGGAGTTGCCCTCTTCGCCCCCTAGAATAGGAACGAATACAGGGGAACCGGATTCCATTTACAACGGCATATCGTGTAACGATAGCTATGTCGAGACCTACATTTCGATCCCTGAGGAGTGGAGGAGGGCCCCAGAGGGTTACGAGCCAGAAGATGGAATCACGCTTATGGAACTAGACTACGAGCGGTGGCCTCCAGGATTCTCGAAAAGACCTTCAACAGGAAGTCGGTGATTGGATATGTTACTTGACGAGGGGCTACGCCTTGCTGAATGATTGCGTAGTCACTGGTTGAATCAACAGCTGTCTGTTGGAGAGGAGACTAAAGTGATCTTCGGTTGAGTTGTTGTTTTGGGTGGAAAATTCAGAGATAGCGCGCGTATTACGCCACGGCTGTGTTCGGAGATTCAAGTAGTGTAGATCTAGCCCTTCTTCCGGGGACTGATTTGTCCCGTTGGGCTCCTGGAAGCACAGAAAAGTCTCCCAAACTGCTGTAAGGACTTCGTTTGGACCCATCACATAAATCTTTTGTATTGCTTTGTTACACTGAGTTGTTTTTAACACGTAAAGCAGAAAAACGGTCAAACGATAAAAGACATTGGATGAATGAGGTATAAAACTTTTAGGTCCAAGAATCCCAGCGACATACTAGATAGTCCTGCAGATTTTGACGAAGAGAACTGGTGCTAGTGTCTGACAAAACTTTTGAAGATACCAACAGCGGCCTCACCTACTGAGGAGATTGTCATGTTGTATAGTAATCGTGGGCATGGCATACGGTTTGATTAGTGGTAATAGTGAGCATTAACAAGATATTGGAATGGGCAGGGTTTCCTGCTCCTATTAAGGTCCTCTTTTCGTTGCTTTCTTTTGTCTCTTACCTAAGTATGGTCTTTGATCAGGATTATAGAAACCTCATTAGCTTGGCCGACACAGATCAGACTCGAGGAACCAACACACACTCAATCAATGTTTCTTATCCCCAAGAGAGAACTAAGGGAACATCCTGTCTGTTTTTCATGATGACCAACACCCTGATCATACCTACACAAGAACCCTGAGAGTCTCTACTGTATTCATCGCATCGTGGCCAAGCTTGATCAAAGAGAGCCGATTCGCGACTGGCTGAAGGCATCTTGCGTAGCTACAGGGGGAGGTTGTTGTTGCTCACCGCACCGCATCGCTCACTATAGATTTGATCACCCTACACGCTTCCAACATACTAGGAGAATTCGAACGATCAATATGTGAGTGAAGCAGATCATCTTTTAAATTCCTCTTCAAAGGGCGGACAGCGTCACACTGGACCCAATGTATAATTAGAGGCAGACTACTGGTGAACTTCCCAGAAAGTTAACTTTCCCTTTTGCTCAAGGACCGTGACGCCCAGTGGCTATACCTATAAAAATCTCTGCTGTACCTTATCTCGTTGATATCAAGCGACCATGAACCGCAGGGATGAGACTCAGAGGATCGACATGCACAATGCAGAGCGCTATATAGAGAGTAGATCATAATTACAGGCTGTCTGTCGTGCACCTTGCCTAAGATTTTTCGCTATGCGTGTCCTATACACCTAGATTCCGGTGCTCAGACGGCAAGAGGGTGGTGTTCCAATGGTTGTTTGCGGCCATGTTCACCACTCCGGCAGCGACGCCACCGGTATGATGACAGCGATGCTCGCATAATCGGAAGACTGCAGAAATCTGGGTCATCTTGATACCAACATGGGCAGGCGGATAGCCAGAGAAAGCTTTAACCAACCTTTACTGGAATGACTGTGAAACATATCACCGACCAGGCCCGTTTCCGTTGTTCCGCGCGACACATGGCGCTTGCTTGGCTTTCAACTCCTAGATGCAAAAGACGACTAGGAAGAACATGGAGCCACACCAACGGCTTTGACCAGAACCATGGGATCGAAATTTTCTACGTCTTTCCACAAAGCTTCATTAAGTTGGAGAGGGATATTCTAGATGGTATTCGCTAAAAAATGAGTATATATGCGAACGATGCGTTTTTCGGGTGTGCCCTCGTGAAAGCGAATTCATGGCCCCAGGTACAGTAAGTCAAACCGCGCCACTTGGAGGAGATTTATAAATCCGCCGGTAGTCGGTCGGCAAAACTTTGATCTAGCGATGTCGTCATTGTCCACTGGCAACTTTGTTCTCCATGTTTACTCCAGGCTTTGCATGGCATTGCCGATGACAAGCTACTGCGGAAATGAGCTGCTCGTAAGAGACGAAGGAAACGGGGAATTGAGACCACCAGAACCACCAAAAGAGGTGGAAAGTGACCAAAAAAAATAAAAAATTTGTAGACCTGTTGAAGACCCAAACTTCGATACGTAAATGAAGAAGGGGCAGAAAAAGGAACACACAATCCACGTTCATGAATAGAGGACGCGCCTGTTCGGTAACGCAATGGAGCAATTGTCGGAGATGACGAGTTTGCCAAATATGCTGAGGTTGTGCTCTCATTGGAATTGGCCATGGCGGCACACTGTATTTAGTAAAATGTGATTTGAGTTTCGAAAAGAAGATATTCTGCTCAATGCAGATCCGAGTGTATGCCCATCTGAACACATGTTCGATGCTGGCCAACATCAAGCGGTTTCAACGAAGTCATTCCTTACCAAAAATCCGATTACTACCAGTGCTCGAATGATGTTACGTCTATCCGTCTCATCACCTTCACTAAGTATCTATCTGCTCTTCAGCACGTGCGCAACAGCAAGCTCGGCTTTCCACTGCCGACTTTTGAAACTAAAAAAGCAGTCACCGTCCCATGTTTTCTCGATGAAATACTTGAACTAAGCAGCAAGCTTAGGCGACAGCCTTGTTCCTCAAAGCTAATCGACTTGTGCTCTCGGGGCAGCGGTGAACCGGGTGGTGTACTAAACACAATCGTCGTCTTTTGTGCAGGATCGGTCCCGAGTCGGCATCCTGCCTAACGATCCATGGTAGAGTCTAGCACTTAGCTCCATGGCCTAGAGACCACTGACCGCTTGTTGTAGTCTCAGGTCCAGGCACAACTTTTTTTACAACTCATGAACAAGCGCCTAAAATGATCATGGGTGCTTGTCTTTAAATTGGTGAGTAACCAAGTCAGACCCTTGTACGACAGCTACAAGGGCGCTTTAGCAGCATACATTGCCGCAGCGCCCGCTGCTAGGCCTATGAGTTGTGAGGCATTTGCAAGCGAGTTGGGAAAATTTGGAGCTATGGCGTGTAGATCCTAGTCAAGAGACGGGGTGACCTCCACGTTGCATGGGAGAAACGGCTAAATCGTGAGGCTACTTGGGTTTAAGGCTTCCGGCTTATACATAGTACTTTGTAAGGGTATCCATGGTCCCTCGTTCTCGTTATCACTAGACAAGCACTTTTCTCCATGTCAGGGCGAGTTCGGCAAGAGTTAACGAGTACCTAGCGGGCCGTGCTAGATGGCTTTGGAAACCACTAGCCTTGGCGAATGTCTTCTGACTCACACCACGATGGAGCGTTGGGCAGACAGGGCCGAAAAGCTTGTTTGGACTCAGCCCTCTTGAGGCTGTGCTGGCGATGCCGCCGAAACATCCTTCTTGTTTTTCCGACGGGCACGAACTAATTAATAGCTCATCTCGCTGCCCCTGCACTCACAAAAGCTTGATGATGCCCACTCATTCGAATCGTCTCATCTTGGACTCGAATTTATTATCGTCATTCAGCACTCGCAGAAACTACACCACCCGTTTCAGTGTTCGTACCCGAGTCACAAAAAGACACCGGCACCGTCTCCGTCACTGCGATCTTCGCCTCCAACTATTGGGATGGTAACGGTTTGCGCATCGAACAACTCTCGGAAGGAATTGCCAGGCTATGGCACGTGTACCGAGGAGCAGCAGCCACAAGCACACCACTTGCGCGAACCGTGAAAGGTGAATACCGACGAGCCTTTACAGAGGTTGACTACCATGAGCCCACGCCGCTTTGTCTAGACCATAGACAACTGCACCGAGACCGGCAGATCGATTATCATGGCGCGCCAGACAGATGGCCGATTTGACCAGGGACCAAGCGACGCAATGCGATTGTCCCCCCACATCGGCTCCCCACACGTTGAATCCTCTAGCCCGCATGGAAGAGACTCCGAGCAAGGTCTCATTCGCGACTTTGCGAACATGCCCAACCTCGAATCCCCTACACTGCAACCTTTGAGCCGACGTCCTACCATCGGATCTTCCCGCCGGACCAGTTCGCCTCCGAATTCGGTAAAGGCCTTTGCCAACGCACGGCGACGAGGGCAAGATACTGATTCGCACGATCCAAAAGCGAGCCGCAGACAAGAGGGCGACTTGAGTGGCGAGACAGAGGGAATAGATTACAAGAAGCATGCCGGTGGTGGCCTACGCAGTGGCCATGGACAACCGCATGTTCGAGATGTTGAACAGATCTCTGGGGTATTGGCTGAGAGCAGTTCTGGGGGATATAACAACAAGCGCGAAAACTTGAGGGATAGGCTTGAAATCGACTTTGAGTGTCTGGAGACATTGATCGATGCGGAGGACCGCGACCACTTCAGCAACCCCGACTTTGAGAACCTCCCTGATACTTCCATTCCGACGGCCAGGCCCATGTTCACATCTGACGGAGACTACATCGACACAGTGTCCGAGCCAGCCTCAGTTTCAAAAGAGAAAGATACTACAACCCAAGGCCCAGCTAGAACTGCACACCAGGGGGAGCAGAGTCGTTTTAATTTCTTTTCCTCTACACTAGAGTCGACCATTCATGCTGCAGAGCTTGGGGACCTCATCTTGCCAGGAGAGAGCATCAGGTCTCTGTTTTACCTACCCGAAGGGAATTCTGACGGAGTCTGGTGGCTCAACATGAACAGCCCAACCAGCAGCGAAGTTTGGACAATTTGCAAAGCTTTCGGCATCCATCCTCTCACCATTGAGGATATCATCCACAAGGAAAGCCGCGAGAAGATTGAACTCTTCCCGTCGTATTATTTCGCTTGCTTCAGGTCATTCATTGTTGTTGAGGAAGATGGCGAAACTGATTACTACCCCTTCAACGTTTATGCCGTTGTCTTCAAAGAGGGAATCATCAGCTTCAGTTTTACCTCGAATCTGCATGCTTCGAGGGTGCGGTTTCGGATCTCTCAACTAAAGGAGCAAGTGTCTCTGAGCAGCGATTGGATCTGCTATGCCTTGATGTGAGTTGAGGAGCTTGTTATGATGGTTACAAACAACACGATGATGTTCAAATCGGACTTACCAGAGTATAGTGACGATATTGTGGACTCGTTCGGCCCAGCGATCAACCAGATTGAGCATGAAGCAGACGCAATCGAGGACCAGGTTTTCATCACCCGTGTCGATGACAATCAAGCCTTTCTCCGCAAAATCGGTTATACTCGAAAGAACGTCATGAGTCTTATGCGCTTGCTCGGTGGCAAGGCAGATGTTCTCCGTGCTTTCACCAAGAGATGCACCGAAGACTATGAAGTCACGCCGCATATGGATATTGCACTGTATCTCGGTGACATCCAAGACCATACTGTGACGATGATGAATAGTCTGGTGCACTTTGATACTATGCTCTCGCGGTCACACAGCAACTACCTGGCGCAACTTTCAATCGACAACATTGATATGGGCAATCGGACCAACGAATTTTTGAGCCGTGTAACGGTTATCGCCACCGTTATCGTGCCCCTAAATGTTGTTTGCGGACTCTTTGGAATGAACGTCAAGGTACCCTGGAAGGACGATGACAATCTGACAGCCTTTTTTGGAATTCTGGCCGGCATTGTAGTCTTTGCATTCCTCTCTGTTATTTTGGCTAGGCGGCTCAAGTACTTGTGAGACGCCCGTCAGCAATATACAAATGACATATTTTCATTGGACTTGAATACCCTAGCTATGAAGTCAATTGAGCATATAGCTATGGCAGACACAGCATAAGATCCGTTCCTTTCTTCTCCCGTACATAACCCATGAAGATCAGTAGAGGGAAACAATGTCGTCGTTGCGATTGCATTGCGAATGCATCGCTTATGGGGACAAGCAAACGCAACCACTCTCGGGCAGCTGTACAATCAGTCCTCCAGCTCTACAGAAAGGACGAAAACGACAACAACCACTCACTCTTAATCAGTCATGGTACGACCCCCCCTCCCGAAGTCGCTTTTGACTTGTTAGCATTCAATAACAGCCAAAAATGCATAAACTTGCCTACCTAATCGCTCGTTCACTGACGAGGCAGGGCTTGTTGAACTTCCTGTTCCGGCAAGGCGTACTGCCAAGCAACGAGATCTTCCGCCTTGGCGGCACTTGATGCTACGCCCACTCTTCGTGTCCTTCCCCAGCGAGAATATCACCTACCTCTTTTGCATACTATTCCCGTGTTGTTGCGAGGGATATTCGGGCTGAGCATTTGGGCTTGCGATGAGTGGGAAGTCTGCCGCTTCCTCAAGTTCCTTCTGAGTTGCTATAAAATGAAGACATCTCAACTCTGCATCCTTCGCCAAGTCATGTCTAGTTCTTTCTGCCAAGCCTCTTGTCCAGGTCGCTCAAATTCCAGCTCAGCATGAAAACCTCACTAATCTCCGTCGTCGCCCTTGTGCCTTTGGCGCTAAGCGCAACTGTCCCCAAGTTGGCCAAAGTTGACTACAATGGCTTTAAAGGTCTTCGCATCACGCTCCCTCAGGGCTCCGAGGATATCACAGAACAAATCAACGAGCTGGCTGCAACAATCTTGAACCCCGGCTCCAAGGAGAAGCTCGATGTTGTCGTCTCTCCCAAGAACGTCGATGCCATCAGCAAGCTTGCCAATACCACCGTTCTTGTTGATGACATAGGTGCCGCCTTTGCCCAGGAGGATGTCTCCACCATCTATGCTGGTAAGTTTATCTTCTGAGCATTGAATACACTTTGGCTTATGAAAAAACCCAGTCCCCAGTGAGACGTGGTTTACAGCCTACCACACCTATGCCGACCACTTGACCTTTCTCAGAGACCTTCAAAGCAGCTTTCCTAGCCAGTCTGAAATCGTCACTGCCGGCTCTTCCTTTCAAGGTCGTGCGTTGACAGGCATTCACATTTGGGGTAGCGGAGGCAAGGGTTCCAAGCCTGCCGTTGTTCTCCACGGCACTGTTCACGCTCGAGAGTGGATCAGCACCATGGTAAGAAAAAATATCGGAGACTTCATCGGACAATTAGTGAAGAGATAACTAAAGCCTCCTGATAGACCACTGAGTACGTGGCTTACCAGCTCTTGACCAAGTATGCCACCGATTCTGCCATCAAAACCATTGTAGACAAGTTTGACTTCTACATCACCCCGGTTGTCAATCCTGACGGTGTGTTTCAGATGTGTGATCACAGACATCCTTAACCCATGGCTGATCCTTTCAAAGGCTTTATATACACTCAGACTACTGATCGTCTGTGGCGCAAGAACCGTCAGACCAATACCGGCAGCTCTTGCGTTGGCCGTGACCCTAACCGCAACTGGCCCTACAAATGGGAGCTTACGGGAGGTGCTTCAACCAGTCCTTGCTCTGAGACCTACAAAGGCGCCGCTGCCAGTGACACCCCGGAGATTAAGGGTCTCAAGGCCCAGGTCGACTCACTGTCCGCCAGCAAGGGCATCAGGTTATATCTTGACATTCACTCCTACGGCCAGTACATTCTGTGGCGTAAGCAAATGCCTAGTTATTCCTTCTACGCCCTAGGGGCATGTTCATCTCTTTCTGGTAAACTTCGAGCTAATACACGTCAACAGCGTTTGGGTACGATTGTGACTACGTCGCTCCTGATGATGCTGCCCTACAGTCCCTAGCTCAACGCGGTGCCACTGGTATCCGCGGCGTTTCTGGGACCAGCTACACAATTGGAAATGCATGCCGTGCCTTGTACGCCACAACTGGCGACAGCACCGACTACATTCATGGTGTCGCCAAATCCAAGTACACCTACACCATTGAGCTCAGGGATAAAGGTACTTACGGCTTCTCTCTGCCTGCCAGCCAGATTCAGCCCACTATTCGTGAGACATGGGCAGGAGTTCTTGCAATGCTTCAAGCCGCGTGATTTTGAGACGGGCATTGTCGGTTTTGGTAATTAAACTTGTCACAAGCTGCTTCTTCTTGGATTAGATCCTGCATTAATCTTCCATCTTCTGACCATACATATATACATACATATATACATACATATATACGAACATAAATGACATCTAAGAAACCTCTTGGAAGATTTCTCTTTCATTCATTTGACTAGAGACAACTGTGTACTCTGTGATTTGATTGAGCGTGTGTCTGGACACAAAAACACCGCTGTCCATATACCGGAATATGGTCTTTTTGTGTTCTGATCCGACGAAACTTCGTTCACTGACACCATGACATAAACCTCAACAAGTTTATCCAACGATCAATGTCCACTCCGCACATTCACCAAGTCTAGAAAGCTTCCACCCTCGTGTGAACGATCATTTACACACGTAACCCAATCCCATTTGGCTATAGCAATTCTTCACTCTTGAAGCTCGGCCATCAGATTTTGGGGGTTGTTCTCTGCAACCGCGGCGACGTCGCCTAGAAGATCGAGCATCATCTATAGTTTCAATTGCATCTTATCAGCTATGATCTTGAGTTCAGTCTGTTGACCCTGAAGTTCAGATGCACGCCTACAAATCAAATCATTGGCTCGGTTCATCTCTGATTTAAATCTAGTCCATTCCCTCTGCGTTCGATGCATAGATAGCTCATGTGAAGTCAGAACCTGATTATTCTTGCTCGTTTGTGGCATTTGCACAGACTTGGAAGAAGCGAAGGCGCATCATTGTGAACAACTCGAAGATCCAATACATTGTGGGCAATTGTGAAGCAAAGCAGAGCTCTTAGTCGTTTTGGACCTTGGGGTCTCTCTGGGGTTCCAGGAGGTCCATCCATGTTTTCCGCTCAAGTCTTCCTCATATCCAGCGGATGTGCTGGAAACGTTTCTTGTGCTAATTTCCGGATTGTATAGTGAGCTCATGTCCAGTCTGCCACTTCTTCACTTACTGTGTCGATGTTGGTGCGAGGATTTGGCTCATGGTAAGTCTTTGCACTGTATGTTGTCTCGGAGATCCAAAAGTTAAACCTTGCCTGAACTGATAGTGAGAAAAGCTAACTCAGTCGAGCCCGGGAACTTTATACCTTCTCGGCAGACAGAGGGGCCTCTTAGTGTAACTACACGGTGCAACATTTCGTGGTCCGTAGGGTTTAGTTGTCTACGATTGGTTTCCAATTGAAATTGGACAGACCAGTGGAAGTGACGGCTCGTCTTTTAAGTATGACGATCTAGATAGAAGTTTGAATCAGGACATGTCTTGTTCGTATCTTTCCTTGCTTTAAAATGAATGTCTTGACAACCGAGGTCTGGCTGAAAGCCTACCATAATAAAGAGGAAGGCAATTCTTTTGTTTCCAATGCAGAAGGTAAGACTTAGTCGAGTACGAATCAAATTGATGTTTGGTAATGTATCCACGCGTCTCAACAACATTCAGCTGAAGCACTTTGCAATGAAGGCAATTAAAAGAGGAAAAGTTTTGTGTTAATGCAGCAGTCATTCTTCTAGTTATCGTATAATCAATATGAACCTTTTGATCAGGTCATTTGCACGGTCATAGGTCCACGCTTAACGATTATTTCATGATAAGTGGTAAGAGTCAAAATTCGATATCACGGACGTAGTGTGTATTATATGACTCTCACCGCAGATCTGATGCCAGAACGTTTTGTACTGTCACTTCCATGAAACTGTAGCTCCTGTGTTGTGTGACTCCCTGGCCAGCTCGATAATTCGGATCGCATCGCGCGACTGCTGGGCCTTAACCTCCAGCTCAGTCTTACCATTGATGGCGTCGGCCAAGTTTTCGTAAATTCCTAGCCAGCGGCCAACGATCGATGGGTACTTGCCGACATACTTCTTTGTTGCTTCGTCAAAGTGCTGTGAATTACCATCGAATTCCTTGTATGTCGTCAAAGTTCCGTACAATTCGGCTGACTCTTTGCCGAACCCCGGTTCCAGCGGTCTGTGACCCTCAGCGATCTGTTCTTCCTGGGGACAAGTGCTCCTTTGTTGAAACTGCGCGCTTCGTCAGTTCAGCCCAGTAAACATGCATACAACCTGAAACTTACCTTCAACCACGATCCCTTTGTTCCGCGAACGAGGTGCTTCAACTGCTGTGCCATGGGTGTGGTGATGGAGGTTTTGACAGTAACCAGAAGGTCTTTCTGTGGGCTGTCGTACTGCAACACAATAGTGAAAGAGTCCTCAACTTCACTTTCTATACCTCTCTGTGTCCGGAAGAAGCCAGTCACGGACTTTGGACGGCCGAAGAGAACAACAGCTTGGTCAATGCTGTGGGTACCTGTATCGGCAATGGTTAGCCACCGTCCTGCAGCACCAAGCACAGGGAGACTGTTCGCTTACCCAGACCAAAGGCCATGCCGTCTCCAGGGGTGTATTCCTTCATGGTCATACCAGCGAGCCAAGGAGGTGATTCGAAGTCATAGTGAATCTCAGCCTCTTTGATGTCCCCCAGCGCGCCCTCTTTGATGAGCTTTCGCAACGTTTGGAAATCACCATCCTGGCGTACATGTCAGATTTTAGAGAAACTGGAAATCAAATCTTTTGGCTCTATTACCCATCTGCGATTCTGAAAACAGGTCAGAATCAAGCCCTTGCTGTCTGCAAGCTCAATGACGCGGTCTGCCTCCTCGGATGATCTTGCGAAAGGCTTGTCGACAATCGCTATTTATCCATCAGCGTTCATCTTATTACTCCAAGCTTGCCAGATCTTCATTTAATTGAGAGACTCCCTACCGTGCTTTCCCGCTTGCAAAGCTTTTTCAGCATATGATACATGTGTGTCTGTGTGGGTGGCTACAACAATAAGTTGGGTGTCGGGGTCGGCGAAAAAGTCCTCGGCGTTGCGGTAATGTCGGATATTTGGGAAGTCGGTTTTGCAGTGGGAACCAGCCAGTGACGATGCCAGATCACTCGGTGCCTCCGCCCTTTGCAGAATTGCAATAACCTTGTAGTCGTTGTTTGCAGTAATGAAAGGCAGGTGAAAGCTCTTGGCAGCAAAGCCGTAGCCCACGATACCGACTTTAATAGTTGACATATTGAAAGGCTGACCGACAACCGCTGCTACCAGAGAATCCGAATACTCGCCTGAGTGAATTCAAGAGCCGTTAGCAATAATTTCTCAGCTGTTCCTCACCCTTTTATCCCCAGGTTCGAGAGTGCGGGGCATCCCGCACTGGTCATAGACGCGAGATGGCTGCATATCGGCTCAACGCCGATACTCCCCGGGTAATCAGGTACCTCGTAGTTGAGTTACCAACGCTCCAACGCCAGATTAAAAATTTTTATCATATAGCCAAGAGCTGGGGCAATAAAGTTCTTCTGAAAACTTTACTTAAGGCTTTGGCCAGCTTCGAGGTGAAAATCTAGGCAAATATCTGTGTCACTAATGTTCAACTTTCCTGTTCTAAACTGAGCTACAGTTAGCTCTCACAGCATGAATTTACAGAGTGTTTTCTATTCATAGGATCATAAACTAGCAGCCATTGTTCGCGCAGTGATGTAAGTGGATGACCGGTTAATACCCGGTCGTCTGCTGCTGACAACTGTTAGAATAGCCTAATATGTCGGATACGCGACGTCATCCATGGACCTAGAGACGATAACTCCGAGAAGTGGCCCCACAAAGCAGTGTTGGAGATCATTCAGGCTGTTGGCAGCTCCCGCGCATTACCCAACCCATACAAGGGTCAGCTTCAAAGGCAACTATGGTTCTACGAAATCAAGTCTTTGGTTATCCTACGCTGATGGAATGCAATAGAAAGTTCTTTAGCGGTCCGTTTGCCTTTGAACTGAGAAAATATAGGGCAACATACATGGAAGGCGCGAATTGGTTTTACGTACTACATGATTAGTGAAGAAATAACCCAGCATTCCGATATCAAGTTCAACGTATTCATAGCGCTCGGAAATGCCAGATTGTCCGGCGAGCAATACCACTACTAGGTATGGTGGTTATTACGATAGCTAAGCTCCAGATGGTAGCCATTTAGTACCGGTCGGCATTTTTTGTGTTCCGTCCAGCCAGCGCGGTCAGACCTCTCCAGCCAATCAGAACTCAATCGAGATGGACGAAGATGGGCGACCACAGCAAATGATAATAACAAACCCATCAATGGGAAGCATGAAACGGCCGGTTTGATGGGCTGTTATATATAGGGCAGCTGAGTTCCCATTGAAATAATTCACAATTCAATCACAGCTCATTCAAGAACAACGGTCATTAATTCTTGCCTCTAAACTTCCGTACACAAGAACCCACCATGCCTACCGCTACTTGCCTCTGCAAAGCCATCAAAATCGAGGTATTCGGAAGTCCGATGGCAGTCGTAAGTTCTTCATTAAAGGCCTAAGAGAAGGCTCTCATTGCTTACTGTATGGAAACAGGCCTTGTGTCATTGCAGCGAATGTCGCAAACTATCAGGAAGCCCTTTTGGCTTCAATTGGGTCCTTGCGTCCAAGGATGTTGAAATCACTGGTGAACCAAAGACCTTTTCGACCACGGCCAAAAGCGGTAACACCGTCACTAGCCATTTCTGTGATGGCTGTGGGGTTACTTTTTGGCGAGACGGACCCGCCACCCAGGGATTCATATACTTCAAGGCTGGCACTTTGGATGAGCTGAAGGACCAGAACATAATGAACCCTGTTGCGGAGATTTTTACTTCTCAACGCCTCTGCTGGGTCAACGCTATTGCCAACGCTGCCCAGAAAGACGAGATGGAGTAACGTGTCTGTAATGCTGAAATTCAGCTGGCAGAGAATTTGTTGTATTTGGACGCAACCAAAAAACATCGACATTTTCCAAATAGATTTGAACAAGACCTATGCTCCCTACCTTTCTCGATCATTAATTGAACCATTACTCGTGATTTGGTCAGGTGTAGATTTATTTACAATTTGATGTGCGCTGCAGGAAATAGCAATCCACAAGAGCTAGAAAATTTAACCAGATTTTAAATATGCACAGAGCTACAAACTGATTTCTTGGAGCAATATGTCCAAGATGGCTTGCTGGCCAAGGCATCGTGACAGACCAGGAGTGAATCAGTGATACGTGACACTAGTGAGTGACATTCAGGCTATATAAAGAAAGCCCTAGCTGCACAAGACATATAGGTTTTTGAATTTTCCAAGGTGATTACTCAGCCTTTTGGGCTGGGATGTCAATTGTGTCGAAATTCCAGGTTTTGCCATTGTCAGGTGACGACATCGCCCCTCCAGTGGCACCATGTGCCCAGTTTCCTGCATGCTCAAAACCTGGATCGGCGGTGCTAAGCACAATAGATACATCTTTCCAGCCTGTTACTAGTTAGCAATCGCTCGATTCATACTGTTATTAGCCAAGTAACTTACTGTGGGCTGGATGGTTGGGGCAGTTGCCCGAGGCGCACTCGATGGAGATATAGAATATTTTCCCGGTCTGCCCTTTGCCTGTACAGATGCTTTAAGGTCCTGGATCATACACTAATCATGCTGTTCAGAAATAACTTACTGGTTGAGACGGAAGAGACGATTTTGCCATCGACGTAGACATTTTGGTCCCAAAGACTAGTTTCTATATTCAGTTTGTCTACGAGATTTATCAACTGTCACATCCTTCAATTCAAAACGGTCATGACTTACAGTGTGTTCTTACTATAGATCCTGGAGCAGCTTCCACAGGTACGCCAACAATAGGGTCTGAGCCTGTAGTCAAAACAGAAGCAACAATGGTAAATAAATGCTTGGAAAGTGGGTTAAAAGTGCTGTACTAACCAACGAGGGTATATGCAAAGTTGCACCAAGCCTTTCCCCCATCATTGCAATACGACCTCCATAGACTCTTAGCTATACTCCTTGGTACAAGCACGGAAGATAGGTTGACGCATACCCGCTGGGCGAGTTCGAAGTAACTCCTTGGAGAAAGGACGCCTCGTTATACATCATAATGGCACTCCAAATGGCAACATCTCCGGACAAGGAACTAGGAAGCTCGGGAAGAACAAGCGTAGCGACGGCCTCTTGGATGTATGCCGCGCCATTGGCGTAAAGAGAGACTACGTCCGAGTTCGCTTGGATGAGGCTGGGGAGCGTTGCGAGAATGACTCCGACAGTTGCCTGATATACCTTCATGATACGGGACTTGGAGTTGGATGGTGTACAAAGGTGTATCAGCAGAAAGCTGCCGCAGTGTTGAACAAATGAGAGCAATGACTGAAGGTTCGACCTTATGTACTAACACTAACTATATTTTCCTGGTCCAGGGGCTACAGGAGTGGATAGAGCTCGTTTTCTTTCTGGCCGAGTGTTAGAAATAAATTTGAAAATAGATATCATACTGACCGGCCCTGCAATTCCCTTCGCCTGGAACATTCGCGTCGATTGCTTAATTATGCATTCTTTTTTTTCTTTTCCGAGTTGCATGGACTTGTACGACCAGCTGCTAATTTGTTTCCTTGTTATGTGTCAACTAAGCCTTTTTTTCTTTCTTTTTTTAACTTCATTGACCTCTCGTAGATCAATAGGACAGACTTATTCTCGAGTCCTCGTGTAGGATTTTGAGACTAAAGGGACAGTCCACCATTCTGAACGATGCACTGACTTTTCTCGGGTGGAAGAAGAAATTATGCCTTCCATTAGCGTGTTTCTCAGGTAAATTGAACGTCGTATCCTATGTTAATACTCCCGGCTTCTTGGCGCGCCATGGCCTTGAATCCTCATTCAACGACTTGCTTCAGAACGGAAAAAAGGGAAATTAAATCCGAATAGTCTTTGCTTGCGCTATGTCCACCAACCACCACAGAGGACTTCTCAGCCGTTGTCAGTAATCGCTTAGTTACCAGAGTAGGTCAATACATTCTCTACGATGCCAATGACAACACTTTGGTCACACGTACAAATTATTTTTACGATAGTTTACACTTGTTCAGTATGATGCGTGAACAACGATCCTTTACTCCCAAGATATCCAAGGTGTTTCTTCCATTCCTCTTCACAGGCAGGACGCAGTGTCATTCTTTTTATTCCGAACGCCAATAATTCCACTACCCGCATGGAAGAACTCAATGACAAAAATAGTGGCTCTCATAGGGTAATTCTTTCCAGCTAGGGTCCAACATGGGAGTCAGAGGCTAGTCCTCAGTTTGTTACGCCTGGTGCCAACAACTTATCCACCTTCCTCTCGCCTTAGGCGCTTACCGCCTCATGACTGGCACTAGCATGTGCAAGTATGGATTGTTTCGTTCGTTTCTATCCCAATTAAGGAACAATGAGAAAATCATGACGGCTAAAGCGCAGCAGCACGTCCCCATAATGCTGGCATATACGCCCTGCTTGCCGAGGTCCACGGCATTAATGACTTAAACCGCCTAAGATCCATAGTTGCCTCTACGTTGAAGCCAGCTGACTGGTTCGATGGTACAGTCGTGCATTCTGACATTCTCGCTCCCTCGTCCCAGAAGGTGGCTGTTATTATCCAGGCCTTTAACGCTGCCCCTAGCACCGCCAAATTGAGCGTTGAAAGCATCTCTTTCAAAGACACCAACATATTCCGATGGCGACAAGACCCCCACCATCAAGAACACTGGATCAGTCGACCTCGGCTTTGTAGTTTGGTCACCGTAAGGCTGTCTCAATGTATCCTTTCTTGGCGGACCGGGAGCGTTTGCTTGCTGTCTCCTTCCCTAACCCCATTGTCGAGGAGTGGGCTGAGATCCCATTCGGCTATGAGTCCCACCAACAGATTGAATTGTCTCATTGTAAAGGAAACATCTTCATGTGACATAGTTTAGCGGTCTATGAGGACATAGTTCTTCGATGCCCACTTTCTCAATCCTACTAAAACTAAGAAACACTGATTAACATATCGCCAATGTCTAGGACATTAAACGGAAGATCCATGTGCGGTTTATCGTGACGCCGTGCTGAGCTCAGTTTGCGTAACCAATAAGTTTGGGAAAAGCGCCAAATCGATATATGAAATGGAAATGGGATTTTGTGATATTCGAGGGCATAATGTATAAATAATGGAATAAGTCTGTCTCGTTGCTACCATGAATCTGTCATGGGTGTCATGTCGGTACGAGTGACAGGGGCGAATGGTTGGTTGTCTTGGGAGAGCGTTGGAGCGTTCCACTCGAAGACAAGCATAGTTGATACGGGATAGCACAAAAGAAGACCGGTAAGCCTTCACAGACGGTAATTAGGGAAAATATAAATCCTAGTTACCTTGGCTTTCAGGGTACCCTTCATTGACGTTAATAGTATGTGCAATAACAACCGTCTGACAGTTCACTTCTGCACAGCCACTTGGGCCAGTTCTAAATTCAGCTGCATATCTTTCTCTATTACTGTTCCACTACCTGTACATACACCAGGTATGTACCTTCGAACCTGGATGATGTGATTGAAAGTGCAAGATTTGGACTATGAGGTACGATATATGGCTCCTTACTCCTCAAAGTGAGAACGCCGATTTAGCGGGGCAGCTTATATAATGCTTCCAGTAAACCCTCCCTGGGAGAGAATGAATTTTATGTCTTCCTCGAAGCTCTCTTAGGTTGAAAGATCCCTAAGCTTGTCATGAAGCAGGAGCTTGACACTCGTTACACTCATTTCACATAAAGCTGCCTTTCTTAATAGCAAAATGAACAAATATTGAGATAGTGATTTCGCTGCTGGCCTTTGGGTAAGACTAGATGCGCGACAGGTTCCGCATGCTGATCGAGAACGATCTATAGTAGGCTGCTTCAGCCTGCTGGCCATCAAAAGACGTGTTGACTCGATCTTCGAATCTTCATCATTACTCGGTTCAGGGCAACGTAGGCTTCCCGTCTGCGGCCTATCGAAGATTGATGAACTTTGTCGTAGACTTTGGGTTTCTTAGCACCCTGAAACGGAACTTGCCTGTTCTGGGCATCCACTACGTCGGGCGATCAAGCGGGATCAACACCCCACCCACTAACCGCTAGGAAGCTTTGTTTTGTTTCCCTGGCCGTTGGTCAAAGTACATAGTCATAGATCAAAAGAACGGCTAGGTGTGCCCATTGGAGTCAAGCGCATGGAAACAAGCTCGTAATTAGTACACAAAGTAGAAGCCAGTTTCCTACCAGAAGCGTCTCAACTTTCGAATCGATCCACTCTTGAGTTCTTTACTAGGTATTACGACAATCACCGATCCATCATTTAAATTCAAGATTGCATCTGATTGCAGCTTGCTAGGCCCTGTCGTCGGGACACCGAAAGCTCGGTTCCAGGAAAGCTAGTATGCGATGGCGAGCATGCCGGTCGCAATCCGAGCCGAGCTACCGACGGAACGCCAGATGTGTCATAGATCACATTCCTGGACCAAATCTCGATAGCGATAGGCAGATACTATTATTGCAATTCAAATCGATTGTACACTCTTTATATCCAGATGGTTTGGCATACCTGTACGAATTGTGGGTGTTTCCCTTCCATCCGTCAAATGCCAATGGCATGGTCAATATCTGTTTTTGGAAGACCCTAGGAAAGAATCCGACGACACCTGTTCAGACTATGTTCAAAATAGCCATATCAATCTAAATCGCCAAGACACGGGGTTCAATTGCTATGGAATGGACCTGTCAACCATAGAAGGCAATGTTTCTCCGTAGCGGTTATTCGGCTTGTGAGGTGTGGGACCCTTCCGGGATCATATAGAACGATTGTGAGCCTCTTCCAAAGCTTCGTTCCCCTCTACATAATCAGATATCCAATCATGACTTGCAAATGCGCAAGCTCCTGAAACCTTGTGCGCAAAAGTCTAAGGTGCCCCGCGCACGCCCGGCCCATTCAGCAGCACCAGAAAGTTACATTATCCAAACAGCCTCACCTTTGCTGTCTCATGATGAGAGCATATTCAGTGTCCCGGGCAATTGAAGATTCATGAGCGCAAGCTATCAGCATCTTCTTTGGTCCGTGATTCTGCAAGACCAGGATATTGAAGCTAATGTAAACGTGGTGGACTAAAGATAAAAACCAACCCAGTTCTTTGACTCGAACTTTGACATGTGTCTGCCGCCAGCACTCCCTATTCGTTCGTCCTCCTTCATCCATTGGCTTTATATCGTTATTCTCCTTGTTCTGAACGTCAGCTTCTTCCTCAATCATATTCCAATTGACGGAGCACCGAATTTCATTCTAATCATGAAGTCCATCATCAGCATCTTGGCATTGTTAGCCCCGTTGGTGTGTACCCATGTGGACATGCCACCAAGAAGCATGTCGACAACGGAATTCCGCCAGGCTTTCATGGAAGCTGGAATTGTTCCAGATGTCATGGGATCTTTTGATCCCATGGTGTCTTTCTACGCCGGATATCGGGCCGGCGATGGCGACAAAGCTCTCATGATGCCGGGCTCCAGGCTCAAAATGAAGGAGACCAAGTTCCCATTCGAGTTCAGCGTCGAAAACATCATGAACGCTCGAAACGTCACTCGAAACTCCAGGTTTATCGTTTATATGGTAAAAGGATTCGCTGTGAAACACCGTTGCTGAAACAAATCGCTTACGAGACTTGGCAGATCGGACCGGACTCCCCAACACGGGAGCAGCCAACCGAGCGAAACGTGAGGCACTATCTCGCTGGCAACTTGACAGTGGAACAAACGAAGTCGGAGGTCCTCTCATCAGCAATCATAATGAAAAACTCAACACCCGCTTTCAACGACTACATGGCACCAGAGCCAAAGTCGGGAAGCGGCATGCACAGATATGTGTATCTGCTCTATGTCCAGCCTGAGAAACTAAATAAGATGGACTTCGAGGCAGTGGGTGTTGATAAGATGAACCGTACAAACTTTAACGTAAGAACCGCCTCAGAGATCCCATGTTGATGAGTTTGACCTCAACAATCTTAGATTTCCCAATTCCGGAAACAGGCTGGCTTAGGCAGGCCAATTGGTGGCACCTACTTCATGTTGAACATGGCCCAGGACAGCAACGGAGGCAAAGGCGGAGGCAACAATGGCGGCGGTAACGGCGGAAATAATGGAAATGGGCGGAGTACTGCCTCTATTGCGACTGCAGGATCCATCGTCATGTTCATCACGCTGCTGGCGACCATGTTTGTGTGGATGTGATAACTGGTTACCAAAGTCAGCTTGCTTTATCGTCGATTACAAGGCGTAAAAAGGAGTACGGCAGTATGCTTCCAAGAATTATAAACATTCTTTGTATATGGTACAGGGCAATCTGAACGGGGTTCATTGAGTTGACGTGTTTACACTAACGTCCATGACCAAAGATACCTCCCTTCACCTCCTTTCAATTATTTCGAGAACACTCTTGACTCCTGGCCCCTTCTATTTCTTCTGTATCAGGTCATTCCTCAACACAGAATCCTCATAATGCCGCACTCGATGCTCTCAGCATCTCCGGTCAATGACTATCACTATCTGAGCCAGGCCCGCAGTACATGACTATGTCGCAGCCCACGGCATGGTTTTTCGTGGAAATCCGCATGTCCAGTGTAATATTCAGGGTTGACCGCGTGAAATATCGACCGGATCCTTTGTGGATACCACTGCTGGCAGAGTTAGGCCTCGAATGTGGTCGCGACACTGTTCCGGTGGCGATGGTCAAGCAAGGGCATGATTGTACAGCACTGACAAAGATGCACCAGACTACGGTGGTGAATTTTAATGCAACTCTATCGCGTTGCTTTGTGCCAATATGTTCTCAGGCTTGGGTCAGAAGCGCACCACTAATAAAAACCTCAGGTCGATCTATGAGGCATGAACAGTAAAAACTGGATACTAGTGTACCTAAGCTTGTTCTTCAATCATCCCAGGAGCTTACCGGCCACCCCACGAACAGTTCTGAAAGTAAATCCATGATTAGTGTAACTTCCCTAGAGTATAGCCTTCGAATAAATTTTGACAAACAGCAACATGCTGGCTCTTGTGGAGTCCGAGACGACGGCCACGCTACTTGCTGTGATAACTTGCTTACTACCTCTGAACAATCAGGAATCTCTTTTAAAGACGACAGAAGAACCCAAACGTCCATTAAAAAGTGAAGCTACATTGGAACTATCTTGGACGGCAAGTTGTATCAAATGCTGTGTGTTGGGACGAGCCAATGAGTGCCTGTCCCCTAGCTGCTATAGGCCTTCTGTGGATGGCACCACGCGGTGGAGCTACAACCTGCGGATAACTTGTGCTAAAACTCTAAGTTTGTAGAAGTTGTTCTTGTTGACATTGAAGATTAATTTCATATCAGACTACCATTACAGCTAGCTGGCCGTCCATCACAGCGATTAGCATCTTGATAAGCCGCGTCAATTTCAATCGAAAAAGCTTTCAGGTGATAAACATTTTTCCAATGATGTTGGAGGTCCATTTAAACTCTTTCTCATCGATTCAAGAAACTGTTCGGGCCGCCAATGAATGCAGCTAATCATAGAAATCAGCATAGTGAAGTTGGTTGGCTTCAATGGCTGGCCTGCTGCATTGAAATTGGTCAAGATCGTCTATAATTGAACTCAGCGCTTGCCTGTCAAATTCAGGACTTGTTAAAGCAAATCATCTTCATTCTGCGAACAAAGGGTCGTTACAAGTTCGCCTGGGGCCAGCGATCAGTATCAAGTCAAGGAACAGAAGATAACGTTGAAGAGCATTCGATGCTAAGGCGACGCACGCCAGATAACAGAAAACATTTGGTCACACCCTTCCGGATCCAAGGCATAAAACTAAATACTTTTCAATTAACTCTTCTAAGTTACTTCTGTAAGTGAGGAATATGGAATACTGGCTCGTTCTGCAGCAGTACTGTTTCGATCCCATGACTGGACTCAGCATCAGGGACGAGTGAGATCTTAGTAACGGTCTTCATGCACCAAATAACTTCTGGGCTCTTCAATCATGATACTTCTCATTTCTTAACCTATCGCCATTGACAACGATGGAATGGACCATCGTTGTATAGCTTCTCTTTATCATCCTATTTGGAGTAGCTGCAGTCGTCCAGTCAAGAATCACCACATGTCTCGTTCGTTATTCCTAAACCATGGAGTTAAACTTGAGTGGCAAGATGAATTATTATCTATGACTCTCATCGTTGAGATTTCCCAAAATGCCCTTTTTCTTTAAGGGCCGCTAGGTTGAATGATATGTCTAACGTTGAATCATTGGGTTTTCATGGGTATTCTAGTTCGGACTGAAAAGCAGCGCTCCAATGGTTCCGGCAAACTATTTGTATTGATATACAAGTTGTCGTATTAAGATCTTCCAAGCTGCAAGAGAATTCGAACTTGACAGCAATCAATGAATTTGGTACATTAGGCAATCCTCCATGAAGGAGACGAATCGTCGCATCACTAACACAGGTCTGTTGCTTATGTCAGCGTGGAGTTCCAGTGTAACCTGATCAGGAATCCCCACCCACCGCCTACCTGGTTCATCAAGTTCGACGTCAACAGACGCGTTTGCTGAGACTGCATCGCATCAGCCCTCAACAGTTGCGGGTGCGCTTACTCTTCACAAGTATTCTCAAACAATTCCGTTCATGCGCATATACTTGGACTATGTCAGCTTCACCTAGAACATGGCGCGACAACGCGTACCTTGTTGTCTCGGGCATCCAGCTCTCAGCAATGCTATGTGAGTTCAGGGTTTCCCAGCACCCATTCAGACACATCACTATCGTTTCTTTATACGTTTGACACGTTCCAAATGCATGTTCTCAAGCCGAATGCAGATCTACTCATCTCGGTCAGGCGGCTTTTATCAAGTGAAACAAATAAATCACCCATAAGCCATCTCATCAACTGCACACATTTCTATGAGAGTGCAAACTGACTAAGTCCTCTATCAGTGGTTGATCTGGTCCCTTTTTACCCGTCTAGTATCTACGCAAAACCATCATCACCCCTGTACTTCTTGCAGCTTCTGCGCGACTACTACATCTCGACCTACAATGACCCTTACTTCGTCACGCCTCACGATGGCCTTCCTTCATGGTTCAAGCTATTCACCTACGTCGAGATCTTCTACCAGGTGCCTATGGCCGTATGGATGGTCTACAGATTTTCTAGACGGACAGGCACGACACCTGGTTTTGAGCTCGCCGTCCTCGTCTTCACTGTCGAGTGTGCCTTGACGACGCTGACCTGCATCCACGATACCCTTCACTGGGACCCTGCTGTGTACAGCCAAGCACAGAAGAACGTCTTTATTTTCAATCTATACGGCCCTTGGGTCGTAATCCGTGAGTTCACTTCCCCAATAGCGAGAGCCAGTATCAAGACTAAACGGAGTAGCGGCATTGATGGGATTGGATATGTGGCTGCGTATCCTGGGCAGGATTCAAGTTGCAGAGAAGACAAAGTTCCAGTAGAGGACGAGTGTGGTTCCAAGCAGTTTTGTTTCCATTGGGGATATCGTACAATTCTGCTCGGGCAAACAGTATGCCCGGTTCCAGTCGACCTGTCCCAAACTCCTTTTCCAGTCCAGTTCGTACAGCATACAGGTCAAGGCCATGGCCTAGCCAAAACATCTCATAAAAGTATACTCCTGGCGTCCATCGCAAGGGCGATTGAGAAAGCGGCGTCAAATATACATGAATCGGAACAGTCATACAAGTCTCCTTGTGCAAGAAATTTTTAGTCCATCCGCTTGGTGGCTTTGGAATATCCCCATCCATTACCAACACCGTTAAGGCCGTAACCCAGCGGTGTCGCGCCACCCAGACCCCTTCCCCTCAGCCTCTTGGGCAGCACGACGCCGAAAAAGTATGTCGCAGCGACAAGCACGCCCGCCATAAAGGACGTGATTATGTAGAAGACCGTGCTCGCATACACGTGCCCACCCATGCCCTGCCACTCGACGTGTCCCTCCGTCTTGGGCAAATTCGGCGTTGGGAACCACCTGACGGAGAGCCGGAGGGGCAGCGGATCCCCAATTACAAGCCTCTTGGTGTAAATTCCGTCCATGTGGCTCAACGGACTCGTGCTGTAAGCTGTACCGGAGTCGAGGACACCAGAATCGTGCGGCCGGAGGTGGTGCTTGGGCATGCTGTGCAGCAGCACGTTCATGTGGGTGCTCACATGCAGATGGCTCAGCTGGAGAGTGCCAGCGAGGGCGAAAACGAGAGGGATGTATTCTTGTTCGTACGGCTTCTCGCCAATGATCTCAACAGCAGGGGCGGGCCGGGCCGGCAGGCGACAGGCGAGGGGCGCGTCGTTGTGGATGAAGAATTCAAGGAGGTGGAAGAAGGGATCCGAGACCATGGGGATGGTGCAGTTCAGCTCGCCTTCGTGGCCATAGCGAAACTCGAGGGGTTTGTTGGTTTCTTCGCAGACGGGGAAGGGAATCCACTCAATTTCGTGGTTGTTATTTTCGATGTGTTCGCCTGTTTCGCTGTAGGGACCAAAGGTGTTAGCTGAGGAACGAAAAGATGGATGGAGCAGAGCAGCTGATATCCCGCATGCTGGCAAAAGTAGACATCATGTTACACTCACGAGCTGCGGTTCATGCACTCGACGTGAATGGGTGCGCCGTAGTGGTACGAAGGGAGACCATCTTCGGGATGTGCAGCGACAAGCTGGACTAGGCAAAGAGTGAAACCCAGCAGGAAATGCGCAATGGACGCCATGATGTTGCGCGCGGTGTGTTTTGTCGTCTCTCGCAAACAGCAGCAGCAGCAACACCAGGATGCAGGAAAAAGGGTCCTAGCAGGTCGAACGGTGCATGGCCTTGACTCGGAAAGGGACGCGCAGCGGAGAGCGATCCCGGGTCCAGCTTTCCCGGGAGTTGGACTGAGAGGTGGTCAAGCAAAAGTGACAGCTGTCGCCGAACCTCTGCGCTCCGTCCGGCGCCCGATAAGGGATAGAGGTGGGCCCACTCAATCGGCGTCACGTGCGGCTCCGACGTGGAACGTCAATCTTGACTTCAATTCTTTTACATTCCAACAAACAGTGTTGGTTGGTCTGAAAAAAGCCCCCGGCTGCGGTTGTGGAATGATATTTGTCAACGGGCCAAATACACCCTACCATCAATGAATTTTCTAGAGCCCCTTCAAGTTATATGCATGTTTATATTGGTAACCCCGTATTTCTATGACTCGGCACACACTGGGCTCATAGACATCAATAGCCCCTCGAAGTGATGTAGCGAAAATTTCAGCGGTTAATGGAGTTGAATCACACGCTGGAGACAGGTGTGTTTGTTGTAGTGGTCCAAACCAATTTACATCTTTACGATGAACTATGGCTGAATAGAGCCGATGTAGTAGAAAACACTCTAAATCAGAGGGTTGTTGTTGTCGTCGTTGTTGTTTGTCAACATTTTGGCTTCCTTCATATCGACCCAAATGGCACAGAGAATACCAGAATGGTAGTAAACTGGTTTGTGTTTTGGGACGTGTCTGGAGTCTGAAGTCCGCCGTTTTATGAAGAAAGGAATGAGCCATCTTCTGTACATGCCTACATGATTGATGGAGATGAACTGGACAATGCATCGACAAGCTTCGACCAACGTTTAGGATGTCTCAAGATAGACAGTTGAAAAGGAGCAGTCGGCTATCTAGGTTTGTGACATCGCACACCGCCATGCAGGAATCACCAAACGAACGCCACGTGCCATCGAGTCACATTCTCGTAATCGGATCTTGGTGAATATCCAGCACCTGCGTGCTGGAAACGTGTTCATGAAAAAACACCAACTAGCCATCCAAAGCCTAAGCCTAAGCCTACATCGCCTGTCCTAGCCGCGCCCGGCAGACCCCCATCTCCCATCAAATACAAGGTAGTTTTGCTCTTATTCTTTATACACCTCCCAAGGCTCACTCGGAAAAGCAGAGGCCGCAATCAGTCTTCTTTCATTTGTCCCTCGTGGCTTTTTGAGAAGACTCCTCTTCCCCTAGTGCATTCAGTGTTCAGACATTACATGAAGCGCAAGCTTCCAGAAGGGCCCCTCTCAACGAGGCCATCCACGTCTCTTCGAACCGTCCGTAGACGTCTCCGTACCTCCGCCAAGTCCATGCCACCAGGGTTCGAACCGTGACCAGCAGGCGGAAGCGAGTTCTCGCATCTGCTTAGCAAGTCCTTGACCCAGGCACCGATGGCACCGTCTCCCTTCATGGAAGCACCACCCCGGCGCTTCACTTCGCGCTGCCAGACGTCTACAGCAAACACGATGAGCTCGATGATGCGGTTGCGATTGTTACCGCTGAAGCCATAATCTTGGGTGTCAAACACACTTTCAAGAACGCGAGTGACCATGTCGTGAGAGACGCCAAGGCTCAAGAACAGTTGCACGGGCCAGGTAGGGTCGGCGCCAATCTCGGCATCCTGGTGGTATTCAACGGCGTAACGACAGATTTCGGGAAGGAGGACGGGTACGGGAAAGATGAAACTGTCCAATGACGTCCGGTGGGCAATGTTCTGGACCTTGACAGACACAGATTCATAGGGTGAGGGAAGGACAGGAATGCCAGGTCCAGCTTCCTCCATCCGCTCAACCGCTTCCTCGTGGATCTGTTCGATAAGGCTGATCCAGGTCTGAGCGATAGTAGTCGGGTTACGGTAGTCAGCACTGTGGTAGATGAGGAGGCACAGATCATAGTAGTTCGCTTGATCTGCGTATTGGTTGAACAGCTTACAGGTGTCAGTATCAGTTTGCAACCAGGCAATGGGACAACTTACGTCTGATAACGATATCACCTGACCATCAAGCGCCTCCTCAATCTCCGCCTTCCGTTCGGGAGCGATGCGGCTGTCGGCCTTAAGCCTCTCTAACAAGTCGTCCTGGATGTTGGCAATATCGAGAAGTTCACTGACTTCGTGAGCAAGGACTTGCTGTTGTTGTCTACCGACACCAGCGGTGGCAACATTGGCATTGGCCTTCGCCTTGCTAAGGAGAGTGATTCTGTCCTTGATGCCGATATCGAAGTCGGATTGCGCAAGGTCGTTCTGAACCTGAGCGGCCTCGAAGTACCGTTCACGTTGCGTGTAGAATCTGCAGAGAAGGTCCGCGTGTTCGACGTTGGTTCTGGCAAGGCTCTGGAGATATGTGATGACGTGTGGTGATTCGATGGCGAGGATTCTGTCGGTCCATCCCTGCTCGATGTACCACTCGTAGAGATCAAAGTGGAAGACCTCATCATCCGAGTCGTTCACCACACTATAGGCTTCGAGGCGCTTGGTGCCAATTAGCGTCAGGCGGCCGTCGATGGTTTCAGGCTCCCTGCTTGATGCGGCATCCAAGTGCTGCAGAGCTTCGTGTATGAGTTCATAGCATTTCCGGCGTTCGGAGAAGGCGTTCGCGCGAGGATCATTACCAGGCTTGCCATCGTGAACCCATGAAAGGGCACTATTCCCTCTGTCCTTCTCGCGGGCAACGGTCAAGCAAAGTTGAATAGCACCGGCGTAGTACTTGAGCTCAATGTACTGAGATACGGCGTTGTGAAGGTTGGAAAAGGAGAGAGCGCCAGCAACACGCTCAAAAAGTCTCAAGCTTTCATGTAAAAGTGTGCGAGAAGGGTTACTGTTGAGCGGCTGCTCGGAAGCTCTCTTCAGCTGCTCTTGTGCCTTGAAGATGACAACATCGTCAGGGCTACAGAAGCTGCCGCATCGTCTGCGCAGAGCGTCCGCCACGGTCTCGACGTTGGAGCCACTCTCGATGTTGCGATTGACAATGGATTTGACAAGAAGCTTAGCCAAGTCCTTTCCGGGAGCTTGAGAGAACAGACCCTCGTATGTAAGGTTCCTCAACTCTTGTTGAGCTGTCGCGTCGAGTCTTGTGAAGATGTCACTTACACGCTCATCGAAAAGCATCAAGACGAAAGAAATACCCTCCGAAATGCTCTCCATCAGTTTCTGCAACGCGTGCAGCGCCTGATGCTCTGCCTGTAGAGCAACCTCCTCCTGCTTGCTGGCCACTCTCTGAAGGTCAGACGGACCAGAAAGACCTTGAATAAAACCCTTGTTTGCGTCAAGGAACCTGCGGAGGCGTTCCAACTGTTCCTGGATAGAGTGCAGTCTGGCAACAGGGACCATCGACTGAATTGCGATGCCACCAGCGGGATTTGCCGCAGCAGCAACGACATGGTTCTTCCATAGTGTACGAATGAGACGGGTAAGGTACACACAGAGCGCGTCATGTCTAGGAGATAGGCGAACAGAGGTTGCGTTGAGAGGCGTGCCGTCGGCCTCAGTGATGGTTGGTTGTCCGCCAAAATCGACAAACACGGTCCGAGCGCGGTCTTCTGTTGCCTGGTCGATTGCGCGCGTCGCGCCAGGTCTGGCATCCCCACCATGTCCGCAGGCAACTGCAAGGGCGCAAGAGATGGTCTCGACGCGGCCGTAGCGGGATATGAACTTTCTAGTCTCCATCTCCAAGCCTTCGTCGCCGACAGCTCCTCGTATGGCAGCAGCAAAAGTGTCTACCAGTCGGCGGCGGCGGATGATGTGAACGCCGGTGTTGGTGAGCACGGCAAACTCGGTGCTGGGCTCGTCGAATTGGACCGCGAGCTCGTTTCCGAAGCCGATGGGTTGCTTAGCGGCAGCAAATGGTTTAGTCACCAAACCAACATCTTCAGCTCTACTTCCAATATCAATCCAGTTGCCGTGCTCGTAGTACTTAAGCGCTGACGAGGACGAGTTTGCCTTGATACGGCCGGTCTCGGGTGCGGACACAAAGAGGAGGTCAATGTTGGGATCGTTCTCCTTAACAACGAAGTCCAAGAAGTAGCCCGGCGCAAACCTAGCTCCCATTCTGCTCAACTCCAATGCTCTCGAGCCCAGATCAATAACGACATCACCAGCGCTGTTGGTGCCGGAACGTCCGGGCTTGTCTGAAGGGGGAAACTTGATAAACTGGACTTGCATGCTCTGAGGAGGTGTGTTAGAAGAAACGCCACCGATCATGTACGAGGCGGAGCTTGTTGCACTGAGGAAAAGTCGACAACCGGTATTGGTAAGTGCCATGAGATGGAGCTTCGATGCTTCCCGAGAGGGAATGGCACTGATAGAAACGAAGGTCGTCCGGTCGTTGAGCAAAGGAGACTGTGTAATCATGTGAGTGATGTCGCGGAGACAGGCGTTCCTTTCCTTTTCGATAACCTTGGTGAGCTTGTTAGGCCCATCCATATGGTAGGTGCGAATCGTAGATCGTGTCGACAGGGTGTAGACCAGTTTCCGTGAGTCGTCAATCACGATGCTCTGTAGGCCTTCCGGAGACTTGTGCGCCCAAAAACCGCTCTGAAGGGTGACTACCGACGACCATCCGGGGTTGGTGTGGTTGATCTTGCCGCACCTGTTTGAGAACCACTTCTCCTCTTGCTGGTAGTAAAGTTCGTGGATATCGGTGTCGTTGCTACCTCCAAAGAAGATACGGCCGTCGGCAGTGCCAGCAATAACTCTTACATCAGTACCTCGGAGGGGGAGGTTTAACTTGGTGCTGTACAACGAGACAGTCTTCGTTCCTGACGGGGTGGGCTCGGCAGATAGACCAAGCAAGATCATCTCAGACGATGTTGCAACAACCAGAATGTGCGTGATGGTGTTGACGAAGATTCCGGGCTTGGGAGCAACAAGAGCAACGGCGTGAATCGTATGCGGTTGGTCCTCGAAACCGATGAGCTCGGGGTCAGGGTGGGTATAGTCCCAGAGGAAGAGCGAGTTGTCAATCACCACCCAAGCGTGGTTAATTTCGGCGAATAAGCCCATCAGAGTCTGGAGCTGGCCAGTATTGTAGTGGCTGAAGACCTGATTCGGAATCGGATACATCTGGGTCTTGTGAAAGGGCGCCCAGGGCGAGTCGAGCGTGTTAAAGTCATATTCGGACGACGCTCCTGCTACAAGGTTGTCAGTAATCCCGCATAGATGGAGTGGTATAGGCAGTTGGAAAGACTCACGTCTGCAGTATGAGTCTAGCTCGGGGTAGTTCTCGTCGGACTGGAGGAATTGATTGACCGCTTGGGCTGCTCTCGTGACAGGCGGGAGGTTCTGTTGAGGGGGTTGTGTCGAAGAAGCAGACACTAGTCCACCGCCTGTGCTCGTCGATGAGATTGTCGCGGGGGCCAAGCTCGATGCACCGACCAAAGCGCCGCTGCTTGCCGTCGTTGAGTTTCCTTGGGTTGTCTCGCCCTCCGTAAACAGACGTCGTCTGGTGGGCTCGTTGTCGCTGGCAAAGCGCGAAGCTGCGGGCGTATTGAAGAAGGCGCCTGGAACCGGCCGCACCGGGGTCATCTGAGGGTATGACATGTTTTCGATGGTCGAGCAGCAGGGGCGATCGAGTGACTGGCTGGCGGGCAAACGCGTCGCAAACTGGCAGCCAGTGATGGCGGATGAAGGTCGCGCTACCGAATCATCAACGGGTGGTGGCAGGCTGTTTCCTGTCAATTGGCGTGTTTTCGAAGGAAAGAAATCGGCAATCGCTTTTGCAATAACAGAGCTTTGCACAGCTCGAGCTGGACAAAGGAAAAAAGGAAGATATTAGGAGCTTCGGTGGCTCGGTGTGGGAAAGGTGAAGGTGTTTCGGGGCCAGGGCAGCACAAGTGCAGTAGCAAACAATTTCTGGAGGAGCTCAAGAGGCTGGGGCACCGGGCACTTGGAATTTTCGCGCCTGGGCCGCGCTAAGCCTAATTGGGATACAAGGCTGAATCTGACGTTTTCATAAGCTCGACATCAATGAGCTTGAGCTACAGTAGCTTGACAAACTAAGGTAATAAATGTTGTGTTACCCATTGACGTTGAAAAATCGTCTTATTGTTCTTTTAGTATCTTAACTTCATAGTTTTTACTTGCTCCACGATTATGATCCTTGTGTAGTCTATGATGAGCTGATTCTCACATCTACCTAAGTCATCGACGCCGGTCCATTGCTACTTTACGATATTCCTTTATAGCTATCGTATGCTACATTGAAGGATTCCTCATCCATAGTCTGCTTCACGCCAGAAGAGCTATCACAGTGCTGCATCATCAAACTGCAATTGTTTTCATTACCGTAACTCCTGGGCCATGTCTACTGCTTCTTTGCCTCGCGAGCGGCCTTTCTGAGGGCACGGTTGCGGATGTCGGCGTGCATCTTGAGATTGTACCAGATGGACAAGCTATGGGCGGCGCCAATAGTGCTCTCAACAACCCAGAGCATCAGTGCATGCGACCACCACGGTGTATAGGTGTAGGCAAAGTTCTGGTAGCTGCCGGAGCCAATTTTGCTCAGTGTCGCGCGGACAAAGTCCTTGGGCTTGGGAATCATAGCGCTCGAGCGGCGAACCTTGCTCATGGCGGTGGTGATGAGGTAGCTGAGAACGAGCTCGACGTCGACGCCCTGGGGCTTGAGCTCGGCAGCCAGAGAGCTGCTCCAGTGCTGGAGGAAGGCCTTGCTGCCGGAGTAAGTAGCTAGGTATGGGGTGGGCATCCAGCCTGCGAAGGAGCCCATGGTGAGGATGAGACCACGCTTGCGCTGCTGCATGATGGGGGCGATGACCTGCGTAGTCTTCAATGTGCCGAGGCAGTTGATGGCGACGATGCTCTGGAGCTCGCTGCGGGCTGTCTCGAGGAAGGGAACTGGGATGCTGTGGCTCTGGCCGACATTGTTGATGAGAATGCCCACGTCGAGGCCGTTGACGAGTTGTGCGAGTCTGTCATAGTCGGCGTCATCGTCGCGGGAGAAGTCCATGGCCAGCACCTTGACCTGGATCTTGCCCGAGAACTTCGCCTCGAGCTCGTGGGCGAGGGTCTCAAGCTTCGATTGTGTTCGGGAGACGAGGATAAGGTTGAATCCCTTGCTGGCGAGCTGGTAGGCAAACTCCTTGCCAAGACCGTCGGATGCACCGGTCACGACGGCCCAGGTGCCAGGCTTGCCATACTTGCGAAGCTGTTGCGAAGTTTTATTTTAGCACCACATCTGCCAGCAGTCGGGAGGTGTGGATGGGAATGCTTACACTAGTTCCACTGAGCAGAAAGACTCCAAGTAGGAACTTGACATAGCTTAGGGCCTTGGAGGTGAGGAAGAGAGCGCCAATGCCAGCGAGTAGAAGCTGGACAGGTTGAGGCACGTATGCCAGGTTATCAGTCAAGCCTGCCATCGTGTGTTATCGTCACGGCTCTCGGTCGATGTATAATGTTTGCTGAGAGAAACAGGACGAAGAGTGGAGGACGATGCTGGCGACCTCAAACTTGCGTCTCGTCTGTGGGATAACTAAGAACAGCACAGACAAAATGTTGGGATGCGCAAAGGTTGGAAAATGCATGTTCAATTCCCACCAGCCACGCCTCGGCACCTGCCTCAATTGTTGAACTCTCTGCCCCCTCTGAGAGAGCTTTGACCAACCAGTGGGGAAGCGGGCCTGGTCAGCCACACCTGTCAATCTCGAGCCACAGAAGCTAGCATTCGTATTCGGATACAATGCAGCAGCCGACCAGAAGCTTGGGGCATTAATTATTTACGGCCAAGACTTTGGATAGCGGCAGTAATCCAATTCTGCCTCGTGTTTGCGCCACAACTTCCCTCCTGTAGCTTACGACTTTTGACACGATTCGAGCTTCAGAAACCTCAGAAGACCAGTCACAATGGTGTCCATCGCCGATCTCCTCCCTGAAGCGAAGGGCATTTTGCCCTACTATATGCTCCTCGTAAGCACCTAAGCCGTGGCATTCGCGATCTTGTCACTGACTTGGGCGGCTTCTAGCTCTCTCTGATCTCCATCGGCAACTCGGCGCAAAACCTCATGACCCTGCACTACTCGCGCCGCCTTTACGACGGCAAATATGTCCGCAACACAAAGCTTCCTGTCCGGTCCGAGAAGTTCAACCCAGAGGACTCGGTGAACAAGTTCGTGCCCGCTCCCGCTGGCGCGACCGATATCGTTGATCAGGCGACGCCCCTTGCGGCCCGCTGCTTTGGCACCTGGACATTCCTCACTAGCATCGTCCGTCTCTATGCTGCTTACCATCTTCAACATGCGCATATGTACGACCTGGCCATGTGGACATACGTTGTTGCGCTGGGTCACTTTGCCAGCGAGCTGTTCGTCTTCAAGAGCATGTCTTTCGGCCTGCCGCAGTTCTTCCCCTTTACTCTGGCTACTACTGCCTTGATTTGGATGCCATTGGTCCGTGATTTTTATGTCGACAGGCCGTAAAATGTCCATGGAGGACCACAGTGTAATAAAATATGGACACAAGAACATGTTCATAAGACTTTCTGTACATAGGCTGCGGCGTCGGCGTAGGTGCAGGCGTGGGGATATTGATGCCATCGACACGGCCATGGAGATTGTGTTAGGATGAGACAACAAAAACGTATTAAAATGAACGAGGAAGATTGCATTTCAATATTGCAGTTGCATAGCTGTTTTGCTCTTTTCTATCCTACTAAATCGCCTTGCGGTATAATTCACCGCCGGTTGCCCGGAGCCGAGCGGCGGCCTGTTCGGGAGTGATGTCACGCTGAGGCTCGGCCATTAGCTCGTAGCCGACCAGGAACTTGCGGACGGTAGCAGAACGAAGCAGAGGCGGGTAGAAGTGCATGTGGAGGTAGCTGTTCTCGGCCTCCTCCTCGGTGGCGTCGAGAGGTGCTTGATGAATACCAGAGCCTGTCGTATCGTTAGCTGCCGGGCACTCTGACAGGTCTTGGACCTACTTACTGTAAGGAAAGTGCGTCTCAAAGAGATTGTCATATCTCCTTGCGACCTCCTGAATGGCTTCGGCAAACTGCAACCGCTCTTCAGCGGACAAGTCCACAAGGGCACGAACGTGCCTCTTAGGCAGCACCAAGACCTCGAACGGCCATATGCCCCACCAGGGGACTACAACAAGGAAGTGCTCGTTCTCAAAAACGGTGCGTTCCTTCTTCTGCAACTCAACCTTGACGTAGTCGGCCAGCAGGTGACGTCCAGCGTGCTGGTTGCGGTACTTAGCCATCTGCGTCAGCTCAGTACCGGGCTCCTCTGGCATTGTGGACGTCGTCCAGATTTGGCAATGCGGATGCGGGTTCGAACATCCCATAGCAGCGCCCTTGTTCTCGAAGATCTGCATGTATCGCAGGGTGTGCTTTGGCGGGGCACTGTGCTTTCGGGGGTTGCAGCGGGGAGTTCAAGGGCAGCGGCGACCTTAGAGAGGGGATTCGAGGGGGAGAGGTGGGAGGCATAGATGTGCGTCCATACGTCGATGACGGGGGCGATCTCTTGGGTGGTCATGTCGGCAAGGGTGACGTGATGCTTCTCGGAGAAGGTGAGCACGTAGCATTTTCCTGTGGCCGCTTCGGCGCGGAGCAGCAACGATGCGAGGTCTAGTGCATTGTTAGATATGCTCAGCTCTACAAGGTCTTGCGAAGCGGCATACCGTCATCTTCTGTCTCTGGCTTGTACTCAGCCTGCTCCTCCTTCACGGCGCTGTAGTCATTGACGAAGACAAAGGTGTTCTTGTAGTCGGGATTTGAGCCACCAGCCGCTCTGGGATTTCGGGGGCAAAGGTAACACTTGTAGAAGTCAGCCTATGACCAAGGCCTCTTTGCGATCATGGATGAATTGCCTTAGGGTCGTATTCAGGAAGCGTCGTGGTGGACGGTCCCTCCTGCTGGCCTCTGCCCGTCTCAGCGCATGTCGCATCACAAGTTTAGTTGGCGCATTCTTACTGCCAGGGGCGCTTGGTCCGGTGGGGGGAAACTAGCAACCAAGTGCCCTTCAACGGGTTGTACCGTCTGTGGGAGATGTCGTCGAGGATCTTTTCAGGCATTGTGGCTGCGTGAGATGGCGGTTTGAAATGAAGTGTGTTGGTGACGGCGGGGTAGCTTTGCGGCAAGAAGAGGGGATTTGAAGTGCCGCGACCAGTACAGCCCTACGTGACAACTCAAAAACTGGAAGACGGATATGCTCAAATAATGCGAGATATTATTTTAAACAGTCACGTTGTTCGTCCTTCTGCGAGGCTAACTAAGAATGGACGAGACTCCAACCCTCGGCCGCGAGCTGCCGAGTGACAGACGGACCGATGAAGCTACCACAAAACAGCTCATTAAAGTGACGTCTTATCCCTGCTTCGAGGATTTCACGCCAATGCCTGTTGGGGTTGTTGGAGAGGTTGGAGAAGATGATGGTGGGAGGGACCGATGAAGAACCCCGCGAACCCCACCATTGAAAAGCGCGCCATTCTCGTGCGGGCGGCTTTATGCGCTGTAAGATGAGCGGCGGGAAACCGGCGGAAAGCTCAAACCTCGGAAGAACGTCATTGTGGGACAAAAGATCGAGGTAGAAGGGTAGATTTGTTGAAGGACCTAGACAAGAAATGGATGAGAGGACAAATTTCCAAGATGCTCCAATCGCCCCGCGGCTGCTTCAGCTTCTACAATTCGCAATGTCTGCAAATTGCACCCAAACCGCTAGGGTGCGATGGTCGCATAGGTATCTTGGCCGTTCGGCTGCAGACAAATGGTCCATGTGAAAAGACAGGCCAGGCATTAGTCCACAGTCCGACTGAGAGCAGCGGGGATGGCGGAGCCGGTAAACAGTAGCGGGCTGAAAGACGAAGGGTGCAATCTAAGATTAGGTAACCATACGGGCTGGCTGTGGCACAGGTAGGTCTCGAGCAAGCCACTTCTGTGGCATGTCATGATGGCCCGAGCGCCGGAGAGACTTCGGGACAACCTTCGCCTCCAAGTCCCACCTTCGATCCCCGGATTGCATTCGGTTGGAACCTAGATGCGTTTTGGTGTTTCCGACGGCCAACCTTGGAAAATAATCCATGGCAACGCGCGCGCCTCACCATCCGAAACCCATCGATATCATCAACGAATCTCGCGTCCGCATCGGCTATCACCCATAGCCTACACCGAATTGCCAGGTGCTTGCCGATAAGCTCACCGTATGCCTTCTCCCGCATCACAATAACTCGGCCGTCGTCGGATCAGCCTGACCAGGGGCTGGCCTCCACGTCTCCACCGCAGCCCTGGACGAAATGGGCGTCATCAGAAAGAAAACCGTCACCCGAGGCGGCGAGGGCGGTGTCAAGTATCATTGCGATATTTGCTCTGTAGACATTACATCCACGGTAAGTCCTCTGTTGGTTTTGCCACGACCGGCTGGGTTGCGCCGTGCTGCTGAGTTCCGGCGCAACACGGGTCGGAGGGTAGTCGCGCACCGCATGTTGCGCACCACGCTAACGGTCCACCTTATCGTATCTCTAGGTACGCATCAGATGTGCACATTCTGCTTGCAACGAATACGATCTGTGCGTCCAATGCTTCTCTCAAGGGAAGTCCAGCTCGAACCATAAGCCCGAAACACATCCATATCGGGTCATCGAACAAAACTCGTTCCCCATCTTCGACCGTGACTGGGGAGCCGATGAAGAACTGCTATTGCTAGAAGGCGCGGAGATATATGGCTTGGGATCATGGGCCGACATTGCCGACCACATTGGCGGCTTTCGCCACAAAGACGAAGTCCGGGATCACTACCTCAAGGTCTACGTTGACTCCCCGCGATTTCCGCTGCCGAAACGATGCAGTCCCCACGATATGGACCTGGCGAACGAAATCTCTAGAGAGGATTTCCAAGCCAAGAAGAAGCGCAGAATAGAGGAACGGAAAGAAGCTGCCAAAAATGCGCCGACATTACAACCCAAGACAAAACCGACTGCCTCTGTACCATCATGCCATGAAATCCAGGGTTACATGCCTGGCCGCTTGGAGTTTGAGACAGAATACGCGAACGAGGCAGAAGAAGCAGTGCAGCTTATGCAGTTCGACCCGGGCGATGGCCTCAACCCCCGAACAGGCGAACTGGAGCCGGAAATGGAGCTGAAGCTGACGGTCATGGACATCTACAACTGTCGTCTGACGCAGCGTGTGGACAGGAAAAAGGTCATTTTCGAACACAACTTGTTGGAGTACCGTGAGAACACCAAGGTGGAAAAGAAGAGGAGTAAGGAAGAGAGGGATCTCCTGAATAAGGCCAAACCGTTTGCGCGGATGATGAACCACGATGACTTCGAGAGCCTGTGCCAAGGCCTGATCGATGAGCTCAATCTACGGCAGGCCATCCAACAGCTCCAGGAATGGCGAAGCGTACGTATTGGCGATTTACGCAGCGGAGAGAAATACGAAACAGAAAAGGCCCAACGAGCACAGAAAGCAATACCTATGGGATCTATGGACAGGGACCGGTTGGCCTCGGCGCAGCGTTCTAAGGCGGCTGCTGTGCCAGATCCCCCGAGCGGTGCCGCCTTGCTGGTTGCGCCCGAGCTGCCTATCCGGTCGGCGCCGGCCCCCGACGGGACAAATGGTACCATACCACCCAAGGGGCTCAACGGCGAAAGCAAAACTCAGGCTAATGGTATTGCCAACGGAGCTGATACCAACGGCACGGTCGTTGTCGCCAACGGTGCGGGTTCTTCGGGCCCGTCGGGCCCTGTCACACGACAGAGGTACATGGCCGCGGCCCTGCCCGGTGTCACGCCACTTCAGCTCACACAGGACGGTGCACCAGACTTGCATCTCCTCACGCCGGAGGAGGCTAAGCTCTGCGAAGTAGTACGGCTGCAGCCGAAGCCGTACCTGATGATCAAGGAGCAGATCCTCAAGGAGGCGCTCAAGAGCAACGGCACTCTCAAGAAGAAGCAGGCAAAGGAAATCTGCAGGCTTGACTCGCAGAAGGGGGGTCGCATATTCGACTTTTTTATCAATGCTGGATGGGTCGGTCGGGCGTAGACGAGGGTGCAACTGTGGCCTGGGGGCGAGTTGGTTTGGTTTTCGGACTTGAGATTTTCGCTGGGAGCTTGGCTTTGGCGTTGCGTCAAAAGGGGTGACGGGTAGCTCCGTTTCTTGGAGTAGGGCGTCATAGAATATATTAGGGAGCTTGTTTAGCTATCGCGTATGAAGATACCAATGCACGAACGCAGGGACCGATGCTCAACATTCTCTGATTGAAACTGTCTAGCAAATTCAAATTTTGGATTCCCGGTGCTGTGGGACAACTTATTGTTGTCTGTCAGTCTGTAAAACATCCGAGCACAACAAAAACACTCACCCGTCAGTATCATTCAACCATTGAGACGGCTTCCATATATGCGGAAATGGTGAAGGGTCTTTGAGACTATCAGTATAATGTTAATTGTTGCGAAGAGCATATATGGAACCCTTTCCAAACCATCCGGTTGCCCTTAGATCATGCTTACTGTGTGTGGCACGTGCTTTTTCATGAAGGCTATGAGTATGATATCCCATGTCACATTTACAGAACGTTCCACGTTTGCCTGCTTAGGCAGCCTGAACCATGTATAAGGTTGCGGGCTGGGTCCGCCCACATTCTCCCCATTTAAGGCCGTCAGTACTATCTGCAACACCCCTGAACTCATGACATGGAATAGCCACTGCTTCTACAGCGTAGGGCGACGATACTTTGGTTGCGATGTCTCATGAGAAAACAAGTCATGGATTATCAAATGGGTATATGCACTCCTTAAAGCTAAGTATACAAGTAATGCTGAGCCCTCAAGACATAGCGAGGCCCATTACAAACGACCGCCCAAATCCTTTTTCTAACCCAAAATTGATCCTTGATGGGCTCGCAGCCTCGAGTTTCTTGCGTCATCATAACAACGTGACGTCTACAGCATGACAGCGCCGACGAAGCCGGCGGCGGCGGCGGCGGCGGCAACGAGCAAGCCAGTCTCACGGGGCGCAGCGGCAGCGGGGGATGCGGTCGTAGAAGCCGCCTCGCCAGAAGCAGTAGCGCCAGTAGCCTCACCGGTAGAAGTACCGGTGGCCGTTGCAGTGGCGGCGGCGGTGCCGCTGGCGGCGTCCTGACTAGTAAGGGGCGCCAGCGCAGTCGAGCAAATGGCGGTACCGTACTCGGCGAGCACGGCAGAGAACGCAGGCACGTCGCTGCAGGCGGCCCAGAGCGAGCGGATTTCGGTGATGTGGGCGTCCTGCCAGGACTGCAGAGCGGAGGAGTAGGAGGTAATGACCTGTCCCACGGAGCCCGTGACGGAGGGGAAGTTGCACGGGTCGGTGACCTGCGGGATGTTGACGTTGCTAGCGGTGGCGAGCTCCGAGGGGAGCTGGGGGAAGTCGGAGGTTATGGTGGCGGCCACGGCAGCGACGCCGATGCAGGCCGCTTCATCGCGGGCATCGAGAGCCTCGAAGCCGCGGCGGAAGTTCTGGAGGAAGGAGCCGGAGATATCTTGGATGGCCAGGGCGCCAGTGACGGCGGCGGCGACGAGGAGCTTGGACTGCATCTTGGCTTTCATGGTGGTGTTGTAGTAGCCTCGGCTGGGAAGAGTTGTACCTGGACGAGAGAGCTGGAAGACTAGCAAAAGTCTTCAGAGAGCTGCGACGAAGGTTAAAGATGGTGCTGAAGAAACGAAACAGAAAGATCAATTCCTTGGGTGAAGCATGCCCTTTAAGCATTCGCGACCTTCCATTTGTTGACACCCCCCTGCTCCATACATTCTTCCCAGCGCTTGTCCTCCAACACAATCACCCACACACAGTAATACACCGTGGACCTATCCGACAGTGCTTCTCAGCGTCCTCAAAGCTGACCCGCCGATACGACAGTCTAAGCTCACCTGGCAAGCCTGGCCATGTCAGCCCCTTGATTCGGTTGGAGCTGGATCTCTTGGGTGCAGCGCCTGCGCCTGCTGCCTGCAGCGCGGTGATGTAATGATCGACTCCTATTACCGTGGCACATTGGATCGTAGGATTCCCTCATTGTCACTAGGCTACTGGTTGCATTGCCCAACTGGGTGAGACGCATTCAGAAGGGGGGCGAATAAGGGGAAGGGAGGGAGTTCGTGGCCTCTCGGCACACGGAAGCGCGGCATGTAATTGTCAGGAGCTGACGATTGAACTGCTGCTTACAAGTTAATACAACTATCCAAGCTGGCTGGAAGGTCCTGTCAAGCAGAAGCAGGGGCCGCGTGCTGCAGGACGCGATATTAAAACTTTACCTGATCTAGGGTCGAACCCCCTCCCCTGTCGTTGTGCGGAAGTGCGAGAAGCTCCCCCGGATGGGAGCGGTCCGGGCGCCTTTGGAGCTGGGATTACTCATAGGAGGCATTGCATTTTTCCTCAGGCCCTAAGCTGGACAGGGATCAGCTCCGAAGCACCTACTCCCTTACCCCTGTACCCCTGGCCTCGCGAAGCTTCACATTGGGATGGCGGAGAGTTCATGGAGGTTCCATGTTAAGTGGTCCAAGTAGGCACTCAGGCACTGTCTCTGTCAGCCAAGGGAAACGTTGTGAACCCTCTGACGCCCAAGATTGCATGGACCGCTCGGAGCATTCATTGATGGAGAATCGAGATGTGTCAAGGCGATCTGATTAGCCGGGGGAACGACAGGATGGAGTACGGTTCCATAACTATTGGGAAGGATTGGATATCTCTGGGGACATTGGAGCTTCGCTCTGACACGCAACCCCCGGTCAGCATTATCTTTCATCAACTGATTCAGACAGGAACACTATCAGCATGGCAACGTTGGGGACGGCTTCGTTGTGTGGCTGAAGCAACATCCACAACCCACAGAAGGATGTCTTGGGCAGTGGAAAGTGTCTGGGCTGAGGTCAATGCAGCCTGGGCAAGGAGGAGTTATCGGAGAACCAGGGTCTGGCCGCACGTGGTGCCGCATCCGATGTAGGCGCGCGAACGGCTATCAACAGGTAGGTTTTGCCACAATGCCGCAGTTGTTTCTTTTTGCAGCTTATATTTTTCTCTACAGTTGGACGACGCAACTAGCGTCATCTTTTGGAGTACTTCATTGCTCGCTAAAAGCCATCTTGATGGTTTTGTTAGCGATAGAAAAGGGCACTGCCTCGCTAAGTGGTATGGACGCGTTGCTAGCGCTTACGGTGACATCTGGATGGTAACTCTTGCTCGGCCTACTTGTGCGTGCCGGCTTGGCCAACCAGGATCGTCCGTCGTTCGACATGACTCTTGTGAGAACTTGCATGTCAAGGATTCGCTCAAAAGGGGAGCGCTGATGTCGATCCTGATGTTTGGTCAAACAAACCACACTGCGTTCCAATTCTTGACGCTTTTCAACTGAATTAAGTATTCCAAGCTGAGCTGGTAAGTGAATTATAGTGCACTCCTTTTATGAGGTTCCACTGCCAAACGCGTGCACCGGGCAACTGCAAGTCTAAGCAGTTGGGGTATATCCCACAGTGGATGTCTGTTATCCAGATGCAAGACACGTGAGGCCAAAGACGATGATAATCGTCAGTGGTGTTTGACATAACTATTATCAAAGCAATGGAGCAAAAAAGCCCTTTACTTAATTTAGAGATTGCACCTGCATCTCGGGCTGTTTCTGCGGGCTTTCGGCAAATCTGCATCTTTCAAACTTTCAGGAGAGCCGCGCCATCAGCCAGTGACCATCCAAGGCGCGTAAACCACTTTTCTGACCGTCCAGCCATTCGATGATCGGCCTTCGGTAGGGCTGACATGTATTAGGACGTAGATACATCATTCGACCGGACTACCGTGATTTGGCGACACAACAGCTCAGCTTCCGTTCTGCTGACATGCAAATTCGCACCGGCGACGTCGAAGTCCCCGCAATGTCCGGCGTGCAACTCTAGCGTTGCTGTTTAAAAGTGGCCGAGAACCCAACAAGTGCAGCTCGTAACGTTTTCAACCCCCAAATGTGCGCTAGACCGTAAACAATATAAAGAGCAGTTTCAGTATTAAGATTGCCCTTTGTTGGCTCTTTGCGGCCTTGGCGCAGGGCCACACAATCATCAGCTATCCGGGATGGAGAGGCAACACATTCATCACAAATGAGACATACCCCTTTGGGATGCAATGGACTTGCCCGTGTACGTCATACACAAATCTTGAGTTACGAGGAGCCAGATGCGGAAAGTTATCTCACCCAAAATCTCACTGCGCTGACATGGAAATGAAGGTGGAGGACTTGGCGTAACACAAAACCGAACTTACTGGCCAATCGATGGCGGCGCCATCGCCGTGCAGCCAGGCTGAACGCGGGCCACAAGACGGCCCTGATGTATATCAACATCGGGCTTGGCGAGGAGCCAAAGAACTACACAACGGTTATGGTACCCAGGTTCCTTCTAACAGGTCCGACAAACGAGGAGTATGAGGGCACGTTCTGTCTTCCAAAAGTTCCCATCCCGAAGGGTGCGACGTTGAGGGAGGGAGATATGGCATCAATCCAGGTTGTCCAGGCTGCACAGCATGGTGCTACACTCTTTAGCATAGGCGCTCCTAGACCCTTCAACCAGGGAGACAGACACCGGATGATTGCGTCGGGACTGACCAAGAGATGGTGTGTCGACGTCATTTCCACGGAAGACATGTCTACGGTTCCGCAGGTGACAGGTGACAGTTGCTAATTTTAGGGTCGAAGCCGCGACTCTTGAGACAAACTCTTCGCCGATCACCGATCTTTCTACAGTGACGACTGTGTCCCCAACTCCATCCTCGACAAGTGGTGCTTCTCGAACCAAAAATGAGATATTAGGGTAGCTGAGCCTGCTGTTGCTTGTATAGGTCTTTATGGCTGGAAAGGGTGTGGGCATCTAATATGCCAATTCCATATTTTTGACCGCATTGGTATGATTTGATGGGCTTATCCTGGATAAGCTTGGGACGATCACCATCAATGAACGCATTGATGTCACACTGAGATTACCAAAGTCTGAAATTTAAGAGGCTTATCATGGCTGGTTTTTGGCTTCGCCCACATTAAATGTTATGCCACAGACGTTCCTTTTGTTTCTAATCGAGTATTTGCATCATCTTTAGACTTCTGGGTGTTATTACTGGCATTTGCGCGTGATAAACTAAAATAAGGAAACATAGAGAAAAAAAAGAATTCGGAAGAATTTGAAGTAGCTGCTGATATTTTCTCGAAGTGAACGGGTCGACATTGAATATGAAAAGGTAACAGGTTGCGGATGCAGTGTCAAGACACTCCAGATCGTGTGTCTGCCGTCTGGTTGCGGAGAGCGGAAGCAGGAGGAGACAATGGAGTCCAGAACAATGTTTCTTTTGTACTTCTTGATGGATCCAGCACTCGTGCTCGAGGAAAGGAATGGTTCTGTGAGATGAAACAGACTGACAGAAGTTCGACCTTTTGGATACCTCTACCATGATAAGCCCTCTGGATATTGAACAGAATTTCCATTACAAAGCACTTAATGTATTCCCACTGAGGTGGAGGGGAGGGGGATAAAACCTGTACCTGTACGGAATCAGAATAAGTTAAGGGTGAGTGATGCAGCTATACCAGGGCTGATCATTATTAATCGCTTGACTTATTCAGCATAGGGCGAGCAAGACTCGATCTCAAACAAGTTAGGAGAGACTCCCATTTCAGAACAATACACACTGTTACTAGTCACTTTTTCGGTTGAGATGCTAAGACTATACGAGGCCATATCAGTCCCATTTTCCAAGGGTCAAGTGGCTTAGGGATCCGGTAACTCCTTTCCAAGTCTTCAGCCTCAATGCTCAATGATTAGAAACATTCGTGTCTCGTCATAGAGGCTTCAGAGATGCACCAATATGATATTTTATGATTATTTTAGATTTTTGATGATCTGCTTGCGAAAAAGTTCGAATAACGCTACCTGCATTAATTATAGGGATTCAGAAGTGTCCAACAACATTTTGGCCTCAACTCTAAGCGAGAGGCTTTTCCAATCGTGAAGGGGTAACGCAAATCTTCCACCTCTACAGTGAACGATCATTCGATCAATACGGAGCAAGAAAGATTTAGACAGTATTGAGGTTCTCAATGTAAAACATCGTGGGATGCCTTATGCAATACAAGGGGACCGCAAAGCTTGAGAAGAAGATAATGAACGCTATGGGGTTATTTCCTCATTGAAATTCGAATCCATGCTCATCTTAACCCTACTCTATGCACACAAAAAAAGGCCTACCGTACTCTTGAAGCGCCTTAATGATCCAGCTTGTCTGGGTTTGCTCTCCAGTACTCGATGGCCTCTCTCCTGATGTCATCTCTCTCGATGTGTGTTTCCTTCGGGTTTACCCTTACTTGCCAGCCTAGACCATCGGAGCCTGGCGCCTCATAATTGATCCAGTCAACGGCATTGGTTGCCTTCAATGGATTCGGGTTGCCGCTGACAACAAAGCTTGCGTAGTATCTGGCAAGCACTGTTCCAGCTTCAGGATATTGTGTACCCGGCTCAGACCAAGCGTAAGAGACATCGGCACCATGTGAGATACCGAGGTAAGGAGAGATGCTGTTGTTAGTGTTCCAGTGCATCTTCCACACCGGAAGACCCTCCGCTGAAAGGCGAGATGCGACATCTTGCGCAACGCTGATATATGTGGTATCACCATAGGCGTCAGATAGCCTTGTGAACTGAGCAGATTGTCCCCTGGAATCCACATATGGAGATTCGGGATTCGTTTGCGGGTCGGGGTACAGGCGGTCAAAGATCTGCCTATCGCTCTCGTTGAGGTTCGGATACAAGTTGGAAAGCCAACCCCAGGCTTCCTCATCCGTGGTCAAGTTTGTTGGCGCATACATGCTACCCTCGTCGGTGTTGAAAGATATCAGAGCAGGTAGGCGGTTCCACAAGCCCAATTCCCAGGTTTTGGAGGAAAGGCGCGGAATGATAGCAGCGTCTAGAGAAAATGGCGTGTCAGTCTTAGAAGGATCTGTAAACACAATGGCAAACTGGGCACTTACTAGAAACAGCTTGGAAAGGATGAGTGCCGTTGAATCGGTATTCAGCCAAAAGGCCAGTCGCTGTCTTCTCAATGAGTTCAACGTCAACTGCCCTCAGACACACGAGCTGTGCCTCAGCAGTCTCGTTGATCTGACAACCGACTCGTTCAACAAACTGCTCAAACTGCTTCACAGTGAGCGGATCTGATGCGTTGGGGAAGGCGCGGCCAGTCGGTCCACCTGACTGGAAAATAGCCTGTTGAAATAGTTCCTCCCCAGGGATGAAGGGGTTTTGGTAGTGAAAGCCAACTGAGTGCGCACCGGCTGACTTGCCTCCCAATGTAACACGCTCTGGGTCCCCGCCGAATGATGAGATATATCGGTGAACGAAACGGAGAAGTTGATGCTGGTCCTGAAGACCGAGGTTGACATTACCAAGTTCCGAGAAAGCGGGGGAAGCCAGGAAACCAAGAGCGGCCAGCTAAGAACAAGCTATTAGCACGAGTAAAGTAGTAAGCGGTCAACAATGGACTCACTCTATAGTTAAAGGTCACGACGATGAGTGCCTCCGGCGAAGCCGCGACAAATGAAGCGCCATCAAAGATTATGCCAGCACCATTGCGATAAAGACCCTAACAAGCTTGTTAGTGACACAAGTTGGCAGGTAGTCGTTCAAGAAGGAAGCGAATAAGCTCACTCCATGAATCCAGATCAGAACAGGAAGCTTCCTGTCCAGGCTTACACCAGAGGGCCTGTAAACGTTAAGATTCAAACAATCTTCGCCATATTCCAGCTCAGTCTTGATATAAGTAACCAAGTTTGAGTTCCCTGGCTCTTGGGTACAGACTTTGCCGTAGGACTTGGCTTCCCGTGTTCCATTCAGCACAGGAGGCCACTCCACTGGACTAAAGCGGAGATTGCCGACAGGCTGCTCTGCGTAGTCGATGCCATACCATACGTCAACGGGTGCCAAAAGAGGGTAACCAGATGTGGTCGTGTTGAGAGTTGTTCCGGCAAATGAGCCATATAATGGCAGGTGGATGGTTAGAGAGTTGTTAGAAGAGACGGTGACTCCGTAAGCGAACGATGAGAGCAATATGGCGCCAAGGAGGCTGGCCTTCAGCCAAGAGCCCCCGGAGGTGCACCATAGCAACATGATAGTGACACAACTCTAAGCTTGATTGACTGAGAGATATGCAAACCGGTAACCAAAACAACCTTGACGAAGACTTCCAACGCAGCGATCTAGTGCTTCAGCTTCCTCCCCTTTTATAAAAAGTTGCATTCAAAAACAGCCAAGAGCCGATTTCGCACCGATGTATGACCTCTCTGGCTATCGGTATCCTTGTAAGTCCCACAGCGAATTTACAGAACCCCGCTTGAAATCGATCGCGCAAAACCACGTTGGATGACGGGATCTTAACGGTCGCCATCTCTAGAAATAACACACTCAGCCGGGGTAGGAACATTGTGGGGGATGAGATAAGGCAACAAAAGACTAGGGAGTTTTTATTCAGATTCTCAGGCTGGTAGAGTGGCGCTGCATTTAGGGCGTGATCGATGACTGCAGTAAGAACTGAAATATGCAATAAGAATTTCAAATATGTAATAACACTAGCCACAAGTACCCTCTGAACTCAAATTGTGTTACACTAGGCCTAAAACAGGAGGGTATATTATGATTATAGTTCTAGATTATAGAACCTTATGTTATTATATATTTACTATATACTTTAATAAAAAGAGACTTTATATAATATAAATTATTAGTTATTTTTTATTTTTTTATATAAATTCTTATTATATTTAAAACTTATATTAATATTACTATAGTTATTATTATACTTTAAAAACTACTTTTTTATTACTTATTACTATAATTAATTATTATAAATAATTTATTATAAAATTTAATTATTTTATTATAATAGTTATATTTAGTATTATTATAGTAGAATATTAAGCTAATAAAAATAAAAATAAGAAAAAGGTTATTAATAATAGTAGTACTATAATTATATACTAAATATATTAGAAGCTTTTTTTTAGTTTAAACTATTGTTTTTTATACCTCTTTTATTTTAGTAAATAGTAATTTTAAGTATTATTAAGATAACTTATAAATAATATACTTCTATAGTTATTTTAAAACCTCTTTATTAAATAAAAAGTATTTATTTATTTATTTATTTTATTTTATAGTAGTAATCTTAGCTAATAAGCTATTATTTACTTTTTTTATATTAGTTAATTAACTATATTTTTAGTCTAGAATAAAGTTTTATTATACTTTATAAAGCTTTATAAGGTATATATTATTTTTTATAGAAAAGCTAAAGTCTTAGGAGAAATTAAAAGTAATAAAAAACTAAGTAAATACTTTACTAGTTATATTAAAGTAATTAATAGTATACTTATTAGTGTATATATTTCTACTATTACTTAGAGAAAATAGTATAATTAAAAGAGAATAGTTTCTTAAAATGTTTTTATTATTATTTGTTTTAATAGTAGCTTTTTATTTATATTTGCTAAAGCTAAAGGGTTAATTTATAATATTAGTTTAATTAATTTTATAAATATTAAAGGGTTTAAAGTTCTTAAAGGCTAGTATTTCTTAGGGGATATAAGGTTTAATACTTAAAATAATATTATTATTTTTTATTTAAAAACCTATTACTATTTATAAGATTTTAAAGATATAAATAAACTATTAGAAATAACTTAAAAGTTATATAATTTTTAGTATAGTTATTTTTAAATAATTATTAAGTAAGTATTTAGTTACTTAAAACAAAAATAGAAAATAATTATTTTTTTAGCTTTAAAGTATAACTTAAATATATAAGTATAAATTATTTATATAGTAATAAACCTATATAACTTTTTACTTTATTATACTAAGAATAAAAAGTATAATAGTAATATAGAAAATTAGCTTAATATAAATAAAGTTAGTGAAAAGGCTAATAAGTAGTATTTAGGTTAAAGTATAAGATAAATTTGTAAAAAGATAACTAAAGTAATATAAGAATAGTAGTAAGTATAAGAAAAGTAGGAATTACTATAACTAATTACTATAATTCATACTTCTTCTTTTTAAATATTTTTTGTTATTTCTTTAACAAAATTAAAGTTATAAGCTTATATAACTTTATAAGCTATATTAGAAATCTCTTTTTAAGAGGTTAGGTATACCTTAATAAGTAGCTAAAGCTAAAGATAAAGTAGTAAAACTTTTTATAGAGGCTTAAAAGCCTTTATTATTAAGTAACTAAATCTTATAGTTACTTTTAAGTTAAGAGTAATTCTATTTTATATTTTTATAGGACTAAAAAGAATATTCTTTTAAAAGGATAAAGTAAGAGAGCCTTAAACTTATATTTATATTAGTAATTTATAGTAATTAGTTATAGTAATTAGCTTACCTCTTTAATTAACTACTTAATAATTAGCTTAAAGTCTTAAGTTAAGTAGTAATATTAAATAGTATAAAAGAAACTTTTACTTTATTAACCTATAGTAAAGTAATATTAAAGAGTAAATTACCTAAAAAATAATTAATTAATAAAATCTATTAGTTATAAAATTTTAATTTTATTTATTTTTTTTTTTAGTAAAAATAGAAAACAATTTTTAAGAGTTTAACTTAGAATATCTTGTTAATATTCTTAGATAGTCACAGGGAAGTAAAGAGACTTAGTGAAGGTAAAGGTAGAAAGATAAGGTTATTATATTTTTTCTATGCTATTATGTCTTCTTTTCTTTCTAAAAGGTAGGAATATCTTAGGCTTATATCCTTTTCTTAATATCTTATTAGTAATATAATTATCTAATAAAATAATCTTATCTAGAATCTAAGAGTTGGTTTTCTGGAATCTAGGGTTAACTAGATCTAAGGCTAGAATTCTAGGGTTAACTAGATCCAAGACTAGGATTCTAGGGTTAACCTGATTCTTATAAGCCTATCTTATATATAGACAAGTTATATACGGTTATAAAGCTCCTATTTTACTTAATCTAAATATAGATATAGTAAGTTTATATAGTTATTAGATATAAAGATATAATTAGATAAGATAAGAGTTCTTATAATAAATCTTATTCTTAGTTTCCCCCTTAAGTTTATTCTAAGTTAAGATAAACTTATAGTATATTATATCTTATTGTTGGAATAACAGCACCAGCTGGTTGTACGACACGCACGACTCAGGGACACACATCATGGCAGAGGGCACAGACTGGATATTCGGCCCTCGGTTATCCATTGAGGGGATCAAAAGTATATTCATGCCGAACTGACTCAGGGACGTACGAGATCATATATCTTGTGTACGAAAGCCAAGTCTTGTAGTTAGGAAGATAATCACGGAAAATATATCTTTGGTTCACCCTAACTTTAACCCGAGTACGATCGTACAAACGGGTTCTCTCAGGAAGAGAGAATCCATTCAACACTGATCAGTGGTTGCTTGGCAATCCGTGCGATTGCTTTGTGCAATCACAGATTAGCAAGAGTGAAGAGACAAGACTTAGGCTTTACGGCCGGGCTACCGGGTAGTCTTGCACTTCGTGCGAGGCGAGAAATCCTCAGGGATACCTAAGGGGTCACGCTAGAAAGTCTCTTGTGCTAAGAAGCCTTAATCCTACCTATTGTCGCCTGCTAAGCTGAACCGGGTAGATAGGATAAAGACGACTTTTGCTTTACTATCGTACAAGACAGATTCCCGTTGTCGCCTGCTAAGCTGAACCGGACGAGAATCTTTATTGTACTGTACGTAGAGTACAAAGTGTGCGCCACGGCACCAAACAAACCAATTTTGACGTCGTACGATACGAAACGACTACCGAACACAACATGGCTTCCCAAGAGGATCCAGAAGACAATCGTCAAAGCCAATATGACAACATTGATGGATACCTGCCAACGTACGAAGAAATAAGTGCAAGGAGCGAAGTCCCACTGCACACGTGGAAGAAGACTGTGAATCCTAGACGCTGGGGAAATCCAGTCGATATTACACAGGCACCGTCCGAAGAAGAGATGACTACGTACATTGCGTACATCAACATGGAAATGCTTCATCTTAGGCAATCAAAGGAAAACCTGACAATATCACTGTACGAAGATTTCAACGAATGGTCTACCTTCCAATGGGAAAAGGTCTATCGTGCGTTCAGGGCAGAGTTCATACGACTTATTGAGCTAAAGGGATTCCGATTACCGCCAATAAGAAATGTGAATCAACAGTTGGTTGAATTCATCAAGGAGATTGGGAGGAAGTTTGATGAGCAAGAAGAACAGCTTTCTACTCGTACAGCACTTACACCAAGTCGTACGATTACAACAACTCAAACACCTGTTCGAAACCCTGAATCAACTTTACCCCAAAACACAGCTGAACCAACAACAGAGCCAATCGAACCCCCGTACGATACACAGACAACTCAAACATCAATCGTACGAGAGCAGTCACAATCAGCTTCAGGAAACATACCTCCTGGAACAAGATTCACACAGGAGGTTGAGAGTTTTCCACAAATCCAGGGTCGTACAACACCTTTACATCAAGGAGACAGCATCTATGACCTACCACCAAGACGAATAGTCCAGAATGGATTGTGCGAGCCAACTACAATTTCAATCTTCCAAAAGGGATGGAGAAAGGACAGGAATTATACGGGCAAGCCGTACGATATCCTGTACGACAAGGCAAAGGTCTTTATCAGTTTTTGTCGACGCCTCAGGATCACTGAAGACCAATACCATGCAGTATTTCCTGATATCTTGGCTGATCGTGCGGAAGAGTTTTATCTCCATCACATTGGACCAACAAGGAGATGGGACGAGATGTACAACATGTTAGAAATGCATTTTAACACTAACATCAACCACACTCTCTATTGGACAGATTGGACAAGTCTATCCTTCGCACGAGTCAGACAAGACAATCCAGACAAGAATCTGATGGACGTATTAGAGATACTCTTAGACAAGATACCCCTCGTACAACGGGCACTTGGCCCAGGTTTTCAGGGGGAGATTATGCTTCGTACGCAAGTCACCCAAGCGTGCAGAGGTGTACCAGAGCTAGAAACTGCTCTAAGCAATCTTAAAGCACATCACACGTGCGAGCAATTCTTTTCTAGTCTAAG